CCTCGGACTCGAGCTCCAGCTCATCGTCAGACTCGGACTCGGACTCGGACTCGGACTCGTCATCATCAAGCTCGAGTTCGTCCAGCTCCTCATCCCCCGCCCCATCGCCTCCCAGTCCTAAGCAGGTCCGCACCGCGAAGAAGCAGCGCGTGGCGGAGGACGGTTCTGCGGCGGTCACTGCGACCGTCAACATCGCGGACTTCAGCGCGGGGACGCAGCATGCCGCCAACGGGGACGAGAAGGACAAGGACAAGGCGGGCAACGGGAACGGGAACGGGAAGGGCAAGCCGAGGAAGGGCAATGTGCCTTTCCAGCGTATCAAGGTGGACGAGGTCGCGTTCGTCGACGACAGGCTAAAGGACAATACGTTCGAGTCTAGGGTGCGTTTAGATTGGCCTGTGTGGGCGGACGATACTGACGTGAGCGTGCGCAGGGCGCGGCGGCGAACGACTACGGCGAACGTGCGGCGCGCGACCTCATCGTGACGCGTGGTGCGGGGTTCAGGAAGGAGAAGAACAAGAAGAAGAGGGGGAGCTATCGTGGAGGCGATATCACGGTGAGTCCTGGGTGGCGGATGGGTGGATCGTCTAACTGACTGACTGAACGTTGGTATAGATGCAGAGCTTCAGCATCAAGTTCACGGATTAGAATCGCTTGTGTCTGGGTTGTCGGGGATATACATCGGTGTGACTCTGGATCCATTGTTGTAGGATCGAGAGGAGCACCGACATGAGTACTTCAGTCCCACTGGTTTACATGATTTACGCGAGGATACTATTAGGACCAGATTAGGACGTCCCCGAGCTTGAGATCCAGGCCTACCGTGATCGAGCGACCGCACGGATACTGCATGCAAGAGCCTTGAGCATTATAACTTATAACCGTACATTGGTTACAACCATCTAAGTTACCCCCGGGAGGGCTCGTCGTCGACGAGTCCGGTGCAGACCTTCTCGTGGTCCGGGGGGTGAGTAACCCTTTCGAGGGTGAAACGAACATGCACTTTAAGGCCAGTCGTGACTATTAAGCACACTGACCAGGATCTCGTCAAAGAACGACATCCGTCGGGATAGTGGGACATCCACCCCTCCCGCACGACACACTCAGTGTCCACGTACCCAACCCAACACGTAACCCAGCCACGTATCTACGAAACGTAGGAATCTACCTAAAACCGCCCCAGTGTCGCGCTGTCGCTGCCTCTCACTCTAATGCCCTGCGTCGCCATCCCGGCGCCAACACACCTGGCACAGCGCCAATTTAGAGTTCACGCCACAAGCACAACAACTTTAAACAAGGTTGCCACCAGCAGCCGAATTAGCCCTGCAACTAACGTTCTGGAACGAGCGGACAACTGGAGACCCGCTCCCCAAAGCCACCACCCCCCACATGCGATCCAACTTGTGACACTTTCCTTTCCTTCATCCTAACCAGAAAATGAGCGTCTAAAGAAGCATGACATATCAATTTCCCCTGTAACAAACGTAAAAATGGGGATCTCTAACCGGTCCTCATGCCACAGGTAAACGCTCAGCCCACTGATAAAAACTGGAGCATCTTCAATAACAGAGGTCCCCAGCACCCAAGATGACACCCACCAGCTCTGCGCCAAAGCCTCCTCGCCGCTACAAACACTCTCTGAAATGGCCAACACAGGCGAAACATCCCGTTCCATGGACCCCCACAGTCCTAGATCTGAACGATCACTCCGCCCTATCGCCCATTCGATGTCTACCCATCCTCCGTCTCGCACACAACATCCCAGAGTCAGTGGCGATTGAAGTAGATGGAAACCCGGAGAGATGCAACTCGGCCTTGACGTGGACGGTGAAGAAACGCCCGTCCTCCCAAATTGTGACAGGCTTACCGGTTATACTCGTTGCCGAAGGCACGCGATCCGGCCCAGGCCGAATCGCGGCAGTCACCGAGCTGAGAAGGCACTGGATCACGTGGTCTATCACGGGGTCACCGGGAATCTGCAGAATCAGAGTACCGACCTCATGGTCCAGACTCACGGGCCGAGAAAAAGCCAATCACACAACCTTATACCACCTGCTATCACCACTCCCTCTACCCCACGCGTCCCTCGCGTCGAACGCCCTCCTCCAAGAAAGTAAGGAGAGTCCGTACGAGTTCGACTCAGACGAAGAAGACGAATCGGGATTCTGAACACAACGAAGAATGGTAGATTATAGATACATGCCGGGGAATCATTGCCGTAGCCTCGATCGTCGCCGCCGAAACTCCCGCCCACCGTACGTTACTGCTGCCGGTCGATCATAAGCTACGTAGGGCGCTCCCCTCCCACTCTAGTCGTAAAACCCACGCGCAACCAGGAACCGTTACCGCAGCAGTCGATGAAACTGTTTTCCTGAATTCATGACACAGCGAGCGCTACCCGTAACGCCCGAAGCAAGTAACGTAGACGAATGTGCGGACTCGCACACGAAACTATAGGCACGCTTACGCTGCACGCAGAGAGTTCGCCACAAACCGAACCAAAGCTGAGTCCATTCATAAGTGCCGAAAACCTCGCGGAGACAATTCTAGGTCCGCGAATTTCGCATTTCTTAGATCAAACGGTCTCGACACAGCAATCTCCAGGAATTAGCCGAACAGCAACGTGCACTAAATCTTGACAGGGAAGCACTGGACGTGGGACGCCAACAACACGCAGGCCCCACAATCCCCGCAGGCAAGAAGCCGCATCCATTCCGGGACGTCTGTCAAAGCTTTTTGCAAATTCAACTAACCAGCGCTAAAGCGCTGCAGGCAGGGAAGGCCCGACCTCGTAAACGCAAGCATCCTCCCAAACTGGAGCATTCCTCCCGCCCCACGCTCACTAGCCCGCTTTACCAAATCTCAGCAATTTCGCCCGCGACGAAGCTAATGCCAGCAGAGTAGGAAACAAGAATACACGCCCGCAGCCCTCCCGCATTGTCGACATGCTGGATCCCTGAACGAGCCCGGCCACACACCGCCTCTCGCACTATGTCGTACACCACTGACAGGCGCGTGAATGCACCGACGCAAATCCAATATACGATGACCGAATTAGCGACATAACGGTCTCAGAACATCAGAATGGACCCGGGAACGGTAATGCACAGCCCACAGCAGCAATCCCATCGACAGCCTTACATCATCAAAGGCCATGAGGATAAAAGGGCCACTGAGGCTGCGCTCTCCTCACCAATTAGATAACTCGATTTTCGTACTATCTCGCCCAGCATGATCCAGAACAAACCATCCTCCGTCAACGATGGGACCAGCTCGCCTCCGCGTCTCGTCAGGACCAGCTCGCCGCGTCGCCAGGCATCTCTCCCCTCCTGTTCCCCTCCCTCGCGCGTTACCGGTGCGAGCCCTACCGCCTCTCCAGCCGGCAACCCTTGGGTCTCGCCTCGCGCCGTCTCGCCCGTCGGACGCACCGGTCTCTCCTACGCGGCAGTGGTGGCACGACCTCCTTCGACTACGCCGTCGATCGCAGCCCAAGTCCCGCCCGCTGCCCACGACGCTACCGAGACCGGAACCGCCACCAAGGCTATCACGCAGCCCGCCGAAGATGGGGCCGCGGCAATGAAGCAAGGCGAAAAAGAAGTCACCGCGACCCCGGCCGTAGCAGACACGGCTACCGACGGCACGGTCGCCGCAAACGCGACAGTCGTAAAAAGTAAGCTCGCGGACGAATACATTGCGACGGCCCTAACTCCCATCCACAGCCGAGGAAGTGGAGGTCGTCCTAGACGCCTCCCGTACGCGATCTGGCAAGAAGCTGTCGGCCTCCAAGCAGAAGGCCAAGAAACAGAGAGCCAAGAAGAATGCCGCGGTGACCAGTAAGCTGACCACGACAATCGGCGAAGGACGACCCACCACCACAGCTACCGACTCCGCCGTCCCTGCGTCTGCGAGCACCGAACAGCTACCGACCGTGACGCGTATCGTGAGCGACGCGCGCAAGCGCCGCAGGGTCTCCACGGACGTCGACGGCACTAACGCACAGACTGGAACCGTCCCCCGTATCCAGGACACGGATGCCCCCTTTTCGCCGGCAGGAGATCCCACCCAACGCGACCAAGTCATCATCATACCGTCGTCCCCGAGTGCTGACGGCGACCCACCGGCCTTGACGACCTCCGACGTAGAAATGGGAGACGAGGTCATGGTAGAAGGAGATGAGATAGAGCTTTCCACTGCACAAATCCGTATGTTTTATGGACTACACCCCTCCTACACCGCTGACGAGTACCGCCCTCAACCCGTTTTCGCTGCGCCCGGATGCCTGCAAGAAGCTGGCGCCCCTGGAACTCCGCCGCGTATCCGCCACGCACCAGGGACTTCCTACATGGTTAGACGGTACCTAGAGGAGCAGGCGCCCCAAGAGGATAACCCGTACGTCTTGGTCAGAGATGATTTCGCTGGAGGCAACATCGAGGGTAAGCCTGCACGAGAATCTCGCAACTTGTCTAAAACCCTGATGGCTCTCTTACCTCCAAAAGACTTGTACACCCCCGCTGCCTCTCCGCGCTTTGCGAACAAAGTCCCGGTTGGCATGCCGCTCTCCCGAGAGCCGTCTGCAGCGATCGACATCGGCGCCGGCGCGAACGCTTTCGCCGTCAGGCAAGGCGATCCCCATCAGGAAAACATGCAAAGTGTCTGACGGCCCTATCAGGGACTTCAGAACCCTTCAGAATTATCCAGATTGCATCAGTTGCTCTCAAATGGTCAGTCCTCATGACCTCGCAAAATTCGTGGAATTCGTCGTCAGACAGACATTTTCAGATGCATCAGAACTTACCAGCTTTCCAGACATGCTCAGTTCATCCAGTACAACAGGGATCAGTCGTCAGATAATGCATGTATTCAAGTCGAGACAGCTGGTAGTTGAATACCTAAAGATATCATATACTACCAGTCTCGCTGTTGAGAGAGAAGTACTCGGCCGAATGTATGTGTATATGGAGTGCACGTGTACAGTGTATTATACTAGCCTGAGATACAAGTCAATCGAACCCACCCTCCTCACGATCAGACTGTACCGGGCTGCTTGGATCGCAGACGGTAACATTGTCTTCATCGTCGACAACACGGGGTGCCCATCCAGCTTCCATGTACTTATCAGCCATGTCGACGTACTTGTTGTACCGACCACGGGCAATGATCTTGTCGACGGATTTGTCACGCCAGAAAGTCGTAATGCCACGGTAGTTATCGCCGCTGAATGCGATTGTTCCGTCGAAAGTCCCGTGCTGCCACGCGGTAAATACGTACTGCACCTGGGAGTTATTTCCGTCAGTGATAACTCGAGACTGATACTTGGGCGACTCGTACTGCAGTAGCCGCGAGTGAAAGAGCGCCGCGCGCGGGCTGGGTATCAGAAGCCTTGAGACGACTTCCCTGGATTGCGGCGAGATGTGTTGCAAATGATTTGAGGACGTATGCTGACTGGAGTGCTCCTGTAGCACATTCGTCCTAAATTTGCAGTCAGACACGAGCCTGAACAAGACACCTAAAATGACTCACTTCTGCACTGTACTCGGCCCAGAATGCCGCGCCGTTGCTTTTCACCAGTGCCGCCTTGACGAACACTCTTATGTTCGCCTTGGACCCCCGTTTCTTCAGCTCGTTCCTGATGAATGTCTTGATGCGAGAAGCGAAACGCGCGCGCCAGTCATTGACCGCCTGCCGCGCCTGTGCATTTCATTAGCAGGCGAGCTCTCACTGGCAGTGATGATCTGTACTCACAATCCGATAGATCTTATCGGAGCCGTCGACCTCGTAGCCCTCTTCTGGCCAGAACGCACTCACCAAACGTTGCACAAGATCGACGAGGAGGTTGTCCTCAGCCGAATTCTTGCCGCTTGCGTACGCCCATGGCATCTCGGCTTGACCAATGAGTTGGATCATCGTTGGAACGAAGGTCGACTTCCAGTGAGGTTGTATGAAGGCAGGTAAGGAGTGAACTGAGAGTGACTTCTCGTCGGAAACGGTGGTCTTCGCGCGGCGCTTCTTCTTTGCACTGGTCGAATGCTTGCCCTCGTTGTCGGAGCCCTCCTTCTTCACTACCTCAGCCATTTGAGTGTATCCGCGTTTCGCAGACCCGAAGCTGACAGTGACATCGTCATCGACGAAGCCGCCAATGAGCTCTAGCGAGCGTTGACGTTTCATGCGCTTCGTGTTGCCCGCACGATGAGCAGCCGCGGAGTGCTTCGGAGTCGGTGTACTTGCCTGGCTAGAGGTCGCAGGCGATGCGGACTTTGCAGCCACGGAGAGTGCCTTCGCCTGAGGCCGAGATGGGGTTTGCGAACGATGCGCGACAGCAGCTTTCCAGTCCGCCTTTAGACCCATGTTGAGGTCGAGTGAGATAGTAGACGGCGGCGCCGAGCTCTTCTTAGAAACGTTACTGGATTTCTTCGTGCTTGTGGATTGCTTCGTGGTCGTAGACTTCTTCGTACTCGTAGACTTCTTCGTAGCTGTCGGTTTGGATGTCGGTTTCGACGCTGTCGAGCGAGGTTGAGAACGCGGCTTTGTGGAGGTCGAGGCCAAGGCGCTTGAGGTACACATTAGATCGCCATCTGATCTTATCTCACGGAAGTGTGCGTACCGTGCGTCCGACTCCGAGCTCACTGTCGTCTGCGCGCGCTGCATCCTTTTCGCACTCTCCACCTCGGCCAAGAGCTCCTGCCTGAGGTCCTTCTGCGACTTCCTCTTCTTGGTCCCGGACTGATCCTCGAACGATATCACATCAGCTCTCTGCCAGGCGCGTGTCTCCAAGACAAGACAGGATTGTCACGACTCACCTTCTTCGACGTGCTCCTCGCCTTCCTCTTTGTACCAATCTCAACCTCATCATCCGACTCGGAGTCGTCGCCGTCGGAGCTCTGCAACTGCTCCGAGCTCTCGTCATCACCACGCTCACTCGATTCCTTATAGTCCTCGTCGTCTTCGTCTTTGAAGTCCGACTGAACTTGCATGTCTATGTCTCCGTCTTCACGGACCAAGGCTGGTGAGTGCTCCCATTCAACGCACCAAGCCAGGACACTCACCTGCATCTTCGTTCGCAACTGCACCTTCGTCCCCAACTGCATCTTCGCTCGCAACTGCATCTTCATCCCCAACTGCATCTTCGTCCGCAACCACGTCTTCATCTGCAACTGCATCTTCGTCCGCAATCGCACCCTCATCCGCAATCGCACCCTCGTCCGCAATAGCGCCTTCGTCCGCAATAACATCTTCGTCCACGATGGTGTCTTCGCCCGGGACTTCTTCGTCCGGGATAACGTCTTCGTCCGCCATAGCGTCTTCGTCTGCAAGCAGCTTCTCCATGGTCTCTTCCTCTCGACGCGCCTTCAACTTCCCTTCGAATACGGCCTGCTTCTGCGTTCGATTCTCTAAGGCAAGCTCCCTCTCCTCGAGTTCGGCTTCCCTGCGTGCAAGATCAGCCGCCCTCTCGAGCTGTTTCTTGCGTGCGTCCTCCTTCACCTCTGCATGTGTGCGTTTATTCACTCCTGCAGAACGACCAGGATGTAGATCATTAGTCGAACGGGTGCTATACCGGCGTGTCGGTGCGCCGGGATCGTCAGACCCAACCTGGGCTAGTGACTCGGCCCCGGAAGTCGATGTCACCATGGGAGTACCAGCAGGTTCGCGACCTTTACCCTTTCGTGACCGAGATGCCCGGGCTGACGCAGAGGCAGACATCACTGGAGCCCTGACAGCTGACGAGTCTGAGTCCTCGTCCGGGACTCCGAGTCAGACTGTCGACACGGCCAGCCGAGGTGCAGAGGATGATTAGGAAAGGGCGAGCGGTGGAAGAGCTGGATCCGGGTTTGGAGGTGCCACGAGTGTGAGACGGACGTGTGTAAGCGAAGGCACATGCACCAAGGTATTTGCTCCCTATTTGCTCCTGTTACTTACGCTCGCGGCTTTGTACGAGACACTACTATCTCCGTCCCAATCTACTACGTCGACCGTTCACCATCATGCCCCAACCTCACGCTTACTGGTGCACCATCTGCAATAAATCCTTTCCAATTCGACGTGGACTTGCAACCCACAATTCTCGTCAACATCGACAGCCAAGACTTGCAGCACCAGAGTCTGTGTTTCGCTATCATCCTCACCTCAATGGTAAGCATCTTAGACCGGCTCTGGTGCATCTCGCTGACTTCAACAGGTCGACCTTGCGATGAAGACGGCAACTTCCTCCCTCGCGACGCGCCTCCTCCTGCACGAGAACCAGTCGAGTCTTATGCGCCGTTCGAGAATCGAGCCGCGTTCCAGTTCGCGGAGCTCATCTTCAAGAAGATGCAGGTATCGCAGGGTAACATTAACGATCTGATGAGGACTCTAGCAGCATACAACGTTAGTCAAGGCGGTGGCGACCCACCTTTCGAGAATGCGGAGCAGCTGTATGAAACGATAGATGCCATCCAGTATGGAGACGCGCCGTGGGAATCATTTTCTGTTCGCTATACAGGGCCAATTGACGAGGATTCACCTTCTTGGAAGCAGGCCGACTACACCGTCCACTGTCGCAATGCCCGCCAGGTCGCCCACAACATGATCGGAAATGAAGAGTACGACGGCAAGTTCGACACAACGCCGTACCAGGAGTATCCGGTACCTGGTGTTACGCGCTTCTCGAACGTCATGTCGGGGCAGTATGCGTACAAACAGGCGGTACGAGATGCATTTCTGCACGCCTTTCGTCAACTCAGTTGCAACTTCACAGACGAAGGTCGCACAAGATCCGCAAACGCATGGGTCAATGCTCGCGCCGGTCCTCCTCGGTGCCGATAAGACGACCGTCTCAGTCGGTACTGGTCATCAAGAATTCCATCCCTTGTATATGTCAATAGGCAACGTGCATAATCCTGTGCGTCGCGCCCACAAGGACGCGATCATCCCGATCGCATTCTTAGCAATACCCAAAGGTATGTCATCGAGATCAGTCTTCCTTTGGCACAGCAGACACACAAAGATACTAATTATACTGCAGCTTCGCGAGGCGAGGTCGAGACTGACGAGTTCCGGACGTTCCGAAAACAGATATATCATGCATCTATTGCACACATCCTGTCGCCTCTGCGGCCCTACATGGAGACACACGACGTCGTCCGCTGCCCTGACGGATACTTCCGACGGGTCATATACGAGCTGGGCCCCTTCATTGCTGACTATCCGGAGCAGGTTGTTCTGTCGGGCATAGTCAGTGGGTGGTGCCCGAAGTACGCATATTTCCGTCTCTCGTAAACTAATACTGACTATTCCACAGATGTCTTCTACCTCCCGAAGATCTACACAGAGGCGGGGGAGATCCTCGCTGCCCGGAACATACCGAACATTTGGTCGACAACTTCGACACCGAGACTATCTGGCGTACATGGGGCTTCGACGTCAATGTGATCGTACGTTCGCATCACGGAACATCTCTGTGGCTGCGCTGACCACTTGCTGTTATGTTTCAAGCCTTTCACAATGCATTTCCCCCGCGCCGACATACACGAACTTCTCACGCCCGACCTTCTGCATCAACTGATCAAAGGTACATTCAAAGATCACCTCGTCGAGTGGGTCGAGAAGTACCTCTATCTTGTCCATCCGAAGGCGGAAGCTCGCCGCCGAATGGACGACATAGATCGCAGGTGAATTATCGAGTTTGGCGTCAGCTTCGATATTTGCTGATTTCTTGTCAAAGGATAGCTGCTGCACCGCAATTTCCTGGTCTTCGACGGTTTCCGGAAGGGAGGAACTTCAAACAGTGGACGGGAAATGATTCAAAGGCTCTAATGAAGGTGAGAGTGGTGTCCTCGTGCTCGAATCACCGGTTGAGCACAGATTTATCTATTGATCCGATTACAGGTTTACCTCCCCGCAATTGAAGGGCACGTGCCAGACGGCATTGTGCGCTGCTTCGCTGCATACCTCGACTTTTGCTACTTGGCGCGGCGATCCGCTCATGATGACAACTCACTCGCAGCGATGGAGGATGCGCTCAATCGTTTCCACAGACACCGCGCTATCTTCGAGGACATTGGTATCCGCCCTGAGGGCTTTTCACTCCCACGACAACACGCTCTCGTTCATTACATCACGGGCATACGACTTTTCGGTTCTCCAAACGGCGTCTGCTCGTCGATCACGGAATCGAAACATATCCGCGCCGTCAAGAAGCCGTGGCGAAGCTCCAGCAAGAACAATCCATTACCGGAAATGCTCCGAACTAATCAGCGCCTTGACAAGCTCGGCGCGGCGCGCTCATACTTCACGAGTCACCATATGCTCGACGGTGATGTTCTTGCGGACGCGATGAACCTCGGACCACTCATCACCGAAGCCGAGTTCGTTGAGGACGAGCTTGACGAGCCAGAAGACGAGGTCATGGACGAGAATGGGTACGATGGACAGGGCGTGGTCGAGCTTCCGAAGCGACAAGGTAAGTCGATGTCTGTTATCTTAGTCTCCTGCCCATTGTGTCCGAGTTGCTAAGTGGTTCCATAGTCTACATGCGTCGTGTCGAGGACCTCGCTGCCGAGTATGATCAGCCTGATCTCCTAGCCCTGATCCGCCGATTCCTTTTTGACCAGCTCATCGCGACCGACGAGATCGACTCAAGCATGGTCGATGTAGCGCAATGCCCGCAGTTTCTCGGCAAGATTGCTGTCTACCGGTCAGCGATCGCGAAGTTCTATGCACCGAGCGAACTCTCCGGCGATGGTGGCATGCATCGGGAGCTCATACGTGCCAACCCGTCTTGGCGCGGCCATCCTCGCTTCGATACAGTCCTCATCAATGTTGACGAAGCCGAACCTGGCATGAAAGGAATGGAGGTTGGTCGGGTTATGGGCCTTATGATACTAACTCATGCTGGTATCCCCTACCCGTGTGCTTTGATAGATTGGTTCGAGAAAGTATCCGACGATCCTAGCGAAGTGACCAGTATGTATGTTGTTCAGCCCGAGGTAGATGCAGATGATGGACAACAAGCCTCGTCTATAGTACATCTAGATAGTATTTTTCGTGCAGTTCATCTTACTCCGGTGTATGGGGACACCTCGATGCCCATCAATTTTCATTTTTCGTATACTCTTGATGCTTTCGAGTCCTTCTATGTTAATAAGTACGGAGATTATCATTCCCATGAATGTATCTACTAGCCTTTCTACTGCTGCGTCTGATGCTATCTGAGCCTGTCTGAACCTGTCTGGTATAGTGAGACATCTGCAGCTTTGAAGTCTACTGACTTGGCTGGCTGTCTGAGTGACCACTGTCAGGTACTCAGAGCTTCAGAAATTGCGCAAATTGCTGATGCCTTGACGCCTGGCCTCTTTGCCTCGCACGTACGTGACGCTCGTCCTGCTACTCTGTGGACAAACAAAGGAAAAGCCCCGCAAAGGAACGCGACGGCCGGGCCCTCATTCTCCTCGCACGCTAACGCGGACGCCTCGGACTTGCGCCCTGCTCCTCCTTTCACACCTCCTCCGTTCTTCCATGCGAACCCAGTCCACTACGCCCCAGGGCCTTTCCCGAATTTCCCGTATGATCCCGTAGCCCATCCTGCTCCCATCATTCCTTCCCCCCCTGTCGTAGTAAATTTCCCGGCTGGACCCCTCCCTGCTGGTCCCGCCTTCCCTGCTGGCCCAGTGTTCCCTGCTGGACCTATCGCACCGCTCGCACAACCGCTAGGACTCGCTGGCCTAGGAGGCATGACGCGCGCCCCACCTGGCGGCTGGCTGCAAATACAGGGTGACGACTTTTTCTGGCCGTACGCCAACGTAGAACAGACTCAACTCGGGTTATGGACCACGGACCCCAACCCTTGTCTCCTCCTCCACTTCGTAGGCCGCAGCGCGCACGACCCGGGCAACCACGGACGTATCACTACGGCGCATAACATCGTTAGGAGGATCTACGATGTCCGGGACGCTTTGATCACCCAGCCTATCGCCGCGAACCCTCAACCTGGTCCAAACGCCTTCCCCACCTTCTATCGCATGACCAACATCACCGTCCAACAGCGCGACGCGATCATCCGTGACCAATGGATCTCCACGACAGAAGGTACGATCGGCGCTATCCCCGCTCCCCATGAACCACCTACGTTTATGGGTGGATGGCGTAACCCAGGTCGTCTAGCGTACGACGAACTAGGTGTTGCAGACGGTTTCCGCGACGGTTTCGAATCGGAGGACCTCGCGCCGACAGTCACGTCCCTCATAGAGGCCGACATCCGATCCGGCGGTCGATGGCGCCACATGTCGGTCGACGACGCTCGCAGGCTGATCCTGCAGTCCATACGCGTCAGACTGATCAACCTACGCGACGGCCAGGACGAGGAGCCCGTAGCGCTCTTGTACGTCGAATCCCCAACCGCGGACGCAGCTGCATGGATCGATTTCCGCGAGCGTGTGCGCGAGCACGTCTATGGTGGAGCGTACGCTGGCCCGCCGGAACTTATCAGGGAATGCTTCTGGTGTATGTACTGTCACTCCTCCGACCACCCTACTGCAGCTTGCACCCTACCCTCTACGCCCGGATGGCACGGACCATCTATAGCCGAAGCACGTGAAGCACTTACCAGAGACCGACGAGGGCAAGGTAATGAGCAACGAGGACGCGGCGGTCGCGGCGGTCGCGGTGGCCGAGGAGGACGAGGTGGCAGAGCTCATGGAAACGGTTCTCGCGGACGTCGCACAGGTAGCGGAATCAACTAGTCGGACTCTACTGTATACGCGACTGTCTTTGATGTATTCACTCTCCTCGTACCAAGTATTCACATCCCGGAAATACATCTTTATACGTGCTTCTACTTGAAAATGATGACGACTCAAAGAGACCTTGTAAACATGGACTACAAACACATCAAATTACACACCTTCGATGAAAACAGTATCTCGAGTACCTTCCAACCTATACTAACCAACACGGCTCCCGGGAAAGGAGCCCACACTTACTGACCGCTAACGCGGGACAGGAAAGCCCCAGACCCGGATTCCGTTTGACCCACAGCAAGCGGGCACTCCTAGACTTGCCCCGAGCTGAGAAGCTGAAGCCGCATGACGCAGCATGTCTCCTGAGGGAACCAGGAGCGTTCCCCGCACCCGGCGGATCGTTGTAGCTGGAATGTGTAACGCAACGGTGAATATAACAACAGCATTAACAAACCATACGGACGATTTTACGACTTTTGGCACATCTCTCCTCCATCAGAGAGAGATCAACGCGTCCCCCGCCCACGCTGGCCTCGATGAACAGGTGGAGGAACCCGGAGACGGGGTTGCCCCTCCGCTCTTGCCAGTACAGCCGGCAGCTGGACAACGACCTAGGGGCAGGAACCATCGGGCGATGCCCGCCGCACCGGCAACGCAAGCACCAACACACTTTTCCGGAAGGAAAACAAGAGCAGGCATCCATGTATGCTCGCTAAATATAAATGGCAGAGGAGGCTCGACAGGACCCACGAACCGAAAATGGAATGAAATAAACCAACTTCTCCACGAGACAAAGATCGGTATCCTGTGCTTACAAGAAACACATCTGAACGAAACCGATATAAAGAACATTGAAAACGTCTACGGCAGGAGGATTACGATATACAACTCCAGCTCAACCTCTGCAACGGCCTCCCAAGGCGTAGCTACCATACTGAACCGTGAACTGGTCGATGTTGCAAACATCCAGTTCACAGAAATCATCCCAGGAAGAGCCACAACCCTTCGACTGCACTGGCATGGCGACAGATACCTCACGATTATGAATGTCTACGCCCCAAACCCGCCGAACGAAAATGCGGCCTTCTGGCAGAACCTGCTACATATGGCAGAAAACAGGAAGTATAAAAAGCCCGACATACTCATGGGCGATTTTAACATAGTAGAGGAAGCGATTGATAGAATCCCGGCAAAAGAGGATCTACCCACTGCAGTCCAAAACCTGAGAGACTTACTCCGAATGTTCAACCTCTTCGATGGATGGCGGCTATCTGAGCCCACAAAGACTGATTTCTCCTTCCCGCAACGGGGTTGTTCATCCCGCTCCCGAATAGATAGGATCTACACGACAAATGAGCTAATCATGTCATCCCAGACATGGTCGATATCGACGACGGGAGTGCACACTGACCATCGCCTAGTCAGCGCCCTACTAAGCACCAAATCCGCACCATACATCGGACCGGGAAGATGGACTCTCCCACCACACCTCCTAGAAGACGATCAATTCAAAAAGGCCGCCGCCGAACTCGGCAAAGCCACGATAAACAAGATGAAGTCAATTACGCACCTCGAAAGCGGGAGCTTCCCGAGCCCTGTGCAACTCCTTCACTCACGCTTCAAAAGCGACGTACGTGAACTGGCACGTAAAACTCTTAGAAAGAAAGTTCCTAAACTGAAAGCTGAGATTGATAGACTCTCAAGACACCTGAAAGACATAGAAAGTCGCCCCGACTACCCTACCTCCACGACGTTGCAAGGGGACTCCGCAATCATCCATAACAGGGTTCTGGAACTGGAGCGCAAACGACACGCTACAGCCAAACTCACCACCACCGCGAGGTATGTGTTGAACGCGGAACGCGTCACCAAGTACTGGTCTGCAATAAATCGAGAAAGAAAACCCCGGGACCTGATGTATCAACTAAAACTGCCCAACTCGTCACCACCATCCTACGAGTGTAGGTCGGACAAAATGGCCGAACTTACCAGAACATACCATGAAAACATACAACATCTAGATGCCCCCGGCTTCTCCATAGACGAACAGAACGCCGCCATGAACTCTGTATTGAGCGGCTTACACTCGGATCTAGATTACGCTGACCTCGAGACCCTAGCGTCCGACATAGATAAGAGTGAAATAAAGGACGCACTACGCCGCGCCCAAACGGGTCGGGCAACGGGATTGGACGGCATCCCGTACGAGTTTTGGTCTGCATATGCACAGGACAACAGCCAAGATAACTTCAACAGCCTTGAATACCTACACATAGTCTTTGGCGACATCGAATCATATGGCGTAGACCCCGCACACGGATTCGCCGATGGATGGCTCTGCCCACTCTACAAAAAGGGAGACCGCCGCGATATCAGTAATTACAGGCCAATCACCCTCCTAAACACGGACTACAAGATATATACAAGAGTGCTTACCTCAAGACTAGGACAAGTCGCCGGGAAACTAATCCATACGGACCAAGCCGGTTTTGTCCCGGGAAGACACATTGAGGATCAAACCCAGACGTGCCGTGTCCTAGTGGACTACGCGGAGACACTGGAAGAAGACGGGGTAATAATTGCCCTAGACCAAGAAAAAGCGTATGATAAGATAGATCACACATACCTGTGGCGTACTCTAGAAATGTACCACATACCGAAACACTTCATCGCAAAAATCAGAGCACTGTACAAACATGCCCGCACTAAAGCCATCGTGAATGGTGAAACGAGTACTTTCTTCGACGTAATACGAGGTGTCCGACAAGGTGACCCCCTCTCTTGCCTACTATTTGATATGGCTATTGAACCATTAGCAACGGTGTTACGCCGCTCCACTCTCCGAGGCTTCCAGGTCCCCGGTGCGGCAGACAGACTAATAACCAAACTCTTCGCGGATGACACCTCTACTTTCTTGTCAAAACATGACAGCTGGGCAGAACTTTGGAGAATCCTCACATTATGGTGCACCGCGTCGCGAGCAAAATTCAACGACAACAAAACTGAAATAGTACCAGTGGGATCAGAACAGTACAGGACCGCTGTAATCAACACGAGATCCCTAGACCCGAGTAAGCAAACGGCAGACACAATCCCACAACACATACGAATCGCATGCGACGGTGAACCGATCCGGGTCCTAGGAGCATGGATCGGGAACCATGTCGATCAGGTCGGAGTATGGACACCAGCCCTAACGAAGATCAGTCTTTTTCTCGAGAGATGGGGAAAATGCCGACCGTCCATGATTGGAAAACGACATATTGTCCAGATGGGACCCGGAGGTATATCACAATACCTAACGATGGTACAGGGGATGCCCAAGTCAGTGGAGACTGAACTGATAAAAATGATACGGACCTTTATGTGGGGAACAGATGGTGTCCCCCCAATAAATCTTGCAACTTTACACCGTCCCATTAAAGAAGGAGGCCTAGGATTACTAGATATCGAGTCTAGAAATGAAGCGATAAACTTGATGTGGCTAAAACGCTACCTTAACATAGGCACCTCACGGCCAACGTGGGCCTTCGCAGTGGATGCCATAATAAACAAACACGTCACAAAGGATGCCGGCGAAATCCGTCCTAAAGCGCAAATGAACACGTTCTTACAGAGCTGGAAACCTGCGCAAAATGGAAAAACAGGCTTACCACAGTACATTAAAAACATGATGTCGACTGCAAAGAAATACGGGGCTCACTTGGAGGCGCTCAAGGTCGACGCATCACTCAAAAAACAGCTCCCAACGTGGTATCACATAGGAGCGACAAAAGCTCTCCGCAGGCTAAACAATACGCAAGTCAGTGACTGTCTACGAAATAACCACGATGTCATTACAGTCGCTGACCTTTTACAATCCACACGCTCGACCTGTGGATCGAGTCCGCCACAACAATCACCAACCTGGGGCGGGGACCTCTGCGAATGCCCTGAATGCCAGAACGTAAGAAGAGCGGGTTGCAAACATCCAGCTAAATGCAAACTCGCCGCTTTCCGTATCTTGAGCGAGATCCTACCTAAATGGAACCCACTCTCCACCGAATACACAGACGGCCTAACCCTGACAACACGCCGTTCCCTTAAAAACGACAACGCGCATCCAGAAGAAGGCGACATGCTCACCTTCAACCCCTCTGTCACTGCCAGAGGTGGTATCGCTGAAACATTCCGCGTCTTCGTCAAGCCGAGCACAATACATGACCCACCAACGAATAGAAGACGCCCCGGCCTAGCAGTTCAAGATGAGCTAACCCGCGTCTATATCTTCCGGACCACCCCCGAAGCAAGAACGGATGGGGATGAACCTACAAACTCAGGACAATGCGTCGCCTTCTTCAACGAGAGTGACCAAAGAAACGCCTCCATCCCTAAGTCTCTAGAACCTGACTCACAACTAGCGGTCCCTGAAGAACTAACTGCAGCACTATACGCAGTGTCGTGCACACCATTGGACGCGCCCCTAGTGATTTTAAGCACCAATAGCATATTACTAAACATGATGATTAGGAAGACACCAACCTGGGAAGACCACGGGTGGATTGACGTCGATTTAGCAAACCATATAAGAGCGCTACTAAATCGGCTCAGACAGAGATGCGCAAGCACATCTCTGGGGCAAATAGTGCGACAAGACGAATGGAAGAAGCTAGAGAAGGCGCGACAGACTGTCTCCTCCATCAGACCACACACCCTTCCGGCGGCCCCCCCTCCATCGCTGACCCGGGACCCTCGTTTCGACATAACCGGAGCGAAGCTCCAGTCCCTGACGCAAGCTTTAGCATATAAAGGCATCATAGCATGGAAGAACACACCTCAGCGACGAACTACAACAAGAAACCTCGAGTCAATCCGCAGGACGGCACAAAATGATAGTACAGACCCTATATCAAATAAATCGATTTGGCTAAGCACGAGGCACAAGGATTTCAGCCGATCCTTCGCAACTTTCCTATGGAAATACGTCCATGGAGCCCTAAAATGTGGCGACTACTGGAAGAAAATCCCCGAATTTGAACACAGAGCTCTGTGCAGTTTCTGCGGAGAAACTGAGTCGATCGCACATATATTTTTTGAATGTCCAGCAACAGGCCAAGAGGAAATTTGGCAACTCACCGCCTCTCTATGGCGAAGAAAAGGACTGCCTTGGCCGTCGCTAACAGAGCACGACATACACGCCCTAGGACTCAAATCTTGGCTGAACGAAAAGTGTAAGATTCGGACAGGTGCAACACGGCTATGGAGAATATTGATATCCGAAGCAACACACCTAATATGGAAATTACGTTGCGACAGGGTCATCGGCCATTCTGAAGACGATGGATGGGAACACAGTGTCCCACATGTACGGAGCAGATTCGTGTACACAATAAACAGCCGCTTGGCCACGGATGTCGAAGCTACACGAAAGCGCTACGGGAATAAGGCGTTAAAACCGGAACTGGTCCTAGCCACGTGGAATGCTATCATATATGACGAATTAGCACTTCCAGAGGACTGGACGAAGTGCAAAGGTTTTTTAGTGGGTATTTCACCGATCTTACGCGTTGATTTCGATCCCGGTTGAAGAGTCCCACACTGGTTTTTTGAAAAACCGTGCGTAAAATGCATTTTTTCCCATGGATTGCACTTACGGGTAATACCGTACGCAAGCTGGATGACCGAGGCGGACCAATTGTCCGCTGTCGGCATCTGTAAAAGCCCTCCAAAAAAAAAAAAAAAAAAAAAAAAAAAAAACCCATCTAAGTTAGACGTCTTCAAATAAGGACTACATTGCACGTAGGCATAGAGGCACGTCAGTACTGGGGAGCATCAGGACAAATACACTCGACTATCAATGTCCGTTGGTATGTACCGTCCCATTTGTACGTTGCAATGTTGAATCAAGTAGGAGAGGGAATAAAGAGAGGGAGATCGTGTCGCGAATCAACAACTCATTATGATGACAGTAGGCTGCGGAAGAATAGATGGAGGAGCAAGCACCTGTGCCGAACCTTCTGGTGATACAAGATGGCGGTCGACAAACAACAGACAGACAATCAGAGGGTGGATATCATATGTTGGAGGAGAAACGGATAAAGAGCAAGGAATGAGGCCGACTTTCCTTATTGCGTCGGGCTTGTTTCTTCTATATTCAAAACAGACGTAGATTCTTCTTACACCTTGCGCGACGGTCCTGCGAGCGACGACTCAGAACCCGGGCATGCCGCCGAGCCCCATGAAGTTTTGGCCGACGGGCATGGGACCGGGGCTCGGGTGGCGCATGACGCTCTGCATCGCGTGCGGGTTGGCGAACGGCGTGCCCATGTTGCCCATGTTCATCTGCATCTGCATCAGCGGGTTCATTCCCATCATGTTCATGTTCATCTGCTGCATGCCCATGTGCTGCGCGGCATATGCGAGGGCCGTCGGGTTCGACATCGCGAATGGATGCTGGCCTGACGCGCCCGGAGAAGAGAGTTGAGACTGATTGTTCGACTGCATCGGCATGGGAGTTTGGGTCGGCGATGAGGCGCCCTGAGGAAGGGGAAGGCCTTGAGGTTGACCCGGTACTTGGACAGTCTGCACCTTCTGCATGGCTTGTAGCTATGTGTGTGACACACGATCAGCCGCGAATAATATCGGTCCGCTAAATTCGTACCTCATAGAAGGCGAAGTCTTGCAGCAGCGACGTCCTTGCCGGATGGGTGTGGAAGATACGCAGCATCTCCTGACCTGCATCAGGGAGTAGTTCTTGCGTGTCACGCGAGTTCGTGACTGGCTTGCGCTCCTGCGTATTGCTGAACATGGTAAACCGTGAGTACATGATACGCTGACAACATGGGAAAAACGTACTTGAGGCGGATATGCCTCAGGTTGGCGTTGGGAATGTCGCGGACGTAAATCCAGCGTACTTTGAAAACGCCCTTCCACTTATCCGACGCCCATACAGTGCTGCTCCGGGTATAATCCACCTGCAGAACCATTAACAAACCCACACAGCGAGACGAGGCGCGGGAGACGCAACGTACCGGCGTCAGCATTTCCGCCATGCCACAGAAGTGACCACTAGAATCCAGCACGTGAGTGCCTTCCGAGATTCAGAATTCAAGGTACTGGGAGAAAACCTTACCTGGCGTTCACGCTGAAGAACAGGTAAATCGGACCCCTGCCGGCGTTCTCCTTGAAGGCCTTATCAAGCCTCTTGTTTCCGGGATCGGTGGAGCTCCAGATCTCGTACTTGAGCGACTTGTGGACGTCATCCTCCGTGTACGACTTGATGACGAAGAACCGCGCCTAACCAAGAGACCGATCAGTACGCTCATTCGTGGCTGACAATCAACCGGATACCTACGAATAGAGGCCGCGTATCGAAGTCGACAGGGTTATAGCCCTTCGTCGCAATCAAAGTTGGGACATCAATGGGAGAGCTGATAAATCCTTCCAACGAGCCGCTCTGCGAACCACTCTGGGACTGAGCACGGCTGTGTGCTTGGCTGCCGAGGGGAGGGGACGCGACACCCATTCTTGGTGCCTGCCCTTGGTTTAGATACTGCGAGGGGATAGGGGGTACATTCGGGATGTCGCCAGCCCCGTTCTTCTGGTACAAATGGTGGAGACTCGGGTTTGACGCTCGTCCGCCCAAGATGCGCTCCTTCTGGTCCCAGGTAGTGGTGCCAGATGCAGTGAAGGCGCGCTCCCGACCAGTGTGTTGCTGTTGTTGCTGTTGATGCTGCTGCTGCTGTTGCTGTTGCTGCTGTTGCTGTTGCTGTTGTTGCTGCTGCTCCTCACGCTCGCGAATTTGACTTTGGGAAGTCGCCGGCAAGCCATGGCCGATGGGCGGTACATATGCCGAGGCACTCTGTACCGAGCTCTGCGCATTTCGGGCATCCAAGTCCGTGACAAGCTGGAGCTTGCGGGAAGAACTGTTGTTGTTCCCGCGCATGCCAGGAGCTTGCATGGGCGGGGGGTGAGCAGGATTGAAGCGAGGAGGGTGCACGGACTGACCCTGCTGGAAACCCCCAGAAGCACCGCCATACTGCTGGTTGATCTCCAGCGTAGAGAGCGCACGCGAGACATCGTCGATTCCGATGTTGCCGCCGTTGCTTCCAAACTGCGACGTGCCGCTGCCGCCCATCTGAGTACGCCATTCGTTGCCGGGGGTGTTCCACGGCGACGATCTGCCGATTGGACTGCCAGGATACTGACCTTGGCCTTGCTGTGTGGGCAGTCCAAAGTACGAGTCCTCCTCCGCATGCGTGCTGTCGTTGTCGTATTCCTCTTCAGCATTGGTCGGGCTAGGACTCTGTGCACCGGAATACGGCACTCCCTTTGTCTGGCTTTTCATAGGGCCCGCCTGAATTGTGCCAGCACGTTTGAGGCCAGAGGTCAGGTGTCGGACACCAGGAGTAGTATTGGGATAGTTGAGACTTTGGTGCCGACGCACGCCGGCAGAACCTCCCGGAGGTGGTGACGGGCCATGAGAAATCCCTGTACCGAAGTGCGGAGACAGAGGCGAAGCTGCCGATGACGACGAGTCCGCAACATGTCCATGGTCAGAAGTCGAGAGGCCGTGCTAGGTCAGTGCGAAATGTGAAGATACAGCATGATGCGGAGGACTATGACGCGTACCTCTTCTTCGTCACGCAAGCCGCGCATCTCCCTCTCCCATTCTTCTTCCTCGCCCTCATGTCCAGCAATAGCAGACAGACTGTTGAGGGTCCTGGGTGTATGCGAGCCTGGCTGACTACCGTAAGGGACTTGTGAACGAACGGATAGTGGTTAATCGGCAGAACACCAGTGATAGTGCTCGGGTTGACTCACCACGATGATATCGCGTCGGCAAGGACGCCTGTCTGTGCAGCGACGACTTCTCGCCTACCGCCCCAATGCCGCCAGACCATTCCTGATCCACGAGCTCGTCATCGTTCCAGATTTGCTCAGTCGGGTCCTCGAGCTCGGAGATTGCGATTTTGGAGGTCGTTCTGTTAGAACGCGATGAAGCCGAGATTGTATGGTGGCGACGAACACCACTACCGCCAGAGGCCGCGTTCGACGCAGGGACTGGCGGGGGAGATATGGTATGGCCCGACTGCGAAGACATCCGCTCGGATTGAAGAGAAGAAAATCCAAGGCGAGGGGATGATGGAAAGATGCAGCATGCGCGCGAGGTGGTCGCGGTCCGGAGGGTCTCCGGGGTGTCCGTGGTCTCCCTGCCATTTGAGGCAGGCAGTGATTTGGGTGCAAGTCGTTGCGAGACTGAGACTTGGTCGCGTCTGCCCAGTACTCGCGTCTGTCCAGTCCGCTGGTAGATGCTGCCCCTCCTTTGACGCGTCGCCCGGCCAGTTCGCAGCAACACGCACCATGTCTCTTCTCTCCGAGCGGCAGAAGGAGGAGCTGTAGGTCGCATTTCTCGAGTCTGGGTACCCGAGACTCATCGATGCAGTCACAAGGCAATACTCGAATACCTCCACTCGAACAACTTCACGGATGCTTTCAACTCACTCAAGACGGATGCTGGAATTGAGTACACGCCCGACCCCAAGGCCAAGTATGCTGGATTGCTGGAGAAGAAATGGACGAGCGTGATACGGCTGCAGAAGAAGGTACGTCGTTAGGCAATACTCACGTTAACACCAGCCATATGCCCTCGTCCAGATTATGGACCTAGAGAACCGGAATGCGTCCCTGCAAGAAGAGCTTTCTGTTTCACCCGCTAAACGTGCGCAGATGCAGACAGACTGGGTCCCGCGAGCGCCGGCAGCGTATGTTCTGACGGGACACCGAGGACAAGTTCTGAAAGTAGCGTTCCACCCGACGTTCAACCTCATTGCGTCTGCAAGCGATGATGGTACAGTCAAGATCTGGGACTGGGAAACTGGAGAATTCGAACGGACGCTGAAAGGCCATACGCGTTCCGTAAATGACGTTGACTTTGACAGTAAGGGCAATCTACTAGGTATGACTGATGCATCTTATCCCCGCGTGCATTGGGTATAGCTGAGGCCGCCTGGGTATACCAGTGAGCTGCTCGTCCGACCTGTTGATCAAGATTTGGGATGCACAGAATGAATGGCGCAATACGAAGACATTCTCCGGGCACGACCATACAGTATCTTCGGTGCGCTTCATGCCTGGCGACCAGCAAATCGTTAGTGCAAGCCGAGATAAGACCATCAGGATATTTGATGTTGCTTCGACGTGAGTTGCATTTATGTCCTGCGCGATTCCACATTGACATGCGTGTAGGCACCTCGTCCGCACGATCACCGGACATTCTGAGTGGGTTCGGTGTGTACAGCCGTCAGACGATGGTCGATTAATCGCCAGTGCTTCGAATGATCAGGTATGTAGCACGCAGACCGGCTGCAATTGGATGCTGAGCACCTCGATTCGGTAGACTGCGCGGCTAAGCGATCCCTTGAATGGAGAGACGAAGTTGGAGTTCCGTGGGCACGAACATGTCGTCGAGGTCGTCGCTTTTGCTCCTATTGCTGCATATACTGCAATTCGCGAGCTTGGAGGCCTTCCAGTAAGTCAGCTGTAGCAATCTCCGTTGTGTGATCTACGACAGGTGGTATCCAGGATAAAGACAGAGTGAAGAGATCGGGAGCATACCTTGCGACTGGTTCAAGAGACAAGACCGTCAAGATATGGGACTGCCAAGGCGGTCAACTCATTCGTAGTCTGGTAGGTTGCGCAGCCCTCAGTGCGATAAGTCCTTACACGCGTTGCTAGGCGGGACATGATAACTGGGTGCGGGCACTCGTCTTCCATCCCACGGGCAAGTTCCTCCTCTCCGCATCTGACGACTACACAATTCGCGTCTGGGAGCTCACGACTGGCCGTTGCATGAAGACCGTGCAGGCGCATGGACATTTCGTGACGTGCCTCGCATGGGGTCCCCAATCCAAACCACAAGGCGCCGATGGCACGAAGGCCAACGGCGTCGCCGCTGATGCCAAGGCGGAACCTGAGAAGTTTGTCAACGTCGTCGCATCGGGGAGCGTCGACCAGACGATCAAGATTTGGCTGCCATGATAAATTATCGCTTGGATGGAGGCTGCTGCTCGGAATTGGAGCTGGAGGGCGTGTGCCGGTGGTCCAGTACTCCGTCGTGTATGAGTTCGTCAACGCTAGACATACGGTAATCGTTTCTGTTCTTTCTGCATTTCTCGCTCTGGTGAGTGTCATCTGGATACGCCAGCGAGTGTCGACAGCTGACGTGTTCCGATCTCCTACTAGGTGCACTAGCATTGTACACTGTCGTTTCCGCTGCTCGCATGGTATATCTCCGTAAATCATTGCACTCATTAACTGATATCCTCGCAATCATTGTTGCTTCGGAAGTCGATACTTTGTGGCCTCTCAGTGATACCCAGCAACAAGTTTCTCATTCTAACCCGGACTTGTCGTATAGGACACTCTGCAGGTTGTCAACAAGGAACGCCTGCAATCGCCTTTGGGTTACTGATTGGGTCTAAGCAGATTATTGGCGCGGGCCTACATTGTCTAATTGTCACTGGCTCATTGTGTCCAGCAGCACACAGGCAGCTTCCGTCCCGATCTGAGATTGCGAACGTACTGACCAGTACTGACCGCCCACAGGCAAGCTGCACGCCTTCGAATGGCCAGTTACCCTTATGGTCGCATACCATAGACCGCAGGCACTCCCTTGGTACACTCGCAACGGTAAGCTGCATTTGACAAGCGTGGACCAACAACCTAATGCAGAATACAAGGACAGCCTCTTGCGCTTTGACCGGGCGCTTGTTTCGGCCACCCTCGGTGTGGCGTAGCATAAAGGGCATCGCGTTCAACCGTCTCTCAACCAACAGCCTCTTTCTCTGCTACCTCCATCGACTCCCTAACCACCACCCAGCCTTTACACACACTATGCCCGCCGTACGAACGAAGGAGTCCCGCGCCGACGCGTCGAAGCATCGCACTGTTGGCAGTGGCACGAGAACATCGAAAGGCTCAAAGAGAGCCACTCGCTCGGGCTCGCCAACTCCAGTAAGTACAGCACTTGTGAACGATGGAAGTCTCACCGGCGGGTGCTTAGGGTGCTCAAATCCCGAACACGGATGTCCCGGAGGCCGACCGCCGGGAAACCGGACAACAATCGAAGGTCGCTCATGGCAAGAAGCCGTACGCGCCACCTGCTAAGAGGTCAAACCGTCCGACGCCCCTCAAGCTCAGCGACTTGGAGTATGTCAGCGCATTGGGTACGTTGCGTGTCTTGTCGGTCAAATACTACTGTGTGGCACTTACACGACGTCAGGCGACGGTAGCTACGGCTTCGTGTCCTTGGTTCGCGTTATGCGAACCAAATCAAGGGATCACCGACTGGATCGCCCTGGGACGCAATTCGCGTTGAAAGCTCTCGACAAGTCAACCCAAAGACACACGGAGATGGTGAGGAGCCCGTTCGGAGATATGTGTGGCATTCAGCTCATATGGAATATAGAACACTTGGGTTAGGCCTTACGAGACGGATGAGGCCCATCTGAATGCTATCAGGGAGATGCTGGAGGCTAGAAACACCGAGCGCGAAAGGCTCGCAGAACTTCCGTGGCATCCGTTCGTGTCCGGACTCGTCGACACCTTCCAGGACGAGCGGCATTGTTATCTCCTGACGGAACTCGCACCGTGCGAGTCATTCGACGCATTCCTGAAGGACCACGGCCCGTTACGCTGTGAAGACGCGCGGTTCTACTTCGCCAACCTCACACTTGCGCTGGAGTTTCTGCATACGCACAAAATTGTGCATCGCGACCTGAAGCCGCACAACATCCTTATGGGCGCAGACGGGTACCTCAAACTAGCCGACTTTGGTGTCGCGGGTCTCATGTCCAACCAGTTCAACTGGAAACACGTTGGGACGTTCCCGTACACCGCGCCGGAGTTCTTCGACAACGATCCGAGGAAGCTACCCGAGGGTATCCGTATGGCGGGCGACTGGTGGTCGGCGGCGGTCATCCTATACCAGATGGTCACCAATGCTTGGGTAAGTCTTTCGTTTCAGCATCGCGAGATTGAAAGAGACCTGAACGCGCGTGTGTCAGCCATTTCCTGGGACCGAGGGAACTGAGGTCTACAACATGATCATGCAGGCGACTCCCGGTGACTTCTGGGAAGTCAAGGGGATCAAAGGATTATACATCGATCCCGACCTAAAAGACCTCGTCAGCAGGATGCTCACGCGGGACATGGCGAAACGGTACGGCATGATCGCCGTGAGGGGTCGCAAGGAGAAGCTGGCTAGGAATGACGAAGTCCGGAATCATCCCTTCATGCACGGGAAGGTTGACTGGACGGGGATGCGCCATAGATTAACTGTGGTAAGCCACACGGGTCGCTTCTCATCTCGTGCGTGGACTGACCATACTCCCAGCCTCCGTATGTCCCGGACCACCTTCCAGACCTTTCAAAGCGGGTTCAGACGCGGACTGTACCACGGAACCAAAGACTCCCTGGTCTAGGAGGGGAGGTCGCAATGCCAGTAGAACTGGAATATGACCAGTTAAACAAGTCCTGAACGGCCTTGTTCTACTCACGCGTACCTTCTTCTCCGTGTCTTCGTCAGATGGGCTTGCGCGTCCCGCTATTCGTCATCGTCGCCCGCACTCTTCACTCACCACCACTACCATACGACCCACAGCTTGCCCCCCCATCCCCTTGTTGTCACCGTTGTAGCCGTAGATTTTCCTTGGCCCTCTTGTCCTCATACCCGTCTCGTTCTCATACCCGTCTCGTCGCAATATACCATTCTGCTTTTGGTGCACCCCTAATTCTCGTTGATATCGTCTGGTTCAACCCCTCACGCGACTTGGTTTCAGATAGGTGCGCAGATTTCGCGACGTGTTCGGACGAGCTCAGCCACAAATGGCCAAGGCCACTCACAAGCCTTCTCGATCGTCAGGTCGCATTTAATTAGTGCCCACGGCACGATCGCTGGATTGCCCAATCACATCGACAGGCGTCGGTTGTGCTAGGTATGTTCTGCCGTTCATCGGTCTGTGATGTTCAATCGTTACGATCGCATGGAACCCCACTTCCTCAGATACATTACCGCGTTGCTATCACCAGTCGCGCGCGCAAGAGAAGCAGAAGCACTCCTGGTGAGAGAGGGGTCAATGCGCAATGATGTATGCCCACTCACTTGCAATGAGTGATTGCCGACACCGACGAAGACAATAAAGAGGCCCGATGGTCAATGAACTTCACCTTCGCGGAGCTGTAAACCCGCACGCTCGTTTCTCAGGTCAATTGTCTTTAGTGTCGGGCCCAGTCCAGGAAGGGTCGTTGCCGACGGTAGCTCCTGAACGAGACACGAGGAACGACATCGACGCCCCCACGACATCGCGGACACTGCGCACATCACGCCGTCCCGGCTGCTAGAAGCATCGCGGCGATGAAACCTCGTTCGAACGGTCCAAAGGTATTCCACATTGATATCTCCGAGATACAGTATCAACACACACAGACACACAGGATAATCGTACATTGGACTATCAATTCGTTGTAACGAGCGACGGAGTTCTGTTCTGGCTGCGGATACACCTACGACGTACTTACCTACAGTTGCTATATACTATCGCACACGCGTGGCGAGCGTACAGTGCGCTCCACTACGAGTTCGGGGCGCCGCATTACAGGGCGAGAAAGAGCCTGGCGCCTCGGTGCTCGGTATTACGGGTACTATTAGGTGGCGGGTGTAACGGGTGGCGGGGCACCCGGGAAGGAGGGTGGATGGTGGGTGTCGGTGCAAAGGAGGGTCTAGGTTCATCAACTGGTCGTCTGTCAGCGGGGGGTTGTCGCCGCGAAAGCAATGGCAACGGTAGGAGAAGGTCCTTTGGACAGGTATGAGCTTGGGGAATCGCTGAAGGGGATGACTCGCGGACTTACGAAGGAGGTCGGCGCGCCTTGTGGATAGCAATTAAGATAAGGTTACGTGAACGCGCACGGTTCGAGGCGAAGGACGAAGGGGTGTTCGAATCGTAGCAGGGATGCTCAGGTCAAGGCGGCAGGTTGAATGGGAGGGAGAATAGGCGGAGCAGAAGACACGGAGCATCACTTGCTGCGGCAGCGAACAGTGCGCAGCTGCTCCTTGACCGAAGAGTCCAGTCCAGGCTCGGACCACGAGTGCACCAAGCGGCGCGGGGTGCGCTTGCGGCCGCGCGACGGCTCAGACGACTTCATGATCTCGTCGTCGTCCACCTTGCGGTACTCGTCATCGGGATCGAACACGGTCGGAGACGTAGCGGCAGACATGTCTTTTGGCGGGAGCTCGAGCTCCTGATCTGTGTCGCTGTCGTACTCGCGCTCGCGACGCAACTCCATGTCCATGTCCGAATCCGAGTCCGAGTCCGAGGTGTACTCTGCGGGCCCGTGTCCATGCCGCCAGCGCCCGTACCATCGCCCGAGGAAGACCTTGATCTCGGCGCCCATGCCGAGGTACTCAACATTGCGGGCGAGACCCTCCCAGCTGAGGGTGCCATCGTCCAGCGCATCCTCGATGAAGGACGTGGAGCCGAAGTAGACGTAGTGCACCAGCAGGCGGAAAGACGCTGGGTCAGGCACGGGCAGGTAGACAGAGGGGTGCGTAGGCGGCGACGGAAGCATACACGGGAACTGTGGGACTGGAAGACTGAAAGAGGACCGGCGCGAGTCGGGGAAGCCAGGAGTCGGGGCCTCGGGATGAAGCGGCAGCGTAGAACTGGCGGTGGTCTCCATCAGCTCGAACGGCGACGCGCCACTCATGAATCCCCTGATCAGTGTCGAGTGCGCGCAGAGGTAATCCATGTGCAGCTGGAGGTTATTGTGTCAGTTGTTGAGCTAATATGGAGAGAGGATATCATACCTGCATGACCATGCGAGGGCCGGGACGAGGAGCGGGCTCCTCCTCTTGTTGTCGCGAGAAGCCTAGAAGGCTAGGCACGTCACCGGGTGGCGAACAAGTATCCTCGGCAGCATCTCCGAGAGTTGGAGAGCAGGCTGCTTGATTTGTAGTATCCAAGGGAACGACTGAAAGACAATGGGATGAGACATTGCTCTGACCCGAGATACAATGCCCAGGGGCACAAACCGATAGTGCAGTCAGAAGTCTCGGGCTTTCTCCAGTAATGAGGAGCGAGTTGGCGAAGTTGTGCAATAATATACTCAATAGGAACGTCAGCGAGGGCTGGTGGAGGGAATGGACGAGGGACGAAGGCGACACCGTGCATTGTCCGTCGGGGCGCTCGGATGGAAGGGTCGGAAGGAGGCCCTACGCTTGAGCGAGGCCTCGGTGACGTGAAGCTGGAGAGATAGCCCTGTCTTTTAGCATCAAGGCAAAGGTTATTGTCTACCGGAGACATAGGCCAATTGTGTTCGGATAGCTCGTGCACGCAGGGTGCGCGCTGGGCCTGATATGGAGCACCTGATATGGCAGCCTCGCACCGGAGGTGAGGCTGTCGAGACAATTGACTGAAAGGGGACGTCGTGTGGTCTGTGGCACTGCGGTGGGTGCAAGAATGGTAAGTAGGGGCGAAGACGAGCGCCGACTCGTCCGAGCGCGGGGGAAGGGAAGGAGAGAGCAGCAGCGACTTGCGCAGACAATAAAGGGGTAGATATATGACTACGGGAGGAGGGTGTAGCAACAGGCCCGCGGACGGAAGAGGCAACAGACCACCAGGCGACGAGGGCGGGCAATCTGAACGTCTGAGCATCTTCTGCTGCCGCGGGCGTCGAATACGAGCCGACAGACGCGCGGGGAAAGGGGAGGTCGCGGTTCCCTGCCGACGCCCTTATTGTTCTCCTCCTCCTCGTCTGAGATCCTCGTGCCTTCCGCGTGCTTCCCCCTCGATCCCATCGCACGTCCCCATCTCCTGATCCCCTCTTTACGTCAACCACTCTCGCTCAACCTTTTCCCGCACCTCCCCGCCGTGCACAATAAGCCACCCGCCACTCGGTCTTTACTGCTTTCCGCCCGAGCACCGTCTCAGAAGCACCCGTCAATGTGCTCGGGTGGTTCTACAATCCACTCTAGACTCTCCACGCTAAACATTTCATTTCCAGTTCATTTTCCCTGCATCTCGATTTCATCGGCTATCCAAGAGGCCCGCATTGCGCTCGGCTTCGCCCTGACTCGGTGTGACAGCCGTGCTCGGTCGTGACTACTTACACCTAGTTCGCCTAGTGGTGGGCCTGTCCAGGCAGTTGGGGCCCGGCATCCTACGTACGAGAGGCTTCCGAAGCGGATCCGAGTGATTGGGTCGAACAAGACAATCCATCGTTCCTCCAGCGATCTGCCAGACCTCAGAGGAGCAATCTCGCTGACCCGTGCTCCGAAGGTTCCTCTGACGGAACTTAGGTCGGGAGATTTACCGTCGCTTGGCGGAGGCGCTAAGCGGCTTGCCTCGTATGGCAAGTCCGTCCGATCAGTGTTCCGATCAATCTCAGATTCGGCACGCCACCGGCATGCGGGTGGCGTGGGCGCTTAATGCGTCGCGGTTGCCTGTTTGGGGTATGCGCGGGCGCGATACAGCGCTGGGCGCGACGTTGCACATCGCGGTGCGTGCCAGAGCGTGCCTGCGGCGCCGTGAGTTACAGAAATACCATCCATCGCTAATGGTGGCGGGGCTTGGCGGGGTGGGTGGCTGAAGTGTCGTCGTGGCGAGTGGCTATTGCCTAATCGGGAAGGGCGAGGGTGTGATGTGTCGGGGTGCGGGATACACATCGCGCAGAGCGCGCCTGCGGCGCCGTGAGTGCAAGGAACATTGCAGGCGCCGGCTGATGGGCCTAGCGCGTTCCTGGGACCTGTGGTAGTTGGCCAAGGTTGCCTAATCGGGTGGGGGCACACGAGGCACGTCGGTGGCGGCGATACATCGCTCGAGAGCGCGCCGCAGGCGCGCCGTGACGTACAAAGCGCGCACTGATGTGGCTGATGGACGTGGGTTGTCCTGAGGCACTCCAGGCCCACGAGTGATCAGTAGAACTATTAGAAACGACCGCATACAGGCATTGCAAGTTGTGACTAATCCCGATTACACGGGCGCTACACCCCGCCAGCATTGCCTAATGAGGATGACGCGGGCGCAACACGTCGGTGGGCATGTCGCTGCACATCGTGTTGAGCGCGCCCGCGGCGCCGTCGGTGCGTGAGAACGTCGCGATCATAGGGCGGTGTGTGTGATACACCGCCTGGCCGCTCTAGGCTTGCGATTGGCCCGCAGAAGTGGCCGTGTACGCGATAAATTTGATGGGCAGCTGCCGTGCCATCATTAAGTGCATTAAGTGAGAAAAGTAGTGCACCTACTTTATTTTACTCGGCCCGAGTAAATCCAGTAAATTTCCTGGTCCGTGCGTGGGTACCCAGTAAATCTGAGGGCACGCGCGCGGCCTGGGCGAGCTCGCGAAGCAACATTTGATCGCCGGTGATGTAAACGCGCCTTGGCGCTTCCACACCCGGCTGTCTTGCCCGTTTCGGTCGTTTTTGGCGGCCTGCGGCGCGAGGATAGACAGTGGACACCTTCGGACGGGGTGTGCACTGCTCTGTCTGCGTTCATGCGTGCTGCGAACTTCGAGCATGGCAGGCACCTAGTTTTATTGGTACTAACTCTAGATATATTCTTTTGAGCCCGACGGACTGAGGTACCAGGTCGGAGCGCGCCCAAGAGACTACCTTGCACGGAAAAATACGTACATCGCGCCGTGCAGAGCACAGCGCGTCGCGTTCGGTGCACGAAGGGTGGGCGGGACGGGATCTGGGATCGCTGACTCAGCGTCGGGCAGCCGAGATTGCACGATCCCAATTTACGGGGATTTACCGGCACGTGTAAAGTTCGGCAATAAAAAGAACTTAGGTCGGGAGATTTACCGTCGCTTGGCGGAGGCGCTAAGCGGCTTGCCTCGTATGGCAAGTCCGTCCGATCAGTGTTCCGATCAATCTCAGATTCGGCACGCCACCGGCATGCGGGTGGCGTGGGCGCTTAATGCGTCGCGGTTGCCTGTTTGGGGTATGCGCGGGCGCGATACAGCGCTGGGCGCGACGTTGCACATCGCGGTGCGTGCCAGAGCGTGCCTGCGGCGCCGTGAGTTACAGAAATACCATCCATCGCTAATGGTGGCGGGGCTTGGCGGGGTGGGTGGCTGAAGTGTCGTCGTGGCGAGTGGCTATTGCCTAATCGGGAAGGGCGAGGGTGTGATGTGTCGGGGTGCGGGATACACATCGCGCAGAGCGCGCCTGCGGCGCCGTGAGTGCAAGGAACATTGCAGGCGCCGGCTGATGGGCCTAGCGCGTTCCTGGGACCTGTGGTAGTTGGCCAAGGTTGCCTAATCGGGTGGGGGCACACGAGGCACGTCGGTGGCGGCGATACATCGCTCGAGAGCGCGCCGCAGGCGCGCCGTGACGTACAAAGCGCGCACTGATGTGGCTGATGGACGTGGGTTGTCCTGAGGCACTCCAGGCCCACGAGTGATCAGTAGAACTATTAGAAACGACCGCATACAGGCATTGCAAGTTGTGACTAATCCCGATTACACGGGCGCTACACCCCGCCAGCATTGCCTAATGAGGATGACGCGGGCGCAACACGTCGGTGGGCATGTCGCTGCACATCGTGTTGAGCGCGCCCGCGGCGCCGTCGGTGCGTGAGAACGTCGCGATCATAGGGCGGTGTGTGTGATACACCGCCTGGCCGCTCTAGGCTTGCGATTGGCCCGCAGAAGTGGCCGTGTACGCGATAAATTTGATGGGCAGCTGCCGTGCCATCATTAAGTGCATTAAGTGAGAAAAGTAGTGCACCTACTTTATTTTACTCGGCCCGAGTAAATCCAGTAAATTTCCTGGTCCGTGCGTGGGTACCCAGTAAATCTGAGGGCACGCGCGCGGCCTGGGCGAGCTCGCGAAGCAACATTTGATCGCCGGTGATGTAAACGCGCCTTGGCGCTTCCACACCCGGCTGTCTTGCCCGTTTCGGTCGTTTTTGGCGGCCTGCGGCGCGAGGATAGACAGTGGACACCTTCGGACGGGGTGTGCACTGCTCTGTCTGCGTTCATGCGTGCTGCGAACTTCGAGCATGGCAGGCACCTAGTTTTATTGGTACTAACTCTAGATATATTCTTTTGAGCCCGACGGACTGAGGTACCAGGTCGGAGCGCGCCCAAGAGACTACCTTGCACGGAAAAATACGTACATCGCGCCGTGCAGAGCACAGCGCGTCGCGTTCGGTGCACGAAGGGTGGGCGGGACGGGATCTGGGATCGCTGACTCAGCGTCGGGCAGCCGAGATTGCACGATCCCAATTTACGGGGATTTACCGGCACGTGTAAAGTTCGGCAATAAAAAGAACCTAATACAACGACCCTTCCGTCGTCCGTATTGCGGTGCGTCGTCACTACTCACGGTGCCCGTGAGTAAGCTTCGATGCCCGGAAGGGCAGGTCTGGTCATTCCGCGAAGCGGCGGCGTATGGCCATATCAGCGCCGGCCTTTGAGCCTGCCTGAAAGGCACTGCGAGCACACAGTCTGATGGCACGCGTTCTAGCTGCGTTGCAAATAGAGCGTATCCGAACGCGGGGGCCTGCGCGGCTGGAATCAGACCGCACTGACGTACAAGTCCGAGAGACTGTGAAGGGTAACAGGCAGAAGACCGCTTTCCATATCGGCATTGCGAGACCCTCGAGAAGGTAGGCCCGGGGGTGGTTGCCATACGGAGGCACGAGCCTCTACCGTGCCTCAAACCGTGAGTAAGTGACGCATTGCGCCGGTGAGGAGCAGTCCCTGTGGGAGGCAGCCCACGGACGGAGTCCTGATCTTCCGGGCGTGGGATGCATTCCCGGGATTATGAGGATCATCATTCAGTGCGGCGCAGAAGGACAGAATAACCCACTGCGTAGTTGTGGACATCCGGCGTTGGTTAGCATGCGGTCTATGACAAGGATTGATGGGAGACATCCAAGACTGTCAATATTGACTATCACACATACACTCGCAAACTCGGACAATGCAACTGGAATAGGGATCCTCAAGGTGAGAGCCTTGGGCTTGAGCGCGAGTGATTGCGTAGCATTCCGTCGTACGGAGGCCGACGCCGATTGCAGCAAGGCAGCAACCTGACGTACGGACTCACCCAGAAAAGACTGCACTGGGAGAAAATGCGGACATCCAGATGACAACGTTCAACACGAGGCGATGTGCAGAGCCAACGTACCACCGTACCACCGTTCCCTGTCTATCCCTGCTTCGAATGTGTCCAGAACTGTCAGTGTGTGGTCCTGGCAAGTCAGTGAAGTTCCAGTCTTCCGATCTCGCAGAGAACGTGCGCATCGCGACATTGACTCAAGAGTTCACGCTCGCACGAAACGCCAATGCCTAGGAGCGTCGAAGCGATCCTCGCTGGCCAGGTTTGCATAGAGCTACGCGCCAAGGTGGTCCAAGGGTGATCTGCGTGGCTCGTTCGATGGCTACGCCGCAGTGTCTCCGAACGTCCACCGGCATATTCGTCAGCTGTCATCGCTGTTCTCCGTCTTCACCGAAAAGGCAGGTCACAGCGCAGCGTGTTCTACGCGTAATTGCGGCGGAATTAAAGGCGCCACAGGACGACGTCGCGCACATCGCATCAACAACCCTATCGGAGGCGAGGCGGATATGACAGCCGCACAACACGAGGCGAGACGAGGACGCTTGTAGGTCCACCGTGATGAACGACTCAGCAATAGCGGGCCCGGAAACACGAGTTGTGATATTGGCGATATAGACTGGAACGTGTAGAGTGTCGTAAGCAGCATCACTAGGCTACACGAAGGATAGACTCACTCGCTGTGTCCCGTGTAGCGCGTATCTGAGTAATCTTACGTGATGGCGCACCCTGGATGTGGATGAACAAGGGATGGCGGCGCGTAGGACAGTGCGATTTCGAGCTTGGTAGGGCCTGCGGAACGGACCTCAATCTCTCCGAATAGGTATCGCAATGCACATAGTTAAGGCACTACTCAACTGCCGCGGACGGCGGATGTAAACCTTGGATATGCTGGAGCTACTGTATTCCGGCTCACACCATTCCAGGAGTCAAACCACCGACATATCAGCCTATACGCGGCGCACCAGTCCCTAGGTATGGAGCTAACCTCGGATTCACGGCACTCAGGATAAGTCCAAGATATCGGCAGATTGCTCCAAGCTGCGATCGGGGAATGCAGGATTCGTTCATTTGCGCCGGGTCGCTGGAGGCGTCTGCAAGAGCATTCACGCAATGACAGGTGAAACGCGACATGCTATTGTCAGCGGATATGGGGAGAATCCTGGCCACGAGGACCATGTGCAGACCTATGAAAAATTCCGCGGACCACTGGTCAGAAACATGCTAGACGCGGCAGGCGGATGCGGGACTCGGAGAATGACGTTGCCGTTGTGTACCCTTGCTTTGCAGGTTGTGAGCTCAAGCGAGAGGTTAGTTGCACCGTGGCACATTTCTCGGAAATGGAAGCATCAACATTAACGTGGAGAAACGCCAGAGTGTCGGCGGTGAGTTGTGGATAAAGCGGGTACGTACCTGGCATAGGCTCCGACGCGTAGGATACGAGACCGTCACGCCGGTATGTACCACTGGGTCTGCTTGGCACGTAAGTTACCGGACGCCTCATCTGCAGAAAATGCACCACGTACCGACCACATCCGGAAAGCCTGCTCGCAACGGACCACACACCGCTTCATTGGAACCTGTCGTGAATCTGTAACTGGCCAATGGGACTCGACTGTGCAATGTATGCCATTGCTACCGCGCAGCTATGGCGAGAACTCGAATTTTCTGGTGCTTCGGCTGCGCATTTTCACAGACAGTGTGCCAGACAAGGTTGGGGATGATACAGTGCACGTCTGGAATGTATTGGTAGTGTTGTGATGGTTGACTGCAAGCTCTTAACTTACAGTAGACGTGACCCGGCCAGAGCAGTGATCGCCGATCGATCCAAACCGATCCGATGAGCCAATCCAAACCGAGCCAATCTCAGCACCCTCGATGCGGGGAGACTCGAGACGCTACTTACACTCAACCTGGAACACCATCATCGCCTACGCCGTCGTGCAGTAGTAGACTGACAGTCCTCTGCAACAATGGCACCTCCAGAACTCTACGCTCTCGGGCAGAATCAGACCGCTATCAGCTCTCATTCATTCAACGCTAACCGCACTGGTATGTCATCCATACCGCGCCGCAAAGTCGTCTAATTGGTGCGTGAAGAGGTTGCTGTGAGCTTGAACTCGAAGGATGCGACCATCTGGGAGCGTCGTGGACATGAGTGGAAGCAGACCGAGACATTGTCCGAGGTGCGCACACAATGGCAGCTATCGAGAGAGATAACTCATCCTTCGTGCTGCGTGTACCACCATGTAGCACGACAAGCTGATCACCTCCATCGACTGGGCTCCGAACTCCAACCGTATCGTCACCTGTGCCCAGGACAGGAACGCATATGTGTGGCAGCAGAGCCCCGACGCGCAGACCGGTCGTATGGTCTGGAAGCCGACACTGGTCCTTCTGCGCATCAACAGGGCTGCGACCCACGTCCGCTGGAGCCCGAACGAGGACAAGTTCGCTGTTGCGAGCGGTGCTCGGTGAGTGGATCTGCCGGTCATGCTCAGCGTAATCTGACGAGCAGGGTGAAGCGCAATCGCGATTTGCTCCTTCGACCCGGAGGGCGATTGGTGGGTCTCGAGGCTTCTGAAGAAGCCGATTAGGTCTACTGTGCTCTCTGTCGATTGGCATCCGAACAACGTCCTGCTTGCTGCCGGCAGCGCCGACATGAAGGCCCGCGTGTTCTCCGCTTATATCAAGGACGTCGACAAGAGGTGCGTGGCGCGAAAGCTTATGGCAGTGCTTCAATCTGATGCGGCTGCAGGCCTGCCCCCACTGTTTGGGGCGAGAAGCTCCCGTTCAACACCATCTGCGGCGAGTATACCAGTCACGCGGGCGGTTGGGTGCACGCGGTCGGGTTCTCTCCTTCCGGCGACGTGCTTGCCTTCGCTAGTAAGGTTTATGTGACACGGTAGATTTATGCAAGCTCATTCCTATCGTCTAGGTCACGACAGCTCCATCAGCATCGTCTATCCGGGCGTCAGCAGTGTCCCGACCTACACTATCAAGCTCTCCAGTCTACCGCTCCTCACCCTGACGTGGACGACCGAGAATTCCATCATCGCTGCCGGACACGACTGCCAGCCGCTCGTGTTCTCTGGGAGCGAAGGCGGATGGGAGCTCGCCGGCACGCTCGACGACCCGAACGCGAACAAGACCGGCGGAGGCGCCGCACGCGCAGGCCTCGGCAACGCGTCCCCCGTGGGCCGCCTGAACAGCGCCGCGTTCAACACGTTCCGTAACGCGGACTCGCGCGGTATCTCGAACGTGCCCGGCTCGCCAGGCCCCTCGACGGAGTCGGAGCTGTTCACGGTGCACCAGAACACGATCACGAACCTGCGTGCGTACGAGGGTGGCCCGGGGAACGTCGCGCGGGTCAGCACGTCGGGTGTGGATGGGAAGCTGGTCGTGTGGGACGTCGCGCAGGTGTCGCCGATTGGCGTGACGGGCATCGTGGGCCGTCTGGCGGGTTTGCAGGTGAGGTAGGATATCGGCACAAGGTGTACGAATAATGACAATCGCGTTGAATCGATGATCTGAGCCGTGCAGTGGACCTTGACTGTCCTCGGCTTGTCCATGGTCGTATCGGCCAACAATGGCGATTCCTCCTTGGCTGTTCAACGTTCACTCATCACAGTACATATCAGGTCGCCCTGATAATCCGACTCGCATGTCGCCAGCAGCCGGAATCTTCTGCGGAATCGAGCTCAAGGTTCATCGGACAATCAACACATTGAGAGCGTGGACCGCTCCGGCAGTGGCATTATATGACCGTTGACTAGCAGAAGAAAGCACTGGTTCTGCTGAATGGCCTGTGTGGCGTGTGACAACCTTACATGCGTGGTTTCGGCCCTCCTAGCAAATACCCTCCCAGTAAATACCAAGGTGTCGCGTTCAACTGTGTGCTAAAAAGTCAGTGAGTCGCATGTTTCAGAGTTTTCTGGATCGCTAACAACATGCTGCCACAGGGTGCTTGGTTACTAGGCGAAGGCAGCTGCATCGGTCGGGATTTCCACCTTTCTCAAGAGCCATCTCACTGCTATTACATGTGCGGTGAATGTATCACTTGTGCGTCTACACTTCCAGCCAACTGGCGAAGCCTGATTGCGAAGAATGCGCTCAAAATGGATAAGCCCCCGCAATGTGCCACTTTACGCCAACACCCCGAAGTCAGGACACGCATCTTCATGTCACCGCCGACTTCTCGGTACTAACATATACTCCCTCAATGTACTGAGAGTGAGTCAAACCTTCCATCTACATGCGTTGTGGCCGTGCAGGCTCATGTTGAAATGCCGCCTATCAGATCATCATCCTGACTGCTTCGCAAGATTGCGATGGCCGTAGTCGGATGTGTCGAGTCAGGTCGTACGAGGCAGGCTATAGACCTCGGTATGTGACCAACTACTGTTGAGATATTCTACATTCAAGCCGATGCTGATTACTTGGGCCAGTGAGGCGGATATCAAGTGTTCAGCATGGCCGGAAAACAATGGTTCAGGTTTTCTTCGAACCTAGATGAGCCGTAAAGAGCTATAGAACCTCATCCCAAACCGCAGTGGGCTGAAAAAGGCTTCTTGATGCATGTGCCATGGATGTGCTTCTGGCTCCGCGCTTCAAGTCTCTGTCACGAATATCGAGCCAGCCACCTGGTGATTCTCAGAGTCAGAACGTCTGGACAGGCGATAGTCTCCTCGAAGTCTCCCCTCGTGCCTCATCAGCGTACCCGTACCGCAGTGCTACGCTCAAGATATAAGGGACCTTCGGGCGCCGTTAAGCTGCCTCAGCCTGTCCACCACGTAGTCGGGTTGGTCTCTTGCTTGTCTTCTTGTAGGTAAGCCTCCTCGTATTGAAACAGTCTGCATGTTGATCGTCAACATCGAGTAGTCAGGATATCGATCGAAGCAACACAAACACGGTTATACTTACTGAGTGACATACAAGTGAGTCGTGAATGAAGATGCCTTGTTAAATTAACTGAATAGTGATGATACAGACATGTCATCTCAATCATCGTTATACATCGCACTGTATCACATCGGACTAGGGCGTTATCATTGGGCTCTCATCGTCACACCCTACAACACATCCGTCAACAATGGCCCCATCTTCCAGATCACTAATCAAGACGCCAGTCAGCCCCACAGCGTCGGTGAATGGAGGACACTGCACAAGATGTCGACAGACTTGCTCAAGAGTTCGACCTTCGTCGGCTGCGTCAGACTTCCTGACTGCAATGTCCCAGCACAGAGTATCGTTTCTTGGGTGAAAGAGCAGGAGCCGCAACAGGGGGACACTCCACTGCCCGCGGGGCAAGTATGGTCGTGCTCACAGTGGGTCGTTCGTGTTCTCCAACGCTTCATGGACGCGGGAATGTACAGAATCGATCTCAGGCATTTCCGTGCCAAAATTCTGATCTATGCCAACAATCTACTAGAGATGCGCAGAAGGAATACGAATGTAGTCCACATCGTTAGCTATGCCTAGTAGTCTCGGCTCGTATATAACCTGTATAACAACAGTGGCTGCCCGAATGTACATTAGTCACCGCGGAACCTGATGTATTGACATTCGCGTTGTGACTCGTCCGCGAGAGCTATGATCCATGGGCATCGAGTACCTACTGACGCGTGTACAATATACATGGAAGTCACAACAACGGCGTGAAAAGTTCGCGTACGAGCATTTTGTCAGCTCGAGCTTCGGTGTCATATACGGGAACCATACTACGGAGCCACGGTACCCACTCGCTGTCGTCATCATCCCATGACAACGTAGCGAAGATGGATTTGCAGTACTCCCAATGTGCGGGAAACCATCCGGCACATTCCCAGTCGATGATCGCCGTGATCCTGGACCCATCGACCATAACATTGCGAGGATCAAGGTCGCCATGAGTAAAGGCGATTGGGTGCTTCATCGAGTGCGCCTCTGCGACTAATTGAGGCATACCCTCAGCGGGAAGGTATTCGATATCCCAGCCAAACCGCGCGCCGCGATGGTTGAAGTCATCCTCGTTTTCGAACGGCCCTGTGTGATCAAAACGCAAACGAAAGTCTCGCACCGGGCCGCCTAACAGCGAACAGACGCGAGGACCGTACGGCGTGGGCAGAGACCGTAGTTCGCGAAAGTAGTTGGCTAGCTGCGCGCACACCTCTTCTTTGTATTGTGGTGTGGCATCATACCAGAGATTAGACAGTGGGACGCCTCGAGCACGATCCATGATGATGTAGCGAGCCCCACGCCACACGAAGTGGGTCCAGATGCGAGGGACCGGTATGTTCGTATGAGCAGCGACCATCCGCATTGTTTCGACTTCTATCATGTCTGTTCCATGGCCACGCTTGACCCAAAGCCATCGACCTAGGGTAACTATGCGATTGTGTCAATGCTCTCAGTTACTGGACTGGTCGCAGTGGTGCTACTCACGGCGCCACATGAAGTCGCGCACTCTGCGGAAAGTGGTGGGGAGAGTGACTTTCAGCCGGTTCAAGGTATGTCGTAGCCATCGTTCAAGGGGTGATCGCCTCGCTTCGCGATCACGCCACGCGTAGAGAATGTCGTCTCCTCTGGGTTTTCCAGGGACACTTCTTGGGTCGCGAAACCCGTACGGATTGGGCGGCGCGACCGTGACGACGGCCGGTGCGCTGGCGGCGGGGTCATCGGCATTCATTTTCTGTCTCGAACAAGGAAGAAGGCAGCAGAGATCTACACAGTTCAACGTGTCAAGTTTAACTGTCTTGGCTTAGAGTCTTAGACAGCGAAAGAGCAAGTTGCGACCATTTGCGGCAGGAGGACAAACAAACCACGATAAGTTGCAGTTCTCACGCCCGAGTTTGCGACCGGGCAGAAACCTTGCAGTCGCAAGGTAATCTGTGATAAAGACATTACCAAAAAGCTCTCTAATAAAGTCTGTCACCCATTCACCTACCTACGCGACCGATTACGTGGGACAGTACTAGAGAAATGGTTCCCAGAGTCCTTGCACGAGCATCTTGTCGGCTTCAGCTTCCAAGTCATAGACAGGAAGCATACGGCGGAGCCATGGAAGCCAATCTTCACGGACCCACGATGGCGTAGCGAAGATCGATTTGCAATATTCCCAATGTTCGGGAAACCAAGCAGCACATTCCCAGTCAAGTATCGCTGTAACTTTGGTGCCGTCGACCATGACATTTCGCGTAGCAAGATCACCGTGTGTGAACACAATGCCGTGCTTAATCGAGTGCGCAGCTGCGACGAGCTGTGGCATGCATTCGGCGGGGAGGGATTCGAAGTCGTTGTAGAATCGTGCGCCACGAAGATTGAAGTCGTCTTCATCTTCAAACGGTCCTACATGTTGGTATCGAAGTCGGAAGTCCCGTACTGGCCCCCCCAGCACGGAGCAGATACGACGGCCATAAGGAGTGCGTAACGTTCGTAATTCATCGAAGCAACTGGCTAGTTGCTCAACGATAACTTCTCTGAACTGCGGCCCTGCTGTATACCATACAGTCGACAGCGCCACACCTCTGATCCGGCTCATTATGATATAGCGTCTACCACTCCAGACGAAGTGTGTCCAGACATGAGGGACGGGTATCCGCGTGCGAGAGGAGATCATGCGCATCGTCTCGACTTCTATCGTGTCTGTTCCATGGCAAGCTTTAATCCAAAACCATCGGCCTAGAGTGACTAACCGCAAGCTTAAGCGTAAGCGGAACGTTCTAGTTACAATGTTGCTTACAACGCCACATGAGATTGCGAATTGTACGCAAGGAATTGAGCACGGTCATTTGCAACCTATTCGCTGCGCATTGCATCCACCGTTCGTAGCGTGAACGCTTGAGCTGGCGCTCTTGCGCTGCGATGAGGATGTCGACTCCTCTGGGTTTCCCGGGGACACTCCTAGGGTCACGAAATCCGTACGGATTTGGTGGCGCCACTGGCATAGATTGGTGGTTCGACAATTGTAGAGACATTTCAATGCGAAACGGTCTGGCTCGGAGCAACAGAGGAGGAAGGGGACTCGAAGCTGGGCGACCGTCGACCGTCGACAGAGGCCCCGGGCCGGTGTGGCGTGCACATATTCATGGGCGCCTATTGCCTCAATACGGCTTACTAATACGAGCTTGAGTCGTCAGTAACTCATTGTAAGGTCCGCCGGCATCAGCCTGTCGCTGCTCAAGACCACAGTGTATATCGACTACTTAGGGTATTGACGAAGTCTACCTCAGGTACTGACTGCTAGGCACTCACATTGTTCGCATAGGTCTCAGATACTTGACTCGAACGACTTCCTCCCCGTCGGTGCCTAGCTTTAGTTAGTGCGAGTACATCAGTAGCCCACACGGAGTGAAGGTCGGTACAATCTAATACCTACGGCTTGCGCAATACGATTGATGGGACCGTAACATCTTCATAGAATTAGGCTTCGTTAGTGCGGGATGACCGACCGTGCCTCAATCTACGTCGTGTTGGAGGCCCTCGACCCATCAATGGGCAGATTTCATTGGTCAATTGCGCTCCGAGTCCTCCCCTCTGATCTCAGCGATCAAGCACCCGACTGGTCGTGCGTCGATCTATTCCAGGTCATAGACGTCGTCGATCCTTCCCCGGGCAGCGGGAAGGACTCGGTGGATGCTTCACAGACAGCCGTAGGACCGGTGTTCAATGGCAACAATTTATCGCTGCCGAACAGTGTGGCTGTCAAGCGTACATGGCACCTCGCGCACCAGACGGCCGTCGACCTCTTGTCATCACAGCGCTCGTTGACCTGTTTGGGAGCCGTGCGTCTCCCCGACGCGGACCTTCCGCACCATGATCTAAAAGAGTTCATCGAAGAGCAGGAGGCGGAGCAGGGCGACAGCAAGACTACGAGAGATGTCCCGTGGAGCTGCGCGCAGTGGATCATGCGCGTCTTGGACCGCCTGATCGAGTCTGGATTATACGAGCTCGACATGAATCATTTCTACCCGAGGATCCAGAGGCTCGGGGTCGAACTACACAGCTTGCATTTGGCAGATCCTCGTAGTATACACGTTCTCCATTTCGCACGGGATGGCTATTGATTTCCACTTATCTTGGGTAGGATTGGTGCCAAGGAAATGACTGGGAAATCATGAAGGATCATCACTCAGTCTATTCCAGGATAAATGTGATACGAAAGATCTCAGACTATATTTTGCCACTCAACGACATCTACAAACACCGCAGACCGCTATAAAGCGGGGTCGCACGTTTCCCAATTGAAGCCCGGGACGAGTTTGCTCTCTCTAGCCTCCTGCACGGCGAGGAAATGTATAACACTTTGCAGGGGAAGGGCAACTCATCAGGCAATTGCATACAGCCTACGAGACGCTCTGGCAACGCGACAGTGCGAAAGTCCGATCAATTCCTGCGGAACGGTTGTTAGTAGTGCGTTGACGAAGCGTTGACGTACGGTTTCGTCTTTAGTCCGCTCTTCGAGAGCGAGACCCAACTATGGCCAGAGGTTTGGCTTAGGCTTCTTGATGGGACTTGGTGAGTGTAAGTTGGTGAGAGCCCTAAGCGGACCCTAAGCGATTCGTGGGACAATGGACGTGCTCACATCTGAGTCTGAGATCTGTTTGCGATCGGGGATCTGCAACGTAGCAACTTCGATGGCAAAGTTCATCTATACGCCTTCCTGCGAATTCATCATGAGCCAGCAGCCTTTCCTTTTTTGGTGAATGTCGGCCGACTAAAGGGCGATCATGGCTGGGAATACGCCTGTGATGGAGCTCTAGCGAGGTGTTGGACCTGAGCCTGAGGTGAGTACGTTCTTTGGGTCTCAACCGATCTGCGGTGTCATCGCGATTCGCAGGCAAGACTCGAATGCCTATAGGTCAAAGAATGAACGACTGTCGACTCACTGTGCTTCACTTCAGCCCTCACTTCCATCCGTAACAGACTCACAATGGCGGCATCGGTCTCAGCCTTCTTCGACGAGCTGGCCTCTTCGGACTCTTCTGTGCTGCCATCGTCTGTGTCGGCACCCCCTGCAAGCGAGACCATATGTCCGTCTCTTCTTCAAATTGTTGCACCACAGCCGACGCGTCCGGTCAACTTTGTGGTGATCGACCATACGGATAGTGCTCTCCGCGAGGCCGATGTAGACATGGACGCCGTGGTCACTGCCATGGGACTCTCCAATTCCCCGCCCCGAGGACGAAGCTCCAGGAATTCATGCTTCCTTTGGACAGCGAAGCTCAAGGCGTCGTGAACCGTATTGCGGGCCTCCCTCCACTTCCGCTCCCATCTAGGTCCTGCGACACTTCCCCCGCAAGACGACGCATAGAGAAGGGGAAGCGCACGCCACAGGCGTGCGAGAGGTGCAGAATTAGGAAGACAAAGGTACGTGATGCGCGTCTACTTGCATTCATCGCCACACTGATCATTCGACTACTAGTGTAACGGAGGCCGTCCGAGCTGCGAAAGGTGCATCAGACTTGGCGCTACTTGCGGTTATGTCTTAGACCACAAAGCCGTGAGGACACAACTCAGGAAGCTGCAAAAGGAGGGTCTTCTATCGGATACAATTGATCTATCCCCAAGGAGGACGAGAAGCCACGGTGAGCAGGAGCCAGCGGCAATGTCAAGGCCTGCACGCATGACACGGTCCAGATCAAGGCTTGCGTGAGTTTTCTATCCAGTCGTTGCACTATGGTTCATATCTCATAAATCTCTAGGCTCAATAGTGACCTCGCCTCAGGAGTTGGCGCGAGTGGCGCCTGGTCCGCCCCAGGTGCCATGGTTGGTCAAGACATGATCGTGGATACTGCAGTCGGAACGGAGCCTAGCGGTTATCATTACCCTCAGCCTGCTGCCGGCCCACAATGGACGCGGTCGTACAACAACATCTCGTTGCCTCGCCTTACTGTGCCATCGCTTTCCAACGGTTCTAGCTCCAGCTCGTCTTCGAGATACACGCCCTTGGTAACGCCGACTGACGAAGGTTACTTCCAACTGGGCGAGACTGTCAATGACCGTGCGAAGGTGTTCGCTACCTCTGGTGCCATGTTCGAACAAGCTATGTTTCAACGATGTCCAAGCTACCCTCCGCCGATCACGCCTTATCCTGGACGATCCTTCCCTCCGATGACGACGAGCGGCAAGTACTATGACGAGCGGACCTTGCTGCCGGGGCTTTGTGGCGACATGTCTAACTTAGGACCTGGGCATGCGAATGGACGTCTAGCATCACACGGGTTCATCGCGCGGCAACAGTCATCGGTCGACCCAACGATCAGCGCCGGTGCTGTCTGGAAGGATGCATCCCTACCGGAGTTCGGGTCGGCACCTGGACCAGCGCTGTGGAACGAGCTTTTTGGAGGGGAGTAACCAGCTAGATAAGCCTAGAGGGCCGTAAATAGTGTGCTCGCCTTCCGGGCATTGGATTTTCTGAAGGCCGGTGAACTGTGTACTCGTTCATAGTCAATGTATGTATGGCGTGGTTTCGTGCGTTTTATATGTGTACCGCACTTCCGCCTACTCGGCGCAGAAGCGCCTCGTTTGACAGTATTGGTCAGTTAATCAGTTCAATATCAGCTTCGCCGCGCCAGTCGAGTCTCGAGAGGAGCCGACCTGAGGAGTGCTGAGCGCTCACAGCCACAGGCGCGTTAGGTCGTCACGTGCTTATCGCGACGCGTTGAGGTCCACACGCGATCGTCGCGTCGCTCACTGCTCAGAGAACGTTCATCCACCCATCTACTCCGCCTTTTGAGGCAACAACTTTGACCATGCCACCTAGAATAATCAAGCGGTTGAAGACACCTATGGTCTCCGCAGATTTGAAAGTACGAAATACGCGCAGTCGGACACGAAGTGGCCTTCAAGACTCAGACATGTTGAACATGCCAATGGATATCATCCATGAGGTGAGTCTGTGAAAGTCTGACACGCCTCTGAGGTTCTCGGTGTATGTTTCTGACGATACATAGATCCTGCGGCATCTCCTGCCACACGATCTACTCAGCCTCACGCGAACGTCCAAGGCATTCCACGCATTCCTGATGAGGAAGAGTTCAGCCTACTACTGGAAACAGTCTCTGAAACAAGTCGACGGCCCTCTTCCTCGGTGTCCGAAGGAATTAATTGAACCTGCCTGGGTCGCCCTAGTCTTCTCGCCCATTTGTACGGTAAGTCAGATTCTGTTTGACGAAGACAGTGGTATGGCTTACCGCTGCCTTCACTGATTCCAAGGCCTGTGGGAAACGCGAAGCACCCCATGTATACTGGTCGCTCTTTGTGCGGCTTTGCAAGACATGCAGGCCTCAGCTGTGAGTTTCATGATGCACGTTCCATTGACATTCCGTATGAATTTATGTTTTCTTGCGGGCAGTGTCGTGGATCAACACGATCTATTTCGAGAACGAAGGATGGACAAGATTCCAAAGGATATCTTTGTGATGGTAGAGCTGCAACATTGACGTAGCAATTTAGTTCTCTTACCGTGCTCCTTAGTCCGGTCGTGGTTATTGCCTTCGATCTGAAGCGCAGGAAGTCATCGATACATGGAAAGGGCTATCTAAATCTCGTAACAAGAAAGCCCTGGAGCAATATGTCCAAGGACAGACTCAGCACGTCAAGAAATTAGCAAAGGTGAGTTGCGCAAGTCCAAGCCGCTCGATTTATCTGATCACCGTCGCGCATAGTTCCAAGAGTCGTGCGAGGGCTGGTTCGGCTATTCGTCTATACGCGAGAGTGAACGCCTGGAGGGCGAACGTTTCGAATTGTATGCATCCTTCAGTCAATCATTGTACACGCTGTTCATCGATCGTCATAGCGTCGACTCCAAATTAAGATCACTGGGGTGGGGTGCAGAGCTCAAGTTCCTTGGGCGAGGCTCAATCTCAAGAGGCCTACTCTCAGTCATGAGAAACTATCCACTAATGAATACACATGGACCGATGACCGAGCGTCGTGCGTAGTGCGAGAGCTTTCCGTGCACGTATGCCGTTACTTACAGATGTACCCAGGTTGGCGGGCGATCCAGGGAGAAATCCTGGAGTGCATGCAGGAGATCCGAGAGGAACGCCGTGCTTACAAATGGGAGAGCCGTATGTACAGACGCTGGGAGGCCTTTTATGTGGCAGGCCGCAAGCTTCTCAATCAACACTTAGCAGAACATCCGGAGTTATGGGCTTATGGCGTGGACATGGATGATATCGCGCTCACACCAGAAATCTGCGAAATCATGAACCGGCCTGCGAAGGAATGCGTGCATCAGCATAGCTTCATGGCGCTGCAAGCGCAGGTGGGCGCGATTCTGGAGGGGTGGAGATCACGCGTATGCAACCAACTACGGGACCTGATGCGCTCCACCATGCGATTCCCACAGAATGTCGACCCGCTAGAACTCGCGGCGACAACGTTTCGCTGCGGAGATTGTGTTCAAACCTGTCTGTTCTTCCCGAACGTGGTGGCCCACAGCTGCCAGCGCGTGCGCTCCTCGGTAACCCAACAAGACACGTATCCCCAGTCCTTGCAAGATATCATGCGTCCATTCTTAATGCGGCTTCGTGAATACAAGTTGTCTGAACCGGCGTGCCAAATCGTACGGTTCTGTGGCAAAGATCCGGAGACGACGACTGCAAAGGAGATGGATGCCCTTGACATCAGACTTGCTACGCAAGGCAGCGCAATTATGACCTGGCGCGCCGCGGTGAGTGGAATCGAATGCTCTGACCGAGTAGTCCTTGACAATTATGCAACTTGCCGATAGATCATTGAACAAACACAGTCAATCACGACATGTCGGTCTGGCGAATTGCTGACTCGACGGATACGGCCAATGCAAAGAAACACGAGTCAAAGCTCATGCAGAACAACGCATCATGGAGTTGCCGCAAATGCATACCGCCATGCCTCCATTCCGATCTAGAAGAGTATCTTGAATACCAGTGAGTCGTCCCATGTTAGTCCTGCGATCTTCACCGCTCAATCGCTACTTTAGCCATGGTGTCGCAGAGAAAGAAGACATGATACCTGTATTTTTTCTAGAGACATCTGTGCGAATAGCGCCTACAAACTCCGATTGCCAGACTTCGAGGTAGTTAAACTGATCGACAGAGACCAATCATGTACTAGTACGGATTGAACGGTATGCTGCTGCTATTGCTGTGCATCCTTGTTATTGTCGAACGACCTATATGATGCCATGGTTTCGCGAAATAGAATACTATACGCGTCCTGAAAGGCTGTAATACGAGTCGCCCCAGGCGGGAGTCGCATTTACGCGCCAAGCACGTGATCGTGTTTTGACCGGTAGGCTCTTAGTGTCAACCCACTCCGAGTCTGTTTGTACGATCTGTATCATACCATAACACTCCAGTCATCTGTCCGCATGGTGCGACGCAACAAATGATACTTCCCCTGTCCCGTCAGCCCCGTACTATTGGCCATGAATAGCCTGGTGTCTGAGACTGTTACTGTGAACTGGAGGTACATCGCAGAAGGCGGCTCGGCCATCGTCTTCTCCTACGTTGGTCCGGTGCATCCATTGTTCACCAACAAAGTCCTTCGTCTGCGCAAGATCGCGGTCAAACCAGCCACAATCGACGTACCCGCACCTGCCCCGCGACGGGGTGACCTTGACGATCCTGTTATTGCCTTCCAGGAGGTGGCCATACGCCGACTCGTTCCAGACGAGTTTCTGCCGCATGTCCAGGTCGTGAAGGTTGACAAGGCATGGGTGCAGCTGTTGGCTGAAGCGGCAGAGGCGAGTCGTCCCGAAGCAAGGAGAGTGGAGGATAGGGTCGACACAGACAGAGAGACAGCAGTCCTCGCCGACAACCTGATTGGTGGATCTGGTTGTGCTGTCGAGATCAAGGTGCGCGTGTCGCTTTCTGTGCGCTCAGTTGATAATCTTGTCTGACTCGTGGTCTCCACAGCCAAAGTGGGGCTTCCTCCCTTGTCCTGACCTCTTTTCCCCCACCACTCGCTCGATCAAGACACGCACCTGCCGCTTCTGCATGCACGCACGCATGAAGGGCGCCGCGGAGAAAGACGTTCCATCCGATTTTTGTCCCTTGGACTTATATTCAGGCAACGAAAGTCGTGTTCGCGTAGCGCTCCGTGCGCTGTGGGATGCGTGGGTACGAACGGAGGGTGGTATAAACAACCTCAGGATCTTTGCGAATGGACGCGTCCTCAAGCCGGCGTCAGATGTATGCACATCTCGCGGACGTTGCGCTCTAAGAATAGTCTCTGACCTTCTGCTCTAGTTGACATCACTCCAGTCTCTCCTTGCACCTGCGACAGAGGTCATGCCGGACCCATCACTAGACACGCTCCGCACTCAGTTCTGTGACGCGCTCCTCCCCTTCCTCCTAAACACCCCCGTTCTGCGCTTACTCTCCTTCCGTCAACGCACACTCGATCCGCTCGACATCGAGGGCCTCTCTGCATTTTGGGGGCGCATACACTCGGATGATGAAAGCGACCCGCCTCTCGGCTTCAGCGAAGCGGAACCCACACCAGAGGAATGGACGCGCTTCATTGATAAGTACCTCGTGGTATGCGACACTTGTGTCGGCGTGAAAGCCGAGCCGGAGCCTAACAAGGCGGAGCTCAGGTATCACTGTCTGGCTTACTTGCTCTCAGCAACATTCAAGGACTGCTCACTGATGATCCGTATGGGAAACCGAGCTGGCACCGTGTCGCTAGACGGCGGCGCGGGTGATCCAGTGGATGCGGACCAGCAGGACCCACATACACGCGCGATCGCGCCGTCGGAGGTGAAGCTCATCGATCTGGACATCAAAAGCATCAAGCGTCTGGCAAAATGGGAGAAGCTGGATCGAGAGATCGCGACCGCGCACGCGCAGGTTGAGGCGCCTCGAACATGCGTGGATTCTCTTGCGGGAATACGCATCTCCCCATGATGAAAGGTCCACACGGCTACATCGAATCGTGAAATGAGATACTACGCTTCAGGACATTGGCCAGAAATTATGGATGCCGGCCACAGGTGAGCATGCATACGTTCATGGGTAAAATTCCTCATTTGCTAATAGGTGATTATATCGTTGCCATGATTGACTGCGTGCTCAGTTATCGCACTCAACGAACCATGAACCAGTAGAAGCCGACGGTGTTACTGACTGGACAGAGTACGTCGGCTGTGCGTCGATATCATGATCGAAACACGCTGACCACTCGGGCTGCAGCCTTCCTGAGCGACGACTCCACCCCTTATCTCGTCGAGTAGCAGCCGGTGTATACCACATAACGCTACGTTGTGATGCTTCGGCGAGCTCACAGGTGGACGGGTGCTTCCTTGGTGGAATAAATCATCGATTATATCACATCACCGTATCTCCACATCATGCCCTCCGAAGACAACTGTTCGGGCTCTGTGCTTATGTGGCGCCATGAACTCCGACTTTGATATGTGGCCTATTGTCCGATGGTAAGCACGAGACATGTTACGGATCATCAGTCTAGCGTACTCACCGAGTCGCAAACGTTGTTCGCCGTAATATGTCTTGTGATTACAGATCCGTCTCGCCTGCCTCTAGTTGGGCGGCGTGACAAGCGCGGAGGCCAGCTAGCGGGGCTGTGGTCATTGTTCAGCTGGCTCAGGTACGTCCATTAGCATGAACTCTTCGTCTTGATCGAACGAATCGCTATCGTTCTCTTGGGTGAGGTCGATGACCTCTGACTCTTTGGTCGGCTCTTGCGCGTCACATGAATCACAACGTTCACTCAAGAGACTTCGGAAGGACTCACCACTTTCCACATTTTGGATTTTTGACTTCAGGAAGGTCAGGGATCGGCAGATCCATCTCTGCATTTTGGACCGTGACACCAGGCCACAACGGTCACATTTCAACGTCAGCTTGCGGTGCATCTCGGCAGGCAGGCGCGTCTGGTGTCCCCGGCTCTGTACATGTCTTGTACGAATGCCTGGTTCATCGTTCAGCGGTTTGTCGCAGAATTTGCAGGTGCGCTGCCAATTTCATCCAGTCAATAGGGGTGATGCACAGGGAACTCAAAGAAAATGAACCCTCTGTTTGTCGTTCTCCGCAGAGGACCCAGACCATGTAAGTGGATCTAATTGTGGCCGCCGGGAAATGCTTGAGGTCGCCATCGTTGAAGGAGAGCAGACATCCGTCCAGATGATGCCCGGGTCATCCTTTGCGACTACTGTGAGTTCGGGATCTGGTTCGGGAAGGACGATGCACTGAACCTCGCCATAGATAATGATCGACTTCTGGGGCTGTCAATCAATTGTCCGATTGTCCTTCTTGATATCGACATTGCATATCCCGCAATGCCACTATCGCGGAACGTCAGCTGCTTTGGATCTCTCAATAAATGTGGGGGGGCCGTACCCGTCTCCCACTTGGGGGCTTCCCGCTCCCGCCCCACCGACTCATTCTCCTTCACGGCCGCCTGTGCTGTCGGCGCCGTCTCCTCCGCCTTCGCTTCGATGGGCATGTCCGCGCCTGCTTGCGCGGCGGCTGGGCGTCTTGCAGAGGCTCACGGCCCATTGCCCGCTTGACACCCGCCTGCTGCGCTGCAGGCGGCTGGGGCGCAGGTGTTGGCATTGATGCTAAGCGATCAGGTCGCCTGGGAGCGTCGGCGGTAGGTGGCGGGGGTGCGAGTGCGGACGCCGGAAGGTCGCCCTCGTCCAAATGATCCTTGGCGGCGCTTGAGCTCACCTGAGGCTCGATGTATTCATCCATCTCGCCGTCGCTCTCCGTCTCGCTGTCGCTCTCTGTCTGCCAGCTGTCTGTCTCGTCGCCACTGTCACTCTCGTCGCCGCAGTTACTCCCGTCGCCGCTGCTGCCCTCGTCGGAGTCGGAGTCGTTATCGCCGTTGCCGTCACCGTCGGAGTCGGAGTCGTCGTTGGATTCGTCGGAATCGCCGTAGGAGTCGGAGTCGTCGGAATCACGGTTGTCATCCGAGTCAGAGTCATAGCCGGCGGTGAGGTCAATGACCTCTTGTTCGAGCAGCAACCTCGGATCAATGGTTGCTCCGTCCGAATTGGGGAGGCGTCGTAGGGTTCCTTCGTAGTCGAAGTCAAAAATAATGATATGATTGGAGGGCATTGTGGTGAGGCGGGGGTGTAGACAAGGGGTGTGATCGAACACAGGAGTGGTCGGCTCGAAGTGCGTGGTAGCTGGACGACGGTCAAAATTCGTGCGCGCAGGACAGCGGAGACATTGTATAAATGGCAGATACGTGCGTACCAAAAAGGCTAGCAGCATGGCCGTGGACCTCGTTATGGGACAACACGGCGGGCACAAGCCTTCCGTGCGCTGGGATCCACCGTTCTGTAAGGGGGCTGTTGAAAAACTCCCACTCGTGATCGGTGCTGCTCGCGTCGTGGATGCTCCTTTTGTCATCGGAGTCATTGTCTGAGTTGTCAGAGTCGTAGCCAGTGATGTGTCTGAGTTGCTGTCTTCTCGCGGCTCGGCCTCACGGACGGGTCCGTTGTCCTCGGTCTCAACCTCGCAGTTTCTTCGTAGTTCACTACTACCCGGATTCGTTAGCCGTCTTAGATCCCGAGAAGAAGACGATACATACGTATTTATGCGACACACTGTGAAGGCAGAGGCATCTATCACCGCGAGCTGGAGCGTATGTCTTCTGGCCTCCGCTGCCTTCCTCGGACGACCAGCAGAATTTGACGTGTCCTGTCGCCGCTCACGAAGACACAGGTAAGCATCCAATTACACAAAAGATATAAGACAACTCACCGCGTTTAGTGATGTCTTGATTGACTGCGTACTCAGGTCATCGGGCGACCTCGACTTGAGACCAGCAATATACCCAGAGACACGCTCTGCAGGCGACGACGAGCGATAGCCACTAGCAGTGGGGAGGTTGGTGAGGATCATTGCGCACATCAAAGTGGTCGCTGTGAAGTTACGTGCCCCTTTTATATGCGTAGCCCGCAGTTTCTCAGGAACTGGCTTCCATTGTGACATCACAATAGACAATGCATGGATGACTTGCATTGAGGCTGCCGAGTGGTTTGACGTGCAGGCAAGAATCACGCCTTTGTCAGCCTATCCTGGATAGCATTCTTGTTGCAAGTGCGGCGCGTCGCCATGATCAATCGACGCGACGCGACATATTTCGACACGTGATCGTTCTGTATGGATGCCAGCTTCGAGCGGCTGGGGCCATCTAAATTGAGTGCTTCAGGATGCTTGACTACGTAGAGCCCGTTGTTGTCATGTAGCGCAAATAATGATTTAGTGAGACTGAATCACATCTACGGTCTAGACCGAACAAACCCGGGCATTATCCAAACGTTCAGACACTACCGCTGCGCCCCGAACCAACAGTCCTTCCTCACGAACATCCATCTCATCTTTCATACTTTGCACCCCAGACTTTCCATCTTATTCCTGATCACCATGCTTTCCATCAAAGTTACTAAGATCGCTGGTCGATCTGCCACCACCGAGAAGAAGGGAAAGAGTACTTGCGCATCTCCCCGCTGCACCGTCGGGTCCTGCAGGCCAGCTACAACCGCAGGAAGATGGCGGGTCCGCCTCGTCGCACTCCGTTGTCGATCATGAAAGCGACGAGTAGCGACAATCCCAAGGTGACTGATACCCCTAAGCTCCCTGCTCACGAGCCTGACGACGCATCCAAGTCGAGTTCTTCCGCGGATACCGCCGAACAGACGCCTCAACGCCGCAGGAGGGCCGGGGGCACCGTCTCAGAGTTCGGACCTGAACCAGAGTTTTCCGAGGAGCTCGCTCGTCAGTGGGGCTGGACTGACGATTCCTGGGAGTATATGAGTCTTCATCGACTCACCTCTCGCGGTTGGGTGCGCATGCGGGAGCCGATCGACGATTTCGAGAGGGGGATAATGGGCCTTCTTCCGCTGCCGCCAGACGTGGTCGAAGTTCGTCTTGAGGAACGCCGGAAGGAGGACCTGGAGATGTTAATGAAGCGGCACGGCGTGAAACCACAGGGTACATGCGAAAAATGTCGCGAGAACGGGTTGACTGTGAGTATTCCGGACACGCTCCTCGCCACGTCGCCTTCAAGCTGACAGTATCATATAGTGCGACGGTACCCGTCCTACTTGCACCGCATGTGACCTGTGGGGCGCAGAGTGCACGTATACGCTGACATCCACCGGCGACGACATTCGGCGTGCGCTCTTGCTGAAAATGAAGGCCGAGATTGACGAGGCTACAGAGCAGTTCGACAAGCTTGCCGTAGAAGCCCCCAAGCAGGTAGAGGAGCCCACCCCGCGCGATCATTGCCCGGAGCGGATACCGACATCAAGGCCGAAGACGCACAGCCCAGGAGAATCAGACCACTCCCGACGCGGAGGAAGGCCAAGTAATCTGTCTTAGTGTCGTGACACAGCACGAATACTGATCATTGTCCACCAGGACGGTCGAGCAGCCCAAGCGACATGCGTCGCTGGTGCTCATCCTTCGCTGTCGACGACGACGGACGAAGTCCCCGTCCAATCTCCGGGCAGACAAGGCGAGAGCGTCGACGAGCCGATGGTAGTCTGCAAGCCCGACTCCATCTGCAGCTTCCCCCGCTCATTATGCCGTCCTGTCTGCGTCGTCTTCAGCATCCAGCTCTTCAAGCCCTCCCTGGTCAGCACCCCTGTGGACGAAGATGTGCCGATGGTGGAAGTCGTCAAGCATGACGAGGTGGTAGATGCTCCACCGCCTGCGACAAAACATCACGTATCCGTTGTTCAAGGACGGGACGACGAAGCGAAGGAGGCCGCCTATGCGCTCCTAGGGCTGAGCAAAGCGCCTCCCAAGCCTTCGCCCACCAACTGTTCCCCGGCACGAAAGCCTCAGCCAGTCCATATGAAGAGCCGATCACCCGTGGACCTGCCGCGAGCCTGGCAGATCGCCATCATCCACATCCCGGAGATCGTGATCACCCCTCCCGCGAAGGAACTGGCGACGGTCGAGATGATCACAGCGCTTCTTGCCAGGCTGACACTCAACTCCTTGTCAGCAGCGGCAGCATGAAGGACGCAGGTCTATTGGCAGCCAAGCCGTGGGTGAGCAAGGCCCGTGGCGTTGGGGGAGGCGCGAGGATGTCAACGACGAAGACGAGGTTGCGCAGATGTTGGGCGATTTGGTGGACGAAATGTGCGCCGTCGGAAGTGCTTAGGGAGCGGGACTTGATGCCGTGGTTGATGGAGAGGATCGAGTTGGGTTTCGGATTGGATTCGGACGCGATATGGACCGTTTTGTTGTCTCGGGTTTTTGGCTGGACTTGCGCTTTTTGGACGGTTCTTCTGTGTTCTGGACACGGACACGGACCCTAGATACGAACTGTAGACACGCTCTTGGACTTGTTTTACACTGATGGTTCAGATTATTTGCAGATCCGAGGGCCCGCACAGACGTCAAGCCGACAAGACGAGCGCACGGGCCGAGGATGGGAGGAGGGAGCCGGGGGCGAAGGCATACAGCCGGAGACATCGGGTACGTAGCAGCCGCTTTGCGTCCACATATGCCGCTCCTCTGACAACGAGTGTCCTCCAGAGGTCGCGCTTCGATGGGCTTCGCAGCGTCTGCGGGAGCAGCCAAGGGTTGGGGCCGACCCGAGGTTTGCGAGCAAAGACGTAGCCTGCCATACGCGCACAAGAGGTGAGCTCGCATGTCGCCCGTCGTCAAGGAAATCTCTTGACCTTTGCATCCATTCGACAGGCGACATCACGACGACGCGAATGACGACTTCGAGCCGAGGACGAGGGCGGGACCGCGGAGACCGACCGGGCGTACCATCCGGGGGCGTTGGGTACGTAGCAGTTGCTCTGTGCCCACATATGCATTCCTGACACAAAATTGATCCAGAGTCGCGCTCCCTCCAGCGCACCTCGCAGCGTGCAAGTGAGCTTCCGAAGGTTGGGGGGCCGGCCTGACAGTTGCGAGCTTGTAGCGACAGCCACCGCATACGCGCGAATCGTAAGTCTAGCTACTCCACCGATGCGGAGACTTGCTGACTTTTGCGTTTCGTCCTACAGGACCGACCTCTACGAGCGACTTCGAACGCGGTCCGCGTCTGTCGGATGGAGAAGGAGGGGATGGATGGGACAGGGTTGAGTTGAAGGATTTGGGGGTTGGGAGGGCTGGACTGAGAATGCAGGGACGGGAGAACTGGACTGAGAGGACTACGCTGTTGGAAAGGTTGCACGTGTAACGCCTGGAGGTCGGGATCCCGCGCCAGAATCGGATTCTCCCTGCGTTCATTGGAGGCGTCGATCTTGATTTGCGCAAAATAAGCGACATACCACTGGGCGCTACCTGCACAATCAACGCAGGGGTGAAACAAATGTAAGCTCGACATGAAGGCGGATGTACCTGCATCCTGTCTGAGTGTGGCCAATAATGTGAGACGTTTGAGACCTATATGCTGCGCACTGAGAGGATGCAAGGCGCTAGAACGACACAGCATGGCGTTTCTTCACCGCATGCGTGCGGTCGGACCTTGCCAGCATATCCCACAACACCTGCGCTCGTCGAACTGCGTCGTTTGCAGACAGTTGTCGTACACGTAAGTTTGTCGACAAGGTGACAGTCTAGAAGGTGCCAGGCGAAGAATGCAGAGATGGCAGCATACAAGGAACACAGGATGTAAAGCTTGACATCGGACCTACTTGGAGCCATCTTCACCTGATTTCCAGTCACGACGAGGCGCCGCGCTGTAGTATTCCAGATCTATAAACATAGACAAAGTCAGCGATAATTGGGAAACGCAACTGACTACACACCTCAGTGCGCGCAGATACCGCGCGTTTACCGGAAGACACGGTAGTGCATACAACGTTCAACGTGTGTCCTCTATGGCCAAAATTACAGGTCTTCAGGCCGTGAGGCGAGCCGCAGTAGGGACGTACAGTTTCGCTCCGGCGTGAAACGTCGTGTTGAGGGATTGCGAGACGAGGTCGAAGGCACCTTCAGTGACCAGAGCTTGAACTATCAATGTCACCGATGTGCAGCTATATGCAGAAGTGTGAGCAGACAGTCCGATCGTGGATCCATAACGACGGACTCACGCGTCCACGAGAAACGCCGCGCAGCCTCCATGCATCATATTGTGTGCGTTGCACATATCTACCAGAAGCACATAGTAAGTCGACCGGTCGTGTCAGTCACAGTACACGCTACCATGAATGCACTCACCCTGCGATACGGTCACATCAAACACAACACGCGCATGCGTCCTCCCGTCCTCCGTCCTCTCGAACTTATTGCACACTATCATCCGCATCTGCATCATGACCGAGTCCCCGAACTGGCCATCGCGGTTGAACGCGGCTCCTGCGCGTGCTACGATCTCCTTGTGCTCTGGGGACAGATTGCAGTCGGCGTCCTTGACGATCTCCCTGGCGCGTGCGAGTCTTGCGTTCAGAGGTTTAGACGTTATTGGCAAGCTGCTGCCTCTACACCTCGGGCACGCTGGTGGAGGTCGTCAAGAGAGGTGCTGAAGCGGAAGGAGGATGGCAGCTCGCGCAAGAAGCATGATTGAGGGTACTGACACTCAGTGACGGCGCTCAGAGCTCTTTCTGCACTTGGCCTCCCAATCGCGGAGGCGCGTCGCGATCACGCGCACCGCGTCCCAGCCACCGGCCCACTGTCCCACGCGTACGCTACACGACGGTCGTCCTTCCGCGTGTGCCACTGATCTCTCGCTCATCAAGTAACTCCGTTTGCATATTCGCAGATGCCGTTTCTACGTGCTGCTCTTGTGCAGTATCGCGTTATCTCCATGGTATACATCGGCTGCTGGTACGAGCGGAAGTCGACAAGCAAGAAGTTTCAGCGACTTTCAATCCAGTCGGACGCGATAGTACCGTATATATGAACTGTGGTGAGAGCAGGTACTTATATTCACTTGGCTGAATAAGACGGGCTCGGCGCGTGTGGTGAATCCAAACCAAGATCACACTTTGTCCGTGCAAGCCCGTCGGCCGTAGTGCGCAGTCTCTGATCTACGCGCCAGCTTTACCAACGTTTACTCAGACAAGGTAGGTAAGAGACATCGATGATTTGGTATCCTTGTGTGCTCACACAGATCATCTGCACCCCCATCCACTCGCTTGACTACATCCCGACACAGGCGCTCAAGTAACATGGCCTCAGCAAATCATCCGCACGACGGCACAGCATGATGCCATTGATTCTGCGCCAGAAGACATATACATAACAGGTAGCGAGATGTCGCTTGTTCCCCGCACCCCACACACCCCACACACCCCTAGTGACCCCAGATCCTCACCATGTCGAGCACCATGGTGCCGCGTCCCGCCCTTCACTCTGTCCGGTTCGAATTTGCGGAGGACTTCATTGATGAAATGAAGCCGTATGACAGTCCCTTCATGACCTTCACCCTTGGCATGGCCATGGATTACGTCTCGTCCCCCTCCTCCAAAAGCAAAGACCCAAACACAACACCAAAAATTCCCCCAGAGAACGGCACGTTCCACGCGATCTTCGACGGCGACCGCCTCATGTGCGCATCCCTCCCTTTCCTCTCGCTCCTCACACTCACACTCATGCACCACCACGCAGACTAGTCCTCATCCGGACTCCCCTACGACCCGCCCACTTCCTCGGCTATCCCTCTCCCCCGCCCGCGCCCGTCCTCAGCACCGCCTGTGCCCTCCTCGCCAAATCCGTCCCCATCAGCTCGTTCCGCCACCATATCGGCGGCCCACGCGACGCAGTGACTGCGCTCCTCTCCTCCCTCCCCGACCTCATCACCTCCCCCAAGACCTTCTCCTCTATCGCGTGCTCCGCGAGTCTACGCACCCTCCCCGCGCCCACGCCGAGTCCGCAGCCTGTAGCTGGAAGCGGGATGCCGGCATGGACGTACCACATCCGTATGGGGACCCCGGAGGATGTCCCGGCGTCATGCCTCTCGTCCGCGAGTTCTCAGCGCTCCTCTCGACGGGGCCTCCCCCGCCCGACAGGGCAGTCGCAGACACGCGCGCCGCGGTACAGGCAAGGATGCTCTATGTCGTCTCCGCAGAGGGAGGTCATGCCGCGCCCGGCGAAGAGACAGACGAGGGGAAGGCAAAGAGGGAGAGCAGCTCGCGGGCTACCTCCTCCTGGGGTCCGCGACGCTGCGTACGGTCATGGTCCGGCACCTCTTCGTGCACCCCGCCCACAGAAGACGCGGGCTCGCCGAGACGATGGTGCGCGCCGTGACGCGCGCATGTCTCGGTGCGTCACTGAGTCTGAGTCCGAGCGGGGCGGAGGCGAGCGGTGACGCAGCCGTCCGTGTGGACCTGCCGGGCTGCGGGGTGAAGCGCTCGGTGTGTCTGTTCTACCAAGATCCTGGAGCGGCGAGGATGTATCGGCGCTGCGGCTTCGTCGTGGACGAAGACGCGCGGGACCCTGCTACTGGGGAGAGTCTGTGTTACGTCTATGAGCTGAAGGATATCATCGCTCCGTGAGTACTGAGATTATCTCGGCATATAGCTTACCTCTGCGCGCATACCTCGACGAACAGCACTATGGCATCGCCTGTATGTAGGTGTCACTGCGTGCAGAACACTCGATTAGCTGGGTATTATCTCTGATGGCGGGAAAGTATCATTTCACTCCGCTGGGTCAGATCGACGTCGTTAAGCGCCAACTGTCCGTCGCCTGGGTGCGATTGTTGGTAACGAGACCACCCATGGGGAAAGTCTTCTGACGGATGCAAGAAAGAACACTCATACAAGACCGGACGGATATGATCGAGAAGACGAGTAAGTAGCAGATTCCGTGCTTCGTTGTCCACTCATGCCTCGTCCCTGCATCACGGGTACGTCGGTCTCGATCCAATGTAGTTCCAACGCTCACGGCCGACCTCGTGATTAGGCTCGCGTTACCGGTCGCGATTGGCTCTCGAAGGTCTCCAAGGATGCTTTAACATAGACTCCGACTTCATTCAGTCATCAATCAGACTCATCTCAATTCACGAAGGTTCTGCTCTCATTGAGTGAACTGGCTCCGATACATCTCCCGAGCTATACTTACATACATTTCACGTCATGATCCTCTCATCAGGACGGCGACCCAGGGCTGCTAGCGTGTTCCATGGAGATACCTCAGGGACGCGCGATAGGCGTGCCAGCCCAGGGCGGGCCATATTGCGACAGCGATCCTAGACCCGGCGATGCTCAATCCGCGAAAGGCAGCGCGCACAAGGGCGAGGCGCGTTCACGGACGCCCCAGGAGCGGATCCCCCTGCCGGCAGCACCTCACCCTGCTCGCGATCCGGTCGAGCTCGCAGTCCTGGATCACCGGTGAGGCACCGGACGACGGACTCGGACGTCCGACGCGCCCTGTCAGTCAGCAGCGAGCCACACGGCGCCCCCACGCGTGGGGATGCTGCTCCGATCGAGGATAGCCTTTTGCGCTGGCCTTCGCGAAGAGGGGAAGCGGTGGCAGACTCGGAGGACGCACAGACCTCGGCACGGACGCAGGACGATCGGGGGCCCCACTCTGGCTGAGGGCGGAGGCGGGGCGATCGACGACGGGGTCGGAGTCTCCATGATCGATCGGACCATGTACTCGGAGGACAGCGGTCCCGGAGGGGCGAATGTTCCCCCGCTCACCGGGCGCGTGCGACGCGGTGCCTCCGTCCAGACACCTCAGCCCGCCCTCGCTCGGAGCCTCGGAGGCAGCGAACCGCGCCGCGGACGCCGGAGCGCAGCCAGTGCGGGGGTTCGCATCAGCTTCGTGGCCTAAGCGACATTGGAAGACACTCGGAACACACCATCCGGTATTCGCGACGTTAGCGAGCATGCACGTTCCTCCTTGACGCGGGGAAATCGGCGCGACATGCGGGCACACTTGTGCACCAGCCGCGCGTTCACCACCCGAGCAGTGACGACGCACAGACCATTCATAACTGCAGACGAACACTGAGACAAGTTAGGGACAATAAAATTACTCGGCACTACGACACCCACCCAGTAACGTTCTCTCTCTATACTACTACTTCATTACCACAGAACACGCCGTACCAATGGCGTATCATAGACCCGGCAGGTGCAGACCCGTAGTAAACAAAGTATAGGTGTGATGTAGGCCGTAACTGTATTGGTAGATGGAGCGAGACGATGAGTCCGAGAGAGGTATGGAGTATGTAAGTTAGTTCTATTTCTGCCAGTAGTGAAAGAGATCGTTGTGTTTATGGACTTTTGCTTCTCGTCTGCTTGACGTACCTCATCCCCAGTGCGGTGGCCCGGAGCGCCAGCACCGTGCCGCTTAGATGATGCAGTAACCGCCGTCGACACGGATCTCGGAGCCCGTCATGAAGCGGGACGCATCGGACGACAGGAAGACAACAGCGCCCTGTATAGTCATCAGTACCAACAACGGCAGTTACTCCGGGGAGAAAACTCACAGCCAAGTCCTCTGGGTCTCCCATCTGAAGCGCGGGTTGTCAGCATTCGCGTATCATTCCAATGCAAATTGGCTACTCACGCGACCCATTGGTGTCAGGCTCTCCCACGTTTTCTACAGAAGCACAGTCAGCCTCTGAGTATAGGTTGTACATCACCCCACACACCTTAAGCTCCGTATCGTGCGCGAGAATCGTCTTGGTGAGCTTGGTGAGCATGTAGCCGGGGCTGAGAATACCCGAGTGAGCAGACGCAGAGACAGACGCGTGACGTCATCGAACCTGAGGCAGTTGACGCGGACTCCCTTCTTTGCCCACTCCACCGCAAGAGAAGCAGCCATGTGCTTCACAGCTGCGCGATAGAAAGAGAAGAAGTGAGTCTAATGCCGACCAGGGCAGTCCGTCCGACGCTGTCGGCGACTTACCGGCCTTTGCCGCGTTGTATGGCGTCTGCGGCTGGGGAATGTTCACGATCTGAAGCGCGCGTCAGCGAGGCCGCACAGGAGTACACAGGCCCAGGGACTCACGTTCGCAGACATGGACGCGACGAGGACGATGCTGCCTCCTCCCTGGGGTATCATGTGGCGCGCAGCTTCCCGCGCGGTGAAAAACGCGCCGTGCACGTTGATATCATACAGGCGCTTTATCCGGTCGAAGGGGTAACTGAGATCCGCCCCACGTCAGCACCCGCGCCCACACACCCCACCAACGACGCGAACTCACTCGAATGCGGAATAGTTCTCGACAATTCCTGAACAGCACGGACGGTGAGGGCATATCAGTTTTCACAGCCATGACGACCATGACACGTTGATGACGCACCAGCGGAGGCCACGACCGAGTCTATGCGGCCGTACCGGTCCATCACTCTCCTGTACGCCTGCTGCACGCTGATCTCGGACGAGACGTCGCAGCCAATGCCAACGATGTTGTAGTCACTCGGGTCCATATCACTGTCAACTTCACACCTTATCAGCACGCCGTTGAGCACAGCGACGAACGGATTCCTGACCGCATGACTCCTTCACGAGCTCGTCGGCCGCCTGCTGTGCCTCGTCCTCCTTCAGGTCGAGGATGGCGAGCTGTGTGCAGCCGGACTGCGCGAACGCGCGACAGAACTCGTTGCCGAGGCCACGGGCGGCACCGGTGACCATGCAGACCTGTGCAGGGAGACGTTGAGCGACACGCGGCGCAGGGAACGCGCATGTATGCGCACTTTGTTGGCCATGGAGAAGCCGGGGAGGGTCTTGACGACCTTGGCCTTGGAGGCGACGGCGCTGTCGATGCTCTCGAAGCGTCTCTGGAGGGCATGGTGGGGGTGTGGTGTGCGGCGGGAGACGAGGGCGAGGGAGGTCGACGCCGGGCGAGCGACACTGGGGAGGGCGCGGGCGACGAGGCTGGACATGGTGCGCTGGTGAGGGCAGGGAGAGAGGATGGGTGGCGGTCAGGAGAGGACTGGATTTTATTCGGAGCCCGCCCCGCTAGAGACCAGGAGACGCCTGGAACGCAGAGGCGGAGCCAGTCCTCATTCGCTCGCGCTCCTGGACACAACCGGACCCTCCACCCAATCACCGCCTGCCCCGCCCCCACCTGACCCCACTCAAGCCACCGCCACTGTGGCTGGCGCCCGCCTGTCCCAGCACGAGTCTGCCTCCCCCGCCCCGCCCGACTCGCACGCAGCTGAGCATGCAAAGATATCCGTTTAGACATAGGTATGGACGACATGAGGGTATCACAGCAAGTACACAATAGACTCGCGCTAGACTAGACAAATAGTACCAGGGCCTCGCGGCGGCCACACCGATTATACAGCTCGTCAACCGATCCGAATGTAAGCAACGAACATAGACTGAGAATGACAGGCGACAGTGAGGGACGAGAAACACAGAGAGATAATAGGAATAGAGAGATGATGTAGGTAGTCAAAGGCCGACAGGAATAACAATGAGAGGACGGCGCTCGCTCGGAGCGCAAATGCAGATGATGTGAGAGAGATGAGGAAGAGGAAGAATGCCCGCTGAGGGATCAGAGACACGCGAACTTGCTCTTGCGCTTTTGAAGCTCGAGCGTCCGGCTGTCTAGTTGCGCCCGCGCTCGCTCTTTCGCCCGCCGCTCCTCGTCGAGCTGGTTCGCCATGTTCTGCTTCTCCTCCGCTACCGACCGCCGCACGTTCGCGACCTCGTTCCGCGCGTCGCCCAACTCTGCCCTCAAGGCGGCGACCTGTGCGTTGAGGCTGTCTCGCTCGCGGGCGAGCTCCGTGGCCTGCATCCGAGCCTTGCGCACTGTGACGAAAAAGGTCGGATCAGCGATCGTTCGTCACCAACCCTATTCGCACCGGAACAGAAGAGAAGCTCGGAAGCGAATACTCACGATTTTTCTCCGCATCGCCAACCGAGGACTCGAGCGACGAAACGAGGTCGATGTGTGCCTGCAAGTCGCTCTCGCAGTGCATGAGCTGCTTGTTCAGCGTCTTGATCATCGCGTCCTGCTCGTCGATATGCTTGGCCTGTTGTTGGATCTGCGTGGTCAGCTTCTCACTGGGAGGGCCCGTGGGAGTCGGCGGTCTTTGGACGGTGCGAGCGAAGTTGCCGGAGTCGTAGGCGAGTCCAGTGGTGTGTCACCGCCGATGGGACTCAGCATAGACGACGAGGTGCTCATTTGTTGCTCGTGGAACGAAGGTGCGGGGGGGATAGGTACTGTCGGTGGAGGCGCAGGCGGCGGTAGCTTCGTCGGCGACATATTGGAGCGTCCGAATCCTTGCCGCATACTCAGTGTAGGGCTCATGACAGCATGGGATTGGAGATCCCGGAGTAACGCATCTTGCCGGGTCTTCTCCGCTGTCAGTTGTCCATCTCGTCCTTCGTGTGCTGGAGATCCTCCTGCAAGTCCGCGATCATGCTGCGATGCCGCTCGAGCTCGTCCACCAAGATTGTCGCTTCGATGCCTCGCGCACGAGCTCATTCGACTGGTTGCGTGTGTTCTCGAGTTCCTGTCGAAGCTGGACAATCTCAGATGCGAGCGTGTCCCTCTCATGGTTAGAACTGCTCATTTGTTGATGGAGCAGGCCAATGACGTCCGTCTTCTGCTGAAGAGCCTCCTCGTGCGTGCGCCGCATCTCCTCGCGCGCATGCACGTACTCGTCTGACGCCGCTTTATACGACTCGAGCTCCTCCAGTAGAATGTTGTGATTCTGCTGCAGGCCCTGCACTTCGTCGTCCCGTTCCCGCTGCATCTCGCTCAGCTGCAGATCGTGGTCCTTCCGCAGTGCAGCGACTTCATCGGCGTGCATCTTTTCGAACTCGGCAAGAGCGGACTCAAGGCGCTCCTTTTCTTCCGCGAGAAGCTGTCCTGTGCGCTCCCCAGACTCGTCAAGGCTCTGACGATGCTGCTCTTGCAAGGCCACGAGTTCCGCCTGAACAGCGAAGAGGCGTTCTCGTGTTCCGTCTTAAGCCGTGCAACTTCCTCGGCATGAGAAGCCATCAGCGAAGTACGCTCCTCTTCGGCCTGACTCTCTGCCGTAGCAATGGCCGCGTTATGAGCGTCCTGCAAGCGAGCGACCTCCTCGGCGTGTCCCTTCTCAACCTCTGCCAGAATCATCGCTTGTTGTTCCTTGACACCCTGCACCTCGGCCTGCATCTGTTCCTGCAGCTTCGCACTTGACGATGTCGACTCGGTCCGGCTCTGTTCCAGCTCGGACGTCAGACGGGCGATCTCGTTCTGAGACTCTTCCTGGAGCCTGGCTACCACGTCCGCATGCTCTGCGACGCGCTTGTCAAGCTCCGCACGGTGCGCCTCGTCCTTGCTCGCCGCCGCCTGCTGTTGTTCGGCTTGAAGCTTGGAAAGCTCGTCTGCTAACGCTGCCTCCTTGGCATGCAGCGTTTCCGCATGACTCGCCGTCAGGCGGTCTTTCGAGCTGCGATACTGCTCCTCCTTAGTCGCGAGAGCCTGTGCATGCTCGTCCTTCAACTTCTGGATGTCCTCGGAGAACTCTCTCTCCTTAGCGAGGGCGGCGGATGCATGCTCGTCTTGGAGGCTCTTCAACGCGGTGTCCATCGCAGACGCCGACTCGGAGAGAGTACCTCGCGCGCATTTCAGCCATCCGCATCTCACGCGCATGCTCGTCGCGCAAGCGCTCCACCGCAGTCGCCGCCTCGGCAGTCTGCTTGTCCAGGCCTGGGCATGTTCCTCGCGGAGTTTGGTGAGTGTCTCGTAATACTCCTCCTCGGTCTTGTGGAGGGTCGCGTTGGCCTCGTCCTCCTTCTGCTTGACAGCATCGGCATGCTCACCTTCAACTTCGAGACGGAAGCTTCGTGTTCTTGCCGAGAGTGCTCTAGGAGATCGTCGACTTCTTGACTACGACGTTGAGCCCCTCCTCGTGGTCGGCCTTGAGCTTGCCGAAGGCGGCTTCGTGGTCCTCGCGCGCCTTGTCGAGAGTAGAAGAAGCCTGCGCAGTTGCTCCTGAAGCCCCGAGATTGCACCGGAATGCTCCTCCTTCAACTGACCAATGAGGCGTCAACCTCAGCTGCCTTCGCGCGGAGAGCTTCTTCGTGTTCGGCTTTCAGCTTCTCAACGTCCGCTGCATGCTCGGCCTGAGCACGCTCGAGCGACTCCATGAGCTCCTTCTCGCGGCTCTGGGCTTTATCCAACGAGTCGGCGAGCTCAGCCTCACGCTGCTGTAGTCTAGTCGCAGACTCGACGAGCTCTACCTCATGCCTCTCGAGGTGCTCCAGCCTTTGCAGATCCTCGGAGTGCTTAGCCAAATCTTCCTCGTGCTTCTTACTGAGGCCTTCGATCTCACTCGACATGTTGAGAGTCTAGCCGAGGTAGATTAGCTTGCATCTCAATCCAGATCCTGATGACAACACACCTGATCGCGGGAAAGGACGGTCAATTCCTCGAACTGGCGGCGAACTTGGCTGAGTTCGGAATTGAGGGTGTCGACCTTCTCACGGTGAGCGGACTCCTTCGCAGCCATCGAACTGTGGTGCGAAAACAAAGATTCGCTGATCAACGCGTGTGATGGGCATGTGGAAGATATCAACCACTGACCGCATAAGCTCATTAAGCCTCTCGAGGTTCTCGTCCACATCGGAAGTGGGAAATCCGTCCTCAGACACTTGAATGTGAAGACTGTGGCGAAGGTCTTTGAAGTGAGACAGCGTCCGCGGCGACAAGTTGAGGCTGGTCTCCGGCGAATGCCCATTCAAAGTAAGGATATTAGGAGGAGGTGATCGTTGCAAGTCGGCTAGGGCCCCCGCTCGGTCCTTGTCCTTGAGCGATGTCTCGAGCACAGTGATCTCTGATTCCCGATCTTTGAGGACCTCCTGGAGGCGCATGATCTCCTTCTCCAGGCTGGCCACAGAGCGCTCGTTTGATGAGACGTTGAGAACGGGTAGAGAGATCGACAAGTTGGGACGCGAGCGGGAGTGAGATAGGGAAAGGGAGCTACTCGTGCCATGGCTAGAGATGGACGCATTGCGCGACCTGGCCGATGATAGCTCCTGCGAGAGCGATACAGACGGCGGCAATGACCTAGAAGAGACAGAATTGACCGTTAGCACCATCACGAATCCGGCAGTCGTGGGATCGCACCTCGAAGTAAGAGATTCGCTGGAGCCCGCCTGGTGTTTGGAGAGCCCCCTTCTGGCTGAGCCGTTCCCGTTCAGAAGCGTTTCGCTGCCCGCCTTCGGGCTTCCTTTTCCCATTCTCCTCCTAGGAGACAGGTCAGCCGGCCGATCTTCAGACTCTGAGAGTGCAAGCGGGGCGTTGACCTTGGCCTCCTCCAGCTGAGCCGCAAGGTCTGTGATCTCCCGGAGTGCGTCGTGATACTTGGCAGTGACGGAAGAAAGATCCGCGAGCGTCGCCGTGTGAGTCTGCTGAAGAGTGATGAATTGCTCCTCCGCGGGGCTGGTGCCGTTAAGCAGGGACTTGCCACCGAGCGTGTCGGTGCTGGCAGCGCTCCTGAGCGACGGCGGGACCGACTTGGCCTCGAGTTCCTTTCGTGCCTTCGCGACTTCGCCAACGAGCTCGTTGAGACGCTGCCGGTCCTGGTCGGCCTCCTTCATCCTCGCCTCCCACTCTTCTTTCTTGGCTTCCAGATCGCGTACCTTCTGTTCGCGCTCCTCCAGATCCGTCCGCCAACTCTCGCCGTCGCGCAGAAGCGCATCAAGGCGCGACTGAAGGACCTCGGCTTCTTCACGCCTTCGCTCGCACTCGCGCTCCAGCTTCTCTAAAGTGTCGCGCAGCGCGAGTACGGACTCGTCAGCGCGGGTCAACCGGGCTTCAAGATCAGCGATGTACTGAGTGTTGTACGAGTCGGAGTCCTTGTATCGAGTGATCTCGCGCTTTAAATCGGTGATGGAACCGCTGGAACTAATAGAAGTCTCGTCGTGTTGCTTGATTTTCTCCTCCAAGTCGTGGATGTATGCCTGAGTACGAGTAGCACTAAGCCGAATGACACGTGATTGTCTGCACTTACCTCGTTGGCAGCTTCACGCTCCAACAGTTTCGACACCCTGGACTTCAACTCCTCGACATACAGCTCGGTCGTCGACTGCTTCTCCACGAGCTCCATGTACTCTTGGTCCTTCTCCTCGTAGAGGTCGTTGGTGTGCCTCAACGCAGCGCGATTCAGGTTAAGCTCTGCCTCCATCGCGCTGATCGTCTTCTCGTACTCCTCGATAACAGGACCGACGATCTCCTCGTACTTCGCTGTCCCGGACATGTGCCCCTTGGACGAGCGCTGCTTCTCCGCGAGTTCCCGCCGAAGACGTGTGAGCTCCTCGTCCGCTCCACGAATTTCTCGCGCATGTCCTCGTAGTTGCTCTGGAGCTCCGCCATCTGCGCGAGCACCTTCTTCCCAGCGCCGTCAGAGAACTCCATGCTGCTGCGCGGGGTAGACACGCTAGATCCGACAGAGATCGTACCGCCCTCCTTAAGGACCTTGAGCTCCTTCCGTAGACGAGTAACGGTGCCCTGGAGCCACTCCAAGTCGTCCCACCCTCCTCCTTCTCGTTCATCACTGCGCGGTTCTTGATGTTCCGGGCCCGGTTCGCGTACTTGAGCGTGTTAATGGTCTCGCCCGCGTTCCACTCTGTCGGACTCACACACGCAATCATGAGCGTGTGCGCATTCCCACCGAGGGAGTCCTGTAGCAACCGCGTAAGTTTCGAGTCGCGGTACGGGACGTACGACGCCGTATGCGACTTGGCGCGTGCAGGATCCCCGAGCGCTGAGATGACATTCCCGAGCGCGAGCAGTCCGCTGTTGATGGAGATACCCTCCTTGATGCGGTCACCGGCGGCTCCCGTGCGCTTAATCTGTGCGAAGTATGAGCATCAAGGTGTGTACAACTAGAAGCACACGCACCCGCTCGGAACCAGCTAGATCGACGAAGTGGAACTTGGAGATGACCGTAACCCAGTCGCCATCGCCATCATCCGCGGCGTCTTTCGCGTGTCCACGATCCGGGGACAAGAATCCAAGCGAGCTTGCTGGACGCCCACCTCTGCCTATCGCAGACTGGAAGCTTGGTGTCGATGGCCGGCCGAACGTGGGTGACGATACACGGTTGCTTTGGGACGAGCCGTACATCGCGGTACCCGGTCGCGCGATCCGCGACCCAGGGCGACCGCCAGGCGGTAGGGGTGATGATGACCGAGGGGGCGGCTTCGAACCAGAGTACTTCTTCTGCGTGAGCGTCAAGGAGAAGATCGCATGTGAACGAGACGACTGTGCGTTCATGTCTGTCTCATTTGTACGGCGAATCGCTGAACCCTGTTGGATGAGACTACAGTGTGTCAACACGGTATGACGATCACTATACGACGTAGACAACTCACCTCATGACCTCACTCGGACCCCGTACGCTGACCTCGCGCAGCCCTTCCCAAAAGATATGACCTTGCTTATCCTCTCGGATCTGCACCTGCTTGCCTCCTCCGTCCTCCATATTCAGGAGGTCGATCAGATCCTCGTTGTACAGCTCGATAAACGAGCCCCTCAGGCTATACTGCCACGAGTCACCACGCTCCTGCTTGAGCTCTTTACACCGGGCGAATATGGTGGACACGGCACGGGGGATGATACCCATGCCGTTGGACGGGTCGTTGGGATTAGCGTCAAGGTCGATACCAGTCATGGTGAAAGTCTTTCCACTGCTGGTCTGACCATACGCGAGAATAGTGCAGTTATAACCCTCAATAAAACGAGAGAGGAGAGGTTGGGCGGTGGTCGTGAAGAGGGCATGTTGAGTCGTCGCTGGCGGATGTACTTGATCGAAGTTGAAGGCCTGCTTTTTGGCGGAGGGTGCAGCGGGTGCAGGTGCTCCCCCGCCAGCAGCTGACGAGACAGGGTCCACGGTGACGGTGGTGGATGAGACGGCATTGACTACAGACCGTTGGAAACGAGCGGGGGTGGAACTGGTGTCCTGAGTCGTCGTGGGGCGGATACGGACCGCTGCGACGCGCTATGAGCGACCTCGGTGTGCAAGGACGAGCAGAGCGTACTCACCGACTTGCACGGAAGTCGTGGCCGCGCCCGAGGATGCTGGCGAGGGAGCCATGTTGTATGTCGACGTCGTCGACCGCGACAAGCGCGTTGCGCGGGAAGGTAACAAATTAGTAACAACGCGCTTGCTCGAACGTCCTGATGCGCAAACACGAACAAATGCCTGCATCGGCTTCCTCCGGCGCTGATCGTCTCGTTGGCAGTGGCACCAAGTGGCACCTCCTCTTACCCGCCGCGACAATCGCTGATGCAGATGCAGCCTGGCGAATTATAGGGCGACGACATCTACGTCCCCTTTCCAATCAGCACTTGGCACGCAGGTGAGCGCAATCACTCTAGTCGGACTAGCATTCGGCGATATGTGACCGGCCGACTTGTCGTATTTCGCTGTCACCACCAATAGAGGTTGTTATACGGTGCACACTTCCCGTCATCACTTCCTGCGATTGCGACACACTAAATAAGCTTGGGCGATTACTCAAGAGAACGCGCACCTGGCAGCCACCAACCTCGGAAGCTGGATGCATGCAACCGTGGCCTTAGTACTGTCCTCAAGATGAATAGCCATCTGCCGGATACATACTGACCAGGTACGTGTATGATCCTGCCGATGCACTTCAGTGCGGAGATTACCAGAACCTTGTCCAATAGCAGCCAGCAACCCCGGTACAGTCATCTCTTCGGGCGATAGACCATCACCGCTTTGTCTACGTCCCCGCTCGATACGTCCACGTCTGTTCAGAATGGACCTTAAGAACGGTGCCGTGCAGAGTGCCGTCCAGTGTCTGCATATTGATACTTCTTTCCGCAGTGTCCACTGCACGTTCCGTGCCTTTTCACCGTTGTTCCATCGTACGTCTCAATCTCGAAGAGGTTTTGTGATACGCTGCTTTACCCATACCTTGAAAGCTTCGTGGAGGTTTGGCCCGAACAGAACCTCGATAACGCCATGCCGTTCATGAAGGCACAGTGGTGCATAGTCATTGCGTCTAACGCCGCGCAGAAAACTTCTCGTATCAGTTGCGCATCAGTTGCTGTCCCTGTGCCGTTACAGTCTAACCTTCGATGTGGTTCGACTGCACCTATCGATCGGAGCCTTCCACCGACAAAGGAATGATATGGTCCTGGAAGTGTACCATCTCGCCGTACCTTGAGCACGTACAACTAACATTGATCTCGACCCCGGGGAGCCATGCATCCCTTGGCACAATCTTCCGTTAGTGACTACAGTACACGCCCTCGACGTCGAGGTACATATACTGCGTCACAGGAGACATTTGGTATTTGTCCCCCTAGGCTAGGATATCGCAACGCGTGTCTAGTGTGGAGCCTCGCCGCTTGGCAGCAATGTTCAACGATCGCAGGGTAACTCATTACCGATAAATGATCCTGTCAATCTCAGGAGTGTTACGGCACAGACAGGAGGAACTGTGTGCTAATATCATGTAATATCGACTGCTATGGAACCCCCCGCCCGCTGGGCTCGGAGTCTCCATCGAGCCTGAGCCTGAGCTCAATCCATGGAACCTAGTCTGCTGCGGGCATCTCGGACTTTTATGTACAAAGTGAGATGCAAACTGCCACTTAACCTCGTAGACGTAACGTCTAATCCTGATGCTCCATTTACATATGCCCTGGTACAGTGCTCGAGCCGCAACAGCACCCGACATGCAGCCATGTCCCCGAGCTGCGATGCCGTCTCCCCTAAGTCAAAGATACGTTGTGTCCATTTTCTGCGTCGCGATTCAAATGGCGAGGTGCCTGATGAGCCAATGGCAGCACGCGCTACATACTGTCGCCCAATCAGGCAAGTGGAAGTACAGGAAGGTTAAGCGCCCCCGCCACAGCTGGTCCCGTTTCTGTCGCACTTTTTCGTAAAGCCGTAAAGCCTTGACATAACTCTGTCTTCGTCCTATTCAAGATGTCCATGCAACCCGTTCGCACTCTCTTCACAACACCCCACCATGTCACTCGCGGAGGCCATGCCCCAGCATGCCATCACATCCTCCAGTAGCACGCCCAGCTCGTCCAACCGCGACTTGACCGCGTCCAACCGCGATGCGAACGCGAATGCAAACACGCACTCGAACTCCAGCGCGAAGCCGCGAGAAGGCCAGGGATTTGAGTTTACGAGGCGGAAACGGTGGGCAGACCTGCTGGTTACGGAGCTACGCGAGGCGATTGTTCTCGTCCTGTCGCCCACCTGCAAGGTCTGGTATTGTGGTGCGGCGGTAGAAGAACTACTCGGATGGAAGGACGAGGAGTTGGTAGACGGTGACATTGCGGACCTTATGAACGGTTAGTTGTATATGCGAACCCACGACCGTCGCGTCTGACCTGTTGCATGTATCAGTCGACGACCGCTCCAGCTTCCGCAGTCAGTTCCAGGAGAGCATGCAGACGAAGAGTTCGCTCCTCGCCTATGCGCGTCTGCAATGCAAGAACGAGTTCTACATGGCAAGCGACTATTCATCGCGTCCTCGCGAGGTGCTCTTCGAAATTACCGGCAAACCGCATTACTTCTCCGACTCGGGCGAGTTCAGGTGCTTCTTCGCTGCGGCCAAGCCCTACCCAAGCCGGAACACTGCAATGTGAGTATCTGCGTACAGCGGGTCAGTAGCTGTCACTGAATCCGTCCACAGGGTGAACACGTTCCTGGAGCTCAAGATGGAGAACGAACGGCTAGAACAGCGCGTCACTCATCTTCGCGCACAGGCCAAAGCTTTGAACGTGATGTATCCATCATCCTCCCCCGCGCCCTCGTCGACTTCCCCTGGCAGTCGGTTCACGCAGCAGGTCGCTCAACGCACCGAAAACGGCTACTATAGCGGCTACGGTGACACCCCAGTTGGTAACACTAGCCTAGACAGTCAAGTGCAAGACGACGCAGACGACGACGGTACGGATCCAAATGGATCCAGAAAGAAGGTATGCACTGTGACGTTCCACAATGTCTGAACGTTGCCTTGAGCCTTTCTAGGCCAAACGGCCGTTCACCGCACCAGAGCACCACGTCTGCCAGACTTGTGGTCGCACGGACTCGCCAGAATGGCGCAAGGTTCGTCTTATACACGCGTGACTGTTATGTGGGAACTGATCATGCGTGTCGTTTCAGGGTCCTGGGGGACCTAAGACCCTTTGCAACGCATGCGGCTTACGCTGGGCCAAGAAAGTGCGCACAGACAAGTCGGGCGAAGGGAATGGGAGCAACCCTGATGGCGACTCATTCATCTTCTGAGCTTCGAGTGTCGCATGCCATCCCCGGTTGGTCTGGTATTCCTATTCTTCTTGGGACGGTCACATACGCAGCCACCGACGTTTTGTAGCATATATCATGGAGCATACCTTTCTTGAGACTTTCTTGGGGCACAACTGGGGCACGGACTTGTTGCCATCCATCTCGCCATGATGGGAACATTTTGTGTGCATTGACGTCTGTGCTAACTGATACATGCTGAACAGAACATAGCCAAATGTGTGATCTCAAGAAATTCAAGCCTTACATCTGCATATCCGCACCCACGTACATTGTTCATTCCGTAGCCAGTCCTTTGAGTGTCCGAGTGTTCAGTGTCCAAGTTGCTAATGTCCGCCATTTCCGTTGCAGATTCATACACTCCAAGATACGGATAGAGGTACAGAGATTGTCCGGACAGGCTGATTTGGACCCGGGAACTGAGCCACCATCTATTCGTGATATAACAGGCGGGACTCACCGTGTTCCTATATCCTCCTCACCTTGCTGATATTAGTGTGGACGCTACCACGTTCGGAGTGGGCGAAGCTAACGCGACTCGGCGGCGGGGGAAAGCGGAGTTGATAGTGTCCCAGGGAGTTGAGGCGTGGTCGAGCGGGAGGTGGCTCCATGATGAAAGATTCCGTGATGGTGCGGCTTTCTTCACGCGTATTCTCTGTCCAGAGCCGGATGATGATGAGGTCAAAGGCGATGCCTGCAAGTTCTACGCTCTGACAATGGTTGAATGGGTCAACACGACAAGCATGTCTCAGCATACCCTATAACTTACGACGTCGGTGGTGCCGTAGAACGCATCGTTGCTGATCATCTCCATCACGGCGCTGATCACGACGGACAGAGTGTACATGAGCGCGGACTCCATGAAGATGCGGCTGACGGTTTTGAGACGGTTCCAACGCTGCTGCCTTATGAACGACGAAGTCTGCTTGCTCAGCGCCCGCATTCGATACACGATCAACCCTAGTTTGATGGACGTTAGACTGCGTAGTGAGTGCGGCGATTGGCTTGTAGCACGTACCAGTGACCAGGAAGTTCAAAAGGAGCGACATCAAGTAGGTTGCAAATAGGTATGGTCGGAGAGTTTTCTCGTGTGGTATCGTTGCTAACTTGTGCAGGGTGGACACGTAGTAAACGTCTACGGTCGCACAGACGATCGCACCCAGCCACAGGAGGGTGGGCAGGACGATGACGGCCCAGCGAGGCTTCCAGTGAGCATACACAATCCAGCAACGATAGATCTGGTCACGACAGGTCATCGTCAATGGAGATCATGATGTCAAAAGGTTTATTGATTTTTACCAGAGCTGCATCGGAGAGCATCGCGACAAGGAAGTACAAGACACTCTGGTGCCCCACAGTCAGGCTCTCAGGAAGAGGTGAAAATACGGTGAGTCCACTCACCCTGACGATATTGATCCAGTTCGATATCGTTTCGAATTGCAAGTCAGCACCGCCGGGCCTCTTGAAGAAGACGAACGCAATTATGTTATCATATAAGTTCAGCGACACGTCCACTCCTCCGAGGATGAACAAGCTAGTAGCCACGACCATCCAGGGCCAGGACTTCGTGCCGAGCCCCGCGATCTGAAAACGGCAAAACCACCTGTGCATGCAAACCGCGAAGACCAGCGCGTGTACCCCGAAGGCGAAGCTTTGCATGAAGAGCGAGACCAGCTGTGCTTCTGTGATAGGAAAGATCGGTGGCCTCCGCATCGGAGGGTGGGACATCGCGGTGAGCAATGATAGTCTGTTGAACTCTTTCAAGTTATATACTCCCGATATCATGTTCCTGAAGCACTGACCAATGCGAAGATGCTCCACGTTGTGTCTATCAGTTTCAGTACGACACTAGCCTTCGCTTTCTGGTGCCAAGAAATTTATTTGCGGCACCAGCTTCGTTCAGGCCACGGACAATTTGCAAGCTACGTACCTTGTGAGAAGGCGTTGTAATTTCATATCCCTAGGTAAGATGCGCTCACCATTGCATGGATATAGTGCTTCGTATGGGAGGGGCCCAACATCGGTGGAGAATCGGAATGATTGAGCCACGGACATGTCCGTAAGCTTGGATCAAAAATCGTAGCTCCCGCACCGATACGAGTAGACATGCGAGATGTCATTCTCGTAGGAAGGGGCATGGTAATGACGGCGTTTGCTGCTAGAGGAAATCCCACTTCTCCTCAATTCCCTTGCCGACCATTGCCGTACCGACTACTGCTACAGCATCGCGGAGAACAGTCGGTATGGTGAGCACAAAGATCCGTGTGTCCTTGACGTCGATGCAGCAGCTTCCATTGCGCTGTCCAGTGGATTGACTCACACGACCTACATAGGCTGTTCGAACTGGAATCCGCGAAACGCGGGGAGACGATCACATCTAGGAAGGTCGGGAGGTCATCTCGTTACCGTCAGCCATGTCTCGAATAGACTATGCACACTAAACGGACCTGGACATAGGACAGGCATCGGTTGCAGTCGAAGCTCGTCGTGATTGCCACCATATACCAGACTCCAGTGGCTGACATCAGCGCCATCCGGGGCCATCGAACCACTGTAAAATACCTGTGGAAGTCAATGAGGAAGTGTGCGTCACTACCAAGTGAATGAAACAACTCGCCAATAACACGAATACCATGACTTCAAATTTGATTGCTTCCATGCTTGTTTCATCAACAGGCATCGCCCGATGAAGCGGGGTCCATCGACTCGACGCACACGCAAACCAATTTCAGTGTCAGGCCTAGTTTGGTGTCAGGACACACAAAACCCTCTGAATAGTCAATCTACGGACCCAACATTCAACGTTGCGAATGGAAGCAGACGGGCCAACGCACGCTCCTGTCGGCAAAGATCAGCGTTCCCCGATCATCAAGGCCACTACTCGCATCACTGTGGCACCGTTCCGACCGCGGGGAACAAGACTTGCAAGGTGAGAAATGCCCAAGCAACATATATTACACACTGTAATGACAGATACAACGGTCTACTGCGACGTGCAGTGTCAATGAGCGTACAAATTTGATACAAAGTCAATGGCCCCGTCTTACACTCGTCGAGACATTTTTTACGAGAGCTTAGCGAAGCCGACGGCGTTGTTGTCGACAGAGAACGCGGTGTAGACGTTCCTCATGAGCCTATTGGAGATCAGCTGTCATTCATGGACACCGAAACCGACGACCACGTACGAGTCACCAAGGAGCCAAACGTTATCACCGAGACCGAGGTCCTGAGCAGCAAGAGCACCTTGGCAGTTACCGTCGGAGGCAGTACCGAGGTTGAAGCTGTGCATATCGACGGTCAATCTAGGCAGAACCAGGAATGGTAGAACCCTTACACGTCCGAGGAGATCTCCCAGTTGTTGCCACCCCACGAGAAGGCGATGGTCGGGATGGAGTCGCAGGGAATGGAGTAGTATCCGTTCTGCGAGTCGTACTCGGACGAACCGTCAATGGCAGCGTAGAACTGCGACACGGCATCGGGCGGGCCGTACATGATCGTGGTGCCTGCGCACAAGACCAGGTGAGCTCAGGTATTCTATGGTGAGCACTGTCCCGAAATGCTCACCGGAGTCAATGATGGTGTCGAAGTCCGAAACCGTGGCGTTGTTGTTGACCAGCGCACTCGCACCACTGATCTGCCAGAAGCCCTGCGCCGAAGAAGAGAGGTCGTGGTACTCGATGTCACCAGAGTACATCGAGTTGTCCGTGCCCCCGATGTAGAGCTCGGAGCCACTGGTCGAGAGCTTGAAGGCGAACACGCCCTCTTTCACGGCCTTCTGGTCAACAGCAGTCCAAAAGTACGGGTCCTGTTTTCGTTGCATCAGCGTCGGGACAACGAAACCGATCACCTCCGACCTACCGATTTGAGCTGAGAGATGGTAGGGAAGGCCATGCCCATCAGACCGTCGTTCGGCCCACCGACCAAGTTGCCGCTCTCGCTGTTGACAGCAGACAGATACTGGCCAGTAACCGACACACCGGAAACGCTGACTAATAGCACACCACCGTAAGTACAGGCAGCAAACTCCGACCACGCAGACATACCGGTATCGGAGTAGATGGGGCCAGAGGCGGTAGAACCGTCACCGTATTGGATCTGGAAGTTACCGCTCTGCTCCTTGCTCGTCGAGGACTTGGATGCATCGTATGAGCTCTTCGCCTGGCAGCCGGAGCAGTCGGAGGACGGGATCCAGAGATCAGCAGAACCAGTATCGAAGTCGATGGTAAAATCCTGCGCGGGCGTGCCAATGGACACGGTGCCCGTCCACTCCTCATTGTTCTGCTCGTCCGAAAGGGACTCGCCCTGGCGCTTCTGAAGAGAAGGGGGCAGGACAGCCAACCCGGGGATGTGTGCGCCCTGGTTGAAGTTCTCCAGACCGACGTTCTTGTCGATGTTCATCAGGTTCTGACGGTGCTTGCTAGTAGACACAGAGAGCACGTGAGCACGTGCGTCGCTGAGCGGAAGAATAGCAAAAGCCGCGTACTTCTGCACCTTGACCTTCTGCCGAATGGCAGCCTCGCGGTCGAACGTGCCATCAGCCTTGGTCACCGAGCTACGCTTGTGAATGGGAATGCGGATTCCGTTCTGGGTATCCTTCGCAACCGGCGAAGCGGAAGCGACGAACGCAAGAGCGAGGGTGAGCAGAGCTGCCTTGGGGAACATGATTGTTGAACTGAGGAGCTGAAGGCTGTAGGGGAAAGACCGGAGAAGGTACGAACGAGGCGACCTGCCGTTCAGCATTCAGCCCAGAGGCTTATATGCATCCCCGGCTTCCGCGTCATGAAGAAGCAAGGCCTTCGCGGCGCACATGTCCTTCCGAACAGTCCATATGACGGGGACCACCGCCATGTTGGCTGAGAAGCCATCGCAGGTGGTATAGCATGCTTGTGCCGTGTCCAGGGAGATCCTGCAACTCGCTGATCATGCTTCAGGATGATGAAATGAGAACGGAAGTGAGCCCTTGTGCATACCTCACGTCCCGTGTGTTACACACCGCCAGCGCCCGGTGCAGGGACCTTCCCGATCCAGATGCGGCATGGAAGTCGCTCCACAATAGCGTGGTCGAAGCGGCGGGAAGAACGTCTAGCGTGCAATCCGGCGGTGAGGCGGGTTGGAGGCGGGCCTTGCGTGGGGATGCCCATGATCCGCTATCGAGACGCTGCTGTATCCTTGTGACGCAGAAGTCAATCCCCCGCACGATTGCGCACCCCTCCCTTTAGCCGATCAACCGAACGCCAGCTTACTCGTGCGTTTGCTATACCAGGTAAGGTCGGGAAGAGATGACGACCTGTTCGGAGATCCCGGTGCCCACCTCGTGAACTTGTTATCTTGCATCCTCGGGTCCCCGTCCGTAAAGCTGATCGACCTCATAGGGAGCCGTAGACGAATACAAAGTACGACGGATTGGTGCGATGGCAAACACCTTGTAGAGCCAGTGTGAATTGAACGTCATTACAAGCGACCCGTCGGAAAAGACCATGGGCGGTCATGCGCAGGGAACACAATATGCTGTATCATAACACTTGGGCATGACAACGGGGAGCACTGCTATGCAAGTACTTGCTGCACTGCCCACATCATCAGTTACGATAAGGAGCAGATGGTCCTTGCATAGCATGAGTCTCGGGGTTCCCGAGACTACTTACGCGCACAAGGCTACCCGGTGCACCTCCGCATGCTGGGGGAGCATCGTAAATGCCAGTAGATAACAGAAGCTCGAGCCTAAGAGACTTGTCGGTACTGCAACCAAGCGTTGCGACTTCGTGCAAACAGAGCATATGGATATGAAACCCGCCGACTCGCCTCGTTACAATGACGTCGCGCCCGGCCACATGGACCCATTATGACCACCGCATCGAAGGTGGCCGCGACGCCCGTTGATACCACATGCTGTGACATGCCCGCAGAGATAGAAGCGATACATACCGTGTCGTGCGCATGACCGAGATTGTGCAGTTGTCTACTCTCTACTGGGAAGCAGGCTCAGACAGCGTGAAGCGGCATGGAGAAACCACATACCATATGCATCCGACACACCAATCGACCCGTCGTTGCCGCACATTGTCGAAATGCCGTACAGCTACCAGTACCGTGAGCGGGATCTCCTATCTCACTCGGGAATATGGACCATAACTGGAGTCGTCGCAGAAGAATTTGGCTATAGCTGCTTTCTTCACGACAGAAGACGCGGATGCAAGGACGGAAAACGAAGGGTCACCTTCAAAATGCAAGAGAATAGGTCGTCGGTCGACACCAAGTTGCTTCGGTACTGTAACATAGGCGCCCATAAGCGGGAACACGTGTCTACCAACCTCCATCAATTCAACCTCGGAAGACCGCCCTAGCAAGTATGATCGTAGAGAACAGCTTCATTAAGTCTATCTAAGCAGCAATCAGTTGGCAGCAAGCAGTGTAGATCCGGCACTTACATGCTCGTACTCATCGGTGCCGCTGGTACGTGTTCAAGAATCACAATGGACAAGGGCAATAGACTCAGAGGTACTAAGTGTCAGGAAGATGCCATCGTAACATCTCTCAGCTCCTGTACATAACAAAGGCTCCTCCCTGTAACCGAGTCCCTCGCATCCGGGTCGATTACGAACCCACAGCGCGCGTAAATCCTCGCCGCTGCAGGCTCAGGTACGAGCCCACGCTTGCGGTGCTCCGGCGCGATGAACACGTTGCGTATGGCGACCGTCCGCGGAGTGTTCCTCCCGAGCAGTAGATATCCACGTACATCAATTGCTCTCCCTCGAACACGGCGAGGAAGGTGCCTTCCGCGGTGTCGGCGCCCGATGCAGCCTGAGTATGCGACTCGGAGGCTCCTGTCACAGTACGTCCAGGGCTTGTCCACGGCGACAGGCTGGCTATGACCATCCCTAGGCCAAAATTCATGAAGTCATCGTCAAAGGGCGTTACGGCGTCGACGAAGTCTTGAGCAGATGCGAAACGAACTAGGCGCAGTGCTGCAGTTGGTGACTCCGATCCAGGGCTTGACATCGAATACGTCGGAGGTGCCTTCGTTGCGGGTAACGATGTTGGACTACGGAAGCTTGCCTTTCGCGAACTGAATTGATGCCAAAGAACATTGTAGGAGACCGAGATATGTGGACAAAGTCAGAGGCCCCTATACCACACCGTTTTTGACTCGACATGTTTGACTGGTCGCACAGCCCAGCGGCCGTCAAGCGCTTAACAGATAACCTTCAGTTCCATCGCCCACGCATACCGCCCATGAGATAAGGGACACATACTTACCTGTTGTGCGCACCAACATAAGCGTTTGAACACTCCGATCGGCTTTGGATGTCAGTGTGGCCCAGCTGCCAGGCCGCCACATACGTGCGGCGGAAGATTGCCAGTACGTGTTGGCTGCTGTCCATCATCGGAGGCAACACGAGCTCCTGCCAGCAGATGTTGTAGAGACGACATCAAGACGAGGTTCGACTAAGGTATGCCAGCCAGCACTTGAATTGATAAGTACTTCAACAAGTCGAACCAGAGGAGTTAAGCAATCGAGCCGCGAATTCAAGAGCATGCTGTTCTCACCTAGCAGACCGCCCTCCCCTCCATCAAAGAGGTCTTCCTTAGGGTCTGCCTAGTAGGAGAGAAGTACTCAGTTGTTCCCAGCATGAGTTGTCTTCCACATCCTACCCTCCGGAGACAGCCGCCGGATATGTTCCCTCTAGCGCGACGCGCGTGATCGTGACGCGCCACCGCTGCGGCCGCTCAAGGCTTACCTTCAATCATGCATCAATGCATCATGGCCAGCTGCCTGCTTCTCTCCCTCATCGGCTGTGCTTCCCTCGATACACGCAGGCGATACATGTACCCCACCTCACCTGAGGTGTAGAGCCAACAGTCGCCAGTTCACCGACCATGTCTTCGCCTCGCCCTCCAAACGTAAGGCTCGCACGCGCGAGGGAGATCCTCAAGGCCGCCAACTGCAATCTGTCCCCCGAGCACAGGGAGATCGTTGCCCGCGCAGGAGCCGCGTTCAACCGCGGCGGCCAGTTCGGGGACTCGGTCATGATGCAGATGCGAATGATTGTGTGCAATACATTCGAGAGGCCGGAGGACGGGAGGACGCATGCGCGAGTCGTGTTTGAGGGGACCGTATTGCAAGGTGAGTGAACCCTGGACAGCACAGATTGTGACCGTGAGGCTGACAGGTGGACATTTCATACTCTTTAATCGGCAGAGATGTGCAATGCACATAATATGATGCATGGAGGTTGCGCAGCGTTTCTCGTCGACGCGTGAGCCCGTCGTCTGGACCCGCAATTGGACTGTCTATTTACCGCTCCGCATATAGCTGCACATCGGCCACGCTGGTAGTTCAAGCTCTGGTCGCTGGAGGTGCCTTCGACCTCGTCTCACAATCCCTCAACACGACGTTTCACGCGGGAGCGAAATTGTACGTCCTTATTGCTGCTCACTTCACGCTTTGAAGGCCTGTAATCTGGGCAACAGAGGGGACAAGTTGAACGTTGTATGCATCACCGTGTCCTCCGGTAAACGTGCGGTATCTGTGCGCGCTGAGGTGCGAAGTCAGCTGCCTTTCCCAGTAGTTGCTGACTCTTATCTCCGTACGTACAAGATATGGAATACCACAGCGCGGCGTCTCGTCGCAACTGGAAGTCAGGTGAAGATGGCCCCAAGCAGGTCCGATGTCAAGCTTTAGATCCTGTAGCTCTTGTACGGTTATATTTGCATTCTTCGTCTATCCAGAGGCTGTATTTATATCATCAATGACTCACAGTGTACCAGTGTACCATGATTGCCTGCCGACCAGCAAGGCAGTTCTACGAGCGCAGGTGTTGTGGGATGGTGCTGACGGTCGAATGTGACTGGACGTCTGTACGTAGCGCCCGACATGTCTCGTGACCGCGATGTGTTACGCCGCGCCACCGACGCGCCGTGCGGCGTGCGACGCGTCTAACATGTGTGGGGAGTGCGCGTAGGTAGGTCCGCGGGTTCCTTGCCCAATGCGCACATACTTCAGGGCAGACCGATTCAATCTTATGAAGCGTGAGTAGGGCTCAGATACATAATGCGATGCAGGCGAGAGTCCTAGGCAATTAGCAAGTAATTAGTGTCGGAAGCCCACTCCATCTGAACTTTGCAGCGTGGCATTGAAGAGACCGACAGTGCACAACTTCAGTGTCTTATCATTTGTGGGTGAGCAAGTGCTTACACTCGTAGTAAACGCGTCCGCCATCTTACTCTTACGGGACTGCGTCGCGTAGGTGATGGGTCCGTTCTCCGAATCGGCCCGCAGTTGAGACACAGTCTCAGTACGAGCGCCGGTCGAGAGAGGAAGGTAACTGCCTCGTGAATTAATTGAACCTCACGCGGCAGAATTTGGTGCTAAGCGACTCGTCTAGTGCTCTGTATTGCCAAGGAGCCTCTTGTTCTACCCTGTATGATCATGATCGAATATTTTATCGCGGTTTGTAATGGGTTTGCGTCCAGTGGTCCTCGGACCCTTGGCGTTGCGAGTGGCAGCGTCGAGATTCATATATTCACCGCTCTTCAACGACTCATTTTGGCCAACTGTCCTCGGAGGATAAATATGGAAGCGATGGGTAAACATGCAACTCGCTAGGGCGTGCAGATAGACGTTGACGTTCTAGCGAACCAGACTCGAATGACAACACGGGCCGCGGGAGAAGATCGTTGCCTGGTCCTGATCGGCAAACATGGACATGCTGGGCTGCTGACACATACTTGAACTACTTTCCGTTGCTAAATCCAGCAGCTGCTATACTCACAAGCGTCGTCGTGGATTTCAGGTGGACGAGTACAACTTGAAGGTTGTAAGAAGCGCCGCCTATTGGACTCGGGGCAAACTCGGAGCAGGCGGCGAATCATGGAAACACGTGATTTTGCGGCCGCACAGGAACGTCGGGGTTGCCTGATATGGGTAACCGCCTGCGTCGACAGTGGTTACCCCGCACTCGTAAACGCATTACCCCTGTGACAGTTGATTGTCCCCACATCCTCAGAATGAACCGGCTGCTGCTCTCGTCTCTCTCGTCTCTTCCACGACAGGCCGTCCGGCAGAAAGGCCTCCGTGCTCGCGCGGCGATCAGCCAACGTCGCAGCGCTTCATTCTACAATGCAGATGTGGCAGGACTGACGGAGGAACAGGCCGAGGTAATGCACATGTCGCATGTGGCCGGACCGTATCAGGACACTGACATGGTACAGTTTAGAGATGCTGTCACGCAGTTTGCGCAGAGGGAGGTTGCTCCCCGCGCGGCTGAAATAGACAGGACTAACACCTTCCCCGCTGTGAGTCCAAGCCTCAATGACTGTCACGCACGACTGAACTATTCATACGCCGCCGTCGTTCGCTTTAGGATCTATGGGAGAAGCTGGGATCCATGGGGCTTCTCGGCATCACCGTATCGCCCGATTACGGTGGCCTGTCACTTGGTTACTTTAACCACACACTGGCAATGGAAGAGCTGTCTCGTGCCTCCGGTTCGGTAGCCTTGTCATATGGTGCACACTCCAATCTTTGCGTCAACCAGGTATGCGGATTTATTCTTGAGCCAATGCATGTGTGCATTGCCACCGCAGTATTCTCACTATGCTCAACACTGTATCAGATACACCGATGGGGCACAGACGCCCAGAAGGCCAAGTACCTACCCGACCTCATTGCTGGGACGAAGGTCGGAAGTCTCGCCATGAGCGAGCCCGGAAGCGGCAGCGACGTGGTAAGCATGCAGTTACGGGGACCAAGGTAGAAGGCGGGTGGAAACTGAACGGCAATAAATTCTGGTTGGCTCAAATTTCTGCGCGCGTCTTGGGAGTCAGCACTGACTCAGCATGGCTCAGGATTACAAACGGCCCGACCGCGTCGACACTGGTCGTATACGCAAAGTCAGCACCGGAGAAGGGCTCGCGGGGCATCACTGCCTTCATTATTGAGCGCGGGTTCACCGGATTCTCCACACACCAAAAGCTGGACAAGATAGGCATGCGTGGAAGTGACACTTGCGAGCTCGTCTTCGAAGATTGCTATGTTCCAGACGGTCCGTGAAATGATCCTTGCCTCCCAAGCGTCATCTGACGGCTTGGATACCTGTAATAGAAAATGTTTTGGGGTCCTTGAACAGAGGCGTTGAGGTGCTCATGTCCGGACTCGATCTTGAGCGCCTCGTCCTATGTGGCGGGCCTCTGGGGTGCGTCAATAAAATCGAACTTCAGATCTTCTCGGCTAATCACCCGGGCGCTCGGTAGGCTGATGCAGGCCGCATTTGACTATGCCGTCGAATACGTGCATGACCGCAAACAGTTCGGGCAACCCGTCGGAACGTTCCAGCTGATGCAGGGTCAGTCCTTTGTGTGCACCCTCTCCGTGCGCGTCGTGGTGTCTTACGTCTGCGCGCTGGCGTGTCGCTCGCAGGTAAGATAGCGGACATGTATACGAAGTTAAACGCTTCGCGGTCGTACGTTTACGCGGTCGCGAAGGCCTGTGACCAAGGGAAGGTCAGCAGACGGGTGGGCATTTTCTCCGTTCCACATTGACGAAGCCACCACTCACGTCTCGGCATCCAACAGGACTGTGCTGGAGCTATCCTGTACTCCTCGGACCGTGCGGTCGAGGTGACCATGGAGGCGATGCAGATGCTTGGGGGTAACGGCTACATCAACGGTACGTGCCCGCCGTCTCCTCACGGCCACCGTCCGTTTGTTAACCCGCCATTGAAGAGTACCCTACCGGGCGTTTCCTCCTGGATGCCCGTCTGTACACTGTAGGAGCGGGCACGCAGGAGATCAGAAGGATGCTCATCGGACGCGAGTTCAACGACGAGTTCAAGCGCCGTTCGGCATAGGCCATCGGCGTCACATCTACCCCGCATTTTTCGAACCATCATCTGCATACTCATCTATCGGGAAGGAAGGACGAAGTGACAGAGCTGGACAGAATCAAACGGCCGCTGAGTGCTCTCATCATCATGTACTATTATCTTGAACATTGCTGTAGCCTATGTATCATACCACGGAACATCATCCAGACTACGCCACAGATAAGAACTGCTAGTGCGTCTTGCCAACAAGAACGTGTTGTATGAATGTTGGCGACATCCGAGGTTGTTCTCAAACGGACCACCGGGTCGTACGCCGGGCCCCTCGCGAAGCGGCGTCATCAACCTGCAAATGTTGGACTCGTCAAATACCAAATGATTTTCTATGCTTAACACTAGCTATTGTGGCTCAATGGTTTGCGCATATGCAATGCGGATGTGACGAGGCAAGACGATGGAGCAAGCTTAGTCGAGATTAACCGTGTTTGAAATCCCCCTTCGGCAGATCGGTGTATCCACTGCGTCCGTCCTGATTTAGTATGTATGTGCTCGTCTTGATACACTGCATACCTTCCGTTGACCCCTATCGAGGACCTATTAATAGACCACAACCGCGTCGTGCAGCAGATTGTCGGCTGCAGTCGACAGACGTCATCAGCCGAGTCAGTCGAGACTGACTCAGCCTGACAAGGAAAGGTCAGATCCTATTACCGAAGTGTATGCATTGGGTCACAATTTATGGCGAGTTGGACACAGTTTATGGCGAGTTGGACAGATTAGGACGAATTGGCTCAATTTTGCGGGGGCTGATATCTGCGCTATCATCGTATCGTGGGTATGTTGTATTGTGCTGTCCAAGACAGACAGAGTGCACGGAATACGTCTCTGTTTACTAATTGATGAGTGCAGCCAGTATACCCAATTGCCTACACAAATTCTATGCCACTCACACTCGACCTTACGAGGAAAACGTCTCCTCTACCTGCAAGCATCAGTCAGCGAACGCCACCCGAGGCCACGCCAACTTACAAACTACCGACCGACCTCCATCGACGTAGCCAACACGACGCCTCGGCGTTAACGGACCCGAGGTCAGCGCACGATCAGGTTTGACGCTATGGGTAAGTTCCACTCCACGTTCTGGTTAGCCGTACCAACCGACGCTTGTTCACAGGTGTAGCCGCGTTCTACGGCAAGAGCACCGACAGGGCTGGCAGCGCAAGCCTTCGAACTGCTGACCTGCGCGACGGACCGCGGCGCTACGGACTGGGATGCCGTGGCCCATATTTGGGAGCAACACGTACCGCGATCACCGCGCACCTCCCAAGAGACTGTAGACTTACGGCACTTGGCTGCGGCGCTTCATGTGCTTCTGCAGGTGAATCAACGCTTGGTGAGTGGTTCGCGGCGATCGGGAGGCGCTCAAAGGCGTTCCTCGCAACCGCGACGCGCTTAGTCTGAGCGGGTCCAGGTCCACAGCCAGAGGCCGCTTCACTGGCAGGAGGTCTCTTGTTGAAGGTTCTCCTCGCAGACGGGCTGGATCGACCTGTACTACCGGCACCGCGTCGACCCAGACACCCATAACGAAGCTACATGCATCACTTGTTTTCTCACGACGTTTTTTCCCGATGATTCTCGACCAGTCCAGTGGGTTGGCGACGTTGCGTTCATGCGAGAGAACGGTACAATCCGTTCGGGGTTCAGCCCTTTCGGAGACCGTGCAGTCTAGGTCCGTTGACGCTGCTCGCGAACTCGGGCGTAGGATGGGCGCCTATTCACCTCTTGGCCTGGGTGAATCAATGCTGCCCAGAAAGCCTGGGACACCTACTGACAGCGATATCTTTTGATCAGGGATGATCACCGGCAGGTGAGCTCAAAAAGTCGCTATATAATAACGCATCCTCACCTGCGGATAGACTCATCGTTCAACATTCAAGGGCCGACTTCGACCCGATGCTCCAGCAAGTTATGCCTCGGTTTCTCAGACCGGAACTCCAGCAAGAACTTCGAGTTGGTCGCCGTGTGTGGCGCCGTCGCGGCGAAGTGCGGAGCAACCAGCGATCAAATCGCACTAGCGTGGATCTTAGCGTGCGCATCCTGACTTCGTACCCATCGCTCCGTGGTCCGTCTGGAGGAGACCGCGAAGGCCGCAGAGATTCGTCTCGGTCAGGTAGGACGTCCGCGCACTAAGCAGTGTTGTGACAACCGCCGACATACAGGCCGCGCGCTATCCCGTGGCACATGAGCGAATGTATAACCGGCATTTTATCCGTATGGAGCAGTGGGAGAAGAACACGCGCTCAAATCCTGACTTCATCCGGTCGCGCGGAATGAAGACATATCTATTGTGACGCGTGTTGCGTGGGCTCTGACATGTGCGCAGATATTCCCCTTGTGGCCGTTCACATGTGTTGCAAAAAACTTGCTCGTCCGTATGTAATGGTATCGCACGCTCTATGACAGCTCTGTCTTCCGATCCTCGCTGTTCGGCCTGTTGACAGGAATCCGTGGCGGCCGCCCGTCGGAGCAACATTCACAGTGCGCACTTACCCGATACGAAGCCTCAGGCTGGAGGCGACATACGGTGAAGGCTAAGCTTGATTGAAGAACAGTGTGTGTTTACCACTTCGCGAAGTACATGACGGGGATCTTCCAAGGGGGTTGCATACGGACAGAGGAAAACGCCGGATGCTGACATGCTACGCTATACCTGTTACGGCAACCATCTATTGTCCCTGCTGCAAGGCGTTCGACTGTCAGTTGGCGGCTACGCTAGACGGGTTACCGTCAGCATGAGGAGGCCCGTGCATCCTCCTGGCATCCTCCGAACCACACGTGGATTAAAGGCCGGACAGAGTGGCACTTAATGAAAAGTGCACTTTCGCGCAAGGGGCGGCAGATCGGCAGATCGGGTACACAATGCCTAGGGGGGAGGGTGGGTGGTCGGTCCCCGGAGGGGCGGTATCGAAATTTCCTACAAAAGCGGTGAAAAAAGCGGCAACCCTCCCCTATGAGGCAGGTGAGGTCAGGTGCCGAGTCGGACCGAGGTCTGCCGAGGGTTCAGATCGCATCGCACTACACCGCTAGCGGCAATCGAGTCCGTGTTCGAGCCCGCTACGTTGCTCCTATCCATAGAGTGCGGGTACGCACACGTCTCGCGACTCAATGAATATATTTCACTCGCTAAACTCGACCGCATTCAATTGCATCCGACCGTTCAGAGTGAGGCTGGCCACAGTGCGACCGCGCCTACTATGGCTGAAACCAAGCCACACCGGCCCCACAGCACTAGTCTACAATAGGTAGTGAGCCACAAACCGCAGCACGGCGTTGAGACGTCGTGGCCACGGTGCGGGCCACGACGTCTCTGTACTCTGCATCAACTGTCGAGCTACTACTATGGCGAACTTGGATTCACTCGAGACCGCCTCATTGGACTCACATATCCGTGTCATTCGAGCTATTCAATTTACCTCGCAAGACCTCAGGCCTCTATTACCAACCACGCAGCAGAAAGTCCCGGGAACGACGATCAATGTATACGGCGCCTTCCTGCAGGACTATACAACCTCTGAAAACCCCGACTTCTGTGTATTCTCTTCATGGATACCTGCAATCGTCGGCGGAACGCAGCGCGAAGGACCTTCGGCGGGTACGTTCGAGGGCCATATGCAAGCTGCAGTACGTTTTCAGTGTCATCACACAAACATCAATAATTGAAAGGCATACAGGGCGGCAAGGAAACCATACGTGCAAGAGGGCGATGGGCTGTCCCAATGTGCAGTGGAGTGCCCTCACACTGGGTGCTCGGTTCTGTAGACTTCGGTCAACAGTCTGCTGTCATCTACGACAGTATGCCAGACTCAGATTCAGTCTCATGGGCTAAACCAGTGAGTAGGGCCTCGCTTGTGCACTGAAAGTGACTGACACCGTACCTGCAGCTACTGTTCACGGTCGTGAATAGAATACTTCAATACATCAACCGTGCGACGTTCCTGTCAGTCGACGACACTTGGAGCTTTCGTGTCATTTCCCCGCCGATGCGGCGCCAGCAATCGGACGGATGGTCTTGCGGAGTCTTCGTCCTATTAGCTCTGCACGACTTCGTTCATCAGGACTCTTCATACCAACAAGGGCAAGAGATCTTACTTATCTCGAAGCAGAGAGCTCTTGAGAGCCTCATGCAATTGCCGTATGTTGTCGCACCTATGAGACTGAGTGCTTCACTCACAATGTTGCTGATAGCATTCTCGAGCATCAGAACACTCACCGTCAACGCGGCCGAACTTCAGCAGCCGTCCTTTGTGGGTCTGAGTGGGAGGAACTCGAAGCAGGTAGTACCATCGTGGCGGATTTGTCCGCTACCAGGCGAGACTCTCCTTTCGGAAATGACTCCGACCGTTCCGCGTCGCTTCGGGTTGCTGGAGCTGCCAGTGATGGCGAGAGTATGCTTACTACCCCAGAGACTTCTGAAGTTGCCGAACCCATGGTCACACGTTCTCTGTCTCCTCGAGAGCTTGAAGATGCAGACACACTGTTCAAAACGGACAAGGGATATGTGGTTGCTGAGTCGTCGGCACCTGCTGATCCCAACTCAATACCAAGCCTGGAAAGTTCAAATGCGAGCACACCAGCTTCCGACGTACCACAGCTACCAGGAGAAGAAGAAACCGGTCCTGATGGTGTGTACTGGGAACATCCAGTACCTGGAAAGTCGAACAGTACGTGGACCCGCTACAAGCGGTGTACCCTCTGCAAGACTGCGGTCAATCTAGGACATGGCACCACACTTCACGCCTACAACGCGCATCTGAACAGCGCTTCGTGTCGTGCTACTGCCGCGAAGCAGGAGAAGCAACACGCTCAACGCAGTCTGTTAGACATGTTTCAACGTCCGACCAAAACAAAGCAAGACGTTCCTACCGGGTCCGGGTCCACATCCGTTCAGCATACACCACAACCGAGCTTGAGGGCCACTGCGACATCCGGCGAATCGAGTCATGCTGCTCAGGCCAGGCCTGATGACTCGGAGTGCGAGATTGCGGCGATGTACAGAGAACGTACTATCTGTCCTGGGAGCCGTCTTCAGTGGCCGTCGCCTATCGAGAGGATGTATCCCTTTCACTTACATGCCTTCAATCACCTGCCATACATGCTGGAATACTGGGACCACCAGAACGGAACGGTCTACATCCGCAGTCGATCTTGCCACCGCGTCCCAAAAGCTTCCGGACAGCCATGCACGGAGTGCGCAAGCTTGAACGAAAGTTCAGTTGTTGCGAATATGCGCGAGCGCGCCAAGGAGGCCATTCCGACGAAACTGAACTGGCGGTATTACAACTTCGATCAGCTGGCAGATGCAATGGACCGGAAGAACGAGCAACAAAACGAGATGAAGCTGCAGGTATGTGACTTGATGATAGTACTTAGCTTCACTTCGATGTTGTCTGACCTCTCTTGTCTTTGTTAGAATCTGAATCTCGTACGTCAGTACGAGAGAACAACGGTCCGCTTGTCCGACTATGAACGTTTTAAGGCACTGATTGCCAGCGGGGACGTCGAGGGCACAGACCGCCTTGTCCGTGTCGCCATCAAGAACCATCGCAGCATCTCAGAGATATGCAACCGCATGATCCGTGCGACACTGGGACTGTACAACGTCAAGAGCTTCACACGGAAGCACTATGACCTCATGCGTCTGACTGGCGCTCTCGGTGGACCCAAGCTGCAGTTTGCAGTGGCCGATGCCCTTCAGCTCCCAGGAATCTCAACGACACGTGCACACTCACTAGTGCTGCTCATTGAGGCATGCCTCGGCTTCCCCATCCTTGCCGAGTTCTTGCACAATCTCGGGGCTCTCGACAGTGCAGGTGTCTTGTGGGAAAGCAGTTCCAATGGGTCTCGTCAACGGCGACGTGGGTTCCAGATAATGGTCGACGAGCTTGCCCTCGAAGAGCGACCACGTTATGACAGTCGGCGTGATGCAGTCCTCGGAATGGCTCGTGAGACATCACATGAAGTCGATCTCAGTGTTCTCACCTTGGAGAACCTAGAAGCTGCAGCCGATGCGCTCGAAGACGGGTCTATGGCTGTTGCAAAGGAAGCGACTATGATGGGCCTTGCCGCATTTGGACACGATGACTACACTGTGTTCCCCATCATGATATCTGGGACGAACAAAACTGAGCGCGACGTCAAGCAAGCCGAATGGATTAAACTTGCCATTGATGCTTGGGAAAACGGGAAGCCCGCGCCGGACTCGAAGCAGACGTACGAGGAGCGCTACGGTGAACTCTGGTGTGTAGGTTCTGATGGTGACGCCACACGCCGCAGGGCTCTTCATCGTGTCTTGATGGCCGAGAGACTGTCTGCAAACACTATGAGCGCACTGTACCGGCTCCTCTCGCCCCTTCACCGTATGAACCTGCAATGCGGAAGTAAAGGGCGCACGATGACAATAGACTATAAACATAAGTTTAAGAGTGAGTGCTTCCCATCTCGTATCACTCGGTGATAGCTGAACTGACCGTCACCACGTCACCATGCTAGACTTTGCGACCCTTCTCCGTGGCGCTGCAGGTGTCCTCGTTGCAGACTACCATGTAACGCCAACACTACTCAGGCAGAAATTCACGGCTGTCCTGGGATACAAGGACTCGAAGCTTACCTCGCTCTTCGATCACAAAGATCACCAAAATGTTCCGGTCGCTGTTGCGTTGCTCCAATCGCTCAAGAGCCTTGCGAAAGCAGACAACTTTGCCAGAGAAGCTGAGAATCGTCCGCTCGTTTTGCTTGGGATGTTTGCGGGCTACCTTGTCGAACCATTCATAACACCAACCTTGTCATTGTCAGAACAATTGACGAAGCTCTCAGCAGCTGCGCACTTACTCTGCCTGCTCTATCGGCGTAACCGGACTGCGTTCTGCCCCGGGCAGTGGTACTATGATGTCCAGACTTTCATCAAGAATATATTCTGGACGACGGCCAGGATGAAGCTCCTTTGTCCTGGAGATCGCTACTACATAACTCAAGATGGCACCGATCGTCTCGAGGGGAACTTTGGGACATACCGGGACATGTACAGCTCACACAATGTCGATATTCTCCAGCTGTCACAGCGTGCTGCAACTGCGGCTGACATCTGCCAGATCTTCGCACAGCATCCGTCCTGGAACCGAGGACATCGCCGCCTACGTCTTGAAGGTGCCGAGGGTGTGGACCACACAAACCCGAAGTCATGGAAGGGCGATGTACGGGTGGAGCTAGTTAGCCTGCAAACCGTATGGAACACTGGTCTGCGGGAGGTTATGAAGTTGTTGAACCAAACAAAAATTGACCTAGGACAATTGCCGGATGATATTGATCTCCTCCGGCCGTTCGGGAAGGACTACGTTGGACTCAACGAAGATTTTGACTTGGATGCTCCAGCTCTCCATGCTGGAAACCTGGAACACCCTAGTGACGAACCGTCAGGACCCAAGCCACACGACCTCCCGCATGCAAATGAGGATACCTGTCGCGTCGAGCTTGATGACTTGCTCCCGGAAGTTGGTGACCGCGACCTAGACACAGCTCGCAAATGCGACAAGCAGTGGCTCAATGTCGACGGTGTTGATGTTCACAAGTCCGCGGCCGTCCGTTACTTCCTCGCCACCATTGATGGGCGCAAATCGTCAGACCGACTGGCTCGAGTGCAAGGTGTCAAGAAGATACGTACATTCTCGCGCGCACCACCACCTCCCGAAGATGACTCCGACTCCATCGTTGGTGATCGCTTTGTCATGGGCGAGTTTGTCGCTACCTTCATCCGTATCCGGAATACAGCTGCGCTGGCGATCCTCCGTGTCAGCGACCTGAAGATGGCTAATGGTACATCGGTGGAGTCTGTAGCGATGCGCGAGATCAGCAACCCGACGACAAACATTCACTTTGTAGGACAAGTGCTCACCTTGACTCAAGAGGACGCGAGTACTTGGATCTGGACGGGCGAGTTTGAATCCTTCAATGCCATCGATGGCGGCGATGCTGCAAACACGTCGGCGTCAAGAAAGTCGACCCTTATTGAGCTATCTGCTCAGGTCACTCAGGCGGTCAAGGCCACCTTAGCACCGCAACTATCCGATCCGACGTGCTTCGTTTGGAAATTCAAGTCTGGCTCACTTTCCTCGCTCACGGAATTAATGTGGGCTCGTGTCAAGGAGAACCAACACTTGATACCAGTGCGGACACCTACCCCAACTTTCCCATTGCGCGCATCCGGTGGCGGTGAGTATATCTTCACGAGCGAAGAAGGGACAGCGGCCCTAGAGATGGGGCCACAACAAGGATGTGCCAATTGCTTCTGCTGCGACGCAGAGGTCAGTCTGAAGAAGATGCGAGACCACATTGGTACGCACATACTCGCGAAGATGCTCTCACTACCGGATCCGAGCCCAAAGAAGCTCAAAATGCAGGTGAGCAATCATCGAAATCTCTACCATTGAAGTCTTGCTCAATGTGCCATTATGTGATTCATGAAGGTCGGCAAATCACCATGCGGCTTCTGCGGCCGGACAGGAACCTGCAAAATAGGTCTCCGAAAAACGAGGAATGCTCTTCGAGCCGAGTCAGACTGTCGCCTCTTCAGTCAGTTCAACATCGCCTCGGCAGCGGTCTCAACCAAATCGGGTCCAAGCACAAATCGCCCTGTGATATGCAAGATCTGTGAAGCGAACCGCCCGCCACAGCGGGGCAATAATATTGACGACGACATCGTATTCTGGTCATACAATATGCAGGAACACTTAGCAGCAAAGCACCCGGATGCTCCGATTTCTGCCAAAGACGACATCTCGGACTCCGTGTCACGCAATGAACGCATCTACTGTGGACTGGAAAAAGGTAAGCCCGACGCGAAAGAGAAAGGCGACTCGGAGGCGAAGGAGACGGCTGGGAAGGAGACGGCGGGGAAGGAGACGGCGGGGCAGTCCAGTGGGAAGGGGAAAGGGAAGAAACGAATTGCAGAGCCGGCAGACGTGAGGCCAAAGAAGAAGGGGAGGAAAGAGTAGTGTAGTCGTGTCCGCGGCCGCCGGCGAGCTCAGAGGTTTGCGGTTGCAGCTTTTTTGACGAATATATGCACTTTTTTCTGCGAAATGGGGGTAGGGGGGGTGGTCTCGAGCTTTCGGCGACTTTTACAAATAAAAATTACCGGGGGTGGGGGGGTGGTGGGGCCTGGATGGCGGATTTCCTGAAAAACCTGGCATTGTGTACGAAAATTAAATACCTGCCGCCCCTTGCTTTCGCGGGATTATAATTTTGGACGCTCTGGGTCTAGCCAAGCGGTTAGCCGATATCATTGCGGAAAATTTGACGCCGATCGAATCACATGCAGCCAGAGGCCACACCGCACCGCAATGTCTCGCCACACACGCGATGACTTGAGGGAGGGTAGTGCGATACACCTTGAAGAGCGGAAGTCTGGAGGGACGTTGACTGGCGGTGGCAGCAGGCAGAAGAAGGCAGTGTGGCGTCGGGTGGGCGCAGGCCCGTGGGACGGATCTGTCCGAGGCCGGGGAGGGCCGATAAACGGCCGAGAATGGCAAGTATCGACTGCAGGGGCGGGCGCCTATGTGATGCATGGACGGGGGGCGGAAGTAAATCGAGCGGTTCTGATGAACAGCGGTGCGCCTTCTGCCGGTGTCTGCGGCCGCATCAGCCACTGCGACGAATCAGGGTCCCTTCGGGAATCCCTTTTCAACGCGCAGGACATGATCCGGTATATAGCCATTTCAGCGTCCCGTCGTCCCCACCCTCTCCTGGTCCCTGTCAGATATCAAATCAGCCCTGCCAGCTATGAACGGAGTGGTACGTGCCTCTCTCCTACCTTCTGAACTGCGCATGACGTGGCGACGTGCAGGACGCATCCTCGAGCACAGCTGAGCTCAAGATTCACTTCATCGTGGTCGGAGCAGGTACGCGCCGCGAGCATTCCTGGAATGAACGCGGTCTCATGTCTTGACACACGCGCGTGCAGGCGTCGCTGGCCTCGCAGCTGCTTTCGCTCTTACGCGCGTTGGGCATCGCGTGACGGTTCTGGAGAAGGGCGATGGCAACTCGAACGTGAGTGGTCCGCCAGAGGACGTATGTGATAGACTTACCGTGTTCGCAACAGCGGGGTCCTGGCGGCGTTCGTATACCGCCCAACATGTCCAAAGTGCTCTTCCACTGGGGCTTGAAGGACATAATGAAGGAGGTCGGCTTGACGTCGCACCCTCTCCTCTTCTCGCAATGTGAGCTGCCGTCCTTAGCTGCTATCCGGTTGATCTGATCCTAAGCTGTGAAATCAGACCATACGGGGCAGCTCCTTGGTGTGCAACAATGGGACGACGAACTGCTTAGAGAGACTCGGGGAGAGTTCATGCTCATGACGGTGCGTTTCGCGAGATCTGACCTCATCCAACGGTGCTGACTAGCTGCTATGTAGCATGGCGACCTATGTCAGATGCTCCACGAAGCAGCGGCGTCGCAAGGCGCCGAGATTCGGTACAACGCGCAAGTGGTCGATATCGAGCCTGAAGATGGCGCAGTGAAGCTGGCGTCCGGGGAGGTCGTGCGAGCAGACCTCATCATCGGCGCTGATGGCGAGCGGGGCATGTGTCGACGCATGGTACTTGGACGTGAAGAACGCATCCAGCCTTCCGGGATGGCCTTGTTTGAGTGCGTTCGTCCTCATTCGGCGTATTATGTGTGTGCTGACTCCGGTGATGCCTGAAGTGCACAATTTGGCTCCGAAACTGCAACAAAAGACATGTCGCCGGAAGAGAAGCGGCTATTAGAAAAAGTGCAAGGGGTTAGTCTTGTGTCCCGCTTGTGTGACTGAAGCCAGACCTCTTTCGCGTATAGAATCCTGTATATTGCGCCATGGGGAACGGTTGCGGTTCCACGGGATACCCCATTGTAAGTGCGTTATATTGTTCTGGTGCACAGTCGTGCAACTGACACAGGTTCAGCAACAAGGCCGTGAAATCGCCTTCCACCATTTCTTCAGAGGAGACTTCCCGGTGGAGGGTAGCTACAGCGACCCACCAACGGCGAAGGCGGAGCTCATCAGCCTCCTGCCCACCGAGATAGACCCGAAGTGAGCGTTCTCGTAGGCTGAAACTGCGTGTGGCGATGGACTGATGTAGCTCGAGTTTGTATCACTGCGTGCATGGTGCCGATCGTGTCACCCGTGTGGCCATCAACGTCTACGAAAACCTCGAAGACTGGGTGCACGAGAGTGGGCGGCTACTCGTCATAGGGCAGGCAGCTCACCCCATCGCGGTAAGCATGTGCGCGAACGCATCATGCTGCACGCGCTGATCATCATGCAATGTAGTCCGGTAGTATTCAGGTCACTGCGATGGCCATCGAAGATGCCGCAGTCCTGGGAAAGCTGTATCACCACCTGACTATCCCCGAACAAGCGTCCGAGTTCCTCTACGCATTCCACGATCTCCGGAGGCAGCGCTGTCAAGATGTACTCGAGGGCGAAGTGTCCATGGTCAGTTTGATCACCATGGAGCACGGCCCCGAGCAGGAGAAGCGGGACAACGGGATGCGAGCGAAGTACCGCGCCGGGAAGAACGTCCTCGAGGGCGACGACACGGGCGGCGGCGAGGGCGAACAGTGGGTCACCATCCGCACGATCTTCGGCTACGACTGCGAGGACGAGGCCGACAACTGGTGGTTCCAGTGGGGCCTGCTGCGCGCGCGCGCAAACAGCGATGGCCAGAACCGTCAGTCCCAGATGGGCGTATTCAGCTGGGCCAACATGGGCATCCAGTCTGTGAACGAGACGACGACATGAGCGCGAGGCTGCGCTGCCACGACTCGCTAACGCCTCTGACTGCACATGCATATACGGGATACATGCATCTATGGGATCTATGCTGCCATCGTCTTCGTCGTCATCGCTATCGTTAGTACAATGCTATCATCTGGAGTTGGATTTGGATTCAGCAACACTTCCTCGCATAACTGCATCGCTGTTATTAATACCCTGCAATTAGATCTGGAATGGAGTACACTCTGCTATGTTCACGCCCTGTGGCACCGTTTGACTTCGCGGAAGTAATCAGGCACTCCGCATACGTGGATCGCGTCGATGAAGGCACGACGTGCGATCCACGCGCAACTCAATGCGATCACAGCGCACGAAGCTTCGGGGATTGACCCGGGTCTGTAGTGGCAATGTGCAGGGGCACAACCCTGAGTGGCGTGGAATGTTGTACGGCATGAGCAGACTGGGATGATACTGGTGACCTGCCGCGAAGCGACGCACGGACTCGCTTGCGTCCACAACCTGGCGACCGCCTCCGCTAAATTAGCGATCGACCAGATCCTCGATCCTGGCTCGACAGCACCGGGCTGGCACGACGACGGGCGGACGACCTTCCCGCGAGCCCGAAAGTCGTGGTGCGAAGAACTCGGGAACTCATCACACCAGTGCCGGCATCGCGCCTGCTTGTGTCCGACTTTCCCGGGATTCCCAGCGGCCACCTAAATTCCGGAGGCCCATCGCATTGGATACCTACGCCTATCCGGCACATCGTTGAGAAAGGATGTCGCAGAACGTCTCGTGTAGCAATATGCACGTAGCGAGGCAGGGAAAAGTAGGTCGGGAGGCAGCACGCGGACCGTCGTGATTCCGCGCGCCTGATGCGAGGCCTGATGTGAGTGCATCTCGATGGCCGGGCCCATGCCCATGTGGGGCACTCGTCCGCGGCCGTCTCACACCTCATGAGAGATCAGTGAGAGATTCTTCTTCGCTCGAAAGCGAGGGCAATAAAACGCAAAGTTCTGGTACGACTTACCCATTTGAGGTCGACGGAAGACGCCTCGGCGGCCGCCTGCGATCTCCCGTATCAGAGCGTTGGAGTCGGTCGTTAACTCGGCGAGAGCACCACCCATGATGAGAGGCGGTCGATATGAAGGAGGAGGCGAAGCGTTATTTAGGCAGGCAACGGAGACTAGCGACGCAGCGACGTTTTGCCCAAATCGGGCTACTACCGTCACGCAGATCGGGATCTGGCCCCTTCGGCGTTTGCCCTGGCATCATCGCATGTGCCGACTGCCGTACACCCGCTCAATCTCCGAGCCTACCGACTTGATATGGACCCATAATCACCGGTAGCGCTCCTCATGTAAGTACTACTGTACCATTTCGACCTCAAGTTCAGTCACAGGTCGCACCCCCTCTGAACTAGGGTTTAGTTCAATGTCACAGGTCACAAGCCGTTCCGGGAGCGCTTTTCTATCCTTCTCGGCGCTTCCGGCGCCCTACGGGCGCCAAATTACCGTTATGGTAATGTCACGGTTCACAGGCCTATGAACTAGGGATTCGTTAGTTCATTGGTCACAGGTCACACCCCGTGAACTAGAGGTCGAACGGTACAGTAGTACTCGTGCTCCGTTCTCAGATCTACATGTGCTCATTGTCTTGTATACGCTAAGACCCGGATACTTTCCCAGTCACGTATCCCACCCACTGGCACTCAAGCCTCAGGCACTCACCGGAACTCCGGCCGGTACCGGTGTGCAATAGTTCTGGAATCCGTGCACAGCAGTGTTCTCTAGTATCACTACGAACGCATCAAGTGCACGCCATTCCTCTCACACTCAGTCACTGGCATTGCTCATCAGGCTGTCGTCTTCCTTGCATGACGAACGTCTTGGCTTGGGAGCTACAATATACTTATCACAAGCCCAGGTAGTACCGACCGGTCTGCGAACTAAACGCAGAACGCAACACTGCCCAACGATCGCCCCGCTGCGTTGCTCGTCACGGCAGACTCGTGGGTCGTGACAGACGGGAGCCTGAGAGTGCAACATCGGATGTCCATGTGAACGCAGTCATTGCTGGATCTACCCCACATCTTACTATCAGGCCCGTTTCACATACCCACGCGATGACTTGACCCCCTTTCCACTATCGGGGACACCCGCGGGTCTGTCTCGGAGTCGCGACTACGACAAGCGCGACGAATGTCCAGCCGAGTTAACAGGGTACAATTGTTTTAAGATCACGTCTCCGCACATCAATACATACATATACGCCCACATACCTGTACAACGCATCTCCATCACTTCTCGTCCTCCATCCACCTTCTTCGCACTTCGCCTTCGTCCCTCGACACACGCCCGGGCCCTCCCACGCTCAATCAAGCTCCACTCCGACACGCAGCACAGCCGTCCAGGAACGATGTTCGTGGAAGAGCCCTAGAAGAAAAAAGAAAGAACAGACCAGCCCGTTCAGACAAACGTCGCGAGAGCGGTGGGCGAGTCGATACTCTTCTTGTACCCGTGCCCAAAGTGGCGCCTGCCCTCGCCCCGCGCCTTCTGCAGCACGCGCGCCATCGCGTCCAGACCTGACAACACGCACAGCCGATCAGCACACCGATCTCAACACGCCGCACACCGGAGCAAGGTACGCATATGGGAGAGCGAGACGGAGGGACACCCACCCTTGTCCAGGTCCTCAAGCGGCGGCCCGAACGACAGCCGCACAAGTGGTGGCACGGCGAGTTGAACAGGTTCCTCCGTGGGATGGGTTGATATCGAAGAAGATCCCCGGGATCACGATCGTCTTCTCCTTGAGGAGCTCCTCGAAGAACGTCAGCCCGTTGTTGATCGGCGCGGGCAGGCTCTCGAGGTCGAGCCACACGTAGAACGTCGCGTGCGGCGGCACGCGCACCTTGAACCCGATCGCCTTCAGCCGCGCGAGGACGTGGTCGCGCTTGTGCTTGAAGTGCTTCTGGAGCGAGAGCTTCTCCTGCTTGACGCGCTCCGGGTCGAGCAGGGGGATCGCGGCGAGCTGGAGCGGGTGGTTCGCCCCGCCGTCGAGGAAGGAGCCGGACTGGGAGAGCGCGGTGACGAGGTTCTTGGGCCCGACGACCCAGCAGACGCGCCAGCCTGGGAGACGCCAGTTCTACGTACGCTTGCATCAGCTGACGTCCTTACTGCGTCGGATCGAGCTTACCTTCGTCAGACCGTCGATGATGACGATGGGGTCCTAAGGGAGAGCCATGTTTAGACTACACTGTAGACGATCACGGGTACGTCCGCTTACCTGGTTCACATCATCGATGAATTCAGCGCTGGACACGGACTTGCCGAAGTCCTCTTCTTTTTCCGGGTAGAGGTACCACGAGTAGAACTGCCGGTCACACCCATCAAATACAACTCGTTGACCCAGACACCTCCCACGCACCTCGTCCAGAATAACCGTCGTGCTGCTCTCGCGCGCGAGAGCGACGAGGTCATTCAGCTCGCCATCACGAATGACCTGCCCGGTCGGGTTGCGCGGGTTCGAGGCGATGAGGACCTGGATGCCCTGACTCCTGATATCCTTGCGTGTCTGATCGATGTTCAAGTGGTAATTTTCTTCCTCTTCCAAGCTGCAACAATCTAAGAACGCTAGATACAGGGCGCACAATGGTGGCTCACGTGGTAGGGACGGGCACGAGCCTTCTGAACGCACCCAGGACCTGGTCATACGCAGTGTAGTCGGGGACTTGGTACGACTGCAGATCGCGTCAGACAAGCAACGACAGTACTAAGCAGCGCGCTCACCGTATAGACATCACCAATGACCGCAGCGACACGCGACAAGCCCGCGCGCCCACCGGGGACGATGCACACGTTCTCGTACGTGTACTGGCTGGCCTTCCCCTGGCGGTACGTATGGTTGTACAGGTTCGCCACCGCCTCGCGGAGCCCTGTCAACGCACGTCAGCATCACGTCACTTGCACCCAGCAGACTCAGTCTCAGCCCGAAGAGGACGACACGCACCCTTCACACCCGTGGTGGGCGCGTACTCGAGTGAGTCGAAGGTGAGCTCGACGTTCGACGGCCGCGGCGGCGCGCCGGGGATGTCGCCCGTCTCGGGCGCGCCCTGGCCGAGGTTGGACCACTCGTGCGAGGAGGCGTAGTTGAACCCGTTGGCCATCGCACGGTCGGAGCAGTAGATGACGCCCGTGCTGCCCGGATGCAGGATACCAGGCACGGTCTCTTCATCCTGTTAGACACGCGTCAGCAAGGGTCTGACAGGACGCCATGTTCGTTGCAGGGTACGCAGTTCATCACGTTCTCAGTGCAGCGCTCGTAGGGAGCGAGGGCTGGAGTAACGCGATTTCTCAATGTAATTCCGCAGCGCAACAAAAACACCGAGGATGACCCTCCTACAGCACATCCGCAGTCGCGCACAACGGATGCGCTGTAGGCCTCGAGTTCCAGCACATAACATGCGCGGCGACGGTGTCTAGTGAGATGCTGCACTAGTGAGTCGCCCGAAGAGAGCAACACGCGCCCAGCTAAGCTGGCTTGCGGTACCTGGTGGGCGCCGCGCTAGTGCCCGCGAGGCCGTCTGCGCGTTCGGCGCCCAACAGACGCTCTCAGTCGATGTCACCGAGCAGCCCATATGAAGAGATGTCCCCTTGATTCAGCAAAACATGAAGAAACGTACCGGGTTGACGGTTTGAGGGAGGAGACCTCTGGCTCCGTGTCCAGCGGACTCACGGAAGATCTACGCGAAAGTATGAGCTGGTATGTCTTTGCGTGCGCAAGAGGGTGCATACCCTGTGAGCCTCGGACTGGCTTTCGTGGTGCATATGCTTCATTTTGTCTTCCTGGAAGGCGGTGTCAGATGTCATCCCGCGCAATGGCGAGGACGACTACGGTTTATCGAGACTGAGGGAGAGCTTGTTGAGGCCGGGGACGGGGATTGAGGCAGCCATGGCGTCGAGCGAGCGGTCTTATAGCAGCGGGGGAAGAGAAGGGAGAAGGGAAGGAGGAAGAGGGAGGCTGGGACGGCATGCTTGCGACGATCAGATTGGTGCACTGCCGGCCTGTGGCATCGGTGGCGCACATCGCGTCCTCGACGCGCGGGCCTAATATAGCTCCGTCACGTGGGTCGCGTCACCAACGTCAACTGCCCCCGCCCGCGCACGCTCCCATTGGCTGTCCGTCCCCGGCACCGCGCTGGCACTCGTCCCGCATCACAGCCTGACCAGCCTCGCCGCCGTCGTGTGTGCGGCTGGGAACTCGCCGGCCTAGACTCTGCTTCGCCATGCACCCAAACGAGGCAGATGTAATGTTGCGCTGGCGTCGTGGTCGACTTCCCTCGGGCAACTTCAGCAGCGCTGATCCGGGAGATGCTGTTGAACGTGCTGCGCACGACCGGCACGGCACTCGTCGCGCCGAATATGCCTTCGAATCGCGGAGATTCGGTGCTGCAGCATGGACAGCACGAAGCGGATTGCGTGTCATGCGGGTGAGAGGAAGTAAGCAACGTGTCTTGGACTCCCCCCTCATTAATCGCGACAGGTACTTGGGAGTTCTTTGGTGGAGGGCCGTGGAGTCGATGGAAGGCAAGCCTTCTGATGATGCGGCGATGGGGGCGACAGGTCCAGGTCCAAAGCTACTTATCAAGGATTCCCTTCGAGTTCAGCAAGTCTCGTAACAGCGCAGACCCGTCAACTCACCGCGTCGCGAGAACATGGCCGTCAAATGACCGCCCCGTCTGCGTGCCGATGAGTTGCACAGACAACGTCACCACAAGTATTCACTCACCGACATCCGCGAGCATGCCGTCGCCGCGACATCCGGGCGCATCGGGGGCGACGCGCCCTGTCCGCCTGCGATCGATCCCTGATCGTTGCGCCCGCGCCCGATCGTCTCCGATCACTTGTGTGCGGCTATGGTTGCGTTTCAGTTTCGTGGTCGTCTGCAGGCCGAGGATGGCGAGCATGGGTCTCTGCCTGCGCCTGAGGACCTGGTCATGATGGTTCGAGGCGAGCTGATAATCAACTTACCGCGGAAAGTACTCTGCCGGAGATATGCGGTACGAAGAACGTCTGCAACATTGTCGAGTTCACCGTGATGCCAAGCCGGACTCACTTCTACCACAGACGCCTTCGCGAAGGATACCGGCAAGGCAGTCCATAATATATATCCCCGAACGAGGCCGCGCGTGGTTTGTGGGTGTAGGTCATGAGCCTGTAGTTGTTGTCACCGGCGCATAATGAAGCCAAGCCACCATTCCAACGTAGCCGAGTACGTATACAGGCGTCCTCAAACGGCTTCAGCTTGACCTTTCCCGGAGCGACTCGCTGCACATAGGAGGCGAGTCATTTAGTCCTGCGTCCATCGTGAGGCTGGCCGGCGCAACTTGCAATGTACCCTTCTGGAAGGATGCCCGTACACCCAAAATGTTGAGCAATACGTACGTCAAGCACCAGTCAGCCAGGAGGTTGCCTCTAACGAAAGCCTGCGAAGGTCCGTCAGTCGCAATTGTTTTGGGAACTTGCGATGCTCAGCACACGAGCCACAAGGCAGCGGCAGCATTCTCTCCGCGAAGCTTTGCCGTTGTCCATGAGTATGCACACGAGATGATGAAGTCAGGAACTCACCCGCATGCCGACGCCCTCGAACCCCTGAGCGGACGCGCGAGGAGCAATGCGCGACTTGTTTGGCGATGTAGGCGGTTCGCGCGAGGAGGAGCTGATGCTAGTGATGTGCCAGTATACAGGAGGGTCGCCAGGTCATGAAGGAGAGTTCGAAAGGACCGGCAAGTGGCGTGCGTGCTGCAGGAGTTTCGCTAGTTTAAACACGGTCACATGACATGTGGCCTTCGAGCGCGACGCGCGTGGCGAGTGCGATTCGAACTATACCGGTTGAACTTCGGTACACTCATTCACTCGCGCTTCAAGTTCTTCGTCGCGGATGCTGGTAGTAGTAAAATGAAATGGGATTACAGGGATGCGCTGAGGAGACCGGTAACAACGAGACTGAAGACAATATGAATAACTAAGACAGACAACGGCACAGCGCGAACGCAAGCGATGTCAGCAATGACAACGAGATACAACAGCACAGTATATAGCGACGAGAGCAGAGAACATGATGGTATAGAGGTCGATCAGTGACGTGCGGTGATCCGGTGTCTCCTCAACGATCGTGGCGGTTCGAAGAGAAGCTAGCACGATACATAAGTCACCACGTCTTGCGCAAGGAGGTCGACAATGAAGACTCACACTTTGTTGCATACCGGACACTTGAGCTCCGCTATCTCTGGGAGCGGTATGTTCTTCCTTGTCATCTCGCGGCGGTGCCCAACGCTGCCCGTGTGTCGGGACCGCGTCTTGGGCTCGTCAAGTATCGTCTCGTTACAAATTTGGCAATGCCACTAGTGCGAGCTGTTCAACGTCGCAGCTCATCAGAGAGGAGCAAGACATACCTGCTTCTTCGGTGCCCTCCGCGTTGGCCGCACCAGCTCGTTCTCCTTGACCTTCGTACAGTACCACTACTCCGCACTTTTCGCGGCGCCTTAGCCTCTTTCTTTGCGCTCTTCGCACCCTTTCCCCCGGATTGGTGTTCGACAAGGGCTTGCGTCGCGTGCCGCGGTTTCCGGTCGCTTGTGGGGCTGGTGGATTGGAAGACCAGGTGCAGCTGCGAGGCGGCGGGAACGTCGCAATGGCGGAGCAGGTACTGGCTCTTCCTCTTTCGCAGGTTCCTCGGGCTCCACGTCGCTTGCCTCTACCTCCGATCCCTCCTCCTGTTCATCAGGCTGGTAGTCGTCCATCTGCATGTACTCTCCGGCTTCTTCCTCTTCCTCCCGGGCAAGGTCGACGGCCCCGAATTCTTCCGCCTGCTCTTGAAGTTGAAGGTGCCTTCCCCGAGAAGAAGTCTCGGGTCAATGGTAGCTTGGGCAACCTCATTGTAGCGCCGCAATGCATCTTCGTTGATGGCGTCCGGCGCCGGGTCGTATCCCGCATCGAGGAGATATGTTGGCGCGGGCGCCGGATAAAACCAACTTGAAGAGGCTGGCATTGTGATGTAAGACGGGTCGGGAGAGGCAGGCGACGGCGGGTGGAATGTGATGCGTGGTAAGACGGCGGTCAAAGTTCGTGTTCGCGGGATAGGGGCAACGTCGTATAAATGGCAAATGCGCTCGCACCAAAAAGGCTAGCAGCATGCGCCGTGGACCTCGCTAAGGGACGGCTGGGCCCTGAAACATAACCAAGGACCCCATGCTCCGGGAGGCCACCATGGATAGGCCAGGTAAGGTAAGTCACCGCAACCAGGGATTATTCTGGAAGGCGGACTGATGCCGGGGGGCTCCGATTTGCTGGGAGGTGGATCAGATAGCGACGCACAATGCAAGGGCGAAGGGGAAATGAACTGCGAATGGGAACAATTAGACGCCAAGAATGGCTTTGTCCCCAAATTATTTAGGGGCTTCGAAGTGCCACGAGTTTGAGGTGCGCGCCCTTCAAGCTTCCAGCAGTGCCTCCATACAACAACGACACACCTTACCACCGCAAAAAATCTGCGCTGTCGACGAGCCTACGGGGCTGAGTGCAGACAGAGTTGGACTCGGATCTCTTCCCCTGCAGCTGCAGAGTGCTATCCGGAGTTGACACATGGTTCCTGATCGGAGCTACCCGCTTGATCTCGTGTGCGATGTATATTTCATCGGAATCTCGGGCCTCGGCAATCTGCAGGTCGACCCAAGCTTGTGCGCGACGCCGCGAATCCGCCGGCGACCTATTAGCAGCATCTTAAACGCAAGCTCGCGAACTTCGTGGTGGTCCTGCAGATGCTCCCAGCCCGTCGCATGACAACAGCCAGAGATGTAAAGCCTTTTATCTCTGGCGAGTCATGGAGGCCCAGGTGCATGAGGCTGGAGGAAGGTCAGCGGCGGCGAGAGGCCCTGTTCCAACAATAGCGCCCGGCAACGAGGGAGGCACTGCGACACGATGACAAGAATTACCATATCGGGGATAGTTCAGATTGCTTCCGCGCCACTCCGGATGCTTCCTGGAGTCTGTCCGAATTTGGCAGGCTGATCTTAGGAACGCCCTCGTTCCACTCCCCGCCTCGTGTGATCATCCGCAGTCCCCGCTGATTCCTCAGCTCACAAGTTTCCGTCGCCATTATATCGCAGCACTCTGTGTGTGGCGAGGCAGGGCAGGGATGCTCACAGTTGGTCTATCGTGGGTCATTGCACTGCCAGCAGTCGTAGTGCGACTTTCCGGTCAAATTTCAAGTAGGGCACAATTGTCTACTCCTGGGGCAGAAAACGGCGCGTCCCTTCAATCTATCACCAAGTAGATGTCTCATGAATCCATGGATGCATCAAAGCTTGACCACTCGACGCGACGTCAGAAGGCTTGGGCCACTATCATGGACAGGGGTATAAACATCGACTTCTCAAATTCCCTCAGAACCTCAATCGTGATCTGTACCACGCGACGGACTAGAAATCGACCCTGCAAGGCGCAGTGTCGCCGCCATGGAAACGATATCCTTTCAAAGCGTTGTAAGCGCGGCTTTGCTTGGTTGGATCTCATGCCTGTCGGCTAATCGCGTGTTCCTGAAGAATAGCATGGATAGTCAGACGCCACTTTCTCTCAGCTCAGCACCCATGACGCAGGGCTTCTTTCTCGACGTTCATCGACTACGCCGGCGCTGCCAGGCTGATCACCTGGTTTATAGCCAACCCTGTCCCTGATGTGGGATAGCCATTAAAGATTGTACATTGTTCCGGATCCCCGCTTCGTTATACGCAACCCGCCGTCACCCCTCAAAGCTCTCTATTGATCTGCTTCAATCACCGTGATACCCGACACGTAGTCCCTATCACTATGTCTACCCACTGCTTCGCAACCTTCTACGACACCAACGCCTTCCCCGGAGGGAACGTGCCCTTCGACTTCAATCCGGCGACTTCACATTCGGCTACGCGCTTCATACCGATGCTCCGCTTCCAACAGTGTCTAGCATGGCACAGACAACCGCGAATCCTGCGATCTTTCCGTCCCAGAGAACGCACGACTCTGGGGTGTATGCAGAGCCATGGAGCAGCTTCGTGCCCTTTTCTACGAATAACGCCTTCGATGTCGCCAATGCCGCAGACCCAGGCCCGAGCAGTGACACCATCTATGGCGGGAATCAACACATCGTCTTTCCCGCACCAGATTCCGAATCCACAAAGCTCGCAGAGGGCCAGCATTCGGGCACCATCTGGACGGATGTCGGCTCTGCTTCAACGAGGGCGACCTCAAGCACAAGTTCCTGGCGGCCACAATTGGACCCGCTCATATGGTCTGAGTCCTTTGTGGAGGATGAAAAACGGCGGGTTCGTTTCTTTTGAGTCCCCTGTGCATTTCCCCCGCTGACTGGATGAAATTGGCAGCGCACCTGCAAACTGTGCGACAAAACGCTGAATGATGAACCAGGCATTCGTACAAGACATGTACGGAGCCGAAGACACCAGATGCACCTGTCCGCCGAGAAACGCGGCAATCTGACGCTGAAATGTGACCGTTGTGGCCTGGTGTGCGTCTGATTCCCTATCCGTCGGCGACTCAACGACGCTGATACGAATCGCTGTATACTAGCTTCACCAGCAACAGGGGTTACTCTCTCAAACGACATAAAGAGAGAACATGCAAGGGAACGGTCTCATCTCAGTGATGCGAGGACCTTTCTCAATGTTGTCCATGATCATGACGTCCGAGTCTTTTTGTTTTGTCGTTCTGCCACCGGTCTGATTGCTATGTACGCTCCGCGTGTTGTCCAGCTGCTGTCACATTGTTGTCCATAGCTTTACGGTTGTATTTATTATTCACTATTCATCGTCGACGGGAGGGCCTTGCGGCAAGGGCAACAATCGAGCAAGAGAGACCCAGAGACGAAGCGCATCGTCGCGATCTGCTGCTCCGTTCGACTCGGAATGACACTGATTGGACCGCGTCAGTGCTACACGTGACCGCTCACCCTCTCCCGCGTACCGCCATGTCCGTGGCCTCGCCGACGGTTCTCCCTCGTAGTGCGCTCTTCCCTACCCTCCTCCCGAGACCACCACAGCCGCATCCGACACCCCTGCAGAAGTATGGAAGACCAGGCCGACTCAACAGCCGGAGGAATCTGCAGCAGGAAATGGAAGACTTGAGCGACGAGGAGGACGAGCTCGACGACCTGGTATGTACACGCGTCTGCTCAGTCCCACTCCGTTTGCTCAGGGGTTCCGCGTAGGAAACAGATATTAGGAACAGAGGATTCAATTTCCTCGTCCCGATCGGACGCACGTTCACCCAACACGAGGAAAAGAACGACGCGAGTGTAAGCCACGACATTGTCGAAACCCCGGGCCCTCACGTATCAGAGAACCGTCGACAGGGAGGAGAAGCTTCGAGCGGCTCAGAAGATTCTGAACATACAGAAGAGGATGATGCGTCCGCAATGGACGACGAGAATGACTCCGAGGCGGAGGAAGACCTAGATGCCGACATGGAAGACATGGACGAAGGAAACATAACCGGCGAGACCGTAGAGACTAACGAGGATATTCCAGAGATCTCAGACGAAGAGAGTGATGATGAAGACTATGAGACCGATGATTAGCAGAGGCTGCCTTACGGTGAGTCTTATCGAATCTTCGTGACATCGACTAACCCGGTCGCTGGACCCCTACCAAGGTGTCTTCACCCCCTGGCTAGTGCCCTCCCGGCCAACTGATTCACGTCAGGAGATAGCCAGGGTGATGGGGTGTCCTCAAATGCGACGCAGTTCTCATTACCTATTAAAGGTCACCAAGTTCTGCGCATGGACTATCTCGTCGACAACAATGTCTGAGCGAGACAAGGAGGGAGACGAAGGTCCCAGGATATATCAAGCACAGGTAGTAATACATGTCTTCCTTACTATGCATCAAATGAAGGGTCAAATGGACCAAAGGCCTTCTTGAACGCTTCAGCATCCGCTTTGTCTTGCTCTTCCGACTGCAAGCATGTCTTCCAGTCGAACCGTTCTTGCATGCCCAATAGGGAGACCAGCACTTGTCTGTTCATCGCAGCCGTTAGATCGCACAACACCTAACCATAGCGTCATTTACTCACCTTCCAAACTGCACGCTGAACGGCACATTATCCCTGAGCAGATGCACCATCTTCCGCCCATCAGGCAGGTCGACGCGGAAGTAACTCCCGCGCCCGCCCTCGCAGCTCCGGAGCGCCTCCTCCGCGTCCGCCTCGAACTCAATGCCGTGCCGGCGGCCCTCGTCGACGAACGTCGTCTCGACTTTCTCTTTGACCTTGTTCGGGACAGGCACGACCTGCACATGGGCGTGGCCACCTTTGGCGGTGAGCCGGCCGACCTCAAAGGACACGACTGCGGCGCTGTGTTTAGCATAAAATGCGCGTAATGCGTCTTTATACCTGAGGTACTGAATCAAACCATGTCGTTCGGAAGGAGGCTTGAGGAACGTACCGATCTGTTTCCCTCACGATGGGAGGTGCAAGGTCAGGAGGTATCGAGGAGTATGTTGGATAGTGGGTGATCGGCACGATGAGGACGTGCCGCCTCCAGGTACCCTCGGTGCATTCGCGTGTCGTCCGCGGTATGTGTGGGTATGATCTGGCCCTTTGGTAGAGTGACGTAGCACTCCGTGCCAATCGAGACAATGAGATGCTTCCTGTAGAAATGCCATCAGTTGTTTTTCACAAACACGAACGAATGCAACGCACGCGAGATTCGGGTTCGACAAGCAGAACCAACATTCGTCGGCTGTAGACATCGATGAGCCGATGCACACGCAGGGAATGGCTCGTGAGCAACGTACGGGCGATCTCTTTCGGAGGCCCTCGTCCACGACCGCCACCCCGACCACCACTAGGTTGGTTCGCCTCAGGGCAATCTTGGATGTAATGATTTTCGCTGCCACAGGCCCTGCAGACATAGCCTTCCTTGGGCTTACGTCCACCAGTATCGCCAACGGCGTTCTTGACGGGGCAGTCTCGCACGAAGTGGCCCGACTATGAAGTGCATCTAACATTAGTCTTACTTTCAGATTGAGAGGACAAGTTACGAACCTCGTTGCAAATTTGCAGATGTAGCCGTCTTTTGGCTTTGCTCGGTCCGGGCAGTCTGATATAAAATGCTAGAGCGCCACATCCATAAGACAAAGGCAGCCCAGATCATTCTGCACTCACATCCGGTGACTCACAGATCTTGCATTTGTAGCCCGTCGGAGGTTTCCCCGGCTCTCCATCTGCAGACAAAGTTGTCAGTGAGACTACGGATCATGAGCAATGACCGACTCACCGGTACGGCTCCGCTTTCCTGGCTTCTTGACGTCTCCCCATCGGTAGTTCGCCCCTTCGTCCGACTCGAGCGGTCGCTTAGGTGGCCGGGCGGTCTCTTCCGTAAACGGATTCTGTGTAGCATTTGCTGGTCGCGGCAGCGGTGGACTATCCGGGCTGACAGGCGCTATACTGAATGCATAGAACCACTGTCGTGGCGCTCAGTGCCTATTGAGCCCAAGAGGAGGCATTAGAGGCTCACCCGCTGCTTCTTGCCCTCCGTAGGCGGACCTCCGAACGCGCCCAGACTCACGAAGCGCGAGATACGTCCGTTGTCCTCGCCCCACACGAAGGGTTCACGCTCCCAGAACTTCGGCGGGCTACCTCCGCCAGCCGCGAAGTGGTAGCGGGGTTTTGTCCTCCGTACGATCTCAGCGACAGGATCGATGCCGATGGACGAAAGCGCGGGGTCAGGAAGAGGGGCGTTGGAAGCATGGGTGACGGATGACGGCCACGCATTGCTGATGAAGATATCGACGAGTTGCGAGGTCGCCGCGTTGGCCTTGATAGCTGCGAGAGAGGTGTAGTTCTGTTGGCTACCAGGTTTTGAGGTGGTGAGTGTGTTGGAAAGTAGCCTCTCTACCGTTTGTGACATGAAGTACGGCGACATGAACCCCTGCAATGATGGCGTTTCAGCGACGACCAGACAACAGGACGGTCGAATCTTACATGTGCTGCTTCGGACGCAGTGTATAGGTTCGAGTCGCATATGCCCCCGAGGCAGGCAATGCGCAGCCCTTTTGGCGTCATAATCACTCCCGACTTGTCTATCATGACAAACGTTCAATGAACCTCGCAGCAGTGAAAGACACGGACAGTGCGTACGAAGTAGGTTTACGCCATGTGTAAGTGTGCTTCCAGTCTTTGCGAACTTCTCAATCACAGGTGCAGGCAGCGGGTGTTCGCCTTGCATGATATAGCACTCGACGGGGACTGCAGCACGCGACCCTGCTGTGAGCAGAACAGACAAGTCGGACAAACGCAGCGTACGCGACCTTCCAGTTTTCCCTCCAGAAGCAAGACCACCTCATCATCATCCCCGTATGCTTCACCCTCGTCCTTCGGAGGACCGAAGAAGTCGCCCACGCAGAGCAGCAGGTCAAACTTGCCGTGCTTCGCGTCCAGGGCCTTCACTTTGGTGAAGAGCTCGCGTATCGAACCTGCTGGCGATCCTACTGTAAGGCTGCATATCTCATGAGTTCAGTCATTATTTGAGCAGATCATTACCAGCTTACATCTTCATTGAAGCCATGGCAGAGTCGTGTTATCCCAGCGAATTTAGGATGAGTGTCGCGAATGAATGTGGCTGAAGGACAGTGAACGACTCGCCGCACCGCGGTGACCTCACGCATACTAGGCGCCTTACTGCTCGATCTAGCTCGGTTCGATTCGAACATGTGAAGGAAAGATCGGGATCGAATCGAGATTCGAGCATGAACTCGCGGAGCACCGACATAGACCCTTCTCCTTGCTCTCACCATCAGCGTGCGACATGCTGCTCTTGCTCATACGCAGAAAAAGAACTGGATTGCACAGGGTGTGACTGGCTTGCTTGCCCTGCGAACCCCGAGCGAAGGCGACGTGATGCAGTGTCGACTCGAATTGAATAGTGAACGCTCAACGTGGAGACCTACTACCAGGCTGGGTTGCTTTCTCTATCAATGGACGGATATTTCACTCTCAATATGGACGTCATTGTGTTTCAATGTAAGTGCCGAATCTATCCGCTTGTTCACTGCCATTGCACGTCGAATCCGATTGATACAAGTGACTTGTCTGTCTTTAGACATATGGGATCACGGTCTGCGAGTCACTGTGCCCACCCGACGTATATGCGCATTGCGAATCGACTGGTAACCTTGCTAAATTATGAGTGAGCCGATTTATTTCATATTCAAGTCTCTGGATGAAGCATTCATGCAGAGGAAACCTCCCGTAGTCGCACGAACGCCATGACGCCCGTGAACTCTCATGCACACTATCGTGCGCATTGTGACCTTCAAAAACATACATACAGTGCTATGGGATAGCATGATTGGCTAGGGTGGATTTCTCACCTGATTCTCTGCGGACTGCGGCGCTCTTGGGGGGTGATGATTAATGCAGACGCACAACGAAGAAAGTGCGCAGATGACACGGCGATATCTCAGAGTCTCGCTGTTTCTTCTTGACTATGAGGTATTCTTCTAAGCCTCTCTACCGCGGTATGTCTTTCAACTGCGATCGCCTGGCAGTGGCACTGCAGGCGCACCCCCTGGTAATATGCAGACCGGGGCAGCATACACTCCGTCCATCACAAACAGACTGCGAGCAAGTCGACTTGTTCAGTCGCTGCTCTGCGGTGTATAAGGTAGGCCTTGTATCACCTCCCCTATGGCGTACATGTATTCACCGGGCCGGCGTACCAGACATTCCGAAGTCTCAAGGAGGCTTGTATAGTTATGTTGCCACGGTCCCAACAACCGCTCATCCGAACCTGCCCTTTCAGGCTGCCCAGAATATTCAAGAAAGCTCCGTGGGGACACGCTCGTTCCGCGCAAGTGATCACCCTTGATACCCGACGTCTCGCGTTGCAGCCCAAGCCGGTGAGAAGGCTACGACGCCGGTTGAAGATACTGATGTCTTCTCTCTGGGATAGTAACCTTGTACTCCGAGTCGTAAAGTACACAGGGAGCAACCATACAGTCTGGGGTGCGACGAAGTTGACGTCGGGTGGAATCAGCGGGTCTACCATGACCTATCGGCCGCTCTACGTTCGTCTCGAAATCCCTGTTGCTCTGGCAGCCCATATTCCGACAAACATGTGGTAAGCCTGTCCATTCAGGCCATCCTCATTCGGACGCTACATAGGCCATATCAGTCACAGCGCCTTGTTTCTAGCACCCCTGAACCTTGTTCACCGTTCTGTCGTTCTGTTGGGACTCGCTGCGCCCAAGGATACTAGGATTTGGTCACCATCTAGGCACGAACGAAACTTACCACTGTTTGCGCCCCGCAGAGCCGTCGGCACCTCCGTAGGCGCACTCGGCACTCGGTCCTTTCCCAACAACCTCCGTCCCGCTAGGCACACCTAGCCACGTTTTCGACGAGCGACAGCGATCGAATGGCTAGATCTGCGCGCACTCATAAGCTTGTTATTGGCGCTCCCTATGATAGCGGGACCAGCAGCACGTGTGGGAAGGGCACGATGATACGGACTGCCGATGTCAGTGCAATTCAATCCAAGTGAGCTGCTGTAGGCCATCGAGCGAAGCTGATGCCAATGGACCGTTGCTCCTTGCGGATCGCTGGAGAGCCGCACTGCGAAGGAGGATGCCATTCACTGCGTTATGCATCAGTCGGCGGACGTCGAAGCCTGAGGTGCATAGCTTCGCTATAACGAATAGTCTTCCATCATGCTCACATGGTGAATGAATGCCGCCGGTCTGCGCGTCCGATGCGCGCAATACTTCTTGCATTCTCTCCTGGATAACTGGACCACTCGACGCCGATTCAGGCAACATCGTGAGCATCTGCTGACTATACGCAGTATGTCTACCCAGAGAATTGTGCATCACAGCGGCCGAGTCAATCATGATATCGACGGTGAATCCTGTTCCTACGGGGCAATATGCTGCCCAAGTTGCCGGTGCGTCAGGCCCATGCGTGCCTCCGATCTGGGGGTGTGCGGAAGTGTGTGCCTGTGCGGATTTGGGCAGCGTTGTTTGTCGGCGCCAGCGGGTCGCCTGAGCTTAATTAACGAATGCGCGTTCTGCCGCCGGAAGTGCCTGGCGGTTGGTCGGGGCGTACGTAGAAAGTCTGTCGTTCTGGAGCCCGGGGGCGCCACGAGGGAACAGGCACGGTGGGCGATGGGCCTGCGAGAGTTCACACCAAGCCGTGCGCGGAGGTTGATGGGACGCTGGAAGTTGCCATTTTGGGAACAAGGGAGTGGCCTAATATGGCAGGCGAGGTATTCGGACGAGGCACGGACGGCGAATCGGGCAACGCGGCATCTTCTGCTCTCTCTGCATTGTTCCCAAAACGGCCATTATGTCGAGCATGTCCTCCGGCACAGCTCTCTGTCCCTCACCTTCTCCTCCTCGTCCCTCCTCCCGAGTTCCCTGCCGCCGGACTCGCAGGTTCGAGTGCGGCCCTAGACTTCCCGCTTAAAAGGCCTGTTCCTCGCCCCATCCTCCTCACGAGCCCCCACCCGCCGCCCTCAATCGCTCGTCATGGTCGCCCTCCTAGCACTGGTCGCTTCTCTCCTCGCCCTCTCCTCCCAGGCGGCAGCGGTGCCCGTCGGCGCGTCTCGCACGAGCATCGCTGATCTCAAGTTCCCATCCATCCCGGAGGGCGCGTGGTGGTGTGAGTATTCGCCACCCTGGCTTCAGAAGCTCCTCTGCTCGAGGTCTCTGTCGACGTCGTCCACTTCGGTTTCGACGCCATTCGGCACGGCAGAGGGCGTCGTTGACACGTCTGGTGTCGTCCGGTTCACTGTCAAGTACGGTACCGCGAACCGTTGGCAGCCGTCATCTGTAGCGATGGCTTGGGATCTACCGTGAGTTTCATCGCCTGAATTTCAACCGCTTCCAACTCACGTATGCACTCTTAGATCTGGCGCTTCAAATGCGTCCGGTTTGCCGCTTGCATGTCCCCAGAGCGGTCTCGACGCCTCCGAGTACTCTGAGGATTGTTTGTCCATGATACTCTATGTTCCGTCTTCTGTGACTATCGGAAGCAATGCTCCCGCTCTCATGTGGTATGTGCTGCCTTCTGTGAAACACGATCTCGGGCTCATTGCAAAATCAGGATTCACGGAGGCTCATTCATCTCCGGATCCGCCACAGGCGCTGGACTTGACGGATCTGCCCTTGCGGCGGCGACCGAGTCCATTGTTGCTGTCATTCAGTACAGATTGGGAGCAGTGAGTATTTATCTTGCAGATAAGGCCATTACACTGACCTCCCTTGCAGCTTGGCTTCATGGCTCCGAATGGGCAGACAAACTTGGCAGTCAAGGACACGATCACAGCATTGCAGTTTCTGCAAGCAGTCTTGCCGGCCTTTGGTGGTGATACGTCCAAGATCACTGTTGATGGCCAGAGCTCTGGCGCAAACATGATTAGGGCGCTGCTCGCTGCACCTTCTGTGTCTAATCTCTTTGAGTACGCCATTCTGCAATCGGATCCAATGGTATGTTATTGTTCATAACGACGAGTTTGCCCGTGCTCAATGGCATGTAGGACTATGGCTTCCTGAACACCACCATGCAGAGCTCGCTTCAGGACTACTTTAACGGGCAGCTCTCTTGTAGCGCTTCGGACACGTCGTGCCTAGACTCCCTCTCGCTCGACGATATTCTAACCGCCCAAAGCGCCCTCTCGGACAATGCCTACAGCGTCGTCCCCGCAGCTGGCCAATCCGAGCCAATCCGCCCGGTCCGCGACGGCAGCCTGATCACCAGCCCTCTCGACCTCACCGCTGCCTTCCCGTCGCAGTCCAAGACCATCATGCTCACCAACGTAGTAGACGAGGCGATGTACACCATCTACTCCGAGTTCCCGAGCGCCATCAGCTCCTCGTACTACGACGATGTCGTCGACGGCACGTTCGGCTCTGTCAGCGGCAGCCGCCTGCTGAGCTACTCGACGTACGTCCCCTCGTCGACGCCCGCCGACGGCACGCAGGATGCCCGCCCCCAGCTGTCGCAGATGGGCACAGACCAGGTGTGGAGGTGTCCCTCGTGGACCTTCGCGCGCAGCTGGGCGTCGAGCGGCGGTACCGCGTATGTGGCATGTACACCGTCGGCGCGTCGTACCCCGGCAACTCCGACGTCTCCGAGTGCACCGACTCGGGCTCCGTCTGCCACCAGGACGACATCGAGATCGTCGTACGTCCCCTTCCCTCGCTTGCCGGGGTAGGGCGGTGATGCTGACCTCCGCTTTTGCAGTTCGGAACCGCGCCGAGCCCGACCAGCGCACAGTCCGCGCTCATCACCGAGATCCAGGCGCGCTACTACCAGTTCCTCCGCACGGGCAACCCGAACTCGGGCTCGTACGCGACGTGGGGCGCCACGGACGGCCAGACGGTCAGCGCCCTCGAGCTCGGCAGCTCTGGCGCGTACGCCGCCGGCGCGTGCGACCCGAGCCAATGGGGCGACGCCGTTCCCTATGACTACCAGGTCTACGACATCTAGAGCGGCATCGCCTGCCTGCTGAAACGATGCTGCAAGTAAACAAGAGTTTCCTCTCTCGTCGACAAGGTATCCTGCGAACTCTCGCGGGGCCATGGACCCACGCTCGCTATTGACGCATACCCTATACCCTCGTGGTTAATCGGCCTGCTTTCACCTTTGCATTCACGTCTCGTAATAGGTGGACTATCGTCCGCTGCACTTCCTATCTATTCTCCTCGCACGTCTTCACGCGTACTCACTGTTTTCCTCATTCGCTGTTGTATCTCGTCGGTCTGGTTTTCTCTCGGTTGGTTTGGTCTGTCACCCTTGTATCCCTACTGCGCTATTCGCCCCGAGCAGTCGTCACTGCCACCCCTGTAGCATTTCATAGTCCGTTACGGTTGTTACGCGCTTACAATGTATCGTCTGCCCTGTTGTTGTCTCAATAATATGTGTTGTGTCCTTACTTCGCGGATCTGGACAGCATGAAGAGGGAACGCGATAGATCGGTGACGTGGATACCTTGTTCAAGCCGCAGTATGTACGCATTGCAAATTAGCTGCGCAGACGGAGGCAAAGGGTCTCGCTGTTCACACAAGTACCGCGAAATGGAAGACCCGCAGCGTTACAGCAAGAGACCGCACAATAGCCGCAGCAAATATAGTACATACAACGTCGTCAAGCAGGTACCTGGCGATTACAACTTCGAAGAGGACGACGACGACAACACACTCTCCAATTCCGTGAACACATCGAAGTTGCGCTGGAGCACAACGTCCGTAGCAACCTGGACAACACGATCCTTCAGCACGAAACGCACGCGTTCGGTGGGGATGAGGAACACGCACCCCGTCCTTCTGAAACTTGCACACGCACCGATGGAGACGGCCCTTCGCCCCACCCCTCGCCTCGTCGCCTTGGTAGGTGAGAACCGTCCGACCCAGCTCGCTCGCGCGGCAGCGCACGCGGCTGCACGACCATCCGCCCAAAGACGCCCTCTGACAACGCGCGGACGCGTTCCCGCTGCGCCTCCGTGTTCTTGTTCCCAGAGAGGAGTCCGCATCGTAGTCAGGAGGTAGACCTGTGGGGGCATGAGGACGATGTTGCGGGCGCGAGCTTCCGCCAGCGCTGCAAGGGGGTGGACGAAACGCGCGGCGATGACCTCTTGCCCGCCGTCTGGGGTGGGGAGGCGTTCCTGCTTTCCGCCGGAGATGAAGCCGCTAGCGGGAGCGCTCTCTAGGAACGCGACGTAAACTGCGTATGGAATCGTCTACACGCCCTGTGAGCCGCCGTGCAGGAATCACCGTGTATATGTCAATCTTACCTTGGTATTGTGGGTGGGGTAATCCACTGTGTGAACGGCCAGAGCGATGACAGGTCTGCCTCAAGACCGTGCTCAGACAAGAAGTCCCTGAAGAGCTGTCTCTGTGAATGAATCTCTTCCCGTGCATGGTCCGTCTCAGCATCCGAGGGACCACTACCCGTGCCTGCCACTTTCGATGCCAACAGCAGCCCCGTCTCCTCGAACACCTCCCGGATTGCGGTCATCCCGACTGAGTCGTCCTGCTTCTGATCGTAGTTGCCGCCTGGGAAGACCTAAGCCCTCAGCACATGTGTAGTTGCAGGAGAGGACATGAATAGGAACGTACATGTGCACCGGCAAATGACTGCGACTTCGGGTTACGCTGGACGAGCAGCACCTCGTTCTGAGGGTTGACGATGATCACACTTGCCGATTGCCTTGGGCTTGACGGAGCCTTGGAGGACATCGTGCCAGCGACCTAGACCCCTAGAGTGCCCAACCTTGTGGAAGGGGGTGCACAGACAGGACAGGAGCCGTTCGTCGAGGCGAGAGATGAAGCCCACGAGGTTGTGCGGCAGATTTAGCCTGTCGACGTCGAAGAGAGGCAGTCCAGATAGCTATCTGTGTCCTAGGCACTAATGGGCGCATCTGCTAAGGCATGAAACAATCCCGTACATTGCGGGAGGTCACTTGAGCTGCTGGATTCCAGATCGTGCCGGCGGCCACCCGTGCTGCTTGCGAGAGTCATGCTCACCGCGAAACCGCTACTAGAGATCCCGAGAGTCCATATTCACAACTTGACGGTGCTAGGAGGCCAGTAAGTTGAAGTAGACGAGCAGTCAGACATTGAGGACGATCGCATCCAGATCGCATGGTAGTACAGGACAAGTTCAGCGCCAAACTATTCGCTGCATGCAAGTTCGGCAGTCACTGGCACGCGTACGTCTACACAAGGGCTGGATTCTCTACATTATTCATACATATGTGACACTAGTATTTACAATCGTCCCATTGCTATATGCTTCAGGTCCGACACGACACCTGAATGTCAGTGTTCCCTCTGAGTAAGGCCGCAAAATGCTCCAGACGCTGGACGAGTCCCAGGAGATATATGGTAGTCAATCAGACACACACACGACTTGCAACGAGGTGAGATGTATAGGCTCTGCGTTACGCGGGTGGCAGCCCACGAACGACATACTGCCAATTCTACGCATGAGGGTTAGTTAGGATCAAGCATCAACCCTTGAATCTACAGGTGCTTACCTTGTGATCGACTTCTCGAAAGTCTTGGTGTGCAGTCGCGATATGTACCATGTACCGCTTAAGCCTGTCAAGCTCCCGATCCGCCCTAGCCTGTGGTAGGTGTGCGTCTTTGAAGGGCGCGATCTTAAGGCCTTGACTAGGATTCAAAGCGAAGTTTCTCCCCTGCAAAGTCAGAAAGACAAACAGATAGGGACCGTAAGGCGCACCAGTCATCTACGTGGATCGTATTGCTTGCATTGCTGAGGATCTGGTCAGCGACACGCGGAAAGGGGAGAGTTCGCGAGATGGGAACAGACAATTGGGGAAGTGGTTCCAGATGATTTGTAGAGCCTTGACATGATGCTTATACGGTTTGCCGTCACGTTTTGAAACACAGAGAACATGCACTTCTTGTCTAGGACTAGTGTATCATTAGCCACGAGCCTCAAGGCGACAGAGCCACAGAAGCGGTCACCGAATGAGATCTACAGATGATATGAAATCAGTGTTCACTCGCATTTGCAGAACCCGAGGCATACTTCATAGCTATGGCCTCCACCGATCATACCTAGTTCGCTCAGTTTTGTTTCGAGCCAGATCCAACTCGTTTGCGACCTGGAGAGGATTGCACAAGCCGTATAACGGACAGACTGGACGATACGTACCATATACAGATGTCGTAGTGCGGATAGATTGCTTCGAGGAACTCGTGTAATCGGGGCCTTGCGCATTCGTGCGGTGGGAGTGCACCCGACGTGAGCGGCTTTGTATCCAAGATAGCTAGAGGAGTCATACCGCCATGTCTTAACAAACAGATGCAGTGAACACACGTACTGTAGTCAAGATCCAACACGAGCAGTCGCTTGCCCTCTCTCAACGGATGAATGATATTGACCTCCAGCTTCTTGTGCACTCTCGGATCTTCCGCTGATTCCGCTGGTCATTGATATAGGCCGACGCCGCTGCTGGATTTGCGGAGAAGTCGATATCTAAGTCATTGAGGACATCGGGCAAAAATTCCAGCTCTGAAGTCACCATCGTGCATCTTAGTTCACGATGCATGGCAGTAACAGGCCACATACGCGACGGATCTTTGATCTCCTTTCCTTGAGGAGTTCCGACGAGGGAGAACTTCTTCCCGCTCGTAAGCTTGAGATTAGCACTGTGATCGCACGGGAGGTAAGAACATTGGCAGTGAAGTAGAAATAACACATTAGCTCACATAGTCTCTTCGTCAGGGGGCAGCTTTCCCTTTACAGCCGAGGATCTTTTGCCGCTCTGGAGGCACATCCGTCAAGCTCTGCAGCAGAGCCTTGAGGTCGTCCACCCTTCAAGCATTTTCGACTGGTACCCCTACAATAAAGATATAGACGTACCTGTCCGATTCCGCGACGTCCAATTCGAACAGTTGCCTGACCAAGTGAAGGAAAGATGTATCCATTTCTCGGGATTTCGTCTCAGCTGGCGGCGGCGAAGTAGCCTGTGTTCTGTTGTTAGCTGCGCGTATCTCATCTCCATTCGACCTAGGCGCACCACTGCCGTGACTGTTGTCGCGTGCTCAGCAGTCTTGGTGTCTATAGTCTCCTCTGGTATCTCGGTGGCGCTGTCTGAGGTTGCACCGGAGCGACTGTCTCAGGCGAGGGCTGAGAGGTTGGGGGAGGATTGATGCTTTCCATGACTCAGAATCCAACAGATCCGTAGCAGCGACGTTGAGACAGGTGCGCACGAAGAGTACAAAGTCAACCTTTATATGTGCGCTTGTGGGTCCATCCTACACCGGGCGCTTGTCGCGAAACACGGCTACGCGTCCTCACGTGAGTGTGACCGTCACAGAGACGCGTCCGATTTCTCTGATCTCCGAGTCGTTGCTTCATACAGCCAGCTGTTATAATTGATTTTACTACGATACTATGGTACGTAGAGCATGCTCATGATGTCCTTAAAAGGTGAAGACGGCACCGCTCTTGCGTTTACCGAACAGATAGACAATCGCGCAGCTCATGAACAGCCCAACCGAAATACCAACAGTGACTTGAAGCATCGCATATCCAAGCGCAATGCCATGGCCCTCAGCATCGATACCTCCGGCTTCGGATAGACCGGACTGCCCCAGCAGTGAGCTTTATCAAAAAAAGATCTGCACAGCACTCACCGGCACGAGGAACAGAACACCAGGCACCATGACCGTGAACGCAGTGCCGCCACATACTCGGGAATATATATTCCCCAGAATGCCAACAGCGAAAGCTCCGACGGAGGCGACGATATCTGAATGACCGAAGATGAGATGGCTGCAACCTTGTTGGAGATATACGAGCAGATTGCAATGACGATCATGACCGGGAAGTCCCATGTCCAGTACGGCTGCATGTTCGCGACAGATAGCAGGATCGCGAACGCAGGAACGAGGATGAACTCGGTTTGCCAGGGAAACGGCTGCTGGTACCACGGGAATGAGGCTGGGCGGTAGCATCCGTTTACGATGTCGTTCACGCTCTGCGGCGTTGAGTCCGAGAAGGTGAACGATCCGGTAAGCGTGCGATTGCTGGACAGCACGCCTTCCATAACGTAGGTCCCCGTGTAGCTGGCTGTGCTTGCCAACTGAGCGATCGTTTGTGCACTCTTGATGTGGGCGCTCGGCACGAGGAACAGATACAAGTCAGAACCGAACTGCAGACCAAAGCCCTGTATGCGAGTCGTTGATTAAGACTTCAGGGGAGCAATGCAATGATCCGTACCAAGAACAGCGTGCAGATGAGCGCGTAGATCATGTGCATGCTGCCGGTGACAATGTTCTTGGTACCAAGCTCTAGAGCGCTGGACACTGGTGTATTGTCAGTGTTGACGAAGACGGCCGGAAAAACCAATGAACCTACATATCAGGAACCCAGGTAGGATGCCAACAATACCTGCGGAAGAGATGGCTGTCCAACAGAACATCTCGTCTCTGATGTCGTTGAGAGCGCGAGCAACGAACGAGATGGTGCAAGTAACCAAGATGCTACGTCGCACACGATGTCAATACCCGGTCGAGGTCAGCAGTTCGAGGGGAACCTACTTCCAAACGTTCGCATAGAACGTCCCGCACCTCGCCGACACCGTATTCTGGACGAGGAACAGCAAGAATGCGCCTGCGCCGGCAACCCACATGTCGATGATCGACCCGCCGAACGCAAGGGGGCAGATCACGATGGCCAGCAAGACCGAAAAGGCACCCCTCCAGTAGATGTTGTATATGGGCTTCGCGTCCATCAGACTGCGTAGGCGGGTGAGGCCGGTCTTCGCACTGATCTCGTCGTGGACGACCATCCGGTAGGTTTGGTGCACTTCGTGAAGAGCCCCGAGGGAGAGCTGGCCTCGTCGGTCGACGACGTGGCACCGACGGTTATCGGTCAGTGGGCCTGTGTGATCACCGAACTCGCAGAGGATGACGGTGGGCAAATGGACGAAGGTACATATGAGCCCGAGAATTTTGCATACTGCGACGAGCTGCGCCTCAACACGATGTGAGGGTGCACCGAACTTGGAGAGCGCCTCTGCGAGCATCACGACGAAGTCCATGCGGTTGCCGTGGGCTGTGATCACAGTATGTATGAAGCAACCTACAAATCATAGAGGTCGTGCACTCACTATCGGGATTGTACAGGATCCTCGCCTTATGCGCGTATTTTCGGCGCTCCCTGTAGTCCATAAGTCGTATCTTCTCCTTCTCCTCGTGATGGATGTCGGACAGATGGAGTTTGCGAATCCCAGTTACCTCCGGGTCATCCGGATCGTACAATCGGCCCTCGTCGCCTTGGGAGACGTTCGCGTACAAGGACCTCCTGGGCAGAATGCGCCTCCTCGTGGAGTCATCAGAAGAGGCGCGTCTCAGCATGCTTTTGCCACGGGGAGGACGGAGTTTCGCATCCTCGGCGGTAGAGGCTGAGTAGAGTGCGCAGATTGAGGGGCTCGGATATCGAAGGGGTGTCGATACGAAGACAGGGAAGGGAACCTTGGTGGACCATTCTCCTCGTCGTCATCGTCGTCATCATCTTTGGCTCGATACTGGCGTTCGCGACGTAAGCCGTCGGGCGGCGGGATGGGTTCGTCATCAGAGTCGTCGTCGCTACTGCAGTCAGAGTTGCGAGCGGCATCCAAGTCTATCCGGGGCAAACTCGGCCTGCGACGCAGTTTAGGCAGCTTGCGCCACTTGCGCTCTTCATTCGAAAGTTTCGACTCGTCGTCGTCGGCCCTCCGATTCGGATCGTGCGCACTTTCCGGACGGGCAGGCAGGTAGAATCCTTCCTCGTCGTGGTGCTCGTCCCGAGCGGGGATCTCCTTTACGGACAACTCGCCGTGAAACCGTACACGACTTCCGGTGGAACTGCGACGACGGCGGTCGACCGAGGGGGAGGTAACATCAAGACGGGCCGATCCAGTCGGATCCACGTCACCTTCGCTGAACCGGACGCGAGACCCAGTACTGGCCCGCGGTTGGCTCAAAGCGTCAACAGCGTCGCTCATCGACGATCGGCGGCGAGTGACAGAAGGGCGAGACATAAGGAAGAAGTGACAAGAGTGAATATAGGACGAAGCGGAGGAGGGAAGCCTCCTTCCTGTGGTGGGAGTATTGAGCGAATGCACAGGGTCCCACCTTGGTTTGTTGCGTATCTGTCAGGGATGAATATGCGGTGTTAGCCACTAGCGGGTATAATTGCGATATTTTGTTTTGAACTAGACTCAGAAGCACCATTGTCCGTCCAAATTAAGACCAACTCTCCGAGATGTGTATGGATCCTGACCGCCTGCCGTCCGTCAGCTACACTGCCCAGGTTGAGCCAAACAGGATGCATCTCTTCGGGCTCACTGCATAAACTCGGGTGGTTCAAGCAGCCAGAGTAAGAACTATAGGCGCTCCGAGTCTGTCGTTGTGAGATGGCAAGGCAGACTCCAGGGAGCATCAAAATCGATTTCCTGTTACCATTATGAATACGTTGGCTGATTGGGATTTTGACCTGTATGAAAGCATCAACAAAAGGCTGACGTCCAGCTGGAAGGTAAACGTACCCCTGCGACTGGATAACCTCTCATCGGCTGTATATATAGATGCACTTGTCACTTAGCTGACATGGGCACTCCAGAAACAGCGTCATATTCTACAAGACTTCCAGCGACCTAAAATACAACCACGCTCGGGCGTCTGCTTGTGTACTGTGGCTGATGATACACTTGCTTCATGGAAAGACTGGAATGCGAGATCAGACCCTAGCAATGCCATCCACAACCGCGCCGAGCGTGGACAATGTCGACGGATCTAAGTAAATAGTATCAGACCAAGCTCAAACGCAGGCGCATGGAGCGCCATCCACGCACCCGTAATCACCACACGCGTCCGTGTTGCACTTCGAGGCGGTGTCAGGACTTGGGCAGCCGCATCGTATGCCCAACCATTGTTTGCAGCAGCTAGAGAATAAGTTGGTGGGAGTGACCGATCTCATCCCAGTCTCACGCACCAGCAAGAATCTGATCGATTGGCAAACCCAAATAGCTCTGTGCCAATGGAACGGAAATAGTTGTGTAGGCCTTGCCCAGAAGGGTAAAGGTTTTCGTCCTGAATGCATCTATAGAAGAGTTGTCGTATTGGCATCATCGTAAAGAATGGCACCAAGGCTCACCAATAAATGCCGTAGTCATGCCTGCAAGGACCGTCCCCAGCTTCCCTCCCGACAAAGCAGGTTGATGACACAGGTTGAACAGATCCTCCGCGCGGGCGTAGACGGCTTCGTGCTGTCGGTTGTGTACGGCAGTCAAGATACCGAACAGACTCATCGATACGGGTAGACGGAGGTGTGATTCCGGCAACCTCGTCAGAGCATGGCGGGCCGCGGCGCTATCCACTGGTCAGAAGCCCTTCGCGCCACATATGTGACGGTAGAATAAACGCACACATCGTCGAGAACGAGATACGCAAGCACCAGAGGCGCGAGCACAAACAGTCGCGTCACATCGTGAACGTTTCCCTCCTACCGCGCCAAATGTTAGGTACATCAGGGTAGGATCGGTCTCGGACGTACGGCAGCATCTCCTCGCTCTGCCTCGAGAGCCAATTCGCGATACCGGCCCTGTGCAGCGAGGTCCGCCAAGGTAAGGAAGAGCCTTTCGTAGGCCGTGCCCTGTGGCTCTGCGTCGGTGACAGAGGCTGGTTCTGTCTGCTGTGACTGTGGGGGCTGCTCGGGTGGCGGGGTCGTTGGGTCTGTGTCTGTCGCCATCGGAGTGGGCTGAGGTGGGTTGGAACTGCGTGCCGCATCCTGAATCTCTGCTTCTGTGGTCAAGGGAGGAGTGGGCGGGCCCGTCATTTTGAGTAGGTATAGCGAGAGGTGACAGGTATGCGTAGGGGCGAATGGATGGCGGGGTGACGGGTCGGTCTGAGTGTCGCGATACGCGTGTATATATGCATCACGTGCACGCGCCTTCTTTATGGGCGCTACCGAAGCGCGTACGACACGAGTAGTGGCAGCACCATATACACCACAGCCACAGCCAGTCCCGCTGTGCGTGCACTAATTCCAAGCACAGCCGCCCTCTCCGCGCTCATATAGTTGCTGTCAGTCCTCGCGTTTGCTACCATAATGGAGGAATTTCAGGATGAGGAGATCGAGAGCGTGCTCTACATCGGAAGGGAGGTTTCAGGTGTGCCGCATAGTCGTAGTGCGAGACATGGAGCTGATCCAAGGCGAGCAGTTTTCAAAATCCCGCCTATGAAGAAGAACGAAGGACACCGCGCGCAGGAATGGGGTGACCTCGGTCAACCGTTGTGGAAGGGTAGGCTACGGATCATCGAGCGGTCGAGCGGTGTCTCCATTCAGTTCGAGGATGTCAACACAGGTGTGTATCCTTCAACCATGTTACGCGAGAGCACTTCGTTGATACGTGTGCTGGATTTGACAGGCGAATGTACGTTCCGTTATTGTGGTACCCTGACCGTGAATGAGACATGATACGCAGCGTTCGCCAAGGCCGACTACGATCCCGCGAAGCCGTGCGTAGAGGCTGTCTTGGATTCCTCGCGCTACTTCGTCGTCCGAGTAGAGGATAACGGACGAAGGGCATACATCGGAATGGGCTTCTTGGAGCGTACAGATAGCTTTGACTTCAGTGAGTGCTTTCCGCTCGCGCTCTTCGGAGATCCCAGTGCTCATCACGTCTATCCAGACGTCACTCTGCAAGACTACACCAAGTAAGCCTTCGATCAGCGATCAACCTTTAGCTGGACATCTCATCATGTCACCATAACCTCTAGGCGATGGCGCGCCCGCATGAACCCACCAGATGCTGCGACTGAGGCTGCCGCAGCGTCAGCAGGGCCCAAGAAGGACTACTCGCTGAAAGATGGCCAGACGTTCTCGATCTCAATACCCGGGCGTGCGAAGAACAACAACACGACCACGTCGAACCTGCTCGGAGGATCTACGAGTTCGTCTTCGTCCGGTGGTGGTGGCTTTGGCGTCCCTCTGTTACCACCGCCTCCCAGTGCGCCCCGGAGATGACACGACAGAGGTTGGATGGACTCCGTGATCTCGAGATTGTATCATACTGCAATACCTTTGCATTGGTTCTTGTCACAGCAATCAAGTTATGGCGCTACCATAACTCAATCTGACATGCACTTCTTTCCTGAGCTTATACGCACCGTACAAGGCTACATATGGGCAGCAGCGCAGCCCTGATTCGCTCCTCCAGCGAGAATGGGTGGTTGTATGAGGCGCAGTACTTACTGAATGACCGACATCATGTCGGCTCATCACTGTGAAGCACATCTGGACGTCACACCATCACTGCATGTTTCCATAGACCCTAAGTTGTTCCGACCTCAATATGCTCAATCTGGCTTCACCAAGGCCTCACAGAGCGCTGATGATGGCGGTGCACTGAGCCTCTACGTCACGGTGTACAAACTCGAGCGACCATGATGCTGCAGTACACAGTCTGCGTCATCGCACCCTGTCCCGACTCACAGTCTTGGCTAGATAGCACATTACACACAGTGCAGTATCCCCAAAGGTAAGCGCATAGATCTGCATGTTCCTCCTATAAGCCGCTCACATCGAACGCTCAATGCTGCGCGAACAGATGTCATTGTCCGCGACCAATTCAGTACCACCGCAGGTCCCCATCCCCGTAGATCAAGAGACGCGTCCATGGCCCTACGACACGGCGCGGTCAACCGGGACGTCATGCACGCCCCTCCTCGCTGCCATCCTCGCCGCAGACACGCACAACATGGTCGCCAGCGGGCCCGGCTCGGACTTCCGCAGCGTCGAGGAGCACATCCGCGGCGTCCGCCCGTGGCTGGACGCGGAGGACCGCACGCTCAAGAGCCTCGTTTTCTGGGTGTACCCTGAAGGCCTATCGGGGCCGTACCACGAGACGGAGGACGGACAGGTGAAAGAGCACGGGCTGCTGGTGACGATTGAGCGGGGGACGAAGGTGGCGGATATGATGGAGGCGGTGAAGGGTGCGTTCGTGGAGGAGGGCACGGCGCATGTGCACGTCCCTGCTGTTTGAAGGGGGCCGTGTGCGTATCCCCAATGAACACAGAAAGCAGGTGCGATGTAGCATGTTCGTTGATACGATCTCATCCATCTTGTCAGTTGTTGCATGTCAGCGGTACTTCGGTGCCATGATAGGGTCCAGCAGCGCAGCGACCTGCTCGTACACAGTGAACAGGATCCCTCCACTAAATATCGTCCTCCCGAGCCTCATCACCGTCCCGCGCCAGAGCCCCCTCACGCCGTCGTCCGCCAGTATACCCCTGAACGCCTCCACCGTCGTCGCGCCCCGCGCGCTCTGCGAACGCGTCTTGATCGTGTCGAACGGCTGCGTCGCGTAGGTCGTTATGATCCCGGCAATGGAGCCGTTGGCAAAGTTCGTGGCGACGCTTTGCTCGATGTGCCGCGTGCTCTCGTAATCCTTGAGAATGTTGTAGGTGCCCATGCGGAAGGCCGTCGCGCCCGCCTGCTTCAGCGTCGTGCCTGCGAATCCGCGATACAGCGCGAGGAAGCCACCTTCCTGGTAGAGACCCGGACGGCGTGCAGGCCTGATCGGAACCTCTTTTCTTCTCTCGCATCGTCGATGAGGGCGGTCTTGATGCGCTCGGTAGGCGTGACGGCAAAGATACTCGCGACTACACCAGCGGTCATGCCCGCAAGCATGTTGCGCATGGGAGTGAGCGCGCCCGTCTGTGGATCTTTGTACGCATTCTTGATCGCGTCGAACGAGAGGAAACGCACGGCATCCTTCCCCATTGAACCGATGATGAGGCTCGAGCATCCCTTGTACAGTGCACGCGCGCCTTCCTTTCGGAGGACTTCACTGACGACAAGGAAAGGGTTGCGCGGCCGCGGATGTGCTGGGTCACTGTGAAGCTGGACCCGCGTCTTCGCGAACTCGAACGGGTATGTCGCTGCGGCTTCAACGCCGCCTGCTACAGCTCCCGCGACAAGAGACACCATGGTGGTGTCTGCTTTGACTGTTCTGCTGACATGGTCCGACGTGGGCAAGAGACAGCCAACGTCGTGACAGGGACTCTGAGCAATGAGGCTGACCAAGCCGAATGAGAAACCACTCAAAACCGATGTCGATGATTGACTTACGTTCTACTCATCTCTTGCTTGCCAGTGGTAAGTTGCAGGGGCTTCACTTGGACTTGGACTCTGCAAAATGCAGCCAGTGGTCAAGGTGTAAAGATCGTACTGACGGCTCCCAGGAATAGTAGCTTGCATATGCTCTGCCAGGTATATTAACATGTGCGGCGTTGGTGAAATGTTACTCCCAGAGCTCACTGACGTCATTAGCGAGCGACCCAAGTTCGTTCCAAAAGTAGCAATCATCATCATGCCGGTGGCGTCGTGAGCCTCTCGCTGCAGGTTCTCCCCATCCGCTTTCACGTAACTCTTCCGTGCCTCAACGTGTTGCGCAACGCCCCATAACGGTGAGGGCACAAATCGATTTTTTTGCAGAAACACTGAGGCTGACATTTTCCGCCGTGGAGGGCAGATTAGATTGGGGGAGAGCCTCTAACGCCTCTGCCCATCAACCACGACTCCATCAACCTACTACTACTGGTTCTACGTTATGAGCAAAGACGGCTCTAGCAAGATCTTACCCTCTGTTTCACTCGCCGCAGGAGGCGCCGCCGGGGCGGTAGAGGCGGCTGTTACCTACCCGCTCGAGTTCGCAAAGACTCGTATGCAGCTAGGGACAGTCAAGACGCGCAACCCCTTCATCATCATCAACCACGTCGTGCGCACGGAAGGGCTGCCCGCTCTTTACAAAGGCTTCCCGAATGTCATCATCGGGTCCATGGGCAAGAACGCGATCCGCTTTGTCTCCTTCGACGCCATCAAGAACGTCTGGAAGGACGCCGAGACGGGCGAGCTCACGCCTGCGCGGAGCCTGCTCGCGGGTATGAGCGCGGGTGTCGTGACGAGCATCTTCGCCGTGACGCCGACGCAGCGGGTCAAGACTGCGATCATCGACGATGGTGGGGGCGCCCAGAAGTTCCGCTCTAGCATGCACGCTGCACGCATGATGTACCAGGAGCGCGGGCTTGCCGCGTTCTATTACGGCTTTGGAGGGACAACACTGAAGGCAATCTCTGCGACGGCTGTTCGCATGGGCACGTACAACATCCTCAAGGACTACGAGCACTCGAGGAACATTCGGCCAACGATGTCTACGAGCTTCATGAACGGAGCAATAGCGGGGATCGTGACGACATACGCCACGCAGCCGTTCGACACGCTCAAAACGCGTTGCCAGAGCGCAAATGGCGCGTCGACTGTGGAGGCGTTCAAGAATATCATGGCGGATGGTGGGATAAGGGTGTTCTGGAGTGGAAGCGTGGTCAGGCTGGGTAGGACGATCCTTAGCGGCGGGATTTGTTCACTATCTACGAACAAGTTGTGGCGGTCCTGAACCCAATTCTGAGTCTAAAATAGCAATCTAGCGGTCATACCCCTCCAGGTGAATGGTATCTATGACTTATGCATGTAGAGAGCGTGTGATGTCCAGGCTCGGATCGCAGGGAGGCCAGGCCCAAAACGTCAAGATTTCCATGTGCGTGTAAGTGTTCAAGACGCTATCGAATCGGGATGTAACATATGTACGGCCCACGCAGGGTCATACACAGGCGGTTCGATCGCAGGCCCTGCGTCTCGCTCGTGTATCCTCGAACCAATGGTCTCGTACAGGTCAGAATCCCGATGCGGCGGCTTGCTTGCAGCAGCGGACGGCAGTGTCGTGGTGTCTGTCATTTCTCGCTGCATTGTTACTGAACACTTGCAATCTTCGTCACCGGTCTACCATGTTGAACTTCAGGTTGGGCTCGAGTCGAACTGCGCTCGATCATAGGGGGTGCCTGGAAGACTAGAAAGTCGTCAGAAATATCCTGCAATAGCAGTCGGAGGTGCATACATGGTTCGAGTCGAGCTGGCATATTCAAGGTTCGACGCTGGAGCCGTCGAGTGATCCAGAGAGCGACGAACAGTATGAGTAGAACTGCGCATCCGACCTGCGTCAATACCTGCGTCAGAAGATTAAGGAAACGCTGAGGATGCTGTCAACGTACTGCTATCCCTGCGCCGATGGCAGCCGTTGAGAGCTTGTTTGATTGTGAAATACTAGGGGAGGATGGTCCGAATGGTGTTGTACTTGCTCCATTGAGTGTCTGCGAAAGCGAAGGAGTGGCGCTGTTAGTAGAAAGTGGTGATGTACTGGCACTGAACGTTTGGTGCATCCGTTCTGTTAGTGAGCTCGAGATGGGCCCGTGATGTCATTGGGGACTTACCTAGGTACCGTAGCGAATAAACAACCACAGATGCGAGGTTAAATTCGCCCCTTGATTCGCTATCTTGACTTGATAGGTAGCCGATTGGTTTAGACCTGTTGCGAGGTACTTCGGAAGGTCAAGCTGGGACCACAATGCCCTTGGACTGTACTGAATCGAATTGTCGGTCACCGAGTCGGTCGCTCCTGGATCGTCGCTGGCCACAGACACGTTGAACAGCCCTTGGCCCAGTCGTCGCTCCCGTACATCATGAATCCCACGGCGTCGCTGAGAGTGAAGGAGAGCGTCGCATCCAAGGTGCTCGTGGTGATGCATGGATAGCCAGAAGTCTGGTTTGCGTAGAGTTCCTCGACTGACCAATCCTGGTTAACAGCGAACGAGTTGGGCTGGTAGCGGAGATATTCCGAGTCTGAAGAAGAGTCCTGAGTGACAGCTTGATATTATGAATGGTAGTCCGTAACAACGAATGTATTGCTCACCCTGAGCTACCCATACCAACTGTAATAACGGCCCCTGTAATGACACCTCGCCTTGGAGGACTGTGAGGGTGATGGTGTGGAACCCGTAGGTCAGGTCCGTCAGGCCAAATAGCAGTCCGTTGTCAGCTCCTTTGCCCTCGACGAAGGCATCGTTGTCGACCTGCACACTGTACGTGCCCCCTTCTGCAGTTCCATACAGCCACACGGCCGTTCCTGCCCAATCGACCACGACATATGCGCCGGCCAATGTCGTTCTGTGGGAACTAACCTGATGACATATGTTCACGGATGAGGATGTGCCCAACTTGCAAACGTGTACTATCGGGCGGCTCACCCCGGTTCCAAACATGTGGTTGCAATACCAGTCAGTGAAGGAGCTCCCAGAGCCTGTAAGACACGTTCCAATTGTCGTCCATCAAGCCGTCTCGGTGAGGGAAGAAGCGGACGATGGCGGATTGATCTGTAAGCGATATGTTGCACGGGGTAGGGTCGAGACTGGTCATCGTTCCTCGCGCAAGTGGGGTTGTAGTGCCGAGATAGCAGAGGTCCGTCAACGGCAGCGGTCGAAGGCTCTGAGAAAGGTAAGGACACGGGTGTGCGATAGGATCCAGCGTGGAGGCAGTGAGCATTGCCTGGTCCATCGTACCGACGTGCTTTAAGTACAGCGCGCCCGAATCCTATTTGGAGGTCGTGCTTGTGGACAGTATGATTAGGTTTGGCACGTCATGACCAGTTCCGTCGCACTCCGAGTCACTGATTCGTGAATCGTGGGCGAGAACATTCGCTCAAATGCACAAGTAGCAACCTCTGATCTGGTATGCTTTCGGTCTTCACCAACACATCATGCTCCCTACACCATCAAAGCCAAGGCAGTCAGCGAGAAAGGTCTTGGAATGGCGAGTATATTGACCTGACCTGGCATATCACCTCCATCTCCCCAGAAAGCGGATGATCAATGCATAGAGGGATTGGCGCGCACTGAGAATGTAAGATAGCAAGCCTGGAAGACGTTCGTTGGCGGCCGCCGCATAGCATATCACACTGCCATCTTGGCAGTTGGCGTTCTCAGTCAACGATCAAGATGAGCAGCGCCGCGCCAAGTTTGAGGCTACCCTGCTTGCTTATAACGAGTGAGCATTCTGCCAATGCTAGATAATGAGGACGCACCTTCGCTCTGGCGTCTTGATGACTACGCATGTCTACACACGCGAATAAAATCTAGCCTATGGACTCAGATCTCAGGATGATTCAATGGCATGGCGATTTTATTGGCAAAATTTCCGGAGTGTAAGCGTACTCAAATGACCGACCGGCCGGTTGCGCAGCGGAGAAATTCTGTCGTTCCCCGCCAACTAGCGGATCGCCCTGAGTTCAAGCCTGACTGCAAAATACTTCAGCGCAGGTACTACTTGACTTCTGGGTGCCCGTCCATGTCCGCACACACAGGAGCGAACGAAACCACACCCAAAGTACGCGTTGAACATGGAATCTAAGACGGAACTTGAGTGACAGGAGAGACATCAAAGTCGCCATGCGTAAGTGAGTGCTCAATGCGTCAAGTTGGGATGTAACATGCCCACTGCCCACGTAGGGTCATATACAGGTGGTGGATGGCAGGCCCCGCGTCCCGCTCGTGTATTCTCGAGCCAATCTCCTCATACAAGTCAGATACGTCGAGGTTCCTCGAGACTAGGGGTGCTGCGTTGTTTTCGTCAGTGTGTCGTCCACTTGTAGCAGCGGGAACTTGAAGCATCGTCGAACTGCGCCCCGACTTTCGCAGCAGCTCGGCGTTTGTGAATTTCTCCGGAAGACGGACGTGAGACATCTGGATTTCTGCGGACACGTTCTGAGTGATGGATGGGCTCTCGGCGACTAACAGGAAGTGTCAAGATCTGCCCCTGGTAAAGCAGGTGCACTTACATGGCACTGCTGATGTCGCCAGGTCCAACATCTGCCTCCGTCGCTGCCGCCGGATGGCCCAAAGAACAATGCCAAGAGCAATTGAGATTCCGAGGACAGATGCGACCTAGGTGAGTGCGACGTGAGTGAGGTAGTTAGGACTCGCCCACGATCAAATGTCATCGACGCACCACGACTCCCACGATGATAGCATTCGTTGTTGAGTGTGCATTATGCGTGATAATGGCCTGGGTGTTGAAATTGTTCCAGTCGCGGATGCACTGGCAGTGACTGAGTGATCAGCACACAGACATCAAGACACTACGATGCGATCTAGTAGAGTGCTTGCCTAGAATCAACGCCGTAAAATACCAAGGACCCAACGTTGACATCCGCCCCAAGATTCGTGATCTCAACCTGGTACGTAGCCGTTCGGTCCAGTCCCGTGGCCAAATACTTCAACATGTCGAGTTGCGACCACAGCGATCTCGAGCTGTACTGAATTGCATCCTTGGCCACGGAGCTTGTCGCTCCAGGGTCGTCGCTGATTACGGATACACTAAACAACCCCTGCTGCCAGTCGTCGCTCCCATAGATAGCAAACCCTACGGAGTCGCTGAGGTTGAATGATAGTGTTGCACCTACGGTGTTTGTGGCGATACATGGATAGCCAGAGGTCTGATTTGTGTAGAGGTCCAATGCCGACCAGTTTTGAGTGCCGCTGAAGATCGGGTTCAGGCCCACCGCCGTATTGGAAGACACGTTGCTTTCGGTAGCGGATATATTCCGTGTATGAAGGACAGTCCTGAACAATGCTACGCCCTGTACCAGTGCCCATGATACGTGATAATGCATAGTTTGCTTACCCTGGATCACCCATACCCACTGTGATAATGGCCCCTGTAATAGACACCTCGCCTTCAACGACGGTCAGGGTGATGGTGTGTAGCCATAAGTTAGGTCCGTCACGCCGAACAGCACTCCGTCTGTAGCTCCTTGGCCTTGAGCAGCGTAATTCCCATCTATCGCAACAGTGTACGAGTTCTCCACCGCCGTTCCATACAGCCACACAGCCGTTCCTGCCCAATCAATCACGACATATGCACCGGTCAGCGTAGTTCTATGGGAGCTGACCTAAGGGCATACGCAGATGAGCATGTGCCAACGGGCGTATGTAGGGCGGCTCACCCCTGCCCCAAACAGATTGTCGTAAGACCAGTCGGCGAAGGAGCTTTCCGAATAGGTCACGTTCCAGTTGTTGTCTACGACGCCGTCTCGGTGAGGGAAGAAGCGAATAACAGCGGATTGGTCTGTGAACGAGATGTTATACGGCACAGGATCGGGTCATCATCCCGGCTCAAGTAAGTATGCGGGGATTGGGTAGCGAATGCAAGGGAAAGAACTCTTTGAGTAGGATAGGATGAAGAGTTCGCTGGGGCTAGGTGACGATGGTAGTTCCCCGGTCCACCGCCCTGAGGCATGCTTTAAAGCATAGCCGATTTTCAAGCGTGGTGTCTTGAGTCTTGACTATGTGGGCGAGTCGACAGGTTGATTAGGTTTGGCGTGGCGCTCCGCGGGACGAAAATTCGCTCGAAGACGCCAGTAACAACTGGTGTTAGTGACCTATGAGCATGTGTTTTAGGCGTCGACTAGCTTACAATGCATGGTATTAGTATTAGTACGCAATCAGAACCAGCGTGGTCAGCAGAGTGCACAAACCAGCGAATAGTTTATTGAAGCCTGACCTCACGCATTGCCGCCCCGATGCCGCGCCTAGCAAAGACGCGAGCGATCAGTGCGGAGGCATGGCGCGACGAGAAAAGGAGTGCTGACTATACCGGCGTTCGAGATGCTGATCGCTGGCAGCTTTCACCGACATCACGGAAGGTCGGGGTGTGGTAATAGTGTTCCGAATTTCGGCGGCCTACCTGTGCGCTGCAAGTAAGTAGTCTGCACAACAAAACGGGATAACTCGAATCTTCACCTCTTGTCTGGATATCATTCATACATGTCGATGTCCGTGAACCGAACGACAATTGACCATAAGATCAGATACAACCATGAGAGCAGTACCGGAGAATTTGCATGCGGTAGGATGGCTAGATGGTCACAGGAAACTGACAATTAAGGAAGAGGACGCACACAACAGTGTCGAGATGGCCAGAAAGAACTGTCTTCTTGGTGGCATATAAACTCCGTACTACGCTAACTAGTGTTACACGGGATGCGCTCGAGACAACAGACGAACATACGTGGGCAGAACAGCCCGGGAAAGTCGAAGGGTGAAGGCACGTAGCCTACCACAAATAGTCAACAGAACGACAATGTCACACACCACATGACCAACTACGACGCCACACGAGCGGGATGAGACGGGGAGGACGAGGAGGACGCCTAGTGTGAGCCCAGTTGATGCTGTTGATGTCGATGCCCTCCTGGACCATCTCCCACAGTGGGCTCATATCGCGCAGCCTCTGTACGACGGACACGATTTTGTCGACGACGTAGTCGATCTCTGCCTCCGTCGTGAAGCGGCCGATACCGAAGCGCAGCGACGAGTGCGCCATGTCCTCGGCCGCGCCGAGCGCACGGAGGACGTACGACGGCTCGAGCGACGCGGATGTGCATGCGCTGCCGGACGAAAGCGCGATATCCTGGGCAGCGGGGTAATGATCAGCGGACGCATGATGAATATGAATGTGACATACCTTCAGCGCCATGAGGAGAGACTCGCCCTCAACGTACGCGAAGCTGAGGTTGACGCATCCGGGGAAGCCATCTACGTCTCCGTTCCGGACGACGTGGTCGACCTTTGCGTTGATGCCCCTAATGAGGCGGTCTGAAAGCTCTTGAGGCGCGCGTGGTCCCGCTAGAAAGGCAGCCAGTCAGTACCGTGTCGTCACAGAAGCCATGATGTCTAGACAGCATCTGCCATAGCAGGAAGCTCAGTACCCCTGCACGGTGCGTCTCGGCTGCGCCGGCGGCCGGCCTTGAGCCTGGACTTACGCCGCGCAGCTCACGGGTCGGTATACATATATACGTGCACGTTCTCATCAACGCGTCGCAAGGGCTGAACACTCACCGCCATCTCCTGCTTCGCGATCCGCGCCGCCTCACCCATACCGACGACAAGGGGCGTGGCGAGAGTTCCGCTGCGCAGACCACGCTCCTGGCCTCCGCCGTCAATGAGCGGCTCCAGTCTTACGCGTGGGCGCCGGCGGACATATGCAGCACCGATGCCCTTCGGGCCATAGATCTTGTGGCCGGACAAGCTCATGAGGTCGACGTTCGCCTCGTTCACGTCGAGAGGGATCTTGCCCGCCGCCTGCGCGGCGTCCGTGTGGAAGTAGATCCCGCGGTGCTTGCGGAGGAGCGCGCCGATCTCCTCAATAGGCTGGATGACGCCGGTTTCGTTATTGACAGTCATGATCGACACGATGGAGGTGTCCGGGCGAATCGCGGCCTCCAGTTCGGCGAGGTCGATGATGCCGTTTTGTTGGACAGGGAGGTACGTCACGTCAAAGCCCTCTTCCTGTAGCTTGCGGCATGAGTCGAGCACGCACTTGTGCTCAGTCTGCGTGGTAATGATGTGCCGCTTGCGATCCTTGTGGAACCGTGCGACACCTTTGAGGGCCATGTTATTTGACTCGGTGGCACCCGAGGTGAAGACGATGTCTTTCGGGTCTGCGCCAATAAGATCTGCGATGTTCTGAACGATGATATCAGAATGGCTATCTCGAAAGTGAGCATTGGCTCGGAGCGACTCGGGGTTGCGGGACTCCACATCAAGGGGAGTGCCCGTAGGACTCGGCACACGTCAGGTGCGTGGGACGAGCTGGTGTTCAGGTGTGTAAGCAGCGTCGTGCTTCCCCGGGGTCATACAATGCAGGCGGGCAAACGACGACCTGGAACGCAAAATCTCTTCCTGCAGGCTAGATTCCCAAAGACGCAAGGGGCATCGCTCTGCGTTAATGAAGAAGTCCGTCATGTTGGTGGCGGAAAATACCCGAAACGAAGCGTGTCCGCGCACCGAGACGCATAACTCCGGAGTCGCTCGTCGAGACCAGGGGGCAAATGACATACCTTCCGCGCATCCTCGACGGCTTTCTCCGCCTCCCACCCATAGGCGTGTGTCCGACTGTGTGGGTTGCCGTACATATCCGTGAAATATGGCAGCATGGCGTCCAGTACCCGCGGGTCAACGGGTGTTGTTGCCTGCGCACGACATAAAATTGAGTCTTCTATGTTCTGCATATGAACCACTTCACAACCTTACCTGCATGTCGAGATATATTGGGCGAATCTTCTCGCCTAATACTCCTTCCCGGTTCGGTGTCTCGAGCTTGAACCCGAGCATATCTGCAAGCGCAATTATGCGCGATCAGTGTCGCTGTTCCACAGTGCAAAAGGATGCCAGCTCACCTGCCCGAGGCGTAAAGTGATCCTCACCCTCGTAAGTGGACGGCACATCGACGACGCTGGCCCTGTCAGCGCCGGACGGCTGAACGAGTGTCCTCCTGGCATCCTTGAGTGCGGTGCGGGAGACGGACGACCTGAGCGCAGAGCGGGAGACGGCCCTGCCGGCCTGCGAGGAGACTCTGGAGAACATGGTGGTAGATGGCGGGCGGAGGAGCGTTATCAGATAATATAAGTACCCTGCCCAAGGAACGCCGCAACCGTCAGGCGGGCGCGTGTGATTGGCTGCGCTTGGTCATGCAGTCACGGCAGCCCCCTGCCAGCCAATCACAGGCCGCGATTCTGCGTTAATTGGCAACAAAGTGCGCGATCTGTGGCCAATGGGAGCGGCCGGATCCTCTGCGGCCGACGCCATTCGCAGGCATCGGCACTAGCGCCGCCACCAGACTCCCACCCGCCTCCCGTTCTGGCCAATCCCTCCCCTTGCTTTCGTAAGCACATCCTGCGCCTTATCTGGAAGCGTCCTCGTGTTGCGCACGGACCACCCGGCCTGCCCTTTTCAACTCGCCATCCATCAGGCGCGCGAGACGTGCATCTCTTCCTTCTCTCCCACCACTCCAAAATGGCTCGACGACTCTACCTCGGCAGTACGTGTCTACCCTTCTCTTATGCTGGTCGTTGGTTCACAGATGAACAGGACTTCCCCCGGACGCGCGCGCCGACGACGTGCAAAAAATCTTCGATGGTTACGGTCGCATTGTCGACTGCCGTGTCATGACCGGCTTTGGTTTCGTCGAGTTTGAAAACCCCAGGGACGCAGAAGACGCGGTTCACCATTTCAATGGCAAACCTTTCATGGGCACCAAGTAGGGCTGGTGCCACTCCCGTCGGACAATGGCTAACATTTGAAAAGTATCGTGGTTGAATTTGCCAAAGAGAGCCGCCCGCGCAGGGACCCGTACGAACCCGAACGTGCTATGCGCGCGAGACGTCCCCCTGGGTATCGTCTCGTCGTCTCAGGCGTTTCTCGCGACACAAGTTGGCAGGTACGGCATTCCTCTCCTAAAGCGGGCGCCATGGACCCTACTCCTGTTCCTTCCGATCCTCTCCTTGAAGACCATGGAGAACGTGGACATGCGCCTGTGGGTGGCATAGATGTCTCACCCTGGCCAAGCCTTCCTCGTGATCCCCTGTTCCGGAACGATCCTGATCTTGCCCTTCCTCCCCCCAGGACCTCAAAGATTTTGGTCGTGAAGCTGGCAGTGTTTCGTACGCGGATATCGACCGTGATGCGCCTGGCGAGGGGTTAGTATCCATTGTTGTCGTTCCAGCTCGCTCTTCCTGACCAGTGGCGCTCAGTATCCTTGATACCTCTCTCGTGAAGATGCCGAGCGCGCTGTGAAAGACCTCGACGGAAAAGATCTTCGTGGACAACCCGTCCGTGTAACTTTGGATGCCAGCGTGAGTACTTACTCTTACTCTGTCATGTCTTGCTCAGCAATCCCTTGCAGCGCGGTGGTCCGGACAACTATCGCCGCGATGACGCACGTCGCGACGACCGTCGGGACGATCGGTACGCTCGTGATGACCGTAGGGATGATCGTTACTCGCGGGATGATCGCTCTGCTAGGGAGCCCCGGGAGGACCGCTATGCCAGAGACGACCGCCGGGAGGACCGTGTGCCCCACCGCCGCGAACGCTCCAGGTCACCTCCTCGACGTGGCGACCACGACGATCGCCGTGCCCCCAGGTCTCCCCCTCCACGGAGGGATGTGGAAGATAAAAGGCCTGCAGGGTACGATGACCGACGGGGTGGCTATGATGACCGTCGAGACCCTGATTATTATTATTATGACCGTCGTAGGGAGGAAAGAAGACGCGACGATCGTTACGAGGACAGGGCCTCAAGGCATGCCAATGGGGATAGTGGATGGACGCGTTGAGGTCCGTAGGCCAGTGGCCCTGACGCGGTGTGGACGTGTGGACGCAGCGCGGCGCCGAGTTCCAGCGGCGTACCCGACTTTCGCGCGGATCATCGCAAGGGGTTTCTTCACAAAGGCGTTTGGACGGGCTTCTCGAAATAGGTTTCTCCTTCTGTATGGACCGCAATCGTGCATCGTGTACTTGAAGTTCGGATAGTCCTCGTTTGGTCGTGTGGTCGTCCTAGGTTCGCGTTGGTCCTTCCAGGCCCTGGCGTTGGCGTTGGCGTTGGCGTTGGCGTTTTCGTTGTGGTTACCGAAACGTGCCCCGGACTGGCTCGCGTCCTGGAGAGGAGAACAAGGAATACCGAAGTTGGACTTGACTGTTCCCATCAATCGTGTGGTCGCGAAGCTTCTGCCGCTGGCCCAATAAAGCGTCCCGTGGAACCCAGGCTCATCAACGATAGAGGCTCATAAGGGTTCGATGCGATGGTATCAAGCTCACAATCAGAAGGCTGCTGCGTCCCGCGACTCCGTACAAGAGGATTCTTTTGTGTGTGCCAGAGTGCGCTTGGTTGTCCATCCCCGTCTGGCGCCTGGCCTATCCGTGGCGCAGCTTTCAGGCCTCCCTGCGAATTGGTGGACGTCCATGAAGGGTATTGTCCGTCATCTTCTCTATTACATTCCAGGACAGTATATCATGTACATACGCCTTTACATACCATTACAATCTACACAGTAGACTTCCGACTTCTCAGATCACGCGCACGCGTACTCTCACGGCCAATGTGATTCTACGCCTTCTCGACGAGCACGAACATCTCGACGCCGTTCTCAACGCCCCACCAGTCCAGATCGTGGTTATCGTCTCTGTCGATCTCCACGACGTTGTCGTCGGGCATCCGCAACCACAGCTTCAGAAACGTCTGTGCAGCCTTGGGAATCTTGAACGACTTGACGACCTTGAGGTAGAACGTGCGTACGTTCATGGACGGGAGCACGCGGAGCACGACCGGGTCTGATGAAGGGGGCAATGCTTTCTTGGAGGGCGGTGTATCCGTTCGGTGAAGTTTCACATCTGTGTGGGTTGACCTCAAGGCTGAGCCGACTGACTCGGAGAATGGACAATGACAAAACGCACCGACGAGGCGGCTGCTCAGAGTATCTTGGCGTTGCTGGGCGGCGGACGGTGCAGCGTCGGGTCTTCCGTGCTCTTGAGTGCCGGCGGGAGACGTAGCATTCCGTTAGTACACAGCCATGCGGGGGAGGGGGTTCCGCGAACGTACTCTCGCACAACGCATTCCATCGCGGGTGTTCCCGGCTTCGGGCGTCCTCGTCGGGCGGTCCGTGCTTGTTGACCCACGAGAGGTAAAACAGCTCGCTGTCTGTCCTTTCCTTTGCGGAAACCTACACAGGAAATCGGAGGCGCGTTGCGTCAGACCGGTCAAGAATAGAACAAGATGGGCGCCCCCTTACACCGGCGCCGTCAAGCACTGTCAACGTTGGGATTTTCGCGATGGGGAACGGACGTGCGTTGTGGCTGTGCTCGCCGTCTGTGGGCAAATGCCAGCGGTTAGAAACTCGGTCAGTGCTGTCAGTGTTAGATGGGCAGGCATCTTGCCTTCAACAAATGGATTGCCCGTGAGCGTCAGTGATTCTATCGCCGGACACCACCCCGAGAGATGGTCAATGTCGCACCATGAGCTGAGCCTGTTGTACGAGAGCGAGAGGTGTTTCAGGTGCACCAGAGGCGGGTCGTTCGGCTCGGGCAAAGGTCCGATCAAGTTGATTGCATTGGAGGTTAGCACGAGGCGTTGCAGTCTATTGCGATACACGCGTTGGACTAGGTCTGGCGGTTGGTCAATTATGCCATAACTACTCACGCTGTGTATGGCCGCAGAGCCTCGCAAATTTTGGGCCAGCTCGACAGCGAGTTGCTGTCAAGGTTGATCTCTTCCAGCCTCGGATGCGATCGAGGGGCGGTTACATCCCGCCCCGTCGAGAGCGACTGGATGCGGTTGTAACCCATCTCGATTGCTCTGAGTGCGGGCATGTAACGGATGATGTGTTGCATATCATCCCATGTGGCCAGGGTGGTGTTGAGTTGAAGTTCGTAGACATCGCGGAAGGCGGCCAGCGCCCCATCATGGTTGATAGGTAGATTGAGCCGGTTCTGGCTGCCATACAAGCGTGTGAGATGCTATACAGGTGGAGCCGCTGACAGATGCGTACTTGAGAGCGAGCCGCTGCAGGTTGGGTAATTCGCAGACGATCGCTGATACAACATCCCAAGAAGGAAACAAATTTTCGACAAGTCGAGGCCTCGAATCCCTACAAGTCAGAGGTAAGCGGAGGACATGAAGCCCGAGTCACGGGAAGAGGAGCGTGGCTATCCAAGACCGCTCTGTATCCAGGCAAGGTCAACTCAGTTGAGCGCCATCACTTTCTTGCGCCTGCTCGTGCATCGATATATGCAAAGCAGATGTTCACTCAACATGGCAACTGCCGTGTTGGGCTATGCATCTACAGCCTCCACAAATCTATCACGAGCAAAGCCTTCGGTACTTACCTGGACAGGCCTTCGAGATGGCTCCAGGAGGATCTGCAGAAGCAACGCCTCGGCCATCGAGGCTCACTTCACGAAGCCGCTCGAGCTGTGCAAGTTCGCCTCTGATCCTGTCCAGCCCTACTACCTCCACCTCGATCGCGCCGTTAGACGACCCGAGAATGACTTTCTCCACCCCCGATCCATGAGGCACGTCAATATACTTGGAGGCTAGTGCTTCAAGGAACGAGTGACCGTAAGAAGTACTCGATGACGGCCGAATGAAAGACCCAGCGTTAGGTACACTGGAAGATAGCGATTGGGTCGGTCATTGAGACGGACACGGACAGGCAGACATACTCTCACACGCAGGAGAAGTACCGCTTGCCGTCCTTGACACCATCGTGCTTGCCTCGCTGTGGGTCGTCCCATTCAACACCAAGCCAGAGTCCTGCGGCTCCGTCAACTTGCCCCACAAATCGAACAGTGCCCAGGTGTCCTGAATGAATGAGTCTTGTTCCAACTGCAGGCAGCTGGTTACTCTCCATCCCTCGCGACAGAAGCAACGACTGCAGAAGGGAGCAGTACTGGCGAACACAATAGTGGACGGGCTGTTGCAGCAGCACAACGAAGTCGGCGGTCAGTGGCAAGGCGCGGACCGGGGATGGCAGCAGTTTCTCGCGCGCGCTTCACGTGGGCGTGTAGGACTTCTCACCCCTGCCGCCATCCCCGTACGGCGACCCGGCTCGCCGTCACATCCTAGAAACCTTCCCGTGTGCTTGTCTCCGCAGGTCGGTGGTTGCTTCACCCCAATGCTCGCTCGTGGTATACGACTCGCGAGAATGACACGCTCTAGCCGTGTAGCGGCGCGGACAGCGGCCATCCAGCGGCATATGTCTTCGGACGCACTGTCGGAAGAGGTATGTACGCGGGTGGCTCAGAGCGAGCACGGACAATAACCATTCATTGTGGGCGACGATAGGCGTCGGTGCAGTTCAAGGAGAATGGTTGTCTACGGACATTTGTCCTCAACCGACCAAAGAAGCTGAATGTGGTCAACCGGGAGATGCTGGAGAGGCTCCGACCGAAGATCGAGGTATGTCCTACACGCTCTGGACTCTACCTGCATGGTTCAATGACACCGTTCAGGAATGGGCCAGTCAAGATCTTGTGGGTGTCATAGCGGCAACAGGAAATGGTCGGGCGTTTTGTGCAGGAGGGGATGTTGCAAGTACGTGTGTCATGTGTCCTCCGGGGCCTCCGCTCATGAATGCAGGCGTCGTTGAGGACTGTGCAAGCCCGGAGACTCTTCCACGTGCTATTGAGTTCTTCCAGCGAGAGTGAGCCCCAATTGTATTGCGTACCCCCGCATTGCCAACTGTGTCTGCAGATTTGAATTGGACTACATTCTGGCCGCCATGCCCAAGCCATATATCGCTATTATGGACGGTATCACTCGTGAGCATGATCCATTTTGTATTGTTCAGATGCTTGATGTTAATGTTGCCTTTAGTGGGCGGCGGTGTCGGGCTCTGTGCCAATGCATCATTCCGGATTGCCACCGAAAACTCTACGTTCGCCATGCCGGAGACGAAGATCGGCTATTGTCCGGACGTTGGCGCAAGCTTCTTCCTCTCAAGGGCTGATGGCCAGGTTGGAACATATCTCGGTCTGACAGGAGAGACCATCTCAGGGCGAGCCATCTTGTGGGTGACGATGTCGGTGATGTCCGCCTGCCAGACTCTAATGACCCTGCCAGTGAACATGGCTTCGCCACGCACTTTGTCCCTTCCTGGCGGATACCGGCGCTGATGGAGCGTGTTGCTTCTCTCTGGAACCCGACACACCAACAGATTGACGCCCTCATTGAGGACCATCGGGACGACAACATACCGAACGAGCTGACCAGCCCGCTTGTGGGCAGCATCCGTGCCGCGCTTGACTCGGCATTCAGGTACGACTCGGTTGAGAAGATCATGGAGCATCTTGCAAATCTTTCGGAGAAGAGCCCGCACGAGAACATTCGTGACTGGGCGAAGAAGACACTGGACATACTCTATCTGCGGAGTCCGACCAGCTTGAAGGTTGCGTTGTATTCTATCCGTGAGGGGGAGTACATGACCTGTTGGATGCCCTTCAAAGGGAGCTGAACATCGCGACGGCATTCTGCGTACGTCGTTCTGTTTTGTGCAAGTTCCAGCCTTGACTGACAGATATGCGCAGCGCGGCGAAGCCAGCAAGGATTTCTACGAAGGAGTGGACAAGGTGGTCGTCAAGAAATTGCGGGACGAGCGGCCGAATTGGCAGCCGAACACGATTGGCGAGGTGTCCGACGACTTTATCCAGACGTCGTTCTTCCCAGGGCCCGTCACCACGGAGGGGTCTTGGCCACGTCTCAGCATCCCTGAGTGGCTCAAAAAAATGGATAGCAAGGTCGCGGACCCTATGATCTACGGGCTGCCGACAGAGGGGGAGATCAAGGAGATAGTCGAGGGCTCGCACAAGAGCAGCGGAAGCACCGCACTCACCCTCGACGAAGTCATCGAGAAGTTCGAAACCCGGAAGAAGGGGAAGGCGGGCGTACGGCAAAGGTTACCGAGGTGGTGCAGAGGAAGTGCGCCACGGAGGAAGACAAGCAGTTGGGAAAGAAGTGGCTGAAGTGGATACACTAACCGCTGTGTACTGAGGGCTACGGGCTCCCATACGCCGCGCCTGTCGATATACTGCCCGCGTATGACGTTGCTACGCGTTACCTGCTTTGCTGATATGCCAGACTTTGCCAGTGATTGACAGACGTGCCGGATGACAACAGGCAGCTGTGTGTTGGCTTTTGCGGCAGTAATGTCGCTGTGGCGGCACACCTGCTATCATTACCATGCCAGTTCCTGCTCCACCTACCGAGGGCGCGAGGTGTCATGTTCCGCACATACTTACCGTGACGGCAGTACAGTCGGACCCATCACTTACGGCAATGGCGATTATCATACGCAACAGTATGATTGCGTAGTGGTTCAACTAATTGTCTGTGGTCTACAGTTCTATTGGTATCATCGACAAGTCTCCGGTGGATGGCATGTATCGTCCGATGGACGTGTTGCTCGCCTTATCGTTGTTGGCCGTAGATGCTGTTGGCCTTGACATGTTTGACGAAGGCAATGATGACAGGCTCTATTGTGAGTCAGTGCAGTACGTGCCAACCAGTGACTCCCTCGAGCCCAGCTATCGACGACTGGGAAGTTCCCTGGAGGTTAGGAATGGAGACTGCATTGAGCGACGCGCCATGCTTATCGAAACCCAGTCTCCGTAGCAGACCTAAAAAGCCGGCAAGCGTCTCAGATCGAAACATTGCTGTGTTTCAATGTGTAATGCAGAGTAATTTATACAACGTCTCTTACAAAGTCCATGAAAGTTTCGCTGGCTGGTAGCCGCGGACCTCCGCTTCTCCATGGGGTACCTCGAGCTCAAGGCTAGTAGGAGTGACTCGGATTTGCCATCCCCGCAACCATCCGGACATGCTGTGATGATAGAGGTACTTTGTGCAATGATCGGTTATCCGACGGGACCGGACGACAGGCAGAGGACACAGGAGCTGGATAATGATTGAGTAGGATACAACAACCAGTTTGTACAGTAGTCATGCTGTGCGAGGCATTTTGGTAGTATCAGAACTCATTCTGTACTCGTCTTACACCTGCAAGTGGTTCGGGCACGGACTATAAACCCGGTGAGTAGAAAAGACTCAAGATAGTATCAGAAACATACTGTACTGCAAGTCGCGGGTGGAATCATTGCCTGTCAGAGCGAGGCGAATTGGGAGCGGGCTCGGAGAGCGAAGGGAAAAGGTGGCCGAAAGTGTTGTGGGGTCGCGGTACTACTGCAGCGCCGGCGGGAACAGGGCCTTGGGAACGGGCAAAGGACGTACGGATTTGGGAGCAGAACACAACCGCCTCCCGGAAATGCTTCAGGTGGATCGAGGGGGGTTCGAACAAGGACGGCGAATGTGGACGGTGGCAATGGCCTCGAGGAGCCGCACCCACGTGGCGGACTGATGGGATGTCCCGCCGTAACGGCTGTGGGTGGCGCCGTATTTGACCTCGTCTGAGGTGCGGCATGGCCGGTTCACGCGTCCGCGCTCTGCTCGCTTGCACATCAACGTCCTATGAACATCGTTTCCTGTCGCTGCGCCGTGTGCACACGCAAATTGCCAAGGCACGGGAAGGCACTTCTTGTTCGGATCGCACATAGACTCCTTCCATGACCCCTGGCAGAGGTGAGCGGGACGGAAGGTTCCGTCACTGACCGCCCGTCCAGCCGAGTCTTCTTGTATTCTCCATAGGTCGAGACCCATTGCGCACTGCAGCTGCCGCCCGTGAATGTAGGTGGCAGCATGAACATTCTAATCACCTTGCCCTGCACAACCGTTGCACGTCGGTCCAGGAACACAGTGTGAAACATCACAGGAGGTCCGCGTAGACACAGCGGAACACAGCTCGTACTGATAGAATCTGACTCGGACTTCGTCAGCCAGATCTGCACAGCCTATTCGGAAAACTTGCCTCTGGATCTCGATCGAAGTTGCGAACTCGTCACAGAAGCCCTGCGGCCGTAGATGACCAAATACACGGCCTGATTGCTTTCCTTGTACCTCGCCATGCGTCCTATAAAATGCGATTATTGGCATGTGTTGGCCTCACAATCCAAGGCCTTCCGTTTCACGGACTACATAAAGCACGCTCACCTCCACCGAATCCACAAACACACCGCCAACCTCCCCCGGACCGACACGAATGATATTCCCGTCTCCTATTCACGCGTTCACCTGGCTTTCCTCGACACTGGATAGCTCGCAGGTCTTGACGCTCCTCACCAAGCCTTTCACCTGGGACGGCACCTTCTGCCCGAGCGACTTTGAGGTCGATGGAAAGACTGGCTTCTTCCCTTCGGCGCCGCTGCCGAAGCTCCCAGACGAATACGCCATATGGGAGGCAGCATTCGCCGCCGCCCCAAGCGTACTGGCGCTAGGAGCAGACAAGAACGAAGAGGCCTTGTCCAGGCGATCCGACGGAGCCTGGTGGAGGACGACAGTCCGCTCGGTCAGTCTTGGAATCAGCCAGATGCGTCGCGGCCACTGACACTCGCTGCGTGAAATAGTGGCCTGTCAAGGACGTTTCCATTCTCCGCGGGGACGTCCGTCTTCTCCAGAGGGCACACATGGTCCTGGCCAGTCTCATGCATTTCTACGTGCATTCACTGCCACACACCGACACCGCGTTAGTTGTCCCCAAGTCCATTGCGATCCCCCTCGTCGAAGTGTCCCGAGAGTTGGGCATCGCCCCCGTGCTCACCTTCGCAGACACCGTCCTTTGGAACTGGGAGCTCATCGACCCGAGCTTGCCGGTCTGCGTGCACAACATGCGATACCTCAACATCTTCTCTGGGACCGAAACCGAGCGCGCTTTCTACATCGCTTCCGCTGCCGTCGAGCTCAAGGGCGTTGAGATGCTGGAAATCTTCAATCGCTTTCAATGTCTCCCCCGCTCGGGCTACGCGGACGCGCATGCGATCGCGCAGCTGGGCAAAGACCTCAGCCAGCTCGCCAGCATCATCGACGAGCTGACTGAGATATTCCGGTCCATGCGCGAGACAGTCGACCCCACCGAGTTCTACTGGGTCGTACGTCCATGGTGGGCTGGCGCGACGTCCAAGGGGCCCAATCACCCGGGCTGGATCCTCGAGGGCGTCCCGAACGGCGACTCCACACACTTCGATCTCGGCGGCGCCTCTGCTGGACAGAGCAGCGTCATGCACGCGCTTGACGTCTTCCTGGACATCGACCACAGGCTCGCGACTAGCCGTATGCCCGCGCCGACAGAGCCCAACCGCCGCGCGGACCTCGGTTTCATGCAGCGGATGTGGCGGTACATGCCGGGCAAGCACCGCGAGTACCTCACACGCCTCCAGAGTGTCCGTCCTGTCGCGGAGCGCACGCCGAACCTGCGCGAGCCATACAACGCCGCCGTGGGCGCCTCAAGAAGCTACGGGACTTCCATATCAGGATTGTGGCATCTACGTGGTGACGAAGGCGGACAGCACGCCGCCGGCGCGATTCGCTCCCGACGGGGGCGACGGCGCGGAGGGGACACCGAAGGACGGACCTGCGAGGGGCACGGGCGGAAGCGCGGTGTCGAACCTTCTCAAGGCCGGTCGAGACGCGACCCGCCGAGCGCTATTGGAGAATTGAGGAGTAATGAGGAGTCTCCGACAGTGACTTGTGCGAGGCAGTCGTGGCATATAGTATTCACATAATCGTGTGGTGTGTGGCCTGTATAATCTAAAATCGGCGTCAGCGACGTCGTAATGATGTATTGTACTGGTAGAATGGACACTAATCACGGACTTACTATAGCAATTCGTTCTGTCCTATAATTCACATAACGCAGTTATATTGTCTACGCTCTTCATGTAGAAGTGAGCGTACATAGGATGTCTTGTAAGAAAGCTTGAGCTGGTTAAGCGTGGCAAGTGTCTTGGGCCATTACTGAGTACAGGGTTAGGACGCTATGGCGGAGATGGTGGCAGAATCGGAAAGGAGACATGGACACACTGGCAACGACTTGGCAGGAAGAAACAATTGGAGTTCGATAGAAGGGGCCGTTGCGTATATGAACCACTGGAAGCTTTCCCAGGGATAAGTTTTACGCGCCTGCGAGGCTGGGTAAGAGTCTTCGGTCAGTTTTGACGGAACTCAATCACAAGAACCTACTTGCATCATACCGCGTACTCATAGACTGGAGAGCCCTAGGAGATCGTCATTTGAATGCCCGTACCCCTGTTACATGGACTTGATTCTCACACGCACCATACTTGACCACTGCATGAGAACATGTTAAGTTATCTGGAAGATGTCGCGGGAGCTGCAAGCCTGTCGTCGGAACTTCCAACTGCGTGTGCCTCTGCCAGTGACAATCGACCATGGCCCGGGCAATAGCATGCCGTGCTTGCCCTCGTGCTCATGCTTACACGGTATCTGATACGGATGCGATCCACGACACAATAAGTAGGGCAGTGCCGTCCTTTCAAGCTTCCAATCTCAATGGTTGCACCTGCTGCTGCCACAGTGGCGCATTCCCGCCTTCATTTTAGCTGGCGCTGTTGATGTTGTCAATGGCGCAATGGAAAGACTCAGTCGCACGCACGCTTCGGGTATACTGTGAGACGAATCATGAAGATAACAGACCGGTATAGACACAGACGTCCATGTCGACGCTCATGAGATGCCAATTAGGGTGATGTGGGATGAGAGACATGATCGGGCGTTGACTGGAGCCTCCCGGCTATCACCGGTTGCTTTGCGTCGGAGATCCAAACTGTCTTATTGTTCTCCTCACTCTATCATCGGAGATTGATCATCCACTTACTGGAGCGAAGCGTAGCAACCTCGGTTAGTCTATGCGTCGAGAGAAGCTTGAATCTCGACCGTGTCCATGCCACTCCGCCCTACTGAGCATCTCTACTCTCGCTGTTCTTCACCGTCGACCACCGCCCCACGCGCCTGAGCCATCTTTGCGCGACATACCACGAGGAAACACGACAAAACGCGTCGTAACTAACATGCCGAGTTCTTCGCGCCATACGCGCACTATCAGCCCGCCGCTGACAAGTGTGAGCTATTCGAACGCGACTGCCGTCGCACAGCAGCAGAAGCTGAATGTTGTAACGCGTTTGGCGATTGAGGGAAAGTCGAAGAAGGGCTGGGATGGCGCGTCCATCAAAGTATACTTGAAGGTGAGTAAGGGCTTAATGTGTGCCCGACTTCGGGACGGCCAATGCGTACTATCCAGTGGAATTTATTGCACTGTGTTCTGTCTACACTTTGCGTACCTTTGGCCGCGATTGCTTGCGTGTCATACGCGTGCGTCTGCTACGAAAACGTTCGGGTGTGGCCGAACGCAGCACAACGCGTCCCTGGCTGTGGATTCTGGATACTATCATCCCATTCTCTGACTTGGGTTGGTTCATTACGTGATCTGACTTTGTTTTGGCTTAGATTTCGCTTCCCCTCGACAGCGTCAGCCCGGGAGCATCGATTCCTCTATTCCCAGGTCCGTGCCCCGTTCAGAACCCCCTTGCTTCTGCTTAGAAGTCTACAGAGGAAAACCTGAAGGTTTTGGACGCTCAAGTCCATCCTTTGGACAGCAACTCCGTGCCTTACAACTTCTCATCAACCGATGCGCCTCTACTCCACAAGGCAGCGCGTGCCCTCAACCTGGCAGCGCGTTTAACCACCCCATATGTCCCACCCGCGGACCTCCTTTCCTCGTCCACGAATATCCCTCCTTTGGATGCCAAGTACACGGGAAATATTCTTGTCAGTGGATATCACATCTCTTACATTATCCCGAGAGAATTTCCCAAACGAGAGCGCGACAGCCGCACCAGACGCGGTTCAAACGTAATGCACTTCATGGCAGCGATTGACCTGTGGGTGCCGTTTTTGTCAAAGCCACCACTCGCGCCCTACTTGGTGAGTGAGTTCATCTGCCGGAGACCCACATGTCCTCAGTCCGCTACCCTAGCTCTCCCTTCCTGTGCCTCGATGTTTGTCCAACCACATCAGACTGCACATCTTCCCTCCTGGCCAGTCGACATCATCTTCGCTTGCCTCGCTCTCTTCTGCGGACGAGGACGGCAACGCATGGGAGCTCACGTCCGACCCGCACGTAACGCGCAGCCCTTCAGCGCGTTTGTCCCGCTCTCACTCGTACAACAACTTCGCCGACGATGAATCAAGCGACGCGTCGACAACGGCTGGGTTCCCCGAGGGTTGCGGAGTACAAGGCTCGTTCCCGAGTACCGATCGCATTCGTGTCCGATGGGCATCTCCTCCGAAGCCAGGCCAGATACCTGAGACTGCTGACGGTCGTCGCAGAGTCGGCGTCCGGGAAGTGAAAGGTGACATGCTGTGCACCGTTCTCGCAAAACACAAGGGCAAGGGCAGAGACGCTGATCCCGATGGCCTGGTCGTCAAGGTTGACTATACTGCGACTTGCAAAGGTATATGGTTCCCTGGCGTGGCGACGTTGCTCGGTATGGACCTTGGCCTCGAGGCTGATGATTACGACGTCGCCTGGGCTTCGAACGATGAACCCCGGTGGACAGTGACTGGCGGCCTTGGTTTCACCGGCTTTGCTGTCGGAGGTCCTCCGCAGCCTCTATCACGGCAGCCTGTCTCTCGACAATCTTCAGGCGAATATCCACCCTCGATTTATGTCTTGCCATCGTCCCCAAACGGCAAGATGGTCAACGGCAATTCGCACATTCCAATCAGGTCCAGTTCCAACAGCTCTATGGCCTCGACAAACTCAAGCTCGCTCTTGCGAGCGCCACTCCCTGTGCACAACGTCGCCGAATATTCATTCGAGAGCTCTCCTGTGTCAACACCCTCAGGCACAGTGTCATCCCTTCCCTCCCTGTCTGCGCCGTCAAGTCCGGAACGCGCGCGTAGACGCCGATCTTCATCCAGGCATAGGGATCACAACGGCACGGATACGGAGATCGACGACACTCAGGACGATGTGCGGCCGCCCAGGGCACCGATCACTGTTCATCTGAACATGAATGAACTGTCACCGCCGCCGAAGAACATCTTTACTTTCAGCGTCTCCGGAACCATTCTCATCTGTCCACGTCGATCACCGACGACGCCCGATTCGCGACGATCCTCTCCGGCTTCCTCTGAAGATGAACACAACGACGACCCGATATCCCTTCCGATCTTCCGGATCTTTTACACCGATCAAGAGACGACGTCTACGATCGTCCGGAACGAAGCTCGCCAAGCATCTGTCCATGTCTTCACCAGAAGCAGCAAAAATCGCGACACCAATGTCCGAAAGGCAGTCCTCATGAAGGGCAACCAGGTCTCTTGCGGGAGCGAACCCGCGCGTATCGTCGTGTCCCGCATCCCCGCTTCACAACTTCGGGGACGCCGTCCAAGCGAAGAGAGTTCCGACGTCCCCTACGATCGTACAGGACTCTCACTGGGGATGCGATCCATGGCGTCCACGTCGAAGCTACAAGACTCTCCTTGATGTCTACCGCCAAACTTCAGCCTCGAAGAGATGGCCCGCTCATGATACCCTTCGTCAACGCCACGATCACCTCGCTCCTGGGAGATGGGCACGCATTCAAGAACGGCTACGCCGTCGAACTCACACTGCCGGCGCCCTCAGATGCGGACTCTGAATGGCTGGAATTCGGACTTGCGCTTCCTGGCCGAGTTTCGGTTCCCAAGGTTGACGGCGCCACTGCGGGCGACTACCAACGCGCGGGTCCGCATCCACAAATGGAGATCGCGAGTGCTAGCGTTGAGGGTGTCCCTGTTCGTTGTCAAACAACTGCTGCCGTCAAGCCGCAAGGCGGCCTGGTCGGGCTGGGTCTGCCGTTTGAGGAGACAAGCGGCAAGGACTGGATCAGCTGGGTCTGCGTTCATGTCGGTCAAATTGGCGGAGGCAGTGTGAGGATCATCTACCTTGTCAAGGGAAAAGAGCAGGCACGACCGACGACAAAACGGATAAGAAAGGGAAACAGCGAGAAAATCTCGCTGTTCCTCTGGAAATTCTACTTCCCAGTTTTGCTATGCCCGTAGGCTTGCTTCAGGTTGATATACGGGTACAAGAAGGTGTGTGTGATTCCTGGCTTGTTGTGAAGTCGTTGTTAAACCTCTAGTATAGGCTACGAACTGTCGTCCTTCGACACGAATCTCATGCACCAGCAAAGATCTCCACACGGTCTGCGTCTTTTGCATTATGCACTGAACGAATTCCACTATCCTCAATATCCGTCCGCGTCACCCGTATAGCCCCACCGCCAAAAGCGGCTTCACCGACATCTCATAAGCTATGGCTGGTCGCGAAGGTTGCTGGCGTACTCTTGATGTTCACCATCATTTTCACCCTCGCGACTGATCTCCGGCGTGCTACATCGGAACTGCAAGCCCTCAGGAAATCAGCCTCCCATGATAACTTCGTCTTGACCGAGACGATCACCTTCACACCCACCGCTCCCGCGAGCGATCCAAAGAAATGGTGGTTCAACCAAGATACGACGCAGTCGTTTACTGCTACGACCATCTCCCCGGACACCTCCAGTCTAGGAAACAACCTGCCGGAAGACCATGTTCATTTAGAGCCGTCGGCGTATACATTTATGCCTCCCAGTACGACTCGTCTTGTCCAGGAAAACGCACTTCAGACCACAGACGCACCTACGACAATCAATGACCCGTACTCACTGATGCTTGCACAATACTTCTCATTCTCCTGGTCGTGGCAGCGTCTCCTCCCGTCGAAGTTCGTAGACGCGCAGTCCGCAAAGAACGCAGCGAACGCGGTCATCGGCGGTATGGGCGCCGTCTGGCAATTATTCCGAAAAATTATACACTACCCTCTGGACCCTCCGTGATTCTGCGTGCCGTTCTGCTGTTGTTGTGCTTTTGCTGTGCAGTACTGCTTTGTATCCATCACTTATTGTAATAACTGTATAAGCTATGGGTCTCTCCTTTGGTCATGCGGGCAATGCCAGGAAATGAGAGGCGAGGAGATACTGATTGTGGTTTGTGGGTTAGTAGCTAATTACGAGACTCTACATTACTATCTACGGTACTTTGTATCCTGCTACTTACGAATGTTCCGACGAGACAACACTACGATATACACATGAAGCATGCAAAAATCAGTATAGATAATCAGAACCTGGACTGCGGCAGGTCGTCCCAGTTGACCAGAGGCCTCGGAGGGTCCGCCCTCCTTAAGGATGCCTTGAATGCCTTCGGATCATCGACGAAGTTCACACCGTCCTTGAGGGTCCCTTCGTAGTCGGCATCTGCAGGATTGTTCTCCATGATCGCAGGCAGAGCTGCCATGAGCTCCTGTGCGATCTCCGGAGAGACCAGAGGAGACAGCGAAGACAGTGTGTCCTGCCAGTACTTCCCGAACTGTGCAAGGAGCGGCTCGCCCTCGCCGGTGAGCTCCTCCCTCCACCTCTGGGTATCGATAGCAATGCCCCTGTCGAGGAGTAGGGCCTCAAACGCTTCCATCGCACCGAGACTGATCTTCTTCGGGCGAGGCTTCTGCGAGTGTAGATGCACCGAGACCTTGGCCCGAGCAGAGGAAGAGGGGTGAACCCGGTCCATGAAGAGCGCGATGACATCCGCCTTCGTGACGCTCTTCACGAGACTCGCATCATGGTCACCTGCAGGCGGGGTGTTACAACGTACAACCGAGCAGGAGGAACGAGGAACACTCACGCCTGAGGAAGTCCAGGTAGCCAGAGTCGACTTGCGTCCAGTAACGGTTGGTCTCTTCCCCGAGGTTCTTTGCCGCCTCTCTCCATCTGCGCTCGAGTCCGGCCTGCTGCTCTTTGAACTCGGCGGCCGGCATCTCCTCGAGTTTATCCTTCATTTCCTCGAGGAAGGCTTCGACACGCTCCTCGAGATACACCGGGCCGCGTTCGCTCTGGATGACGATCCGGATGCCGATGTTCGATTCGCCCGGAGAAATCATCTGGGAGAGCGAGACGATATAGCCCAGCTGTTCGCGTGTGCGGAGGACGTTGAATGCAGGCTCCGAAAGGATCTGGGTGAGCAGCGCAGACGTGACCCGCAAGCGCGGGTCCAGGTACGAGCCGATGTGCATATAGTATGCCAATGACGAGTTAGGCTCGTTTGGGTTGGGGACGACCGTCTTCCAAACATGGTTCGAACCTTGTGGTACGCAGTGAGCTCGTATCATGGCGGCCTTGACAACTGTAACATACCGTCCGCTGGAATGAGCGCTGTGTCCACCATGGCAGCCGGATCCATGGGAGAGAAGTCGAGCACGTTCTCCATCGTCTCCGCCAATTGAACAGCATCCTAAGTTACCCGATCGTTAGTACTCGCACGGTGTATTGGTATTTCATTTAGCTTACGTCTCGACCCATGTTGCCAACGACCAGCATCCGCGAGTGAGCCCTGGACAACAGGCGAGCGGCATGCGTCTCAATCTCCTCGATCGTGATCGCTATACGTGAGTGAGCACGATCGTTCGAAGCGCTGACCAATCACAAGAAGGGCTCACAAGAGACTTCAGCGAGCTTCTCCGCAAGGATCCATTGCTGTTCGGTGAGAAGGTGGCGACCGTAGTAGTCGGAGACGCGGAAAGGCGGCCCCATGTAGAAGTTCTCATAGTCGCGCTTGGCCTGTGGTTCGCTCGCAGTTAGCCGGGGCGTGGATGCTTGCCAACAAGCTTCTACCCACCTGGTCCTTCATGACTTCCAGCCTGTCAGCGCGGAGCTGGACGTTTCGCACGCGCTCGAAGACGTCGCGAGCGAGGACGTGGAGCTTATCGTTGTATCCAGACAACACCACGGAAACGCCTAGCATCTGCGCGGAGAAGTTGTAGCTCAATCCCGCGAGATCCGCATCGTACGCGAACTCCGTGAGAGTGTCGTTGACGAGATCGGAGAACAGCCTGAGAAAAAGTGAGCGGGTGCAATTCGCAGGGTCGACGGAGGGTGCGTACCTCGTCATTACACTGGTTCTCGCAGAGGAATTGGCTTCCGGTCTGGACCAGTCGTGAGCAACACGCATGCAACTCTAAAACCATATGGAGCATACGTTCTGATATCAATGAGGACGTGGGCCTTGGGAACCCAGAAGGTGTCGTCCTTCTTTGCCACAGGCTCGTGCGAGGGGTGTCGCGGATGAGAAGCGGACGCTTGAGAGGCTAAGAGAACGAACGTTCAATGAAATTCCCAAGAAACAGAGTTGGCGGAGGGAACCGACCTGATCCACCGGTTGCTTCTGGACATCCAGATTCGTCGGAATGAACTCATTCGGCCAGGGAGGAAGAGCTCGGGGATGTCGTTCGGCGCTTGTGCCTGCGCGATGAAGTCTGGTCGAGCTTCTCGACACGGTACTGGGTACCATACCATGGCTCGGACTCCCACTCGCTCACACCACGGACACGCTCGTGCACGTCCTTCTGCGCCATCAGGACGACGCGGCCGTAGTCGACCGTCAGGCTGTCGAGCACTTGGCGCATCTCGCTCTCGCCGCCGTTGACAGGGTCGCTCTCGTCCCACTCCCAGACGAGCTGCGGAGCGCTGAGCACGAGCTCGCGGGGGACGGGCCACGAGAGGTGTTCAGTCACCCACACGGCGTAATCATCCGGACGGCGCTTTTCCGCGAATCGGAAACGAGTAGCCTTGAGGAGGCTCATCTCGCGTTGGTACCACGCCGGGAACTTGGATGCCCGGAGCATGTTGAGGTACTTGAAGATCGTGAGCGTGACTTCCCGGTAGTTCTCTGGCAACCCGAACGGTTATCTCGGAGCCCGTTGGAGAGGAACGCGGGAACATACCAAAGCCTAGCTTGGTCATGTTCAGCGTGATCTTGATCATGGCGAAGCCCCGAGCGAGGTTCTGCGGTCCCGCGCTCAGCGCGGTGATCCAGCCCTTGTTCTTTAGGTGTGAGTGGAGCGACCCCGGACCTTCGTGTCCCAGGAAGTGACTGAGGAAGTTTCCAGGCTCGTGGCGCCACTGAGATGCTAGCCAAGGAAGCGGGAACGACACCTCCACCGCGTGGAAAGTCATAATGGTTTGGACCGACACCAGACTCTGAAGCCGTATTCAGCGGGGAATACCAGCGGGATCGTCGGAAATTAACCCACCTGTATCTCATTGGGTCCAAAGGGATGGTCGTTGATCATCGGAAGGGGGTCCTGTCCCGATTGGGAATGGGAGAGAACAGCTCGGCGACCATGCTCGAGAGCTCGTCCAGTGATTCTGCCGGTCACATTAAGCTTCCACGAGCGGATCGTGCTAGGGATGATCTACCTTTCCCGATCACGCAGAGTCGCATGCGTCCGGCGCAGTACTCCTTGCTCCACCACTCGACGAGCCTGCGGCGCGTCTCCCGGCCGACGCTCCCTCCGTCGCCATCCATCTCGCTCGAGTGGAGAAGGACGACGGCGTGGGAGACGGGACGCGAGAAGAGGTGGGAGTGGTAGCAAGACTACCGTCAGCGGACTTGGGCGCTGAAGGCGTGGAGGGCGCGAGGAGGCCCGTCGCTTTCAACTCCCTACCAACCTTGGACAGGCTGTCGCGGTTTCCGCTACCAAATTTGCTCCAAGGGTGTCCAGGCTTGCTAAGATGTTTATTAAGCTGGAAGATTCGCCACATGTCCGACTGGTGGTTCTTCTTGTGCTCGGAGTCTACGGCATTAAGCTCGCGAGACGTCACGAGGGAGAGAAGAGCGGACAGTGGAAGAAGGCAGCGAAGCGCGCGAGGGCGCCCGGAAGTGCATCGGTCGCGACACTGAAGTAGTAATTTGTGTTGGAGGTGCCGGTGAATGCGTTAGAGTTTCCGTTGTTTTTGGCGAGATACTTTGGCGCGATGAGTCAACGCAAGCGGCTAATGTGCATGCTTACCTCAGAGTACTCGTTCTCTCTTGGATACAACTCCGTACCCTGTGCGACAGGTCAGTACATTAATGCACAGACTTCGGTCGCGTGCCACGTACCATGAAGAGCAGATGCTCGCAGAAATGCGCTAGACCGGGCATATCATCCTGAACGGTGGATAGCGTGAGCGGGCATCCAAGGAGCATGGTCCATAACGGCAGCCCCGCAGCGAGGCCATGGAGCTTGTGGAGAACGTTGCACACTCACCGGGTCATAGAGATGGCCGACCGAGACATCCAGCTGGCGGCGGCCTTGTCTGCCTTGCGTCGTGCACGACCATCGCCTGAAGTCCATTGTCGAGCTGGATGACTCTGTAGTCGCGGTCGTCGTTGCGAGACTTGTGGATGGGCATGGTAAACATGTAGTAGGGCTTGGACGCGGTGCTGGCGATGCGCTCCCACTCGGGGATGAGCGGCTTGTGCGGGGGCATGACGGAGGTCGAGTAGGGGAAGAACGCGGAGGGCGGGGGCCTGCCAGACCTCAAAGAGTTTAGGAACGGGCGGGAGAGGGACGAGGAGAGGGCGGAGAGGGATGTGCATCGCGCCAGCAAGCGTGACATTTTATACGGGAAATAATGCGGGATAAGGCGAGTTCAGGCTTACATCATTTTGGGGGGTGAGGACCGTGCAGGTAGTGGGAAGCAGCCTATCGCGACGCGTCGCGCGTTTCGTAGGACGGTCGACGTGAGCCAGCGCAAGCAGGAGTGAACCCAGGCGCCTTCCTTATTCGGAAACCAGCCTCTCACAAAAGCTAGTCTATTCTCAGCAGGCGTTCACACCGGGCCTCTTACTTTAATCAGACTTCCGCCACGATGCTTCCCCAGAGCTATATGACCGTGCGCAACGTCCCTTCATGACGTCGAAGAGCCTGTACTTCTCCCGACAACGGCAGGGCGCGACTTTCTCAGAGCAGCGCCGAGCCTGTGGTGGCTTGCAGCCCAAACCTCCATGTCGCCGACACGCTCGCCCGGATTTCGGACAAACGCCGAATGGCACTGGGCGATGCGCTCACTGGTCTCCTGACATCGACCAAGGTAATGTCGCTGGGGGGCCTCGAGGTCTCTTACGTGACGATGACAGAGGACAATCCTCGCCATGTGCAGGCGGATCTGTCTGCAAGCTAAGCGACTGCATGCATGAAAGCCTCACGATACATCTACTTACCAGGAACAGCGGGCAGCCGAGTACATTGTACGCTAGAAGTCACACAACAGAACGGATCCAGATAACAGAGTAAACATAGCACTAGACACAGCTGGACACGAGATGCAGACAAGGCCGAGGAAGTATGGTACATCGAAAACAGCAAGCGAGATATGAGATATGACCACTAATGTAACGAAACGGCCCGGGGAAATGACGACGATAAACGGATAGGTGCGGATCGGAGACTCTGCCCGCGTCACTTTTTCCTGACCAGCTTCGCGCCAGGTTTGCCATTGACAAGGACGTGGTGCTGTGCCTGTGCAGTCGCCACGAAGTCCTTACGCCGCCGGAAGAGTAAGACATGCGGCTCTGGGGCTATGGGAGCGGCACAGGTCGATAAAGCGTGCTTGCGGTGAACGAACACGAGTTTACTCACCGTGTACCTCATAGTGCTCCCATCCCAGGCTCTGCGTGATACCAATCCCCCGCCACTCCTGTTCGCTCAGCAGTCGCAACGTGCCGCTCTTGTCGGGATTGAAGAAGGTCTTCGGGATCATCTTGAAGAGCGGTTTTGGAAGAATAACGTGGCGGTACTCGTACTCATCGTCCGTGTAGCGATCAGAGTAGTGGATTCTGTAGAAAGGGCACGATATGAGGGTCCGATTGCCGCGAAGACGAGAACGACAAGCCTACTTCTCAATGTATTCGTCCAGCTTCCTCGCAGCTTCGGCAGCCGCATTAGCCTGCGCTTGTGCGTCCTTGTTCGACATCGCGATGCGGGGGCAATGATTGAAGTGCCTTGCAATGAAGATCGCCGACAACGCTCGCGAGAGCTCCGAGACGCGTCCCGTCACACGGGCGTGATGTGCACGTGATGCATTAAACACGCTGAATTCAATCTCCGCGCTTTCCCTGGTCCGGAACGAGACGCGCCTGCTCGTATTTCTTGCTCTCGACACCGACGTTCCCATACTCCAGATCCGATGTACGAATTTGAGGATCTTGAACACGAGTACGGCCTTGTTGCCGACTACAATGATTCCTTCGAAGACTCCGGTGTCGCGTTCTCGCAAGTGCCTGCCGAGGGCGACCTCGAGGATATAGACGAGCTCATCGAGCAGTATGGTGACTATATGCGCTTGTCATCGGCGCTTTTGTGGCGAGAAAGACCGCTGATTACCGAGTGTCATGTCAGAAAATCCTCTCCTTCTCCGGTGCAGCGTCGTGGCGTCGCGGACAGTCGCCCGGCTTACGGCTTTCCCGAGCGGTTCTCGCACAACCCTAGGCTCCAGACTTCCTACAACCAGGACGAGATAACGGAGTTTGACGACAGGAAGCTACAAGTCGCTTACTACCCCACTTTCAAGCGAGCGCACACGTTGCTGGTCCGTCCAACTACCGTACTCCGAGCTTCGACCGGCGTTCGTATGGAACACAATCCGGTAAGGACGGACCTATAGCAACCGTCGCGCCTGTATTCTACGTGTGTCTTTAGTACCCAGGCCTTCATATCGCGAGCCCGGTCAGCTCGTGGCCTCAACGGTGCAACGTGCCCGCGACCACATCCCGAATTCGCAGACCACGGGGCATCGATTGCCGCACTATGCCAGACACGCCAGCAATGACGCATTGTCGCAAGACCGAGGCGCAGACCCGCGCAACGTTCACGGGATCCGTTTACGACCCGTCTCTGAGCTACGTGAGTTCGAAGTCTTGTGAACCGTTCATCCTGCTATTCGGGTGGCTATATGCGCGAATCCCTGACGCATACATCCACCCCATTCCCCCGTCTCAAACAGCTGACATCTACCGGGGGATGTTCAAGTTTGGCGTCTTCAACGCCGTACAGTCCAAATGCTTTGATACGGTGTGTTTCCGCGAGTATGGGTTTGACTGTCCTCGACCAATCATGTTCCTCCCATTAGGTGATGCATACAGACCAGAACATGGTATGTTCCACGCGCCTGATTGTAAATTGCTAAGCTTGTTACGTTCCCGCTTCTCCAGGTCATAAGCGGTCAGTCCTTCGCTTCTTGTGAGATCCAGGATCTCACGCGGAGCCGCGTACAGCGCCAACGGGCAGCGGGAAAACCGTCCTTTTTGAGCTGGCCATTATCCGGATGCTCATGCAGGCTGGTGGGAACAGCAAGTCTGTTAAGTGCATCTATGTAGCGCCGACGAAGGTGAGAGTGCGAGCATATCAAGTCCAATAGCGAACCGTATCCGAGCAGTGTGGCTGATCACTGGGGCCTCGGACTTAAGGCACTCTGCTCTGAGAAATGCAAGGACTGGAATAAGAAGTTCGCGACTCTAGGAGTGAATTGTGAGCGGAAACTTCCTCTGATAATTCATATATGCCATTTTTGTTCATCGCCGGTGATCAGGCTGCGAAATGACAGGAGACACAGTTCATTTTGGCAAGGGCGCGTGGGGTAGCGCACGAGATGCTACTGTTATGTATGCAGTGTCTTCGCCTTCAAGTGCGCTAGCTAACAACCTCCTCAACGGTCGCGGCAGTATCACTACGGTCAGAACACTCGCCCAGCTCCACCGTACGAGACGCTGAACCATTTCATTTCGCCCAGGGAGAGAAATGGGACAGCTTGACACGTAACTGGTATGTCAGCACACCGCTGACATGCAACCACCGATTGCCGGGAAAGCTGACACAACTCTCGCAACGACAGGCGTGATCATGAGCAGATCCTGGCTCAGGTTCAGCTCTTCCTCGTGGACGAGGTAGACTTCGGGCAACATGGGCTACCGGACGAAGCGCTGACGCTCTCCGCAGGTACATATCCTGAACGAGTCCCGTGGGAGCACCTTGGAAGTGATCCTCTCACGTATGAAACTGCGTGGCTCGTCCGTCCGCTTCGTGGTCGTGTCAGCAACCGTGCCGAATATCGAAGATGTTGCCTGTTGGATTGGAGACGGCACCCTGGATGGACCTGCCACGATCATGCAGGTAAGCTCCCGTTCTTGTCTCCGTCTCTCCGATGTTTAGTCGTTGTCACCTGCCATTAACGCTGGACATGTCGAGCAGTTCGGCGAGGAGTATCGTCCGTGCAAGCTGACGAAGGTTGTGTATGGCATCCCCAACAAGAAGGAAACCAACGACTTTGCCTTTCAAAAAACATTGGACTACAGGTTGTATGGGATCTTACAGCAACACTCTGTCAATAAGCCGATGTTGGTCTTCTGTTCAACGCGGAAAGGTAACTTGAAATGAGTCGCGCGTTCGCCGATTTTCGTTCATAGAAAGCACAGGCGTACTTGGCACCGCGCAACACATCATGAAAGAATACGAAGCTGCCGGAGATAAGAAACAGACGTTGCCGTGGTCTCGCCCACCTAGGTGCGCCTCATGCACGTTCTGAGAAAGCCGTAGATCCAGACTCAATGAAATGTTCTACATGCACTAGGATTGAACACACATTCCTGGACAAATCGTTGCAGAGTACGATTAGCAGCTTCCTGCACTCATTATCGGATATAATTCTTCGTTACTCACCTCGTCTCGTTCCACAGAGCTAGCTGCATGCGGGATAGGTGCCCACCACGCGGGGATGTCCCTTGAGGACCGCCGAGCAATCGAGGACCTATACACTAAGAAACTCCTCAGGATCGTGTTTGCCACCTCAGTAAGCCTATGACCACATCCTGCACCCAATGATGCCCATCATGAGTTGCAGACCCTTGCTGTTGGCGTTAACCTTCGTATGCGCATACCTGGATCGTAATGCGTTACGTGCATATTGACTAACCGACCTGCCGGTCTCCATCCCGCAGCCGCCCACACCGTTATCCTTAAGGGCGTCAAGGTTTTCCAGAACAACACCATGCAGGAGTATTCCGATCTAGATATCATGCAGATGATGGGACGCGCAGTGGGTACCAATCGCATTGCGTGTATTAGGCATACACGGGAATTGACCGAACCGCGTATCTCACGCAGGGCCGACCTCAGTTCGGTATGTTCCACGAAGCTATTCCCGAGGAGCGCTTGGCTTATGGCCAAGCAACGCAGACAAAGAAGGGGTGGCCATCATCCTTTGCGAGTCTGAGCTCGAAGCCAAATACAAGGCACTCGTGCAAGGCCAGACCGTCTTGGAGAGTAGTCTCCATCTTAACCTATCTGAGCATATCAATTCAGAGGTTGGTCTCGGGACTATCACAGATCTTGACACCGCAAAGAAGTGGCTGCACAATTCATTCCTTTACCGACGGATCCAGAAAAACCCGAGACACTACGCCATTGGCAAGGATAGCAGTCAGACCTGGCAGCAGAAAGTGGACGATATCGTCGTGCAGAGCATTACGAAGCTGCAAGAAGCAGGCCTAGTGACCTACTCTGACCAGGAGGATGGGAAGTTATGTTCCACCGAATACGGTGATATCATGAGCAAGGTAGGTATATTATCTGCGGCTACGGGGCGTATCTCATCGTCTTTCAGCTCTACGTAAGGCAGTCGACGGTGTGTTTGCCTTGCGCGCCGGTTTTTACAAGGACAGGCTCACTTCGCGATTGTAGATGAGTTTGATACTGAAGTTGCCCGAGCGCGCTACGATGAGGGATATGGTATGTCTCTGACGGTGTTGAGGCTTCGGTACACTTGACCATTATGAGCTAGCTCGAGGTGGTATCAAATGCAGAGGAGTGCGTGTGGGTTCAATCCTGAAGCCGTCGTCCGCTGACCTTTCACTACAGGTTCTCCGACATTAAACTTCGAGGAGGAGAGAAGCAGGTGGGCCGCTCTGGAACTGCATGAGACACCGCTGACCATCGGGGCCGTAATCATAGACCTATAACAAGATGCGCACTCACCACGACATCCGCTACCAAATCAAGAAGATCGAAAAACCAGCAGATAAGGTGTTCGTTCTGATTCAAGTGCGCTAGCCTTCCCCCTGCGCAACCACTCTTGCTGACTTTCGGCGCGATGCACTCGATAACAGGCAATTCTAGCTTGTATCAACCTCTCAGATCCTGAATACAAGAGCGGAGACAACAATCCCGTGCTGGAGGCTTACTCTATCTTTCGTCATATTTCGCGAATTGTGAAGGTGTGCTGCCTACTTGTCCCCGTTTCGACCTCATACTGAGGACAGGACAGCTGTTGTCGAAGTGGCGATTGTTAAGAAATCTGGCGCACACCTGAAGAATGGGTTGGAGCTGTGCGTACAGGAACAGCATGAGCGGCTGTTCACCCAGGCTTACCCGGTACGCAGAATGCGCTGTCTGAATGCGAAGGCTTGGGAGGACCGGCATTATGTGCTACGTCAGATCGACACGATTGGAGAGAAATCGTATGTTATTAACTCTAGCCCTTTGCTATCGTGCTCATGTCGTCATGAACGAAAGGTGCAGGTACCCACTTCTACTTATTGCATGATCGACGCTGTCTGAAATCTCACAGGTTCTCGCCGAACACGGCATTACGACCATCGCCGCTTTGCGGCAGCAGGATCCGTTTCTCATTGATGTGGTACGTAGTATCGTCCACTGAACGATGCGTTGTGATTAAATGGCAAACAGTTACTGAACCGCAAGAGTCCATTTGGGCTCAACGTCATCGCTTCAGTTCAGCAGCTTCCTCAATACACTCTCAGGATCTCTGAGAACGCTTTGGTTGCCCATAAGGCCCAGAAACCAGTTGAGGTGGAGCTGGAGGTCGAATGTGGCCTGATCATCGAGACCGATTCCGCTAAGGCGAAGAGGGGCAAGACCAGGATGGCGGATATGACTGCGGTGCTTACAGTAACTTCTGAATTGGACTTCGTTGATTTCCGCCGTATCCCGTGAGCAGGTTTTCCTCATGTTATCCCGAGTCCTGACTATTCGCGTAGCACGAAAGCGCTGAAGGACACCAAGACGTTCACGCTCAATGTGAGCTTCACGAAACCCAGCCAGTCTATCCTTGTCTATATCAGTTCGGTGCGACGCCATCCGGCACATAGCCCTCGCCGATGTTGACGTTTGAGCATTCTATAGGACGTGTACGCCGGCGTGACAGTATCCGAAAGCTACAAGCCTCAGATCAGCGCCATACAGTTCCCGACAAGGGACACTCGCCCGCAGAATAGCACGGTAGTACATGCCTTGCCCATATAGCGTCTATCTCATTCTCTCTACCCAGGACATGCTATTGGAAGGTCTTGACGAAGACCCTGACTTCTGGAATATGGCACTGGATGACGAGGATTCTCCGGTAGGACACCAACGCAAGCCTGAGTGTTCGTTCACGCCTGAGACTCGCACTTCTGACATGTCTGACATCGTGATGCAGCTGCAGTCGAGCAGCCAATGAAGCAGCAAGACAACGTCTCGGGAAAGCATCCAGGAAAGAGTGCTGCTAAAGCCTCAACCAATGCGATGTCTTCGTTACTCGGCTTCAAAAGGCGGTCAGATGGGAAATACGAGTGAGTATGCGAAAACATAAAGAGTTTGTTCGAAGTGTCACCGGTTCGCAGATGCAACCACTCATGCAAGGATAAGACTAAATGTCGGCACTTGTGGTACGGCCGCCGTTGTTTGCCTGGTAACATGGTCCCATGCACTGACAAAATCCCAGCTGCAAAGACGGCCTCGACAAGCCTCCTCCCATGTCCAGAAAGCGTGTCGAAGCGATCTGCGCAGCAGCCGACGACAACCTTTCCACCGAGCTCCCATCGCCTCCGTCTGGTCCCGTTCAGGCTATCCGCCCCGAGGATGTTCCCCGTCCAAAGCCGAAAGCAAAGGCCAAACCCTGCGACAGACCGGATGCGCGTCTCAAGCAGGTGGACACCCTCCATGCACAAACGGGCGTGCAGAAGAACCTCAAGTTGCCTGCTGGTCGGAGGATCAAGCTTGAAGATCACTGGGCTGCTGACTCTCGGGCAAGAAAGGGGGCTAGGTCCGACTCGGATGTCGAGATCGTCTCTAAGAACTCGTCTCCCGGAACACTGGCAGCTAAGCTGGAGGACTCTGACGATGACTTGCCGGACCCTAGCGAGCTGCTCGGCGCGTACTTTGGGTCTAGTGGCCGAGGTGATGTTGCTTCGGATCCGTCCAGCGCGGACTACTCGAACTCTGAAGTGGACTCTCTCATTCGATCTGCTCAAGTGGATGATCGTGCGCAAACGGAATCATCGTGCAGCCCAGTCGAGGACCGACCTGAATGGCTCAGAGATGCTCTTGACACTACCGTAGACTTGGATCACAATCCTATCTCCGATGTAATCGTCGACCAGCGTTCGACTCCCAAACCTCGCGGCTTCAAGAGGAAGTCTAGCTTTGATCTCTCCGCGCCCCGTCAAAGCGGACCAAACGCGACGTGGAAAGTCCAGATATAGTCCTCGGATCATCATCCCCCGTCGTCGAACAAACGGTAGTTTCAGTTAGCATAGTCCCAAGTCAGTTGACTCACACAACACGCAGACTTCGCTTCCAGGACTGTCCGCAAAGCTGCAGGCAAGCAAAAGGAAGCTTTGTTCATCGCCGATTCATCGGATGAGGAAGAGCAAGCAGTAATGAACAGTCGTCACCATGGGTTCCCTATCACGCAGTCACTGCAAGTGAATGACGATGACGAAGAGTTCGCGTTGGACCCAGATATGTTCACACTAGTCGACGCGGACATGACCTCTTCGACGAATCTCGTTGATGCTCACCGCGACTCCAAGCAGGACATCTCAACGGCTGCCGATGTCAGTCGCGGCCACCATTCTCCGGGCATTCCCAGGAGCAAGGTGGAAGAAGACGGTGCACTTCCCCGGGTCAAAGAAAAGCAGGTCCATTGGGAAGACGACGATTCAGGTGACGAGCCTGACGTGTTCCAATCCGCACTCGAAGATCTAGAGGCGTGGATGCAGAGCGGTGCGGTTGAAATTATCCCAGATGATTAAGAGCTGGAGCGCCGCGCGTGTCTACGAGTAATGGTGTACTAGGCTACGATGTAGATGTCAAAGAGCAGTAAATTGGCTCATTTTGTCTCCTCTTCCCTCGGCCGTTCGCTCGTTGTCCCCGCTGGCAGGTCCATGAACACCTTCAACACTTCCCTAAATCTCTCGTCCCATGCAACGGGCTTGCCAGGCCTGACGATGTCCCAACCCTCTTCATCGGCTTGCCACCGCAGTTCTTTCTTCATCCGCTCTGCACGCAGCTCGACCTCCGTTGGAGGTGGGTAATTGACCTCCTCCTTGGTTGGCTCGCGTGTGCCCCGAGCGAGAGAGCGCGCGGTCTCCAGGCGCGCGGGGAGTTTCTCGTAGTACTCCTCCCGCGCCTTTCCGATCTCGGCAGCGAAGTCACGCACGTACGACTTCTTGTAGTACCCCTCGACGTCCTTGTCGAAGTCGAGGTCAGCAAGCGAGGGCTCGGAGAGGTGTGGCTGGGAGGGATCCGGTTCGCTTTGCGACTCCGCTTCCACCAATGTCGAGAGCTCCTCTGCTGGTGGAGCGCTGAGCGGTCGTGTCAGGCCCATGACGAGGCGGTAGGCGGCTTCAGCACCCGAGCGTACTTTGTGCCGCTGGTTGAAGAACTCCCAGATCATATGCGGGATCTGCAAGAACCCGATGTGGTCGACGAAATGGACTAGCAGAATCGGAGGCATTGAAGGTATGCGGGTTGGAGGCGTGTTCATAGAGTCGGGGATGGAGGACTTTTCTGAAGGTTTTGAGGATGATGGGGACGACTCTCGGAGATGCGGGGGTGTGAATGCCGCGAACGACTGGGAAGACGGGAGGCGCGACGCAGTCGGAATAGGTTCGCCATCCAACTCGGGCCCGTCCGACGCTGCACTCGACTCTGGTTCTCGCTCGTCGAACTTGCCATCGTTCTCTAGCTCCCTCGAAAGCTTCTCTTCCCTATCCACTATCTCAAGGGTTTCCGTCCAGCCTTTCTTCAGGCCGGCCATTAATTCCTTGAATGTCGGTCTTCCAACGACGACGATACCGCCCTCGAGCTCTCGACGCCGCTTATCCTCCAGTGAGTTGTGGGGTAAGACGACTGGGACTTGATCTAGGCCTAGTTCAACCCTCCGTCTCCGCTTGATGTCGTCTGCTATATGCCTCGCCAAGTCGCCATGCCGCTTCCCGTTAATCATCTCATAGTCGACCGCAGCGGCGACGAGAATTGGCTGAATCGACATCAACACTAAGCGATATGGTCAGAGAGTATACTGGCGAACCTTAACGTACTTGCGGAAGTACTTCATGCTACGGTCATAATCTTCGTCCGCAGGCCATTTTGAGCCGTACACGGTGACCTTCCGCGGATAGTCCAAAGAATGTAGCGGGACCTCTGACAGGTGCTTGACCTTGTTCACATACTCCCCGCGTACTTCCTTGCATTTCCGCCTGTCGTAGATGTAGTACCCAGCAATAGTCGAGGTGACACCGAGGAAGATGAGCCAGTTGCGCGAAGGCAGGCTGGGACGCTTGTCAAGCCATGACGGTGGGATGCCAGTGTACTGGAGGGCAGCCTTCACCCCAGTCAGTCGTGACTTTGGGTCCGGGAAGGCACTGTCTCCCGTCAGTTGCTCATCGCCAGACGCGGCGGCGAAGCACTCGAGGACGACGCGGCCAGCAGTGAGCAGAAATTACCCGATCCTGCAGCAGGAGGCGCCCACTCCGGTAGACGGTGTCACGTGGGCAGCTGTGAAGTGAGCGCCAAGTTGCTCCGCCACTTTCGGTCCCAACTTCGCTCTGCCTTCGACGTCCACGATGGCTACCGCTCTTGCGTCCCTCCTTCCAAAGCCGCCTACGCTTCTACAGTGTCGGACGATGAGGATGAGGTATACAGCTCCCAGTTGCAGCGCCGTCACAGTCGGTGATTCTACGCGCGGCAGTCCCTCCGTACGGGCAGCGTCCAGGATGGAAGCCCACAACACCGGATGACTTTGGTGAGTATTCAGTTGTGCTAGAGAATTACCAGCTTATGCGTACTAGGCGATGGCGGTGCTTACCCTGAATGCCATGTTGCACAATATCCGCTGGGTATGGGGAAGAAGAAGGTGCCGTTCGCTCATTGACTTTGGGATGTCAGTATTATTCATCAATGTTCAGGCTTCTTCTGGCAACACACTCGCCCTTCAAGTAGACTCCGAAGGCAATGTCCGCTACGATGCCATTGCTCAGCAAGGCCAACGTGCCGGCAAGATCGTACAGTCGCAGTTCAAAGACCTCGTGCCGTTGGCACACCGGAAAGACCTTAATGACACAGAACGGCAACTGGAGCGTCCGTCGGAGGATGAGGTGCAGACGACGACAGAAAAGACGCGAGCAGCGTTGGAGAACTGGTGAACGGGAAGATTAAGGCAGCACAGCCGAAGAATGTCCCGGATGGCCAAGGCAAGACGTCGTTCATCCGCTATACACCAGGCCAGCAGGGTGGATCAGACGGGCTGAAGCAGCGTATCATCAAGATGACGGACATTGTCGAGGACCCGCTGGAGCCTCCAAGGTTTAAGCACAAGAAGATTCCCCGAGGACCGCCTAGTCCGCCCCCACCAGTGTTGAGGAGTCCTCCCCGGAAGGCCACGGCTCAGGAGCAAAAGGAGTGGATGATCCCGCCATGCATATCTAACTGGAAGAACAACAAGGGTTACACCATCCCGCTTGATAAGCGTTTGGCAGCGGACGGCCGAGGCCTACAAGACGTGCGTCTTCCATCATTCCAGTGTGCCCGATATGGCTAATGAACCCTCCGAACCTCTAGGTTCACATCAATGACAACTTCGCTAAGTTCTCCGAGTCGCTCTTCATTGCAGACCGTCATGCACGCGAGAAGTCCGACAACGAGCATTGATGCAACAGAAGCTCGCCGAAAAGGAGAAGGCCCAGAAGGAGGAGAACCTCCGTATGCTTGCTCAGCGTGCTCGCGAGGAACGTGCTGGCATCCCTGCATCAGCACGGACAGCAGACAGCAAGCCATCCGCGGAGCGTACTGCCGCTATGCAGTCATCACTAGGTGCATACGGCAGTGGCTCGGAGGACGAGTCCGAACCCGAGGAAGAGGAGGACGAGGACGCAGCGCGGTTGCGCGACCAGATGCGGCAGGAGAAGCGACGCGAACGCGAGCGCGAGATGCGCATGTCGAACATGGGTACGGAGCAGCGGCGAAGATGCTCGCACGCCAGCAGAACCGCGACATCTCAGAGAAGATCGCGCTGGGGCTCGCGAAGCCGACGCTTCCAAGGAGAGCATGCTCGACTCGCGGCTGTTCAACCAGGACAGCTTGTCTGGCACCTTCGCGGACGACGAGGCGTATAACCTCTACGACCGCCCGTTTTCCATGGCTCGACAGCTGCGGCTGCGATCTATAAGGCGCGGGGCAACATCACGGAGGGCAACCAGACTCCTTCGGCGAGGGTACGGAGGAGGGTATCACACAGGCTCTCGACAACGATCGTTTTGGCATGGGTCAAGCCAAGGTCGGCTTCGAGGGAGCGCAGGACCAGGAAGTCCGCGAGGGTCCTGTGCAGTTCGAGAAGGACACTGGCGATGTGTTCGGTCTCGACAAGTTCTTGGACGAGGCGAAGAGCGGGAAGAAGAGGGGTCTGGATACAGACGTGTATGTGGCCAGACTCTTCTTTGTCTATTCACTCACTAACGCTTATGTCACAACAGCGGCGGTGCACGCAAACGCCAACAATTAGACAAGGCTGCGGAGCGCGACTTGTGAGCCATGCGTCGTTTACCTTTCTCCGCTGTGCTAGTAGTGTATCATGTTCTCATTTTACTTAGCCATAACTTACGAGTGCGCTTGTGTTGGAGGCAGATAAGTTCACATTTCGCGGACCTATAATACAGGTACAAATCGGAAGGCTGCAAGTACACTGAGGAGACAGCAGAGCAAACACAGCGAAGCACACATAAGATCAATCATGATTTCCCCCAATCCGAGCGGCGCAGAAGGTCAGCCAGGTACTTGCCCTCCTCGCGATAGTTGAGGGGCATGATCTTCTGGATGGTGTAGCGGACTCGGGTCACGTCCTTCACACATACAAGAGTTTGAGCTACGTGCGTGGATTAAAAAGCATAAGGAAGACGTACGTTGAACGTTTCCTGCCTGGCCCTGCAAGCGAAGTTGTACGCAGTGCCTACAGCTCGCTCGACGACCTTGGTGAACTCGATGTCATCTCGGTCCTGCAGCACAACGTTTCAGTAAACCATGCGTAGACACGTACAATACAGAGACGCACCCTGATCTCGATGATCTCATTTGCAGGCATGTCGAAGAGGGCCTCTCCGACCTCGTTAAAGCCCTGCAGCCATGCCTGGCCCGAGTAGTCCGCACACGCCATCGGGAAGATGTACCGGTAGTGCGGCTTGTCCCAACTCTTGTTGCATTTCTCGCACCGCCAGCCGTCGTGGCTCTCGAGCACCTTCTTGCTGCAGCCCTGTGTTTGGCATGCGGGGTACGCGATATTGTCCGTCTTGATGTGCATTACCGTCGCACGTGCGGAGAAAGTGTCCACCTTGTCGGACGTCCCAAGCTCGCGCGTCTTTACCTCGTTCAGGGGGAGGATCTCCGTGCGCTCGAACTGGGTGAAGTTACCAGCACCCGCGCCTGAATTCGAGTATGCCTGGTATGTTTGTCCGGAGCCCGCTGCGTCGTACCACCCGCGCAGCGCGTGGGCCTCCGGGATGTCGGGGTTGATCTGCATGATGCTGGTCGTGAACATCGAGAGTGAGCGGCCGCCGAAGTCGCTGACGTTCGCTGCTTTGATGGCAACGACGGGCTGGTCATCACCGACGAAAGACTCGGCCTGCTTCCCCCAGAGCGTGAGGCGCACAGAGTATCCTGAGCGGTCGACGAGAGTCAACTCGCGCTTTTGCAACTGAGCGAAGCATGTCAGCAAAGAGCATATAGCGACGATAGTTGGCTTACAGTCTTTCCGGCCTTGGAAATGAGCTCAGTAAGAGGCGTGACTTCCCGCACTACGCCAATCACATCTAGGGCGAGTTCAGCAATCATTAGGACCGATAGGGAACGTGCTGAACAAGACATACCGCAAATAGAATCTTTCGTAAGGTCAGTGAGCTTAGCAAGCTCGACGAAGTTGTATCGCACAGTCGGCATATTAGTAGCATCGACGCACTGCGTCAGGGGTAGTTTGAGCGAGCGGTATGACACCCTGATGAAGGCCACGTACCTCTTCCACCTCAGTATTCCGTTCCAGGTTGAGCTCGTACTCATTTTGAACGTTGGAGAACTTCTTCTTGGCCAAGTTCACCCTCGCTCGCGAGATGAAGTACACCTTGCCCTCCTGGATCTTATCGTACAATTCATCAACCACCTGGTTGAATCCCGTCGCTTTGATCTCGCCAGTCTCGTCCATGAGCGTGACGCTGAAAAGTTTGCCCTCGCCGCGCTGGTTCGACCATGTCCTGATGTCCGATTTCTGGACGACACGCGCCTTGATCGTCCAGTTATTCTGATAGGGGCTCAAGCTCTCAATCGGGTAGATGGCTGTTCGCCCCGCGCGGCCTTGCTGGCGTGGCGGCTGCTGAGGAGCTCTTACAGCAGCTGATGTCGCAGATGAGGACGCGGCTGCTGGCGCAGCACCCGGCGCGGGCGTGGTGTTCGCAGTCGGAACACCTGCGTTCGGGGGTTGCAGAGCCGAGGGGTTGCCGATCTTATTAGCATCCTTGGCTACGATGCTCAGCGCAAGAATAATGAGGAGGCTTCAAGAGCGCATACGCGTCGTTAGCGACTGTGAAAGAAAGTAATGACGCGACGCGACATACCGCTTGTCCTGTACCAGATTGCACGAAAACTTGTCGATGACCGCAATTGAATGCTTCTTTATGCGTTCCTCCTCGATGAGATGGTTCAGTTGTGTCGCCAGCATAGCTTGCAAGAAGTGTTCGCCATCGGAAACGATGATACGGTAGCGATCAACCGTGGCAGCCCCTGCCGTCGTAGGCGCGACTTTCTTGAAAGACAGGAACTGTATGGTTGGTTGGGACTCAAGGATTTTATCCTCAATGTTTGTCACGTCTGCAAGACGCGAGCAGATGCCGGCAGTGAGCTGGTAATCTTGAGCCATGTCGATTTGCGCGTCGTGGTCGCAGAGAGAGAACGCGGAACGCGTCGACGCGTCGCGTGTCCCGCATACATAATACGCGTTTATTATGTAATGCAAAAGGCTCCCAATTTGGAAACAGCCTCATTCAACGCCACCATCTTCTTCGCCTCGGAGTCTGCAACTCTACTGCAGCTCTCGGACCAGTCTCGGACACCTGCCACATGTGTGCTTACGTTGGTATACAGATTCGGTCGAAAGCAACTAGTTGGTGGAGGCTGCCATAGCATCAATTGGACTCGCCAATATACGAGGCTCAAATGCGGAGCACTCAGCCAACATCATGATATACACCGGGCTAGTACTTACACAGGCTACTAGCCGGTGCCAGGTGTTCGGCTCTCACTAGTACGCCGCATCGCGGGTTGACTGCCGCACTGCACTACTTTGTAGTTTTATTGAAGGAACATAAGCACGATCAAGCATGCCCTTGGTACGTCCGATATCTCTATAAATCTTTCAGTTCCTCATGATGTCATGCCATCGCAAGTTAGGCTCCGAGACTTCGATAGCATTCATGGTTCCTACTATCTGACAACTACCAGACAACGCAGAAGACGGAGGTACACGATTCTCGTAATTCATGCACGTCTACTTGCCCACCAGACCAACGGAACGAAAGTCTGCGAGACTCGTCACGCAACGACCGGCCGTCCTCACTGCACGTTCAAGGTCTATGTCACGTCCCTCGTTTGGCTGATACTGGTTCTTTCTAGCATGCTCTCAAATCACCGCAGCCAACACTTTTCTGATACCGTACCGTATACATTTCGCTCAGATCAGTACTTCTGCCATTGTCCGTTTCTTTCCGCGCATGGTTCTTCGACATCTGTAATGCCGCCCACTCAGACAGTGGCTCCGCGAATTGGTGATATGATCATACTCTCTGCTCCGGGATAAGTGGCCTCTCGTATATGTGGAAGATACACTAAAACTATACCTCGCAGACCAGTGCTAACAGGATAATCCTACTGGATGTCATCGTCAAATGGGCGGGAACGGTTCGGCTAGACGTACAAGGTCGACTATCCGCCCGGGTCTATGCCAGCGGCGCGTACAGTCTGCTGTCTGCCTTGCCCCGCGCAGATGCGAGCCAGCACATTCCGACTTCTGCCTTGCATGAGCACACACATCGCCGTCCATGACAGGAACCTGCTGACCGTCAAGACGTGGTGATTATTAGCCCAAGATTCGCGAGGCATGAAATTGTGTGCCAGAGAGCGACGTGTTCGCGGGATTCGACGTACGTGCGTTTTCCAGGTGTAAGAAGACTCCGAGTCCGTCTGTATGGAGTCCCGAGTCAAAGGCCTTTGACAGAGGCTCCGCAGGCCAGGCAGGCAGGCTTTGCGGCTGGAATGGCAAATGCGTATTATGTCGTCAGACGGATACACCAAGTGCAGTGGCAGACAAGGAACCGCGCAGCAGACAGCGGTATATGCACACCCGCTGCATTCACATCATTCCTAGTGTGCATGGGGAGCAACAGACTCCATGGCATGGACATTGGCCACGCGAAGCATGCGCCGTTACTTGCACAACCGCGCGCATGCACTTGACAGAACGAGTTGAGCGGATGGGTGTTGTACATACCGCGTAGCAGTAAGTACTTACTTACTCTTACTAACTCGCCATTTCCACTGACATGTCGGCGCAGGCTGCGCTCATCCAGCCCTCGGGATCTGACACCGAACTCAGTGCAGTCTGCGCATATGACAGCTGTTGTAGAAACGATAGACCGCTCGCGCGCGGGGATGTGTGGAGCGGGTTTTTGGCTGGCGAGACGACGGTTGGCGAAGTCACGCACTGGCTACAGCCAACGTTGCCGGCGCTCAGAGATGTCAGTGCGTTCTTTAATTTGCCAGTCTCGCTCACGGCGACCGTCAGGCCAAATCCCACACACACACTCAGTGCAGGCCGGCCTATCATTTCTACAACAGCTGTAACCTGGATTACGATGCATGCATGATCCAGCATCGGGGATGGCTCGGTGTCTACCGGATTTGGCAAGTAGCTTCAGGGGAATCAGGATCAGGACTCAAGTCTGTATGTGTGCCTGCGGACCCATCTTCGTCTCCGGAAACTGTATAGATAGTGAGTAGAACAGTTCTTCAAGAAAAAGAAAGAAAAAGACTGCTCGGGGTGGGGTTCGAACCCACGGCCTTAAGATCACGGGATATTACGTAAGATTCAATTTCTTTATAAAGAAACTCATGCGCGAATATGAGACTTACGCTCTAACCAACTGAGCCACCCAAGCCTGTTGTGGGTTAGCTTTGTTAATATTGTATTCTCCTCAGCCCACTTCCGATCAAACAGGTAACTTATGCAATACAGGGAAGAGGCGTCACTGGCAGACAAGGATATCCTGAGACACAAAGGTACAAACATTGAAGGAATTTGAATTGTCTATGTTGGCCCGAGACTACTAGTAGAAGAGGCCAAACGTTGTCGTTCTATCATTGGTACCAGTCACCGTCGACTTCGTCCCCGCGACTTGAGCATGCGCAGCCATGTCGACGTCTCTATACCCTAATAGTACTGTACATCACACCTGCTATAGCTACAACAGAACAACGGAATACGATAACAATAATGATATGAATGAGTTGGCCATTAGACCTCGGGGGACACGCTACGTGCTCGCTTGGTCGAATACCGCGCCGGACTGGTGGTAATGACGACCTCTGCACGGTTGATGATCCTCCGTGGGGGTGGCTTCTTCGGGGTAGGCGGTGGGGAGTGATACTTATCGGTCGCACCAGTGTCCATCTGTGAGTAGTCGATCTCTTCCTCGTCTTCAGACTCGGGCACGAGGAGTTCCTCGTCGGAGTCCCGCGGGGCGCGTTTGCGCTTGAGCGGCCGTGTCGCTCGCTTCTTGGCTTTCTTCTTCGTAGCAGGTTCAGCACCTTGCTCAGCCACACGGCATTCCTCCACCGTGACGCCCGCCTGCAGCAGGACATCGATCCAGACCTGGAAGAGACCCATGTAAGCAAGAGTGAGTAATCATCGGACTGTCGCACCTTCTGATTTTCCTGCAATCTGTCTCCGGGACCTTTAACTTCGACAAACTTGCACTCCCGAGTGTCCACGTTCCATACGATCAAGTCTGGAACACCGCCAGTGCGGCCGCCGTAATCTTCGCACATCAATCGACAGATCACGGCGAGAGCAACTCCTCCTAGATTCTGCGCATCGTCAGCATGATGGAGGTTCATGGATGTAGGTGATCTAACTTGCCTCGGCGATCTCGAGAAGGTCACTCTTCTCGAACAGCTCCCATTGGACACCAACGCACCAGGTCTTTTTCTCGTTGTGCTCGTCAAAGAAGCGACCTAGTATCTCTGGGCCTTGTCCAGACTTGAGTTCCTCCAAGCGTTGATCGACGAGATGTTGCCTCGCATAGTAGAACGTGTCTTCGGCGATATCGAGAGGGGCGTGTTGATACAGCGTCTCAAATGCGCCGGGGATATCAGCGAAAACGATGTCCCAGAAGAGCAGGCCGAACAGGGTTGTCACGACTCTGCCCTCACAATGAAAGCTAGGGTAGCACGACGTGAGTGTTTTCGTCGCTGACGTGATAAGGTATGTATTACCCTTTGTACCCATGCTTCTCGTAATGCTGGAGAGCGAGGATCTCAACGGTGACTTCTTCACAGTCTCGGCCTAACCAGATAGACTTGCCCACCCACTTCGGTGGTCCCTATGGAGGAAGGATAGATCGTGAGCTCTAATGAGTGGGGTGTCGATACGGGCATGGTACCTCGGGAGGATGCTTTTCAAGGGGAACGGTGGTCGGTTGGACCCAGTCGGACGGAATTGACGTCTGTGCAGAAACATTACGAGTCGGTGCCCTAGACGATCTGGCAACGTTCCGGCCGAAAAGGTCTAGCTTCAGGCTCGTTTCCCGGTGGTAGACACGAGTGCCTGTGATCTGGACTAGCGTGGCTTTTTCGAGTCTGCCTTCGCATACATGACGCTCTTCTTCGGGTACCTTGAGCCGCTTCTCGAGAGTTGTAAGTCTCCGTTCAAGCTTTGGTCGAAACACTGTGTCACAGAAGTCAGTTGGTTTCGCAAAAGCGTTCGAGATGCCCAACCGATATGTGTATCGTCATCTTCCAATGCTTCGATGACCGCCGCTTTCGCGCGTTCGTACTGCTGAAACTTCATCAGGAGCAGCGCCCGACGCTCGTACCACCGGCCTCGGCGTCCGCGTCGCCACCGCCGCTGAGCGAGAAGACTTTCCAGGACTTCAAGCTCATACTCATGCTGGCCGAGCATACCGAGCGCCGCGGAACCCTTGCAGACGACGCGCGTGAGGACATGACCTATCAACACTCTTCAGCTTAACGACTCAATATCAGCAGGCGCATGTCAGCATACCGCAATCGAAGCGTTCCAGTCCTCGGGGTCGGCCAACCTCCTCGCCCTTTACGTGGACCATGGTCTTCCACCGCTCGTAGGTCTCTTCGAAAATGGGCCTTAACGCATGCGCCTTTCGCTTTGAAGGACCGTCCAGCTCCGAGCTTTCGTGGTCTACGCCCGGTTGATTCTCGATGTCCATCAGATCTTCGGTCTTGCTCTTATGCTTGTCATTCTTGTGAGGCGTAACAGATACTTTGGCCCTCTTGGCGGCTGGACCTGGGGTACGGCTAGCCGACGAACGCGCGCGAAATGATATGCCGGAAGTGCCATCCAAAATCGCGTCGACCTGAGCTTCCTTCTCGAGTGCCTCTTCATATGCTAGTAAAGCGGCTCGTGAAGGCCATATCTCGCGGGTTCGCTCATGCTTGTAAGGCGTATATGAGCGTTTGCGAGCGTAAGCCAAGATTGATTCAGTGAGCATCGACTCCGCCTGTTGCGTTCTCAAGGTTTTACAGTGAGCTAAGCAGTCAGGAGCACTCCTTTCGAAGCGGACTCACTTCCGGAAGTAGACGAGGTTGACACGTCGTAAGAGCCTGAAGACATGCTCATTGATACGCACACAGGTATCTGCTCCGTGTTAATGATTATGCATGCCGAGGCTTTTAACTGATGTCAGCGTACCGAGTGTCCTCATCACAATCGCCCGTAGTCTGTCTGCCTGTGTCCGTCCAGAGAGAAAAACGTTGCTCTGAGTAAGAGCAGGTCTACTACCGCCTTTGCCGTGTTTCCCCGAGGAGCCAATGAAGAACCCTAGTGTGGCTTGACCAGAACATGTGCGAATCAATTCGTCGATGAGTACTTCCTGCGAAGTGTATTTGCCAGTCAGGCTATAAGGCCGCCTATCAGAGCACCATACTCACCTTCAAGGAGCCTTTGACTTTGAACTGTTTGGCAGTTCCCTTCAGTTCCTCCAGTGTAAGGCAATCCAGGAGGTCACGTAAACTCGCCCCCGACTCATTCTCCGCAAAGCATACATGCGTAGAGCCGGGGAGAAGTTCACTCTCCAGTCCCGCTTTCGGCTCTGGGGCAACTACTGTCGGTACTGTTTCTGGCTGCTCGTCGGCATCCGCGTCGAGCGTCAGGTCGATGACTTCCGGCTCTTCAGACTTGATACAGGGCTCGTACGCCTCGACCTTGATACTTCGATCTCGCTGACCGAGTTTGTCCGGATCGCACGGTAGCTCATGACTGAGAGACAATGGCTCGAGTTCCGCTTGTGCGTCGACCTGCTCGACTTTGACTTCGGCTTTGACACTAGGTTTTGCGTTCTCGGATGTCGGTGAATCGGTGTTACCGCATAGCTCTCCGATGGCTTGACGTATGTTGTTCCCAAGTTCACGCTCATACTTCAGCGCACTGAGCCTATGCCACTTGTCTGCCTTGCGTAGGCAGAGTCGGACCAAAAGGTAGCGTGCGTGATCTACGTTTGCACTGTTGTCAGAAAGAGCGTTCTGTATAACAAAATGCAACATACATGACAGCCTGCTGTATTGACCTAGGCAGCCAACTTCTTCCAGCGTGAACAGATAGTCTTCATGCTGCAGAACCGTTGCCACCATGTCTAAAAACGTGAGTGACACGCTACCAGACGTCGGAGGGTCAACATACCTTCGAACAGTGAAACATACATGGATACCCGAGACTCAGGAGAGTCCCTCACATCCGCTTCGTCACTTCCTCCTAGAACTAAGCCCTCATAACCTTCTTCTGAACCAGTCCCGAAGACTAACGTCTCCGCTGCGCCCGCCGTAGGAGATTTCGGTAGCATGGCGGCAGACGCGTAAAATCAACAGCGGCGCGGGTATAAAAGAAGTGTCGAGAACGCTTGCGACGGCGTGGGTGGTGATGGGGGTATAAGGAGAAGGAGCAGTTGTCCAGACGTAATGCACTGGACAGGAGGTCGCCGCCACCCGACCTTGACAAGACGCGGGCGTGACAGGTGCAGGTGACAAAGCGTGACTGTCGCGTCGCGTCGCGTTGCGGTCGCGTGACAGCTTTACCCATGTACCCTGGTGCGAACGCCGAACCCATCGAGTGCAACAGTGACAGGTTGGGCTTGGTTAGGCTCGAAGAGTGGGTCCCGAATCTTGCAGCAGATTCACAGCAGACATGTCTTGTATTGAGATGATTTGTTGGTTGCTATAGCATGCGTCCTGGTGTTCTGCGCAATGGTCTTGTTGAAGTCTTGACACGCTGACAGACGGTGCATACCGGCTTCTCAGGCTAGCTTGAAATCACGACGCTTGGAAAATGCGGGCTTGAGGGGCACTCGTGTCACATTCACGCAGGAGATGAGACATGTGAAGCAGCAAGCGAGGACAATCCGGTACTTCCAAGTTCCAACATAATGATCACAAGCGATGTCTGAATGGTTAATTCGCACTAGTACCGATGGACCGAATACATACTCGTTTGTGATTGAGGAAGGCCCGAGAAGATTTCCACCAAGGAGGTCGGCAGCGATTGCAATGCTGGTTACATTTAGAAACACATTGGGCACGTCGATCTTGCGGCCATCTTATCCGGACAGATGAAGACAGCGCCGTCGACGCGGATTGTTGGTTGGCACCCGGGGTCGAAACAGCCGTCATGAGATCGGCGGAGATGCCATTCGCACCGTCTTCGACCCATGAAGTTAGATGCTGGCGCGATTTGGACTCGTGCATTTACCACAGCAATCAACGGTACACTCCGTAGAGTAATATCTGAGTCGGCGGTGACGTTGATAATATTCGCATCTCCGGATGGGCCAGTTGAGTTTACGCGCACACGTACCTCCGCTAGAGACAGATCGTACATATCAGTTGGCAGTTGATGTGAAAGCTGGACATCCATACGTCGTCCTTGCCTTGTCCTAGCGATGATGCCTAGATTCCGCATCATGCTGCTGGCCACATTCCTATCGCTGCTTTGAGGTTCGCTAACATGCTTGCCGTCGAGGACATCATACCTAGCTGAACGTTCAGCATACGGGCATCTGATAAGTTATACGCGAGTGGATGTCCGAGCTGAAGCTTGAAGGCCCGTCACAAGGTACTTGCGTCGCTCGTTCGCGCCATGGAGATCATCGTCCATTCTGCATAATCAGCAGGAATGAATTCCGCCGATCGTTCCTACATACCTCTACTGCCGGCCATCAATTTGCGTCATCCATATTGACTCGACGCTTGAGTGCGCCTGAATTCCACAATATCACCACTAATGCCTTCCTATGACCGTCCACTTGCGAAGGACGCCGAGACCGAGCTCGCACTACGCGCTTGTGAGGTTGCGTAAGTTAGGCATGCAATGCTTGCTGTATGGAGTTCGACAAGCTTGACGCAAGGCGTGACCCAGCGACGTGCTGCTGACAATTCGAGCGACCGTAACAGCGTGGTCATGACTTGTCGCAGGCTCGCATACATGTCAATCGGTAGGGGCTGAAGCGTTGATCTAAATATACGCACCTGACCGCGCTACGGTTCGCGCGCGCGAACTGCACGCCTCTGCGTAAGTTACAGGACGATGTTTCTTTGGCCAGCCGCAAGGCGCTAGGGCGGGGACAATCGGAACTGTTGATCACCACGGACCGATTGGCTGGACTTCCATACCATGGAAGGCTTGTTTGAAGGCACACAGAACATTAGAGCCATGACAAAGTCTTACTAAGTGTCGCTTAGCGTGGGCCAGTGGCACTGACACTGGTTCACCAGAGCCACCGAAAGATTTCGATCTTCTTCCGAACGGGGCACCGAACCAAGCGACGCGGCACCTTTGTTGCAAAACGGTGCGGGTGAACGGTGAGAGTACGACGAGGGTGGCAGACGGCGGTGGCGGACGTGTTCGACTGACGGGGATTCTTGATATTACGATGCGAAGCGAAGACGGCAGTGGCGCAGCTACGCTTCCGGCATAAACCTCCTCTTCCCGTAGCGCGTGTAGGTACCACCTTGCTGGCCACGTCGACCGATATCCCGTCAGTCGCGGTTGCCTGCAAGTCCCTCAGTCTGGTTCTCAAAAGAATTGTTGGTAAGCAGATGAGGCTGGTGTCGCGGTTGCGGCTACACTGTGCACCAAGCGAGCTGAGCGGTCCAGCACGGTAGTATAAGACCATCAGATGGATCTGGAATCCGCCCCACCACTGTGGTGTTGCCGCAGGATAGATGCGTGCCAGGGCGGATCACCAAGGCCACATACTCGCGGGTGCGACAGACAAGAACGATTACAAGGAAGGCCATCTCTGTAATGAAATCCATCGATCAAGCGCTAGTCAACGAAACGAAGAGAGTTTGACTTACATCCACGAAGCCGCGTATTGCCCTTGGCGTAACGTACGAAGTACTAAGCAATGCTCGTCTGCAAGCGTGTGCGGATTAGCCGACGCCGACCTGTGAATTGACCCACTCTGGCTGCGCGAGAGTTGCGTACAGCTTACATATCACCTGTGCAAGGTTTGGCAGATGGGGGTCGATCGCACTGCAGACACAGACGCGTAAGACGTTGTACACGTCGACAGCTGCGGCCGCGCGAAAAGAATCAGCGCGCACTGAATTGATCTCGACTCAATACGCAAGTTTTACTCACCTTCGCATCGGCCACTCATTTCGGCCGCGACACCTCCTCCACTTCCTTGAAAGAGCACAGCGTGACGCGTCGCGCCGAGCTACGGGCTCGCCAATTTGCACGCGAATACAAGAGGATGGCCCGTTCGGTGAAAATCGAAGTCGGACCCTAGCTGTGCAAGGACTTACGTCGGTCCTCCGAGAGAATTTCGCGATCGCAGCGTCCTGGATGGCCTCCGGACGTACAGCCACTCACCAGCGCCACGATTACCACGCCCCACAGGAAGCACGACCGAATATGTGGCGTCGAATTATGCTGAGTTTACGTTAAACTTAGTCACAACCATACCAGCGTAAATTACGTCGAAGAACGCTGATATTACTTTGACTTATCGACAACATAATCAGTGTTCGATTACTCTGCAGGTTCTTTGATTGTACTCTGAGAAATTGGCCAACATACTATCATCATCATTTTATAATAAAACTACCGTAATGTGTGTCACGTAACGCTGAACCTATCCTGAAACTATCTTGACGAGCTTTCAGCGTATTACGATTGTTCAAACTTGATACTTTCGGTATAGAATATGTGACGTACGTGACACTCATGTCACAGCGTAGCCACAGAGTATGACCGGTCGACCTACCCTGTCTTTATGGTGTCAGCATTCCATCAAAATATTGCGGTATAACCTACGGTGTTCCTACGCTGTCGCCTAACCGTACTGTGTTATCACGGAGTCGACCCATGTGTCCTCGACGTCGAGCACTATTTGATGAGGCAGGGACCGAGTTTGCCTTCGGTTCCGACTTCCTGACTGACACGGGTTACCTCGGCTGCGAATGCACGATTGCAACGGTTCCGAGACGCTAGCAGAACGGTGGCACTCACCATTGCATTGGTGAGTTCCTTGAGCTGAATCATGACCACGCCCTGCACGGGCACCGTAATCTTCTGCGACAAGCCGCCGCTAGGGCAGCGTTGCAGACTCGCACGACGTCCTGGACCTGAGCCTTGAGCAGCCTCCTCGACAGCGCTCATGCCGTTCTCGAATGCGGCCGCAGCGAGCGGGCCGATCGGGACGACCAACGAAGAGCTGAGCTGGGGCACGTTGACGTCAAAATTCGTGTACAGGTTCTTGCCGCAGTGAGGGCTGTGTGCGCTCTCCGCAGTCGACGTCGGCGGCGCGGACTGCGGCGCGATCCGCTTGACCCTCGGGTTGCCGACCTCCTTGAGCGAGATGCTCAAGGGCGACGCGTCGGAGGCCGTTGCGCCCGCCTGGCTGCTGCATCTGGGGCGTAGTCTCGCTCTCGGCCTCCGCGTCCGCGTCGGCATTGAACATCTCGACGTCCTTATCAACACGATGGGGGTGATGGTGGTGGCCGTTGTTGTCCATCGTGCTCGGGCTGTTCTCCACGGAGCTGCTGGGCGTGCCGATGAAGGGCGGCGTCGACGTGGCCGTCTGGCCTCTGGAGCTGTTGGCCTCGGCGCCGTCGCTCCGGGAGCTCGACGAGCTTGTGCTGCTGATAGGAGGGTTGTCGCCGACGTTGCAGCGTTTCTTAGACTCTGGACTGCTGCTCCGGGACGCCTTGATCGCTGCTATGGTCTCCTCGGCCGTGTACATGCGGCGGGCGATCGCGGTGAAGGAGCGGAGGACACTGTCGGTCTACCAGTCTGAGGAGCTTTCGTACTTGGGCACTAGGACGAACGAGAGGCCGAGCTCGTAGGCGGGGAGTGGGGCGACGAGATACTGGTAAAAGGGGTGCCCAACGGGCGTATAATGGTCAGCGATGGGTGCCATTGTCGTGGACAGTGAGCAAGGAGTACTTGGCGGAGGCGGGAAAGGGGCACTCATTTCAGCTCCAGCCTCTCCGCCTTCATCTCCGCGAGGTGAAATCTCGACACAGAGACGGCTACGGCGAGGGGAGTGGTGGACGAGAAGGAAGGGTGGTCCCATGCCAGACGCTCGTACGATCGACTTGTGGGCTGCGCTCGGTCAAGCACCGGGACCACCCTCGCACGCTCGGCCAGTCCCGAGCTCTGCGATGAGAAAGCGAAGTCTTGTTCACTTGCAGCATCGTTTCAGGCACGCGATACCGCTCTAGATGTCGAGGGGCTGACTGTCTGCCCTTCCGTCGCGTCCCACGTCGCGTACCAGCCTGAAGTCGCGTTGCCCGTGCTGAGGAACTGGTAGTAGTGCGTGAATCTCGGCGATGAGCGCGGACTGCGCGCTGGTCGGGCTAGGTGCAGTTCCAAACTGCGGAAGTGGACGTCAGCACCCATCCACCGGTACACACCAGGAAAGGGGACGTACAACGATCTCAATGTCGTCCTGGTGGCAGATAGAGCCCGAGTCGGTGCACTTGGAGACGTCGGAGTTACTGGGGTACGACGCGCCGACGGTGTACATGCCCACATACGCGGTACCGCCGCTCGACGCCCAGCTGCGCGCAACGGGCGGACATCCTGCGTGCTGTCGGCGGACGTCGTCGAGGGGACATACGTCGAGTGCTTCAGCAGGCGGCTGCCACTGACAGAGCGAACGTGCCGTCGACAACAACGTCGTAGTACGAGGTGGTCTTGGACTGCGACGGGAAGGTGGCGGTGAGATCGAGAGGGCTAGTGATGAGGTCGCCGTCGCAGACCGCGTGGGTAGCTCGGATTGGCCAGCTGCAGGGACAACACTACAAGTTGGTCGAGAGGGAGCTTTATGCGTTCAGGATACCGTCGAGCGAGAGGGTCCGGGCACGACGTGTCCGAAGCGCTGCATGTGAGCTGCGCACCCATTACAGTCCTGAAGCGAGTTCTGCATGGTGATATACAGAAAGCCACAGTCCTAGAGGCTATTGAGCACGGGCAAACTCGTCGCTATGAACAGATAACATACCCTTGGATCCGGTTGCAAAATGGCATACTCAAAGAGATGACATAAATCGGGTGCAGCGAGCAGCGCCCTGAACATGTTTGCCGTACCAACGGGAGTCCGCGTTACCGTACTTGACAGTGAACCAGACAACACCAGACGTGTCAGCGGCGGCTTCCGTGCCGAGTGGCGTCAAAACTCGGGTGGACGACGACGTCGACAGAGACGTCGAGCAGAGGAGCTTTTGAAGTCAAGGCGGGGAGTGTTCACACCACTACGCGCCCTCCGGGATTGACAAGGACTTGAGATTAGCAATGCTCGTGCGAGACGCATCGACGGACACCGCTGCCGCCTGGAAGGAGAGGAGAGGAGCGGCGAGTGCTGGGAGGGCGACCATGAGCGATTGAGGACGATGGGTGGAGATGCCTAGGGCGAAGGGGGCTCATGAAGAGAATGCATCGAACAGTAGGCCTTTGAAGCGAGAAGTCTAAGGCCGCACTCGAAGCTGCGAGTCCAGCGGCAGGGAATGAAGGAGGGACGGGGGAGGAGGGGAAGGTAAGGGACGGTGAGCTGTGCCGGGCACATTGATGGCTCCTTTGTTCCCAATATGGCAACTCTCCAGCGCTCAGCGCTCAGCGCTCGCTCACGCTTCCGTCACGGTCCCCGGGCTCCAGCTGCAGGCTGACGAATACACGCGCAGGCGGAAGAGCGAGTAGGCGGGCAAGCAGAACAGCGATACGGCCAAATCAGCAGAGGGTCCTTGTACGTCCGAGATACACGACAAGCTCACATCTCGACGTTCCGCGCTGGTCGGATGATTCGCCATACCGACGCAGGCGGGTTACTCGCGACAGGACTCGCTCGAGAGTGCGCAGCGGGTGTTGTCCACGTTCAGGGATAAATGGACACGCAGCGCGCGGCCGGTGGATGGAACGGACTAGAAATGCCCACGGAATGACTAGGTAAGCAATACAGCATGATGCGAGACGGTGTCACGTACCTGACGGCTAGCTCACCAGGACCCTCTACCCGCTGCGCTTCTGCACGCACACGATTTCCAAGGACGGCAATGGGATGCCCTGCCAGTGGGCTGCCGTACAGACCGACGCGCATCTCGCGGAGATGAAGTGCGGCGCGAAACCAACGGCGCCCGCTCGGTCCACTGACGCGCTCCCGGAGGTCGTCGGCTGCCAGACAAGGAACCGCTTCGTCGCGCACTGAATTCAATACGACGACCGGCTGCTCTGGTAGCCAGCGGCATCGTCTACTGGCCGGAACACCGACGGCGCTGCGCAGGGCTTGTTGGGTACGCTCTGCCCTGTGCACGTCTGTCAAACGTAGGTAGTCCTGTTGAGCTCGACGTGAAGTTGAGGTTCCTGCGGTGACTGACTTTGAGACCATGACGGCGAACTCCATCGACTCACCTTAGTCCATGCCTGTGACCGCTGCACAGGTCGTGACGGAGGCGAGCAACGCTCCAGCCGGGTCAAGGAGTAAGCGTGTCAGCCATAAGCAATCCCGCACCTCAGTCGGGACGCGGCTACAATACGAGGACTCGTGAGCACTACGGATGAACTACGCGAATCAAGGTTGCGACTTACCGTTTTCGAGTCGGCGGCTTGCTCCGTATCCGACGCGAATCCCGTCACAGGAAAGGGAGGTGCAGGTCGTATCTGGACGCTGGACTCGGAGGGATGGTGTAATGAGGAAGAAGAGGGATGCTGAGATGGGCGGCGCTGGCTCTCAATATCGCGTCCTAGTGCCCGTAGCGCCGAGTGAGCAGAGACGCGGGAGAGAGAGCGCGAGGCGAGCACACCATGCAGGAGGATGTACTAAGCTGCATTACCCACAGTTGACAACTTGACTCAACGTGCTTACTTTGCCAAAGACACACGATGTGGCGCGAAATATAGTTGATATAATCGACATTACTCTATCTGACTGCGTGTCCAGCGTGTGCCCGCACGCTGCGAGTTGGTGGATGCGCCCGCCAAAGTCGTTGTGACCGCGGGTGGAGCAGAGCAGAGCAGAGCGCGACAAGGTCGTGACCGCCCGCGAAGAGGGCGGTGGCACATGCCGGATTTGGTGACCCCGAGTGGTCACGACGAATCCGCCTGAGAACGAGTGACCTTCTACGTACGCCCGCCATTACCCACCGCTAGGCACTCCCGGCGGAAAAACGCGCATTCGTTAGTCAAGGCCGGCCGGCCAGTCCACCCGCTGACGCCGACGAACAACGCTGCGAAAATCCGTACAGGATCGGAAGCACAGATGCCTAGCGTAAAAGCAGGTTTCACCGTCAATATCAAAATGGTCTACAGCCAGCTCACTTACGTTGAGTTGCGTGTCCGTATCATCCTTCACTAGCAGAGATGGTGTGACATCCTGTAGAAGCAAACAACAGGAGGCTCAGAAAAGATCGAGGGTGGCCAAAGCAGAGAGAAGAGTGGTGCACCAACGACGGCGACGAGCGAGGCGAGGTGCGCGAAGGCTATACTCGGCACTTCTGGCAGTGAATGACGCAGTATGTGCTGCGGCATGCACGGTGCCCATCTCCGGAGTATACATTCTGTATACTCCGGAGATGGGCACCGTGCATGCCACCGCAGATAACGGCAAGCTCACTGGCATAAACTGCACACGAGGGGGGCACCTCGTTGACCGGTGGCCGAGGCGACGTAGACGACTACGACACGACGTAGATGGGTAGCAGGGAATGTCGACGGTGACCCCGCGCCGGCAGGCTTTGCAAGTCCTTATTTCCGGCGGAGAGCGTACCATACGCCGCGTACGCGGACGGCGATCGTCGTTCGTTTGATCTATCCAGCTAACATGCTTTTGTGCAGGTGGCGTGACCTGGATTGCGCAGGTGGCGTGACCTGGATTGTGCAGGTGGCGTGACCTGGATGAGTGCGACGCGACAGACGAGTACGACGCGACGTAGATGAGTAGCGGGAACTTGTCGGCGGAGGCCCCACGCCGGCAGGCTTTGCTAACGACGGTTTCTGCGAGGGTGAAGTGCGCCGCGATCGGCTATTCATCTAATATGCCAACGTAAATATCGGCGGCGCAGCAGCTGCCAGTGAGCCGATGTCACGTACCGTTGGACGGCGATGCTACGCGACAACGGACGCGACGAGTACATAGACCAGACCTTCGCATGCAATGTCTACATAGGGCTTCGCCCTCAGTGACAATAAAGGGAACCAACAACAATAACGTACCGTTGGAGCCACTCTGTCAGTGCGTGAGCACAATGCGCAGTAGCCGGTCGGGCGACGGTTCAGTTCCGTGTCGGTATGTGACTGCGACCATCTTCCGTAGGCCCCTGAGGCATATAGAATATCAATGAGGGAAAAACGAGAAACTAGGAACCAGCTGTATACACACCGTGCCAGACTGTTGAGTGTCGGTGTGGGACTGTATACGCACCGTAAATTGGGTTGCTGAGTGTCGGTGTGGGACTGTGGCCGCGTTCCGCAGGCCCTTGTAAGATATTGAATGAGGAGAAATTGAGAAAAATCATGAAACAGCTGTATACGCACCGTGCTAAAGCTTTCGACGGATATGCGGGTCTGTAACGAAGGCAGGAGGAATATGCGTTCTGCGGCGTGCGGCGGCGTGCGGCGGGGGGCGTCAGCGAACATGGGATGCGTTGTTCGGATGGTAGCGGTGAATGGGCGAGTCACTCTTGTAGCGAAACTCGGGCCCTCGAACTGCGCACTATATATATTGCTCTAGATGTGAGCCACTCCGAGTCCATGCAGCATGATGTAAGCCGTACCAGTCAGGGTACAAAGGTCAGAGTACAATCGAAGGGAATTGCAGTGGCAGTGGCACTCCGACGCCACTTCGAGTACAATGAATCGAAAGATGAGTCAGTAAAAGACAAACGAGATAGAAGAGGAGAACTAAAGGCTCAGAGGTTGTAAGGCCTCGACCCTTACAACCTCGACCAAGGCGAATGTGGTTGGTGGCGAGGAGCTCAAGCGTGGATACGGTGCCCAACTCGCCGCCGCCGTCCGCATGAACCTTCCTCAACGCAAGTCGACCCACCAACACGCCCGGCATGCGTACCTAACATGCCTCATATTTCTCGTTGTCTATGCACGACGCAAATTTCTGACTGCGGCCTGCCAGTGCCAGGTAACACAGCAGACGATCAGCGTCGAAAGTGGGGTCCCCGAGTCCTCCGAGGATTGAGTCCCTCGCTGTCAGGAGCCCTTGTCCTCTTCCCCTGCCGTGCGCGAGACACACCGCGCATCCAATTGAGGGTCTCCGAGAGTTGAAGTTATCGGCGGACGCTCCGAGTTCGAGTCACCGGACAACATTAATATCACGGTTGTGTAGTCGATATTGAGGGCAGAGATCTCAAAAACGAGCCCCGACACCGTTGAACCGCGGATGAGCTGGTGGAGAGCATTGCACTCGACGATGAAGAGAACTTTTCTTCCACCAGCGTGTGAGGCTACACGGTATCGGCGTTTGAGGCTCCACCTCAAGTTGCTTCGGCGGTAGCGCCGGAGGCGGGGTTTTGGATTGGTGACTAGAAGTGAAACAGGGCGGGGCAGGCCGCGACTGGAAGAAGTACTTGACGTTGTTGACCATAAAACTCGAGTGCGTTCTTTTCGGCAGCCATTCTTCGGAAGAGGTTGTCAGGATGTCTGAGAGTCGCATCTTGTGTTATATCGCCGGGGATGGGATCGACCATGTCGACAGGGCTGTGCAAGTAAGGAAAGTCGTGTAGACGAGCACTGCGAAGGCGGAAACGGCGGGGCATCCAAAAGCCCAACAGGACTTTGTGTCTACATCAGTCTTTGTCAGGGAGGAAGGTACTGCGGGCACAAGCGATAAAAGAGGGTTTTGAACCATTTCTGCGGCGACGCTGGTAACTTCGCCTGACCAGGAAGGGTGCTGAGTCCGACTTGCTCTCGATATCCAGGCCATGCTCTTTGCCGCCGTCTAGGGAAACCCTCTTCCGATGCCATGTCGTACCTCCGCTTGGCAGCCAGACCCAGGGCACCGGAGATACTCAAGCCCGTTCGAGCGCAACATCGTGGCGAGTGGGCTCTTGAACAGGTCCTCACGTTTCAAGCTCGCGCGAGATCGTGCAGCCAGACATTGCTCGGAATCAACGTCGTGCAGTACATGGTCGACTTGCTGGCGTACCTGTGCAGAGGGTCGAGGGATACGCGTACAAGGATCGAGCTTCAAGCTTCAAGCCTCATGCATCATGGGCGAGAAGAATGCCTTAAGCTTGACAGATGTAGTGGATGAGCGCTGAGCTGAGCGCCGACTCAACGCGGCAAAGGAGGCCATCTGAGCTTGCTGCTTGTATCGGAAAGAGAGACTGCCAGAACCAGTACCTTGGCTCATACTTTCCCGTTACTCGGAACCTTCACAAGAATGAGGTACCCGCCCACATGGAGGAAAGCTCCAAAATACTTTAAACCCATGCAGCGCAGAGGGATGATGGACCACGTCCTGCGAGCCTAACAGCGCCAACGGCAGCCAGAAGCTCTGGGAGGTCTTGCGTCTGAATTGTCGGAGAAGATGCATGGCAGTCCTTCGACGAACCCACCGTAGGATATGAAGACCATCCGAGAAGTGATCAGCGATGATCGCCCCAGCCGGGCCTGCGTCTCGCTCGCACAATTCACAAGGCTCGCCACTAGCCGCATTGCTTCTCCTGCCCGTTCCACGACATCCCCTCCATCATGTATGAGAGCCCGGAGCCTGGTTCCTTACCGCCGGCGCACGAGATGGGCGTGTACTCGGATCGACGGCACTCTGGATCCTTGCACGCTTCGCGGGTCCTTGCATGCTTCGCCCTCAACTGGTCGATGAGCCACGGATACTTGCACTACACCGGCTTGATCAGGTAGTCGAGCAGCCGGAATCGTGTCGCCTGCTGGGACTGCTGTCACGAGAACATATTGCCATGCTCCTGCCCCGACTTCGAGCGCGAGTGCTCGCCGCCGACATGCTCAGAGCAGTTAGCAGTCACTTTCGGTAGCTCAGAGTGCGACGTGGAGGAAGGCATAGTCAAGGAAGAGGTCGAGTGCCGCCTTTTGGTCCACGTCCCTTCGACGATGGGTGAGTTCAATGGAGAGACCGTGGCAGAGGTCGGCATACCAAGAAAGCCGTCTATACCGTTCAACGTCTACGAGGGTTTCTGTCCTGGTCACAACGAAGCTGTCAGCCTGATCAGGAATATCCAGGAGAACTACTCACTCGAATGGGACGCGTATGAGCAGCGGTGTTCATTGCTCGTGGCTCACCAGTTCGACCTCGTGAACGCCCTGACAGACCCCCATTCAGATGGCCACGACGGCGACTGCAAAACAATCAGTCTCATTACGGTGCATGTAGTCAGCTAGAGGTGGAGCAAACTCACCCGTCACGAACGCTCAATCTGTCGACTTGCTTCTTCTTCCCTTTATGCCAGTGGTTGCCGGGGCCATCTTTTCCGTTGGTATTCTCCTTCTCACTGCTCTTGGCCTTGTGCTTTTCGAACCTCTCGAGGTGAGTAAATGGTCGAGGCCGAAGAGTCCTGACGGATGCAGCTTGCACATATAGTACTACCGGCTCAGAGACAGTTTATGGCGGTGGCAGACAGTTACCGACAGTGAGAACTGAGTACTGGACCGTTCAGTTCGGTCACGATAAGCACTCGAGCACAGACTCGGATGCATTCGTGAACAGTCCCTCCTCCTCCTCCTTGAAGCTACACAAAGATCAATTACGAGGCATGCTGTACCCTGAAATCAGGAAAGTGTCAAGGTTCCGAGGTTCCTGGGGACCCTGCACCAAGGATAAAGCCATCTAGTCATGGAATAGAGTCACTCCCATCAACACACATGAGCACTGGCAGACGAACATTCTAACACTCACGACAGTATGATCGGGCACGTTATTGTCAATTAACTCAGGGACAACATCATTATCCACCTGAATCGTCGCCTGTGTCACATCGTATGTATATATCATGTATGAAAGACGGACCTGTGGCGAGAACCCAGTGGCAGGGTTATTGGAGCCCACTGCCTTGGGATCGAGACGTTCTTCTTTGCCTTTCAGGCAATCTACCTCAATGCTGGATCAGCACAGATCACTACTACCGATATACAATCGCCTTGACGTACTTGAGTCCCCAGTGTTCCTGCACATTGACCTTCCAGCGCAAGCGCGCCCAGTGTGCAACCCACATTTATTGCAAGGGTGCGGCGTACTAGGTGACTGCAACTACACATATGAATTCCGTGCTGTCTGAGTCAAGAAAGCCCACAGCTATGAAAAGCGTAGAGTTGTAGACTGACCTTGCCCGGCGGGCCGACGGGGGAAACTCCAAGGTCGTCTACATTGTTGGGGTTGGCGGGAGCAGCTGGCTGGAGGTTGAGCGCGACCAAGTACACGGTTGGTAGTTCCGACGACATAGATGGCGATGATTTGGCAAATGGACGTACTAGGCAAATGATTTACAAGGTGTCTACGACTGGATGGTTGGCGCGCCATTGCGCCCGGGCCGGAGTGTCGACGCCTGACCTAAGTACTCATAATGCCGTCAACGTCACATGAGGGCAGCGCGAGCAAGTGAGCACTGGTATTTGGTCAGGAAATGGAGCATGAGACTTCGGAAAGGAGATGAGACAATCACTAAAATCAGCATTCACAATGGTACGGAACGGCAATATTGTACATTAACTGAGGACATGCATCAGTACAGTACCACTTGCGGTCATTATCATACAACGATGCATGCATCGACAAGAGAGGACTAATAGAGGAGTGTAGGGTAGCGTTATGTCACGACGGTTCAGCATCGGTACAGTATCGTGCACATGAGCGACTCGTGATTGTGAGGCGACGCAATTAGCATGGACTAGATTCATTTACCCATCGCTGACGGGTGGGATCGTCTGGCTTCGTGCCAGGATGTACTTGGATTCATCCCTCCCACAGCACAACGAAGGACTTCAAGAGGTCAAACTGAGCGGGGTCGGCAAGCCCGTTCGGGCTCAACGGTGCCCTGTCCGACAGATGTCGCTATCAACGTCAGAACCATGGCCATGATAAAAAGCCTAAAACCGTGGTGAGTATTGCCAACATGTATACCCAAGATAGCGCACAAACCAAGTTCAGCCTCAGGGAGCGGGCGAGCCTTACGGCTCCTATCCACATGGGACCACGCACGCACACGACCGCCGCGAACGTGCGCAGGTTATCCCTCACGGATTCGATCGCGGTGTTCCAGTCGCCAGCCGTATGGGTCGTCGGGAGAATGATAGGGTTTGACATTATATGCAGTGCCTTCAAAAGCCGTTCAACTGGCTCGCTGTGAACGTAACGAGTAGGGACGCCCAGAGGTATGGAGACGAGACCTAGAGCCAGACTGTCACCCCACTCAGCGCCGCCGATTCGCGTAACGCTAATTGCGGTACCGCCGACGAACACGAGGAGAATTTGCACACCGATCTCTGGTAACGAGACAGTCAACAAGACATCGAGCCCAGAGAGTAGACTGACCGATCAGCATGATCCCCATGTAAGTGGTAGTTCCGTGTGATGCCCTCGAAGACGTTCTAATGACTGTCCTATCGCCGGCCGCCTTCGGTGAACATGCCACACTACAGCGCGAATGAACGCGCCGTAAGGACGTTGTCGCCCGTGCACTGATCTTGACAGGGACGCCAGCCTGAAAACAGTCCGCGACAGCATCCCGTACACCCTCTCTGAGAAGGTCTTCGAGAGTCAGATCTTGTGCCATGTCTTCGTACTCGGCCTAAGGGTGAGAACGTGCGAGCTACATAGGACGAAACCAGGCGTAGTGCACTTACCTCGTCCTTCGCAGCATACGGCGCACGTGCAGGTGGCCAGGACTCGAAGTCACGATAGGGCAGCGCAGTCGCTCTCAGCTTCTAATTCGCATAGACGAAGATCGTCCGCGACACGTTATCCCTTGCCAGGTCGTCCATCTCCCTCGTGTCGACGCCAGTCGACTCGCTGCCCTTCTCAACCTGTACTCCTCAACCTGTATAATGCCTGTATACCCCGTACCTTCCGCGCAGAGATCTCGCTCGCACCTTTGAGGTATGCGCGATGCCCGCTGTCGTCCAGCTTGACGATGACGCCAATCGCCTGGCGCCAGCTCGAGAACAGAAACTCTGCATGACATCCGCGGCGTGTCGCGTCTTCCTGTAATCCGCCCAGCCAAGCTCCTTCACGAACGCCGTTAGTGGACCCACGGCACTGTCTGCTGGGTGACGGCAGCACGCATAAGCAGGGCCGATGCGAATGCAGGAGCACAGTGCACAACGGCAGCGACATTAGGGCTACGGGGTGGCGAACGTGATGGTAATCACGAGCGACAAGGGGGGAGGAGGGGTGTCGCGATGGCAGACGCACGGAAAGAAGGCGGGCGGGACGAGGGAGAGGGACGCAAGGGGGGTGCACCATCAGGAAGCAAGAGCACGATGGTAGGGATGTGAGGGGTGAGAGGAGGTATTACTTAGAAGGGACGACGGCGGGGAAGGACAGGGTGCACGGTAGGGAGACGGTGGTTTCTTTGGAGCAAGAAGGGAGCACCTCCACTTGCGTCGGCGGGTGGCATTTGTCACCACGGTGCGCGCAGGTAGGAGAATGGACGGACGCAAGACGGACGGTCTATTTCCGTCCTAATCCGACGTCACTACGCGCGCGCCCGTGATCCCAAGCCTCCATTGGGAATCTGCCGGTTCTCGACGCGACATACAGTATGGGTGCGTGCGGTGACATGCTTGAGGCGGCGACTTGGCTCGCGGATGGTGGTCGAGAGGTGATGGAAGTGTTTGGCGAGACCATCGTAGGGGAATAGTGCCGCGATATCAGTCAGTATCAGGACGTGTTCGCGCGAGATGAAATGCGTGCTAGACTCGGGGCGGCGTACGCCTGACGGCGTGAATGCCGGCGACGAGGGCCAGTTTCGATCAATAGTAGCAGGAAGGGAGGGAGGACGCACTGGTCACTCACATAGTGCGTCCACCGGCATGACCGACCACCGAGGTGGTGTGGCCATGGATGCGGCGGGATGGCGGGGCGGCCACTCATGTTATGCAGACGGGTTTTCGCGCGGCTGTACGTGCGCTCGTGCGTGCAAGATGGGATGCGTCGCAGGCTCGAGACGGCGACGAAGCGACGGTCGAAGCGACGATGGTGGACGGGGAACGAAGGAAAGGAAGGCTGTGACGGCGTACAGATCGGAGACGGCGACGTGAGAACGTGCATAGCGGCGAGGCGCAGGCGGTGAGGAAAAGTTGTGGCCGAATGGCGCGGAGCGACAGGGTGGCATGGGCTGGCGGTGACGACAAGATAAGGTGGCTCGAGAGTGGCGGGGACGACGGGCAGGGCAACGCGAAGGCCGCGGACAGCGGGACAGCGGACATGGTGACGTGGATGACAGGATGATCGACGATGAGGCCTTGAGCTTGAGCTTGAGCTTGAGGCCTGAGGCGACAAGGTTTGCCGGGCGAGAGGGCGCAACGGGACCGTTCATAGGCGTGATCGAGGCAGGGTGGTGCGAGCCGGCGGGGACGACGGGCAGGAACGGATAGGGCGGACGATACGACGGGCAGGGGGATGTGGATGATAGGATAGGACGACGTGGGCGACGGCCAGAAGCGAAGGTGGCGCGAGGGGACGGTGGGCAGGGTGGCGGGCAGACACGGGGCGACTTGAGAACGACGCGACTCAGGCGGCGCGAGGGACGTGGATGAGTGGGTGGGAGGGTGTGAAGAATTGTTAGAATCGATGACCCCAAGATTCTCATTGACGTACCTCGTTCTGCTTAGAATGGTACAACAAATCATGCGTGTTCGTATACGACCGTCGGAGGCAACGTTGCGCTAGCGCGCGGTACTTCGAATGAACGGACCATCGACCACCGCCTAAGTCAGTGTACAGGATGTTCAACATTCTTATGATACAAAATCGATGTAAACCACATGTATGCATATGTAAGGACCCTAGTGCTTTGCTGCTGTACGTTATGCCAGAACATAGATCGCCGTACTTACGTTTGTTGACTCTATGCACTCAAACCCTTTTGCCGCCGAAATCGTTGTTGGACGCCGCCAATAATCTGTTCATTACATGCCGTCCCCCGCTCGCTCGCTGACGCCCTTCCTGCAGCCTCTCGATGCCTTGGCCAATGCTTCGGATCAAAACCTCCACCGGCACGCGCTCACCGACAATCTGAGGTGCGGCCGAGCGGTCCCTCAGCTCCTCCACGTCCGCCGCCACCTTCTTGAGCACGTCGCGCGTCATGACCACATGGTCGAGAGCCTGTTTGCGATATTGGTCGACTTCCGCAAGGAGGGCAAGTCGTCCCTCGGCCTTGCGCAGCGCGTCGCGGTTTCCACCGAGAATCGACCATAGCTCGGAAAGCAGCTTTGCGCGCGCGGCACTCAGGGAGAGCCCCTCCCTCATGCAGATTTCGTGAATTGTGAGAAGGTGTTCTTGGAGCCTCTCGAGGTTTGCGGCGCTGACAGATGCCTCCAGGAGCGCGCGCTCAGTCTCCGCTGCCAGTGTTTCCATTACATCTCTGTATGACTGGACAATGACGGCCGGAGTGCCGGAGTGAAACGCAAAAATGGTAGCGATCCACGACAACGGACTGCCATCGACCGCCGCGGCAGATATTGTGCTCATGGCGTAATCGTTCATGGCCGTGATGCTAAATCGTGCGGTGAGCCAGGTGTTCTCCGACGTACGAGAGTCAGACTTACCGATCTACTGCGCCGTTGACCTTTGCATTCAGACTATGTAATCCTTCTCCTGTCCTCTTCGCATCCTCCACAAACTGCATCAGAGCTCCTGCGAGCATGTCTCGACTGCGCAGGTCACTGACACGCACGAGCGTGACCAGGTCGCGCGTCGCAATCTCCGCCTGCAGGAGCTTCGTACCTATTGCGCCCGCGTCCGCGTTTGTATCCAGGAGGCCCCCAAAGTTGCCATGCAGCTCGATCAATTTGTCGAGGTCCGCCAAGTGTGGCACTTTGTTCACGGTGGGTGAGAATGTTGTGCGATGAACGCAGAACATGGTGGTTGAAATGACTGGAACCAAGCAAAGGGGGGAAAGCATATCACCGATCTTTCCAACGACGTAGTTACAAAGGACCGCCAGGCCCATAACAAAAATAAGGACACCCAGCGGCTTCTTGAACAGCCAAAAGGCGGTTTGCAGAGCGTCCCCGATGTAATAAGCAGCAGACGAAGCGCCGGAGACAATCATCCGCTGTGCCATCGCACGAGCCGGGACGACGACCTCTTCGCGTATTTTGACTTCAGGTTCAGACGCCACTGGGCACCGAGACGAGATGAGCAAGGGCTGTTCGGAGTGCAGTTCTGCAGCAGTGTCTGCCTCCCATGCATGAGTGGCCATGAGGACAATGAGAACGAGGACGAGAGAGTCGGAGAGACACAGAGGAGCCGGGCCTGACATGTCGGAAATATCACGTGTCGGAAACGTAATTCGCTGTGTTCACTCCTACCTCCTCCTCCTCCTCCTGAGACCTCCTCCGCACTCGACTTAAAGCTTAAAGCTTTGTAGCTTGATCGATTGATCACTCGCGCGCGTCCTTCTTTGCTACACTTTCGCTCGATGCTGCATGCTAGAGCTCCAGCGCAGGGTGTGTGCGTCTCTATCTGGGCACCGACACAATCATCTTCATGCCACACTTCGCACGTAACTCCGTGAGCCAGGATATTCGACGCTTCGCTTGGTGTAAGACTCTTGAGCCAGGGCGCCACAGCCAGGTGGGTCTGATGATGCCCCGAAGGTTACTACTACACGGTTCTGACGACGCATCGTCCAGGCTGGAAGTTCTACCTCACCTTCGCAATCTGCGGCTTCACGAACACGAACTTCTTCTGGGGCACCCCCTCTCGAAGGTACGTGCCTCCTCCGACTCTCCTCCACATCATCCTCACACGGCACGACACAACAGGGCTGAGGCGGAGCTCTGTGAGCGCAAGGTGCACGTCTCGGGTGGACCAGTTGACAAGATAGATAAGGAGGAGATCGAAACGTGAGGGCTCGGATGTTCGGGATGCGGCGGTCACCCTCTCTGCTCGGATTTGTGAGTATGGTGCACGATCAGCCCCTTGCACTCTGAACGTTTGAACCCCAGGGTAGATTTAATACCGGGCACACGACCTGAGTACTCAGTCTGAGTGCTGAAGAGCAGGCACATATAATATGCAGCGTGTACTGTCGTAGTTTGCGCTTTGTGTACATTCGACAAGCCGCACCGCCGAGAGGTTCACCGGCACCGCCCAACGCTTTGAGGCGATCTTCGCCCACACGACGTCAGCTTTTCTCGCTTCACAAGGACTTCCGATTATCCCACGCTTTAGCGTAACTGTGCATTTTACCATTCCGCTTTCGTTCGACCTAAGGAAAATCGACGCAAATATCTATAGTACAGGATGGGCGCCTGCCTAGGGCCTGTTGGACGATACTATACAGTGTACTGCTGACTTGAGACACCGTGCACTCATGCCGTAACTACTCAGAACGGTATCGAGCCAAGCAAAACCACCCAGTAACTGCGCCGATACCCAATATGACGTAGAACACTATGACTGAACGGTGGACACCACGGAGGTGATCAGGGCGTATCGGCTTCTGGTTGAAGCTCTGCTGTAAGAACTTGTACAAGTCGACCAGCTCCCCTTCCAGCAACGCGGCTTCATGAGTTGTGGTCACGTTGTTATATTCGAAGCATCTGTTCAGCCTCCAAAAATCCGGGATGCTGGTCAGCTTGACTTCGAACCATCTATCGTCTGCGACGAGCCATCGTAGACACAGATTAGGCTGGGGTCGAGTATCAGCACATTGATATAGAAGTATGTCAAGGTTCAGATAGCACCTCGTACGCCACGACTTTCGTCTTCTCGGACAGCACCATGGGGATAGATTCGTTGAAGTCGCCCGTAGCGACCGTGATGGCGTCTGCGTTCTTCTTGTAGGTCATAGCAGAAGAGCGGAAGACGATAATGACTCACAACGACCACATGGAAGCCGCCCAAACATCAACAGCCCGGGCGCGTCGCCATCAATATGCACATCATTATCGAGGCTTTGTCCCGCCTCCGTTGTGATACTGAAGTCTACGACTGGGCCGCAGAACATGACTGTGGCACCTCTATGAAAGCGCAACGGTCCGTCAGTACTTAAGACAGACGCAAGACAAGACACGAACCGAGGGATGCTCGTCCCAACGGTGGCAGGAGCTAATGCGGAGAAGGCCGTCCGCATGTATGAAGGTAGCGGCTTGCAAATCTTCGAGAGCGACATGTGAGGCAGCGGTGAAGGGACGACGGTGGAAGCCCAACATAGGACCTACTTAAATACACCAACAGTAGTACGGATATAGCATGCTTTGTGCATTGTAGACGAGACTTGGCATGCATTGTCAGCCATGAACGCACTTACTTGAGTCGCGCTATGGACGCGTTGTCCACAGCAGACAATGACTGCGAGCCGCGACTTGTCACGAACAAAGGCAAGGGCATGCATGGGAAATGCGGAAGAGAAGGCGACAGCCACGAGCAACGACGCGGGCCATTGATTTGAGGCAACGAAACACTAACTTATTCGTGCTACTCGACGATCAGCTGATCGGTGATATCCGGCAAGGTCGTTGGACGTTGAATGCCGTGGGACAGACTAACGGAATGGATGGGCCCGGGGTAGCGAAGACGGGAAGCACAGACAGAGACAGCGAAGAGCTCTGTATATGGCACGAAAGTGTAAGTATTAGAGAACAGACGGAGAGATGATCTGGAGGAGGGTTCCCAAGGCAGATAGCTCGGACCTCGTATACGTAGCTTGCATAAGACTAGTCGCTTTTTTTTTCTACCGTCACTACGCTGCGTCGTTTACCGCCATGGAACGGGATCTAACGCACTTGTGACGACCGACAACTCACCACCACCTTCAGCAACCTTACAGCTGATGCGAGCGGTGCTATTTGCGTTCGCGACCCGGACAAATGCGGCACTCTGCTCCTGGCCCTACAGTCGGTCTTCCGGTTGGTCGTAGGCGCGCCGATGCAGTCGAGGATACGATATGAGTTATAATGGTAGAGTAAATTACATATCTATTTTGTGGCAACTGATAGAGCTCATGCACCTTCGCAAAATTCTCCGTGTCAGTCAATGGAAAGTGCCATACGTAGAACCAGACTTACTGGGAGGCCTGATCCGCCGTCGAGGCTTCGGACGGGGCCGTAACTCTGTTAATTTGCGAGCGAGTGTGTCTGCATCCTCTTCGCCCATACTAAAATCGGGCCCCCTCTGCAGTATGGTGAAAATCAGTGATGGGAGCTACAGGTATGTCAATGAACGATACAGACCTCTAGTTCTGAGTCACTCATAGAAAGCCCATCCTCTCCCCAGTCCGAAGGCACTTCTCCGTAGGGATACCATTTTCCCTGATGGTCACCGGCATCCAAACCCCATTGCTCGTAACTCGCCGGACCTGCTTCGGTCGAACTCTCGAACAACCGTCGCTCGAACAGAGATACACACTCGCGATCAACGTCATGTGTCTCCGACTCGACCGTGTTTTGCTGATATTCCCAAGCTTTTTGAACAAGGAAGCGATGTCCGCCGGCGTCTGTGTGCAGACTCGCGAAGCCGGGATGCTGCAGGAAGAGGTGTTTGTTGCGAGCCAGAAGCACTAAGGTGGTAGCATGCCCAGTGGGAATACAACCAAGCCACACGTGAATCTTGTCTTGCGCACGAGGAACCTTGTTGTATATCCAATTGATGATTTGGCCATAGTCCATCACGCTGAGGCCGCCTCTGTCTGCGATGACGCCGGACTTCAGCGCTGCTGTACCCCGTCCTCCTCCTCGGGCATCACGCACAGCGTTAAGGGCTGGGATATCAAGATCTATCGCCCTAAGGTCAAACCCGGGACCACAGCTCGACACATCTATCAAGGTTGCCAGAACACCGCAATGCGGCGTCAATATTTGGTCGATCTCCGCTGAGAACGGAAACGAAGTGGGATTGAGGAGGAGGTCTTCATCGTCTTCGACTCGACATGCGAGCTTCCACCGACCCAGCTTTTTGATCAAGTAATGTCAGACGAAATCGGATGTTGGAGATAGAGTACTCACCCGAATAGATCTCCGAGCGTCCCTATCACCCCATAGCTCGTCCACGAGCTCCGTCTCAGGGACTAGTGCAGTGAAATCTGGAGGACCTACGGTTTGAACGAAGATACAATAGCGCCACCAGACTACCTGCCACGCCCTAACCGGACCGCTGTGAAGCTGGAGTAGGCGGACAGGGTACCAAAACTTTCCGTTCCGTGCAAGCGCACCTTTTCCAGCACTAATTATTTGTAAGCGGTTTTCATTCAGAATGCAAAGGCTGCAAAATTCTTACATCAATCGACTGCTCGTGGAGACCTGAGAGCCGACTCTTTGTTTGCTGATCATTTCGCGACAGTCAAGATTTTGGTTACGAGTTAGGTGGAATGCCCGTCAGCGACATGAAAGTTCAGCATGTGATGTATATCCTTACTTCAGACTGGGTAAGTCGTTCCCAGAGCAGATGTCGCATGTGAAGCTCTCGGACGGCCCGAGACTACTCGCTCGTCCTCCTCGCTGACATGCAACATGAGACCAATAGTCGCAAAGTTGACACACCAGTTTGGGTAGGTTGTCGATCATCAACTGTAGGTCACCGTGTACGCCACATCTACATCGGAACAGGGTCGGTTCACCGGCTCGAATGGCCTGGGTATCATCAAGGCTGGTAGGATTGTCTTGTGTGTCACTATTCTGCATCGCAGTATAGGCTGTCGACTCGACCATCGACTGGAGCCGTAGCCAAGAGATGAGCCGAACAAGCAAACCTGAACAAGTGCAGGATTGCTCACTACGCCAGAATGCCCTATCTTGTCCGAGTCTTCGGTAACACCCTGGGGTTCTTCCGCACGATTCGCAGGACTTATGACTGTCCTGAGCCCCTTGGATGATACTTGAGCGTCGTATTCGTACGTTCCACCACGCGAAGGATTGTGAAGCCAAAAGCGATCGCGGTCTGGCACGGTGATGAATCCAGGCTTTTGCAGCGTAATTTGCGGGAGAAGGTGAGGGGTACCGCGGAGGATCTGCAGTGAATGGTGGCGCTCAATGCTCGATTTCTGATGAGAGAGAAAGCCCTCCTGCGCGCGCGTTCCTCCTCGTAGATGATACACAGCGGAATGTGTATGATAACCATGAGTGGGGCTATCATATAAGCCCGCAAGATCGTCGACGCCGCCGCTGCTTACGTACTGCTTGATACCTTTCGCCGCAAGCCCGTCGTACTCGATCACATGCGACTGTCGAGAGGAGGAGACGAAGCGACAGAAGAAGTGATGCCTGGCCGGCTCATAGAAAATCCGTCCCACGAGATCATACTGCGGCCCGGGAAGGTCGTCGCTATGCGGTCCACACTCCTCCTTGTAGTGCGGCGGGCGTAGAAACGAAGGAAAATCCCATATCTTCCCCGTTGCCGTACCTACTTCGATGACAAGCATAATGGGAAGTACGAAGTGCAGTTCTGCAAGCTGTGCCTGCCCCTTGCAATAGAGTGAGTCGTTGCGTACCCTCCAGCAGTCACGCTCGGGTTCGGGTCGGCAGCTCGTATCGAGGAGACGGTGAAACCAAGACGATGCTGAGCCCCCACACTTCCTGTAGTCTTGATCTTTGAGCTGGTAGTAGAATCTCGGACGTGGGGCCTTGATCTGGTGGTGTTGGTAGGTGTCAGATCTACCCGGCACGCCGGAGCATGAGCGCAACGTAACGCTGTAACCCTGGAAGTACGGCTGCACATCGTCTTGCTTCCCACTGGTTTGGGGGCGAAGGAGACCGTCTAACCAGCCCTGAAAGTGTATCAGCATCAGCCATGCAGTAAATAATCTCAAAAGGACGGACACTCACAAAGGCTGGTTCACACGAGTTCATGGACCGAATTAGCCCGCGTTCGACAAGCGTCTTTCGAAGGGCATCCCTCTGGGCAGACAGAACGGTAGCGATGTCACCCGGGTGACGGCTCAAACCTACGCTGCGGCGCTGGTTGATTGCTTCGTACACTGGATGCGCAGGGTGTGGAAGGCAGCGCGAAAACGAATTCCAGTCACGCTGTACTGTCTGGAAGATTAGCTCGAGGGACGTATCGAGCCAGCACGAGTTGTCACGCCAAGGATAACCTTGGCGGTGTGTTCGTACTGCAGTCAAGGGGTAGAAAGCAGGCTGTGAGACGCTAACAGAGTTCTCACGTTCTAATTCCAAGTTCTCCGCTGTGCTCCTTGGTGAGTCTCCACCGTTGATGTCGTATGGGTACCGTGACACTAGATCTTCATATTGGATATTTGTGTTTGTTTCGCTTCCTTCTAACTGTTCGTCCCAAGCACTTCTCGTCAATTGAACGTCGCTCAACACTGGAGTCTTGCGTAGAGTACGCGTTTCACCCGAAAAGGCTACGGCTCTTTCTGTGCATGGTGATTCTCGTGTGTATAGGTCAGAGCGCCGCGGGAGCTTGATGAACGAGGATACTACTCACCTTCTCTGATACCATCTGCCTCCGTAGTACCTCGAGTTTGCCGCCCTCGCAGAGATGATATTCGGGCAGGATACATGAACTGACCGTCTACCCGACGGGTCGATAGCGTGACCATGTTGCTATCGCTCAGCCGGCCAACGGTCGGATTCATGGGCTGAGCGTAGACTTGAGGCGCCATCAATGCGGCCATGCCGGTGTCCGTTAACGTCTCAACGGTCGAATCCCTCGACTGGGCATCAATTTTAGGGTGCAGCGACGCGAGTGTATCGCCGTCGATCGGCGAACAGACATTCAAATCCATCAGCTCAGCGGAGGCTCGAGGAGCCAGTAACGCTGCCATGTCAGGGTCAGGCAACATTTCAGCGGTTGACCGCGCCGATTGAGGACCGATCTGTGGGCGCAGTGACGCATTGTCAATCAACGAGCCGGCAGTTAGGCCTATCAGCTGAGCGTAGGCCCGAGGGGACAATAACGCCGCTATATCGGTGTCGAGTAGCCTTTCAACAGTCAAAGCCGTCCACTGAGTGCCGATCTGAGGGAGCAGTGACGTAGGTGTATAACTCGACAAGCCGGCGGCAAGATCCATTCGCTGAGCGTAGGCTTGAGGGGCCAACAACGCCGCCATGTCGACGTCCGTGTCGACCGACATTTCGGCACTCGAACCCGACGACTGGCTGCCAATCCGAGGGGACAGTGACGCCGACATACTGGTCGACGAACCGACGGCAAGGTCCATTCGCTGAGCGTAGGCTTGAGGGGTCAACAACGCCGCCATGTCGACGTCCGTGTCGACCGACATTTCGGCACTCGAACCCGTCGACTGGCTGCCAATCCGAGGGGACAGTGACGCCGACATACTGGTCGACGAACCGACGGCAAGGTCCATTCGCTGAGCGTAGGCTTGAGGGGCCAACAACGCCGCCATGTCGACGTCCGTGTCGACCGACATTTCGGCACTCGAACCCGTCGACTGGCTGCCAATCCGAGGGAACAGTGACGCAGATATACTGGTCGACGAGCCGACGGCGGGGTCTGTTCGCACAGCGTAAGCTCGAGGGGTCAACAACACCGTCATGCCAGCGTCGATCAACATTTCAGCAGCCAAGCCCTTCGACTGAGGGCTAATTTTATAGGGGAATGGCGCATGAATAACATCGTCGTTTGGAGAGTCGACAGCAGGATCCATCAACCGGGCGTAGCCTCGAGAGGCAAGTAACGCGGCTGAGTCATCGTCGAGGCCGCTGGTACCAGGCGACAGGTCCGCAGTGTGTTCCGAAGCACTGCCCATTCCAAATGCTGAATAACAGGTGTTTCTTTCAGATTGAACAACACGGGACAGCGGGTCGTCGGTGTCCGTTGAAAGGTGGGTTGCGTTGGCCGACAGGTCGCCTGAGTCATGCTGCGAAATCGAGAAAGCAGGGAACCCATCCGCCACGGGCCATCCGCCAGCCGAAGACGGTGAATAGTGAACTGCCTTTTCAGTACCGTCTGGGGGCCATAGATCGGAAGTACCGGCGTGCTCAATATCAAGCTGCGATTCCACGGGGTCGACATGCGAGAACGGCATGGTGTTCATGTCATCACAGCTATTGGGTAGTAGGCGATCCTCGGGAAATGAGACGGGTCCAAATGCGTCGTAGAGACGCGTCGCATCGTGCCCTTCCTTGTCTCTGTCAGAGGGCGCCAGCCACTGAGAGGGTCCTAGTGGCTCAAATTGCCCTGGTTCAGCAATATCGTAGATGCCATCGCACTGTGCGTTCATTTCCAGCACGCCCACGTCGTCTTGCTCGATGTCTGGCTGCAGTAGCGGTCCCTCGGCGCCGGTAATCACGCCGCTAAGTCGCTCCTCATCGCCCTCCATGTCAACGTCCCATGGGCTGGAAGAAGTGCGGTCGGCAGTGGCTATCTCTGAGAGGAAGAACAACGAACCTTACATCCCGAGACTGGATCGTCCGTCTGTCTCGCTGCATATAGGCACCCAAATCTTGTAGTGGGGAACCATGTTCCATACGTGCCGGGCCAAGCAACGACTTGTTCATTACGGACACCTGGGGGGTTCCCATGACCGTCCGTTTGCACGAATGCACCCCCGTGCGATCGGTAAGTACAGTGAGAGCAGATCTTTCCATTCCTCTGCGGTCGCCCGCGCCCTTCAGATGTAGGGATTTGGCGAGAGACTGCCAGCCCAGTCGGATTCTGTCGATGATTCCAGGGGACGTGGCGCTACCTGACAGGAAGTATTATCGACACTGATGAAAGGGACTCAGTTGCTGTACAACAGTGGCTGTCACAATGGACGTTTTCGCGGGAAATGACGCACTTACGAGTCGCAACTCTGGTACAGTCACGTGATATATTTTCATGCCGAGGCTCGAGTCTCCACGTGCTACCCTACATCGCTGCCTCAGTGCCTACCCATTACTTTATAGGCCTCATGATCGCACTCGACGAAACCACCACTGATCTGCCTGTCGTACTGTAATGTGGTGGGACTGCATATTAGTACACCGTTTACTTATCGCGGTTTATAAATGCTCATCAATGAGTATCCACGCGCGCGCTTTCCTTCAGGCCAGCGTACCACTCCCGTCACTCCCGTTACCATGTGCACACATGCCCACAATGTGTCGTGTTTATAATAATGCTAACGAAGCCTCTGCTGCCCATGATGAACCGATCAGACTCGACGAGCAACCTCACATGATCATGCCACTGGGTGTTCTCTTGATCGAGCCTCGGGAGACGAGATGATGTCCCTGAAGACCTGCGACATGTAAGGCGCGTCGTCGAAGGAGACAGAGCATTGGTCGCAGGCCGCAAACTGCTTCAGCCCGAGCGACCGTACTGGTATAGGCGTCCTCGGGAGTTGTCAATAACACGTTTGCGCCGTGCTTACTCGCCGAGAACTCTGCAAGTGTTCCCGCAGGTTCTGAGTGGTACGCCCCCATCGCATCGCCGTGCCCTGAGTACGACGCGGGCGTAGGGCTTCCCAGGTGCCACGCCCGGTGGTAACAGCCCTCTGAGTCTCTGCACGTGCGTCGTGCGCCGGCAGGACGGCCTATCCACAAAAGACGGCTTCGTGCTTCGCGGGTTTCCATGCTGTACAGCGTACCCCTCTTCCCCGTCCTCCTGATCGCACATGCCATCGACCCGGCAATAGATGCCGTCGACAATCCGCGCACAAGGGGCGGGACCGTGCGTCAAGGGCCCGTCGAGCGTCGAGGACAGTGCGGGGCGTCTTCAGGTAGGCGGGCGGGCGGCTCCACTTATCCATTTTGATTGATCGCGGGCCGCGACGAATATCAGCTTGCGGCTATCGAGTACAATGTTTGCGCCCGGGTATCAGTGTTCGGGAGCGGATATCGCAGCGTTGGGCCACGGCACTTGTACCTCGCATAAAACCACTGCGATGCAGCCCCTATTACCCGAGAGCTCCTCCAAAAAGGATCTGACGGCGGCCTCTTCGACATATCATGCCAGATGCCATGTGCAAGAACAGCGCATGGCAGTCACTGGCGAGAAGACAGGCCGGGGGCAGGCGATGCTCGGATGCGGGCACGCGGCGACAGGCTGAGTCCAGGTGAGCGAGTTGTCGAAGACAGACGATAGACACGGACAACACGAGTGCCGTGCTGTCGACAGCAAAGGTTTGCGCATGCGGTGCGGCGACGTGCACGGGATCGAAGATCCCTGTGGGTGGCACTGGCATATATGTGTGCCCACGGCTCAAAGGCGGGTAGACCATGACCGAGTGACGCCATTTATGCCTGCTCCAAAGCCGAGGTAGTGTTGGGCAAGCCACGCTACGCTTCACGGTGTCGGAATGCAAGGGGGAGAGAAGCACCGGTCAGTGAACACGCACCGGAAGCTGTCTGCGATCGCCAAATACTCACCGTCCTTGCGCGAGGCGCTGCAGCACATTCTGGATGTCCTTCCCGTCGCCGCATCCAGCGCACTATACCAGCAGCGTGAGACAGAGCCTACCGCAGCAGCAGAACCGCCCTTACCTGGTAGCCTCGTCACAGGAGGATGGAAGCAGGGTCCGCGCGATCGCCGCATGCTGGTTCTCTCCCGGGCTCATCCTGACACCGCGCCCGCCTATCTCAGTGCCATATCCATCAATCTTTGGTGTCATACCCATCCAGGAAGCTCATGGCCCGCTCGCGCACATGTGGCCTTCGCGACTGCCTCAACCTTCTCTGACGCCGCACCGAACCTACTATATCTATGTCATCATCAGCCCCGGCACCTGAAGTAGATAGAAGCCAAGACCATAACTCACATTGTGGGCGATGCTCGCGTTCAGGAGGACACTATCTTGAAGATGACTCCAATAGCCTCGCGCAAGCCCAGCGGGGTCACGTCTCAGACATCTTAGCCGTCAATCGGCCGCGCCCGTCGCCCTCCTCCAGGTCGTAGAGCCATGCGGTAGCCAGGATGCCGTCGGCCGGCGAGCGCGACGGACGAGCCTCGGGGACATTGAACGAGCGCCTGGTTCCGGCCGTCGTAATACGAGAAGCTGACGTTCCCTGCGCTCAGCGTCATGCACAGGCGGGGTCAGCGGAACCTCACCAATTGCGGTCTCGACGGTCGTGATGGTCAGGTCAGGCGCGTTCGGCTTGTCGTGCACGCCCGTCGGGTGGTCGGTCAGCGTTCAACAGCTTCTCAGTGTCGACCACTGTCTGGTCGATGTACCGGTATTAGACCGTGGCATGATATAGGGACCGTAGAGCTACGCATATAGTCAGCCAGTCACTTCGCCAGGCGACGACGCGACGACGCGCATAGTCGACTCACTGTGATTCGATGTTCAAGCTGCGCGTTGGCTGAAGCTTTGAAGGTCTGAAGCTAAGCTTGAAGCGCTGGACGGTGCTGGTGAGCGCTGAGCGCTTGAATGTCCGTCACCCGTCCGTCCCCCGACCGTCCTCGACCGTCCGCTAGCGCCCATCCAAGCAATCGCAAACAGACATCCGCCGCATTTGACTGTCCTTGTTTAATCTATGGCAGCAGTGTTGGGTCACTGAGTTTCGAACTTTTTGTCCTACGCTCTAGTCAGGCATCCCTGGCGAGGAGCTGCGTTTTCGTGCTTCTCGGCATCTCCTGAATTTCCGAAGTTGATCTCTATTCCATTCCGAGGCGCTTCGTACCAGGAAGGTGAGCAATACCTCCGCGCTACCATGCCTCTCGTAACAAAGCCGTTTGTTCGTCGCGTCTGAAATTGATGCGCCTCACTGACAGAAGATGTCGTCCGAATTCACACCCAGGTGGAAAGCGACTGACCTACATAACGATGCCATCAACTCCATCGCTATCAGCCCCGATGGCAAGTACCTAGTGAGTTGTAGCTCAGACTGTCGCATCGCGATCTGCTCCTTGGATACTGGAGCAGTGCTACATCGCATAGTCACGAAGTCCGCTGTCTTGTCTCTGGCTTGGACGGGGGCCCCGGACGTGTTCGTCTCTGGCACGGCGGACGGTACATTGCTCACGGTTACTGTGTGCATCGTAAGTTGACCATGATTTACTGTCGTCGGTGTGACCTAAGAATAATGCCACCAGTCTTCTGTGACAATCTCAGGCTTCGAAGGGCACCGCAAACCCATCGAATGTCTGGCCGTCAATCAGGCTCCTGTGCAGGCCGGAACCAGTCCTGTGCCATATATTCTGGCTTCCGCAGCGCATGAATCGGTAAAAGTTTGGCCATGGGAAGACACGGGTGGGTTTCGAACGACGACATATTATCGTGTATTGACAGGGTTGTCAAGGGTGGGGATGCGGCGAAGCTTTCCAACCGCCCCGCGCAAGCGCTTACAATGGCGACGAGGAGCCGCTTGTAACATCGGTTCAATGGCTCCACAAGGACAAGCACGCTGATAACAAGCTCGTCATTGCCTACCTGCATCATGGTATACAGTACGTGTGCTGCCATTCATTGACTCCGTGCTGATTTGCGGCCTTCCTCCAGCTGCCACCATTACGAGAAAGGCTCCTCTAGGGTACTATGGGTCATACACACCCCGCTATGGTGCGTTGTCAAGCACATACACGTCTCTTTGTTTGCCTGATAGTCTTCTGTCAGTGGAGCATGTGCGGTATCTCCTACAGGAGATAACCTAGTCATCTCGAACATAGTGAAGGGCTTTCAAGTGTACGAATTACCTTCAGCATCTCATCGTATGCATGTGAACATCGAGGATAAGCCTGATTGGCTCGTATCGCTTCCCGTCAAATATGCTGTTGGTGGTGCAATGTTATTCCATGGAGATTACGGCGGCAAAGTGAGATTCATCGACAGCGACCAAGGGGAGCACTTCCAGACACTGTATCACGAAGGTAAGCTCCGTTCATGCGCTTCGCATGCATCCTGGGTGATGACTGTACTGCTGCCTAGGCTGGGATGTTATTCAGGCACTTGCCGTGTGTACGATCTATTTTCACTGTTTTTCACTGACCTGAATGTCTGGCTTTCAGGTCTTTGACGACAAGACAACAGATAGAACCTTAGTTGCATGTGGGAGTAGTAGCCCTAGTTGTGTCAACGGCATCTGTGTCTGGGAGGCTCATTAATAATACCGAATGTTCGCGGGGTTGGAGAGACAGTTAACTCGCGCATGCAGTCGACGAGTTGATACTTAGCGGATGCCAGGCTTGGGTGTTGGACGGTAATGGTCTGTGGGTTAGGTAGGCCGACGAATACAGCCGGAAACATGCTGGACTCGAGATATGATTCGATAGTATGCTCTACTCGACTTGCTTGCATGCGTGGTCGTCGTGTCGTTGAAGCTCTCAGGAAGTGGGAAGAAGCGGTTTCATCTGTGAGATTCATAGGAGCGATATGGCCCTCTATGTGTACATGCAACGAGTGATGCGTTGCCGTCTCTCGCTCGCCATCCCTGCCGCTTGTCGTGCCTCTCGTTCGCTGTGCCTCTCGTTCGCCGTCCATCTCGTCCGCCGTCCACCATCTCGTCCGCCGTCCACCACCTCGTCCGCCGTCCACCATCTCGTCCGCCGTCCACCATCTCGTCCGCCGTCCACCATCTCGTCCGCCGTCCACCATCTCGTCCGCCGTCCACCATCTCGTCCGCCGTCCATCTCGTTCGCCATCCCACTTTCTGAGACGACCGCCTGCTGCTGTTGCGCGAGATGTTCACGTCAGCTCGCGGTGCCGCTGTCCTGCACGTACGTCTGTGACCATTGTTCGAGGTCGAACTGGTCTAACGCGAGTAAGCGTTACGTGAGCATTCACGGCATCAATGCACTTACAGGCAGGCACAACCACTCACTCATCGGGTTAGAGACGGGCGTGGTTGCTGGACGACGTGTCCGAATCTTGGTGTCGCGTAGCGTCGTTGACGTCGTGCTTGCCCGGACACGTTGTGGTCGTCGGGCTGATTGTAATGCCGTGCGGACGAACGCCGGCTGTTCGCAGAACGTAACGCAGTGTGCATCGCGGCGCGGAGTGGCTGAAGGTAAGACTAGGGCACAGTCTAGCTGACTTGGGAGTGCTAGGTGGACTCACGACGACATCGCGGGTACTGCTGGACACCGCCGTCGCTCGTCTCAGGGTACTGGTGCAGTGTGTCAGCAGGGTCCCTCAAGGGTATGGAAGACACTCACCGACCTACCATGTGATGCTGCGCATGCACTATTGCATCGTCCACGCTTGGGCGACGGGAGGGGGGACAGAGAGCATCTTTCATGGGGTAGCGCGACGCCGTGCGGATGAGGATACCGCCCCGCGGCCGATGCAATGCGAAGGATTGACAGAGAAGACAGAGAAAACTTGAGACGCGCGTGAGGCTCCTGAGGACGCATGAGAGACGAAAATATGGTGTGAGGGAGAACAGTCGCCGAGATGAATTGATTCAATTGAATGTATCACTGGGGGAGGACGAAGGGATGTAAACCAAGACGAGACGACGCACATTGTAAGAGGCGGACGATCACACGCGTGACGCCTCTGAGCCGACGATGAAAGACGCATTGGGCGGGCATCGTGAGCACGGGATTGTGCTGGCGATGTCTCGCAGTGTCTCGAAGCCTAGAGACAGTAGGCGCCTCAGATGGTGCAGGAGACTGGTGGCACGAATGCTAGTATGTGAGATGGAGCAAAGATGATGCGGGAGCTAATATTAATGTTGAGAATCGTGATTGGCTCACTCTCCAGGTAGTCCCCGAGAAATGGAGGAGGAGGGAGGATGGAATTCCCGTATCGTGTAATGACGACTTCTGCAACATACTCGGGGAGTGGTCGTCAAGCAAGTCAACTGGCGACGATGAGGATGGATGTGGCTCGTTAGTATAGTCTGTGTACGGCACGGGTACGTACGCAGGTGTCGAGCTGCGGCGCGTGGCAGCGTGCGACGCGAACGGAGAGTACTAGGCGATTGGGACTCAATGTCATCATCGCGTCCTGACGTCGTCATTCTCAACTGCCTCGGCGCGCCAGTCATGGCGCGCGATGGGGTATGCTGTCCAGCACTGAAGTACTGACGGTCGGCGCGGCGACTGGTGCTGCGGAGACGCGCGCCGTGGCAGGAAAGTCGCGGTAGTCCGGGTCGTGCGCGTGAAGGTCGCCGTGGCGGTCAACGTACTAAATAGGCACTCGTCTAGCCCGTGTGCTAAGTGCGTAATATGGCGGGTCGGGCTCGTCGTCGACGCGCTCGAGGAGGAACCACTCACGTGGGCCGGTTCTAGCAGCCAGGAGATATCCGCGGCGCGCATGCAGGGTGCGTACATGGAGGTAACGTTCACGTACTCACGCAAACACTCATGAGCGCTCGCTTGCATGCTCGCCCCCTGGGCGCAACCCGTTTACGCATAAACGCGTGCGGCGCACTTGACGGATCCATCCGTGAGAATCCTACGTCAATTAAACCACAAATAACAAGCCGACAGGTCCGCGACAGCATTCTACAGGGGAGCAACATATATAGTGCCTGATACCGGATACTAATCACTCTGCTCCGAGTCCGACATGACTGCCCTCCTCCTGCAACTCAACTGAGGATGTCTCCGGATTGATGGCAACGACGGTGACGTCTGCGAGATTGATCAGTAAGCTATAACACACCATGCCGAAGAAGGACGACTGACCCCAGATGAGAGTCGAGTTAGGCGCCACAAAATGCTTATTTACCATGCGAGAGTGCGAACCATATGCTACATTCGGCGGCGTCACCAAAATCTCGCGCTGCCCTACCCTCATGCCGGCCAATTTGTGTTGTACGACTGGCAATAGGTTCTCTTGACCCAATTTTATCGTCATCTGGGTATCTGGTTATTCGCCACGGCGGTTGCGATCAAGGGTAACTACGTACTGGGCGAGCCCGAGAGTCTACAATGATCTCGTTTGTGTCCTGGACAGTGATGGTGAGTGCAAGAGCAACAATGTCGCCGAACTTCAGTGCATCGCCGGCGCCTGAGGTCAAGTCGAGTGGCTCCATCCGTGTCGCAGATGAGGCCGGGTTCAACTTCTGGCCCTTTGTCGTATTAGACGGCTGGCTACGTTCGCGCGTACTGCTGCTGATCTGCCCTCCCATGTTCGTCGAAGGACCGGCGTAGCTGCCGCTGGGTGCATCGCCGCGTTCGCGCGTACTGTTGCTGATCTGCCCTCCCATGTTCGAAGGACCGGCGTTGCTGCGACTGGGTGCGTTGCTGCGACTGGGTGCGTCGCTACGTTCGCGCGGAATCTTGCCTGTCGGCCCTCCCGTGTTCGTCGTAACGCCGACGTTGCCGCGATCGGGCAGTGCAGCAGCAGGTCTCGCCGGTCCCGCCGATCCACTAGCCCTGTCGGGCATAGCGCGGGATGCGGAACCCAAGAGACTCGCAGCAGGTTTGGCCACCACATTTGTTCTGCTCGTCGAAGCACTAGCAGAGCGGCCGGCATCTGGGCCATCGTCGTCGAGTCGTGGACGCTTGTTGCTATTATGCTGCTGGACCGGTTGTGACGCTGCTCTACAAGACGGGCAAACAGTCAGAACGACTACAACTTCTAGCAAGCTGTCCACTTACTCAGACGCTGTCGTCAATGATCGGGGAACACGCAAACCAGATCCCGGCAGTGGACCGGAGGTATCAGGAGCTGATCGGTCTAAGCTGCTCGTAATCCATCATAAGCGCATCCACGTACCAGCATAGTAACCCAACAAAGAGATGGAACTGATTCAAAGCTTGTAGGTCAGCATACAGGGTCGGCAGGGATCAGTTCGGATCACTGACGTCCTGCCACTGGCCTTAAGCTGATACTGTTGTCGCGCAGCGAGCCAGATGTTGAGAACGACTTGGTCCATCTGCACGCATACAGTGAGCGTCGTTCATGATCGCCGGCAAGTCGACAGCACATACTACGCCTGGATACAAAGAGCACAAAATCACGGAACTTTCTTCGACGCCCTGGGGGCTATTTCCGGAATTCCATGTCAGCTCTACAACCGTAACGTCGCCCGCAGCTCTGACGCCACTCAAAGCGGCTTGGGTGATATGAACGTCATAAACCTCGGGCGAGAACCTGATGGGTTGATCGGGGTTGAGTGTCACTCCCCTGAGACAGTCAGTGTGTGCAGAGTACGTAACGGTCTAAAGATCTCACCAGAATGAGTGTACGGGCATGTTGGAGGGAGGGCGATCGTCGGCGCGTCTGTGGAGGACGCGATCAGCCACTGATATATCAGTATTGACGCCGAAGAATGCAACAGTCACTCAGTACTTACATTGTGACACGAGGAGCTCGCAGACAACGGATCGAACCAAAGGGAAGGCTGTCCACAATCGCCGACGTCGGCGTGGGTCTATCAGAATGTCCTGCTGGGCCATGACACTCCTGCAACCGACTTAAGCCAAGAACTTACCGCGAAACCTCCAACGAGCCAGTTTGACTACGGAGTCTTCTCATGTGGTACAATTATTTGGTGATGTAATCGAGTGTCCGAGTTGGGAGCCTGTGTCGTACTAGTCGAGCTCTATGATTCTTCGTGAAGATGGTTAGAAATCTTCATCGATGTGCATAGCACATTCACAAACCTTCAAAGGAGGCCTATGGCCATGTTCACCTGCTGACGATCACAGAGCCAGAAAAGACGCATGTGTGAAGGATACCGATCAGCAGCAGCACATACGGAAGCAAACACCGCGCGTACAGTCCAATCTCTTCGACGACCAGGGGAGACGAAGCTGCGAAGGTGCAAGTGTCTGTTCGTCAAGCAGAGGCTGTGATGCACGAACCGTGTAACTCCATTAACCTGTGAGACCTCGATGGCTCACAGGGAGTCCGCCGATCGGAGGTACCAGTCGAGCAGCGCGAACCTCACCCGCGTTACGCGCGCGTGTAGAGGGACGCGATCCCCGTCTCCGAACGAGGAATGTGGCCGATCGGATGGAGCAGGCGCGAGGAGGAGAGGGAGACGCGGTGAGTGGGCAAGCCCGGTGACCGCGACGGTGAGAGCCGCTGAGGTCGACGACGCATCCCTAAAGGGGGACGGCAACCGACTCGGGCGTCAGCGAGTGACAAAGAAGGGAAAGACATACATACCTCGACATGCAATCAATACCCTGGGGTGGCCAAGCCAGCCGTGGGCGGAGGACGCGCGCGCGAGAAGAATTGAGAGATGTCGATGTGCAGGTGAAAGACATGTACAGTGGAGCCTGGGTTCAGACGATCTCAGGCTGGCGCTTAGTACCACTGCGTGCGATGCATACATACATAGCGAGAACAGCCGTTCAACCCAATTCTGAAAGACATGGCTTGAGATCATATGGATTACAGCATATTACAAAAAGGACACGGCATGGGCAGTACAAAAACAAACACGTTGAGTATCAGTAGAACTGTGAAACACCAGGAGCCGCGCAGTCTCTTTACTCGAGCGCTTAGTAGTAATCCGAGCCTAACTCACGCATAGAGCGTGCACGCCGGATTGCCGGCACAGCAGTCGAGAGGTCCAGCGACAAGTGTTCCAGAGCATTTACTGTGATGTTTGATCGCTGTTCCCCATTGATGATCCCTTCAACTAAGAAGCGTATGCCCCAAGCACGCTGAGATCCTCGGTGCATCAGTATGTTGTATCACAACATTGAATTTAATTTTACTCACCCTTTCGAAGACCTGGACAACGTGAATAGTAGTCGTAGTATGGGCAAAGTAGCCAAGGTTGATGCGCATGAAGTCTAAGGGTATATAGCATTAGGACAGACAGTATTGAGCTGAGGAGACTTCGCTTACCAGACAAATTGTGTCGAAGGTGGCGCCTCCATTCGCGGCTCAACTGCCCCGCCCGAGGGGGTCCACGCTCTCTGTACACGTGAGGGTGCGTCATGGCGGTCGCTTGCGCGAGGACAGCATTGTTCTGGCTCGCCGACATAAGCTCTCTGCCCGAGAAGATCACTCGAGGGCACTCACCCATTCGGCACGTTCATAGGGACGATCAGCGACACTCCAATCGATCTCAACGCGATCTTCGACAATGTCCAGCCACTCGAGGGCATAAGTGAAATAGTTACAGAGCAACCGGATGCGGTGCTGCCGTAATTGTCAATGAGTATTCAGGACTCTGTTGAGCATGAGTAAATTGAATCAGTGGCTCACCAGCACCCCAATGACCTGGCAATAGGTGACATGTGCCGGGATTCCAGTAATGTCGACAGGGGATAAAGTCACAAGCAGGGAGGCTGCAGAACTGATGTTTTCCAGTTCATCATCGGATAAGTAACGCGGGTTGGTGAGCTGAAGCCATCGGGGAGTGGCCATCTTTCAACGCGAGGTGAGGGTTGAGATTTGCTGCAGACTCCGGCTGGTTAGTTTTATAGCTTCACAGGAAGGATTGCTTTGTTCTGCGCAGATCTGATCTAGACTCCCGAAAGCCATGCCTTCGTGCGTTTTCACTCACCTCTGAACATGTCTGTTTGCTGATTCCCCTTACCGTTTCCGCGCACGAAAGAAACGACGAGAGCTGCGAGATGAGCTCCTGGCGGCCAGGCTCGACGGATAGGTTGAGCGCAGGCGTACTGGTACCGCTACTCGAGCGGATACAATGGGCGCTCAGCTTCGTCATTCGGGCCTCAGGGCAGGGTGCACCGCACTTTATCTCCTCATCACCCGGATGTCCTTAGTACAGCGACCCTGACAGAACAACAGCTTACCACTGCGTACATGTAATACTAACCCACCGCGCCGCAGACAAGTGTGATGGACAAGACAAAGAGTCGACCACACATTGGACTGCAGCGGGTATACATAAACTTACGCTGCGCTCGGCTAGACACCACACTCGACTCTGCGGGGACGATGAGAACTGATATTGAATAAACTGTTTGGGTGAGGGAGACGACTCCACAATCGAGAACACTGCGTTCATGAAATGTACACCTGTTCGAGAGCTTCGTGAGCCCTCCAACAGCGGAGGGTAGGAGAGGAAGGTGAGAGGGTTGGACGTGTCGGGGCACGGAGGGATGTGGGTAACGAGCTCATCCCAGATAGGGGTGCGAGCGAATATGAGCTAACGTATGTGGGGAGTGTTGACGGCACCTGCTCACGACAGCAGCCTCGCGTCGCTGTACTCTCCACCGAGATCAGGCGGCGGAGCGAGAGTATGGGGAGCTATACGGGGGAGCTAGCGAAGTTGTGGCGAAGGAAATTGCCGCTGTAATCAGCAAAGATTCCCCTTGCCGTAGAGTCCTCGTTGAGAACGCTCGGAGCTGCGAGTTCACGGGAGAACTCAGCGTAGTGACCCGTGAACGAAGTATGGTGAGGGTGAGTTGATTAGTGCGTGCACGACTGGGGACGTGGGAGGCCCATGTTCCCGTCGGAACGCAGCCGCTCGGTAGGCTCGCCACTTACAAGGCTGCAAGGAAATGCGGTGGGTTGGCGTCGCGCAGAGGATTCACGTGTCCTTGTTCCGCCTAGTGAAGATAGCCGTGACATCGCGCTGTCTGTATGCATTGTCACTGTGCTGTCGTAGAGACGGACTTCGCCGGACCTGCGATGGCGTGCGGGAATGCGATTTTCGCCTGTCGTCGGGGCTGATCCAATACCAGTCAGCTGGGATTGGCAAACACATCAAACGCATCCCACCTGTGTCCTCCATGTCGATAGCAACGCCTCGCCTCCACATCAGCGTTAGTAGGTCGATTGCATGTCGAGGACCGTCCGAGCTGTAAAGCAGTGCGCGTATCGCAGCCGCAGCGGAGCTTGATGCAAAGACATTACCTCCATGCAATCAACCTATAGGGATCAGCCAACACACGTCACATAGATTGCACTCCGGCAGGATCAAGAGCCACAGAAACCACCAGTACAGGAGGAATGACCGACCGACATCGCTGCTCAGTAGACTCGGTCGCGAGAAAGACGAATACACACCTTGGAAAGACCAATGTCTTGACAAAGCGGTCTCCATCGATGTCCTACACGAAGCCTTCACTCATCAGCACTGCCGACGCATCTCACGTACACTCGGCACTTCGCAAAGCGTGTTGAGCACGCCCTTGTCGCCTGCGAAAGCCCCGTTGGCCGTCGTCAGCGATGTACAAGCGGAAGGTACCATGAGAACGTCGTGAGCAAGGAAGAGTCACTGACCCCACCGGAGTAAGGCAAGCACGCAGCGAACTCTCCACCTAGAAAATCACAACCACAACCTTGGCAACCGCGCATCGCTGACCCACGAGCAGGGTGATTGCTCAGCGGCCTTGAGTGCGGGCAATTTCAAGGCTGAAACGTTCGCGCTTCGGGAGAGAACCGCAAAAAGGGAAACGAGTGCCCAAAGGAAGTACCCGAGCTTGGGGCATGTACACATGGTATGCCACTGATGAATCAGGAAGCACTGCGTTTCGGGCGAGTCACTATTTTTCGCCTGTATCTCTGCATGAGCGTCGTCAGCGTCTACGAATAAAACAACGGGGCGCGGTCTCACTTTAGCCCGCGCAAGTGGAACTCGATGGGCTGAGGGTCGCCGGGAAGCGGTGACGAAGGCAGTCCTTGACCGTAACGATTTGCCAAGACTGTGACGTGCGATGTCAACACGAATGCAGCATCGCGGAACCGTGAGGAAGGAGGGACGGAGACGCGGTTTGACAAAGGAATCAATGACGTACAATCGGATTCAGTGCAGAACCTGATCGGGAAGAGGTACACCAGGCTGCGGAAAAGCGGAGGCAAAGAGCGAGCCGGTCAGCAACCGTAGGGGACGGTGGTTTATAGCAGTCCAACCAACAGGGTGCAATACACGGCCGGGGACGAATCATACGGGAGTATCGGCAGCGGATTGCGGTTCGACAACGAGCGCGGGATAGATGGTCCCTGCGGGTGGCACTGGCATGTGTGCCCACGGCTCGAAGGCGGGTAGACCATGACCGAGTGACGCCATTTATGCCTGCTCCAAAGCCGAGGTAGTGTTGGGCAAGCCACGCTACGCTTCACGGTGTCGGAATGCAAGGGGGAGAGAAGCACCGGTCAGTGAACACGCACCGGAAGCCTGTCTGCGATCGCCAAATACTCACCGTCCTTGCGCGAGGCGCTGCAGCACATTCTGGATGTCCTTCCCGTCGCCGCATCCAGCGCACTATACCAGCAGCGTGAGACAGAGCCTACCGCAGCAGCAGAACCGCCCTTACCTGGTAGCCTCGTCACAGGAGGATGGAAGCAGGGTCCGCGCGATCGCCGCATGCTGGTTCTCTCCCGGGCTCATCCTGACACCGCGCCCGCCTATCTCAGTGCCATATCCATCAATCTTTGGTGTCATACCCATCCAGGAAGCTCATGGCCCGCTCGCGCACATGTGGCCTTCGCGACTGCCTCAACCTTCTCTGACGCCGCACCGAACCTACTATATCTATGTCATCATCAGCCCCGGCACCTGAAGTAGATAGAAGCCAAGACCATAACTCACATTGTGGGCGATGCTCGCGTTCAGGAGGACACTATCTTGAAGATGACTCCAATAGCCTCGCGCAAGCCCAGCGGGGTCACGTCTCAGACATCTTAGCCGTCAATCGGCCGCGCCCGTCGCCCTCCTCCAGGTCGTAGAGCCATGCGGTAGCCAGGATGCCGTCGGCCGGCGAGCGCGACGGACGAGCCTCGGGGACATTGAACGAGCGCCTGGTTCCGGCCGTCGTAATACGAGAAGCTGACGTTCCCTGCGCTCAGCGTCATGCACAGGCGTGGTCAGCGGAACCTCACCAATTGCGGTCTCGACGGTCGTGATGGTCAGGTCAGGCGCGTTCGGCTTGTCGTGCACGCCCGTCGGGTGGTCGGTCAGCGTTCAACAGCTTCTCAGTGTCGACCACTGTCTGGTCGATGTACCGGTATTAGACCGTGGCATGATATAGGGACCGTAGAGCTACGCATATAGTCAGCCAGTCACTTCGCCAGGCGACGACGCGACGACGCGCATAGTCGACTCACTGTGATTCGATGTTCAAGCTGCGCGTTGGCTGAAGCTTTGAAGGTCTGAAGCTAAGCTTGAAGCGCTGGACGGTGCTGGTGAGCGCTGAGCGCTTGAATGTCCGTCACCCGTCCGTCCCCCGACCGTCCTCGACCGTCCGCTAGCGCCCATCCAAGCAATCGCAAACATGCGTCCGTAGTAGCCTCTGCGACCTGGTCGAACGAACGGTGTTTCACCTTGTCTAGAAGCTCTGGCGCGACCTGAGGCCTGATCATGGATGTATCTAATTGTCCAATCAATTTGTCACAAGTCCCCCTGCCTGCATGCGAAGCATTGACGTCGCGCGGTACGTACGTTGAAATGTTGGCAAGAGTGGTAAGTCTATGTTTGACTTCAAAGCCATGTCGTACGGCAGCACTCATATCTGTAGGTGGGGCAATTCACGTCGCCAGGCCAACTGCAGTGGGTCATCGAGTACTCGGAGACAACGGCACCTATACTCACGGACATGAGCACCCTGCAGGGGGTATGTATGATGGGCTTCTCGTTATTGCTAAGCCGCCCCCGGCTCACCTATTGGGACCAAATTGCCACAGAATGATGAAGATGATAAAACATGCTTAGAAACGGACCAGGTGAGAGTCCCTAGCTCACCTCACAAAGCGGCAGGCGTGATCACTCGCGTACACAGCCTAACCCGGCTCAGGACGAACCGACGGAGCAGGGCGCCACCGAAGATCAAACAGGGCCTCCCTTCGGAGGAGAACACGATCGTGCGAAGCGATATGTGGAAGACATCCGGAGGAATGTCGAACGTATGCCCATCCTACCGTGTGTCATCTAAGAACGATAACTAAGAAATGATGAGGCTGCTTAACCACAGGGGTATCGCACTTTGCAGATGTACAAGAGGTACTACTTGTTCGTTATATAGAACAGGTGACGTGGGCTGTCTGACACGGTGGGCGCACACACTTATAAGCACATCGCAGAATGAATGGCAGGTACGGTTCCTCACACGCAGGGCAAATGAAGATGGAACGGTGACCACGATAATCCCACCGCTGCTCGTTCACTCGTCGAGTATTACGTAAGCGCGAGGGCAAGCAATTATCACCCTACTCTCTATGAACTATAAAGGCAGGAAAGCAACGGAAATCTGTGATATAATTGTAATGTATTCACCCCAAGTTATATGCACGTAGCCTAAGATCCTTCAACCGGATTGTGCCAAGAGTGGGTGCATAGTATGATGATGCTAATGGCAATTATTCTTATATATTCTGAGTGAGAGCATTTGCAGCCCGTTGGAGGCTTTCTACGCCCCTAAACTTCCCGCCATTTGCTTGACGCGATGGTCAAAATGAACCTCTTGTCCGGGCACCGAACCACCCGGTGCTGTCGGTGGCTCTGATGCTATGGTGGTGGCTCCGTCGACTCCCCGTACTACGGGTGATGGTCGGTGAGCAGGACGGCGGGCGAGCGGGTGCGCGGGTCGCGTGGGCGAGTGGGCGAGCGGGTGTACGTTAGTTTGGGCGAGAGAGGGCGCGTGCGAGAGAGGCCGTAAGTGAGAGGGAGTGCAGAGCGAGAGGGCGAAGATGAGATGACCAAGGCCAAGCGGGCGAGGGCGAGTGGGCGTGGGCAGTGGGCAAACGAATTTGCGATCGAACGGGCCAGCAAACATGTTGTCCAGGACGGGGCAAGGAAGGTCGACGGGTGGGGCGAGGGACGGCAAGCGGGCGAGAATGACAATGAGGTAGGCAGGCAAGAGAGGGCGAGTGGGCGGGAAAGCCTGGCGAGGGCGGGAAGAGCGATGAGAGCGGGCGGGTGATTAGGAGAGAAAGCAGGCAAACGAGGTAGCAAGAGGGCGAAGAAGAACAGGCTGGGCGAGTCAGCAAGATTGGACCAGGGTGCGGGCAAGAGTGGGCGAGTGGGCGAACGAGCGGGCAAGCGCGGACGAGCGGTCAGGCACACAGACAGCAGGCAGATATGCGACAGGTCCTGCACGAGAGAGCGAGCGGGTGTGCCGTAGAGCCGATGCCAGAGCCGGCAGACGGCTGCAAGGCCGAAACACAGGCATGTGAGTAATTCCAAACCCCCGCCAAATCTCCTTGCGCAGGCGGTCGTAGAGCGGTGAGATGGACATAGGGCTTGGGATAGAGGACGTCTCTTTGGATCAGTGATGGGGCCGACAAACAACAGCTTATGACTTGCTATTTCTTGATGACGCGGCTTCAACCCGATTCTACAGAGACGTACAGACGGCCCGTTGTCGATTGAAGACGCTGCTTGAGACCCCCTAGGTTGAGGCGCGAGCAATCCGAGCGACCGAGCCAGTCCAATGGGGAGGAGATAGCGAGACGCGCATCTAGACCTAACGCAGGTGCACGCAGCGCGTTCGAGACATCGAGAGTGATAGAGCTTTGCAGCGACAAGCATGGAGTGACGTCGGCGAGAGGCAAGAGGAGGAGGAGGGGATTTCATTTAGTCAGCACGTTCGCGCGCCGTAGGGCTCGCCATGCGTGACAGCGCTCTCTCAGGAGGAGGAGGAGGAGGAGGAGGAGGGTATGGTTCGACCAGAAACGTGACGCGCGTGAGGGCTGAGCGATCGTATGACAGATAAGGAAGGACTAGCGAGGAATTGAGCACCCAGACGCTGTGTGGTTGTGGTGCTCCCCTGCTATTGCGCGTCCCCGAACGAGGACCTCCAACTAATATTCCAAAGCTGCAAAGACTCACGCGACGTTCCAACCGCATGGCTAACAGTGTTTCTGACGGCCATTAGAAAACGAGGGCCAGACCTCGGTGACCCGACGAGTTATGGGGCTGCGGGTCTAGAGGACTGGAGTACGCTGTGAGGTTCGTCGGCGACGTGCAGCGCACTCACAGGAATCCTGATCGGAGACTCCGCATCACCAGTCCTGCGGAAGTTATTCGCTGAGCTCGTAGTATTGCACCTGGCGGACGACATTGTGCCTGGAGGAAATGTCGTCTCCCATCTTGAGCAAGCGGATGACATTGTCATCTTCTCCGCGTCACCACTCGCCGCCCAGCAAAAGCACAATAACCTCGCGGCGTGGTGCTCGGTGAACTTCGCTTTCATCAACACCACGGAAACACAAACGCAAGTGATGGTTTTCAACCTAGCGGGCCGCCAACCAACGACGACGGAGTTGCGCATGATGAGGTGATCGACGTCGTGCAGTCTTACGTATGTCGGTCTCCTATTCTCGTCGAAGCCCACAGGCGTGCGCCTCATGCCGAGCGCAAGGCTTCCGTAGCCACGGATTGCGGACGCTTGCCTCTCGATCGAATTCTGCATCGCGGAGCTGCTGTCCTGGGCTGCATTGACACTGTATCCGACACATGTAGACACTCAAGGCCTCACCTGATGTCTGGATGTGAGGTCGATCTGAACGTGTGGCACCACGTGCTCACCTCGCATCCGTCCAGCATGTCTGGTACCTGGGCCGACGTACCATCCTCGTACTCAATATGCGCGCCTTCGCCATGGTACTGTTCACGGAAACTGGCATGTGGCCAATCCGATATCGTCGCCTGTCGTTGGCCTTGCGATGCCTGTATTCGACAGTCAGCGGCTTCCGTAGGTCGAGTTCTATGGGCACGGAAAGCTGCGCTAGAGCATGATGATGAGCCATCCTCTCCCGAGCCATAGAGCGGGCCTCGCGATTAGCCAACGTTGCAAGAGGGATAGGTGGCCTTTGAGAGAGCAGGTACACCATAACTCCGTGCAATATATATGAGCCCGACGCAATGCCTAGTACGACCCGAGATACAGTGATCAACTCGGAGCTCCCGCTGCAGAAGGCCGCGGGCAGTACTCGTCGATCGTGCCCTTAGCGTCCCCGACGACGGGAACGTTCATGATGACGACGATGCGGTCGGGGTAATCGCCCTTCGCGGCCTTCGTACCCTCGGGAGCGCTCCACTCAGGGGGTGTAGTGAGAGGTGGTGCGACCGTATCGTCGACGATGTTGCTCTTGCGAGAGTTTGTGCTCGCTGTTATTGCTGGGACACACTGGACGGCGGATGTATGCCCTCGTTGATGAAGAAATCTGCGAAAACTGTCGATGCGTGAGGGCGATGGCAATCTTGCTGGTCCGCTCGGCTGCTGTGCCGACCCCAGGTACAATGCTTGAGCACCAGGCAATAGCATCTTCGAGGCGCGACGGAGACGAGATGTCGTCGTCCTCGCGATGACGTCGGGACCATGTCCTGATGAAGGCTTCAGGCCGACAATCACCAGCTTGACCGGCGTCAGAAGTGCGATGAGTTTGTACTGATCGGTGGGATGTAATGTTGTGTCAAGTGGAAGGGGGCCATGGCGAAGAGAGTTGCCCTTACGAGACTTGCGGCGGCGGAAACAATGAACGCCATTATGGCCGGACGGATCAGGCCGCTGGCTGTCCTCAGGGCACTCCCGAGGAGACGCAACGTGTCAGACACATCTATGAAGAAGGTCCTGCCTAAGCTGTGGTAGAGCATAAGGCCAGTATCGTCCACAGAGACGGTTGCCTCCCCGCAGCAAAGCCAACGCTGACAATTCTCGATCCTGCTGTGTGTCATTCCTGACGTCCACGTCCGGCAGCCACGTCTGCCAAAGTGGTGAGTGCAACGAAACGCGCCAGGGTCTTTGGGGTATTCAAATTGACGAGATTTATGTGGTCGCCGGCGTGTCCTGTGGCTCCGAAAGCATGATCAAACGAGAGCGCCACCGTTGTGACTGGGCCCGCTGCTTTGTCTGTACAACGGAGTGTCAGGCCGGACTAGAGGTTGGCAACAGAGTAAACCGACCATCCAGCTTGAAGTCAAACACGACCACTTTCCCTGCATCCGTGCCGATACAAATGAGTCCTTTCGCAGCCAGGACGGCGGACGCGCCAGCGCGCTCGGTGCACAACAACGACGTAGCTTTCTGGAGTTGGTTCGCAAAGAGGACCGGCAGTCTGCGAATGCGTCCACTTAAGAATTTCTCGCGTCTGGGAGGCAACACGGCCGTTAATGGCCACTGATTAGGACCTGGACAATGCCGAGAAGTTGAGGGACTCTCCGAGGCACCCTCAGGTACGTGAGAGAGGGGCGTACCCACGCTCGCTGATGAAGGAACTCGAGACGCTTGAGGTGTAGTCGAGCGAAGTCACGAAATGGTGAGATGAAGGAAGGGACGCGATGAAGAGTATCCCCGTCATTCCTTGTGGTAGGCTTCGGAGGCAAATGTGAGCCAAGTATCGGAGGTGTGAATGCCAGTGGTGTTGAAGGAGGGCCATCAGACAGGTCCAGCCCGCTGAGGACAGTGTTCAGTGAGATGTACGAGAGGTTTTTGAGAGGCAACTCGCCCTGGCATCGTCCTCCATCAACGACGCTAGGTGTGCCTTCTCTTCGACATCGTGCAAGAGCGACCGCTCTGCCTCACGCTCAACGCATTCTTGCCAATGCATGGGTCACGAAAGCACGGTGGGCTTGGCTTCTCGGACGGCGAGGATGGAGAGGTGCAGAACGACCATCCGGAAGACTACGCGGCGCGCCTGGAGGAACTCATGAGCGACACGGAGAAGGGCCCGGATGGCCATACGCACGACGACGGAGGCAACGAGGAGGGCTTCGTGTATTGAGGCACGGATGCGTGTCGCGAACGGTTGTTGGGTGTGCTGGGTCACGACCACGAGGAGGACGAGCTGCACGACTGAATGCAGCACCGGAGGGTAGCCCGGTGAGAAGCGCAGGAGACTCGACCTCTTGGTATACGACCATTTACGGAAATATTGAGCCTCCCTTTGGTCCGCGCGACTAAATCAATGCTAGCCTGCTGTTCATAGACGTGATGTGCCAAGTTCTAGAGCTCAGAGGCATCATCGCACGCCGCATCGCTGTCGGAGCGCCGTCGCCACTATGGGCCACTCTCATCGAACGGGGAGGCCATTTCGTCGATCGCGGCGACCTGATATTGATGTCAAACGGGCAGAGGAGATGTTGGCCAAGGCTCTTGGACACCGTGACACGGTGCAGACGACGCGAGAGGTGCACACAGTTGTTGTAAGGCTATAAGCCAGCCACTCTCGATGCATGTTACGTACAATTCGTATCTACGCCTAGCCTACGTAGCAGTCTCAATTACAGCACTCTCGATTAACGTTGGTGATACACTATTGCACATAGAGCGCCACGAAGAATGTTAAGGTCACCCCACCTATACATATGACCGCGTCGAACGCGGTCCAGTCATCCTCAAAGGCACCATAGTCCATGATCGCGTCAAAACGGTGTTCAATAGTCGCGAGCTCATCCATGACTCCGGGGTCGAAGTCCTGGCCGACTTCTTCCGCTCGCTGGTGGAAGCACTGGATCACCGCCCAGAAATCGACGCGATCGCGCAACTTCACCTGGTACCACCGCAGCTGGCCTTGAACGACATGGCTCCAGGCAACAATCAGAAGTTGCTATCGAGCCCGGCCCCGTGAACACACAATCAACCAATGTCAGAGGCGGCATCCTCACCTCATTCGCTGCCACTGCAGTCGCGTCGCTCAGGAGCATGCTTGGACTGCCTACCAGCTGGTTGTTCGGGTGAATAACAACCGCATCTAGAAAATCAATGAGCGGACATATTCTAGACCATCCCACACCTACTCACAGGTTTCATCAGAGAGCTGCACGAACAGCATCGAAGTTGGCGTCTCGCGATCGACTGGTAGGAGTGCACGAGGAGGGTGAATTTGCTTGAAGTCCAACACGTCTCCAGCAAAGCAGATAGTTGTCCCCCTATGTCGAGAACACTCATCAGTGGCGAGAACAGGCAGGAGAAACCTAATGCTGACAGTGGGGTGGGCGGCGGATCGCCAATCAGGAACCAGCTCATGTACAACATGTAGCATATGAAGACTCTTGTCGCGTCGCCTTCCATGGGAGGCAGAAACCGTACAGCGGGGTATGAGGCCTGTGATACCTCGATGCGAGGCATGGCACCCCATATATACGCACCGTCACTCGTAAATGGAACCTGAATGGAACAAAGCAACAACCAGGAACAATGCTTGACAGTTTAACCTTCATTGTCCACTCGTCGCCACCTGCGCACACGAAAGCCTGAAGCATCCAGGAGCAACACCCAACACAAACCTCCGAGCGCAGATGGTCAAAGAGTCTGCTGTGGACGAAGGGCTTGAGATAGAGGACCTTGTCAGAGAGAGAACCTGCGCGGCGACGAAACCGACCAAAACGTGCAAATCTCCAGTTGCACGGCGGTCGACGAGTAGGAGGTGGATGTAGGGCCGGTGCGATAGATGGCGGTGGTTCTAGTAGAGTGTTCAGGCCGCCAAATACGAAGGGAAGCTTATTTGCTCGATACGCGCCTCTGATGCCATTTTCGACTCGCTACCCGACGTAGTGCCTTGCGCAAGCAGACCGTGTTGCGACAAGAGCACGAGAGTCATGGAAAGTAAAAGAGGACAGCGAGATGAGTCAGAGGGAAATAGTAGTTCGAACTTGAAGGGAAGCGCAATGCATGAAGAGAAAGCGGTTATATGGAATCGGATCGGGAAGTAATGGCTGGAATAAGAAAGCTTCGTACAACAAGCATATGAGCACCTATCCGGGCGACGGGCGTCTTTTGAGTCCTCTTCCGGCTTTGAAGCTTTGAAGCTTGAAGTTTGAACGCTTGTGGACAGGGGACCATTGTCTCGGCGCGAGGCTGGTAGCTCAAAAATAGGGCTATCTACGATCGCGACCCCCAGCGTTTCCGAGTCGGCGGCGCTTGTCCTGGCCTCGCGTCTCCGCCTTCCAGGTCGTCGCGAGCGCGCTACTAGTAGACGTGCGACAGTCTTCTCAATGACAGAGACTGTAGAGTAGTCATGAGACCGGCAGACACGAACTGAGTACTTCTTACTTGTCTCGACGACACGACTGCAACGACGTGGCTTCAGTCCTTGCGTTGGCACCGCGAAACGATCGGCGACACTGCATTCCGAGTATGGGGGGGGGCTGCAGTTCGGATATCTTCGCGGCAAGCAATGTCTTCGCCAGCGCATCCGGCGCGGCAAGTACATGGTAAGGGGCTTGCTGTCCGTTGAGGAAAACGAGTTAGTATCAAATGAAAGATTTCATTCCACACCGCGCACCTCTTCTTCGCACCCGGGCGTAGCCCTCCTACGGTACCGCCCCACTGGCTGCGCGACTTGGAGCTCGCCGCCCTTTGTCTCTGTTGCTTTGCTGCGACACAGACGCACCCGCTACGCTGCGATCGCTGAGACTGACCCTCGCTGCTGACACTATCCCGTCCACGGTCGAGGGCATGAAACGGAGGAGGTCGTCGCCTTGAACCTGTGGGTCGGTTTCGGGTGACGGTGAACCCGCCATCGGCGACAGTCTCCTGCGTATAGGTCACCTTTGCGTAAGGACACGCAGAGAACGCACTTACAGATCCACGCTTAGAAGCGATATCCTGCCAACGTTTCGCAGGGATTCGTCGCGCCGACACTTCATGTCGACTCCCATGTCGACCTGGCGGACGTCCACGCGGGCTAAGCCGCCGTGCTTCAACCCGCCAGCTGGCGGGTCCCTTTGTTCCGGGCTGGCCTCAGACGAACAACGACGGCGGGGCTGCGACGGAGCTGCAGCAGCTGCGGGGTGGTGCAGGGGTGGTGGGGGTGGTGAGCGTTGAGCGCTTGAGCGCCGCCGCATGTAGCACGACGGGCCTGCGACGGGCTGCAAGTCGTCGGGCTGAGCGCTGAGGTCGCGGGGCGTGAGAGGATGACGTAACTCATCATTAGCGCCGCCTCCTCCTCATGTCGAACTCGAAAACATATCGGCACCCCGAGTCGCGCGCGGAGGAGCTGCTTAGTGGGAGAAGAATTATCGACATTGCGAGGTAGTGTTGTCCGTAGGCGTAACGGAAAAACAATATTGGTCATCGCCGTGCGATCGAAGAAAGTAAACGAGTATAGACGTTTCGCGGCGGGCGCGTTCAAGCTGCGCTCGCACGTACAATCAGATAGTATACACTGCGAAGCTGCCTCGGTACTCTACACGTCGCGCATTGCACCAACCCAAACAGCGGCATGTACTGTTTATTGTCTCCAAAAGCGAAGGCACTATAGTGTCATGACGAGATCTCCATGCGATGTCCAACTTTGGGACCAGAGGAGGTGATCGGTGCAGTGATATTCACCGTAGCACCGTGGCCGTCGTTGCCTTCGCCAGGCTCACTGGACATACCAGCCGCTTGATGGGTCGTCTGACGGTAACAGGGTTCATACCAGTCATTAGCGGGGGAAACATAAGTCATGGACATGAACTTACGCCACGATCACCGCGATCATCGACACTGCCCAACTGCCTCCTAACCTTGGCAACGAACGCTGATATATCCAGTTCAAGAGCGGCCAAGGAGCGCGCACCAGCGCCGGCGCGTAGGTCATCCATCTCACTGCGAAGTTTGGCGAGATCGACTGCTACCTCCTTCCGGAATGCCCGCTCGGCTTCCAATGTGTTGCGAAGTTCGTACATCTCGCTCTCGAGTCTGCGGACATCACTGCACAGGCCATCTAGGGCCTCCTCCGCAGTGCTGCGGAGACGAGATCCCTCCTGGTTCAGAAGATCGGTCTCGACATGACTTTGCGAGTTATTTGAATGCGAAGACGATCCAGTTACTGAGGTGGCGATAGGTTGAGCACGCTTGCGGGGCAGGCTTGCGCTGCTGCGAGCCCTTGCGACCCTTTTCGCTGCTTTCACTGCGTTCTTGCGCTTGGGCTTTGCGGGGCTGGTCATACGCTTCGTTCGAGGCAAACTGTCCTGTACGCGGACTGCCGAGTAGATCTTGTTGTTGGACTCGATGCCAGTAACTGTGGCCTCGGGAGCGTGGTTGATTGTGTATGTGCCGACAAGGTCCTTATCAACGCTGATCAAATTGTTGATGAGATATGGCTTGTGCCCAAAATTCAGCACATCACTGAATGTGGCGTAAGGACGAGCAAACACTCACCTGAAGCGAGCAGGGTGTGCGCCGGCCCTTTGAGCAGAAGTCGCAACGCTTCCGTCTCCCAGAGATCGTGCAAATGAACGGTGTGATTTCACTGGGGCCCTTCACAACCTTCGCTGCCCGTTTTTGTGCCCATTCCTCAGCACGCTTGCAGTAATCACATCTATAGTCGCCGTGGAACTAACGGAGAACGTTGTGAACGGCACAACAAGTGTGAACGTATGGTACACTGACCTTGATGTTCACTTGGCGCCGCTCCTCCGCACGTTCTGGGCCGTCGACATCGCTCTCCTCGAGTTCATCCACGTCTTCATCTGCGGCATGATCCCCCTCCTCCTCCTCCTCCCTCATTACCTTCGCCATCGCCATGTTTGCCTCCTTCATCTTCGTGACAATACTGCTGGATACGACGTGGTTTGAGGATCCAATCATGATATCGAGGCGACCGGAGACTAGGAGACGGTGAGGTGCCGGGCAACAAGTCTCAGGGTGCGTCGCCGGCAGTGCGTCCGAGTTCGTGCACTTTCACCGATGTGATTATCCTAGATCTAGATCGAAGACCACTGATCGGTACGTCGCTACTAAATAAGTGTACACGGGCCCAGTACTTGCTTTATCGACTGGCATTGATTCGCAATATTTCGTTCGCCCATTCTGTCATTCGTTCGCCCATTCGTTCGCCTTTCCGTTCGCCCGCTCGCTCGCGCACCCATCCACGGAACAGGTCAGGGCACCTCGGGCAGGCGCGATCAATATCCTGGGCATAATATAGACACCGCAGGATCCGCCGCTACATTCTTGTCAAAGTAATCATAGGAGAACAAACGTATACGTATGCGGATCGGTAAGCGGAGCATGTTCGACGGATCGTTCGGGACTGATTCTCTACCGAACTGGGCTTGCACTGTATTTAAATTTCCTGCGGCCTCGACGGCCTTTCCCTTCGGCAGTGCACCGGCGAGTGGCGTGCTTGATCCAGCTCTGATGTTATGCGACTCATCGTATGGAGGCGGGGAACGGAGACAACAATATCGCAGGAAGTTCCGGCACACACAACACGCTTGTAGCGAATGGTCGAGTGTACAGTAGTAGATTATCAGGCCCAGGAACCAGACTCCTCCTCCATCTCTGATCTCGCCATCGTTTTCTTCGTCGCAATGTTAGGTAGCTAAATTGTTTGCCATTTGATATACCCCCCATTCCACTTGCGATCGAGCCTAACATCCTGCCACCCCCAATTCGTGGCTTTAAATCCCGCCATTATGTCATAATTCGTGGCAATGCGCGCGGACGCTTTGCAGTAACCGGACCGATCCAACTGGGGTCCCCGGTAGGCGTGAACGATAGCGTGAGTTCAGGCGACATAGGGTGATGAGGAAGGTTGGACTCGTTGATACTTCGCCAACCAGTTGAACCGTCATCAAACTGATCCCACATCCATACTTGTACGGCGTCCGTCACCTTGCCATTCGCGCTCAGGATACGATGTAGGAATAGTGTTCCAAGATCATCTGCGTCAAGAGTGGACGGAGGCTTCGCAATGGGAGTTGGCCCTGCATTCGCGTGCCATGTGTAGTCTAGCTTGGCTTTCCGGATTTTACGCTTCATATGTATCATGCTCTAATGGAGATTCAGTATCTGCCCGCAAAAAAGAGAAGCTGCCTCCATACCGGTTCAGCATCAGGAGATCTCGACGAAGGGCCAGGCTCAGGCTCCCGAATGATACCGTTGCCGTGCCTGCTGCCTTGGGCGTTGCCCTCAAATGACATATCGGGAGATTTCGACTCAGCCTGCGATCTACGCTCGGCGGGCCATCTTTGGAGAACATCGCGGCGTTCTGGTTGTTTGCCCTTGCGGCTCCGCCTCCTTTCGCTATCGAGTAGGTTTCGGACATCGTCATCACCCTGCCTCTCGATTACTGCAGCGCCTGTTGCACCTTCATCATTCTCCTCTGCATTTTCCGGGTCGAAGGGTTGATTCTAAAAAATTATGCATGAACAACGATGTGACCGCGGACGCAGAGGGGACAAATACCTCATTGAAATCAAGCGGTGCGGGAAAAATGTTATCGAGAGACTCTTCAATACTGAACGCAACGTGCGCTTTATGCGTCCCATAGGCGTCGCAAAAAAAATGAGCGATACAAGCATCGCATGAACGTCGCAAATGTTCCTACGTGCATGTTGGCTAGGTGATCCTGCCTCTTCACTCTTGGCTTTTGAGCGCGGGGCGCTTGTAGCGGATGGCTGCAGTCTTTGTATATAACTTGGCTCATTTTGAATAAGGCGAGCTCCCCACTTACCACCATCGAAATATCGGCTGCATACCGACGACGTAGTGTGAAAATATGACCAGTACCATGTTGATCCTTGACCCCGAATGATGGTAGTTCGAAGTGGGTTGGATAATCGCCACTCGACACCGGGAATGTGACCGTCCATCGAGTAGAAGCCGGTTCTCTAATGGATGTATCGGGCATGTAGTGCTGTGGATGATGCGTATGAAACGAGGTTTCTGAAGCTGAGTGCGACGCAGTGGTATGGATAGTGTTGCCTACTCAAACGCCGCCCGGCGCTCAGGCCCGCCTCGCACCTTTGTGGCGCGTGCACCTTTGTCTCGCTATTAGGCCGGGGCTCTGTCACCGAAGCTTGATCTGCTGTTACACTACACGCTCTCTGCTGTCTCTCACTGGATATGCATACTCAATGCCAGACAACGCTTATAGACCAACTGTTATTACTGGTTCTCTACGACACTATCGCCCGTGGCTCATCGGCTGCCGAACCGATCTGTGAAGGTGTTGCATACGACAATTTACCTTCTTTGGAACGGAAACGTGCCTTGGCAGGAGTCCTCTCAAGAACACTCGGTCAAACGATCGACGCTTTGCTCGATGAACTTATTGATGTTGAAAGCGACGGCGGCATTGGAGAAATACTCGATCGCATCAACGACAAAGTCCATACGGGGCCTACCCAAGGAATTCCCCACCTGCTCAGCAACGGTGGTGTAAATCAGTCTCTTCAACACTTGAGTATGGTACGTTGATCATGATTTGCTGCCTGGCCCGGGTAGCACGGTTCATCGGGACGTGCAGTGGCTAGCCCGAACGCGATCCATCGTAAACATGACAAAGGGCGAGACAGATTCCGACCATGCCAAAGATGCGGAGGTGAGCAGAGAAGACGTACATTCAGATTTTGAACGGTCTAGGTAAGCCGTACGTCTACGCCGACGTGCTGTCGGCTGATGTAGTCGGACTGAACCGCTATCGACGGGTTCTTGCCAGACCCGGAATCCAAGGCTCTAGGATTGCCTTCATTGCCCAGCTGCTGCGATGCTCCGAACCATCGCATGCGACTGCCTCCTCTCCCGTGAGATGCAACATAGAAGGCTCGTTTATGACCTCGGGTACTGGTGATATCTTCAGCGCGGCACGCATGAGCTGACTATTTCCCAGAGGATCCAGACCATCTACAACACGAAGTGTGCAGTAAACTACAGGCTTTCAAGCTGAACCTGGAGGAAGTTCTCTCGTACCTCTCAAAGGCGCTGTGCCCGACTCATGGGGCCCGTCTCCCTCACAAGGAACCTTACGTGCTTCTTTGCCTTCAGCAAGCCTTCTATGCGCTGACAGACTCGATTCGCCGAACTGTGAAGTGGGCGTTTCAGCAGTGGGGCGCTACGCCTGAGTCAAATGCTCCCGTGTCACCCACAGGGATACCGCTCCAGGCGAAGCGGGCCGCAGGTACGCAGTCTGCGGTCGCACAAGACGATCAAGGCGCCCAACCGTCCTGCGACAGTGCTATGACTGCCTTCGTTGAGCTCAGCAACACGCTCGTCGACTACGGACCAAGTCAGATTGGCTCTGTCGAATCCGGCTCGAGCGATAGCGTATCCGCCGGGCTAGGCAACCGACGCACACATTCGGGCGAGGGTACGGTCGATGAGGACGGAAGTGAACGAAACGCAGGCGCCGACAGAGACCCGGCAGACTGCGCCCAAGGCGACCAAGACACTGCACCCCAGGACAATGTCGTGGGAGACCCTGGTTCTCATGACCCGGCAGAACATCTACGAAGCCTCGTGTCTTCGGGTCGTAAACTACTCATGTCTATCCGACAAGAGACAGAGTTGCTCCTCGCCGAGGGCTATGCATACTCGGTTCATCTGAAGCGAAGCGTTGGTATTCCCCGCATCAGCGCGCTTACTTGGTTCAAGATCCACCTTGTCGTCCCAAGGCGAGTGTATTTTTCCGTCGCAACCGTTATCATCTCACCCGTTGGGTCATAGTTTGACGTCCGTATTCTTGGCAACCATGCTGCTCGCTGTTGTAATGCGCACCTTCAGACACATCCTTGCTGTCTGGATGGAGGAGGAAGACTTCTTTGACGATGACGATTACTTTTAATCGTAGCTACAATACAACTTTTTCGGAGATCGATAAAAAGAGATGAGAATGTATCAGAGAGCGAAAATAGGCAGGCGATGTCAATGCGTAACACTGAGAGCAAATTTTGTGATGTTGATAGCAATGTAAAGCAAGACTAGTAAGACGAAAGCGCGCCAGGAACGCTTGATGCTCTGCATGCTTCCGCTGTCCCTCGTCTCGAAGCAGCAACTGACGAGAGACCGGAAGCTCTCCGGGGTGCACAGCCTCACTTGATACACCTTCCCTGCTGCTGCGTCGACCCAGCAAACCGTCAAATCGGGCTGTACTACATGGCTTAGTTAAGATCCGAGGTAGACAGCTGGGTACTCGCCTCACAGACTATAACCTTGACCGCCCACGAAAAAAATCGGGTCGCCTTCTGACCCTGCCTAATCGGTACTGTGGTGCCGAAGCAAGTATCTGTCGAGATGGCCATCAGAACCCGAGCACAAGAGCAGATGGCAGGGTTAACTTACAATGTCCATGGAGAAGCGGAACAAAGAACAGTACTCCGGGCGTCGCATCAGCACCTGTAATAGCGACAACGGCTTGGCGGATGCTAATCACTCGGTAATCGGCTGCGAAGTAAAAATCTGTCCCGCTGCCCAACAATGTTGAGCAGTCATACTAGGAGTTAGGAACACGGTACATACGCGATGATCGGGGGTGCTTGTGAGATGAGCGTAAGAGTGTACTGAAAGGCAGTGGCTAAGGCGGAAAGAAAGGCCATGGTGATCGTTTGCCTGCAGGTCGATCGGCTCTGACTTCGCCTTATATATTGCATGTGGCACAGGCATGCATTGTCAATATCTAGTAACATACCCAGCGGCGGCTCGAGGTAAAAGCACGTGAGGATAGACCGATGAACGGGATTGGCGGACACGGCACGGTCCGTCCATTTTCAGACATTCCGATCGTTCTAAGTGATCCCAGGTGAGCGCTTGAAGCTTGGCGTTAGAGTTTAACGGTCCCGACGTTGAGCATTGAACGTTTTCACCATCGCTGAGAGCTGTCTCCTTGAGGTCGGATCCTGGGTGCTTCAGAACGCTGGTCGGGCCTCCGTTCCGGCGCGGTGTCTGCAATATCGTAACAACGTGAGTATTCTTAGACGAGACCCCGTAGACATTACCGCTGTGCGTCGGGTCGCAGCAATTTGAAGCGAAGTCCCAGGCGGTGCTGCCTGGTGCGTCTCCTACTCATCAAGTTGTTGCTGTATGACGGTCGCAATACCGCACGAGGTGCCACGCCTGCCACGAGGGAGCTCCATCTCGCCTACGTAGCTCTGCCCTCGCTGAATCGCGCCTACGAGAAACAGCAATGTGAGCATGTTGCGTGGTCGTTGGATCGATGAGGGTGGCTTGCGACTTGGCGAACTTGTCGATCAGAGTGGCAGCGCGGCCTCCGTCATCACCTTCCCTGCTATCGCTCTCGCGATCGCCTTGACTCGAGTCCGAACGTAGGATCGCGCTTCGGACGGGAAAGTTAGCTCACGACAATATAGGAGGTGGTGTTGTGCTCAGCTTGCGTCATCAACGAGTACTCAACCTGGTTAACCGCATGCTCGATGAAGTGTTGCAGGTGCTGATAGTACAAATTGAGGTTGCCGATCTCCTTCATCCCCCATGTACTCCTCCACGAGCTCCCGCGACTCCTGCGCTAGCCTAGCTTGTCCGGTTCGGAGTCCTGTAGCAGAGCAGCATCATCGCGTGCATTCTAGTGCCTTACGTACCTCGTCTGTGCAGTACTGCAGCGCCCTACAACACTTCTCCGCCCAGTGGGCGCTGTGTCGCTGCGACGGATGACGACGTATCTGATGGAGTAGTTAGGTTGCCATGTCACATGGAGAACTGACTATGCTCAATGCGCGCGACGACCTTTTCTACCTGCTGCCCTTTGCACACGCGAACCATCTCGTCGCATATAACGTGCCGGTCGAATGCGAGAGAATTGTGGGAGAGGCATCGATACAGATACGGCGACATAGCCCATTGTAACTACACGCAGAGAAGTAGAGACGTTCTGGAAAGCGGGAGCGCGAAGAAGGAGTACGGGATGGTGAGTGGAGGAGGGAAGGAAGCGTGTACGACAGATCGGGAAGGTATGGCGCCGAAAAGGGAACCGACGTCGACCTCGCGAACCCTTGTCCAAAAGTCGGGGCGATGAGACCATATACATGTAGCTCGGATGTGGAGAGGAAAGGATTCGCGTGCTACATCGCTACGAGAATCTTAAGGACCGCGATCATATAGTGTACGGCTACGGAGAAAGCGAAGATCCTCCAGTAGGCTTCGCGAACGTGGGCCCATGTCGTGTCGTCCTCGAAAGAACCCCACATACAACAACCTTCGAATCGATTGTAGACGTGCGTGATCTCATACGCGTCGGTTCCATCATCGACGCCGGTGTCGCGCGGGGCAAATTCGTAGTTCATTAGGAAGCAGCCGGCGAACTCCTCGAATGGTTCAATCCAGGGGCCCGGGATCCTTGCTTCAAACCAATTCAAGGTATCGCCAGTGGAGTGGGCCCAGCGGACCGTTAACTCAAGCTATACAATCGACGTGTAAATCAATGCCCAGTTACCAGATGTCCTCGAGGAATAAATCATACCTCTGAGACGATGTACACCGTACTGCCTGACAGCACCATAATGCGTGGAACGGGAAGTATTGCATCCGGCGAGACGAGAACAACATCTATATGATGAGAGGCATGACTTCTCTGGCAGTTCAGCAGCAAGTGAAGGCTTACATCTCCCACTTGTGAGCCGGACAATGAGCACGTAGGGGAGCTCAACATTGCTGAGCACGCGGTGGCCGCGATCGGAACGACTCAACTGCCTGATGTCCGCTGTTCCGGCATAGCGGATCTTCACGCCGCTGTCACAAAGGAAAGCAATCCTGAGTTTCCGTTTTATAATCCCAAGTTTGAGACTTACGCTGGCACAGGTGGGCCTTCGGGAAGAGCGTCTACGGCAGCTTTGACCAGCATATAGACGCAGAGGAGGAACAACATTCTGGATACTAGCCGATGCGGGTGAAGTGGCGTTGTTAGAAGTGCGACACAGTCCTCTTAAATATATTCCTTGGGCGCTTCGACGTGCTTACATTGTGCATTTCCCCGCCCTCCTCTTCATCCTCCTCCTGCGGGCCTCCGCCCTTCGGAGTATCGTCCACGCCCGCATCCTCCCAGCTAGCAGGTAAGCTCGTCTTGTCCGCTGCTGCCTGCCGTTGCTCCGGCTTCTGCGCGCCCACTGAGCGGTATTGCGCCCTGCATTCTACCTGGTCCATCTCGACAACCTTGTTGCCCTTCCCGCCCTCCACAATGGTCTGTGCACCACCGATCGCCGTACACCGATGCCCTTCTTCCCCTTCCCGCCCACATGCAAGCTCCCTCCGCCCGCGGCGCCCTTCCCTGCCCGGCGCTCGCCGAGCCCGAGGCTCTCACTACTCGCCTCGTCACCGATGCGAGCAAGCGTGGCGTTAGCACTCCAACCAAGCAGCTGCACGTCTGTCGCTGACGACGTTGCTCGCCAGGGAGGTCGGCCACGGCCTGCTCGCGCTTGAGACCTCAGGAGAGCGCCCGCACCAACCCAATGCGTGTACGGCACCTGCCCGACGGTCTCCTGCGATGGGAGCGAGTCCCGCAGCGTCACGGACGTGGCCTAGGGACGCGCGTGCGGCTCGCCGGACGGCGCAAGCATGGTGAAGGCCGTCGTGGAGGGAACGGCGGTATCTGCAAAGGGGGAGATGACGGGGCTCTTGTAGGAGGCCGACGAGACGTCGGCGGGTGCAATGGATATGTTAACGCTGGCTGGGTAGGTCGCTCATACGGTATGTGTGAGCACCCGGGACTGTGTTTGAGCACGCGAGGTCATCGCCTGCCGGATTCGCCCAACAGCGCTCGCCGGCCGCCTCCTGGACCTCCCGGCACAAACTGGTAGTCTTAAGCTCGCCAGGTGGGGTGAATGAATCGGCGGCGAAGGCAGGGTTCTCGCGCATGAAGGCGGCGGTCATCGTGATCGGCGGCAGCGCGCAGTGCATCCGGCACTTGCGCCAGCGGCGGGTACGGCCTCGTTGTAGCTCACACTGCTTAGAAACCTTGTTCAAAGATTCCCCAGCATGTGCGTGACTTGGAAAACCTACCATGTGCATCCGCTGCGCCGCTATTCGCGCTAGCTCTCCTCGCCCTCGCGGCTCGTCATGCCCATCCTCCTCGCCATCCTTTTCACCATCCGTCCGTCACCCTTGGTCCGCGCCTGTTGCTGTATATTCGGTCTGCGATGGAGCCAAACGACTGGTGCTTCTGGGTTCGGGTTGTCTTGTCGTGTATCGCCCGAGTTGCGCCCAGTGAATGGTCGCCGTCGTAGGCTGCCAGACTTAGTGATAGCGCCTAGGTTATGTTGCGCACGATCACGGCCTGCACAGCGCGCCCGGACCGCGCTGTCACGTGCCAAGCGTGAGGCACGTGAGATTGTTGAATCGCAAAGCGCGGCGCGCGCCGCGGTCATATATATAGGGCTGAGCCCTAAGCGTTTGAGCACAAAGCCCGCCCCTTCGACCGCTTTTACGCGACGCACCAAGGTTCAAAAGGTGATGAGCCCCGCCTCGATTCTTTCAGCGCCGTCTGCCGGGGACGTGAGGCGCACGGTCGAGTGGAGACCAACATCCCGTGCCCCACACGCCCCCGTCAGCCGGCGCTGTTGTTGCCGGACACGCGCGCCCTTCTAAGCTGACTGCGCCACGTACAGGGTCGACCGGAGAGGTCTCTCGCGCCTCAGAGCGATGGCTGTGAGCGCCCTTTCTCTGACGCTGCTCTCGCTCACGGCCGTGCGTGATGGAGGCCCCTTTGGTCGCGGCACGGCCTGCGTCATTCGAGGATCGGCTAGCGAGCGTTTGGGACGAGGAGGCCGTGGACGAGGGAGCGATGGGCTCGTCTTCGGAGCGACCTTCTGCCGGCGGACATGTTTTGGAAGAGGGCGCGGGGTCTCTTGCCGACAGCCATGGGTGAGTTGTTCAAGCTTGCACCGCCGGCTTAATTTCGTTGGAAAACAACTACGATTCAGCGCTATCGCTGTTATGACCGGCCCCGCACGCTCCGACAAGAAGCATGCGCGCAAAGCGCGGCGCCAAAGCGTACGCAGTGCCACCCGTGCAACGACACGGTTCCTGGTCAAAGAGTCGCAGGCCCTGCGCACCGCTGTGGCAGAAAACGGGCTCGCCGACATGCCGCTCTCAGGTGGCTTCACTGGCCACCGACAGGTACAACACTCGGCGGCGGGAAGCGCAGAGCATGATGAAGCATTGCTGATCGTTCCACACGAGGCCGGGTATGTTTCTCTTCGAGATCCCGTAACGCCTTAACGCGAGGGCTGAGTTGGCGGCATGGCAATAGCAGGGCGGCTGAGATTGTAGACCGCAGCGGCCGCTTGGTCGCGTACCGGGCATGGCAAGGGGCTGCGACCCAAGGTGCCAACATGCTCTTAACAGCTGCTGCCGCATACCTCAAACAGGCCGGCACCAAACCTACGTATACGTCTTCCAAACGCGGCGCGTTCACGCAGTATTATTTCACTCTTCACAAGGATAACCAGCAGGTATGTTTACGGCGGGTCTATTGCCGGGCGGTCTTGACATCAGCCACTCACCCGCTCTGCACAGGCGCCCAGAATGTCTAAATATTTCTGTGACCATGCGGGCATTGCGCGTGAGCTGGGTCGCCAGCTGGCTCCGGTTGTCCGGCTGGTAGCTGGTAAGCACAGCTACGTTTTCTCCGCTCTCGCTTTCGGGCCCATGCGTTGACCTCTGTGGGCACAGATGTCTTTCAGCGGGTCTTCCCGAAACTTTTTGACTATTACGCTCGTACCCTCAATTTTGCACTCGGCAACGACCGCACCCTTCAAAGTCTCTTCTACCCGTTTGCGTCCTTTGCCCTCAACATCGGAGACGTCGTTTGTGCGCGTCATTTGGATTGTACCAACCTGGGCCCCGGCCTTTGCTGTATCATACCTTTCGGCACGTTCGACCCCTCCAAGGACTGCCGAATTGGCCTGGCGGAAATGGGGTGTGAAGTGGAGGTAGGCCCGGGCGTGCCAATTTGGATACCCTCGGCGGCTTTCACGCACTACAACACTCCGTTGGTGACGGGGGGAGCCGTTCGAGGCTCGGCAGTCTTTTGGACGGGTGGTACGATGTTTCAGCATTTTGAGCTGGATGGGCGTATGGTTTCGGAGCTCAGCCGGGACGAGCTCCTCCTGTATCGCTTGGGAAAGGCCGCACGCATCTCGGAGGGGATCGCACGCTTCCCAAGGCGCTCTGTAGAATAATCTTAGCCTCTCTTGTAAATTCATATTGATCATTATCGCTTGGTGGCATGGACTGTGGGACAGATGCAAGAACATCGAGGCATCACGCACGGCGCGTGATCTTCGTAGCTCAGGATAGACTGGCCATACACGCCATTGCGGTGTGCAGTTCATAATCAAAGTACATTCTAGCTACTGTACTACATCTGTGAGCACTAGCAGTGCGAACGGGACATTTATCCCCGGCGCCGCCCAAGACGCCCCGAGCAAGGCCGGCGGACTCGTCACGAAATGGGCGTACCCCAAGGAACTTGTGAACGCGTTCTTCGCGGAGCGCGGCCCGAACGAGAGTACGACAGCGCGCGGCGCTGGGGCTGGCGGTTCGTCGGGTGCGGGAGCTGGGAGGGCCGCGGCAAGCTCGCGCAGAACGAGGCCGCGGGCGTCGGCAGGGGCGGGGGCTGGAAAAGCGCGGTAAGGACGAGTGGGCTGGACAGCGTCCGGGGCGCGCGGAGGCGGAAGGGAGCAGCTCTGCCAGACGACCTCGACCGGGTGCGCGCCGACTTGACGAACAGGTACTCGCCCGCGGCGCTGGCAGGCGCGTACCTATTGATTCACGACGAGCATGCTCGACCTCGCGCAGGAGAAGGGCTGCGAGTTTGTCCGGCGGAAGGTGACCTCGATCATCATCGACGAGTCCGAAGACCGAGTCTCCGGCGTGATCTACACCGTGACCGCGCCCACGGCGGACGGACAGTGAGTAGGCGAGTGAGCGGGCGAGCAGGACCATATCGTTCCGTTGGCTTCGTGCTCGTGGTGCGTCGTGTGTCGTGCGTGCGCGCGGCGGGCGCATCAAGCTGATGTGCTGGGGCTGTTTGCAAGGTCAAGTTGACAGGCGGAGTCCTGCGTTAGCCTCCGCGACGCCCTGGTGCATCGCTGAAGCTCGCCGGCGCCCCCTCTCTTGCGGTCTGCGTGTCCTGAATATCTACGGCAGGCAGCTGAGGGCGAGGCAGGGCCATCGATGGGGGAGAGGAGGCAGCGGGCAGCGGGCACGACGGAAGGGCCTTAGACTTAGAGTATACGTAGGCTCTAACACGAGAACAGAGGTCGTTGGGGGTTGTGGCTGCAATCGGCATTCGCCGAATTGAGCGCTTCGCACTGTCAAGCTCTCGCCGTCCCGCCGCGCCGCCCGTTTGCTTGTGCTTTCTGTTCGCCCGTCTGCTTTCTCGCCTGGCTACCGCTTTCTCGTCCGTCCTCAGCCATCTTCTCGATCACCCGCCCAGCCGTTCTGCTATCTGCTGTCGTCTGTCAGCCGATTCCGAGTCGCCTGAACGTCAAGATAGGCTTGCGTCCGAGTCGGGCGAGACAACTGCATGAACCACAGGGAACGCAGGGGGAGGACGACGGGTGGAGAGAAAGGATAGTGAAGGGTGCAGTGTGGGTGAACAGAACAAGCGTGAACGCTCGAAACCTGAAAGTACGCCCCCACTGGACATACCTCACTTGCGATCACGGCCGCCCTTCTCAGCAGGCGATCGATGAAAAAGAGCCCGCCGTGTACCCTGCGGGCCACGAAGACGGCTCTTCCGTTCCTCGGTACAACTTTTACGTCGAACTCTGACAAGCACGGGCTTACCTGTCGTAGCATGCCCGCCGCGTACTCATGGCTGGCACAATTCCGAGTCCACAACCAGCTCACCTTCAACATAACCGACTCGGGGCGCCAGATATCGAGTCATGCTCTATCACGCTGAGTTCGTTGCCGCGAACCAGGAGACCTATGCGGACAACATCGCCCCCGGCACGGACAAGCAGGCCCACCTCGAGCAGCTCCGCGTGGACATGCGCCGCTTCAAGACTGAGCACGGGCTCGACCGCGCCGTCATCTTCTGAACCGCGAACACGGAGCGCATCACCCCCGGCGTGAACGACACCGCTGACGCGCTCTTTGCGGCCGTTAATGTGTTGCACCTCGAGGTCTCGCCCTCGATGGTCTTCGCCGTCGCATCCATTCTCGAGCCCGAGCCCGCCGTGAACGGCGCGCTCCAGAACACGTCTGTCCCGGGCGTCATCGAGCTCGCGGAGCGCCACAAGGCGTTCATCGGCGGCGACAATCAAAGCCAGGCGAGACGAAGCTCAAGCCTGTCTTCGCTGCGTTCCTCGTCAACGCGAGCATTAAGCCGCTCTCGATCGCACCCTACAGCTACCTCGACAACAATGACGGGCATAACGTCTCCGTGGAGCTGCAGTTCAAGAGCAAGGAGATCAGCAAGCGCAGCATCATCGACGACATGGTCGCGTCCCACCTCCTGTTCAAGCACCCCGAGCCAGGCGCGGCCAAGGGCACGAGGTGGGCCGATCATTTGTAGGAATAGATGTTTGTACTAACGTAGCCCAACACATTACACATGGCTTTTGACCATTGACCACGGTATATATGCGACGTGTTACATGCAAGGGTTGAGCCTGAGCGACGCGATTAGTACCGTGCACTCATACAATCGACCCTAACAACATGGGTCCTCAACCGGCTACGGTTGCCTGTTAGTCTGAGACCGGGTGTTGGCAGTGATTACCGCTAACTTCATATCGCTAGACCCCTTCCCCAAAACGCCTGCACGGGCGGAGGTCAACCGGTCACATCGGGCTCTTGTTTGACCTTCTCATCGAGCGATCCGCACCCTCTGCCGGCTGACCGCGGCCATGAACCTCGGTCTAGCTCGATATGGTAAGATCCTGATGGGAACGCCCCATAGATACTTAGACCCTGGATAGACCGACACGCCCCGCCTACTGCTTCCTCTTACGTTCGGGGTTCAGCGATATGGAATTAGCTGTAGTAAGTTTGTAGTAAGTTCACGTCATTCTCCGGGAGGCGGTAAGCGCCCGACGGCGCCACGATTCGCTTGAAGTTGAGTGCCAGACCATGTGGGATGCCCTCCTCCTCCCCCTCCTCCTCCGCCCGCGCGCGCCGCTTCATGTCGCCCACAACCCTCCGAGGTGCGCCATCCCTGTCCCTTAAACTGCCCCTGCTGACGTCCCTGCGCGCAGATCTTGAGCTCTCACCCGTCGACGCGTCCGCCGCTGTCATGCCCCGCCGTCGCGGCTTTCCCGCACCGCCAACGGGCCACGAGCTCATGGCGCTCTTCCCGCCGCCGCCGCCGCCGAACCCCATCATGGGCTCGACATCCGGCCTCTTTGTCGCGCAGGAGCGCGCCTTCTTCGCGTGCAAGGGCAAGGAGATCGTCGCCGTGCAGATCGAGGCCGACATTCACGCTGGCCGGTCGCAGCCCCATCCACACGCCCATTCACCTCCACATCCACACCCTCACTCTCAGCCTCCGGCGCCCGCTGAGCAGACCGTCCGTCAGACCTCGCGATCGCCCCATATACATCCTGGGCACGGGCTCGCGCCGCCCCCCAGCCCGGACCGCCGCCGCCGACGCAGGGGAGCCCGCGTGCGCCGCGCGGCATCCCGGTCCCAGCCCTGTCCGCGTCCGTGTCCCCACTGTCGCCTTACCCCGGGCCCGCGCCGCCACAGCACGCGCGGACGGCCCTACCACACGCCCCCATGGACGTCCAGATGCAGTATCCGATGCACCCGCCGCCACCGCCACCACAGCAGGGGGAGGAGCATGGCGGGAAGCAGACGCAGCAGGGGGAGGAGGATGAGGCGCGGAGGAGGCCAGTGCCGCATAATGAGAGGAGACGAGCAGGGACGTATACGAAGCGGGTGGTTGTGGTGAAGTGAATCGTGAGTCGTCATTGAGGGGTTTTCAGGTCCTTTGGTCGTTCTTGGGGTTCGGGTTGGACCGGGCTGCGGGCTCGGTGGTCGGTGGTCGTACGCTAGTAAGCATTATACCGTGTGTCTCTGTTCTGTGCTCTCATAGCCGCTCATCATCATCGCTGTCTTCCTGCTCATCATCGCTGTTTTTCTGCTCATCATCGCTGTTTTCCTGCTACTGTTATCGCATTGCAACTTGTCTCGTGCGTAACGTTCCCTCGTCGCTTGTGTAATATAATGATCGGACTCTCTCCCTCCTTCTTGAACCCCGAGCGTTTAGGAACAATGGTAACTACCACGCGAGACGGCCATGGCATTCGTCGTTATGCAACATGTTGACCGCACGTAGCTTGCTTTCGATCGCGATCTCACCATTTTGCTCTTGGTCCGCGAGCGTCAAGAAACAATGGCTGCCACCACGCGCGGCCTTCTTTGGGTGGTGTCGTATATACACGCAGGTGCGTCCTGCCCTCCGTATCGCAGAGCACCACCTACGATGGACGGGCAGGTACCATCTCTCCTCGACGCCGTTGGCTATCAATTCCAACCCGCCATACCCGGCCTTCCTCAAATCGAGTTCAGGCTCGAAGGTGACGCGTACGTCGCGGTTGAACAACCTTCGGAATTGCAACGCGGTCGCAAGCGCACAGCAATCGATGTGCTTCATCCGGATCGACCGAAGGTTCGGGTCCTTGAAGCTGGCCCTGCGTATTTGCATGAACGTGTCCTCAAGGCCGAGGGCGAGAAGCTGCGCGTCGAGATGCGACGCAAGATGGAGTCAAGCCACGATACGTTGGTCCCGGCGTTAAGTACGTAGGCGGTACCCTCATCGCATATCCCCTTTGACAAATGCGTATCTAGCGTTCAATCACCGTCACGCCGAGCGGTTGGTGTCTCGCGCGCTGCTGTGGTCCCATCAAAGCCAATTGCGAAGGACAGATGACTCAGCTGCGGCGACTTCGTCTCAAAGCGAAAATGAGCACGCAGCCCTGAATGGGGCCACCACAGCATCCTATACGGAGCCTGGCCATCATATCATAGAGCGCGCAGACGTTCGTTCCGACACACACAGCCGCGATCGCCAAGGCGAGATGGCCGAGAGCTTAACAAGTGTCGGTGGTTCACAAGAAGGTTGGGACGACACCTACGATCGAGAAGCACCCTTGGGTCCGAGTATCGAGCAATCCGATACGACTTCCGTTCATGCCGTGGCGAACGTCGAGGATCCAATGCCTCGTGCGGGTTATTCCGCCCATGTTGATGCGTAAGTGTTTCGCCGAGGTCATTTTTGATCGTCCGCTAAGGTTGAAGTTCTACTCCTATCGCGAATCCGGACATTGTACGGACCTCATCCACTGAACGAATGCAGGCATGAGCCCTGGGAGAGTACTATGCACGGAAGCGACGCCGACCCCTCCCTGCATTCCAGTGGTAGCGGTCCACCCTCCTTTGGGTCCGAGGATTTTGGCTCGTATGCTACCGTCCCAAGTGTGATCGACCATGGAGGTGGTGCGTCTGACGATGCCTTGCAACCCAATCCCTACATCTTCGATGCAGAAGAAGCCGCGGGTCACGGAGACGTCCATGAAGGCTGGCTTTCGCAGAGCTTCGCGATCTCATCCGAAGTGTCGGGCATGCAAGGCGATCGTGATGACGACCCCAATGCGCCCCGTGTGCCCTCTCCTGCTCTTCCAAGGAGCCCGAGCGATGGCGGACAGCTGCATTATCAAAGCGTGGCCGACAACCTTGTTGAGGTATCCGACGCTCCGTGGTGCGCGCCCTCAGATCGGTCCCCAGCTGCTACTAGCACTGTAGACTTCAGGGATAGTGCCACACACGGCGACCCGGATCTACAGGGCTCGACGTCGGTTTTTGACGAGCTGGGCGAACAAGGCTCTAGCTCTGTCGTCTTCGGTGAACTACCCGGTGACCCTTTCGCTACTACCGCATGGAGTGCGAGCGATGCCGAATCTGTTGCCACTTGGGGCGTGCATAGCCCCACGAGTAGTGTATTCGGCGGTGGCTTGCAACTCGAGCCCTCGATTCGCTCTCCCACTGACGCGGGCGATGGCTGCCTTTTGGAGAGGCCTGTGCATGAAGACCCATTCTCACAAAACTCTGCATTCACACCTGAGCCTGAGGAGCCAAGTGCACAAGACGCCCATGATCGTGACCCCCAAGCGCTTCATGAGCTCCCTGGTACCGCTACAAGGAGCTCAGGCGATGGTGAACCATTACGTTTTCACACCGCGACCGACGATCGTGACGACTCCGATCTCCCGTGCCGTGAGCCTCTCAATTCGCTTTACGCTGTCGGCAATGAGCCTTCCGCTACTACTTCTGGGGGCATACTAAGAGATGTCGTACCGCATTCCCCCGGTCTCGACGCCTCCGAATTCTCTGCCGGCTCCTTAGATGCCGACGAACGTCGAAGCGGTGTATTGAACGACATGTCACGATCTCAGTCCCTCATTCCCGAACCGGTTGTCATGGATGAAGGCTTCTGGGACGGTGTTCAGCACGGGGATAGACATGCACGGGGTTCCGCGTCTATCTTCGACGAGACACATATGCAAGGTTTTGACTCTGGCCAATTGGATGATCTGGCCAGCGGAACCTCCCATGCCATGCACAGCGACTCGGAGGATGACGGCCCAACGCGCTCTCAAGGTATGACCGACAACCCATGGTCTGAGCCACCAAGTCTCCCAGCTTTTGCAGGCTATGAAGACTTCTGGGACAGCACCATGCAAGCAGGCCGGCATGTGGAGGGTACTGTACCAGTCTCAGACGAGCTGGATGTACGAAGCTCGGGTTCAGCCATCTTTGGCGACCCACCCAACGACCCTTTCGCTGTTATCCCAGGTAGGATGAACAATGAAGAGCCGCCGTACTCTCACGTTGACGACGCCTTTGAATCCTCCGCCGCCGTCTGGAGCGCGGGCAGTCATATACATGGTATGTCCGATGGTGCGATGCAACCTGCGCCCTTGATCACCGATCCAGTAATCGACAACGGAGGCTTCTGGGAGAGTGCGACGAGTGGAGGCTCACGCCCAGGGCGGCCTGCAGTCGTATCCGATATAGCTGGTATGCAAGTCCCGGCAGATGGCTTGCTCGGTGATGTACTGCCTGCCGGGCGCGCGACCTGCGCAACCGCCGTTCCAGACACAGGGTATCAGACCTCCGATGATACAGTGATGGAGAATAGCTCAGCCCCGAACGTGCTCGCTCCCGGATCCTACCCGGCTCTCTACAAAGAGCAGCACTCCTTTAATGGTACTTCTGGCATCTTGCAATTCTTACAGCTGCAGGAGGATACTACAAGCACATCCCATCAACCCGTCGGATACGAGAACGCACAGACTACGGACCATGGATCGCTCAGAGGGCTTCAAGATCCCTCCCGTGTTTTCGGGGACCATTCACACGGATCAGCCCTCGATTGGGGCGACAACAGCAGTTGTGACGCAATGGACACCGACGTCGACCCTCCGAGCGCCCATCTACACCAGATGACTACAGACGCGCACGATCCTGAAGACGAGGCCCAGCCCGATCATCCGCGCGCTGATGGGCCATTAGATGTCGAGGATCAACAAGGCGAACTTGAGGAGGGTACTGGTAGCGATGATGAGAGTTCTGACAGCGACAGCGACAGCACCGACGACGATGAGGGTGGCGACGGTGGCGACGGTAGCGATGGTAGCGACGGTAGCGACGGTGGCGACGGTGGCGACGGTGACGGCGGGGACGACATCGAAGAAGGACTCTTACGTGAAATTGAACGTGAAAGTTCGCGCCGCAAGGGTAAGCAGCGTGAGCTTCCTATCCAGGCGCCCCCGAGTCGCAGCCCCGAGATGTACAGCAACTCTGGCAGCGGATTTTCTGGCCTCGTTGGTGCACAATCCGGCGTCGAATTAGGCGGGCCCTCCGCCGTCTCTCAGCGACTTCAAAACACAGTGACCGGTGAGGGATCCAATCAAGCTACAGAACCGGTTACAAAGTCGGATTCCTTGAAGAGTAGCAGACGCCGAAATCGTCGCGGTCGTAGGCGTCAGGGTGTCCGGGATGAATTGCAACTGGTATGTGTGTGCGTGCGGAGACAACGCGAACACTGAATCACCAGATCTTGAAGGACGAGCTTTCGTCAAGTTTGTCTACAAGCGATCCTGTGAGCAACGTCGTGCTGTCGTTTCTTCCCCGCTAACCCGTCAAACCCAGGACGCCGTCGCGACGAAACGAGACATTCGAACGTTGATTGAGTTGCTGCATGCTATACAGAATCAAGGATCTCCTGGCACATCGGCACCTAAAGCAGACGGTGACCCTCCTACATACAATGGTCGTATACGATGCATGATCAAACATCGAGACGTGAAGCGGCTGCTTCTACATGTGGGCCTAGAATCTTCTGTCTTGAACGTCCACTTACATTATTTTCGACAGGGTGAAGTCAGACAATATACAATGGATTTGATGTCCCGAGAGTCGACCACGGATGCTATACCGTTGGTGTCAACCGATGATGCAGCAAAGTTTGCACGCACGAAGCGTGGCGGTCCCACCATTGACAATTTCAGACTAGAATTGACTGGAAGACCTCGCTCTCCGTGGAACAAGAAGGCTGGCGAAGTCTTCGCTCGAAATTTTGCGCAGAACGATGTCAGCTGCAAAGACATGCGAACCATTCGCGATGTTTTCGCTACTCATTTATTGACGCTTCGCAAACAGCACATGAAGCTGTCGCGCGACCCCGACGAAGAGCCGAGTCAACGAGAACTTGACATTGCTTCTGCAAACAGCAGCGAACAGCGCCGACGTCGAGTAAGTCTCCGATTTCAGTCTCATCCTTGTTATTGACGTAGGCACGTATCGACAGAGAAGAGAGCGGCGCTACGAGGCAAGCGAGAGTCGCACTAGTCTCCGTCATCTCGCGATGCTATGGAACAGAATACCTTTTACCGCCTGCAGTGGCGATGAGTCAGAGCACTCTGAGTCAGGTCCAACTCGATATGTGGTTACAAGATTGCCATGGCGGTCAGAAGAGTTGGAGGAGCTCTTCAAACATCTTGATTCCGTACATATGTCGACCAGGTGGATGACGCAGGGTAAGTGGGACCATGGCAAATTACCTGGTCCCCGCGAACGAGGATCAGACCGTGTGGACAGGGCAAGTGCGCCTCCTCCTGGTCTCCCGGTCAACTGTTATGATGCGGAATGGCTGGAAGATTTGCAGGAGATGGACACCGACGCTTATCAAGATCTCGACGTACAACCAGCAGTCGATTTAACGCTCCCGAGAGATGTTGTAAGGTACGTCTCCGTGTCGTTCAAGGCTAGCAATCGGTACTGATTAACCTGTGACGTCAGACTTCACGGACGCTTCCGTCGCTGCAAGACACGGAACGATAAGCCATGCTTATGACGATGTATTTGGATCGAAATGTACCGGTCCCGTTCTGGATATGTGTAGGCATTTGTGCGGAGGAGGTTCATGTACTATTGACTCATCATCATATATATCTATGCTCCGAGTTCTTGGACCGAACAGGGACTAACAGTGACAGACGGTTTGGCTGACGGTGAGAAGATGTACCTGAAGAACGAGAACTTGAAGGCGGTTGAAGCAACCTACTACTTCTCGCATGCACACAAGACTTGGTCGACGATCGACCTCTCATTCACGATTGAACCCGACGTTGGCAATCTGCGGGAGGCGAGGCACCAGCCGATCGCAGATTTAAGTCTAAGTACCGTAATGCAGGGCGTAGGCGCGCAATGCCTCTCTCGCTGCGCGCCCACGTCCTAAACTCCAGCGAAAGCAATCGAGCTTTCGTCCAGCATTCGATCGTTTTTTCATCTTCAAAAGCCTGTGGGATACACTAGTCTCTAGTCCAACAGTAATCCCAGTACTGTGGCTCTTCGTAACTAGTCGACCCGAACTCGCTGGCAGTGCCAGATCACTCCCTCGAGTCCTATGCTTGAACCAGACAGCCATAGCTGGCCACCGGACTCAACTAGGAGCAGGCACCGCAGGAGCGCACTGCTGCAGAGGCTCAAGCAGGCCGCAGCGCGCGATCAGACGCTAGGAAGCGGCCAGTCCCACTCCTGAGCGCAGGAAAGTCCAGAGGCTGCGTGCAGAGCAGGCCTCGAAAGACAAGGTGAGAAAAGGTGCTTCATGCTTCCAGCTATGCGCTATAGGCTTCGGCCGCCCTGCTACGTGCTACAGGCTTCGGCCGCCCCTGCTACGTGCTACAGGCTTCGGCCGCCTGTTATGCGCTACAGGCCTCGGCCACATGCTACATGCCACTGTTACAGGCTCTGACCGTCCGCTACAGGCCTCATGCCACATGCTACAGGCTACATGCCACACGCGCAACCCATACGATGCGAACCACACACCTCGGATCGCGTGCCCTGCCCCATGCTCCACTGGCATGAAGACAATGCGCGATCCCTCCACACAAACAGTACTAGCCGAGCTGCAATACGTCGCCCCAGCTCCTTCACCACGGGTATTGCAGCTCCGAGCTTGCCCGTTGTTCGATTGGCTTACATGCAAAGCCACTTCAGCTTCTCGACCACCCCCGAGGCTGAACCCCGAGGTTGCACGCGCCGCTAGGCTCGACGACGCCGTTGTCCCCGAGCCCGCGCCCGAGCCCGAGTTCAGCGAGCTCTGCAATGAGCCGACTCGCATCCCCGGAAGGGATAGGGGAGACCCAATCGCGTCCGGCACAGCGAGAACAAGCCGGAACCCGCAAGTTCAACAGTCGTGCGCTCAGAAATGTGCCGTGACACCAAGATATATCAAAGTGAGTTGAGTGACGCGCTTGACGTGGTCAACAGCGCGCTCCGAGTCCGACACGACCGGCGACGCGCTCGACACCAAAGGCGTTGGGCGTCACGAGCCCGCGTCGACGGTGAGCGCTCCGAGTGCTAGCGCCGAGTGCGCGGTTTCAAGACTGCCATTTCCTTCCTTCCCCGGGCCTCAAACTCCACCCGGAAGACCTCCATTTGATCCTCACACCTCCTCCCTCGTATCTGGCAACCTCAATCCGGCTCCCGCGGCTCTGGCGACATGCAACAAAGCCGCACGGTCCAAGACTCGCACGACGCGCGTACAAGTCCGGTGCCGAGCAAGAAGGCTGCGCAAACCAACGAGAATGCGGCGCGAGGGAAGCAGAAGGACGAAGAGGAAAGAGAGGAGGGGAAAAGCGTGGGGCGAGCAGTAAGAACGAGCACAAAGGCTCGAGAATCGCAGGTACGCCCTCACTGGCCGTCCCTGCCTTGCCGTCCGAGTCCCCGCTCCCAGTGCCCGCGCCATCAGGCGTAACAACAAACGGGAAGACCGCTGTGCGCCCTACTGGTCACGAGCACGGCACGCCCGCCTCTCGGGACGGCCATTATGTCGTACCCACTACCTCCGTTATCCGGGACGGCGACTCACACGTCGTACCCCGTCTGCTCCACATGGCGACGCGTCGGACGCGCATTATTGAACGTCTGAGGTGCTCCAATTTTCTACGAGCCGCCGCACAGTGGGTACGTCGAGTCTGCTGCTCGATGCACATGTTGGGTGACCCCATCGACATGTCTCGCATACTCGCAAACGTACCCGGCCCGCTTGTCGGCCACACATGCGCGCGCGACGGCACCGGGCACACCCTACGACCGTGCTCCAGACTAGTGACAAGGCCGCCGTCAGTGTGCGCAGAAGCACGTCGACCACGTCCGCATCTACGGTCAGGACACCGCTGCCGCGTCTGACAGCCAACGGCATGTCCGGAGATGCGACAGTCGGGCCATCAACGTTTCAACCTCAAGAGCTGTCATTTCGACAAGCTACGGCCGACAAGAGGTCGCGCACGCTGAGCTCATTGCTTAGCGTACACGACAGGACCTCCGACATTGGTGACACCACCACCGACGCGCTCAGAAGCACGTCGATAGGTTCGTTGGTATTTTGACGACCTCACCCCTACTATCACCTCAGCAGTTTGTAAGCAGCGAGGGTCGTCACGTTAACTTTGGGAGCAACGGCCGAGCCGCAACGCGTCGCCCCAGCTTCTTCATCCCGGGTATCGCAGCTCGCCCGTTGCCCCATAGGTCCCGGAGGTCCGTTTTGGGTCGGGCAGCCCGTAGGGCTGCGCCCCGCACCCGCTACTAGTCTCCGTTGCGGACCATACAAGCCGGCGAGCGTCTTGTATGACCCGCTACATACACAAAACCTTTCGTCTCAGATCTCTCCGTCTAGGACCACCACTATCATTTACACAGTAGTCACATACTACTCTACCCTACTCGACCTAGCCCGAAGAAAGGTACCTAGACTGAACTTGACGCCGCCAAACCTCGCCAAACAGTACTGGCCGGGCGGACATACCGAGCCACGTCGTTAATAAGATACTCAAGGGGCCCTACTGCGGATCCGTCACAGACGTCCGCGAGTTCTCGGCACAGCGGGAGTCGGGCGCCGATGGATCAAGAACTTTTCATTGATAGCTAAGCCTCTCTCCGCGCTTTGTATAACTACTGATGGGCCCGGTTCGAAGTTGGTAGCGCAGAACGAACGAACTCAAGTCACTCGTCACGCAGGCACCAGTCCTCGAGAAGTAGCAGCAACGATCATCAAGTCTCCGCGCGGCTCGGATCACGGACTTGTCGTCCTCGCGGTCGACTCGTCAATGTATGTATCTATGGAGTAGGGTGGGTACCAAGTGGGTACTACATCAATTTACCGAGACTGATAAAAATCCTGCACTTTTCGGATCGTGCACGTTCAACGCAACCGAGTCAAGATATTCCCAACCCACAGTCGATTTGTACGGCGTGTTTCGGGTGATGAAGGAGTGTCGACACCGTGTCTGGTGCGTCCATTTCCGGCTCGACGTCGACGCAAGCTACCTCAAGAAGATGATCCATGAGCCGGATCTGCCAAATGCGTCAACGACGCGATGGGTAACGTACATCCAGCTTTTCAGCTTGGAACTGAACCATGTGAGGCACCTGCAGCGAAGCACAAAGTCGAAGATGGGCTGTCGCGAAGGCCAAAAGCGGACGACGACTCGGGCGAATCAGATGGCGAAGAGCTCCATAGGTATGACGTGATTGAGACATTCAATCAGGAGTCGGAGGAGGTCCGTGTCAAAGATCTTGTCGAGTGCATCGAGCGTATGAAACAGCTCAAGATTGACCTTGAGTTACACGCCAAGTTGCGCCCGCTAGGCGGACGGACTTGCTGACGCCGTACAGAACCTTCTCGTCTACGCTTCCGCAATGCTGACCGGCAACGGACTGAAGGCGCGATCATTGGCGTCGACTGCTCGAACTTGATGCGGGTGTCGGTGGTCACAGAGCTGGTAGGCTTCGACTCGCAGAAAGCGTCGCAGAACGCACGCAATTAATGACCGATCTGAGACCAGGAAGACCCGCGTTCGACGCGAACATCATCGGACTGGACCCTATCTGGCGCACGCACCACGCTCGAATGTTCCTTGGGCAATACGCGGAGCCTATGGAGTTTACGGCAACGAGAACCGGCGCACGAGCGACCACTTCTAGATCAATATCGAAGCCCCAGAAGATATACGTCCGTTTCACCCAGCTCTACTCAGGAATCAAGACAACGCGACCTACGTCGGAACGGAATTCATGGTACCTTGGGTCGAGTGAGAAAAACTTACTCTGTTTCTCTTAGGGGACGAAGTCGTCGAACTGGCCTACTCGGAATACAGACCGGCGTATCCCGGGACCTACGCCTTTACATTGTCCACACATCCCACGTGGCAGTGAAAGCCGCGACCGCACCGTTTCGTCTTTGTTCTCGCTTGTTTTGTTCTATCCGTACCGTATAATAGACCCAGGGATTGCCAGGTTTAAAGATGACACCGGCAGCTCGACTCACCCTCAAGGGCATGCCACACACCATGGACCCAGATGAGTAGGTTTCACGCACACAACACCTCTTCTCGTCAAACTGACTGGCGGTGGCGTCTAGGCACATTCGCGTCTTGCTCGCCACTTCGGTTGAGGATATCAGCTTTGGCGAAGAATTGCTGTTTGAGAGCGAGGGAGATTCGCGTCCGTCGAGATTCGTATTCGCCCAACTGCCCTCGGGACAATGTGAGATTGTTATGACGCTTTCTCATCTTCATCGAGCACTGATCACTTCTGCCATTAGTCGTTATTGCTGGCCGGGAGAACGGCGTTGTGGGGAATTTCTTCGAGTACGTGGTGCTGGGAGACGACACGAGGATAGTCGCCTTTCAGGTAAGACCTGTGACCATATGTTGTGAGTCCGCGCAATGAAGTATTGCTTACAGGTCCTCCGCACGGTCAAGTGGAAGACAGGAGAAAGTTGGTATTACGCCCAATTCGTGACGGATGCAGATTTCTTCTCCTGCATCTCTTGTTTCTCGGCGATCAGCGACCGTCAGGAAGCACAGGAAGACCGCGCAACCCAGGAAGTCGTACGTCTGGAGGGTTCGCTTGCCAAGACTCTAGGGGGTCCCACGAACACAACGCCCCGCGATTACGGTAATCATGATGGTAAACAGACGCTTGACGAAGTGCACGACGGCTCCGATGGGAGGAACACCTCCGACTGTTCCGACCAAATACTCTTTCCGTATTTGGGACCCGTGCTCTTTGGCGCGGCCATTGGAATTATGCTGGGATGTCTCATGGGAAAGAAATGACGTCCGACCCCGCTCCGTGGCACCTAGTGAGCTGTGTCCTTGTACTACTACCAGTTGCTTCCTTGTCACCTTTGTAATGCGTGTCTTTCTCTAAACATGTATGACTTCGCCCAAGTTCGCCGTTTGCATTCCTTTGTCACCTATCACTGTGGATTGCGCGCCGTACACCTTAGCGCGTGCACCAAGAGAAAGCGAACACGCCTCAAACAAGTCAGACTCAGAGCCATCAGGGTGACGCTTGAGCTCTGCTGCTCTGACATCGAGACGGTCTTATAGTCGGGATGGAGCTAACTTAGGGGTCGATGCGACTGCTTCGGTCGCTTGCTCACGCACATTTATCGGCTACTAGGCTTCAATAGATTTAGGGCTGTTGATGCAGCCTTTCTCTTTCATCTTTCGTCGACACTGAGCAAAGATGGGCCGCTATATACAGCTCCTCCCGGGCCTAACGTGCTCTGCGTAGTAGTCGCGAATATACAAGCGCTGGCGCGGTCCTCCTCCTCCTCCTCCTCGCGGCTCAGGCTCAGGCTGCCATACTGCTTACACACAACGGCTTTTTGAACAACCTGCCAGCTGTCTACCTCTGAGTTGCAGCCATACAAGGCTTATAGGACGGAGACGATTCCTAATCCATAATACAACAACTTAGGCAGACTCCTCCTCCTCCTCGTCTTTGTGGGAGGGTGATCGTATAAGACGTCCGAGTCCAGCGTCGCGAGCCCGCGTCGACGCGGACGGTGGGCGCTCCGGGCGCTATCGCCCAGCACGCTGCTCTCGATCGTCACGCGTCACCACCAATGTAAATTACCATCGACTCGATGACTAAATGGACCGACCCTCTTCGTCCTCGAGCAGCCACCACAACCGCGCGACCCTACGGCAAGATGCTCGCGTCGTTCGAAGGACACGCTCGCGCCCAACTCAGCAGCTATCTAGCTGAAGTACCGCGAGTTCAGCTAGCAGTCCACCGGCGACCCAAGATCGCCCACTCCTTCCTCCTCTCTATTCTCGACCCGGGAGGCCTTTCTCTCGACCCTGGCGACCTCTACTTGACGGCTCGCGGCTCTGGCGACATGCAATGTGCAAGCGAGAAGTTCACGCGAAACGTGGCGAACGCGGAGCGAAGAGGAGGAGGAGAGAATGCGGAAAGAGGAAGGGCGCAGGGCGAGTAGAACATACGAGCACGAAGGCTCGAACTTCGAAGGTACGCCCTTACTGGATGTACACGCCTCACTGCCACCTCTCTCTCTCCCTTGCCTGTGCCTGTACCTGCACCCGTATCAACGAACACGGGGGTCATTGTGCGCGCTGCTGGCAACGAATGTGGCATCTCCGTACCCGGGACGACCTCCACGTTGTAACCTCCACTTCGCAAGGCGACACGGCGGACGGGCAGTGTTGCACGTCCGATGTGTCCCGCCATTCCGCGACCTACCGTCGTGTAGTGAGTACGCCGAGCCTATTGTTCGACGTACACGCTACCAACCAGCACAGAGGGTCGATAAGTACAGGTACACCCTTGATGGACGTACCTGCCTCAGCACTGCCATTGCCACTGCCCGCGCCGAAACGACGAACATCAAGTTCGTCGTGTTAACCACGAAGATGATGCACTTGTGCTCCGGGACGACTCAAACGTTGTACCCTCGTCTATGTGCGCAACACGGCGGACGCGCTGCACGGCACGTCCGGCGTGTTCCGTCCATTCACGACTGAGCGTCGTATAGGCGGTACGTCGAGCTTACCGCTCTGACGTACATGCAATGAACGAGTGCTATATCACGCCTGGTGCATGTCTGGCGTGTCCATCTCGCACGACGACGCGCCTGGAGTCTTCACAAAACTCTAGCCGGCGCCTCCTTTTTATCTACCATCGCATGCGTGGATATGTCAAGCCCGTCACCCAATGTACCCGCTGCTGCGCCCTTCTCTGAATGCGCTCACCGTGGCCTCTTCGATTTCAACCTCTGCACGTTCGCGCCGAGTACGCGTTCCTGCCGATGGTATAGCGAACAACGGGTTCGCTGCACCCTGTGTCAGCAGAGCTACTGAGTCCCGGAACCCACGCGACAGCTTGGCTATGAGCCTCATGATGTCACGAAATATGATGTGTCCCGCAGGCAAAAGAGCACGCCCGGCGCATCTGCTTCCCTCACGCGATGTCCGCTCTTCGAGTAGAGAGTATGTCGAGCTCGAGGTTCGAGGTACTCTCTGTTGATGAGCCTCGCAACGCATGCGACACACGGACCATCATCCAAATCCCGGGCGTTGGGTACGTCGAGTAGCAGCTCGCTCGATGTACGCAATATTAAGATAGCTCTGCTTTCGATGACGGAGGGAGAAGGGACCGCCGCCCGCGGTTCTCACTTCGAGTCTCAGGAATCAAGACGCGGCGAGAAACTCCGACTGACGAGCAGAGAAACACGTCGATTGCCCTCCTCACATCGCCCTCAACTCCTCTCTCCCAACTCAACCACGCGACTGTCCTTGACACCACTCGCACTGGCGAACCTCAAACACATGCTGGGCTGTGCGATGCCATCGCGCGGGCGATAGCTGATACAGTCGTCGGTTCAGCCAACTAGCCAATCCACGCCCCCGCGCTGCCCGACAGCGACACATCCGCGAGACCGCCGTACGAAGACAAGCGAGCCGGCGCAACCGTGCTGCCCAATAGCGAGTCAGCCGTGTGACGTGCGCACCAAGGATCTCGGGGGAGGACTGGCGAGCTGTGCAGACGAGCAGCGCATAGGGCGCCCCCCCCCCCCCCCCGTAAGCCCGCCTCGCACGACGCGTTGGCACGCGCTCCGACCGCAACATGGTATGTTTATCGAGATGTCTGTGATGACCTCCTATTGACGCGTTGACGGCGTGTAGATTCAACCGTTTAGCATGCGGCTACACGGACGCAAGTTGACCGCGGGGCGTGCTCGTCGCGGGCATGGAGAACGGAGAGCCGGACACATGGCACCCTACGAAGGTCGTCGCAAATGCTGAATGAGTAACATTGACCACTGTAACGCGTTCGTTCAATCGTGATACATCCGACAGTCCGACCTCAGGGACTTAAGTGAGCCGTCCTCGCCTGGTACCTGCACTACGAAGCTTGACGAGTTCAAGGCCCTAGTATGCAATCACCACATCCAGTATGCTCTCGCGGCATTCCGCAGCACCGATAGGCCGACTTCTATGCAAACCGCGCGCAGTACTCCGGGGTTCGTGGGTAGTACCACGGTTTCTTCGGTCCTCAATGGTCCTCAGACACAGGTAGTCTTCTGTGAGCTGTACGCAGAACGTGGGAACTATATTACGGTCCTACGTCCAGTCTGCGTTGTACCTTTCCGCAACAACGAGCCGGTAGAGCCGTTAGTCTGACAAGAGCTAAAGGTCTGAAGCGCCGAAATAGGCGTAGATAGACGAGAGTGCTTACTTGGAGCGTACGGTGCACAAAAGACCAGCCATCAGAGAAAGAGCAAAAAGAGAGGAAGCGTGCGTATGATGACGTCTCGGCGTCGCATTCAATCTCTCCTCCAAAGGAGAAAAAACACAGGTCCCTTCCTCAGAGCCAATGAGCGCCGCGGTGGATACGGAACCGGCCGCGACAGATCCGAAGTGAGCGCGGATTGGTGGCACTCGGTGGAGGAGGGACGTTGGTACGCCGAGATACTAGTACATGCAGCGCTCAATCATTGGGGATCCTGCAATGTTCTCCAACGGTTCAAAGGTACAAATTAGGGGTGGCAGGATGCTAGACTCGAATGAAATGGGGAACTTTCAAATAGCGAACAATTTAGCTACAAACACTATCAAGACGAAAGCAATAACAAGAGCAGGACTGGGGATATGAAACAAAGGCCAGGAACAGGGCAGGCATTGACTCATCAACAACAATCAGGATGGCTGGTGACAACCCTCCTGGGAGAGTTTGTAGAGAGCACAGGTGTTCCGGAGCAGGATCAAGACAAGTTTTTGGTAATCTTCCTTCACTCCCGTTTGTGTGAGCCTCGCGCGGAGCTCCTCTACAGACAAGTCGTCTATGTTCGCTGGTGCTTGATCCACTGTGAGTTACGTTGTGCTCGTGTGCCAAGACACAAAACCTACCGTTCGGTTGCACCGCGGAAGCTCCATGGAAGACATCACTATTGTCATCGTTTGGTGCGCAAGTGATCTCGTACGCTAGTGCTGCGTCAATGATGGCCTGTCTGTTTCAGCGTCGTTAAGCCCCTTGGAGCAGCACAGCAGTGTGTCAAGAGTACATACAGAAGGGCACTTTTTTTATCCACTGGTATTGTGCATGGCATATTGTCTGGTTTCTTTCGACGACGACGCTGGTCGTGCTAGCTGGAGGCGATAGGCTAAGGCCTTGAGTTTCAGCGTCTAATGTAGCGCGGCGTCTCGCGTTACATACTGTAATACAGTAGGACCGATCGTGTGACGCTCGCAAACTTGAGAACGAACGAGCGCTGTTGAGTCGCTCTCGAGAGCGACCTTATATACAGGAAATCGACTCACGACGCAATCGTTCGTGATCTTCCTGCTGTTCGTTGTTTCGTTCCTGTTCTCGTGTCGTCTTTGAGCTCAGGTGGCCCTGTAAACCGCTACATCAATCTCTCCGCGGAGGACAGTTGTCCTACCACAGACTACAGCGTCCAGGTCGAGCCTCGGACTGACATAGAGCTTGAACCAAGTTTCCTCCGTATGTTATCTCGAAGGTACGCGTGATCATCTCAGGACACTTACATCGACGTTGAGGCCTCATCGTTCCCTCTTTGTATGCGTCTCCGCATGCAAGATCTCCCGGACGCAGAGTGCAAACGCGTCCGCTTGACCGATTTCTTTGTTAATGTTGAACAGTCGGAACAGTGCCGGTACGTACCCTCGTCTGGAGTCTGAAAGGAAGCTGACTATATGGGCACAGCTCGTCGCCCTTTTAACTCTACAAGACGCTCTTTCCCATCCCTCTGTCCTCAGAGAAGCCTCCTTGCAGACCTCTGCGCGACCCCAACCCCGCTCATGCTCTCTACGACGTCGGCTTGGCAGTCGTCTCTCCGTCGCACCACTGATACCCTGTCGCACCTCCCCAGGGACTCCCTCGGCCAATTTATTCTTGGCGACGGCTACGTCTTCAAGGACGACGCCGCGCCCGAGAATCCTCGACATCGTACTCCCTCCACACGCACATCCATGTCGATAACGCGTACCGGAGCTCCAAGACCGGTATGCGCTGCCTTCGCGAGGCGGAAATGAGCCCCCTCTTCGTCGTGAGCCACAGGCTGCACATCAAGATGACCTGTACATACGACTTGTCGGAGGGCGGGAAGGAAGAGCCGGTGAGCGCGACGGAGGTGTCCCGCTGCCCTTCGCGCGCGGCCGGCGCACGCGCCTTCGACTGCGCTAGCCTGCCTTTCGGGCCATGCACAAGCGTTCTCGATAGATGGGATGAAGCCGCAGCGCTATTCCCGATGGTGAGCCTGCCTTATGCGTCGTCCCTTCCGACGTACTCGCAGCTGTTCCTCGTGGGCCTGGCCATCAAAGCATCGCGTTTTGAGGCATGCTCTGTGCTGTTGAACCCGTCCTCCGGGACGAACCCTTTGTGAACGGTGCGGTCCATCCCGGGCATCGTCGAGCTTGTGTAGCATTCATCGGCGGCGATGACCTCATGTCGAGCCAGGCGGAGGGGCACATCTCCGCCGATTTTCTTATAAACGCGGACATCCATCTGCTCTGCATTGAGTGCTACAAACCACTCGGCAAGCACAACCTCCAGCAAGAGCAGCATCGTTGACGATACGGACGCGCGAACCACGTCTTGAACTGAACTCCGTGAGCGGGGTGCAGCCAAGGATACGATGGCCATGAAGGTCGATTACCCCGACCGCATCGTCGTCATCAATTACGTTCACGCCGTCGGGGACTTCAACTGCAGATCTTCGGCTGCTGCTGCTCCAAGTTGATATCTCGACTTAGCATCATCTTCGAAGATTACGAGGTGCGTAAGTAGCACGACCCTGACCGGAAGGTTGCAGAATTCATTGCTGATCATACTTACATCACACGGCTCTAATCACCACGTCGCTCATCCCATCACCCGCGCCACGGCCCGGAGCGTCATGCGCCCGCCAGCCAGAACGACTTCTCTTCGCTGTACATAGTGCCACATGCTCTCCAAGCCCCACCCGTGAAGCTTTTGAAGTAAGTCTTGTACGTTGGTTGTAACTCGTCCATGATGCCCCAGTACTTACTTGTTTGGATACACACGGTCATCGCCGCAACAGCCAGACCAGGTAGCGCAATTCACTCGAGACGTTCGTAGTTCTCAGAGGCCTGCATCGGTTGCCGGGGCAGCCATAACAATCTCATGGAGAGGTGCACCTGGTAGATATGTGGGGTACTGTACAAATGGTCTGTTATTTGCTACCGTATACAAGGCGCAAGAAATGACGGAATGGAGAGGAACGAAAAGACCAGCCAAGGCGATCTTTGGCTGTCATGTGTAATCCGAGTGTGTACGAAAGTGGACGGCAGTCAGCGTGCTTGGCAATGCCGCCTCGAAGAGCAGTAGAGACGTACTCAGGGATCGGGGTTCTGCTAGACAGTGGACGACGGGGCTTCTACGGCAGCCACAAATGTCGCCTCTCCCTTGTGCTTGATTTGTGCCTGGAGGGCGCCGACTTCATGCAGTATTGTGACGTCGTTTGCATTTGCGGGTTCGTTTGCCCGCGCAATCAGGATGCATTGCACCAAGGCTCTCAGCTCCTCAGAAGTGCCGAAATGGATAGTGAACGAGGTGTCATCCTGAAGCCATTGCATAGATGGGGGGCTCTGAGGGGCAATTAAGCAGATGGGGACCAACACAACGCAGGCTATGCACAACGCACCTCATCAAAACGGAATGAGACACCTGTGGCCAATATCACACTATAGTATTCATTCTTCGCCTCCGACACGGGCTTCTGAACCTTCATCATCAAGACGACTAACAGAGCATGTCATAACCTGCGTCAACTTGCGTGCAGATACGGCTTGTACTCACACGACCCGCCTGGCAGGCGAACAAACATGATGCTAGCTTTCGTGCTGAAGTCATCGGGCTCGCTATCTTGATCTGCCTGGTACAAAGCCATTGCACTGAACGTTGCGCGTTTGACATACAGCATGATGAGAAATAATCTGACAACAATTAGCTCGGTGATTCTCTAGCATAGCACGGAAAAGGGGCGCACTGTTCATCTGAAGATTCTTTCCTCAGCTCTTTTGGTATACGCCACTTCGACCAGGGAGGTTCAGCGATGCGGACTGAGGAGGAGGCCGGGTTCATCGATGCTTGAGGAGGAGGAGGAGGAGGAGGAGGAGGAGGATACAATAATCTGAGCTGCACAAATCATGCCCATGCACGACTACAGGCCCTTTATATCGGCGGACTTATTTGTTCCTTTGTCTAATCCACCGATTCTTCGTTGGCAGCGGTTCGAATTGTGAACCAAATGCAGAATGCATTATCAGCATCACGAGGGACGCTGGAACGAATTCTGAGTACAACTGTTCACAAGACACCCATTGGATAGCGATAGCTCGCCCGGAGGAACACGAGCAGGTCTGCAGAGTGCTGGGCGGTACGAGGCAGTGGAGGAGAGGAGGAGGAGGAGGAGGAGGAGGAGGAGGAGGGGAGGATCCATTGAGACATCGACCCGACAGCCACAGGCGCTGTCGGAGGATTAAAATATTGACGATGACAGCGCTCACTATAACTACAACACCACAACACCACAACACATAAGACTACGTACTACGACGACACTCTACTATCTAATACATGTGTATCCCCTAATGCCCCTATCCATTCCCCGATCGCTGCCAACTGTGGAGGAAAACTGAATGCTGGCGGTTTGCGGCAGCAATAAGGCTAAGAAACGATGGCGAGAGAATGGCTGGCGCCTGCGCATCAAACGGAAAGGTGGCCCGTTACAGGCTGGGCACGCAGACCTTTTGGCGGCCATATCATGATCAGTGCGTTGACGGGCTGACCGAACGTCATTCATGATCTGAGGCGTATGATACAGTGGGCCAGCCTGTGCCAGAGGCCGGAGGAGAGGAGGACGCATGGTTTGCGATTTGGATGGGCGCTAGCGGACCGAAAGGGACGGTCGAGGGACGGAAAGGGGCGGTCGGGGACGGACGGGTGACGGACATTCAAGCGCTCAGCGCTCACCAGCACCGTCCAGCGCTTCAAGCTTAGCTTCAGACCTTCAAAGCTTCAGCCAACGCGCAGCTTGAACATCGAATCACAGTGAGTCGACTATGCGCGTCGTCGCGTCGTCGCCTGGCGAAGTGACTGGCTGACTATATGCGTAGCTCTACGGTCCCTATATCATGCCACGGTCTAATACCGGTACATCGACCAGACAGTGGTCGACACTGAGAAGCTGTTGAACGCTGACCGACCACCCGACGGGCGTGCACGACAAGCCGAACGCGCCTGACCTGACCATCACGACCGTCGAGACCGCAATTGGTGAGGTTCCGCTGACCCCGCCTGTGCATGACGCTGAGCGCAGGGAACGTCAGCTTCTCGTATTACGACGGCCGGAACCAGGCGCTCGTTCAATGTCCCCGAGGCTCGTCCGTCGCGCTCGCCGGCCGACGGCATCCTGGCTACCGCATGGCTCTACGACCTGGAGGAGGGCGACGGGCGCGGCCGATTGACGGCTAAGATGTCTGAGACGTGACCCCGCTGGGCTTGCGCGAGGCTATTGGAGTCATCTTCAAGATAGTGTCCTCCTGAACGCGAGCATCGCCCACAATGTGAGTTATGGTCTTGGCTTCTATCTACTTCAGGTGCCGGGGCTGATGATGACATAGATATAGTAGGTTCGGTGCGGCGTCAGAGAAGGTTGAGGCAGTCGCGAAGGCCACATGTGCGCGAGCGGGCCATGAGCTTCCTGGATGGGTATGACACCAAAGATTGATGGATATGGCACTGAGATAGGCGGGCGCGGTGTCAGGATGAGCCCGGGAGAGAACCAGCATGCGGCGATCGCGCGGACCCTGCTTCCATCCTCCTGTGACGAGGCTACCAGGTAAGGGCGGTTCTGCTGCTGCGGTAGGCTCTGTCTCACGCTGCTGGTATAGTGCGCTGGATGCGGCGACGGGAAGGACATCCAGAATGTGCTGCAGCGCCTCGCGCAAGGACGGTGAGTATTTGGCGATCGCAGACAGGCTTCCGGTGCGTGTTCACTGACCGGTGCTTCTCTCCCCCTTGCATTCCGACACCGTGAAGCGTAGCGTGGCTTGCCCAACACTACCTCGGCTTTGGAGCAGGCATAAATGGCGTCACTCGGTCATGGTCTACCCGCCTTTGAGCCGTGGGCACACATGCCAGTGCCACCCGCAGGGACCATCTATCCCGCGCTCGTTGTCGAACCGCAATCCGCTGCCGATACTCCCGTATGATTCGTCCCCGGCCGTGTATTGCACCCTGTTGGTTGGACTGCTATAAACCACCGTCCCCTACGGTTGCTGACCGGCTCGCTCTTTGCCTCCGCTTTTCCGCAGCCTGGTGTACCTCTTCCCGATCAGGTTCTGCACTGAATCCGATTGTACGTCATTGATTCCTTTGTCAAACCGCGTCTCCGTCCCTCCTTCCTCACGGTTCCGCGATGCTGCATTCGTGTTGACATCGCACGTCACAGTCTTGGCAAATCGTTACGGTCAAGGACTGCCTTCGTCACCGCTTCCCGGCGACCCTCAGCCCATCGAGTTCCACTTGCGCGGGCTAAAGTGAGACCGCGCCCCGTTGTTTTATTCGTAGACGCTGACGACGCTCATGCAGAGATACAGGCGAAAAATAGTGACTCGCCCGAAACGCAGTGCTTCCTGATTCATCAGTGGCATACCATGTGTACATGCCCCAAGCTCGGGTACTTCCTTTGGGCACTCGTTTCCCTTTTTGCGGTTCTCTCCCGAAGCGCGAACGTTTCAGCCTTGAAATTGCCCGCACTCAAGGCCGCTGAGCAATCACCCTGCTCGTGGGTCAGCGATGCGCGGTTGCCAAGGTTGTGGTTGTGATTTTCTAGGTGGAGAGTTCGCTGCGTGCTTGCCTTACTCCGGTGGGGTCAGTGACTCTTCCTTGCTCACGACGTTCTCATGGTACCTTCCGCTTGTACATCGCTGACGACGGCCAACGGGGCTTTCGCAGGCGACAAGGGCGTGCTCAACACGCTTTGCGAAGTGCCGAGTGTACGTGAGATGCGTCGGCAGTGCTGATGAGTGAAGGCTTCGTGTAGGACATCGATGGAGACCGCTTTGTCAAGACATTGGTCTTTCCAAGGTGTGTATTCGTCTTTCTCGCGACCGAGTCTACTGAGCAGCGATGTCGGTCGGTCATTCCTCCTGTACTGGTGGTTTCTGTGGCTCTTGATCCTGCCGGAGTGCAATCTATGTGACGTGTGTTGGCTGATCCCTATAGGTTGATTGCATGGAGGTAATGTCTTTGCATCAAGCTCCGCTGCGGCTGCGATACGCGCACTGCTTTACAGCTCGGACGGTCCTCGACATGCAATCGACCTACTAACGCTGATGTGGAGGCGAGGCGTTGCTATCGACATGGAGGACACAGGTGGGATGCGTTTGATGTGTTTGCCAATCCCAGCTGACTGGTATTGGATCAGCCCCGACGACAGGCGAAAATCGCATTCCCGCACGCCATCGCAGGTCCGGCGAAGTCCGTCTCTACGACAGCACAGTGACAATGCATACAGACAGCGCGATGTCACGGCTATCTTCACTAGGCGGAACAAGGACACGTGAATCCTCTGCGCGACGCCAACCCACCGCATTTCCTTGCAGCCTTGTAAGTGGCGAGCCTACCGAGCGGCTGCGTTCCGACGGGAACATGGGCCTCCCACGTCCCCAGTCGTGCACGCACTAATCAACTCACCCTCACCATACTTCGTTCACGGGTCACTACGCTGAGTTCTCCCGTGAACTCGCAGCTCCGAGCGTTCTCAACGAGGACTCTACGGCAAGGGGAATCTTTGCTGATTACAGCGGCAATTTCCTTCGCCACAACTTCGCTAGCTCCCCCGTATAGCTCCCCCATACTCTCGCTCCGCCGCCTGATCTCGGTGGAGAGTACAGCGGCGCGAGGCTGCTGTCGTGAACAGGTGCCGTCAACACTCCCCACATACGTTAGCTCATATTCGCTCGCACCCCTATCTGGACCCACGCCGACGTCGGCGATTCTGGACAGCCTTCCCTTTGGTTCGATCCTTTGTCTGCGAGCTCCTCGTGTCACAATGTAAGTACTGAGTGACTGTTGCATTCTTCGGCGTCAATACTGATATATCAGTGGCTGATCGCGTCCTCCACAGACGCGCCGACGATCGCCCTCCCTCCAACATGCCCGTACACTCATTCTGGTGAGATCTTTAGACCGTTACGTACTCTGCACACACTGACTGTCTCAGGGGAGTGACACTCAACCCCGATCAACCCATCAGGTTCTCGCCCGAGGTTTATGACGTTCATATCACCCAAGCCGCTTTGAGTGGCGTCAGAGCTGCGGGCGACGTTACGGTTGTAGAGCTGACATGGAATTCCGGAAATAGCCCCCAGGGCGTCGAAGAAAGTTCCGTGATTTTGTGCTCTTTGTATCCAGGCGTAGTATGTGCTGTCGACTTGCCGGCGATCATGAACGACGCTCACTGTATGCGTGCAGATGGACCAAGTCGTTCTCAACATCTGGCTCGCTGCGCGACAACAGTATCAGCTTAAGGCCAGTGGCAGGACGTCAGTGATCCGAACTGATCCCTGCCGACCCTGTATGCTGACCTACAAGCTTTGAATCAGTTCCATCTCTTTGTTGGGTTACTATGCTGGTACGTGGATGCGCTTATGATGGATTACGAGCAGCTTAGACCGATCAGCTCCTGATACCTCCGGTCCACTGCCGGGATCTGGTTTGCGTGTTCCCCGATCATTGACGACAGCGTCTGAGTAAGTGGACAGCTTGCTAGAAGTTGTAATCGTTCTGACTGTTTGCCCGTCTTGTAGAGCAGCGTCACAACCGGTCCAGCAGCATAATAGCAACAAGCGTCCACGACTCGACGACGATGGCCCAGATGCCGGCCGCTCTGCTAGTGCTTCGACGAGCAGAACAAATGTGGTGGCCAAACCTGCTGCGAGTCTCTTGGGTTCCGCATCCCGCGCTATGCCCGACAGGGCTAGTGGATCGGCGGGACCGGCGAGACCTGCTGCTGCACTGCCCGATCGCGGCAACGTCGGCGTTACGACGAACACGGGAGGGCCGACAGGCAAGATTCCGCGCGAACGTAGCGACGCACCCAGTCGCAGCAACGCACCCAGTCGCAGCAACGCCGGTCCTTCGAACATGGGAGGGCAGATCAGCAACAGTACGCGCGAACGCGGCGATGCACCCAGCGGCAGCTACGCCGGTCCTTCGACGAACATGGGAGGGCAGATCAGCAGCAGTACGCGCGAACGTAGCCAGCCGTCTAATACGACAAAGGGCCAGAAGTTGAACCCGGCCTCATCTGCGACACGGATGGAGCCACTCGACTTGACCTCAGGCGCCGGCGATGCACTGAAGTTCGGCGACATTGTTGCTCTTGCACTCACCATCACTGTCCAGGACACAAACGAGATCATTGTAGACTCTCGGGCTCGCCCAGTACGTAGTTACCCTTGATCGCAACCGCCGTGGCGAATAACCAGATACCCAGATGACGATAAAATTGGGTCAAGAGAACCTATTGCCAGTCGTACAACACAAATTGGCCGGCATGAGGGTAGGGCAGCGCGAGATTTTGGTGACGCCGCCGAATGTAGCATATGGTTCGCACTCTCGCATGGTAAATAAGCATTTTGTGGCGCCTAACTCGACTCTCATCTGGGGTCAGTCGTCCTTCTTCGGCATGGTGTGTTATAGCTTACTGATCAATCTCGCAGACGTCACCGTCGTTGCCATCAATCCGGAGACATCCTCAGTTGAGTTGCAGGAGGAGGGCAGTCATGTCGGACTCGGAGCAGAGTGATTAGTATCCGGTATCAGGCACTATATATGTTGCTCCCCTGTAGAATGCTGTCGCGGACCTGTCGGCTTGTTATTTGTGGTTTAATTGACGTAGGATTCTCACGGATGGATCCGTCAAGTGCGCCGCACGCGTTTATGCGTAAACGGGTTGCGCCCAGGGGGCGAGCATGCAAGCGAGCGCTCATGAGTGTTTGCGTGAGTACGTGAACGTTACCTCCATGTACGCACCCTGCATGCGCGCCGCGGATATCTCCTGGCTGCTAGAACCGGCCCACGTGAGTGGTTCCTCCTCGAGCGCGTCGACGACGAGCCCGACCCGCCATATTACGCACTTAGCACACGGGCTAGACGAGTGCCTATTTAGTACGTTGACCGCCACGGCGACCTTCACGCGCACGACCCGGACTACCGCGACTTTCCTGCCACGGCGCGCGTCTCCGCAGCACCAGTCGCCGCGCCGACCGTCAGTACTTCAGTGCTGGACAGCATACCCCATCGCGCGCCATGACTGGCGCGCCGAGGCAGTTGAGAATGACGACGTCAGGACGCGATGATGACATTGAGTCCCAATCGCCTAGTACTCTCCGTTCGCGTCGCACGCTGCCACGCGCCGCAGCTCGACACCTGCGTACGTACCCGTGCCGTACACAGACTATACTAACGAGCCACATCCATCCTCATCGTCGCCAGTTGACTTGCTTGACGACCACTCCCCGAGTATGTTGCAGAAGTCGTCATTACACGATACGGGAATTCCATCCTCCCTCCTCCTCCATTTCTCGGGGACTACCTGGAGAGTGAGCCAATCACGATTCTCAACATTAATATTAGCTCCCGCATCATCTTTGCTCCATCTCACATACTAGCATTCGTGCCACCAGTCTCCTGCACCATCTGAGGCGCCTACTGTCTCTAGGCTTCGAGACACTGCGAGACATCGCCAGCACAATCCCGTGCTCACGATGCCCGCCCAATGCGTCTTTCATCGTCGGCTCAGAGGCGTCACGCGTGTGATCGTCCGCCTCTTACAATGTGCGTCGTCTCGTCTTGGTTTACATCCCTTCGTCCTCCCCCAGTGATACATTCAATTGAATCAATTCATCTCGGCGACTGTTCTCCCTCACACCATATTTTCGTCTCTCATGCGTCCTCAGGAGCCTCACGCGCGTCTCAAGTTTTCTCTGTCTTCTCTGTCAATCCTTCGCATTGCATCGGCCGCGGGGCGGTATCCTCATCCGCACGGCGTCGCGCTACCCCATGAAAGATGCTCTCTGTCCCCCCTCCCGTCGCCCAAGCGTGGACGATGCAATAGTGCATGCGCAGCATCACATGGTAGGTCGGTGAGTGTCTTCCATACCCTTGAGGGACCCTGCTGACACACTGCACCAGTACCCTGAGACGAGCGACGGCGGTGTCCAGCAGTACCCGCGATGTCGTCGTGAGTCCACCTAGCACTCCCAAGTCAGCTAGACTGTGCCCTAGTCTTACCTTCAGCCACTCCGCGCCGCGATGCACACTGCGTTACGTTCTGCGAACAGCCGGCGTTCGTCCGCACGGCATTACAATCAGCCCGACGACCACAACGTGTCCGGGCAAGCACGACGTCAACGACGCTACGCGACACCAAGATTCGGACACGTCGTCCAGCAACCACGCCCGTCTCTAACCCGATGAGTGAGTGGTTGTGCCTGCCTGTAAGTGCATTGATGCCGTGAATGCTCACGTAACGCTTACTCGCGTTAGACCAGTTCGACCTCGAACAATGGTCACAGACGTACGTGCAGGACAGCGGCACCGCGAGCTGACGTGAACATCTCGCGCAACAGCAGCAGGCGGTCGTCTCAGAAAGTGGGATGGCGAACGAGATGGACGGCGGACGAGATGGTGGACGGCGGACGAGATGGTGGACGGCGGACGAGATGGTGGACGGCGGACGAGATGGTGGACGGCGGACGAGATGGTGGACGGCGGACGAGATGGACGGCGAACGAGAGGCACAGCGAACGAGAGGCACGACAAGCGGCAGGGATGGCGAGCGAGAGACGGCAACGCATCACTCGTTGCATGTACACATAGAGGGCCATATCGCTCCTATGAATCTCACAGATGAAACCGCTTCTTCCCACTTCCTGAGAGCTTCAACGACACGACGACCACGCATGCAAGCAAGTCGAGTAGAGCATACTATCGAATCATATCTCGAGTCCAGCATGTTTCCGGCTGTATTCGTCGGCCTACCTAACCCACAGACCATTACCGTCCAACACCCAAGCCTGGCATCCGCTAAGTATCAACTCGTCGACTGCATGCGCGAGTTAACTGTCTCTCCAACCCCGCGAACATTCGGTATTATTAATGAGCCTCCCAGACACAGATGCCGTTGACACAACTAGGGCTACTACTCCCACATGCAACTAAGGTTCTATCTGTTGTCTTGTCGTCAAAGACCTGAAAGCCAGACATTCAGGTCAGTGAAAAACAGTGAAAATAGATCGTACACACGGCAAGTGCCTGAATAACATCCCAGCCTAGGCAGCAGTACAGTCATCACCCAGGATGCATGCGAAGCGCATGAACGGAGCTTACCTTCGTGATACAGTGTCTGGAAGTGCTCCCCTTGGTCGCTGTCGATGAATCTCACTTTGCCGCCGTAATCTCCATGGAATAACATTGCACCACCAACAGCATATTTGACGGGAAGCGATACGAGCCAATCAGGCTTATCCTCGATGTTCACATGCATACGATGAGATGCTGAAGGTAATTCGTACACTTGAAAGCCCTTCACTATGTTCGAGATGACTAGGTTATCTCCTGTAGGAGATACCGCACATGCTCCACTGACAGAAGACTATCAGGCAAACAAAGAGACGTGTATGTGCTTGACAACGCACCATAGCGGGGTGTGTATGACCCATAGTACCCTAGAGGAGCCTTTCTCGTAATGGTGGCAGCTGGAGGAAGGCCGCAAATCAGCACGGAGTCAATGAATGGCAGCACACGTACTGTATACCATGATGCAGGTAGGCAATGACGAGCTTGTTATCAGCGTGCTTGTCCTTGTGGAGCCATTGAACCGATGTTACAAGCGGCTCCTCGTCGCCATTGTAAGCGCTTGCGCGGGGCGGTTGGAAAGCTTCGCCGCATCCCCACCCTTGACAACCCTGTCAATACACGATAATATGTCGTCGTTCGAAACCCACCCGTGTCTTCCCATGGCCAAACTTTTACCGATTCATGCGCTGCGGAAGCCAGAATATATGGCACAGGACTGGTTCCGGCCTGCACAGGAGCCTGATTGACGGCCAGACATTCGATGGGTTTGCGGTGCCCTTCGAAGCCTGAGATTGTCACAGAAGACTGGTGGCATTATTCTTAGGTCACACCGACGACAGTAAATCATGGTCAACTTACGATGCACACAGTAACCGTGAGCAATGTACCGTCCGCCGTGCCAGAGACGAACACGTCCGGGGCCCCCGTCCAAGCCAGAGACAAGACAGCGGACTTCGTGACTATGCGATGTAGCACTGCTCCAGTATCCAAGGAGCAGATCGCGATGCGACAGTCTGAGCTACAACTCACTAGGTACTTGCCATCGGGGCTGATAGCGATGGAGTTGATGGCATCGTTATGTAGGTCAGTCGCTTTCCACCTGGGTGTGAATTCGGACGACATCTTCTGTCAGTGAGGCGCATCAATTTCAGACGCGACGAACAAACGGCTTTGTTACGAGAGGCATGGTAGCGCGGAGGTATTGCTCACCTTCCTGGTACGAAGCGCCTCGGAATGGAATAGAGATCAACTTCGGAAATTCAGGAGATGCCGAGAAGCACGAAAACGCAGCTCCTCGCCAGGGATGCCTGACTAGAGCGTAGGACAAAAAGTTCGAAACTCAGTGACCCAACACTGCTGCCATAGATTAAACAAGGACAGTCAAATGCGGCGGATGTCTGTTTGCGATTGCTTGGATGGGCGCTAGCGGACGGTCGAGGACGGTCGGGGGACGGACGGGTGACGGACATTCAAGCGCTCAGCGCTCACCAGCACCGTCCAGCGCTTCAAGCTTAGCTTCAGACCTTCAAAGCTTCAGCCAACGCGCAGCTTGAACATCGAATCACAGTGAGTCGACTATGCGCGTCGTCGCGTCGTCGCCTGGCGAAGTGACTGGCTGACTATATGCGTAGCTCTACGGTCCCTATATCATGCCACGGTCTAATACCGGTACATCGACCAGACAGTGGTCGACACTGAGAAGCTGTTGAACGCTGACCGACCACCCGACGGGCGTGCACGACAAGCCGAACGCGCCTGACCTGACCATCACGACCGTCGAGACCGCAATTGGTGAGGTTCCGCTGACCCCGCCTGTGCATGACGCTGAGCGCAGGGAACGTCAGCTTCTCGTATTACGACGGCCGGAACCAGGCGCTCGTTCAATGTCCCCGAGGCTCGTCCGTCGCGCTCGCCGGCCGACGGCATCCTGGCTACCGCATGGCTCTACGACCTGGAGGAGGGCGACGGGCGCGGCCGATTGACGGCTAAGATGTCTGAGACGTGACCCCGCTGGGCTTGCGCGAGGCTATTGGAGTCATCTTCAAGATAGTGTCCTCCTGAACGCGAGCATCGCCCACAATGTGAGTTATGGTCTTGGCTTCTATCTACTTCAGGTGCCGGGGCTGATGATGACATAGATATAGTAGGTTCGGTGCGGCGTCAGAGAAGGTTGAGGCAGTCGCGAAGGCCACATGTGCGCGAGCGGGCCATGAGCTTCCTGGATGGGTATGACACCAAAGATTGATGGATATGGCACTGAGATAGGCGGGCGCGGTGTCAGGATGAGCCCGGGAGAGAACCAGCATGCGGCGATCGCGCGGACCCTGCTTCCATCCTCCTGTGACGAGGCTACCAGGTAAGGGCGGTTCTGCTGCTGCGGTAGGCTCTGTCTCACGCTGCTGGTATAGTGCGCTGGATGCGGCGACGGGAAGGACATCCAGAATGTGCTGCAGCGCCTCGCGCAAGGACGGTGAGTATTTGGCGATCGCAGACAGGCTTCCGGTGCGTGTTCACTGACCGGTGCTTCTCTCCCCCTTGCATTCCGACACCGTGAAGCGTAGCGTGGCTTGCCCAACACTACCTCGGCTTTGGAGCAGGCATAAATGGCGTCACTCGGTCATGGTCTACCCGCCTTCGAGCCGTGGGCACACATATATGCCAGTGCCACCCACAGGGATCTTCGATCCCGTGCACGTCGCCGCACCGCATGCGCAAACCTTTGCTGTCGACAGCACGGCACTCGTGTTGTCCGTGTCTATCGTCTGTCTTCGACAACTCGCTCACCTGGACTCAGCCTGTCGCCGCGTGCCCGCATCCGAGCATCGCCTGCCCCCGGCCTGTCTTCTCGCCAGTGACTGCCATGCGCTGTTCTTGCACACGGCATCTGACATGATATGTCGAAGAGGCCGCCGTCAGATCCTTTTGGAGGAGCTCTGCGAGGACGAGAAGCGCGCTGGCGAGAAGAAGGGCAGGCTGGCGATGGAGGTGGTGAATATGCCTGCGAAGGACACACCCCAGCGGAAGGCGGCGGACTGCGCGTTGGAGGAGCTCACGTTGGGCGCGGACGGCGCGGCGGTGCAGGGCCGAGTGCGTGTGAAGAACATGGCGTTCCAGAAGTGGGTCGCGGTGCGGTTCACGTTCGATTGGTGGCAGACGACGAGCGAGGTCACCGCGCGGTATGTGCACACCCTCGAGGGCGGCTTGTTCGACGTGTTCGCGTTCACGATACGCCTGAACGACATGCTCGCTCGCATCGAGAAGACGCTTTTCATGGCGATCCGGTATACGGTCGATGGCAAGGAGATCTGGGACAACAACGACGGCGAGAACTTCCAGGTCAAGTTCTCCAGACATTTAGAGCCGCCGCAGCCCTCTCCCGCCCGGCGGTCCAGTCCCATAGCGAGAGCGAGAAGGAGAAGGAGCAGACCGAGCGGAAGAACATCTCCGACCTGCGCATCGAGCTCGAGAAGGTCGCCTCCACACAGTCCACACAGTCGCCCGCGCGCAAGTCGCCCTCGCCCCGCGCTCAACCTCCGCTCGTCGACGCCGCTCTCCGCGCGCTACGACCTCTCCGCGTCATTTAAGCGGCCGTGGAAGTCACCGTCGCCGGCCGCGCACACGCGCACGAGCACGTACCCCTCTGCCACGTCGCCCAATGCGTATCGCACCCCCGGCTACGGGCGCGCGGGATCAGCGACGAGGGCGGATCGCGGGCGCGGACGGGAGGCGAGCGGACAGCGAGCGGATCGCGGGCATCGAGGTAAGTGCAGACGCACGCGAGTGAGCCCACTAACGCAGACACAGGACGTGGTCACGTGCAACGCGACGCACACGACGACCGCGAGCACGCAGGGCCAGCGCCCTGTGTGCAGGCACGGCCGACGGACGCACGGCGGGCAGACAAGCGGGTGGGCGGGCAGGCAGCAACACACCGACCGCGAGCGCGCTGGGCGGGTGCGTGAGCGAGCGGGCGGGCGAGCGGGTGTACGGACAGCCACGATGCGCACGACGACGACGAGCACGCAGGGCCGATGCCCTGCGTGCAGACGTAGCCGACGAACGGGCGGCGGGCGTATCAGTGGACGAGCGGAGGACGAGCGGGCAGGCGGGCGAACAGGTGGGCGAGCGGGCGCAAGAACGGGCGGGCGAGCGAGCGGGTGCACGACGTATGGGCAAGGTGAGTGGACAGCGGGCAAGGGGTAGATCGCAGACACTGACGAACGCACATACAGGCGGAAGTGCGAGTAGGCGGGCAAGCAGACCAGCGGGCGAGTTGCCCGTCTGCTGCACGACCACGTCGTTCACGAGCGCGCAGAGCCAATGCCCTGCGCGCACACGCGGCCGACGAACGAGCGACATGCGCGGGGATGACGAGGAGGAGGTGCGGGCGGGGGGGGGCATGAGGGTGAGCGAGCGGGCCCACGAACGCGTGGGCGGACGGGTGAGTGCGTGGGCAACCGCATACACGGCGACCGCAGGCGCACTGGGCGAATGCCCAGCGCGCAGATACGGCCGACGAACGCGCAGGCAGGTAGGTGAGGAGGTGGGCGAGCAGGCAGACAAACTGGCGGGCGAGACGGTAGGGATAGCAGAAAAGTGTAGTACATTTCAATCGGGCGGGTGATGTGTAACAATAAATCGGAAATAAATGGCATTATATTCGGATGAGCGTGGATTGCGCGAGAACAAGGATGCTTTCCGTATAATGACAGCAATCAATTGCAATGTACAGTAATTCGTAGTTATGTAATGGATCGAGAGAATGAAACGCGCTCAACGTTGGAAGTGGCGATCATCGATCAGGCTTATCTGTCTTACTAATCCTAACACATCGCGGCGAGCCAACGCTGCGCCCCGGCCGTGTTCACCTATGTATGTGTTGTTGCATGCCGTCCTGCATTCTAGACTCGGAACTCCTGTAGGGCACCGATTGAGTACTAGCCAGTACGTGAGTACACTTCGATCAGGCGATGCGCGGCGCCGGAAACAGCTGATAGATACTTGCTACACACTTCCTCCCGCGCATACGATTCGGATTCTGCGGTTGCCACTGTCATAGGCATGCCAAACCGAGCGGCCGCTGCGGAGTTGCGTTGGTGCGACTGCTTTGAATGCGTCCAGGTTATCAGCGAGCATCCTTTAACCCACAAACGGATGCCGGGAAAACCGTACGGGCGGAAAGAATTCTACGCACACCGGAAACCCCGCGGAAACGCACCGGAGGATGTCAACCCAGGTATTGGAGTGCGACTCCAAGCTGCCTAAAGTTGTTGATATATTGTCGATGTCGTTGTAGGTATCAGCACAGACCTTGAGGACGGCGCGTATGCTCAGGCCCGGTCCAATATGCCCAGCGGAGAGGCGCCTTTCAAACGACCGTCGACACCACAGGATCACCCTGCCATTGCCCATCTACAAGAATTGCGGGACGACCTTCCGAGAAGGAAGTCAGCACTGGAGGAACAAGGCCACCATATGATCTTCCAAACCCCACCTCATGCGCTGTCATCAGCTGCTGCGGAAGTCAAGGGGGCTAGCGATGACGCTGTAGAAATCAACGCAGGTACCTTCGGCCTCGCGTACGACGATCCCCAGAATGCGGCTCTCCTTGAGTTCGAACAGTGGCTTTTGGACACCTACGTCGATCTCGAAACGACAATGAATAGCCGGAACGTATCTGTTGCTACTCGAGCTGACTTACTTCGAATGGACTTTGGCGCTACGCTGGCTGAGGTAGAAAGGTGGAAAGTCGCAGAATGGGAACGACAGCGGTTGGAGGCAGTAGAGGACCTGCGAAGCCAGAGACCGGAGCTGCCTGGCGAAAAGACGTCGGTTGATACTGGTTCGATATCTAGCCCACTGTTGCAGTGAGAAGCTAACGAGATCCATGTAGAGCCATACGTCTTTCCGAACACGCGATTCTTCAACCCGCTAGTGCTGTTGTGCTACCTGATCGTCGGCGTCCTCCATCTTCTCTGCGGACTCTCGATCAAGCGCTGCGGTTTCGTCCTGGGTAGTCTGCACCTACTCCTTACCCTAACACCTACCTTCGTGGAAGGTGCAGAATCCGCACCACACAACTCAGAGTATGCTCGCGTCATCTCTCAGATACCGCTCGACGCGCGAACAGTGATTAAAGACCTCGCAATCTCGCCGAAGACCAAGCCGTACGTTTGCTGCCGCCAGTGCTTTGCAATATACCGACTCGGGGGAGGGAGCGACTATCCGGATCATTGCACTAAGCAGTGGACAGCGAGTGGAGACGTCTGCGGGGCCGAGTTGCGTAGGTCGCGCTTGATCAATGGACAGCTGCGAACCTTCCCTGCGCGTCAGTACGTGTATCACGATTTCAAGGATTGGCTAGGGCGCCTCTTGTGTCGCCCGGGAATGGAGGAGGTCATGGATCGAACGTTGGTCGATGCAGTGAAGACAGGCGACGCCGCAGAGATTGGTGACTTTTTCGATACGGCGACACTTCGTGGCCTCGTTGATCCCGACGGGGGCATGTTCGTCCAACCCGATATAACAGAGGGACGATACGTCTTCAGTATCTGCATGGACGGGTTTCTTCCGAGTGGGAAAGGCGGCAACGCTTCGGTGTCTGTCGGAGCTATATACCTGGCATGTCTAAACCTTCCAATTTCGTTGCGGTACAAAGAGGAGAATCTCTTCCTCTGCGGAATCATCCCCGGGCCAACCCATCCATCACAAGAACATATCAACCCACTGTTGTCGCCCCTCGTGGACGACTTCCTCGATGCCTGGTATCATGGGATCCGGTACACTCGGACATCCCTTCACAAGTCAGCCAGAACTGCTCGATGCATGCTATGTCCCCTCGTCTCGGATCTACTTGCGGCTAGACAGATGGCGGGGTTCTCTGGACATGGCTCCACTTTATTCTGCTCCCACTGTTTCCTAAAACTGGACGACATCAACGATCTAGAATGGTGGCACTGGCCGCTTCGAAGAGGCGCTGAGCAGAGAGCGGCTGCAGAGCGTTGGAGGCGAAGCGATGATCCGGATGAACGGGCTGAGCTCTTCCGTGAGCACGGTATCCGCTGGTCGGAGCTCATGCGACTACCGTACTGGGATCCTGTCAAGTTCACCGCCATCGATCCCATGCATGCCCTCTTGCTCGGTCTGTTCCACCGTCATTGCAGCAACGTGTGGGGTATGGACTCTAGATTCAAGGACGGATTAGAGGGTCGCTCCAATGATCCGGCGAAGAATGCGCCCACAGATGATCAAGTGCGCGAGGCCCATATCATGGTTAAGACGGGGACCGATCGCGACATTCAACGTTTGCCGAAGGAGGTAGCCAGGATCGTGTGCAAGGAACTCAAACTTGCATACTCTGGTCGGATCGGAAAGCTGCGCAGTCGTCTGCTTAAACTCGTTAGTACATCCGTTCCTTCATGTATGACTACGACCGACCGAACATCGACAGAGGACGGAAGCAGGGTGGCCGGCGGACCAGAATGAAGGTGCTCCACAAGATAAAGCCAAGAGTGCCCCCGTGTCATCCTGGACTCCTCTCAACGATTTTCAGCTGCAGGAGATTCTCGCTGCCCTACGCATCAAGAACACGACTCCTCTACCGACCCACAATCTACCCGTTTTAATCAAAGCGTGTGTCCATGCTTTAGGCGGCAGTGAGGCACAATATGACAAGCTTCGACTCCACGAGCTACGCTCAAAGCTCGATAACTACGTATGCTCTGCTTCTGAATTGCAGGGAAGTCAACGCTGACGATAACCGCCGCAGAGAAACGCACAGGGGGTGTCCGAGCCGAGCGATACCGACGAAACTCTCGTATCCCTCTCCCGGAAGACTGGCCAGCCTACGCAATGGGAAGTTGACTATGCGATGGCCATCCTAGACTATGGTTCAAAGTCTCATTTGCGAACGTTACGCGCCTCTGTACTCGCCGAGTTGTGCGCCAAGAGATTGGGTGGTCAGCCTTCTGGCTACCAGGCTATGAAGAGAGAACAGTTATTGTACAGGCTCAATTTATACGTCTGTATCCTCTTCCACGCCTAGCATGGTCACAAGCTGACGTATGCCCATAGCTTCAAGAAAAGAATACGTCCAATGCTGCTAAACCAACAGCTCCCTCGGCGAACTTACCTGTCAGCGAAACTGAGCTCATCATCGCTGAAGATATATTCGAACATGGATCAAAAACTAAACTCAAGGCTCTCCGTGTCGCATCCGTGACTGCGCTCTGCATGTCCAAGCTGGGTTGTACACGGCGTGAGGCCGAGAAGATGAGCAAACGTGACGCACTCTCGAGGCTGCAGCAAGATGTAAGTTCAAAATCCCGTCGCGCCCGCGTCTGTAAGACTCACGATTTTGAAGCGTCATAGAAGAGGTATAACGGACGAAGACGGGCGACTAGCTACGAGCCGGAGATCGCGGACCAGGGTTTTGGGTCAACACACTCTGCGTCTCATCTGGGCAGAGATGCAGGACATAACATTGCCGTCTGAAGTCTCACGGGCACCGTCAAAAGCAGGTGCTCCAGGTTCAGGGACCCTCTCAGCGGACGAGTGGCGGACGTTCTGTACCATCAACCTTGTCGTCACCTTGGGTTGGGCTTGGGGGACCCTTCCGAGCGGCAGGAGAGAGTATGCACTCTTCCGAAACTTTATGGATCTAGTCACTGCCGTCAAACTAGCAACAGCGAGGTCGGTGACTGAGCAGAGTCTGTGGGAGATGCAGACGGCTATGCATCGCTACCTAACGAAGCTGCTGGAGCTGTTTCCGGGGACGACCATCAGTCCCTATCAGCACATGTGCCTCGGTCACCTTCCTATGGTCCTCAAGACGCTGGGGCCTGCGCATGCTATCTGGTGTTTTGTCTTTGAGCGTGCCAATTTTATCATGCAGAGGATCAAGACAAATAGCCGGATAGGTAAGCTCAACATCGAGAGACTTGATGTAATGTCGTTGCTCAACACTCTCCGTAGAGGATCTTTCTGTCACTCTCCTCAATCGTTTCTGTACTCGACAGAACCTGCGGGCGCTATTCTCCCGTCTGACGCTTCCTCAGGCACTGCATAAGATTATACCAACCTACTTGAAGACTTTCGAGTCCGACACCAGAGGGACCCTTAACGACGTGCTCTCTTTCGACTCGAAGACCGATGCGACTCTGGACAGTGGGGAAGACGAGGACGCCGACAAAAAGACTCGGCCGCACGCTCTTACGCAGGATGTTATTGAGGCATTGCACACACGTGTGGGCCAAGCAAGCCGTCGTGCGATCTCTCTGAAGTCCGTGGAATATCTGGGTGCTCGATACAGGCCACATGCAACGTCCCGGAACGACAGCATAGTAGTATTCAGAATAGGCGGTGATACGGAGTGGAGAGCCGGACGCATCCGGGAGATACTCGCACAGGAAGCTGTAGGCACAGAGACTACGACCGGACCAAGAGAATGGAGAACGTGGATCATCGTCGAGGAGTATCGGTCCCTAGACCCACATCATCGTGAATTTGACCCTTACAGGGACTTTCCCATGGCCGGAGGGCGTCTCTTCTACTCAGCATTCATGCCCAAGTTGCTCGCTTTGACGGTCCGCGACATCGTGTGTCATGCAGCAACGATCAATCGAGTCTTGCCTGGGCCCGGGGATCGGTGTGTGCATATCCTACCATTGGACAAGGTACGATTCAACTTAACATCTATGGATGAGGAAGCTCACTCGCGCCTATGTCAGTGGTGACGTGGATTTGTTGTTTCGTACTTGTACTCATAGAATAAAACACCTCTACAATGATTGCGATGTCGATTCATTCACAGTGCATTTTGTGCTACGCTCTGTACAATCCGTTGAAGGCAATGTCCGCTGTTCGATCCTCATTTAGACCCAGGCACTCAACCTCCTCATGCGTTCTCCTCCTTTCCGTCGGATTCGCCATGAACCCGCACTCGATACAAACAGGTCGAATCGGGCGAACCCCAGTTGGTCAAGACTTGAAAAACTACCTCCTCGATCTTGAGCGAGTGCACGGCGTCGTCGACCGGGAAGGTCTGAATGTGCTGTGGCTTCAAGACATCGTATTCCAGTTCAGCGATAGGAACGGCCTCAAAGCCGGTGGGTATCGCGGATGGGATCGGGAACGTACGCTTGACCTGAGTCGCGGCGTTGGTCTTCACCGATGCAGAGACAGGCAGAATGGCCCATACAAGGACGGACCGCGGCGCCGTACGAGATTCGCGGTCGAGTGAAGAGGGTAAGTGGTCAATCGTGACATTCCTGATGCGGACGGGGTCCGAGAGCCTGATCCCGATATACCCGGATGACCCGACCATGGGCCAGCAGCTCCCTGGTAGCAGGTTGCGCTTCAGGACCGTGGAGGGCGAAGGCCTCCTCTCTCCGGACGCGAAAGTGGAAGCAAATAGTATTTCGGCAATTCCTCGAGTGTCGTAAGTAAGGGACGTTAGCTCGTTGATAGGTCTTGCGCCAGCAGCGTAACTGGCGAAGTCCCGAAGCCCAAGGTCGTCCTGCGAAGCACGGAGAAGTCGCATGTCTATCTCCCTCGCTATGCGCTCCAGGGTCACCGCAGTCGCGGGGTCCGCCTGCGCTGCTTGCATACAAAGCGTGGGGGGTAGGAATTGGTGAGCGCGTTCCGGAATATGTACCTCGTAGTGACAGAAGACTTGCATCAAGACCCCGACCAGAAGAATGGAAGCGGCGCCGCCGAGCATCACAATGATGCACTGCCTAACAATGAAGGAAGCAGCGACGATCGTGTCCAAGAAGAACTTGAAAAAGAGGTGAGGACCTGCGAGCATTGCATCGGCAGCAAGCAAGGGCGCGCGGTCAGGCACGTTCGACGAGCTCGAAGGAGGGGCAACACCAGTCCCAACATCTTCGTGACCACCACGGGAAGTTTCATCCACACTGACCGTGTTTGAGATCGGAGGCGAAGAAGAGTTGTTATGTATGAGAACGTGATCACGCCGTTCAATGCCGACAACGGCGAGGGCGGGAGCAGAGGGAGGACGACCGCGACCTTGGTTGTGCGCATACGGCGGCAAGCCACCAGCTTGACTCCCCGTCTGGGTGAATGACAGACCTTCGTATGGCGCGCCAACATCCTCTCGCGGTGGCGCAGCTAGAGCCCTGGCGAAGTTGTCGGAGTCAGGTGCACCTGGAGAGGCAGCCCTTCAGTTCAAAGTCGTCAACATGAAGTTATAATGTTGAGCTGCTTACGTCCGTAGTGCGATGCATACTGGGGCAAACGCTCGGGGGATTACCGCGAAAATCGTCGAAGACACTGTAGCCGCGTAGGGAAGGGCCTGCCTGTATGAAGCACTGAGTCAGTTCACACTTGCGTTACACAACACAAGGGATGCCCACCGATTGATCATCAGAGCCACCGTGGAGCTTCTCGTACGAGGGTGTCCGCTTCCGGAAGCGATCGCGGATGTGGCCTGTTGTCTGTTCCATGTGTGAAGCCTACTGGCGATGTTCCGACGTAGATGGACTGAGCTTACACGCTTACACTGGCAGAGCATCTGTATTTATAGATGGCTGCGCCGGTGGGACCAACGAAGAGGATAAGAACGAGCGGAAGCATCAGTGCACGGTTACAATACGGCGGCGAGCCGTGGCATGTCCTATTCAAGCACTTCTAGGGCGTTCCGTCCGCCATTGTGGACAGCAACGGAGACTAATATGGACAACAATCACCAGTACCCCGGTCCCCGGACCGTCCCGGGCCATCCTGAGTCCGTCGCAACACCTCGCTATCGCGCGGCAAATGCCGTCAACACTTCAGCTCTCTGCGCCCATGACCACTACGCGATCTTCAACGTGCGGCTGGAATCCATAGTCTGTGAGTAGCCGTTCAATATAGATGACACTCCCAGAGGTCATTCATAGATATGCCTGACTGCGGAAATTGGCAGAGGTCGATCGGCACGTCGTTCACGTTCATTGGTCAGTCGACACACAATGCAAGCCCGAGATTTAACTGAGCACTTGCAGAGGTACTCTTCCGACCTCGCGGGCGCAAGGGAAGTCTACATCGTGCGGGTGCCGTACCGCGTAAGACTTCATGTTGAATGCATGCTGTTCGTATGGGGTCTCTGATTGGGTCTCAGATTTCAGGCAACTGGTCAATCCGCCTCTTCGTTCGGTATGTTTCCCAGAATCAGATCCTGAATCCTCCCCTTCGGTCGTGGGCGAGTAGTTGGACAGACTAGGTATGTATGGGCACCCACGTACATGTTTCTGGTGCTGTCTCGTTCAAGTTAGTGATCCCAGCTTGCTATGACGTTCGAGCTCTGTTCTTCGTGATAAGCTCCACCCAGAATTTTATTCTCTTCGGTGCGATAAGGACAAGCAAGTGCTTGTAACTTGCAGACAACTTCGTTGAGCCTTCCCATGCGCCCGTACCAACGCATTGCACACCCACCTATCGGTGCGCCCATTCGGGCTTCCCGCTATTCTACCCACCTGCCTGCTTACCCGCACATCCGGCCCCTTCACGTTTGCTCGTCCATTTGCTCGTGCGCACTACCTGGTAGCTGGTGCTCTGCCGCCTTGCCAGTGACGCGATGGTTCGTTTGTTCTCGTTCTATCTCTCACAAAGTGTCTGAGAATTCTGTCGGCGCGCATGAGGCGACGATGCGTATTGACTGACCACTTCCACATAGCAAGGTTGGAGACGATTCCCGAAACGAGGCTATAAAGCGCAGGGCTACGATATGAGGTGACGAAGTGAATCAAGGGACTGATGCGCAATTGACAGGGGATCCCCCTCATGCATGAACACCTCTGGGATGCGAGATGGTCACTTTGCGATCTGAACGCTGCAAACCCGGTGAAGCACGTCGTCCAAGAGCTTGCTTCGCGGCCTAGTACGCGGCTCTTCCTGACACATCGCGTATCTAGCAAGCGATCAAGGAGATCTTTGACGCCTCGTCGACTGCGAACTTTTGCTTCTCGCTGTCCGCCCGACGGAGCTCTTGCGAATGTGGCGGCTCGAGTTCCAACGTCGCTAGCTCGAGCGGAGCGGGCGCTACGCACGCAGATCGATAGCAACGTGTGATGATGACACAATGCATTCGCGGTATGTAACAGTAGGTTCATTTCTTGGTTCCCTTTGTCTCTAGGCGATGCTTGCCCCAACCCTCGATCCCCCCTCTCCTCCTCCTCCTCCTCCTCCTCCTCTCGTATCGGCCGCATCCGCATTCGTTTCGCTCACGGGCAGCCATACATTGGAGCTCATCAGTGCAATGCCGTCTTGGTCGCAGCCACTCTGTGTAAGACAGTCCGATGGACGCATGTTGTGAGTCGCCCTTCCATCAGCTTAACTACGACATTTGCTGATGTGAGTGGCGTATGTTTAGACAGTACAATGTCCTGCTCTGCGTGAAGTTGACGAACTGCTTAGCCGCGAGCCGGCCTGGCATGTTCACTGGCCCCGAGCAAGAAGGCACGATGCTTGTTGTTCAGCTCCCGGACCCGGGGATGTGTGAGTACCTCTTTCGATCATGCGTCCACTACGTCCCTCACCACAGGCGTAGATGCCATCATATTGAATGTGCTGAACCATGAAACTGGGCGGCAGGTGTACTACAAGACCCTCATTACTGCACTGGTTCACTTCGTTATATACGAGGTAAGCCACTTGATGTAATGACGTCTGCGATATTCATTGATACACTTCACAGCAACAAATGACGATGCGTTGGAAGGCTACTGTCCCAACCCATAGTTGTTATCTGATCGCCCTGGAAGACCGTGGAGATTTCTGGTCCGTCATACAATGCCTTGGGGACTGCAAGGCCGACGTACAACACCGCCAAGCTGCAACGATAGAGCACTTCAAGAACCTCGAACGCACGTTCAACGTCGTCGCAGGAACTGCGCTGCATGCGGTGTTCCAGGATATAGGCAAGCCGATACACGTCTCGCTTTTCAATCGCTGCCTATCCATGGTGGCGGGATGGATCTGGATTCTGATCGATATCCTTGCTTCCGTATACAACTGTTTACGCCGCACCGGGCAGGGATCGTAGTTGAGTCTGGATTTCTGGGCGAGCCCGTGTCCAATTGCCGGCGTCCGCCCGACGAAATTTTGTGGCTGCATCGTGCCATGTTACTGTACCTTCACTCTCTCCTGTATGTATCTATCGTGGACCCTTGATCTATGGTCAACTTATGGTACTACTCGCTGAAAACCATCATGCATGCTCTACGCGCATTTGATCTTTGCAATGACTCGGAGGAACACCTATGAATGTCGGTTTCGATCTCACGTTGCTGTCACTCAGTACTCAATATCAATATTCAATCTCAGCACCGATCGATCTGTCGAGGAGGAGTGATCTCCTCCGCGGCAGGCCTTGAGGGATGTGCCTACTAACGACAGTATGGGAGCTTGACAACTGGAGCTGCGCAAAAGTCGTCCCCTACCGGTGGACATCCTCTAGACCTGCTCCGAATAACTGCCTCCTCCTCTTCCTCATGTCTACTGGCGTTACGTCGCGCTCGTGCACTGGCAGCACCTCCGGGGTACGACCAATGACACGACTCTCGTCTCGGGTTGCTGACATATGAGGGAAAGGCCTGCACCGCAAGTCCAGGTCGTCCAGCCTCCGAGTCTATACGCTCATCTCGTCTTACCCACCCACACACCTATCCGGCCTTGAATTCGATGTGGTAGATCCCGCGCTCGACGCGCGGCGTACCCGTCGCAGTGACGCTCCTTCTAAAGCACAGACCCGGGGGGCGATGTCGCTGCAGCAATTCGTTCCGTGTGAGTAGGTGAGTGCATCCCTAGTCCTCCACTGCGAATTCAAAATCGACGTTTCTCATGCTTGCGATCCTCTGCCTAACAGGCGACGTGATAATGCAATTGACGGGTTGACGGGAGACTCGAAGGATCGGCGGACGCCATCGAGGGAGCTTAACTGGGCCTTCGCAGCCATAGGTAGTACTGATCGCTTTCCTGTTCCGGAGCTTCCTATTAGCGATAGCGAAACGGGCCATGAAGAGGTATTATTGCACGCCTCAGACATTGCCCGCGACACACGCATCCGTTGCGGGCGTCATGATACTTGGCCGTTGACTCCTGTTCAAGGCAGTTTTCCGACTCCTGGGACCTCCTCTACTGAAGCTGAAGCAACCTCTGTCGGACCACGCGCAGGCCCGGGATTACAGCACGGGCCCGGTGCTTCTCCCGATCCCGTCGAGCAGCCGTACACTTACATTCACAGTATGTTCTTCAGCGACCAGCTTACGGCGTCCGATGCCAGCGCAGTTCCCTCTCGCTCTCGCGAGCACCCATCAGACGGGCAATGGCAATCACGTGACGTGACGCACCGCCTCGTCCCCTGCAAACCACTAGGTCAGTTACATACCTATCATGCTGTAGCTCTTACTCGCACAGCCTCATCGTCTCTGTATGCTCATCATTCTCTCGCAATTCGTTGGCTTGGGACCATGGACTACAAAAGCACATCGTCCTCACCATTGGCATCTTACTAGTACCATACTTGTAGCTTATCTCGTCCCCTTCAGGTTGTATCGGCCGACTTGCCACCCGCGTCGGTTGCATCTAGGCACGCATCGCCGCTGTGGATCCATCATGCCAAGTCGAGCTCTACAACAACCAGGGCCACAAGTAATTCGTGCACATCCTTGCTGTACAGGACGAGCAGCCACATCCCTCGAAGCACAAGGCTATGTGCCCGTTCATGATCCTCCCCGCGATAGCTCGTGACTACCCCCACAGACAGAGCGTGTCCTGGCGCGCGCACTTGTTTGACGCGTGACCATCTTAACGACAACGACAACTTGCTGTGGCAATGGTCGGCGCTATGTACCACGCAAATGTGAGATGCTAACGGCGAGATCAAGTCGTACGGCGTAGACTGAGGCACGCAAGATAGGTTGATTGGCCTGCTCCCGGCCAACCCGCCGGAGGTGCGGAGTGTCGCCCTCTACGCCCTCTGGACATTACGGGACTGCGTCGAGCTCGCCAGATCTTAGCAAGCTCGGCGTCGGGGGCAGCGGTACACAGACTGGAGGAGCTCATTCACTTTGGCATGGAGGTCGCTGTCGTCATAGACACTACCCTGGTTATCAAGGAAGGTGCGAGCCCCATGATCAGGAAGGAGCTATTGATACTCATCAGCTGTCTCGTGAAGGAATGGAAGATATTCTGTTGTCTGCGCACGGGTTCACCGGGGAGGCGACGATGGAGGCATAGTGCTCCCACCTCGGCACGAGGAGGATGCAGCTTCGCAAGCACCTACGGAGTAGCTGGACGGCTTTGGCGACGAAGACACACGTTGAGTGCTCCTATCCTCATCCTTCACTATCTACAGCGTGCTGCTCGAGCTCTCGGCAGACCCCCATGATGAGGTTGTCATCAATGCGCAGCACTGTGGACTACATCATCGCGATCTTGCTCGGGTCGCCGTTCAGCCGCCTGGATCACACTACGCTCAAGGACTCCCTATCATAATATCGTTGAGTCAAAAAGTGGTCCCCGGGCTCGAGCGTCGTTTATAAAGTCTGGCCAGCCACCTCTCTCACCTATTCTTCACAGGATTAGTACTATAAGGAGTGATGTGATGAGCGGCCCAACGCCTTCGAATGGGGTCACCAACACTGTACGAGACACGTCGCCCTTCGCCAACGCGCTCAGAGTCTTATGGGTAACATTGCCTTTCTGACTAAGGACGATGGCCCTTTGTCGCCGCGCCCAGCATCGAGCTCTACTCCGTGGTCGGACGTACTAGACGTGGTGTCACGACCTCCTTCATCGAACCCAAACTATGCCCAGTACACTTTCCCGTGCTCTCGTCCTTCTACCTTCTACATTCACAAATCGACTGTCTCCTGACGCCTCATTCATTGCCTAGGTCTGCTGTGGAGCCACCCTCACCTTCTACCGTGTTCCTTTCACCGGACGCCATGGGTGTGGATACACCCAATAACCATCGAACGAACGAGACTTGAACGGCTACGAGGCGAGAGGACAGCCAAGGAGCCATACAACTCGCCGATACCCGCTATTTGGTAAGACGTGTTGCTTACCATATTAATCAGCCAACGTCCCTGCAACTGAACGAAGTTTTCGTGAAGCCCGAGCGAGGTCCCGCAGGATCCCAATTAACTCTTTCACTATCGGTCCAATGGCACTCGAGCCCGTCGACGTTGCGGCATCTGTCTTCTCCTCGGCATCCACACCAGTATACTGGCAGTGGGACCCCTGCTCTAGCTGGTGCAGAACCCGGTAGAGGCTGTCCACCCGCATCTCATCCTGTCAACTGACTAACTTGAGGGCTATCGAGGACCGTATCGAGAAAGTCATCGACGGTCGCACCGACACTCACATCAGCGCCCGTCGAGATAGTACCGCTGCCGCTCTCAGCGCGGCTCGCGTCGGGGTAAGGCTCATCGGAGACAGGCAAGCCACGGTACGTAGTCACGGTCGGGCCCGGCGTCGTGGTGGTGCGAGGTGTGGAGGTTGGGCCCGGCTTCAAGTCGCTACAGTTGCAATTGTCGTAGGGGCCGCTGCTGGCGTCCAAGTCAGACTCGGGCGCGCTTGAAGTGCACGCCGATATCGATGGCGGCGGCGGCGTTGCTTCCGAGGTGGCCGCAGGTAAGTCTGCGAACCTATCAACGAAATACGCCGGCTCGGGCATCGAGAACCCTCATCCGGCTCCGTCCCACAGGCAGCGGAAGGCATCGCTGGCCCATCACCGGGAAGGGCGAGAAGATCAAGTTTGGGAAGGGTACACGGTGGAGTCTGACTAGAAGGCCATTGGAATGGTCTGTGGGGAGTCGGGAGCAGCAAGACTCGGACTATAATACATTCTCATTGTGGTACGTAGTACATATGCTACGCGACCCTTTAACAAACACAGCGCATTGCACATACACACACCCCTCAAACGGTGTACATCGCCGGGCTCCTTTTGGTTCATGTCAGTTGACTGATCATCGACAAAGACGAGGCACACTTACATCTTTTGAGTCCCACATCCCAAGCCTATGATCAGACCATACGACGATCGATATGGTAAGGTATTCCGAACAACAGGCGTGGGTTGATGACCTGGACCGCTAGCAGCACAACATAAGGCTGAACAGAGCCGGCCGTCTCCTCCATCCTCTCTCTCTGAGCTTGCATCTCCGCGGCGAATGTGTCTTTGAAGCCGAGAGCAGGAAGATCGCCCCAGGACACGAGGGCGTGGGATGCCACTCGGATGCGGTCGCACTTCCGTGTTTGCATCGGGTTGTGTTCCACAACCATGTGGAATGCGAAGTTCTTGCGGGCATCAGGGAGACCAGTGGACCTCATCGCCAAAGCCACGATGTCCGTGACGGAAGGGTTGTGACCAAACCAAGAATTTACATCATGCAGCAAATTCGCGTCGGCTGGAGTCTGCTGGATATGGCGAAGTCTGAGGCATTCCGGCTTGTGATGGCCCCAATCTTTGATTTGGCAGGTCTTCGACTATCAGTGGGTCAAAGAAGAAAGGGATGAAGGTGAGAACATTTTGCAAGGCGAAAGATGCGGCCTACGTACACAGTATCGGGCAATTTCGCATCCTTTACAACGCTTCAGGGCGCAGTCCAAGTCCGATTTGTTGCATTGCGGTTCATTGCACAAATACTTGTGACGACCAGGCGCAGAGTTCGACATTTGAGAAGTGGCGACAAACGGATTATTGTGGCGACCACAGACAAGTAGTAGTGGTCGTTATATGTGGCATCCGTCAGCATACCTTTATACTGGCATCTCCCATTGTTGTCTTCGGAGGCAATGATGCGGCGAGAGGCCGCGGGAAGTCAAATCATGTGTTCACGCGGCTGTCTCCCCCGCCGTGCGGGTGGTGCGGGATGCGCGCACGCCATGTCAATCGGCCGTCCGTTCTAACATATCTACGCCTCCCACCGACGATTTGCGCAGGCCCAGTGTCATCTCTTCCTCTCGCCATGCGCTTGATGAAACTGCTGTGACTCCTGTCGCGCGCGATACCATCTCCCTCGAGCCAGCGCCCATTGCGGGCAATGCACTGCGCAGGTTGGGTGCTTTCTCCCTCTCCTCAGCTTTCGGGCAGCATCGAGTTCATCGTCGGACGTCCTCTGCCTTTTCCGCCTAGTTCCCGCGACCAACACGTAGGCCATCCCCGCCCGCCTTGCTATCGTTGAGGATCCTATGCGCGGGCGTCGCCTGTCCACGAGGGCAGGTACTCTGAATCACCTTCACTCGTTAGACGACACGACCATCGGCCGAGACGAACAGTTGGCATCATGACCCCGACATTGCGCCGCCAGTTACGCCCGGATTCCTCCTCCTCCTCTCCAATCGGGCGCTCACACATCGGTCGACGGGCTCCTAGAACCTTGATACTTACCGCCGTCGCAAAAGCGACGTAATACGACCGACTCGGGCTCTTCATTGTTCGGGGGGTACCGTTCTCCCGATGCGGACGACAACATCGCACCTACCAGCGCCCGTCCACGCATACGTACTCGTGAAGCTCTTGCGTCTCTTTGTCCTCATCAACGGCTTCTTCTCCGTCCACCTGAATATTAATGCCCCCGAGACGTACGGCCTGTTAATGCTTGGCTAACGGTCAGAGAATACGTGCGAGAGGAGCCCCGTGCGACGCTGGACGACCTCAACTGGATACGCCGCAGCAAGGCGATGAAGCTGAACCCAGCTAGGTGTACGCTCCTGGTTTAGTAGCTATCGGCGGCCTGACATTCCCGTCGTCCGGCGACTGGAATCGACGCAAGTGAATGGTCCCGGTTTCCTCCTCCGTTGAGATGCGCCGCATCATGCGCGAGCCGGACCTGCAGCGCCTCGGGAGTGCGGCGCTGCACTTACCCGAGGACATCACCGTCGGGCACCAGTACTACCAGGACGGGAGCAAGTGAGTCGGCAACCGCGAGCCTGAAGGCCTGAGGCTTGTCAGGCGCATCACAGCCGCGATGCTCCTCTCGCGACATACGTCGCGACGCCACGCTGTTGAGGCGTACTCACGGCTGTACCTGTCCTGCTCTGCGAAGACTGCTCCCTCTCTGCGTGGTCCAGCCAAGGTCGCTCGCCTGCAGTCTGGCCCTCAATGGGCTATCTACCCATGCAAGCTCTCCCGTCTCGCGCTTCTTCGTGCTCGCTGTCCTGGTGCCGTCTCGTGTCCAACCCACGTCCAAACGTGGATCACGCGTAGGCAGCTGTCTGCCGTGCCCCCGGTTCTCTTTCAATCCTGTCACGGCTCTGGGCAAAAGGTGGGAACACTGTGCTGGTGTGTAATTCGTACAGGTCAGTTGATAGTACCCATGCTTCGGCGCGCACCATTGACAGAAGTTCGCAGCGCCGATAACCAGTCACACAACGCGACTGCGATTGCATAGCCAATGCATCCATACGCACCGGACTTGCTGCGGGGGTGTTCCTCGCCACATTGTTGCACTTTCTTTTGCGCATTACACAGCTCACGGCTGGTCATACCGTCCCGGGAGACGCCGCGGACATCTTGATACTCTCCCCGCTGCGCCATGCCCGTCGCCCGAAATGCGCTCCGCATGAGCTTTGCTAGGGAAATGAAACACGCGAACACCGTCCTCGGCATGCCGATGCTGTGTTCTCGAAGGTTGCCGCCGTTCGTGTCGACAGCGCGCCTCCGTGCTTGAGTACGACGGCTCATGCACGCGCTGCTACCTGCTGCCACCTGGCTCCTCGAGGCTACCGTCAACCCTCACGATGTTGACGGCCATATATGGGCATCGATGATCAACTACGCCGTACTGTCGCCCATATACACTCGACACAACTATATGAAGAGCACGAGTACCATGAGTTGCGACAGTAGCTGAGGGCTTCGCGGTCACCTTGTCCATCAGTTGATACAACTGTAAGACTGGATGAATACGTCGCACGGCCCCGTCGCAGCGGGCAGCGGAGGTCGTCGCAGACGTACACGCTGGCCATACGAGATGTCATCGGTCCCGACGAAAGTCCCTAGACAACCAACCGTGCAGCGGACGACCGTCGCATTGCCGAAGTGATGGGCAAGACATTGTATTGTACGCTCTGCACGAAGGCGCCGGAGAAGCACTATTATTCGCCTAGTAAGTGCTGCTTTGTGCATCGCTGTCGCCGTAGGACTTAAGAGAAAGCCGTGGACGCTGTGCAGAGATCGCAAGCTTAACCGGTTCGTACTGGTACACAGACAGCTGTGGCCGCCGCCCGGCCTTCAACTACTACAATGAGTACCTCAGGAGGTGCCTTGGTACGTTATGCTGCCCAGAAGCCAGACCTCCCTTTCGATGACCATTTGAAGGACGTACTGGTGATCTCTTCTGACGACGATCGCGGCGGAGCTCCCATCCCCAAACGTGCGACGAAGTCGTCTCGCAAGGCACGCAAGAAGGGAAAAGCAGATGTCGGATCTTCGACTGCGACCGTCATTGAGATTTCTTCCAGTGACGACGGTACCAACAATCGGTCGACCAGTGGTGCAGCAGAGGTCAGCGGAACGACGTCTCATACCAAACCAGTAAGCCCCATGATCATGTTCTATATATTACAACAAGCTCATTCAAGCGTCTTACATCCTCGCCAGCAGTCGAGAACGCCACACCATGAAGGGCAAGCGGCGCCTGGGAGACGCCATGGTGCACCTGCAGATGCCCAGGTATGTGCATCTCAGCCCGCTGGCGCTCCATGTTCTATACTGACGTGCTTATGTGCGCAAGCAATCGGAGACAGAAGCTCGTCTGCCAGGAGACCGCATGAAAGAAATGACGGTGTGCCCGATCTACTCATTAACTCGAATGGCACTGAGGCTTGGATGCAGCTAGTTAGTATTCCGTGATGCGCAGCGACCAAGCCATTCTCACGATCATACAACATATGCAGGTTTTAGATCATTGGAAGGGGAAGGCAGATAAACAAGAAGCGACGGCGAACGCGGCGAAGGTGATCCATAGCCTATTGATCATGCGCTTGTTGTTCACATATTCAATAGTTGGTCAGTTTCGTTGACGCACATCATGATGGAGGCTTGTTCTCATCCCGGCCAGGTTCTGAACCAGATGCAGATGAAGTTAGCAGAATATGAGGGATTGATGACAACGAGCAAGGTGGGACCATGATTATACATTCTACTATCTATGTATGCGCGGCTCACAAGATCACAGCTTGTGAGTTTCGTTGCTTTACACCGTGGTGTTCACTCATAGCACTGTCCTTAGGAGCTGGAGCAGTCGAACATAAAGGCCATGGAAATGGAAGGCGCTGCCACTGCAGCTCAGGTGAAGTCGTCTTTAACTATCCTGAGCCATGTTTCCTGAATGTCATTGATTATAGATGGTTCGTTCACCGTATGCGTCCAACAACTCATGTCTTCTGATGCTACTGCTACCTTAGGAATGTCAGCAATGGATGGAGGAAGCTGCTAAACAAGGCGCAGAATTGAATGAAGCATCGGTACGTTCATCAGGGCTTGTCACTGCCTTCGTTGGTTGATCTCGGGCACTCTTTGGACAGGCCTTCGTGAAGAAGTTGATCGAGAGCATGACTTGTGCGATTTGTTCATCGGTTTATTCTAGGCCCATCGTGTTCGTGTCTACGCTTCTTTCAGTATGACGTTGTCGCTCAGCGGTTTCTTCATATAGCACACAGTGCGGGCATGCGTTCTGCTGGTCATGCCTATACGACTGGCTTCGGTCGGTAGCACTGCACAACGAGCGTACGTACGGTCAGGAGCCTAGGCAGGAGTACACATGCCCTCAATGTCGCACTGTCTTAACTGAAAAACCGTACGAGGACTTGACGCTCAAGGATATTGCATTGCAGGTCGCACTCCTCACGAATGAGGGTGGTCGTCCCACTGGAGAGCTCCTCGCCGGCGTGTGGGACCATTTCTTCTGATCAGTATTCCGACTGTTCTCGTCGAGCAGTCACTATGTTCTGTCACCTAGTAATCGTCATAAACCAATGAGTTTGATTCACCGGACAGTAAACTAGGTACCGCGGTGGCGCGATCGTGATTTGTACGCAGTACAGATCCAGGCGGTACGCCTCGGAGGCGCTGTCATCAGGGTTCGTACTGCCAGTGTTCAGTTTCGCAGACAAAGGACCGTACGACCCAGTGTCTGTAGTCACAGAGCTGAGGAGCCTACATATACGTCGGGCGACGTACGTGATGAAACCAAGTTCCCTTACTACTCAATCCCCTCCTCCTCCGAATCTGCATCATGATCCCGACATCAGATGCCAGTCGTCTCCTGTCGTCTCACCCTATTTGTCATTTGCTCGCGCTGCTGTCCGGACCGTTGGCTGCAACTCCACGTCTACCTCCTCCTCCTCCTCACTTGCCGTGCGTCAGAGGAGGAACATTCTGAACGCGCGGCTTGCGGCAAGTTTCCCGATCTCGTCGGGTGAAGTACATACTCGCTGCGAATGCTGTCATTGATTTCTTGGGCAACTTAACACTGGCTCTCGTGTCGCCCTACAGCCCAAAGACAACGCACCGGAGCACGACAACTTGCCCAAGCGCAACGAGTATGGACAAAGGAAGAGGCATAGAACAGGACTAGGGGCGGGAGTGTTGAACGAAAGGAAGGCTGACGGACAAAAAGTGAAGGTGAGCTTGTGTACCTAGTGTCGAATTTTGTTGCTAGTCCCATGTAGGTGCCTCGACGAGCAATCAGCTCGTAGTGCCTTTACTTCCCCACCAGTCTACGCATCGTGCATTCGGCTTGCCCTCCTCCTCGCCCGTCTGCTTGCCCTCTCGCGCCCGCATGCCCGCCATCTTGTGCCCGACCTCTTTTGCCCACACGCGAACCCTCTCGTGCCTACACGCGCGCCCTCTCATGCCCGTGATCAACTCGACGGCGTTCGAGGTCACGGATCTGGAGACGGAAGAGCTTATGTTCGTCGGGAGAAAGACGGAGATAGCGCTGCTCAAGTTAGCGAAGCTGAGCGGACTACAGGAAGACGTGCGAGGCGGCGGATGTCGTGCAGATGCTCCCGTTCTCGAGCTCGTGCTAGGCAATTGACGTCGTCGTCAAGCTGGACGATAGCAGGTGTCGCGTATACCTCAAGAGGGCGCAAGCGACATCCTTGCGCGGAAGGTACGGTGTTCGTCAGCGTTATACAGGCTGAGGAGGGTAGCGAGTCGACTGGTGTCGACACGAGGGAGATGGACGACCTGGCAAGGGATAACGTGTCGCGGACAATCTTCTTCTATACGAATTGGAAGCTGAGAGCGACTGCGCTGCCCTATCGTGACTTCGAGTCCTGGCCACCTGCACGTGCGCCGTATATTGCGCAGGACGAGGTAAGTGCACTACGCCTGGTTTCGTCCTATGTGGTTCACACCTTCTCATCGTTAGATTGAGTATGAAGACTTCATGCATGCAGGATATGACTCTCATCGCGATCACGGGTATCGGAGGCGCTCTCATCGGGATGCTTTCGCGGACTGTTTCCAAGCTGGCGTCACTGTGAAGATCTGCACGGGCGACATTGTCCTTACGCACGGCGTGCCCTTCGTATTAACATTTCTCGCCGACTTTTTCCCTCCACAATCTAGTCCGTCTTTCCGCTGCTGAGTGACGACTGCTTGACCAGGTACCCCAGCATCCATCCCCTACTGCAAAGAGCTCCTCGCCACCAACCACATTCGCCTTGGTCGAGGCCTTACAACCTCTGAGCCTTTAGTTCTCCTCTTCTATCTCGTTTGTCTTTTACTGACTCATCTTTCGATTCATTGTACTCGAAGTGGCGTCGGAGTGCCACTGCCACTGCAATTCCCTTCGATTGTACTCTGACCTTTGTACCCTGACTGGTACGGCTTACATCATGCTGCATGGACTCGGAGTGGCTCACACCTAAAGGAATATATATAGTGCGCAGTTCGAGGGCCCGAGTTTCGCTACAAGAGTGACTCGCCCATTCACCGCTACCATCCGAACAACGCATCCCATGTTCGCTGACGCCCCCCGCCGCACGCCGCAGAACGCATATTCCTCCTGCCTTCGTTACAGACCCGCATATCCGTCGAAAGCTTTAGCACGGTGCGTATACAGCTGTTTCATGATTTCTCAATTTCTCCTCATTCAATATTTTACAAGGGCCTGCGGAACGCGACCACAGTCCCACACCGACACTCAGCAACCCAATTTACGGCGCGTATACAGTCCCACACCGACACTCAACAGTCTGGCACGGTGTGTATACAGCTGGTTCCTAGTTTCTCGGTTTTTCCTCATTGACATTCTATATGCCTCAGGGGCCTACGGAAGATGGTCGCAGTCACGTACCGACACCGAACAGTCGGAAGTGAACCGTCGCCCGACCGGCTATTGCGCATTGCGCTCACGCACTGACAGAGTGGCTCCAACGGTACGTGACATCGGCTCAGTTGCTGCGCCGCCGATATGTACGTTGGCATGTTAGCTGAATAGCCGATCGCGGCGCACTTCACCCTCGCAGGCACCGTCGCTAGCAAAGCCTGCCGGCGTGGGGCCTCCGCGGAGAAGTTCCCGCTACTCATCTACGTCGTGCCGCACCCATCGAAGTCGCGACGGCCACATGTGCAGTTGCTCGCCGTGATCAACAGTCCAGCATGGTGCGTATACAGCTGGCACCTAGTTCACTTGAGCCCTCATTCATTCTATATGCCTTAGGGGTCTGTGGAAGGCGGCTACAGTTCTACATCGACCTGCATCGACCCCAAACAGTCAGTAGACCGTCGCCTAGTGACCGGGTGTGTCGGTCTGCCGCCGCGCGATGCGCTCACTCAGAGTAACTCTGGTACGCGACATCGGCACAGCCCTAGTCGAAGCTGGCGATACCGCTGAGCGCGAGCGATGGGCCGCATTGAAGTTCAATCACCAATATTCCGGCATCTTCAACCCCTATGCACCTGTTGCTGACTCACTGGCATCCGGCTTTCTTTCGCTCGCTGGCGTCCAGCTTGCATTCCGCTCAACCTGCCGCATGAATCCTTGCGTGCGCTTCTCCGGTCATGCACGGCTTGTCGAAGACGACTTGTCGAAGACGCTATGCATGACTCATTGAGGACCCCAATCACGACTCGTTGACGATTCTAAGCCCGGGCAGAGGTCGATCGCATCCACGAGCCGACGACGATCGCATACACGACTCGTTGACGACTCGAAGCCTGGGCAGAGGTCGATCGCATCCACGAGCCGACGACGACCGCATACACAACTTCGGAATGTGCGTTCCGGAGATGAGCCACGCACATGCCGCAGCACGTACGTGACATCGGCTCAGTTGTTGCGCCGTCGATACTTACATTGACATATTAGCTGGATAGCCGATCGCGGCGTACTTCGCCCTCGCAGCCTGCCGGCGTGGGGCCTCCGCCGACAAGCTCCCGCTACTCATCTACGTCGCGTCGTACTCGTCTGTCGCGTCGCACCCATCCAAGTCACGCCACCTGCATATGTTAGCTGGATAGATCAAGCGAACGACGATCGCCGTCCGCGTACGCGGCGTATGGTACGCTCTCCGCCGGAAATAAGGACTTGCAAAGCCTGCCGGCGCGGGGTCACCGTCGACATTCCCTGCTACCCATCTACGTCGTGTCGTAGTCGTCTACGTCGCCTCGGCCACCGGTCAAAGAGGTGCCCCCCTCGTGTGCAGTTTATGCCAGTGAGCTTGCCGTTATCTGCGGTGGCATGCACGGTGCCCATCTCCGGAGTATACAGAATGTATACTCCGGAGATGGGCACCGTGCATGCCGCAGCACATACTGCGTCATTCACTGCCAGAAGTGCCGAGTATAGCCTTCACGCACCTCGCCTCGCTCGTCGCCGTCGTTGGTGCACCACTCTTCTCTCTGCTTTGGCCACCCTCGATCTTTTCTGAGCCTCCTGTTGTTTGCTTCTACAGGATGTCACACCATCTCTGCTAGTGAAGGATGATACGGACACGCAACTCAACGTAAGTGAGCTGGCTGTAGACCATTTTGATATTGACGGTGAAACCTGCTTTTACGCTAGGCATCTGTGCTTCCGATCCTGTACGGATTTTCGCAGCGTTGTTCGTCGGCGTCAGCGGGTGGACTGGCCGGCCGGCCTTGACTAACGAATGCGCGTTTTTCCGCCGGGAGTGCCTAGCGGTGGGTAATGGCGGGCGTACGTAGAAGGTCACTCGTTCTCAGGCGGATTCGTCGTGACCACTCGGGGTCACCAAATCCGGCATGTGCCACCGCCCTCTTCGCGGGCGGTCACGACCTTGTCGCGCTCTGCTCTGCTCTGCTCCACCCGCGGTCACAACGACTTTGGCGGGCGCATCCACCAACTCGCAGCGTGCGGGCACACGCTGGACACGCAGTCAGATAGAGTAATGTCGATTATATCAACTATATTTCGCGCCACATCGTGTGTCTTTGGCAAAGTAAGCACGTTGAGTCAAGTTGTCAACTGTGGGTAATGCAGCTTAGTACATCCTCCTGCATGGTGTGCTCGCCTCGCGCTCTCTCTCCCGCGTCTCTGCTCACTCGGCGCTACGGGCACTAGGACGCGATATTGAGAGCCAGCGCCGCCCATCTCAGCATCCCTCTTCTTCCTCATTACACCATCCCTCCGAGTCCAGCGTCCAGATACGACCTGCACCTCCCTTTCCTGTGACGGGATTCGCGTCGGATACGGAGCAAGCCGCCGACTCGAAAACGGTAAGTCGCAACCTTGATTCGCGTAGTTCATCCGTAGTGCTCACGAGTCCTCGTATTGTAGCCGCGTCCCGACTGAGGTGCGGGATTGCTTATGGCTGACACGCTTACTCCTTGACCCGGCTGGAGCGTTGCTCGCCTCCGTCACGACCTGTGCAGCGGTCACAGGCATGGACTAAGGTGAGTCGATGGAGTTCGCCGTCATGGTCTCAAAGTCAGTCACCGCAGGAACCTCAACTTCACGTCGAGCTCAACAGGACTACCTACGTTTGACAGACGTGCACAGGGCAGAGCGTACCCAACAAGCCCTGCGCAGCGCCGTCGGTGTTCCGGCCAGTAGACGATGCCGCTGGCTACCAGAGCAGCCGATCGTCGTATTGAATTCAGTGCGCGACGAAGCGGTTCCTTGTCTGGCAGCCGACGACCTCCGGGAGCGCGTCAGTGGACCGAGCGGGCGCCGTTGGTTTCGCGCCGCACTTCATCTCCGCGAGATGCGCGTCGGTCTGTACGGCTGCCCACTGGCAGGGCATCCCATTGCCGTCCTTGGAAATCGCGTGCGTGCAGAAGCGCAGCGGGTAGAGGGTCCTGGTGAGCTAGCCGTCAGGTACGTGACACCGTCTCGCATCATGCTGTATTGCTTACCTCGTCATTCCGTGGACATTTATAGTCCGTTCCATCCACCGGCGCGCGCTGCGTGTCCATTTATCCCTGAACGTGGACAACACCCGCTGCGCACTCTCGAGCGAGTCCTGTCGCGAGTAACCCGCCTGCGTCGGTATGGCGAATCATCCGACCAGTGCGGAACGTCGAGATGTGAGCTTGTCGTGTATCTCGGTACAAGGACCCTCTGCTGATTTGGCCGTATCGCTGGTCTGCTTGCCCGCCTACTCGCTCTTCGGCCTGCGCGTGTATTCGTCAGTCTGCAGCTGGAGCCCGGGGACCGTGACGGAAGCATGAGCGAGCGCTGAGCGCTGAGCGCTGGAGAGTTGCCATATTGGGAACAAAGGAGGTGTTCAGAACGTTCCAAGCATCGTCCTCAATCGCTCATGGTCGCCCTCCTACTAGTAGGACTCCTAGCACTCGCCGCTCCTCTCCTCTCCTTCCAGGCGGCAGCGGTGTCCGTCGATGCGTCTCGCACGAGCATTGCTAATCTCAAGTCCTTGTCAATCCCGGAGGGCGCGTAGTGGTGTGAACACTCCCCGCCTTGACTTCAAAAGCTCCTCTGCTTGACGTCTCTGTCGACGTCGTCGTCCACCCGAGTTTTGACGCCACTCGGCACGGAGGCCGCCGCTGACACGTCTGGTGTCGTCTGGTTCACTGTCAAGTACGGGAACGCGGACTCCCGTTGGTACGGCAAACATGCTCAGGGCGCTGCTCGCTGCACCCGATTTATGTCATCTCTTTGAGTATCCCATTTTGCAACCGGATCCAAGGGTATGTTATATGTTCATAGCGACGAGTTTGCCCGTGCTCAATAGCCTCTAGGACTGTGGCTTTCTGTATATCACCATGCAGAACTCGCTTCAGGACTTCAATGGGTGCGCAGCTCACGCGCTTCGGACACGTCGTGCCCGGACCCTCTCGCTCGACGGTATCCTGAATGCATAAAGCTCCCTCTCGACCAACTTGCAGTGTTGTCCCTGCAGCTGGCCAATCCGAGCTACCCACGCGGTCTGCGACGGCGACCTCATCACCAGCCCTCTCGATCTCACCGCCACCTTCCCGTCGCAGTCCAAGACCGCCTCGTACTACGACGATGGTGTTGACGGCACGTTCGCTCTGTCAGTGGCAGCCGCCTGCTGAAGCACTCGACGTATGTCTCCTCGACGACGTCCGCCGACAGCACGCAGGATGCCCGCCCGACGTAGACGTTCGCGCGCAGCTGGGCGTCGAGCGGCGGTACCGCGTATGTGGGCATGTACACCGTCGGCGCGTCATACCCCAGTAACTCCGACGTCTCCAAGTGCACCGACTCGGGCTCTATCTGCCACCAGGACGACATCGAGATCATTGTACGTCCCTTCCTGGTGTGTACCGGTAGAGAGGTGATGCTGACGTCCACTTCCGCAGTTTGGAACCGCACCCAGCCCGTCGGACCAGCGCGCAGTCTGCGCTAATCGCCGAGATTCATACACTACTACCAGTTCCTCAGCACGGGCAACGCGACTTCAGGCTGGTACGCGACGTGGGACGCGACGGAAGGGCTGACAGTCAGCCCCTCGACATCTAGAGCGGTATCGCCTGCCTGAAACGATGCTGCAAGTAAACAAGACTTCGCTTTCTCATCGCAGAGTTCGGGGCTGACCGAGCGTGCGAGTGTGGTCCGGCGTTCGACCGAGCGCAGCCCACAATTCGGTCGTACGAGCGTCTTGCACGAGTCCACCCTTTCCTCTCGTCCACCATTCCCCTCGCCGCAGCCGTCTCTGTGTCGAGACTTCACCCCGCGGAGATGAAGGCGGAGAGGCTGGAGCTGAAATGAGTGCCCCTTTCCTGCCTCCGCCAAGTACTCGTTGCTCACTGTCAACGACAATGGTACCCATCGCCGGCCATTATACGCCCGTTAGGCACCCTTCTTCTAGTATCTCGTCGCCGCGCTTCCCGTCTACGAGCTCAGCCCCTCATCTGTCCCAGTGCCCAAGTATGAAAGACCTCCGACTGGTAGACTGACAGTATCCTCCGCTCCTTCACCGCAATCGCCCGCCGCATGTACACCGCCAAGGAGACCTCGGCAGCGATCAAGACGCCCAGAGCGGCAGTCCAGAGTCCAAAAAACGCTGCAACGTCGGCGACAACCCTCCTATCAGCAGCACGAGGTCGTCGAGCTCCCGGGGCGATGGCGCCGAGGCCAACAGCTCCATCAGCCAGACGGTCGCCACCCTTCATCGGCATGCCCAGCAGCTCCGTGGGGAACAGCCCGAGCACGATGGACAACAACGGCCACCACCATCACCCCCATCGTGTTGATAAGGACGTCGAGATGTTCAATGCCGACGCGAACGCGGAGGCCGAGAGCGAGACTACGCCCCAGATGCAGCAGCCACGCGGGCGCAACGGCCTCCGACGCGTCGCCCTTGAGCATCTCGCTCAAGGAGGTCGGCAACCCGAGGGTCAAGCGGATCGCGCCGCAGTCTGCGCCGCCGGCGTCGACTGCGGAGAGCGCCCCCTTCAAGTCGACGCCTGTGCTGCCCGCCGCTACCTCGAAGACGCACAGCCAGACGTTGCCGGCAAGACAATCCCTAGCCTCACGGTATGTAACGCACTGCTTTCTTGCTGATTGCATGTCTAAAGCAGGCCACCCAGGTTGTGTATACGCCCGCTTCAGCGACTCGGAATCAGTGTCCGACAAAGACTACACATTCCTATTCCCGAATCAGCCCTCGTAGCAAACGACCTGTGTATTCGATAGTCGCAAATAAGCATGCCATCTTGCAAGGGCAATAGACCGAATAAGTTCTGCACCTGTACTACGCACTGCGGCGGCGGCAAGCTTCGGGCTGTGCGAACATGGCGCCTACATGCACCCTACCGGGAACCGAACGAGACCTCTCAATACTAGGGTACACGGAGTTTGTCGCAGGGACTACGAAGGACGTTTCAGAACCTGGGAGTATACAGAGCAATCAACCCTTGGTTCGATCTCGGAACATGGACGATGAGGTCCGTTTCCAGCAAGAGAGAGTCTACGAAGACCTCGGCTTCCGCACGACGCTTGACCAACTGGAGCCCCAGGCCTTGGACGACGGAGTCACGATTCAGGCCCTGTCTGCGACGGACCAGGAAAATGTCGTGCACATTGCGACGCACAGTGCGATGGCCGCAGCGTCTGCGCAGCTCTAAATGTATCCCCCTCGTCCTCCTCCTCATCCTCCCCTCGTCCTCCTCGGACACGGGGCTCTCTGTTGCGTCCAGCGCCGGTGCACCATGAATCCGAAGAGCGACGATCAGCCCTGCGACCTCGCGGTAGGTGCTCAGTGTGCCCAGTTCGCCCCCGGCTGTCTGCTATGCAAGCCCCTGGTACATTCGGGCACTCGATCTTGAAGCGACCGCAATCGCCTACGCTCCCGGCCAGGTCGATCTCCCCTGTGGACATATATACAGTCCGCCGCCGGCTTATCCGACGTCTGCATATCCCCTCGTACTTCACAGGGCACCCTACCGCTCTCGTCTTACTCAAACTCAGACCCGTACTCAAACGGATACCTAATACCTTCGACCTACGCTGTGTATCCTTCCGCTTTATGGTTGACTGCATCCGCGGCGAGGGCCGGGCCATCTGCAGGCTCTTGCGGCTGGTTAGACTGACCTTGCTGACTGCCGAGAAGCGCATAACGTGATCGCGCCCCGACTGTCTATGTGGCCTCTGCAGTTATGCAGGGACTTCTGCAGGTCCTACTGCCACCTCTATAGTGCCCCTCATTGCCACCATCGCCCGGAACATTGAATATCGGGGCGTATGCGCCGCCAACCTTAACCTCAGGCACACCGGTCACCGGCAAGCCACCGTACGCACGTCCTCCTACGAAGGCGACAATCCGTGACATCTGTAGACCGCGCTCGCGCTCAAGCCGTGCCATACGAGATCGACCTTCTCGCTCGTCACAAGCTCGCCACGCTACCGCGGTGACGCCTGAGCGCGAGCAGAAGTGCGAGTGGGCCTCGTCGAAGGCAGGCGCCACTACCGGCACCGAACACAAGGCCACCCCTTTAGTTCTCTACATCCATCTCGTTTGTCCCTCGATTATTTCGTCATTCGGTTCATCTCGACTCATGCATCCCTATGCATCCATTGTTGCACTCGAAGTGGCGTCGGGGTGCCACATTGCCGCTGCCACAGCTACGTACTTCTTTTGTATCCTTACTTTGTAGTCTTACTGACTGGGCTTACATCGTACCGTTCGGGCTCGGAGTGGCTCCAGTCCCAGAGTTGTATAAATACGGTGCGTTTCGAGAGCTGTAAGCCCAAGTCCCGGCCAAAGAGCTCCCACCCACCCACTGTTTCCGCCCAACACGACTCATGTGCACCGCCACACGCCACCATGTACTCTCGCTGCCGAGCCCGTATCCCTCACGCCTTCGCTACAGACCCAAAACCTCGTCTTTTAGGCGGTACATCCTTCGCGTTCATCCTGCACAGGTGCCACTGCATACACAGGCCGACGAACCCGCCGAAATCACATTCTTCACGCCTTCGCTACAGACCCAAAACCTCGTCTTATAGGCGGTTCATCCACCGCCTTCATCCTGCACACATGCCACTGCGTGCTCAGGCCGACGAACCTGCCATACCGGGCCCCGGTTGTACCCTCAGTGTGTCTAATTGCGAGTTGCCCGTGGGTACATGAACTGACAATTAATGTCACACCAGACAGCCCTAGTCGCAGCTGGCGATACCGCTGAGCGCGAGCGATCGGCCGCATTGAAGTTCAATCACCGATGTTCCGGCGTCCTCAACCCCTATGCACCTGTTGCTGACTCACTGGCATCCGGCTTTCTTTTCCCTCGCTGGCGTCCAGCTTGCATTCCGAAGTTGTCGAAGACGCTATGCACGACTCGTTGACGATTCTAAGCCCGGGCAGAGGTCGATCGCATCCACGAGCCGACGACGATCGCATACACAACACGTGCATGCTCCCCGGCGCTGCCTGCAACACGAAGGACACACGCTTTACGAGCCCATGTTGGATGGTGACGTTGACGTTGCCAACATCACCATCACAACATGGGCTCGTAAAGCGTGCCGGCCCAGGGTCGACGATTCAAACTGACGACCTTACGGAGCAATCCCCCCGGGCTGCTGTGCGAGTTTCTGAGATCGCCGTGAGCTGCTGCCCGTACGATGCCCATCTTCGGAACGTGCGTTCCGGAGATGGGCCACGCACATGCCGCAGCACATACGTGACATCGGCTCAGTTGTTGCGCCGCCGATACTTACATTGGCATGTTAGCTGGATAGCCGATCGCGGCGTACCGCAGCCTCCCGGCGTGGGGCCTCCGCCGACAAGTTCCCGCTACTCATCTACGTCGCGTCGTCCTCGTCTGTCGCGTCGCACCCATCCAAGTCACGCCACCTGCACATGTTAGCTGGATAGATCAAGCGAACGACGATCGCCGTCCGCGTACGCGGCGTATGGTATGCTCGCCGCCGGAAACAAGGACTTGCAAAGCCTGCCGGCGCGGGGTCACCGCCGACAATTCCCTGCTACCCATCTACGTAGTGTCGTACTCGTCTACGTCGCATCAGCCACCGGTCAAAGAGGTGCCCCCCTCGTGTGCAGTTTATGCCAGTTCAATCGGCGGACGTCGGAGGTGCATAACTTCGTATGACGAAGAGTCTTCGATGTTTATGGTGAACGAATATCGCCGGTCTGCGCGCCCGATGCGCGCAGTCTCCCTGGGTAGTTGAACCACTCGACGCCAAATGGTTGCAATTTAGTCTAACATAGTGAGCATCTGATGACTACACAGTATGTCTGCTCGGGCTGGAGAATTATGTACATCATATCTACTGGGGCAATCTTAAGACGGTGAAACCTGCTTTTACGCTAGGCATCCGTGCTTCCGCTCCTGTGCGGATTTGGGCAGCGTTCGTCGGCGTCAGCGGGTGGACTGGCCGGCCGACCTTGATTAACGAATGCGCGTTTTGTCGCCGGGAGTGCCTAGCGGTGGGTAATGGCGGGCGTACGTAGAAGGTCTCTCGTTCTGCAGCTTGAGCCCGGGGACCGTGACGGAAGCGTGAGCGAGCGCTGAGCGTTGAGCGTTGGGGAGTTGCCATATTGGGAACAAAGGAGGCGTTCAGACGAAGCACGGCGCGCTACCGCGCGACAAACACCCATGAATGTGTCAGCTCACCGTCCCTTACCTTCTCCTCCTCCCCCGTCCCTCCCCCTTCATTCCTTGCCGTTGGACTCGTAGCTTTGGGTGCGGCCTTAGACTTCTCGCTTCAAAGGCCTACTGTTCGATGCATCCTCTTCATGAGCCCCCTTCGCCCTAGGCATCTCCACCCCTCGTCCTCAATCGCTCATCGTCGCCTTCCTAGCACTCGCCGCTCCTCTCCTCTCCTTCCAGGCGGCAGCGGTGTCCGTCGATGCGTCTCGCACGAGCATTGCTGATCCCAAGTCCTTGTCAATCCCGGAGGGCGCGTTGTGAACACTCCCCACCTTGACTTCAAAAGCTCCTCTGCTCGACGTCTCTGTCGACGTCGTCGTCCACCCGAGTTTTGACACCACTCGGCACGGTGAAGGGCGCCGCCGACACGTCTGGTGTCGTCTGGTTCACTGTCAAGTACGGTAACGCAGACCGTTGGCACGGCAAACATGATCAGGGCGCTGCTCGCTGCACCCCAATCTTTTTGAGTATGCCATCTTGCAATGGGATCCAAGGGTATGTTATCTGTTCATAGCGACGAGTTTGCCCGTGCTCAATGGCCTGTAGGACTGTGGCTTTCTGTATATCACCATGCAGAGCTCGCTTCAGGACTTCAATGGGTGCGCAGCTCACGCGCTTAGGACACGTTGTGCCCGGACCCCTCTCGCTCGACCGTATCCTAAACGCACAAGGCTCCCTCCCGAACAACGCTTGCGGTGTTGTCCCTGCAGCTGGCCAATCCGAGCTACCCACGCGGTCTGCGACGGCGACCTCATCACCAGCCCTCTCGATCTCACCGCCACCTTCCCGTCGCAGTCCAAGACCGCCTCGTACTACGACGATGGTGTTGACGGCACGTTCGCTCTGTCAGTGGCAGCCGCCTGCTGAAGCACTCGACGTATGTCTCCTCGACGACGTCCGCCGACAGCACGCAGGATGCCCGCCCGACGTAGACGTTCGCGCGCAGCTGGGCGTCGAGCGGCGGTACCGCGTATGTGGGCATGTACACCGTCGGCGCGTCGTACCCCAGTAACTCCGACGTCTCCAAGTGCACCGACTCGGGCTCTATCTGCCACCAGGACGACATCGAGATCATTGTACGTCCCCTTTCCTGGTGTGTACCGGTGGAGAGGTGATGCTGACGTCCACTTCCGCAGTTTGGAACCGCACCTACCGACCAGCGCGCAGTCTGCGCTCATCACCGAGATTCACGCGCTACTACAAGTCCCTCCCCACGGGCAAATTGACTTCAGGCTGGTACGCGACCCGGGACGCCACGGGAGGGCAGACAGTCAGCCCCTTGAGCTTGGCAGCTCTAGCACGTGCGCCGCCTGCGCCTGCGATCCGAGTAAGTGGGGTGACGCCGTCCCGTATGTTTATCAGATCCACGACATCTAGAGCGGTATCGCCTGCCTGCTGAAACGATGCTGCAGACTTCCCTCTATCATGGCAGAGCTCGGGACTGGCCGAGCGTGCGAGGGTGGTCCCGGTGCTTGACCGAGCGCAACCCACAAGTCGATCGTACGAGCGTCTGGCATGGGACCACCCTTTCTTCTCGTCCATTACTCCCCTCGCCGCAGCCGTCTCTCTGTCGAGATTTCACCTCGCGGAGATGAAGGCGGAGAGGCTGGAGCTGAAATGAGTGCCCCTTTCCCGCCTCCGCCAAGTACTCGTTGCTCACTGTCCACGACAATGGCACCCATCACTGACCATTATACGCCCGTTGGGCACCCCTTTTACCAGTATCTCGTCGCCCCACTCCCCGCCTACGAGCTCGGCCTCTCGTTTGTCCCAGTGCCCAGGTCCGAAAGCTCCTCAGACTGGGAGACCGACAGTGTCCTCCGCTCCTTCACCGCGATCGCCCGCCGCATGTACACGGCCGAGGAGACCATAGCAGCGATCAAGGCGTCCCGGAGCAGCAGTCCAGAGTCTAAGAAATGCTGCAACGTCGGCGACAACCCTCCTATCAGCAGCACAAGCTCGTCGAGCTCCCGGAGCGACGGCGCCGAGGCCAACGGCTCCATCGGCCAGACGGCCACGTCGACGCCGCCCTTCATCGGCACGCCCAGCAGCTCCGTGGAGAACAGCCCGAGCACGATGGACAACAACGGCCACCACCATCACCCCCATCGTGTTGATAAGGACGTCGAGATGTTCAATGCCGACGCGAACGCGGAGGCCGAGAGCGAGACTACGCCCCAGATGCAGCAGCCACGCGGGCGCAACGGCCTCCGACGCGTCGCCCTTGAGCATCTCGCTCAAGGAGGTCGGCAACCCGAGGGTCAAGCGGATCGCGCCGCAGTCTGCGCCGCCGGCGTCGACTGCGGAGAGCGCACACAGCCCTCACTGCGGCAAGAACCTGTACACGAATGTTGACGTCAACGTGCCCCAGCTCAGCTCTTCGTTGGTCGTCCCGATCGGCCCGCTCGCTGCGGCCGCCGAGAACGGCATGAGCGCTGTCGAGGAGGCTGCTCAAGGCTCAGGTCCAGGACGTCGTGCGAGTCTGCAACGCTGCCCTAGCGGCTTGTCGCAGAAGATTACGGTGCCCGTGCAGGGCGTGGACATGGTTCAGCTCAAGGAAGTTCAATGCAATGGTGAGTGCCACCGTTCTGCTAGCGTCTCGGATCCATTGCAATGCTTCGTGCATTCGCAGCCGAGGTAACCCATGTCAGTCAGGGAGTCGGAACCGAAGGCAAACTCGGTTCCTGCCTCATCAAATAGTGCTCGACGTCGAGGACACATGGGTCGACTCTGTGATGACACATTACGGTTACGCGACAGCGTAGGAACACCGTAGGTTATACCGCAATATTTTGATGGAATGCTGACACCATAAAGACAGGGTAGGTCGACCGGTCATACTCTGTGGCTACGCTGTGACATGAGTGTCACGTACGTCACATATTCTATACCGAAAGTATCAAGTTTGAACAATCGTAATACGCTGAAAGCTCGTCAAGATAGTTTCAGGATAGGTTCAGCGTTACGTGACACACATTACGGTAGTTTTATTATAAAATGATGATGATAGTATGTTGGCCAATTTCTCAGAGTACAATCAAAGAACCTGCAGAGTAATCGAACACTGATTATGTTGTCGATAAGTCAAAGTAATATCAGCGTTCTTCGACGTAATTTACGCTGGTATGGTTGTGACTAAGTTTAACGTAAACTCAGCATAATTCGACGCCACATATTCGGTCGTGCTTCCTGTGCCCGCCCATCGCCCGACGCGCGTTGTGAGTGCAAGCACGTGCTGAGAGCAAGGCGATGATCGATCGCGCGACTGGCAAGAAGAATCACAAGCTCCCAGTCCGGGTTGCTGGAGGACGTGAGACGCTCATTTAGAGGCAATTCGACCGGCCAACAGGTATCGAGAAACCACTGAGAGAAGATGAGGAAAACACGATGCACAGGAAGACCGCCGTCGCCAGGGGGCGGTACGCAGAAGAGGCACAAACTCGGAAGCGGGGGCTGTTCGTCGGCGAGGAAGAAGCTAACCAAACAAGGCGGACGAATCGGTGCAAATGAACGGAGCAAGTACTCAGTCGATGGAAGTCGAGCTTCGAGGGCTGGACGGCGATTGGAAATCTTCCGTCAGCGCGCAGCAGCGGAGCGAGTTACAGTAAGGTTGGACAGGACGGAGTAAGGCAGCGCCACGGAGGGCCGTCGATCAGTTGGGACGACGCTGGGTCAGTGGGACATCATTGTACAGTACGTAGCGTCGATCCAGTCATCTGTACTACGACCAGTGCGCACGAGAACAGGCCGCACAACACAAGCGAGGGCCGCCCATATACAGGTCATTAGTCAAATCAGTGGCCGAGCTGAAGATTCCTCGAATCGTTGAGTCGTCTGAGCGCGTCATGCGACCTTGAGTTCACCATCACCGGTGGCCTCAGCCTTGAGCTCTCTATACGAGGCGAAGATGGCCAGTGATCCAATGGTGGCACTGGCGTTAATAAACCAGAGGCCTGTCAAGGTGGATTCAAAGAAGGTGGGGTCCGTTACAACAGACTACAGTCGAAGCGAGCAGCAGATCACTCGCGGGGCGCCAGCCCTGCCACTGAGGGTCTCTTCCACAGACATCGTACCAGCTGGCCAGACCGAAGCACTCCGGCAAGACCATCGCGAGACCAGTGGAATGGGAGCTTCCAGACACGAACTCAGACCCTGCCAGACGTTCCACAGAGCACACAGCGCTTGCCGAGATGAGCTGGTCCCATGATGTCCTGAGGGGTCCTGATACTGATCAGCGGCGCCGGTCTGCATCGACAGCCACCAGGAGTAGGCCCGGGTCTGACCATTCCTGGAGGACCCGGTCAGCGATGCGATGGTAGGGCTGAGTTGGGAAGTACGCAAGTCGAATGCACGCAGCGGGGGCACTTGTAGGTGTCGTGAGATGCCATGGAGACGGCGGTGGACACAGAAGCTTGAAGGTCAAGGTCCTCGAGGCGCGTCGAGCGAGGAGCAGCGTTGCAAGGGGGGGGGGGGTCAGAGCTAGAACGGGGGATGCATAAAGCCTCGTCAGTCGCGACCAGAAGCTAGACACCAGGATCCCGAGAAAGTCAATATATTGACTATTGAGCAGCGACAGACACCAAGGGATCAGTTGACCGGGCACATTCGGACACGGGGTCCGGGCGCTCTGGGAGACTCGAGCAAGCGATCGCCGTCCGACAACCGCCGCCCGGGCATATCAGACAAGTGAATTGCTGGGTATTGAGAATGGGGGACGGCGCGCCAGGACGTCCGACGTAGAAGTGGAGGACCGCGCCGGACCGCTGAGCAGGGCGAGGGCTCGCTTGTGAACGTTGAACGGCGGTCGGTAACACGAGGCGGTGCGAAGCTGATGTTGGTGTCAATCGCGGGTCAGATGAGGGAGGCGCGAGAGATGACGCCTAAGGGATCGAGCAGATGAGACGTGCTTGGGCGGCGGTGGTCGCACTGGGGGCAGTGAGGCGGGAGGTGGGAGTTGCTGGCGGTTGTCCTAGCGTGGTTAGTAACATCCGAGTAATTCGGCGTGGCTGAGAAGAAGGCAACCAGACGCTCTGAAGATGCTGATTCTGGTGGCCTGAACTGTCTGAGGGTTGCGAAGATCTGCTGTGATCAGGGGATGACCAGTTGGTAGGGTGTGTTCGGCTGGGCAGAGGAAATGAAGTACTCGCACTGAGGGTGTGTACGATGTTGGGGCTACGTGACCGAGTGCTTGCTCTTCCTGTAGAGGATCTCCCTCAGATCTGCGGCCAGTGCGGATCACTATAAGTGATCGAGAGACAGCCGGTATAGTTTGAGATAGTCGAAGGGGCAATCGCTGAAGTCCAGGTGAAGTCAGTACCAGTCTTGTCGTAATGGCAGTGCAATGATCCGGTTTCGCTACGGCCTCAAGTGAACAGTCTGGCAGCGAGCAAGTGCGAGCAAGACAAGACGATAGACATATCAGGATTCAGAGGAGTCGCAGTCGAACCGGAAGCTTGCGCGGGTAAGAAGAGACCGCGCCGCAGTGCGTAGAAAGGACTCGATCGAAGTATGCATTTGTCAGTGCGACCGGAGTCACAGATACGCGGCCTGTCTGTCAGCCAAACGCTGATGATATCAGTGCAAGGATGATAGGATGTGCGGGAGCCCAGACGCAGAGGTAGAGGCAATCGGCGATCTAGGGTATTGTACATGGCGGCTCGACCGAGGAGTAGGCGGATTGATGGGTTGGATGAAGACGGTGGCACCGCTAGACGGACGATAAGTGTTTAGCCCGGGGGTAGCGGAGTAAGAGGTTGTTTGTCTTGAGGCGAGAGCTCGCCCCAGGCGTTGGTGTTGCGACAGGCATCACGGCCGAGTGATAGAGTGGACGTCAGGACTGGTGAGGTTGACGATGGAGATCGGCGGTGCGGGCGGGAATGGAAGGGGGCCGGGGGGAAGACATGGACGGCGGCGGGCGGGCATAGGGGCTGCATATCGGGGGCGGCGTCTGCGACGGACAGGCAGCAGGGCATTTGAGCTGGAAGAGGCATCGACCGGGGGGAGCGATAGAAGCAGCGGGAAATGATGGGCCAGAAAAGGAAAGGTTGTGGCCGGGGGATGCCGAGAGTAGATATATGGGCCGGGACGACGGGCGAAGGCGCTCTCCCCATCCCCGTCTACATGGTTTCTGCCTGAGGCCGTCGCCCGTCTGATCCCCCGTGCTCTCTTCCTCCCGCCTAGCCCTGCCGTCCCAAGGATCCCGCCTGGAGTGCGTCGCCTGCTCCCCGCCCCCGCCGCGCACCGCTGACCCTTTTTCACGCAGATCTCGCGACCCTTGCCGGCCTCTCCCCACCCGCCTATTTCCCCAGCAAGCACCAGACGCCTCACAAGCAGCACCGTCCGCCGACTACCCTCGCGCCCGGTATCAAGCACCTGCTCCAGAACACCATCGACACCCCTCCAACAGCCCCGGATTCCGCTGAGACCCCTCGCGTACCCGGCCTGTCCTCCTCCCTGCACGCATACATCCTCCGCCTCCTCACGATTCCCGCAAAAGCAACGCCCTTCTACCGCCCCTCTCCAGGCTTTTGTGTATCGGTGCTCTCGTCGTCAACCGCCCCTGCTTAGACCCTCCCGCATATCTCGCCCGCACGGCCCAGATATCCGCCGCAAACTCTGTAATCCCACTCACGCAAACCACATACCCGATGGCTCTCCCGATCACCATCCCCGCCTCCCCTGCTGCTGGCTCTCCCGCCTCCACTGACGGCACCAACGGGCCCCAGACCCCTTCCTCTCCTTCCAACCCCCCGACACTCGCTCTTCCCCCTGCGGATGCTGCGGCCCCTGCGGCTGCTCCCGCAACTAATAACGGCGCCGCCAACAACAACGCCACGGCCAACGCCAACAAGCGCAAGCCTAGCCGCCGTGCCAACACGGCCGAGCGCAGGGCTACTCACAACGCTGTCGAGAGGGCCCGCCGAGAGACTCTGAACAGTCGCTTCCTCGTATGTGATTCTACAGCACCCATTTGATGATCACTGAACACTGGGCATCATAGGACCTTGCGGCGCTGCTGCCCAACCTCTCCCAGATCCGCCGCCCCTCCAAGTCCTCTATCGTCAACTCGTCGATCGCTCACGTCCACGCGTCTCGTCGTCATCGCTGATCGCCGCTCGCGAGCTTCGCCTCATTAAGCTGGAGGCCGACGCGCTCCGCCGCGAGTTGAACGAGTGGCGCGATCGCTCCGGTCTCCCCCGCGTTGAAGAGCCCGTCCGCGGCGAAGGTTTCCAGATGATCCTCAGTGGCGAGGTCGAGATCCTCAGTGCCGGGCCATGAAGAGGAGGACGGCGCTGACTACGCCGGTGATGACTACGGTGATGATGAGTTCGTGGGCGCTCAAAACGGCAGCGTTGTCGGTAACCATGCGAACATCGGTCCGGTGACGAGCCCATGGACGAGATTCGCGTCCCGATGGCACACGCGGCCGCACTGCGCTCCTCAAGAACGACCCTTTGCTCATGGCGTCCCTAACAACGGCATGCACCTCCCGCCGTTGATGACACGCGGCGGACATAACAACGGTACGCCCATGATCGTCCAGAGCCCCACCTCAGTGTCGTTCGAGAACCCGGCTATGGTGTCGATGTACGAGCCGCACCACGGTATGAACGGCAACCAGTTCAACGGCCAGTTCTTCCCGGCATGAACAACGAGGACAAGGTCTCTTGGCACGGCTCCATGTACAACGGGATGGCGAACCCGGGCCCCGGCCAGCAGCAGTTCACCCCGCCGGCGACCGCGCAGGGCCAGCAGCAGCGCGCGTACTTCATGAACATGCAGCGCCAGCAGGCGATGATGCAGCAACAGCAGCGCGGCAGCATGGGCCATGCGTACGGAAGCCCCACGGACGGGGATGACGCGTCGAGCGTCGGGTCTGGGCCAGCGCGCCGCGAGCGCAGCGGCAGCATGGGCAGCAACGGGAGCGGGTATGGCTCGCCAGGCTCGAGCGGCGGGTACGAGGTGCCGCGGCGGATGGGCAGCGGAAACGGCGCACCGTTCGGCGGCGAAGGCATGCCTATGGGCATGAACGGCATGGGCATGGGCCCGGGCATGATGAAGGGTGCGCCGATCAGCGTCGGTGGCGGCGGGAACGGCCACGGGTACGCGTCCATGATGCTCTGAGCGCATCCCGCCGCTCTCGACGGGCGCACTAGACAAGCAAGTGCGTTCTGTTGACGATGTCCCTCCCCTCCCCGACTGCCGTGTACACTTTAATTGGCAGTCTCTACGCACCTTTAATAGGCCTCTCCGCCCGCTGTTCTGCTGCTAGGCCCTGCGTATTTATCTCTCGTCCACCGTCGCTGCTGCGCCGATATTTCTGTACGTTCGTTGTATCATTGCCTGGTGCCCCTGCCCTGCGCTCGCGCACGCCTAGTCTACGCCCTCCCCCCTCGGTCTGGTCCCTGTTGTCGTTTCTTGCTTGTTGCGTCGTATCATGATACCTTCGCTGTACCACTACTCTGACTGCCGGCCCCTCCAGTCGTTCTGTGTGCGTCGCAGTCGTATACTGTCCTACCCACTCGTTATATTAGCCAGTGAACCGCGTGCCGCGCATGTGCTTTGTGTGCGCCGGTCGCTGCAAGTCGCTCATTTACCCCATCGTCTCCGCTGTGTCCGCCGCGCCGCGCCATGTACCGATGTGTCTGTTGTAAAATTGCTGTGGTCGCTGCTGTCGATCGAACGAGTTTGAGCTTGGGACGCCGGTGACGACGCGCTGAACTCCGCCCGCGTAAAGTGCGCGGCCGATATGTCGCATCAGAGACAGATGGATGGGCCGTGGTGGCGCGCTAACCAAGATGGTGAGGTGTGCGCGCCTGCGGTCGCCCTCGCTACGGAGGCTCGATCGAGGGCGCCCTGGACCCCGCCCTGTAATCACACCGCCATTGCCTTATTTGTCGCCCGACAATCGCTGTGATAGAGTCGCCGCCGCGGACGCTCTTTGTCTGCGCATCAACTACTCATCCGGGCTGTCTCGCAGTCTCGATGATGCCGCCCGCCCGCAATGATGCCGACTCCCCAGCCCAAGGCAGGGCGAGCTGTTATCGGGCCTCCCCTGGGCTGAACCCTTCTGTTTATTCAATCCTGCCTCGCGGCGTGCGCGTACGATATCGCGCCATCGTGCCGTCTGCGCTGCAGCCTGCCCAGCCCGGCCGCGTGCCCAGCCGGTCCCGATCCGGGCAGAGTGCGTCACCCGTCCGCATACAAAGTTCGCTCTAGCTATGTATACTGGCGTACAGGCACCGCGGGGCTTCTGGGGAGGTCGCGCGGAAGGGCGACGAAGCGTCGAGGCTTCGCTGTGCCCCCGGAGATTGGGTATGCGCGCATCAGCGATGAACTATGTGTGCGGCCCGCTGGGCGGGTGCGCCCGCGCCTTATCGGACGCGCTGCGAGGGGAGAGGCCAGTGGGACGCCAGCGCAGGGAACATCGCGAAGATCAGAAGACCCTCGGCTAGGTCGGACGACTCGCACCCGTGTTTGTGCCCTCAGGCCGTCGCAGGGTGCCGCGTTCGCAGCCCGCGCGGGGGCAAATCGTGCGAGTCGCCTGCCTGGCTTCTGGGAGCCCCGCGCTGGAGGTCAGCGCGGGGCACTGCTGGGGTGGGACGCCGTGAGACGATGCGGGACCGAAGGACGACCCTGAGGAACGCGCCCTTTGGAGCGCGTTCCTAGAGTTCCAGTGGTTCATTTAGGTGGCGGAAGCTGTCGTAAGGGTGTGGTAAGAGTGGACTCGCGTGCGCGCGAGGGGTCAAGCCCAAACAGTGTGAGTCGCCTCGGTCAGTCCCAGCGGAGAGCTGGCCGTAGGCATCGAATTACACCTGCTTACTGAGCAGACTGGCTCGTAGGCTCATGCACGAGCTAAACACGGTGAGTACTCCTGACATACATCACTCAACTCGCAAATATAGCGATCAAACACAACCGGGCGCCCGGGCGGAACTTGGTGTGCTGTCCAGAAAAGTAGTATCTTCGAATTCTCGGACATCGTGCATATGGATTGACATTGACATGACAGATCTTTTATTGATCAGTTGTTGCCGCCAGACCCGAGTCTGCGAGTATTCAGTTACACATAATACAAGAAGACCAGTCGGGCGAGACGGCAAGCTCCAACGACCCGTCGTCTGGACCGTGCAGAAAGCTGGTCGCCCATGCGCAGCTCAAGTTCGTCAACGATCGCTCTGATTTCCAGACAGTCGCACTCACGTCCAGCGCGCAGAAACAGATATGCACCCTGCTTGTGTCAATCGTCGTCGGTCGAAGACGTGAAACGTGGTCGTGGGACGCCCTGCACTCACCACAGTTTATTTTGAGCGACTCGGAGGACTTACGACGGTCATATTGAATTCACATGCCCGGAAGCACGTACGTACGCCCGCGCATTCTCACTGTAGGTCAAATTCGACCACAGGGCGAACACCATGGCGGCAAGCCCTGTTTCCCGATATGAAATGTGAGTGTCGAGACGCGTTGTCGCCATTTTCACTTCTTTCTAGGCCACCTGACGCGTACAGAGTGGCATCGCCGGGACCGAAAGGAGAAGGAAGCAAAAGGCACCTTCGCGATGCTACGACCGGGTGCTGTCCGTTTGTGAGGATCGTCAAGTGCGCGGTCTATGCGGTGGATGTTACTGGACCAGCCACGCAGTGACGGCACGACAGGCACTGCGGGGTGAACGTACGGCAGATGCCAGGCAGGAGGCAGGTGCATGGAATGCTGCGTGACGGCAACTTGAACTGTTTGCCAACGTACCGCAAACGACTGGCTGTCTACGCCAGGGGAATGCTCCGAGTCCCTACATGAAGGCTCCCTGTGTAACGTGAGGCACTGGATTGTCGAGAACGCTTTGGCGAGAACGCTTTGGGTGAGTGATAAAGCTACGATCCCGATGCTCTACCGAAGCTACAACACCGGTCATAACAGGTTGCCATCACCCACGATCACATCCACGTATAAGGCAAGGGCCTGCCTCGCGTAATAATGGCCCGATAGAGGCATATTTGGTAGCTCAAGCAGTGCTATCCCAACTTTGATCTGCACATCTCGGATTGCGCTGTTCATGTATCACGCATCGAGTCTCGTCTGCGGCGGACGACCCGAGTCCGAGTCGTCCCCGCCCGAACCCGGTTCGAGTTGCGGACCGCCTCTGTATCCATAAAGCCATTGTGTGATCCGCCAGATCCGCCTCTTCTATCTCTGTCTCGGCTAGATCACTACGCTCCGCTCGTGATTGTTCGTACCACCCGGTTGATTTCCAGGAACTCTGACAGAAGGATCGACGTCAAGATCAGTGCGGGCGATCAGGTGAGCCGCGACCGTCCTTCACTGGGTTGCCTATTGCCTACTGCCAGTGCTCAGCTCGTAGTACATATTACTCACGCTGTCATCTCGCAGGTAACTGCTTCCAGGCTGGCGATGGCCATTCATCTCATTCAAGTTTGTAGTTCCCATACAGCGGTTCCGTCCTGCCATGCAAACCAGGCCTCGTCTTCTTAGACTCCAGATCGCCCGAGCTAGCACCTCTTCTGCTGCTTTACTCAAGCTTTACTTGCAGTTTACCCGGTGTGCCACTGCGAGGCTGTGGCATTTACATTGATATAGGGGCCACTGTGCGTCGCACGAACCGGACTACTGTATCATGGACCATCAAGCCCCCCTCACTAGCTCAGTATAAACCATCAAGTCCCCTCACATCAATGCATCCTGAGAAGGACCTCAACGAGATGATCGAAACCAACACTCCGTGAGTGTCGGAGCGTCTAGATTTCCAGCACGCCCCGCTGATTCGTTCACGCCTGGCGAACTGAGTTGTGCGACATAAGATAGCCGCACGCACATACACCTGGATTGACTCAGGGGGCGCGTCAGTCACTTCAGTGGGCGCACTGCTGGCAGCCTGCATCAAGTTGACGGGGTTGACTTTCGCCGAGACGTCGTATTTTCCGGGCATCCATGCGGTGCCCCCCTCCCCTCTGGCGCTGCAGCCTCTGGTCGAAAGTGAGTACAGAGCTTCGCCCCACACATCTCGCCCCTCGACGATCCTTGCGCATCTCGGGTATCGGTAAGTCTTGTCTTTGCTGCAACGTGCATCGCATACATGATACGCCTTGTGCTAGTCGCCGTGGAGTGCGGATGGTTCACTTGTGCGCATATTATATCCGCGTCTGGGGCGCTGCCAAACTCATGCCTTTCAGGATGTCACAACTACAGCCGAATCACTGCACTTGAACATCATGCCGTTCGAGACATCTAAATTATTGGCCTCGCTTCAAATGCTGCAACGTTACGACGGCCAGCATTCTGGAGGCGGTGTCTATGAATTTTATAGATGGTCCTGACACTATTACCACGCCGTTCAGACTACTAGTGAGCCCCCCTGGACACTCATTGCAAAGTCAACTGGCCATTATCATACAACTGTGATACCGTTATACGACGGGTATGTATGCTGCTGTCACATCCGTGTATGCGCAGTAAGTTTCATGGCCAATAAACAACGTCGTTGACGGTTCACGGTTCGCGCTTGTCAGGTTAATTGGACCCACGTTCCCCATCTGTGGAAGCTGAGGGCGCCTGCACATTCTGGCAAGATGATTCTAGGGTAAAGGTTAATCGCAGTTGCGACTGTTTGCCTTTGTGCAGCATCTGCGTGATCTTTGTCAGGCCCGAGGTGAGCAATTCACCATCCCGGTCCATCCGTGTGCGGGTCATTTTCGGACGGTCAGTGACGTGTAGACCCAAAAAAAGACCGAATTGATAAACACTGCTGCACTCTGTTGAACGTGGAAGGCTTTACTCTGGGACGACTGTCAACAACATCGTGGGTGTCCAACTGACTGGCGTAAACATCACGTAGTCCCACGAACGGTCCATGGATATCGCAAGGCCTGAGTACTGAGTACATGAAACTCATTGTGTTTCGAAACTGGACCTGTTGACACGGAACTGACACACTTCCGTCATGATTATATCTGTCTGGGCTAATGGGCTACTACTGCTTCCAGTCTATGTATTCGAAAGACACCGGAAATAGAGCAGCAAGTTGGAACGTGCGCCGTTAAAAGCTGTGCTAAGCTATAATCATCGCCCTCTCCCGCCTGGCGGGGTCGTCTGTCCAGCCCATCAGTCCCAGTGAGGCCCGTTTGTCGTCCTCAGGTGAGGTAGCAACTTGGTGCTGATGCACCGTGCCACCGTCTTCTTCCTGCCAGTCACTGTGCGTTCATGCTGAGTATGCAAAGCACTCCTACAAGGTATGTTCCTGTGGCTCTGACGACTGCCCTGGATCATGGTATCACCTGCCGGTGGCGATGTCGAGGATTGCGTGGATTTGACAGAGTGTGGTGGTCGTTCCTGACTTGATCGCGGGAGCAGCCCGCCGATCGTCGATCGAACTTCTTCGCAGGCCCACTCATCCGATTCCTCCTGCGCACCTCTGTTCCCATGGTCAGACTGATATCCTTTCTTCGAGATCATGCAGGTGCTGCGATGTACTCGTCGAACAATCAGGGCTAAGGAGGCAGAAGTGCCTGAATACAAAACAACACTGACAAGTGACACACGTGGGTACCAAATCTGCCCCGCGTGATAACGATGTCTATAGGGCGGAACTTCATATTTACGACAACCTCGCACGGTGGTCACTAACTATTTATCCCCGCCTCTCCTGTCGGCTCCCTGAACACTCAGGGCGCCCGCTATACATATACAGCGACGACGGCGATGCGAGCAGTCGCTCTCTGACCCTGGGCTAACAACCCTCGGGACTCACAGCCTGCCAGATGCTGCTCCCGGTCCTGTTCGTTCACGTCGTCGCCTCGTTGCTCTATTGCAACCCGCTCCTCGCGGCGGGTCAGGCCGCTGCTGCCGCTGCGTATTCCCCTCTATTGGTGCCGTGTCCAGCAGGCTTCTCGTTGGTTCGCGAGGCAGGCACTAATGCCCAGTCTCAAACACTCAGCCAAGGGGAGCTCGCGTACATCTCAGCCAAGCAAGACGGAGTACTCCCGGACGCGTGGAGCACTTATCTCTCTTCCGTGGAACGCAGCACGAGCGGTAGCTCACTGCCACCGTATGTCTCCGAAATTCTTGGAGGGAATTATGGCTGGACGGCCTATCCGAGGTTAGGCATTGCGACAAGCGGGGGCGGGTACCGCGCGGCGACGTTCGGAGCAGGTGTATTGAACGCCCTCGACGGCCGCAACGCCTCGGCAGTCGCAGCTGGTACTGGTGGCCTCCTGCAAGCGGCGACGTACCTAGCCGGACTATCGGGAGGGAGCTGGCTGGTGACGTCGCTCGCCCAGGCGAATTTCCCTACAATCCCAGATCTTGTATTCGGGACCGCGGCTGCCAGTGCAGCGGGCTTTGGCGGCTGGAATGCGGAATTCGACTTATTCGAGCCGAGCAACAGCACCGCCGTCAACGCTGCGTACGTGCTTGACCTCATCGAAGAGGTAGAGGGAAAGCATGCCGAAGGCTTTCCTGTGACCCTGAGCGACGTCTGGGCTCGAGCACTTTCGAGGCATTTCGCCAATGGCACGGATGCGGCGAACTTCTATGACACGAGCGTCACCCACGGTGCGGGTATAATTTTCTCTTCGCTGGCCAATTTGTGCGTCATCACAGCTCCTATTTGCTTGGTGTGATTCTGACAAGAATGTCAGAGACACGTTTCAAACATACGTGCAACCATTCCCTATACTCGTCTCTGACTCATACTCACCGAATGAGAACACCTCTGCATATGCAGACCTGGCGTACGCTTATGTCCCGCTGACAAACCCGATCTATGAGTTCAATATCTGTGAGTGGAGAAGCACTCACAAAAGGCTGATGTCGCTGATCATATCCGTCGATAGATGAGTTTGGCTCATACGATCCAACGCTCGGTGCTTTCGTACCCATGGAATACCTCGGCAGTACGAACACCAGCACCTGCGTTACAAAGTTTGACCAAGTCTCGTTCGTCGAGGCGCTGTCCGCAAGCCTCTTCAACGAATACAACACCTCCGTGAGCGTCTTCGCACATCCAAGTACAAGCCAAGCTCAACGTTCTCTGCAGGCCGCCGCTCTGCAAAACTCGTCCGTATACGAGATCATAGAGATCCTCGAAGAGCTGATCCCCGAGTCGGACATCGACTACACCGTCGGTATCGTGCCGAATCCGTTCCAAGGCCTGCACCCGGAGACGTTCATCGACACGAACGAGACGTACCTGCAACTTGTCGATGGCGGAGAAGACGACGAGACCGTGCCGCTTCAGCCGCTGCTCGTCAAAGCCCGCGAGGTCGACGTCATCTTCGCTATTGATGCGGTGAGCTACTGATTCTGCTCGACTGCGTGTACGGCCCGCTCACCTTCGGCGCCCCAGGCATCAGACACGGAGTACCACTGGGTAGACGGGAGCTCCGTCATCGTACGTCCTTCCCTCCGCTGTCAGCTTCCGCACTCATCTGCTATACTGCACGCAGGCCACCCAAGAGCGCATGGCATACTTCGTCGGGACTTACTCCTTCCCGCCCGTGCCTCCAGACAACGCCACCTGGCTGGCTGAAGGGCTCACCAGACGTCCGACCTTCTTCGGCTGCAACAGCAGCGCCGCGTCCGGCGCACCGCTCCTCATCTATTTAGGAAACGGCGGTCCACCGCTAGGCCAGACTACCGGATACACGAACACGTCGACGGCGCAACTCGCTTACAGCGCGGACGAGCTGGAGGTGATGCTAAGCCAGACGTTTGACGTCGCGACGCAGGGTATCGCGATCGAAACGGCGGATGGATGGGAGAAGGACCCGGAGTACGCGAGCTGTTTGGCGTGCGCGGTTGTCGATCGGGCGAGGGAGAGGCAGAACATCGAGAGGAGTGGGCTCTGCGCGAGTTGTTTGGAGCGGTATTGCTGGAGTTAAGCCTAAGGGGACACGGGACATGCTATTGTCGCTTGAGTGGACAATGTAAATCTCGCACAATCTTACTTGTCTATGCTAATTCAACATACCACATTCTTTCCGAGCGTACACTGACGCTAGCGTGCCGCGCGGACCCTTTCAGGCTCATTCCAAGTAGCATCTATTGTTCCATCGTTGTTAGAACTTCCAGACCCAACACTGCCGTGTGAGCAAACTGCCGCACCAACAATGACACCCAACACGCACCTCTATGGATACACATCACCCCAGCACCCTACACGGCAATCCGAGAACAAAACCAAAATCAAGCATCAACTTCCCATCCAAACACCCCTTCGCTCTCCTCTAATCGCTCGCACACGAGCTTCACCTTCTCGTCGTCCACGTTTGCCACCGAGAATCGTATCCACCTCTCCGGCTCCTCGCCCGGACTGGGCTCCTGGCTCGGCCCGAAGAACCCAGCAGATAGAACTACAACGCCGAGCTCCTGCGCGAGCCGCTTGCACACCGTGTTCGCGTGCACGGCCTTGAACGGGTGCTTCACGAACGCGTAGTACCCGCCCTGGCTGCCGATCTTCCAGTGCGCGGGGAGCACCTGGCGGAAGAGCTGGTGGCGGTGCTCAACTGCGCGCGCGGTTTCGTTCACGAAGGGTCTGAGCGACGGGAGCAGCGGGGCTAGAGCGACTTGCGGGGGACGAGGCGCGCAGATTTGGAGGGAGTCGAGCGCGGCGTCGACGTGCGGGATGAATACAGGGGAAGCGCAGAGAAGGCCGAGGCGGTGGCCTGGGATGCAGTATGCCTTGGAGAAGGAGTAGAGGTGGATGAAAGTCGACCGCCAATCCCAGTCTGGAATGGAGGAGGGCTTGAAGAGGTCGTGAGGAGGCCCGGTGGTGACGAAGTCACGGTAGGTCTCATCTAGCACTAAAGCGATGCTATGTTTGCGGGCGAGCTTCGCGAAGTCTGCGATGAGGGAAGCAGGGTATACACAACCAGTCTGTACGGATCAGAAAGGCTCGACTCTAAGCATATATGCATGATGGACTCACAGGGTTGTTTGGTGTAACCAGCACGATCGCCTTGGTCTTCGAGGTGATCAGGGCCTCACAGACCTCAATAGACGGCATGAAACCGTCCTCTGGACGAGTGGGTAGAAGCACAGTTTTGATGTTGAGAGTTGTAAGAGTCATCCTGAACACGAGTTGAATGGGTGTCTCTGGAAACGTGGAAATAACTCGTACTCGTGATTGAAATACCTACAACGCAAGTCAGAAATGGACTCCGAAAAGGACGACTGCAACTTACCAGGGTAGCGGCAAGATCATCTCATCGCCAGCATCCGCAAGTGCCATGGCTATTGAGACAAATGCCAGGTTGCATCCCGCCGTGATAGCAATGTCGTCCGGAGTGACATCAATGTCATGGCCGTATCGATATTTCATCTCCTCGACGGAGGCCTTTCGAAGGGCAGGCTCTCCCTCGTTGGGCAGATAGCCGCAGCTGATCGGATCGGACGAAGCAACCGCTAGCGCATCGAGCACTTCTTTCGGCGGGGGGATGCCTGGTACGCCTTGAGACATGTTGAGCAATGGTCGCCCGGGCGTTGCGACATATGCCTGTGCCCATTCGAAGGCCTGCGGGATCCTGCAGGTAGACTCGCTTGCATCGCCGCGTTCACATAATAAACACAGACACTCACGGTGGTCGACTGGTGGCCTCGATTCCACGAGACAGACGGAACGCAAGAGGAGGTGCCATGATTCTTGACCGTCCTCAGCTGAGCAGATGCAACGACCCAAGAATCGGATTACTTTGAATGAAGCTGCCTCACAGTAGAGACTCGAGGACTGCAGAGGGCTGTCCGAGGTCGAGGTTCGAAGAGGTGCAGCGCGGTTAACGGCCGCATCGTCCTGGTGGATGGCCCGGTGAGCGATACGCCCGTGAGCGCCTACAGCGACGAGTCAGGTCGAGGCGTACCTGCTCGGTTGACGACAACAGCCCACCATCTTCAGGGCGTTCATCCTGCTGCTGTCGAGAGGACGACTGTCGACGGTACACTGCGCCGGAGAGAAACCAAGAGAGGGCGTGCACAAGCGGGAGAATCCACGCAGACAGGTGTGCACGGGCTCGCGGCCTTCCGTGGTGCAACTCAGCTGACGGCCACCACGAGCTTTCCTCGAAGCGACCGTCTCCAATACCACTTGTGCGGCGAACTATATGGCAGGCCGTGTTGGGAGACTTGCAAGACTGACTCTGTTCTCCGGACCAAACTGTTCGCTTTGCGACGTGCGTCATCCCAAACCTCTTCTCTCCTCCACTCACTCCGAGTCCATCTATGGGCCACACAGACGGCCAAAGCGGAGCTAGCCAAAGTCAGACAACGGCGACCGTTCAACCTCGAGACGATCAATATCCAGGACCAGGGCCAAGAGCGGTGGAAGCGGAAGTATGTCTACTGGATCCCGGCGCTGCACATCGAGGGCAAGGAAGTCGCGAAAGGCCGCTGGAACGCACAGACTGTGAACGAGGCTCTCGATACCTGGGAGCGGGACCCATGGACCACGGAAGGCACGAAGAAGCCCTGAACCCTACGCTCCGCCTATGTTCACCGTCGATACCAAGCCTAGCTATGGCAGCCCATATTATGACCTTTACTTCTATGAACGCTGTGGTGACGGCGCTCTCGGAATGGCGCGCGTCGAAGAAGGGGATGGCAGTGACGTCCGACGCTGTTTCAATTGCGGTTCGCCAGACCATTCGGTGTCCTCCTGCCCCGAACGCCGCAACCACGCATTGATCTCCCTCTCACGCCAATTGTTCAACTTCTTCAGGAACGAGTTCTTAGCCGGATCGCAGCGCATACACGAGTTTGAAGGCTGGCGACAACAGCGGCTAGCGTGGCTGGAGGAGTTCGAGCCAGGTCAAGTGAGAGGCGAGTTGCTGCGCGACGCGTTAGGCCTGACGGACGGCGATGCTGGGGAGCATGTGGAGTGGTTGCGCAACATGGTATGCTGGGGCTATCCTAAAGGCTGGATTGGCGAAGTCGATCCGAGACTGCAGGTGTGGAAAATCATCACCGGCGAGGGCGAACAAGGCGATGGCGAGGACGACGATGTGACGTCGTTTATCATCGCTGGGGAAGAGGAAGAGCAGCTTCAGCTTCCTGGAAGGTCTGTCGTGACTCCGTTGTTCAACGAAGACGATAGCACATCTACCTCCGACTGCGACGAGGCTTCTCACACGGCAGCGGAACCATCCCTGGACGCAGGTCATGGAGAGCCGAAACGATGGGCCACATACCCAAACACGTATTTCCTCTCCTCCAAGCTCTTCGTCTACATCAGCCAATGTCTTCCCGAGCCCGGCAAGAACCGTCTTCTGCGATCACTAGCAGTACGTTCAACGCTGAAAGGCAGGCACTGTGGGACAGAATAGTGTCGCAAGTCGACGTGTCTACGTCGACGGCTCCCGCGCCACCGCCCTACCCACCTCCCGGCTCGCCACCTCCGCCTCCGCCTTCAAGCCCACCCCCTCTGCCTCCGGCCAGTCCACCGCCGCCACTTCTTTCGCTTCCCGGTCCGCATGTATCGCCCAGGGCAAATCCTAGTGAAGCTGAAGAGGGCGAAATCGAATAGACATGGACGTATCCGACTAGTTTTCTTACCATGTGTTGTCTCATACCGCGTTCTCGTCGCTGCTTTGGATCGCATTGTGAACACCATCATCCGGCAAGGGGATATAACATTGCCCATGGGTACGTACACTGATCCATCCATTAACCCTACGATATATTACAACAAGTACAGGCAAGCGCCGCTAACTAAGGCTACAGATGCATTGGCAAAGGCCTCACAGAGGCGCAACAGATTAAAGGCGTGTCCGTGGTGTAGATCATCCTGATGTGAGGGTAGTGTCTGTAGACGTCAAGTGTCGTCTGATGCTCGTCTCGCGCGTTTAGATGGCAATGGGACTCGACTTGAACCGCGGTTCAGGCGTTGCTGAGCGCGTGCTCGAGGTCGAGGGGGTACCCGGTCGTGGTGGTACTGCGTAACGAGGAAGCGTCTCCAGTGGCTTCGAGATGAGGAAGCCTGCCAGCAAGACCTCAGCTATTGTTCAATCGCCAAATACCAAAGCGGACGTACCCTTTAGCCCAGCTTGCTTCTCACCCTGCCTTCCAAAGCCAAAGCCTGCCTTCTTCCTCCCGAATTCGGTGGCGCCGACCTTCCAGTTCCCGCTGAAGACGTCGTCGACGAACTTCTCCGCTGGCGCTTGGAGAGGCCCCAGCTTGCTCGTGGGGAGGACATCCTTCGCCCGCTCACGCCACGCGAAGATGCAGCGGCGCTCCCTCGCCCGCTCGCGGAAGATGAGGCCGAGGAACATGTTGGTGCAGCCGAGCGCGAAGAGGAAGAAGGCGGCGACGAGCGTGAAGTCGTCGACGTGGTGCGAGAGGATCGTGGCGCCGATGAGGCACTGGAAGATACCTAGGGGGCCGAGGCCGAAGTTGCTGCCGAGGACGGGGAACCAGCGGTCGAAGAAGGTGTAGGGCCAGCCGACCTCGGAGAGGATGAGTGCGATGACCTCGAAGATGATGAGGATGCGGTTGATGACTGCCCAGAATATCCCAGCTGCTTGGTTGGGGACGTCGCTATTACTGTGATGCGAGGTGGTGAGTCTTCTGTGACAACAAAGTGAGGCTGAGAGCGGGACGTACGGGACATAATCGCAATCTTGGTAGCTGGTGCTGTTTGCCGAGGCTTGGAAGTCGTGGAATGCTCGTACATCTTTGTTGATAACAAAGATGCTGCTTGCGAAGACAAGCAGGAGGGAGACAATGCTAAGAGCGCGGACAGCGTTCAAGCCAAAGAATATGTCTGTTGGGACGTCTCGTCAGTCGCCACCGGAGGTCGCTATTAGGTGGCGCGACTCACATGCGCGGGGAGGCAGCATCGTGGAGTGCAGTCTATATGTGTATGATCAGAGAGCGAGGATGTAGTGGAGAATCGTGAATCCGAGCCGGCTTGCGAGCTGAAGCAGAGTAAAGAGTGGAGGGTGTCCCGACACCAGACGTGGAAAGAACGAGGAGAGACCTGACCGAGAGGTGGGGATATTAACAGGCCACCGCAGTCTTATATTGTTCGCCGCGTATGGGCTGCATTCCCGTTTCATGGTTGTGCCTATTGTTCCCAGTCATCGCGGCTACCTGTGGCTACATTGTCGAGCGCACACTTGGCGCGCACGAGAACAATACAGTGATCAATCACAACGACTGCCATTCGGGGTGGAGTTACGTAACAAACACACCGTCGCCAAACAACGCGTCAACACAAGCGCGAACTTGGCGCTCCGTCACACACTTGTCCGAGACCATGGATGTCTTTGCTTCCGTTACAATGTTCCTCAATGCGCCTGCATGCACTGTTGAGCGGGTTCCTATTCTCGTCTGCCCCAGACCACCCCATCGTTGTGTTTCCCGATGGGGCCAAGTATCCGCTGGCAGGCGCCGACTTGTTACAGCCTCTCCAGATTTTGTTATACGACCCGATCGCATGTAATCCGCATGCCACGGTCCGATACATGCAGAGATCGTCGTAAGATGACACACAGACACGTTGAGTGGCCATTCGATTACTCCACAGCGAGCAGAATCGAAACCTATAATGGGTCTAGTCGGGAGAGGTGACCTCCTGAGCCGGTAGCCCAGCTGTTGCTTCCATATCCTCATCTTCATGTGTGAGCGACGGCGGCGCTTGAACCACTTCATTAACCAGGTTCATCGCAACAAAGTACAGTAAGCGCATCCCATTGTTGCCCACCAGAACCCTTCTCCAACTGCCCGGTCTCACATGAAGCCTCTCAAGGGAATCGTGCCTCCCTGTATTTCAGCCTAGCAAACGCCAGCTGTTGGTTGTAGAGAAGCATGCCTACGTGTACAGGATGCATAGGGAGCTCCACGAGGACTGTGAGGTGTGTGACAGTCGTTGGGTAGTCGCAATCACTAATTGGGATCTGGTATGTATCGCCTTGTATCGCCCGTAGCACACATATGCGAAGTCTATCCGCCATAGCCAAGTCAGAGTCTATTCCTCGGTCGCGAGAATAACTGAGCAACCATCCGCCACCGAACATGAACGGACCTAGAGCACTACAAGCAACCTCATACATAATATGTAGTTAACTAAGCCGCATCGCACCTTTCCGAAACATCTGCTCACTTTGGGCACGTCCTTCATTGATATACTAGTCAACACATGTACCGCAAACCTAGAATAAAGTTACAGGGAACACCGCATGAGCCGCGGCGGGCAAGACGATCTATGCAGAATACGCAGGCGGAGGCATATCCCCCGAGCTCGCGCTGCGAGCTTCAGAAGCTGCCTCAGCCGCCTTGTCTCTCCTTACAACCGATGGGCCCGCTTGTGCAGGCCCACCATCCTCATGCTGTACGATAGGCCGGACGGCAGGCATCAACGGGACAGGCATCCTCAGCGAGGGCGTCCCGAAGAACGATGCGCGCAGCGAAGTGCGTGGTGTATGTCCCCTCGACTGCGGTGGCACGCCATCTTGCCGCTCGACAGCTTTGCCCCGTCGGGGGCGAGGCATGAAGTGGCTCTTCTCTGGGAGCGGCGGCGGCGTGAGCAACGCGGAGTTGCGCGGCGAAAGATTCGCGACGTGTAGTAGGTGACTAGGGGGACTGGGCGGGTTGACGGTGAGCTGCGGAAGCTGGCTCGGAGGTGTCGCGCGGGGTGTTGCTCGGATCGTGGCTATCGAGGACCGGTCCGAGTGTACGGTTTGCGCGGGCTTGCCGGGCACGGTGCGCGAGGAGTACCATGTCGCGCGCGGGGACGAAGGGAGGGGTTTAAGCTTGCTGACGAGCCGCATCGGTAGGTAGTCCTTCTGAGGAGGTGTCGGTGGTACGGCGCCGACGGAGATGTCCCCTTGGTATGGCAGTCCTTCGGTGTAAGGACGGGGCTCGGCGTCGAGGTCGATGTCGCCCTTGTCTCGCCGCTTTCGCAACATCCTACCCGCCATCGTGGGCATGTCAAGTTGACGTTCCTTCTCCTGGTCTTCGCCGGGCTGCTTCTTCCCTCGCCTGGGAGGCCCCGTGTTAGCCATGTTCGAGTCTACTATAGACGAAGACTTACGAAAAGAAGGCGAAGCCGAAAGCCAGGACAATCAAGGCGACGATTCCACCAATGATCGCTCCTATGATCGCGCCTGCAGGAGTCGAGCTGTTCCCCGCTGCACTGCTCCCTGAGGGCAGACTGGCAGCAATTATGGAGGTTGCAGTCACGGCGACGACCTCCATCGAGGTTATTTGTGTTGTGATAGTAGAGCCTCCAAGTACCGTTGTCTCGGTGGACGGCAGCAGGATGGTAGTGGACGCCGGCAACGTAGACGAAGATGCAGGATCGCCTGACGTGGACGATGCGGTGGACCCAGAGGAAGGGTCAGACGACGCAGCTGAGGTCTGCGTGGACCCGGAGGCGCTGCCGCCCGAGCAGGTCGTCCCATAGAGGGTGCTTGTGATGGCCTGCGTTAACGTAACAGTCGTCGTAACTGGTATCTGCAAGGTCGTAGCCCCTCCTGTCCGGCACCATCCAATCAGTCAACCTAGCTTCTTACGGCACCGACGAAGCCCGAAGTACTCACCTCCAATCGTCGTCTCGAACGTCGAGCAGGTCGGTACAGGGAAGAAGCCAAACGTACTCGTCCCGCACGAGGTCACCGTCGACTTCGTCCCCGCAAACGAGCTAACGCTCGCGCTGTACGACGTCGAGACGCTCTCCGAGCTCAAGGTGCTCAGCGACGTGCCCGTTACAGTCGAGAAGCAGGACATCGTGGTTCGCTACAAGCTCGCTCGCGCTGCGCGGCCGTGTTCCTTGTGGGCTATACATGTTGCAGCGGCCTACCTGCAATGGTGTGGGTGACATTCGGACTACATGCTCTGTTGCGCATGTCCCCTTGACCGCGGGGTGTATTGGGACTACGCTTTGACTGGAAAGGGATCGGCGTCCATACAGCTGCGCAGTTCGACCTAAGTAGAGCAATATTAACAGGAACCGTTGTGAATACTCAGCACTCACAACCTGGCCTGGAGGTGATTGCTCAAATGGCCAAGTCACTACGTGACAGTGAAGTGCGAATACTACTACGGCACGCGGAAGTGCTGCGCAACGAACGCCGACCTTGCGCCAAGCTACGTGCTGCCTCGTGCGTTACACGCAATGCGAGAGGCAGAAGCCGACCTAGAATCAGAGGTATGTAGGCGTCACGCAACGCTTCTAGCGGCAGAACATGAGGAGAATGAAGTGCGTTCGCCGAACTCGCTGCGATTGAGTGAACGGCGACCTAAGCATCCAATCATGAGGCGAACAACTGCATATAATCAGTGAAAGCACGCAGAAGAATGAACTTGAAAAACCAGCCCGAAAACCCCCATTGATTAGACCAGAGACCCAGAGTAATAAGCAAAAGACATGACCCGTTAGATCCCAGACCCAAGGGACTAGATAACGAAGGAAGCACCGATCCACAAACAACCCTAGTAATGAGCTTGATATCTTCTAGGTAGGCTCTACATGGCATACGATGTAGCGCCTGGGTATCACGAACAAGTGACGACCAGTTCGCCCCTCGAACGGAAGTCGGGCAACGCGTTGAATACGATATCGTGCACAACCGCCTGGTTGCTCGCCTGCCACAACGCAAGGCTGACGTCGAACGTGACCCGCACGCCCTCGAACCGCGGATGCGACAACGCCCTGTTCAGCAGCGCCCAGTCGAACGCATGCAGGTCCTGGGTCCACGGCGCCATGAGCAGCACGTCGATGGTCGCGACTTTGGTGGAGACGATCTGCGTGATGAGCGCAGGCACCCAGTTGCAGCAGTCAGGGAGCACCGGTCCTTCAAACTGGATGCGGCGCAGGTTGGGGTTGGCGGAGAGATCGAGGCTGTTGTACGAAAGTGCCTCGGCGGCTACAGAGCTGGGTAACTCCAGGTAGAGCGATTCGAGGTGGACGCCGGACGCGCGGAGCAGGTCACCGAGGGCACCCGTATGTTCCCGCTCGCGCCAGCGGACGTTGATGTCCTGAATATGCAATTCGCAGCCAGGATGCAAGAGCCACTTGGTAAACAGGATGGACGGAGAGCCAGGGCGCAGGACGAGGCGACGCAACGGTGACGGCTCCCGGCTATCCTGTAGCTCTGGGAGGCATGATGGGCGCTGTGGGGACCAGTAGCTCCAGTAGACACGATCGCAGCGAAGCTCCGTGATGCGCGTCGCGACGCAGAGGACGTCCTTGATCTGCGAGGAGCACCCAAAGTGGACGTTCGTGAGCACCAGACTCGATAGGCGGGAAACCGCCTTGAGGAACGGACTGATGCGCGCGGGGCACAGCCGGAGAGTGTTCCAGTTGAGTGACTCGAGCTCGAGCGCGTCGAGCCTAGGGAAGCGGACGACGAGGGCAGGGATACGGGATACCCAGGACGAGTCGATGTTCCGGTACGCGCCCGCCTGGTAGGTAAAATGGTGCGCAACGACCTTGAGCGTACGGACGTAGCGCGCGGTGTCGGGGGAGCCGTCCAGGACACGCTCGACGCGCTCACATGCGAGGAGCCCGCCGACGGCGGCGTCGCAGAAGATGTGCGACCGAGCAGCGGGGACGAATACGCGACCTGCCGCATTACACGCGATCAACGCCTTTCGGTCGTCCCAGAGATGGTCGACGACCTGGTCGAGGAGCTCCTGAGGCAATACAGGAGCCATAGTGTGTGACTCCCCGTCTACGACCGCCTATCTCCAGGTCGAGAGTAGGTGACACCTGCATGATGTCCGTAAGCATAGGACCGCACTGGCAGAGAGCAGGCAGCATACCACGCCGTGGATGGCGAAGAACAGAGCGGAAGCGAGGCGAGGCATCGTGCGATATGCGTTCGGCCGGGAAATGTTCGCGAGCGGGGAGCGCTGCGCGAACAGAGAGACTGCACTAGGCGCCGGCGGAGGGGGCCGAACTCGCCTCTTCCCACGTGGCAGCCAGGTAGCGCGTTGGCGACGACCCAAAAGTTGGCCCTCGCGTTCACGTCCTCCCGCCCCCGTCGCCGCCGTCTTTCCCTTCGTCCGCACCTGTTCGTCCGTGTACAAGTCCATCGCCATGGCTGCCGCTACCGCTGAAGAGATCCGCGCCGACGCCTATGTCGGTTTCGACACCATCACCCAGCAGATTGAGCACAAGCTCTTGAAACGGGGCTTCCAGTTCAATGTCATTGTCGTTGGTGCGTTGCTGTGCTCTTTGTGGGAGTTGGTCTGCAGGAGAGGACATGGCAGTGTGGATGTGAGCTGGAAGGACAAACGAGGATCTCATTTCTCTACGAGGAGGAGACCTCGTGAAGCCCTCGTGCTGTTGCGTCGACAGGAGGAAGCACTGCGCGCACGGACACCTGGATGCAGTGGCTACTTCCTTTGAAGTCTCTTCTTGTCAAGAGTTTCATATCGTGAACGGCTGGGGACAGTGACGCGCAGTTTGCGCGCCCTCGTCCCCCGGCTCTGATGTGTCCACTCTCACATCCTCCATACCGTAGAACATGAATGCTAACATACCATTGCGCTCTGCTAGGCCAGACGGGTCTCGGGAAGTCGACGCTCATCAACACCATCTTCGCGTCGCACCTGATTGACTCTAAGGGGAGGAAGGAGGCCGACGAACCCGTCAGGCAGACCACGGAGATCCACCCCGTCTCTCATGGTTCGCTACCTGCTTTTCTGCCACGCTTACGGGAACTGACGCTAGAATTGGCTAGTCATTGCTGAGAACGGCGTGAAGCTGCGGCTGAACATCGTCGACACGCCTGGGTATGGTGACCAGATCGACAACGAGAACTGGTGAGCGGAATTCGCCATGATATATGTTACAACTCTCGGCTGTGCCCGTTTGTTGGAGGGCAATGTTGACTGTTCATGGTTTATGCTGGCTTGATGCATTACGAGAGACTGTGATGCGCACCGGGTACTGTAGTTGCATGGGCTGTCGACGCCCGTCCAAACTCCATCGCGATGAGACGTCTGGCAACGTTGGTTGTCTAGTGCCACGGAGCAATCGCGACGACTTAGGGCTGCCGACAAATGCTTGCGGAGGGTAATGACTCTCGGGTATGGGGCACAGCGACCTTGGAAGATGCTGCACACATCCGTCGGATTTCTTCGTTTGCTGCCTAAATTCTCCGGACGTTCGAATCCTAACACTGACATGATCGCGTCGTAACAGCTGGGATCCCCTTGTCAAGTACATCAAGGACCAGCACAGCGCATACCTGCGCAAGGAGCTGACGGCCATGCGTGATCGCCACATCCAGGACACGCGCATTCACTGCTGCCTGTTCTTCATCAACCCGACCGGTCACTCCCTTCGTCCCATCGACATCATCGTGATGAAGAAGCTCAGTGAGGTCGTCAATGTTGTCCCCGTCATTGCCAAGTCGGACAGCTTGACGCTCGAGGAGAGGGATGCTTTCAAGCAAAAGGTGAATGAATACATTTGCCCTTCGCACAGACAGCTTCTCAATGGGGAAATTAGATTCGGGCCGAGCTTCAGTACCACAACATCCGTCTCTATCCCTTCGACACGGATGAGAATGACGAGGAGGAAGTCCAGCTCAACGAGAGCATCAGGGTAAGCAGACATCCTCGCGGACGACCGGAGGTATTGTGACACATCTGTACAGAGCATGATCCCGTTCGCGGTCGTGGGTTCTGAGCGGAGTGTCATCATCGACGGCAAGTCGGTGCGCGGCCGGAAGAACCGCTGGGGCGTCGTGAATGTGGAGGATTTGGCGCACTGCGAGTTTGTCTACCTGCGAAACTTCCTCACGAGGTGCGTACCGCCTCGGCGTATTTTGTACTTGGATGCTTACATCTCGGCCTACAGGACACACCTGCAGGACCTCATCGAGACGACTGCGCAGATCCACTACGAGGCGTTCCGCTCAAAACAGCTGCTCGCACTCAAGGAGCAGACCAACCCGCGGCCCCCGGCTGCGCAGTCTTCCGCGTAAGGGACCCAAGACGGGGTCGTCTTACGACAATAGACCTTGACCTGCCTTTGTGCGCGCGTGTGGTTCTGCAGACTTGTCGAAAAGCTTTTGATACCCCTTCCACTGCCCCGGCCTGCGTGTGCCCTGTGCTTCTGAACGCTCCTTGTTCGTTGTTGTTGGACGGTACCGTCGTGTCTGTTTATACTGGTTGCGTCTTGCCACTACGCTCGTTTGAATCCTATACTATAATGCGATGTGTGGCGGCGCATGTGTGAGATGAAGTGATTGGACGCCAGTTGGAGGCTATTCCGGTGTCTCGTCACGACGGTAACCACGTCTTCGCGAAGCGCTTGGCGGTGATCGGTACAGGCTGTTATCGACCAGCGGCTGCAGTGCTCGATTCGATACTGAACGACTACTATCCCCGGCACCGCGGCGAGGTCGACAAGGACCACAGCTCTATTCATGCCCTGAGCAGTCCTTTTCTTCCTACTCCCTTATTCCTGTTTATTTCGATCTTCCTCGCACGCAGAGCGTGGCCCCTTCCGCGGCATTTTCGTCCAGCCATGGGTGCTGTCGACGACGGTTTACTTCCCGTAAAGGCCGTGCATCGCAGGGCGGATGATTCGGACGACCAGGTCATCACCTCGGTCTTCACTTCTGCATTCACGACAAAGGACCACGGAGAGTCGGTGTTGACCCAACAGCTCGTCACGACCAAGGTCACCGCCAGTTCTTCCTCCTCTGCAGCGTCCTCGTCCGCATCGTCCTCCAGCTCGTCGAACAAGTCGAGCAGCTCGAGCTCGTCGAGCAGCAGCGGCAAGTCGAGTTCCTCGAGCTCTGCATCCTCGTCGTCCTCGTCTGCCTCGTCTACCATCACCAGTGCCTCGGCCACTTCCACTAGCTCTGGGGCCTCTGCGAAAGCCTTGTCGTCGTCCGGCTCCGCTGCTGGGTCTCTGGCAGCCTTTCCTTCTGTGACCGCCTCCGCTACCGCATCCTCCGATGCCTCGAAGGCCACCTCCTCCAACACCTCCTCCATCGCGAACGGCTCGTCCTCGTCCAGGCCCCTGTCCACGGGAGCCATCATCGGCATTGCCGCAGGAGGCGGCGCGCTGCTCATCCTCATCCTGATCTACATCATCCGCAAGCGGTGCCTCCACCGCCGCGAGCGCCGCCTCAACGACTGGGCCGCGCGCGACACCGGCTTCGACTTCAACGGCGGCCCCTTCGAGAAGATCGGCCCGGCCGACGCCTTCGTCCCGGAGCGCACGCCGTCCATCCGCAAGGAGCCCGCCCCGGTGCCGACGCCGACGCCGACGCCCCCGCCCCAGGTCCCGTACGCGGCCGCCCCGCCCCGCCGCCAGTACATCCCCACGGCCCCGGTCGCGCCGGGCCAGATGCTGCCGCCGAGGGGCATCGCGCCGGGGCAGGTGATCCCGCCGGCAGGCGCCCCCCGCGCCCCGGCGAGGGCATACACGCCGCCGATGGGCTACAACGACCCTCCGATGGGCATGTTCCAGAACACAGCCCCGGTCGCGCGCTACAACACCCCGCCCCCCGGCGGCGGGTACAACAACTACCCCGTCGCCGCGATGGCGCCGCAGCGCGCCGACTCGCCCGCGACGATCCCCAGAGCGCTCACGCCGTCGCACGGGTCCGCGAACAGCGTGTCGTTCGCGCTCGTGCGGAACGCGTTCCTGCCGAGCCTGCCCGACGAGCTCGCGGTGAGCCAGGGCGAGATGGTGCGCGTGCTCTCGGAGTACGACGACGGCTGGGCGCTGTGTGCGAACATGCGCGGCGATCAGGGCGCGGTGCCTCTGGAGTGCTTGCAGCGCCAGAGGGTGAACGTCCCTAATGCGGGCGCGGGCGGGGTTCCGACGAGGAGCAGGGATGACCAGCTCGCGTTCGTACCGGCCGGATGAAGTGCATAAAATTGGAGGCGATGGTGCGTGGGTTCACTGAACCGTGTCGATGTTCGTTCACACTTGGTGTAACAGTAGAGCATATGGACCTGCGATATTAACCTTGGGACAGTTCGCCTTTTTGCTCTGTGCATCACTGCGTATTGTACTCCTAACCTCTTAGCATTACCACGAACTCGGACTCTTAGCGTAAATTATGTTTGTCGGTGTGCGCGCTGCTGTAACTTTGCCACTGTAGTCCGTCGAGTAGCCACACCTTACTCTCTTTCGTCTCTGCGAGACCCTCTTTCCTTTCTTCTGTTGATACCTTTGGCTATATCGTGTGCGGTGTACTGTGACTAGGAACAATGCAGTGTCGACAACACCCTGATCTCAGGCTAGCAGCCTGGTCCAGAGACTTGGGCTAGTGATCTTTCCTACAACGTACACAAAGCATCGTGACAACAGATCCTGCTTACAACATACACAAAGCATATCGACAACAACATACCAGTCTGCAAAGCTGTGACACACACAAAGGCAAAGCGATCCTAAGCAAACCTGACGACTCGAGCCTTCTTGCGTGGTGGCCCTTCTCCAGGACCAGAAGCCTCAGGCTCGGCTTCTGACCATTTACCCGCAGGGGCGCGTTATGTGCGGCCGCAACGTCTCTTGCGTCCGTCTTGCCAGCTGACTCGGCCTCTTCGCCCGATGTGGACCAGCGTCGTCAGCGTCGTCCTCGGCTGGCTCGATGTCGAACAGCGGGACGTCGATCTCAAGCCTTGAATTAGACGCCTCGGAGAGGAAGGTCGGGTTCTGCAAGTGCGTAGAGATGAGCTACGTCATCTGAGCAAAGATGAGGATACGTACGGCGATGAAGTCCCGCATGCGGTATCCTCGGTGAGCTTCGGCTGTTGGGCGGTGCTCGTACCGCTCTTCAAAAACGCATCTCGGCGCGAGACCATCACCTCTTCTGCTGTGGACCTATCGCCAACGTCTTGGCTGGGCAGAGGATGTCAGTAGGGCCCATGCTAGGTGAGTTTGTCACAGTGGCATACCGGTGACGGGGCGTTTCTGTCCTATACGTGCACACGCTGTAACGCAAAGAGTGTCAGATGGGTCATTTCCAGGCCAGAGATGCAGTTCCTACCTTGATTGCTTGACTCTCAACGTCAGCTTTCCACACAGGCTCGCAGAATATCACTCTGGAGGCGGCGATCAAGTTCTAGTCGAGAACGTCAACAGCAACTCCAGTTGCAAATGGATCGACCATGCTCACAACCACGTGCACCATGCTGCAGCTCCATGAGGAAAACCCTGTACAGCTCCGAAGTCTCGAACGTCACGATATTTGCTGCCGCTGCATCCGGGGCACCTTCGTGGTGTACTGCAGGTACTTCGTGCCGACAGCTCTAGGCCCTCGGCGACGTAGGCCAAGGTCAGAGGCGAGCGAGAGAAGATGAGGAACTTCTCGTTCCCAGAGTACTGTCGGATCTTGAAAAGGGGCTCGTCAGAAGATCAACATCAGATGGGCCTTCACACAAGTTACCTCGTGGAGTATGTAATCCAGCTTTGTCGAAGTTGAGGCACCCAGGCGCATGGACACCATGGGCGAGGATGCGAGCAGTCGAGACGATGCGTCTTCGGAGGTGCAGCATTCGCTGACCACGGCGGTGCTCTGGCCGGGCGCATGCTCCTCGTCATCCTGCTCATAACTTTCTGCATCTTCTTCAGGCACGCGAGGTACTCCTTCCGGAGCTCCTCCTGCTTCTCCCGCGTAGCCACCACATGCTTGACGGTCTCGATCTCCTTCCGGTGCGCACTGTCGTCCTCCTTGCTCTTCTTCGGTTTCCGGGCCGCATCCATCTTCAGCAGCGCCAGCCTCCGCCGCTCCTCCTCCTGGACGTCCTTCCCGGCCACACGAGGCGGTCGACCTTGTAGACAGGGTGTTTGAGCACGAATTGTTGAAGTCGGTGCGCCCTGTCGGAATGCAGGATCATGTCGGCTCCGAGGGAATTGGAGGCGGAGGAAGGGAACGTGTCCAGGCCTCGTACACGGACGGTCGGGGATACCATGCATACGATGGTACACGTATGCATGTTTCTGCATTTCACGCCATATGGGGTCTCCCGCGGCGGACCTCCTACACCATATTAAGTACGACTTGGGTACGAGAAGGAGTAAACGTACACATGCTCAGAGCTTGTTGCATGAGGATGCGGTCCGCTTCGGTGTGGCGCGCTCGGTGAGGTTGGCGACGTATTCGTTGGCTCTCCCGCGATTTCTTCGACGTTGAACGCGTTGTGGTCGTCTACGTGCCAGAACATGACTCTGCGGGCGCTGAGCACGGTGCAGGCGCTCAGTTGTAAGACTTACTGCGACATGTTGTCCACAGTTGGTTCAGCGAAGCGGCGTTCTACAGAGGGTCACATGACGAACGTTATGAGCCAGAGCAGAGCAGCACTCACAGCGGGATGGAACAAGTAATCCTAAATCATATCAGATGAAAGCAAGATGAAACTCCTAACCTGCGGAATGAATGCGACCATACCTGATCTTTGCGTTCTGAATCGACCGCGTTCACGGCGATCATGGCCTGCATGGCGTTGTAGGACTTGAGCGCGTACGGATCGAGATCTAACAACACTGTTCCCGGTTCAGAATGGGAGCAGAACGTCGTTCTCGATATCCTCCACCCTATCGAGACAACGATAATGAATAACGGCAACGCGGGGGACCTCTATACAGCGCTCACCGATGCCGATCATAGTCGTCTCCATGACCTGGGTCAAGACCTGTATAGCACCAGACCGTGGGCCCTCCGAGGCCATCAGCGGCGAGATGACGAGTCTCTCGAACAGCTTCGGGTCCGCAGCGAACTGGGGAACGCCCAGAAAGTGCGACATCATCGTCGATAACTTGCTTAGATCTTGCCGATCGTCTTTCGTCCATTGTCGGACGCTCGGTTCCTCGTCGGTGAACTCGGCGCTCGGTTCGTCATCAGGGTACTGGAGTTCGGTGCCCTGTCCGTGCTGGAGTCCAAGGAGATTCGCTGCGAAGCATATTCAGTGTATGTCTGAGAGAAAGGGGAATAGCTACCAACGGGTCGGTGTTCCTGTCACGATCCACTTCCGCTCGACGCTGAGCACCCGCGACATCGAGATGAGGTTCGAGTTCTTCCGCGCGGAGACGTGGCCTTCGTCGATCACGAGACGCTTCCAGCGGACCTGCAGGAGGGGAGATACCTTCGACGCGTCCTTGTTCGTCTCGCAGGTACATTTCGGTACCCGTGTTCCGCGGGTGCCCGTGCATTCACAGACGTTCCATGAGTGCAGACCCGAGACTTTGTCTGCGGATGCCTCCAGCGAAAAGCCTGTTAACGGTTAGCGAGCCACGGGGATCATCAAGTGACATACGGTTGTAGGTCATCAATATAATCTACCGGCAAGCAAAGTTCGGTCAGTCGTCGTGTCTAGATCGCACAAAGACTCACATCGTAGTTCGAAGCCAACTCTGCGGCACGCGGCAGCTTTCGACTGTTCACCTCCAGAACGCGCAGTACGTCATGGCAGTGCTTCATGATTCCCCTTCCACTGATGGAATAGGTTGTCCGGGACCACCACGATCGTCGCCGCGCTGAGTACATCACCCGCGGGCCCGGGTTACTCTCCTTCCGCTTCGCGCGCGACACCTCGGGGATCGCGATTTCGTAGTGGTGGTAGAACGGGCTGTTCCGGACGAGCGGCTTCCACAGCCCGTACTGCTCGAGGGCGTCCTGGTGCTCACGCAACTGCACGGCGGCGGGTGCACGGCACAGTAGTGCAGGAGGTGCTCGACGAGCGAGGGGATGCCGGGAGGCCCCGCTTTGGCGGCTTGTTTCCTCCGCTTGGCGGAGCTGCCCTGGAGGAGACGCGTTCGCGCTTGGGTCTCGTCTGCGGTGGGGAAGTGCCGGAAGGAGAGGGGTGTTAGGACGGGGCGGGGATCTAGAATTGATTCGGCAGGACTTGGGAGCTGGCTGCGCGTCGAGAGGATGAGGCCTAGCGTCATAATTGTCTTTCCAGTTCCTATTACAATCGGATGTCAGCAGAATTTAGCGACGGTTAGAGCTAAGTCCACATCGTCGGGCCGTCTCAGATACACATAGGCGGAGTCCAGCGGGTTTGGTATGGGATCACGCCGGACGCTGATCCAGGCAGCCGCGACCTTGGCTACGGCGCCCCAGGTTGGGCGGCATAGTGTGTGGATCACTGAATATTAACGTCCGACGACCTCCGCTCTTATACGCACTTTTTGTGCGGGGTCCAACGATGTGGACTTAGCGGGATAGAGATACTTACCAAGCTCTTCGCACAATATACCGCCACGTGTCTGTACGACTCTAGGGCATTCCTGTAGGATCTCGTAGGTTTCTGGCTGGAGATGAAACACAGCTCCGTCGATCCCAGTGATAGGAATGTACAGTGGATCAGCGACGCTGGAGGGCTCCAGCTCCCAGGCGAGCATGGTCGCCACTGTTTCTTTCTGGTACGACCAGAGCTTGCTTCGCATGTAAGGGATCTCGTCGACGGAAAATTTTGCGGGTGGCTTGGGTGAACGAAGCTCGTTGTAAATCTCTGCCATCGTTCGGGCGTCCTGCCAATATTTCGTATCAGTTGCTGTGTGACTATCTCAAGACATACACACTCACTATATCGTCTTTGATGAAGTGTTTCTTGTTCAGCGATACGGTCCACGTTTCTAGGGAAATGTCCTGTGGTGGGACGGCATCCCAGGCATCGTCGTCTTGCACAATCTCTGCAAATAGACTGTGCAAGTGACGCCTAGCGGGAGCGACGATCGAGCCCTCATCCCGAACTCGGAGCTTTCCATGTACGTTGGGAAGGTCCCAGGGGATGAGGTAGATTCGAACGTAAAGATGGTTGGAGGCGCGATAGAGTTTGCACGTAGCAGCGACAAAGTGATGCCTGACGAGAAAGTCAATCTGGCGAAGCCTCAGGAGCGGGGCGTCGTCAGGGACGAGTACAGGCTCTAAAGCTGCGGCAGAGGGTAGGCTATGCCACCCGTCGGCGGCATGGGTGTGGGAGCACCCCACTTCGTCGGACTGCAATGGGATTGCGATGGTCCCTGCGGGGAGGAAGTCGCAGAGGGCCTCGTAACGATTCTGCAGCGCAGCTGTGTGCGATTTGGAAGAGCTCGCTGATGCATTTCCGCTGCATTTGGTGCAGCAGAGTGAACAGCGGGGTGGCGACATCTGGATAAGAACCAAGAGTCAGTTGTTGTTGACAGGATGTCGAACGTTACTTCTAGCGCATCAGCGCACAGGATTCGAACAGAGGCTCTGAGTAACCCGCGCAATTGGCACAGCAAAGTGCAATCAACCACAGGCACGAAGATACTGCGAGAAGAGAAAATATTCACCCGCCGAGGATAATACCCAATCTTGACCCAATCGACCAAGCAATCTTGAGCGCTTACCCACTCACAGGATCACAGGCGCTCAGGCTATGGCGCGCCACTTTACAGTCGGCCGTAGCGACCGCGGTGACTCTGACTTGACTCTGACGCACTGTCCAACAAACACTCCCAGTTCACCGCTATCTTCAACCCTGCTCACAGCATGAACACTAGCATTGAAACGGCAACGGACGTTGTCCCAGCGCGACGCGCCTGGTTGCAAGCAATGTCGCGGGGTCTATTCAGCCACATTACCTCGGTCCAAGAGCAGGAAGGTACATAAATCTATCTCTTGGCGGATGATTTCATACTTGACAACAGCTCAGAAATCATCTTTTCGATGCTCTCATTACTGCCGAGGTCGAGTGTCGCAGCATTGCAGAGCAGAATGACCTCGTTGCTGCAGTTCGACGTACTGGGAGTGAGTGGCTGCGCAAGTCTCATTCGCGGCAGGCTCTCACCGGTATCGTGTAGCTACTCCCTGATGAGCTGGCTATACATGTTCTATCCTTCCTACCTCCAGGGTCGCTGTTCACATGCTCGCTAGTCTCCCGGAGGTGGCGGCTTTGTCCGACGACCAGCTCCTATGGAAGAGTTTATGCGGAGAGCACGATTGGCGTTGGCGCAAGCCCACAGGTGTGTCCGCTCGTGAGAGCAGCCCCGAGTACGCCATTCCCACCAGCGACGACGACGAGGGCATGGGCGACGAGGAGGAGGACGCAGTCCAAAGCATGCTTCTCGACGACTCCGGGTACACCTCCATGGACGTGGATGCCTCTTTCGCCACAGCCCCGGGCAGCCCTAGCACACCTACAACAAGGCCTACGGCTAGACCTTTTTCGCCCTCACCGCGTTTGTCCTTCCTAAAGCCGCCACGCAACACCTCGGCGCCCGACTACAAATGCTCTACCAGACGCATTCGCGCATCCGCCACCGCATCATGCACGGCTCCTACCGACTCTACAACTACAGACTCCTGGAAACCCGAGGAACCACACCAACGCTGTCTATTGTCTGCAGCTGTACACATACCCGGACACGGGCACCCAGGTGCTGTTCACGGGATCGAAGGACAGGAGTGTGCGTGAGTGGAACCTGGCCACGGGCGAGGTGACACGCGTTATCGAGGGGATACATGACAGCAGCATCCTGAGCATCTGCGTGCACAACGGGTTGCTCGCGAGCGGCGGCAGCGACCACAAGGTGGCAGTATGGGACTTGACCAACAACCGACTTCTCAAGGTCATACACGACCACATGGACAGTGTACTCTGTGTGCGGTTCGACGACAAGAAGCTCGTCACTTGCTCGAAAGGTGCGTTGGAGTGTGCGTGACGTCGATGGGCAACTGAGGTAACATCCGATCGTAGACAGGACAGTTCGCACATACACGTTGCCTACGTTTGCGCCCAAGCACGTCCTCGCGCAGCACCGCGCCGCCGTGAACGCGGTGGCGATCTCGCCGCTCCACATCGTGTCCGCATCCGGAGACCGCTCTGTGCGCCTATGGGACGCCGAAACGGGTGCGCTGCTCAAGACGTTCGAGAACCACCACTGGCGAGGGTACGTGATCGTCCTTGCCAAATACGGCCGGGGGCTGACTTGTCGCACAGCATCGCCGCCATCGACTTCAAGTATCCCTTTGTCCTCACCGGGTCGTCCGACAAGCACCTCCGCTTGCTCGACCTGCGGACGTCGAAAGGCTGGACGACCTCGCCCGTGTACAAGTCGCACGAGCCCTGCCTGCGGCGCAGGGCAGCGAGATTTGCCAGGTATGTGGGAATAACACGCGCCTCATAGAGGTCCGTCCGCCCGCGCGAGAACACGAGGAGCTCGTCAGGAGTGTGGCGCTCAGCCACGAGCTTGGTGTGAGCGGGAGCTACGACTTCACGGTCAAGGTGCGCCGCAGATTGTTACGTCCCGGGCCCGAGGAGCTAAGTTGTGATAGGTTTGGGACCGCGAGACGGGCGCTCTGATGACGGACCTGGTGGGGGCCATACCGGGCGGATATTCTGCGTCGGTTTTGACGCGACGAAGGTACGCTGACAGACGTCTCGCGCGATGGTTTGTGCGCTTAACTGACTGCATCGTTAGGTCGTTTCATGCGGCGAAGACCAGGTGAGTAGTGCGGGCAGTGCTCTCGTTCAGTGCTTCCTTACTCACGCGCGGGCTAGAAAATCTGTATTTGGGACTTCGCTCATGGGATGGATACGTCATTCGTATCGCTGTAGGCACAATTTGGACTTTGCAATGCGTTTTTCTCATCACTATCTTATTCATCGAGGAATGACACTCCTGTCGTGCAACATGGACCCTTATTCTGACATGCTGCGGGCCCCTCCCAAACACACTTTGTCATTGAGGCGATTTCGTCATACTGTGTTGGCCTCAGAAATCCCCGGCTCAGAGCTGCCTGGACTCTGGCTCAACGTTCAGCTGTAGCAGGCTGTAGCTATCAGTATGATGATGTATCACTGGCACTTGACTCTGAGCTATCACATACCGAATTGAGCTGTTGTTGTTGATTCCGAGGGCGAAGCCCTTACTTGATTCTCGTCTCGCCCCGTCTCTGGTCGCTGAGCATCGCCGTCCGCCGAAGCGTCAGGCTGGGAATCGGGCAGTGTGGCGGGATCGGGCACGAGATTGCGAAGTGGTTCGGCCAATCTCGGTTCGAAACACAATGCTTGATCGAGATCTGATCTTGAGCAACGCTCTTGTCTGCTGCGATCTGCCGCTCTTGTCCGTTTCCGGCACTCCCACCATGTTCATTGTCCAGAGACCGCCAGGCTCATCTCGTTCGGACGTCTGCGCCACTGAAGAACTGGGCTGTGCTGATGAGCAAGGCCACCGAATCAATGATGTCAACGTGCGACTAGCTTCAAGTTGCTGACAGTCAGCTACTATGATGATGTGCGGGATCTCAGTACCAAATGGGTCGCGCAGAGCGATGTTCTGGTGATCTCGTTCACGAGGGTGCGTGTCTCATCTTGAGGCATGTCGAGGGCTAGCTCGCCGAGGGTTGTGTCGTCAAAGGTTGCCGGCATAGAGTGTGGATCTCTCGCCGAGAAGACCAGACAAAGTCGCGACGTCGGACCTCCGCCTGTGACTTCTCGGGGAGGGGTTCAGCAACATGAATTTATTTGAGACCCTACGTCTATCTACTCCACATCGTCTCGGCGCGTCAATTCTTGCGGTAGCTCTCTACCCAAGGCCGGTCAATCCATGAAGCGTAAACATGCGTGATCTTCTCCCGACTCCAGCTCAAATTCACTGGCGCGCATTGCTTCCAGCAGTCGATAAGACGTATACTGCATGCTGGTGGCTCTCCTATCATCAGTGATCCAAGAGCCAGTCCGATTTGTCGAGGTGGAAGGCGTTGGGAAGGTGAGCCGCGTTTCACCTCGGTCCCGACGATGAGATTTAACTCATAGCTTGATACAGTTGTTCGTTATGCTATCAAGATGGTCAGCCTACCCGAGCTGTGAAGGATATCGACTCGGACGTGGGGCGACTGCGCACGTTTCGGCGGGCGACAATGCCTCGGTCCGATAGGTATAACATCATCGGCTTCCCGAGATTGTGCTTGGAGGTTTCTATTGTCTCTGATAAAACGTCGATCTCCACGTAGGTTGCTCCTTGGCCGACATGGCTGAAGGTATTCGCTGGTGGTGACGAGCCAACGCATGGTGCGTCTCCTATTATGCTACGCTTTGGCCTTCGCCCTGCCAGCCATCAGTCGAGGATAGTTCCGGGCCCTTTGAAGCCAGAGAACGCGGGTTCAGTCAAGTCTTACGCACAGATGGTCTCTCGATGATTAACACTGTGTCTCACTGAACCCTGCATGTGGCTTGGACTTGTAGAGTCCTTGGTGGTGCGCTCCCTGTGCTGCGTGATAAGCTGTTCTCCTCTTTCATGTCCGACCACAATCACATCCGATTTATCTTGTTCTGATAGCGAGAAGTAACCAAGCTCATGAGACAATGCGCTGACATCTTCTGCGAAGATCTCAATCTCGCGCAGTCTACATCGACACATGCCAGAGATTGCTCATCTCGAATCTCGCTTAATCGTTCACTTCTCAAAGACGTATATATGAGGCCAGGAGCGTCGGCCATACCTGGCCCAGGACAGCAAGTGCTTCATTGCTGTACACCTTCAGCCTCGCCCCGCACAACTTGTCCCTCAAGATGCCCGCTCCGTCGCCTCCAGACCACTTCGTTCTCCCCGACCTTGTGTCGCACTGCCATTCCGCTGACTCGCCATCGAACGCCGAGGCCGTCGCAGCTGCGTCCGACAAGTGGCTCGACGGGGGCTGTCCCGAGCTGTCACCCAAGAAGCGGGCCGCGCTCTATGGCCTGAAGTCGGGTATCCTGACGTCCCACTGCTATCCTGATGCGGACGACGAACACCTGCGCGTCGTGGCTGACTTCCTCGTTTACCTCTTCCATCTGGACAACATCTCGGACAAGATGGTCGTGTCGGGGACCGAACAGCTGGCAGACGTCGTGATGAATGCTCACTGGATGCCGGAGAGGTACGCTCCGACTAACTTCCTCGGGAAGGAGCAACCCGCGGACGAATACAGCGCGGGGAGGATGGCTCGAGAGTAAGTTCTTTATCCAGCCAGTGAGACAGCGGCTAACATGGCTCAACTCTTCTCACTACAGCTATTGGTCGAGGTGCATCGCAGACGCGAAGCCGGGCCCTCAGGCACGCTTCAAGCAGAACCTCGGTCTGTTCTTCGAGGCCGTCCAACTCCAGACCATTGATCGAGACAGCGGCCTCATCCCCGATGTCGAGTCGTACATTGACGTGAGTTGCTCAACATTGCGACTCTCATACAACTTTGACCTCGAGAGCGTCTTCACAGATTCGACGGGATACCAGCGGTTGCAAGCCGTCCTTCGATCTCATCGAATATGCGATGGGTCTCGACCTCCCGGAGTACGTTGTCGACCACCCAATCATCAAAGCTCTGAACCAGGCCGCCAACGACCTTGTGACGTAAGTACATCCTTTGAATATTTGCGCACAGTAGAGTTGACCTCAGACTCCTCTTTCTAGATGGAGTAACGTACGAAAGCACTCATACGACTTTGTCAGTATCGCTAACAGCCGAACCAGGATATCTTCTCGTACAACGTCGAACAGGCCAGAGGCGACACACACAACGTGGGTGTACTTACTTTTCCATATCCGTTCACCTTTCTCATGCCGGCTGGCCGCGCAGATGATTCCCATCCTGATGACGCACAAGAAGTTGACGCTTCAGGAGGCCGTGGACTACGTCGGCAATCTGTGCAAGGATACCATAGACGGCTTCATGGAGAACGAGAAACGCGTCCCTTCGTGGGGCCCGGAGGTCGACAGGGAGGTTGCCATCTACGTCAAGGGTCTGAGGGACTGGATCGTCGGGTCGTTGCACTGGAGCTTCATGACGGAGCGCTACTTCGGCGGATCCGGCGCCGAGGTGAAGAAGGGCCGCGTTGTGAAGCTCCTGCCCAAAAAGCAACACGGTCGTTGAAGCTCGCAAGAGTTTCGCGCTCATACCTTATAGGTGAGTCGACGCGAATGGCCGGTGGAAGTTCACAACTCACGTATGTATCTTGTTCCTCTTGCCAGATTTTTATGACTCGCGCGTGCTTGTTCGTTGTCTGTCAGACTGAACCCGTATCTTGTTGTACCACCGCGTGGCCACGCATTACCTTCTCTGCTCGTGCCCTCGCTCTACGTTAAGTTGTATCCGTTGTACTTTCGATGACTCGTATTATGCAATCCGCGTTGACCATATCTTCATGTTCGCAGCATTGTCGTCGCGCTCAAGGACCGAGGAACTCGGATACAATACACGTTCCGAGTCTGCACAATCATGCTGACTTTCCCTCACCTTCCTCGTGCCCTCAACATCGATTCAGGTTCAACGTGAACTGCCAATTAGCCGTTGGTCTTTTCCGCTTGGTCGTTGCCGAACAAAGCGGGCACGCCATTGGCAACGGTGCTAAGTCTTAGGACCGAAAGACTCAGCTATAGGGGCTGGATCATTCCAATTGTCACCCGTACTAGCGCCATTACTCCTCATGCTTCCATCTGCTAGTCCTTTCAAGACTGGCCGCCCGAAATCAAGCGCATGATAACGTGTTCGTCCTTTTGTTTGCTGCTATCTGACATTATCACTGAACTCCCCGAGTCGAAAGCGTTGAAATGCGGGTGCTAGCGGCAGATTCCGATTTCCCGAAGAATATTTGATGTGCAGGCAATCCAATGCTATGGACCCAGGCTTCACTGATATAGGAGCGATCGTTCCCTGTCCCTTCGATTGCGAGCATATGAATGAACGCGCCTGCGCTCTCATGCAGTACTTTGCGCAGGGCCGGGGCTGCGGCCAATGAGTTCGCGTATACAATTGTAGGGATGTTTGTTAAGCCGAGGTAATGACGGACGTCAGGGGACACGCTCCAAATTGGACTTTGCGTCTTCCCCTATGTAGGAGCTCCCGGACCCTTGTGCGCGATCGACTTGCAAGGCGGAATCTCGGTCCCGAGCCTAACGGCCGTCGGTCAGACCAATCTTGCACTGGATAATGTTCCTGATTGGTTGCTGCTGTTCGTCCACCACGGTCGCGGGTCCAGAGTCCGGACAACCCAACTGTCCCTCAGATCGGCCTCGACGATGAAAACAAGATGCTTTTGTGCTGTCATAAACGCCACTGCAAGCATGATCAGGGTTCATTGCCAAGGCTGTAACGTTATAACAAGGCTTTTGTTGAAAAGGTCCGAGTTGAACGAGTTTGTTCATCGAGTCGTGTCACCTTTTCGACTGGACCCCATTCGCCATGACCGTCCCTCAGGTGTCCGAATGCGCCCCGGACCACTTCATCCTGCCAGACCTTGTCTCGCACTGCAAGTTCCCGCTATCTGTCCAGCCAAATGCGCTTGCAGTCGCAGCCGACTCCGATCGCTGGCTCGACCAGGGCTGTCCTGAGCTCTCGCCGAAAAAGCGTCATGCGGTTTACACCCTGCAAGCCGGTATCCTCACCGCGCAGTGCTACCCTCACTGCGACGACGAGCACATGCGCGTGGTCGCCGATTTCCTCGTCTACCTCTTTCACCTAGACAACATGACCGACGTGATGGTTGCGGCAGGCACAGAGCAGCTCGCTGATCTCGTCATGAATGCGCATTGGGTCCCCGACAAGTACTTGCCTACCCACGCGTCAGGCAAGGAGCAGCCGCCGGAGGAGCCGAGCGCGGCCAAGCTTGCCAGAGAGTATGTGGCCGACGCATTTTCATTCGAATATCCACGCTGAACGGGTATCTGCAGCTACTGGTCGCGCTGCGTCAAGGATGCGAAACCTGGTCCACAAGCGCGCTTCAAACAGAACCTCGACCTGTTCTTCTCGGCCGTTCAAATACAGGCTGCGAATCGCACGGCAGGTATCATTCCAGACATAGAGTCCTACATCATCGTAAGCGTCCCGCATCTGTTCACAAAGAATGTAAGCCGACAATCATCGCCAGGATCGCCGGGACACTAGCGGCTGCAGACCAGCCTTCGATCTTATTGAATATTCTATGGGGATTGACCTGCCTGAGTTCGTCCTCGAAGACCCCGTCATCGTTGCCCTCAGCAACGCGTCCAACGATCTTGTGGCGTACGTATTACTGTACTCCGGTGTGCGCCGTTCTAACGTCTGTTGAGCAGGTGGAGTAATGTATGTTGGATGGAGCTACGGTTCGTTCGGACCATCCGTTAACCACGCTACCTGCAGGACCTCTTCTCATACAACGTCGAGCAAGCTCGCGGCGACGAGACCCACAATGTCAGTGTGCTCATACTTCGCAGCTTGAGCACACTACTCACCTCGCATCCAGATGATTACGATTGTCATGCACTATCAGGGCGTCGGACTACAGGAAGCCGTCGATTATGTCGGTGAACTGTGTCGTCAGACTATCAACGCCTTTGCCCAGAACCTGGAGCACATCCCGTCTTGGGGTCCAGAGATCGACAGAGACGTCCAGATCTACGTGAAAGGTCTTCAGGACTGGATCGTCGGTTCGCTTCATTGGAGCTTCATCACGCACCGCTACTTTGGGCCCTTGGGACCAGAGATCAAGAAGACACGCTACGTGAAGCTGCACCCGAAGAAGAAACCCCAGACAAGTGCTTGAACGCTTAGGTATGGCATCGTGTCCGGACGAGTATACGACACTCATGAACCACACCCACAGAATGCTCCTCCATATCACCTTCCAGGTTATGTTTTGCATGTCCCAGGACGTTTGTTGTATGCCCCTTCGTTGTACTGTAGATTTCGCACCGCCTGACCGGCGCCCTTTTCGACTTCGCACCACTGATACATTAGACCCCCTACCTCCCTACCTTACTGTCTTGCGCTGTGTACTATTAGTGTACTTTACCTGATGCCCACCTGTATTATCAACGTGTCGTCGATGAGACCAGACCAAGCAAGTCATCAAGCTCGCTGTGTCAAAGCCGTGTCCAGTCGCGCCGCATATCAAGTCCAACTCACCGTAGGTTGTGGGTTGTGCACGAAACAGTATGGTCGTTGCAGTCATAACTATGTCTTCAAATAGTATCCAGCAGCAAGTTAGATACAGCACGGTAGAGAGACCTAGCGCCTTCCGCCGGGATGTACGTGTGCAGAGAATTCCGCACAATCATGTCGATCGTCGCAGGTGGCAACTCTGTCTCCTCGCTAGTCAAGGAGTGCAGCGCTTCCGCTGCAATTGCCAACTTTTCCTCGGTCGTGAATGGGATGAAAGGGAGCACAGTCGTGACGCGAGAAAGCAAAGAGGCCTGAGGTGGGCAACGTCAGCATATCGTCGACGTAGCATTTGCGAAAGTGCGCTCACCCCTAGGCGCTGGGACACGCAAGGTCGTAGCAGGGCCATGAGGTCAACGTAGTCCTCGCGTGACATCGGCGCCTCGGGGTCTTGCCGCTTCGTTTGGTGTTCGAATACCAGATCATGTCCGATGTTCGACGTCCCAAGCCAAATAACCTGCGAGACATCTACGTGCCGGTGGCCAGCTTCGAACGAGCAACGGCCGAGCTCCCAAGGCATAAGCAATGAGCTCAAAACCTTCCCGTTTGGCGACTTCTCGATTTCCTGTGAATTTCCAATGTTCATCACAGCAAATCAGGAAGGCCGTGAGGGAACAACGTACATCCAATACAACGACACAACGCCGCCCTTCGTTGGCGATGAGAAAATCTGCCAGTGTACAAGTAGATGGGGCCTAGATCGGAGATCAATCAGCCTCAGCCTACAAATGCGAGAAAGCGGCAGACAAAAATGCGCACCTCATACGGGCTCATGGAGTAGCTTCGCCATATATCATGCGTGTCACGGAGCGTGGTCATATTCACAGTATGAGTGGGCACCTCGAGCAACGAGCCGAACTTGCGCGCCAGCAGGCTCTTACCATGACCACTGGGCCGCAGAAGAGGACCACAACGGGCGCCATCGTCGGCAAGCTGAGGACGCGGAACAGCTGCTCGAGCGCGCGGTCCTGCCCAATCAGGTCGTATCGTACACGGGCCAGAGGCCGGAAGAACGAGCGGTGGATGAGTGCGGACGCGCGGCGCGTCTGCGGCGCCTCCGCGCGCTTGATATAATACTTCGTCGCGTGGTCCAGCTCCTCGAGCGGGTCCGGCAGCGGGTCGTCGCCGCTGCTCTCACCTGTACCTGAGCCCGTGCTCGTAGGTCGGCTGGGCATGATGGCCTGCCTCGCTGCGACGGGGTCTGCACCGTGCGCCAGCAAAAGCTTCACCATCTCCTGCCGGTGCTTCAGCTGTCGTGCCGTGAGCGTGAACGCGAGCGCGCTTTGTGGACCAACGTCGTCGTTCGGGCCCGCTTCACCGCTGTCGAGGACGCGCTTCACTTCGTCGATGTTGTCGCTCGCGAGCGCGAAGAGTAGCGTCGGGCGGGGCGTTGCGATCGCGTGTATGGGCGAGGGCGGTGAGGGGCTCACAGGGGCGGCGTGTGACAGGGATGAGGTTGGGCGTGGACCCGGAGGGTGTCTCATGCGCATGGGCCTTCGTCCTCATCCTCTTCGTAGAGTATAGGTTCAGAGGCCCGGCTGTCCGGTCTGGCGAACCTCTCGATGTAAGAATGCCGGTGCGACACAATCGACGCGCGGGAACCCTTGTGGGTATGCCATGACTGCGCGTTCGAGATGGGTGCGGAGACGGGTGCTGTCGGAGAAGCGGTGGAGGCGAGAGCAAATTCGACTGGAAGAAATGCCATGCGAAGGAGCGTACGTGCTGTCAATAAGTAGGGTATTGCGAGTGCGAGGTGGTATGAGACTTGTTCGACGAGATGAGAGCTATGTGAGATTTGCGCTGTGTTAGTCTCTATGTACACCGGAAAGCAGCACCATACCAATCGAGCATTAGATAGAGAGTAGTCTGATGATACAGTCGGCGATGATGGGGTGTATGCTGTCAGAGAAGCCGTACTTCAGTGCAGGGCCGGAGCGGAGTAGCAGAGTGTCCTACCAGTTGTACCAGTTGTGAGAGGAGGAATGCTATTGCTTGACTCTAATCCAGATGATGATTGGAACGAAGGGGACAACGGAGATGCAGACGCAGAATTCGACGCGCTCAGGATCATTGACTACGAACCCCACATTCAACGTCTCGTCTATCGCTCTCGGCCCGCCAAAGGAAAAACTCACCAAACGTAAAGGTTTTAGTCGCGAAGACCCAGGGACAGAAGGCGCCGAGTGCTCAGGGGAAATATGCAGCACGTCCGCGCCCTCCGATACATGCGTGCCCTCGGCACTCACACTCTCCTTCAGCGTGGACGGCGCCCTGTCATGCGATGTCGCGTTTAAGCCAGTCAGCGCCGGCGGCCGTGGCCGGCCTACCCTCGACTGCCTCAGCGAGCTCGCGCGACTGAGCGACCCGCTGGAAGACGACTGCCTCCACGCTAGGGGCACCCGCGTCGACGCGCGCCGCTCCCATTTCGCTTGGGGCTCCTGCGCGTCTGCCGCACCCACAGGCTCGGCGAGGGACGGCTGCGGAGACGGCTGTGGCGATGGGTGGGAGGGTTGGAGAGGCGATGGTTGAGAGGGCTGGAAAAGCGATGGTTGAGAGGGCTGGAGGAGGTGAGGGCTGGAGAGGCGATAGCTGAGAGGGCTGGACGGGCGATGGCTGTGAGTAATGAAGAGACGTTGGCCGAGAATATAGAGGCGAAGGGTGCGAAGATGGAAGAGGTGATGTTTGCAAAGCGTCGAGAGGCGACGTGGTTGAGGATGGCGCGGGCGACGGTTGTGGCGAGAACTGGGACCACGGGCTCTCAGACCGGACCAAGGACTTGCCCTTCGCGGGATTCGAGAACACACGCGGAGGGCGATCCTCGAAGGGCGACGGCAGGGGCGACGCATAGTCGCTGTCCGCACCGGGGGTCCAGATTCGCGGAGGCGCAGTAAAGACATGCGACCCAGAGCCGGGAGTCTCGAGAGACGAGGGCGTCGGCACGGTGGATACGGTGGATGGCGCCACGGAGTACTCGTCACTTGAGATGTGGCTGTCCTCGGAGGGCTGCCCTAGGACGTACCTGTCGAAGAAGTCGTGGAATCCGTCGTTCCTGACAGGGCTCACGCCCTCTATGACCACCGACGGCCGGCGGGCGGCTCTGGCGAGTCCGCGGGCGAGAGCGTGTTCACCTTCACAGTCGCTAGCGGTCCTCGTCGGCCTCTCCACTGGACTTCCCGACGATCGGACTCTCGCCTGCTCGCCCTCCGCCGACGGGGGGCGCGAATCGACGTCCGAGTACTGCACCCTGCTCTCGTCTGCGTCCTCAAACTGGCTCGCGCCCGCGCTGAAAGCCGGGGAGAAGAAGTCGGCCAACCCGGGCGTGTGGTGGTGCTCCTCGCCGACGAGGCGCATGCGCTTCGTCGGCGAGCCAAATGGTGATGACAGGATGGAGAACGTAGACATGCGCCGGGGACTCCGCGGAGGCGAAGTCAGGAACGTGGCCGGGACGAAGCAGCCTTCCGCGAACCCGGAGTCGATCGAGTCCTCGCGCTGCAAGTCGGAGCCGCCTCGCTCCGGGGACAAGAACGCCATGAGAGGGCCAGTCGCGCTGATCTCAATCGGCGACAGCAGACCCGACGGCGGACGCGTGAACGACGGCGGCACAGGAAACTGCGTGATGTGATCTCTTCGTCACCTAGGGAGGAGTCCGATCCTTGAGCGATGCTCGACCGCGGCGTGATGGCCGCATCGGAGCCGTTGCATATCGTCGCGAGCACTGGAATGAAGAGCATCGAGACGGTACCGACGTGCTTTCGGTGAGCGAGCGAAATCCGCAGACGGGAGAGATCCTCGGACGAAGACACGTGCATGGCGAGAGATATCCTCGCGACGGGGGATATCCTCATGACCATGACGAGGGGGAATCTCTGCATGACGGGGAATATCCTTATGACGGGGAATATCCTCATAACGGGGACATCCTCATGACGGGACACACCTTCATGTCGAGAGATTCCTCGTGGCTAGAGACATCTCGTGGCCAGAGGATCCTCACGGGAGAATCCTCGTCGCACTCATCTTCGACTGCCTCGGAAGAGCTGACAGCATCGTCTCTTCGCTCTCATATTCTTCTTCGAGTCCGAGCTCCGATCTGCCTCCATCTCTTCCTGTTGAATGGCACTACCAAGTGCAAGGAGCAGGCTGGACAGACGCGGCGAACGCGGCGGCGGCGAGACGAAGCGGACAACCTTGGAAGTTCGCCGAGCCTGCTTCTGGGATAGAGTCATGTCGACGGGCGACTCGGGGGGCGACGGCAGTGGAGACCTGGATGTCGAACATGATTCGGTTTCAGGACGCGGTGCCTTCACTTCGTGCAAGAAGTTGCAAGAGTCTGAGAATAAACAGCGCCCTTGCGAGTAGAACGGGCAGGGACGCGCTACAGCGACCATGTCAGACTCTGAACATGACGCAAAGCACTCGTACGCACTCTTTTGCTTCCATGGAGGATCAGGGATGGTCATGAGGGTATTGACACGCTAGCCGTGCAGCTATGGGTATCCGTCAGAGGTGTCCATGTCAGGCGTGCTTGTACTCACGAAATAGACATGAGAGATGGCAGCTGCACACTGGCCTGAGGCGGTCACCGCTGGAGCGTCGTCGCGCGCGAGCTGGGGCGCGGAGGAGCGAGAGGAGGAGGTGAAGGAGGAGGAAGTTGAAGTCAAGTTGAAGTTGGGATGACCGTCCGCGCCAAGTCCGCGCTCGCGCGAGCGGAAGCTTCTTAGCCAATCAGCGCACGGCGCTCGTCCCACGCTGCCCTCATCGAGACGCGCCCGGGGCGCTCGCCGGGCGTCGCGTCCTGTCGCGTCCCCGCTACCTAGGCGACGCCGACCTTGTCCGTCGCACTGCGGGACCATCTGCATCTGGCGCGGGTGCAACTGTTAGTCACGCTCAGAGTCAAGGGAAACACAGGATGATCTTGACATAAGGTAGTAATATATCACTGGACGCCGCATCCGCATCCTTGCATCGCTTCATAACTTGAAATGATCGGTGCGTCGCTGAGGTTGGCTTGAAACTGGACTGCATCTCATCTACCTGTATCGACGAAACCCAGAGAACTCATACGCAAGTGTCGGCGAAGGATTTGTCCCGTTTGGTGACTTACATAGGCTCGAGGCTGTGAGTGGCGACTCGACTCAAGCTGTACGTATGCAAGATCTCATATGCAAGATCTCAAGGCCTTATTGAAGGATTTGCCTTCGCTGATATTGATAGAATGTGCTTGACCATTGCAGTCATGATTGTGTCCCAGACCAAGACGGCAATGCCGAATTAACTGACTTTCCTTGAGGTGTTCGCTTGTCGCGCAGTGGCCCTGCATAAGGCTGGCGCACGGACAGTAACAAATCCAAGCATGGTTCATGATGACCCAGGCATTTTTCTTGCCGTTCTAGGCGTTGACTTTGGCTCCAGGTGTTTGACTTTCGACCTCGACTGATGTTCACAGATTCTCCTCGCGACGGATTCACAAATTCCTCTCCCCCCTATACGACGCGCTCAATGTACTAAGTACTAACACCCCACTCAGCTCGCCATTCATACCCTCGTCGCTATAATGCTCGTTGCCTCTGGTCTTCCCGGGCCCGTGCGTTTGCTGTCTCGATGCTGTGACCAACTTTGACTTGAACACGTAAGCATACAGCGAGACTTATTCCTGGTTCCTGAGACTGAATACATCTGGATTTGTTTTACGTAGCGAGGAGTTCACCATGCTGCACGCAAATTGTCACTGCGGCGGTATACGTATATGAAGCTAGACGTAGACGGCGACGGCACCATCTTGACCGCACCGAGCACTCCAGCAAGTTCGTTGAGTGAACTCTGCTCAGGCTCTTGTTGCCCTCGACGCTTTTATCTTGCCGCTGCTACGACCCTGCCAGGCCTTCACGAGCTCCGTCAATGATGCGCGTGTGACCCTTTCTCGCCCGGGAGCTCGCCCTTGCTGGCCTCGCCGTTATCACAACCGCTGCCCCCGTCTCCCCACGTTGTGAGTCCCAACACAGCCTTCGTATATAATGCTGACTCCTCACCTTACACCCTGCGGCACGACTTCCCTGACGTGTCATCGAGCAGTGTAACTTAGACACGTCCTACCCTTCAAGTTCTTCCGTGTAAGTCAAATTTTCCCCTCGCGGCAGACATGCACTGACTCTCGCATTGTCACATTAGCTTGGCGGACCCCGAAGCCTCACAGCGAATGATGGTCTCGAGCTTCTTGAATTGACTCAGAGTCATGGTTCCGCGCACTGCAATCCCGAGTCTTTATCGTGGAAGAGCCCACTCGACAACAACAAGTAAGTAAGTTCTCGGATAACCGAGTAGGATGGCCGATATCCCGGCCTGATGTAATACATAGTAGAGTGACATTGTAGAACAAATGTGAAGCCCACCCCGTCTCGTCATTTAGAACTGCTGTACATATGTATCGGATTGTCTAACTGTGACTATTACTCGGTCTAAGTGACTGTGGACGGACGTCACGCGCGGACGAACCAGCTCGGGCGATCATCGATCATTTGTGGCCAAATTCGTGGCGTGCGATCCGAGGCTTGTCCGAGACTACCTACTAGTGGATGAAGGTCGCTGGCCGTAACGTTGATCTTCCACCTTGCACAGGCAGCCAAGTTGAGTACAAAAATGAACCACTCGGTATCCGGAACCGAGGTATTCTCCACAAACCCCTACGCGGACCACCCATCCCTCTCCGAAACGGAGGCCGAAGTCCTTTGGCAGTACGCGAAGCTCTCGCAAAACATCAAAGAGGTGCGCCATCGAGGCTTATGGGTTATGTCCCGCTGAATGATGGGTATATTCATTGCTTGTGGGGAAAACACGCATAGCTCGTAGTTGAGACGCGTAGACTGAGTGAGGCGCCAGATGAGTCTATGCTGAGGAGGTTGCGGGCGTTGGAGGTGAAGATGGGGTTGGTACTCACGCTAGTGAGTATATTGACGAGCTCTCCGTCGCGTATTCCTGACGTCTCCGTAATCCCAATCCAGTTCAAAGCTTCTGTATGGGCCGTTATCAATGAGCAGCCAATGGAAGAGTCACCATCCTTCGCCGACACGACCATGAACGAGCCAGAGACCAGTGAAGGTCAGTCTCCAGCCCACGTCAGGGCATGCGTCAACTCTTCATTCTGACTGTTCTTGAAAATCTCGAACTTGTACAGATACCTTACTCCAGGTGCATACCCACCATTTACCCGACATGCCAATCGACGACATCTGCGCGACGTCCCAATTCACCAGCTTCCAATTTACATCCGTGCTGACCTGCGCAACGCTGCCCGGATCACCCTCTTCCGCGTGCGCACTCATGCTGGTGTTCTGCTGCGCAGCGACTAGCCCAAGAGACCGTCTGCGTCGCACTGGATGACTCGGAGAACACGAGGAAGGCGGTACCTGGAGGGGGACTAGAGCGCAAGAGAAGCCTATGAAGCCTTAGCATATCTGATCCGCCTTGAATGCCTACAAGGCGGCCGAGGGACTTTTCCTTACTTTCCCCCCAAGATACTCATGATAGGGTTGACACAACTAGGAAAGTGACAGTGTCATATGGAGACGACGATTGTTGTGGGTTCCGGTCATCCGTCGAACGGTCGTACAGTATGCGTGTAGAATACCGACGTCGCTGTGAACCCAAACTGGGGTTGCCGGCGATAGTCAATCAAGGATGGCATACGAGGCGTGAACCATAACATACTAAGCATAACATAATCAATGACGGTCCAATCCATTGTTAGGTGAAAAGTCGCAAGCTAATACCCCCTCTTCAACCTCTCGTTCTCCTCCTTCAGCGCCCTATTCTCTTCCCTCAGCACCGAGATCTCCCCGCGGAACTCATCCACAGCGGCACGCATCTCGCCCCGCAGCCCGCGACCCATTCTCAGCATATCCAGATGCAGCCCAACGAGCTCCCCGTGCGTCTCCTGCCGGAACTCATACATCGCGTCGCGGAGTAGAGTCTGCAGCAGCCCTGCCGCGGCGCGTGTGTTGGGCGAGCCCAGGTGGGGCTGCGACGCCGAGTGGGAGAGGTTGCGCAGCGGCGAGGGGGCTGCAGCCCAGGATGCGCTCGAACCCGAGGCCAATCCCGGTCGTCGTGCGGGGGACACCTGCATTGCAAACGCGGGCTCCGTAACAGCATCGCCAGGCAGCGGCACTCGACGAGCGAACTCCACCTCGTCATCATCGCCATCGCCCGCGAATCCTACCTTCTTGCCATCTGCTCTATTATGTTCCTTGTTTGCAACACCGACTTCGCCCGCCTTGATCCACCGGTCCACCTCGGGCGTACCGAGCCCTAGGATACCCATCCCGCCGGCCTTTGCCTTCCCAGCACGCCTGCCCATTGGCAGCGGAGTAGCAGGCGCGTCCTCATCTACGTCCGGCAATTCTGGACTCGGGGTCAGCGACTGGCGCGAGGTACCCTTCGCCCGGTACGCTGAGGGGACCTTGGGAACGGGAGGTGCAGACGGCGATGTGCGCGAGCTGGCGGCGGAGGTGGGGCGCGTGGACGCTTTGCTCGCTCTGCCACTAGATGCAGTGCTCCCGGATGCGGAGCGTGTCCTCGTAGATGCGGAGGCGGTGGACAACGCGGAGGCTCGGCGGAGGTTAGTGCCGTCCGCTCGCGTCCGGTGTTCCGCAGCGGTTGCCGTGCGGGTTGTGGCACGCGGAGCGGCAGTAGAGATGGAGGGAGGCATGCCCTCCGTGACTGGTTCAAGTGAGCTGCCAGCCGGAATGATGTTCTCCTTCGCGCGGGTGGACACGGGAAGGTTGAGTAGGTTCTCAATACGGACTGACGTGTTGACGCCAGAATCAGTAAAACGCAGTAGAATTCACTGTAGTAGTCACATACCAGACACATTCAAGTCTTCAGGCTCCTCATCAGTCTGTCCTCTCCGCATAGGCGGAGACCTCGGAGGAGAGAAGATCTTCTTCGAGACACCACCGGCACTGATCTTCCTGGCCGCAGGCGACTTCACACCCGCACCTGCGCGCGGGCGTACCGCGCGAGGCGAGCCACTCGAAGTGACCCTCGACCTCAATGCGGGGCTCCCTCGAGCTGCAAGGGTGCGGGACGCTAGTGGAGACGTGACAGTCTTCTTCTCGGGCTTATCCGACCTCGCGGTGGCTGAACGGGGCGCAGAGGTCTTGTTCTGGTCTTGTTGTACCAGGGGCTTGCTCGGAGCTGGTTTCTTGCTTGCGGCTGATGCCTTTGCCGGAGAAGCGGTGTCTTCAGGCTTGAGTTTCTTCTGCAATGACGATGAGATGGATTGAACCATAGAGTGAGGATATCATTACCTGCATGGACAATGCTACTACACGGTCGCCGTTTTCGCTGACGGTGGTAGATCTCGGAGGCTTGTCAAGCGAGCGCAGGTCTTGGCCTAGCACCTTTCCATTCTCGGTGCCCACGTAGAGGACGGCGCCGTCCGCCGAGAACGCAAGACACGTAATTGGGACATGCACGCTCCAGGTCTTGTACACACTACATACAGTACGAGTCAGCGATGCGACGAACGCCGACTGCGTGTGCGCACATACCTCTTGTCTCTGTCCTTCTCCAGATCCACAAGAGCGATCGAGCCGCCGCTGCAGGCAACCGCAACGAGCGTCTTGCTGAACGGACTGCTCGCTATCGACACGATCTCCCCGCTGCTGTCCTTCTTCGTGCTCACCGCAATCGTCTTGAGCGGCCCACTCGGCCGCGTCGTATCGTACACCAGTACCCGAGCGCCAGTGCCCACCAGGAGCCTCGTCCTCGCATGCGGATGGAACGCACATGTCATCACGCACTCCCCAGCGGGTATCCCCCTCAGGACGGTATGCGCGCCGTGCGTGAGGTTGTGGACATGGACTGCGTTCGCGGAGGTAGACGCGAGGAGGCTGGCGTCGTTCGAGAGGGAGAGCGACACCACGGGTGCCTTGTGGGTATCAAACGTGCTGGATATCTTCCCCGTGTGTGCGTCGAGGATGCGCACCCGCTCGCCCGCGCTGAAGATGACGGTGTTCCCGCGGTCCTTCGCCACAGCGCCGTGATCGCACCGGACTCGCCGGTCGCATCGTCGTAAAGCGTCTTCGTGAATGTTCCAGAGGGGTCATAGCGGGAGATGGAGTAGCATTGGGCGAGAATGAGGGAGGAGTTATCGGGTGTCCAGGCGTGGCATGTCGGTGGTGAGTCGAGCGTGCAGGTCGGGGCGAGAGAGGTCGCCCGTCGTAGGCTCTGGGTCTCCGTAATGGATAGCGAGCTTGTCGTAGCTACCGCCAACATCGCAGACATGTACAGGGGGAAGAGATGGACGTTGCGATGAGTCAATCGGCGGGTGGTTGTCGGAGGCGAGTCGACGACGCGCGACCGAAAACGAACCGCGACGCGGCCGTCCACGTGGCCGCGATATCATCACATGCATCAATCACTTTTGCAAGAACGGTCACTGGCCGTTGGCTGGCATTAATGGTGCGTACTAATTCGCATTGCGCTCTACATCTACGTTACACTATTTATGCCTAGCGTAAGCTACTATTGTACCTACTAGAGAGACCGGGAGATGTGATAATGATATGGGCAACGGAAGCCAGTCTAATGAGTGGAGTGTAACGGGACGCAAATGCGCACGCAAAAGAGATTCAAAATAGAATGTAGTACCTAGCCAACCCCAACGGTAAGCCGGGCATGCGGGAGCACCCATCTATGCCATATTAAAGAGTCCATCGCAGGGCGATGGGGGGACCCCAGCTCATGTGGCCTTATCCCCGCTGTACGAGCGTCGATGATGGATCTTCTCGAGCAGCGAGAATTTCTTCCGTGTTCGTGGACCTGAACCTTCTCGCGTATCAGGTGAAGGCGACGGGCCGGACCTCGAGCGACCTTTCGAACTCGAAGCAGCTTCGCTTGTAAAAGAGGAAAAGGCAAGTGGTTGTGGAGGGCGTAGCAAACTGCGGATACCAGTCAGGACGGACAACCCAAATAGCGTGCTAGAGTACTGACCTGCGCGACTTCCTGAGGAAACTGGTGGGTGAATTTGGGGCGGAGTCGGACCCGGATGGTGAGCGAGATGCAGACGGCCGCTCCTCCTGCGACATCGACGCAGGTTCCTCCGTCACCGGATGCCACGACAGCCTCCTCGTTGGCGCCTGAGCCTGCTTCCGCTGCGCTTCATTCCGCCCCTCCTTCTCCCCCTCTCCGACCACCCGAACAGCCGCACCCTCCCCAATCGAATCCAACCGCCCATCGATCGAGGTCTCTCTGCTCCTCGCACGATGCCCGCCCACGACGATGGGTCCAGGTTCACATGCCCTCCTCTGCTCGAACACCGTCCCGCCCGTCGCCACGGAACTCCGGCTGATGCGCACTTGCCGCACGTAATCGGCGGCATCGGGGGACAGGGGCGTCGGGAAGAAGTACGGCGCCTGGTACGGGTCCGTCCGCGGGAGGGGCGGGGGCCGCTGCGGGGGCGTGCTGTGCTGCCTGCGCGGGAGCCATTTCTTCTTCTGCGAGGAAGCTGCGTGCGGGATGTCGGCGCTCGGCGGATATAGCGAGGAATGAGGAGAGGAGGACATACTGCTCGTCGTCGGCGAGGTGACGGACCTATTGACCTTGGGCCGTGAGCTCTCCGCACCAGAACTGTGTGAAGCCAAAGATTGTTGTTCTGATAGCGAAGGCGTGGATGGGTCCGCAGAGGGGATCGGCGTGAGCGGCGAAGGGAGCGCGACTGATATCGAGGGTGGAGACGTGCTCTTGCGAGTCGCCCTCCGAATTCTGCAGTCCTCTTGGATTTGACACGCGATGCGTCGGACGGGCGAGCGGCTGCGAATGATGGCCTCCTTCGACAGTTGGAGTAGGTTTGACCCGCTTGCCACTTGCTGGGACGATGACCGCGAGATCGGAGGAGACGGAGATGGAGGAACGTCAAGTATTCTTCCTTTATCCTCGGCCAGAATCTTGGCTTGTTGTTTTGAAGATGCAGTTTCTGAAGTCGTCCGACCAATTGAGTCCGAGTCGTGTGAGAGAGCGACGGAGTAAAGGGATGCTGTTGAGGCATTGCGAGAATGAAGTGTTGGAGTGAGAAGCTTGGGCTCGACTCGCAGGCGTTGTTCTTCTGGAGGCAGAGCTAGGAATGCGGATACGAAGCCTTGGGCGATGGCACCAAGAACGCTCTAATGATTCTCGACGTCAGCAATGTGGTATCATGCAAGCTGCCTACAACAACCAATTATGAAAGGAGTACTTAGATGGAATGGAGCTTACAGCAGCATAGCCGTACCAACTCAGGATGATTGTGACATTCGTACCTACGGAATAGACGCGTCGTGTGACGGCCACTCTATGACCGCAATGTATGGCACGATGCAGTGTACACATTTCAACTCCAGCGAGCCATGGGTGCGTCGCACACGCCTTGCTTCCAGCCCCTCCACAGACCCATATAATGTATCCACCGACTGCCTAGCAACCCGAATGAAGGACTTACCAGGATGAACCCAACCGAGGCCATAGCGGCCCCAGCCACCGCAGGAACAACGATCCTCGCCAGAGTCAGAAAGAGGCTCATGTCGGACCGATACCAGTGAAAGTACGCGACATAGGGCTGCGCTTTGAAGTAGAGGACCGAAATCGAGACGACCGTCCGCCGCGTCGCTTTACAGAGTCGCATGGCTATGCGCAGGCGTCAGCGTCAATTGCAAGAAGGGTCTAATAAGCGGCACGGTGAAACTGACATCACCAGACAGCAGAGACAACGTCAGACACAGCCTGCGGTTTAGAGGCTTGCGAGTGGCAGCGGTGTGCGCGACCGGGGAGAAAAATGCATGAAATAAAGGACGCGTGGCGGCGAGCTGGGCAAGAGGAGGGTCCGGAGATTGGACGGGCGTGCGTTTTCATCGTTCGGGCGGGTTCTGTCAGATGTGGTTTGCAAGCCTTGGTGATCGATGATGCCGTCCCGGTTACGTACATCCGCACAGTCCATCCCTCATCCTGAGCGCCCTCCCGCGCCCCTCCCGGTCCCGGGCAGTCAGCACGGTTGACACACGCTGCAGGCCAAGAGTCGGTGCAGACGTTCGAGCTGCACCGCGGCCTCTCCAACAGCCCGGGCTCGCAAGGAAAGCACCCGTCGCAACATGTGGAGACTCGGTGGGCATGATAGGTGTCCTGCTTGTGCTTGTGCAGAGCCCGGAGGAGAGGGTGGCAGCGGCGGCTGCAATCCGCATGTGAGGCAAAACTAAGCTTGTCAAAATCACATGCTTGGCAGACGGGGTCTCTCGATCGAGCAGCATCGTTCGGGCCGATGATGCGTATACCATTCCGCCTTTCCGTGATCTCGGAATGTGCAGCCATAGGTTAGCTGAAAGTGTGGATCATTTTGGTGGAACGCAAGATAGCTCGTGACCCGTTTTACTCAGGTGAACATAATTGCATCCTACGCATCGACGCATCGTCAGGGACACGGCAGACGCGTTCATCGGAAGCCAAACATCCTGCCGAGTGACCACGTACGTACACCGGAGTCGCCGTGGCGTAGTACCATCAGACACTGGACCTTCACTACTGGAGTCTGAGCTACGAATCATTTTGTAACATCGACCGACGCGGCGGCGCGATGAAGCGAAACATCGCACTCACACAAGCCATTCACAAACGCGCATATGTCTTGCTCGCGAGAGGTATAATCCGCAACGCACCCACCACAAAACCCAAAAGCAAGCAAGGTCAGTCAATATCTACGAGTGACACACATTACCCTACACATAAGTCCCAAGTAGATCCCTGTCAGAAGCTGTCTACAATATTAGCCTATTTAAAGCCCGAGGAGATCCAGTGAGAGAAAGCAGCAGAGCAAAACCCCAATAGCATAGCAATAAACCCCTCAAAAGCAAGAGAATGGGCACGCGAGGCGGACGCGTCCACCTGGCAAGTAAGAACAGACCTCACCATCATAATTAGACGCACGAGACGCACAGCGTCCCGCGCTCGCGCAGGCCATGCAACCGGTCCGCGATGAGGTTGCGGATCTCCTTCTCGGCCTTTGGCGTCATGTCCTGGCACACGACAAAGAAGTACACCAGCAAGCCCTTGTACTCTTCGCGCGACACGTCGCGGTCGATCCGCGCCCAGTCGAGGCTGAGCAGGTCGGCCACGGAGGTGATCTCGAACTCGAACAAATCTCCTCGAGCTGCGGCGAGTTGATCTGCGAGATCATGGCGGTCACCCACGGGAAGAGCTGGTTCGACATGAAGCCCTGCGACGCAGCGGCCTTCGCGTCCAGTCCGCCAAAACGCACGGAGCGCAGGCCGGTGTTGTGAACGAGGCTAATCTGGTTGTTAGGACGGCTACACCGCAATCAGTTAGCGTCCATTGGCCTCACACTACGGACTGTCGCACCTTCCTCGGCACACCAGACGGGAACTCGACCAGCAGCCGTTCAAGCGCCGCCCCGCTTGCGTGCAATAGGTCGCCCACCAGCTTCATGTTCTCGATCTCCCTCCAGCACAGCTGGATCGTGCGCAGGTGCTGCTCCGATGGGTGACTCAGCAGCCATTCCGTGACCAGCGTCGGCGACGAGCGGAGTCCAAGAACAGGTACGACAGATGCATGCACTCCTTCTCCCTCCGGGTCGCCTGGATCGCCGTCTCGTCTGAGGGCGCGTTCAGCAGCGCCGGGCTCTCCTTGTTCCACGCGACTCCGTGGAAATAGAGCTCGTTCAGCGCGGGGAAGGCTCCCAAGAAGTCCAGCACGTCGCGCGACGCCTCGAAGCGCACCTCGAACATGAAGAGCGTTCGCACGCGCGCGAAGAACTTGAAGAAAGCAGCCTGCGTTTCTGGCAGGAGCGTATGCCATCGCACGCGCGACAGCCCGATCGTCGTGACCCGCTCGAGCTTGTGCAGGAACTCGCCTGCAGCATTCACCCACCATCGTCCTCCACAGGCCGGCCTGATTCATCGACGCCCTTGTACTCCGCGCTCACGGTAAACCTGCGCACGCACTGCGCGATGACGGGCGCGCTCTGGAGGAGGGCCGCGAAGCGTGCGCACTGGTCCGCGTTCTGGATGCGCACGGTGCGGAAGAGGTGGAGGCGGCTCGTGCCGACCCAGCTGCGGCATGTGAGCGCGCAGGCCGCGAGCGACTTGGGGTCGTCCCAGAGGTGGTCGATCGACTCGTCGAAGAGCTCGGGCGGGAGGACGGAGGCGGCGCGCATCGTGTATGTGTCGCCGGACCTGTCGCGCGTGCCATAGTTAGCTCGGACATGGTGCTTTCGGCTCGTGGGGCAGCAGACGAATACCTACCAGTGCTGGTGGAGGGCCCGGGCGTGGGGGGAGAAAAGAGCTGGAGGGACTCGAGGCGAGCAGCTACTCGGTCCCCCGCTTATCGTTTGATACAGTACTACTAGTGCCATGCCTGGCGCCCGGAATCATGGCAACTCGTCTTGAAACAAGGGCTCTCATTGGCTCGTCCGTCTCGTTTCGGAGCGGAAGAGCGTTTCGGATGGACGGCATCCCCAAAGTGGCGACGGCCAGACGCTGCTCCAGTCTTCGCAGGGACATGAGCGTGAGAGAAACCCCAAGTTCGGTAGCTTCCGTTTGCGCGACCGCTTCCAGAGCGCAGAGCCTGGTTATTCACTTCGTCATTACTCTTGTGTTCACTGTTCACTGCAACGTCCAGCAGTCCAATCTGCAGCTCACTTGGGCCGCCATGTCGAGTCCTACACTTCTTCGCTCTCTGCGGCCTTTCACGCAATGCTCACGCTCAACGCACCTCGTCTCCCTCGACGTCGCCCGACCACGCGGGGCCTTGTCTTTCGTTCGCGCAAAGTCCTCGAAAGCGGCAAAAGTACAGGCAGCCAAGAACTCATCTGCGGCATCACGCGCACCTTCAACGAAAGCACAAGCCTCGACGACGTCGACGAATACTGCGAAGGCGGAAGTAGCTGCAGAGTCGACGCCGGGAGCACAGGCGTTGCGGAGCGGGACGGGGAAGGTCACAGAGGCTGAGCAGGATTCGCTGCCGTGGGCGGACTACCTTTCTATCCGGAAGAAAAAGCGAAGATGGGAGACGGTGCGCTTCAAAGTACCTTGATGGACCGTTCTGTACTCATACTTCGCTGCGCATGTGTGTGCGTTGTTTCATGGCTTTGCAGGCTATGACGATCCCGTTCACCCTTGGTGGGTTTGTCGGAGGCATCATGTACTTCGGAAACCTCGACGTGGACCCTGCGAAACCCATATTTGTGCGTATACGTCGCCCTTCGCTCTCCATGTATACCGCTGAGCAACTCGGTGCAGAACCTCGACCCCATGATTGTGTACGGGTTTTCGACCCTCGCATGCGCGGCATGGGGTACCTCATCGGCCCATTGTCGGCTCTACAATATGGCGGATGTCCCACCGACGGACGCTGAAGCTCATCGAAGCTCGTGACCGCGAGTTCTACCAACACATCGTGAAGAACCGGGTAGACCCGACTGCACAGAGTGCGACGAACCCTGTTCCAGACTTTTATGGTGCAGTACCTATCACGCTGTCTCTGGTTCATCGTCTGATACACCATGATGCGCATAGGCGAGAAGATCGGTTCGGTGCATGATTACAGACAGGTGCGTTGCGGACCCCGACTTCAACAGACCCCTGATCGAACCTTTACCCAGTGGTTGAGGGATCAGTCAAGGTACAAGAAGAAGCATACTTCTCCGAGGACGCTTAGACTACACGTCATCCTCACGAACGGTTCACACTGCATATGCTACTATTCGCATATTGACAAGGGTTAGCCTGACAATCTATCCATTGGTTCCCTTTGCGCATGGTTCTTGAGGCATCCGAGCACGTAGATGCACGGTGTATACTAATTGTGATTACAGCAAATTACAACAGCGCGGAACGACCTCTGCAAGACTTGACGTTTCTCCACAAATGGCAAGGCACTATACTGACAGTATCTCATCTTCCGTAGACACCCACAGCATCACCCCACGGCCCTTCTTCGTACGCCCCCTTTGACCACGACTCGCTGTCGTATGGTCCGCTTTCATACGGTTCGTCATACGCCCCTTCTCATACGCCCCTCTTCGTATGGCCCGTTGTCGTACGCCGTGGTTTCATCGGCCTCGTCATCATCCGACCCTGCGTCGTGCAGAGAGGGCAGAGCGTCCTTCCGCACAATCTCCCTGAGCCTCCCGTCTCAAGCTCGTAGATCATCCCCACGACCGCAACCGACCTGTAGTCGTAAGCACCCTCGAACTTCATGTTGTCGATGTAGTTTTTGACGCGGTCCACAGTGCTGATGACGTTCGCCTCCGTGAGCGCCGTGACGTCCGGGTGGCGCTTTGCGAGGTGGAGGAGGTGGCTCATCCAGTCGCCGAGGGCGCCCCCAGGGCGGTGAGCTCCGCCTGCGACCTCGAGAGCGGTGTGCACGCCTCCGCATTGCGTGTGCCCGACGACGAGGACGTGCGTCACACCAAGGTCCTCCACGGCGTACTGGACGACGGAGGCCCCGTTGGCGTCATCAGCGGCGAATTGGCTACACCAGTCGTGAGCGGACTGCGGCGATCAACGCATGACAACTGCGCGCGTACTTTGCAATGTTGCGGTGGACGAGTATGTCCCCGGGCACGGAAGCCGTGATCACGGACTCGGGCACGCGCGAGTCCGCGCAGCCTATCCAGAGGACCTGTGGAATGATTCCGGATTGTAAGTCGTGGTCGAGAGCGGTACGATCGGGCACAATACCTCGGGGCGTTGCGTCTTGGCCATGTGGTGGAATGCTCGCGGGTGGATCCTGTCGATGCCCGAAGCCCATTCCTCGTTCCTCGCGAGGAGGCTCTCGATGGTCGTGTCGGGGGGTGCGGCGTTCGGTGCAATCATCGTAAGTAAGAGCTTATGGGACGTTCACTGAGGTTGCGTCGTGCGCACCGGGCTTTATAGGTTGGCTGCTCGCGCTGCTCAGTGCGATCCTCGAAGCTCGAACCTTGAAGCGCGGCACCTTGCTCAAACACGTTGCAATCTGAATACTATCAGATAAGTGAACGCAATCCTCTCCACTGCGATGTGCGTGGAAGCAGGACCGATATTAAGCAGAGGGTAGGGTACAGGGCTTGAACGACATTCGTGTTCACCGTCCCATTCTGCGATTCGACGCTGCCGACGCGTTCAGCGGTAATCCGTGCTGCTGGCCGAGAGCGTGACCAGGATTGACAGGATTCAACGCGATAGGTAGGACGATCCCATTCAGAACTCGGGGCTGCAGGTACGCGCGTTGTGGTACGTAAGGTTCGTCCTCTCCATCACTGGATCCTTCTCGTAGGCTTTGTGTATCTTGCACGGTTTATATTTATTGTGCAGATCCCACCGGTTTACCTGGCAGAGCGGGGTTGTTCACGACCTCGACTGCTACCGTTAACAATCGTTGGGTGGGATCCACTTGTCGGAATGCGGATATGCCCTCGGGCCCCGTAGCCCGCATTGCGATCGTAAGTTCAAGTGGTCCAATCGCTGCAGGAAATTCGCTCAACGGCAAGAGTAGTTGAATGGCCGGCGTAGGTTCCGCAGATGCGATGGACGTTCAGTGCCCTTTGTCAGCGCTCTCCCCGAGCTTCCTGCGAGGGGATTCATACACGATTGGAACGAGACCCATACCTGTTGCGTAACTTGCGTCCTTACTCGTCCAGAAATTACATGGGCTCTGCCGGTTAGAATGATTGAAATGCGCGACTTTGTTGTATGCGATGGATGGAGTAATATGTTACACGTCTAGTGATACATGATGATTCGCCTTATGCCATGACTTCCAAGTATGTGTCTCGTCCGTGATCTACACCACATGTTTGTTCTCCGTCGTGCTGAGGTCTTCTCCAGTAACACCGGCCGCGCCGGCGAGAACGGAACTGGCGATCTGCCTGTCGCGTGCCCGCTCATCGTTGGTCGAAGTATCAGCGATGCCGTGCTTGTTGATCTCCTTCTCTAGCCGGTCAAGACCTGAACCAAGAGGTGAGTTCACAGCAGACTGCAGCGTGGTTACAACGTACCCTTGTCAATGGTGCTGGTGGGGATGGTCAGGATTCAATCAATCACCACAAGACAGCTCCTACTCACAATTTCCCGCTCTCGATGTCGTAATCTTCTCCTCCTGAGGTGCGACGAGGAAGTCGGCATCTTTGCCAATCTTGAGTCCCCATTTTTCAGGGCTGCAACACCCGGAGGTGTGTACTGAGGAGGTACCTCGTGGTCTACTGGCAGCTTGCCCGCCCACTGCGTAGCGTCGCGCTTCTCTTCCTGGGGCGGTACGAGGTGGCTCATGATGGATGTGTCGTGAAATTCGTTAGGTGAGTGGCTTCAAGTTATGTTGTCGAGGATGGTAAAGTCTGACGATGTGGGTGAATAGACGGCAGTGTGCAGCGCACGCGAGAGTTTATATAGAGGCGGCAGCCACAGCTGGGAGAACGACTGACATCATCGCACCGACGCACGTCGTGCGACCGGTGACCGAATGCACCACTGCCCTGAGCGAGGTGACGGCGGTCGTAGCCGGCGCGCCACCGCCGGCTGCGTCCGCACCACTGCCCTTTCAGTGCATCCGCGTCACACACACGTGAGCGTGACTCGACGCGCTCTCTGCTCGCAACGCGCTCCTCCGATCTGCCCACCACCAACGAAGTCGTACATGAGCCATGTCTGGCGCGGCCATTCTCCGTCGCAACACCATACTTGCTGCCTCTGCCGTCTTCGTAGCTACTGTCGCCCGCGCATCAATCATCATGGCTGCCCACCACACTGGAAGCGCAAGCGAAAGCGACTTGAGCGATCTGAGCGAGCTCGAGTCAGAGGAGCCCAGTCCCAGACCAGCCAAGCGCGCAAGAAAAGCCAGGTCGTCTACGGGTGCCGAGGAGGTGTTTCATACGCAAGGGACCTCGCAGAACGCTCTGGCTACGCTGCCAGATGGTACAGAGCCTGCGAAGAAGCCTAAGAGGCGGAGGAAAGAGGCGCCACCAGAGCCAAAGCCGGAAGACTTCATACCGAGGTTGACAAACGACTGGAAGGTTGGCCCCCATGTCTCAGCAGCTGGAGGCGTAGAAAATAGCATACTCAACGCTGCGTTTGTTGGGTGAGTATCGTGCGAGGATGCACGCGCTTCGACACTAAATTGAATGACGACAGAGCGAATGCATTCGCGCTGTTCCTAAAGTCCCAGCGAAAATGGACGTCTCCGCCGCTCAAGGAAACCTCTATCCTTGCATTCAAGGCCCGCATGAAGACATTCGGATACTCGGCCTCCCACATCCTTCCGCACGGAAGTTACCTTGTTAACCTGGGCAATCCGGACGAGTGCGTGTGTCTCACTTGAACACGACGGCTACTGATGGATTGCTCACGAAAGAAAGAAGAGAGAGCAGTCGTATGAGTGCTTTCTAGATGATCTGAAACGATGCGAGGAGCTTGGTCTGCTTCTGTACAATTTCCAGTATGTATCATCGCAGTCCGGTCTGTTCATATGGAACCGACCTGACTCCAACTAGCCCAGGATCAACAGTCGGAGTAGCCACGAAAGAGGAATCTCAGTCTCTCATCGCTGGGTGCATCAACCGCGCACACAAAGAAACTGAACGGGTCGTGATTGTCCTCGAGAACATGGTAGGCGGTTCACTTGTCCGTGGTAAGTTATGTCTGGCTCAATGAGCGTGTCGCAAAGGCTGGGTCAGGAAACGTAATTGGATCGACTTTCGCCGAGCTCGGTGCGATAATCGCACAGGTGGAGGACAAGAGCAGAGTCGGCGTTTGCTTGGACACATGTACGTACTTTGAGCTCTCAAACAAGTGTTGCTGCTGAGATATGTCCACGTCCAGGTCATATGTTCGCTGCCGTACGTTGAGATACTGTGACTTGGAATAATACTGACTTAGGTCATAGGGCTACGACATTCGGACGAAGGAGGGCTGGAAGTGAGTTCCTATGCACAAGACATTACCTCAGTAACTCATGGCTCTTCACACAGTGAAACGAGTGCGTGTCTACGAGCTCTATCGAGGCTACTGCAGAGACTGAATCGTGTGTCTCGTCTCACAGTGGCAGAGTTCGAGCGCGACGTTGGCCTGCAGTACCTTCGCGGCATGCATCTCAACGACTCCAAAGGAGCCCTCGGCAGCAAGAAAGACAGGCATGAAAACATTGGGCTGTAAGCCTTTCCCCTTTCCCCTTTCCGCGATACAATCGCTCACTAACCTTACCGTTGCGACGGCTCCTCCCCACGCAGAGGTGAGCTCGGCCTCTCCACCTTCGCACACGTCCTCTCGGACCCGCGCACACGCGACCTCCCGCTGATCCTCGAGACCCCTGCCTACGACGAGCCGGGCACCGGAGCGAGTCGGCTCGGGAAGGAAGGTATGGACGTCTGGCGGAAGGAAGTCGAGGTGCTCAACCGGGTCGGGAGCGGGGAAGGCGAACAGGGGAAGATGGACGTGTGGACAGAGGAGATCCAGGAGGTCGTGGAGAATGCGAGTACGAAGCGGGGCGCGAAGGGGAAGAGCGTGAAGGGCAAGGCGGGTGGTGGGAGGAAGCGCAAGACGGGAAAACGGAAGAGGGGCGAACAGGAGGATGCGGAGGAGGACGATGGTGTGGCGTGCGCGAGCTGTAGCGAGGGCGGGTGATGGTAATCGTCCGGCCAAGAGTTGCACTTGGAGTATGTGTTGGGCAGAGAGCCACCGCGTGTTACAAGCCACAGCGTGGTTGGCACTGCAATGTAGGGGAAGTTATATTCTACGCGTACATAATATACACTATATTATGGATACAAGTGGATGGCGTGTATTTACGAATGTCCTGGGTCCTAATGGCATGAACGCATCTTCTCTCGTGACTATTCGCCACTTCGTCGACATGAGGTATATGAATTCCGTCTCGAGCGCTTGGTCTAGTCAAAGAGTGTGCCTCCATCGACGGTGATAGCTTGGCCTATGACAATTGTGAATATGCAGTTTTTGAACGTCTAGCAATATAGATAGCGGGGTACGTACCAGTCATGAATTTAGAGTCGGGGCCGGCGAGGAAGGAGACGACACCAGAGATGTCCTCAGGCTGGCCCACTCTACCCAGTGGGATCGCCTCCGCGCGCTGCTTGATGTACGCGCCTCGCTCCTTGCCTTCCTCCTCCGTGTACTTCTCATCCACCTTGTCCACTATAAGCCCACCACGACGGTTAGAACGATGATGATCACGCGATGCGACGCTGGGGAACTCACAGAACTCCGTATGGATGGCCCCTGGTGCGTAGCAGTTCACGTTGATCCCGTATGGCGCAAGCTCGATCGCTGCGCTCTGCGAAAGGCCGCGCACGGCGAACTTGCTTGCGCAGTACGCCGCAGAGTTTGGATCGCCACGCTTGCCTGCGATGGAGCAAGCGCCGATGAGCCGTCCGCCGCGGCCTTGCTTGATCATCTGTTTCGCGGCGTACTTGTAGCAGAGCACGACGCCATAAACGTTGATTGAGAATGTCCTCTCCATGTTGGCAGGTTCGCTACAAATCAGGGTCAGCGATCACCGCAAACGCCTAGCGAACATGCGATCTTACACTCAACGAACTCTTCCAGGACGGCCATGCCTGCGTTCGCGACCATCACGTCCAGCCCTCCGAGCTCATCAGCCACCCTGTCCACCATCGCCTTCACGTCGTCTTCCTTCGACACGTCTGCGTACACCGTGATGACTCTCCTACCTGCCTCAGACTTGATCGCGTCCGCGGTCTGCTGCAGGCGTTCACGGTTGGAGTGGATGTCGCTGAGCGCCATGTCGAAGCCGTCCTTCGCCAAGCGTACTGCGATGGCGCGGCCGATGCCCTGGCCCGCCCCCGTGACGAGGGCGACGCGCTGCGGGCCATGGCCGTTCACGTCGTCCTCAAGCGGCACGAACTGCTGGCCGTGCGGGAAGCGGTCGGTGGTCGTGATGACAGTCGGGTCGTCCTTGTGCGTGCTCATCTTGGTCGCGTAGCGTGGAAGATGTTCGTCAGAGGTCGTGCAGTCGTCAGGAGGAGTATGTGAGGATTCCGCTGTTGTGGGCCAGCCCCGGCGTCGTCGTCGCTGTATATATGCCGACCGAGAATTGAGCCGGTGTCTGGATCAGGAGGTGCCATGGCCATCAGTGCGTCTGCACTGGGAGCTTCCAGGATGACCCGACACTGAGATTGGCGTTCCATGAGCCACAGCAGCACGCCTCCGCTTGTGGTGTCCCACTGGGTGACGTCATCCCACTCCCCGCAGGTTGTCGCCCGTACTCACCTTGCCAAATGCCTGGCCCAGGGCTACCCGCAATGGTGCATCTTGGCGCCACTGACCCGCCACCCCACACTTCGCGATGCAATGTCCGGCAAATAATGAATATCAACATATGAACTAATTAATGAGCACAAACGCAGAGACGGCCTTACTTCATGCCAGTCGGTGGTAGGGCAGGCGCTGTCTGATGGAGGAGCCTGGGTATTTGATAGCTCCCCGCTACCCCGCGTTAGCCCTGCGGGTCACGAATAACATACTTACCTCGTCATGGTGCGCGAGAGAGGAGGCGGGCTGCCCTGGATGGCCTGTCCCGCAGGGCGCGCATGGTCAGAGGATAGAACGACAGGACAACGCATGGGCGGAACCTGGTCCTGGTGACTTCTCGCTCGTGTTTGCAACATGTCATGCTTGACAGGAGCCAAATGACTCTCGGGACATCATGCAAATACACTTCCCTGCGACGATGTCCTCGGGGCGTTCTGTTAGCGGATATTGAGCGGAACTCCAGACATGATGTGGATGAGCGACACGTTCACTCAAGTCGGATTTTGTGCGAATGCAAGCATGCCTCCCCCTAAATGTCAGCATGACCCTAAATGTCAGTGTGAGGTGTCCCTGATACTCTCAGCGAACCCGATATCGTAATCATCTAACCGTTGCAATGAGTCAGTACCCTCTTTGCCAAATGTACGAAGACGTACTTCCTGTTGAATTCGTGGTGCTCTTTATACATACAGGTGTGAGTAACTTGCGATAGTAATACATCAAGATAATCAGGATTTGGAGCACAAACTGAAGGCGCGGTCATCGACAGGTGGTTAGATATCATCTTCCAGGTCCCACAACAGATCATCGTCCTCAACGAGGCCCGATGCATATGCCTGAATCGGATCACAATTCAGCACACCCCAACCCTTAACTGCCAGTGCCCAACTACAGCCACTCACCTCAAGCTCTGCACTACTGATAGGTGCGTCTACGTCTGCGCTGAACAACTTCTGCGACGACTCCGTGAACTCTTTCTTGGCCTCCGGTGGCACGATGACCTCGGGCGCAGCGAACATGATGCGGTCAGGGTCCACTACGGGCGCGCTCTGAACGGAGAGGCGCAACGCGTCCCAATTGCGCTCCGCGAGCTCTGGCCGCGTCACGCCTACGTTTGCGAGGAAGTCCGCGCCTTCGTTGCCCTCCTCGCCTGCGTGCCCGCGCACGTATTGCAGACGCACCTAGCAGGGTACATACATCTCGTCAGCGCGATATATTCTGCAGCAAACGCGCTGCGACGTACTTTCTGCCCCTCCAGAGCGCGCTGGTCGAGGAGTGCCGACAAGTATTGGATCAGCTGCCTATTCTTCACAGGCTCGCCCTTTGAGTTCCTCCACCCCTTCGCTATCCAGCCTGGCAGCCAAGTCTGGAAGCCTATCGCGAGATCGATCAGAATTAGACTAACTTGTCTGTCTCCTGATCGGAAAACACACAGTTGATGCTGTACTGCGAATCCGTCTTGATCAATAGCTGACGCTTGTCGTGAGGCGCGGTCTCGAGTACGCGCACGATGGCCTAGAAAAAGATGCATAGTTGAGCGGTCGCGATGTCCATATGAGGATCAAGCATATGAATTCGAGACAGCTAACAATGGAATCTTCGCTTCCTCAGCACTACATGCGCTAAGATACTCACAATAAGCTCTGCGCGGTTGTTCGTTTGCACCCCCGGACAGCGTTCTGCCAGATTTCTGTGTAGTCCCCAAGATCAGACTCGTATGCAACGCAGTCGAGGTAGAAAGTACTAGCCTTTCGTCACTTTGGCCCCACCAGACACCAACGCCTGCAACGGATCCCACCTTACCATTACCTTTACAGGCACCATCGGAGTACACAATCAACCAACCCGATTCGTCTTCTACAGGCTGACCGGCCAGACTCCGCTTCCGTTTCTTCGAGTTGGGCTGTCTGGACTCGCGACTGCCACCGGCTCCGCGCTAGCGGAAACGGGCTTGGTGGAGGAGCGCGGCTTTGCGGGAGAAGGCGGCGAAGAGGGAAGTTTTGCGATGGTACGCGCCGTAGTCGATGAAGATGCTCGTGTGGCTGCCGCCGTCAGAGATCGAGAGCTTGCTGGCGCAGAAGTGTGCGCGGCTGAAGAGCCCTCTGCGGCAGACGCGACCCACGCCTCCGCCTCCGCGGCGTTCGTGAACTTCTTGTACGTCGAGCCAGGGAAGCCCATCACCTGCGGGGAGCATTCGTCCCTGTACAACGAGAGTAAGAGCGCGGCGACGGGCCCCAGAATTACGATGCACCATGTCAAGTACACCCCGGGGTTGTGCCCTTTCGCGACGGCGTAGAAGCCCGGTTTCTTGCCTGTCCCATCGTGGAATCTGGCGCTGCGGCGGGGTCTACCGCTTCAGAGTATCTGCGTATGGATACGCGCTGTGTGTGCGGCCAATGGATCGAGTTGATGACAGTGAGGTCGTGGATGCCTCGCGGAGAGGAACAGCCAAATTTGGTCGCCAGGGTTCACGAGCCGCCAGCGCTGTCGGCACAGATAGGGTGCGATGAACTTGGTCCTTTGAGTGACTACGAGCCCTCTGCTCACAGACGTACAAGATGATGGACAGTGGACCTTGTGTATTGCCCTTCGTGCGGATAGGTAATGCGCAACAGATTCGGAAGGAGTTGCGAGAGCTATGTTAGACGCTGACAACACGGAACGCGTCCGCGTCAGTCACGTGAACAAACACAGTACGCGATTGATCTGTGGCCACTGACAGACGCGCCACGACCACGAACCACTCAAACCACCGTACACATTGAACTTGTGTCTGACCGTCCTGGCTGAGGAGTTAGCCTGAGCATCTGCTGAATACTGAGGAGTCCTCCATGACGTAACCCGGATATATTTGCTAGTTATCGCGCAGAAAGTTGACTCGGAAGTCCTTCGACATTCATCATGTCCCAGACTCATTTTCCCGCAGCGTGACACTATATCTCGTCAAAAACCAGGAGGAGTACTGCTCTAGGTTTATAAAGCTGATCCTCGTTATGCGACGCACAAGTCTGGCAGTGCGCTGCCTTCCTCACAATGGGAGGCTGATCAGGTGGACGTACGAAGACGAAGGCCAGAATCGAGGGCTGCTGAATGCAGGGTGAGCAGGTGAGCAACCTTGATATCTCATTCTATCACAACGCGTGCGATAAGCTGCACACGCTCTGCGCAGTTGTATTCAGCCACCCAATGTTGTCGTCAGGGCAGAGGGTAGATGCGCCTATACAGCACTGCAATGACGATCTCTTTTCCTGATCAGTGTAGCGCAGGTCAGCACGAGCAGTACGACGACGGAGTTTTACTCTCACCTGCGGTTTCACTTCCCACAATCCCTTCGATGTGAGGGTAGCTTTGAGACGGAGGTCGACCGGAATGGTTCAGACGGCAGGGTCCAGGTCTCACCCGCAGCTCGACCTCTTGGTCTTGAATTAAACCTAAGTCTTCCCCGTCGCTGGCCTGAAGGTTGTAGAGCATACAGGAAGGTGCTTCTCTTCATTTGCTGGCCAGAATTCGAATTGATATTGCCTTCTTTCATGATCCGTCTCAACGCGAGACCGATCATTCAGTCAAGGTATGTGAATGAACTTTCACCCCGGCCAATCCCAATCGTCGCGCGTTGTAACGTCATATGGGCCATACAGTATTATGTGAAGCAGGATCCAGAGCACAGGGACGTGCAGATTTTCTTTGTTCCCGAAGACCGTGCGTCGATGCCTTCGCTACGTCACCTCCAGCAACTGATTCTTTGTGCTATCTGACGAGATCCTGAACGGCGATTACTGTGCAGAGGGTTCAATAGAAGACGGAACAAGTCCACATGTATCGATTGATTCAGTGCTCCGATCAAGGGTCGCACAGGCGACCTATGTGAGGCGTGCTTCATAGTATTTATTCTCTTTGATACCACCCGTCGACAGCTGTATCTGCACGACCATCACCCGCTATTGGTACGTCTGCTGTGCGTCCTACCACCGGATTGTATTGAGATCCATGTATGATTGTGACCACCCTACTAGATACACTCTACACCACCCTTCGTATCCAACGCAACCATGGGAGGAGTGTTTTCGTGGCTATTCGGTGATCATGAAGTTCGCGAGAACCCTGTTATCGCAGAGCTGGAACGCCGCACTCAGGAGCAACAGGAGGCTATCAACGCAGCGACGGCCAACCAGGCTCAGGCTGAGGAAGCTCGCCGCATCGCAGAGGACGCAGCGAGGCATCTGAAGAACAGAGGCTAAGATTCGAGGAGATCGCCAAACAGCAAGAAGAGGAAAGAATTCGCAGCGAGGAAGCCAGGAGGAGAGCAGAGGAACAGTCAAAGCGCGCCGAGGCAGACAGGAGCGCGGCGGAGGAACAGAGGAGGCAAGCGGAAGCTGACGCCAGGCGAGCAGACGAAGAACGCGCTAGAGCTGAGGCTGAGGCCCATAGGTCGCAGCAGGAGCAGCAGAAAGCAGATCTGGCTCGACAGGAGGCGGAGAAGGCCGCCGCAGACGCCAAGACTGCACGCGAAAAGGCGGAGAAGGACTGCGCGATGGCATCCGCCCGATCATCATCCCTACTAGGGCTGAGTTTCGCGCGACTAAGTTGCGCCTACAGTACAGGAGGGCCTCTTCCACTTCGCAGTTGCTGGCATCGCAGGCAGCGGAAGTCGTCTCTCATGAACGCTTTCCGCGGCCTCCGTAACAAGGAAAGGGCGCGGCACCCGTGGGCATCGTCGAGATACGCCGACATCGCTCGATACCCCGATCCAACCCCGGTCGCCCGTTTGTGTGGTACGACTTCCCGGCGCTGGCACACTGTGATCCCCGATTGGCAGTACTTCACCGACCAGGGACTCTACATCTTCGACTGCATCATCGTCCTCTTTGACAATCGCTTCACCGCGACGGATCAGGCGATCCTTCGCAACTGCGCCCGCTTCCAGATCCCTACCTACATGTCCGTTCCAAGTCCAAGCAGCACATCCTGAATCTCGTGGAGGACATGGACGAGGAGAGGAAGCGTTACCGAAATGGCGCGCGAGAGGTACATTCGGGAGACGCGTGCGAGCGTCGCGCAAAATCTGCAGGCAGCGGGCCTACCCGAGCAGCGAGTGTACATGGTCGACAAGGAGGTGTTGGTCCAGGTGATCAAAGACAAACAGCCGAAGCAGTACATCGACGAATGGGACTTGCTACGGGATCTCTTCGGTGAGGCCCGCCGCCGACGCGTGGTCGAGACCTCGGTCCCCAGCGCTGCCACTGATGGGCCCAGGTCTTGAAACTGTCTCCGCCAAGGCAGCCTCTGTGATTTCATCGCTATACTCTCCGTCTCGTTGATAGTTTTCGTAGTACCTCTTGGAAACGCTGAGCGACCTGCTTGACGAACTGGTAGTGGGGTTCATGCTAGGTCTGTATTGTATAGTACGCTCACTCTGATCGCATTGCCAAATTTGTTCAACCAAGAGGTCTCGACAAACATCATTCCGCAGAAACTATTGAAATTGAAACACGGAGGCAACTCGTTACGAGGCTTCCCAGTGGCCCGTGAGCACGAGAAACGCAGACGACGCCCTCAGATCGGATCCCAAGTGAGACCACCTCTAGCAGCAGTTCTCTTCGTATGTGATCTGTGGTTGTCGGTTTTGATATCCGCGATGTGGAGTCATTGTGAAGCATCTGCGAATGACAACAACAGCGCACTGTACACCGCGTACAGACCAGATTCGCCGCAGTTCGCAATGACAGGTCGATCGTCACAGAAATTAACCGCAAGGCCTCGAGTTGAACCGCACATCGCACTTCTGAGGGATGGAAGCCACCCGGATGTGCCTGCTGGAACCAAGCACGTTCAGCTCATGTTCATCTACTTGAATGAACGGTACATCTGCAACGTGTACATATAGACCACCTCGGCACGCATCTGCCCCTGGCAATCTAGTACGGAAAGTAACCGAGCCTGAGAGCAACAATGATTTTCAATGTAGGTCAATGTGTGCCCTCGCTCGATGCTGTTCGAACTCACATAGGTGCCTTTGCAATCATCTCCTTCGACGTTTCCCAGCAATAAGGCTCCCTGGATCGCGCAACGGCAATGCCTAAGCGGGAACAGCAGCGCATTGCAGAACGCCTACGCCATGCAAAGGCAATGGCAAAGAAAGCAGCAGAAGCGAAGCGGCGTGCAGAGGAAAGCCTTCGGCGTGCGGAGACGCAGAAAAAGCGAGCGCAAGAAGCGGTTGCGCGGAAGAAGGAAAGGGATGCGGCGGAAGTGGGGAGAAACGAGCCCAGGAGCAAGCTCAGAAAATCGGGAAAGAGAAAGCAAGGCTGAACAAGCGAAAGCACAAGCTCAGGAGACCGCACGGACTGCGGATGCAGCACGCGAGTCGGAAAGCCGAAGCAGAACGTCAGAGGAAGCGGCGTGCGCAAGAGGAAGCACAGCGTGCGGGACAGGCGGCTGAGAGAGCAGCTGTAGAGGCACGGGCTCAACAGGCGGAGGCGGAAAAGCAATTACAAGCGGGTTCCCAGCCTGTCGTGGTCCCAACCCTCCAGCAGATCCGCGATGCGAAGCAACACTTGCAGTACCAAGACGGGTACCTGCACGTCGCGATCGCAGGTACAGCCGGCAGCGGCAAGTCGTCTATGATCAACGCCCTGCGCGGCCTCCGCAACGGCGAACCAGGCACTGCGGAAACTGGGATCGTCGAAACCACCAGCGTCATCGCACTGAGCTATCCCAATCCGGACCCCAGCAAGCGCATCGCCTGGTACGATGTGCCAGGTGCCGGCACTCTTTCCATCCCAGACTGGGAATACTTCACCAACCAGGGGCTATACATCTTCGACTGCATCCTGGTGCTCTTCGACGCATGCTTCACGGCGACAGACGTCGCCATCCTGCGGAACTGTGCGCGCTTCCGCATACCCGCCCTCGTCGTCCGCTCGAAGGCACACCAACACATTCGTAACCCCGCTCGGGATATCGAAGGCGAAGATGTTGAGTCTCAGAACGGAGGCGCCACGAGCCCCGCGGCCATTGCGTGCGCGCGCGAACAGTTCGTGAGGGAGTCGCGGGAGAGCATCACGCGAAACCTCAGGCTGGCCGAGCTGCCCCAGCAATGGGTCTTTCTCGTCGACAAGCAGGCGCTCATGTCGCTTCACAAGGGCCAGAGTTCGGAAGATGCAATTGACGAAACCAGTCTGTTGGATGCCATAGGTCAGGAGGCTCGGCGAAAGCGAGGGCCATGAGTGACAAGAACGTACAGTCTGTCTGGATCATGATACATAGCCGCGATACTCACTCGAACTGCTTTCCGGACAATTGTCAGTGTATATTACATGCATGCACATATGTACATATCGTCTTCTGCTCAGCCTTGTTACTTCGCGAAGGCCATATGAATGTTGCAGCGAGAATTCGCACAGATGGCTCTGCCGGGCGCTCACGTTGTCGGAACTGTCGGACCAGGCCGTAACCCGATCCGAGTCCCTCCGATGGACCTACAACCGCCTCCATCCCGAACTGCCACGATGGGATCTTGCGAAGGCCTCCTGAGCATTTTGGTGCGGCCTAGCCTTTCTGTCCATCGGGCTAAGCTCGGAGTGGGAGCTAGACGACGAAGATCCATTTCTCGCAGGTTGCGGCCGAGGGGAATAATTCAGCAAGTCGACCTGTTTGGGTCGTTACTCACACTGGTCGGGATGCGCATCTCGTCCGTCGTATTCACAGAGTGTCAAGTGATTCCGTCACGTCGCCGGCGCAAATCTGAGTACGCGTGCATATCCATGCCATCGATACGTCCTTTTGACCGGCTGCCGGGCAGAAACAATAAAAGATGTGCCTGTAGCGATGTCACACCTCAGTAACCATCTGCGATAATCACTGGCAGCGTGGTTCGCATGGACGGCGGGAATGAGCACACCGGAGGGGGCGGACACAAGCGCGGGCGGGCCAGGAGAAGGCCGGGACCCGGCTCGGATTCAATGCAATGCTGTTCCTACCTTTCCTTCCGACCGTGCTGGTTCCGCAATGAACAGGTCACCCGTCATGTGTCCCTGTGTCATTCGGCGATGATAGGCCTCATAGGCGTGCATCTCAGGCCACCAGAACAGAGGCGATGTTACTCGGAGTGTAGCGGGCAGCAGGACATCCGGTCGTCGAGGGCGCGCACAATCGCCATCGAGTCAAAATGCCAATCCCACGATTTCCGCCATGACCTAGGCCTATGTCCGTCGAATCACTATCTCAATCACCGCAGGAAGCCTTCCGATCGCGCGTACGACGACCGGGTACACCTCACTGAGCGATCCGGAGCAGGCATCGGTACGGGTACGACGTAGCCGGCTGGACGAGTCGACGATGTTTCATGCTCGACGCGGTGATGAGGCTGCGCATGAACGACACGGTTCACAGGCGGCAGGGACATCGAGCACGAGCAGGCAGCGACCAGGACGCGGATGGCGGGTCGGAGACGGGCCCGGGCGGATGGGCCAGCAGGGCAGTGGCGGGACATGGGCGGGAGGCGGCGGATCATGGCTTGGTAAGCGCGATCGACTTGCACCTTCCATATCCGGAGATGACCGGCTTGTGGGTTCCCGAAGCGCCGGAAACGTGAGGACTGACGTCGGACTGGGCTCCGTTCAGGATCAGCTTTCGGGGCTCTCCAACGACCCTCGACGCTCACCAGGACGCTGTGGAGGCCGCAAATCGACGGCGTGGACGACGGTGAGCGAGCTACATTTTGCGTTGTGCGAAGAACGGCTGACATCGACCGAGGGACGGACCAGATGCGAACGGAATGGGCGGCAGGCCAGCTGCAGGCGGCGTCGGGACAGGATGCGAAAGCCTGTTGTCCGCTCTGTTTCCCGGCTATCCCCTCGGATACCCCCGCCTCCTCCCGCCACTAATATACGGCTCGCAGTGATATATAGGGCTCCCACCCGCTCTCCGCAAAGCTCTCCACTTTCCTTTTCTCGGTTCCCCGCTCCCTGCGGTTCTCCCTAATCCTCCCCCCTCCCCTACCTCACCTTCACGACCCTTTCCCTACCTCACGACATGGTTTACTCATCCTCACCCAGCGAGACGACGACCGTCGTCCCAGAGGAGCATCCCATCTACCGTCCCGCCGGTTACACCGAGGGCGAGGAACTCACCAATCCACGCTCGCACGATGAGAACCAACCCGATATCTCCTTCCCGTACATCACCACCGATATCAATCGCGGTGGTCTAACGAACGAATACCGTGGAGTCGCGAAGGAGGGATTCGTTCAAGCCGATTAGCGTTACGGCCAATACCAACGCATGCGTCGGACGTCCCTCAGGCCCTCCGGGATCCGGAGAAGGCAGCACAACTTCGGGACATGAAGTTGGTGACATGGTTGCCCGACGACCCGGAGGACCCTCGTAATTGGTCCAACCTGTACAGGTGGTGTAAGTATCCCTATTTGGCCCAACCGTCCGGTTCTGACGCATTCCTCAGACTTGACCGGTGTCTGCGCCATGTCTGTCGTCGCAGTCGCGTTTGCGTCTGCCGTCGTGACGGGTGACTTCGCCGACATCCAGAACGAATTCCACGTGGGCGAAGTCGTCGTCGCTCTGAGCGTATCGCTCATGGTTTGCGGCTTTGGCATCGGTCCTTTGGCTTGGTCACCTATGGTATGCCCGTTTCATTTTGATCACGCTTTCGACGTTTGCTGACCCTAGCGATAGAGCGAGTTGTTCGGCCGCCAATATCTTTGGATCTTCCCTAACATCGTCTACGTCATCTTCAACATCCCGTGTGCGCTCGCCCCTAACATTCAGACGCTGCTGATCTGTCGGTTTTTCTGCGGTATCTTCGCGTCTGCGCCCCTCACGCTCGCTGGTGGTACCATTTCTGACATTTGGGACAACAACGAACGTGGTTTCGCCATCGCCTTGTTTGCTGCAGCGCCGTACGGCGGTCCCGTTCTTGGTCCCATCGTGGGCGGTTTCGTTGGTGAGAACATCGGCTGGCGATGGATGATCTGGGTGAACATGATCTTCGCTGGTGTCATGACCATCTTCTGCTGTACCATACCCGAGACGTTCGCGCCCGTGCTGTTGAAGCGCCGCGCGGCACGTCTGCGGAAGGAGACCGGTAACCCGAATATCACCACTGAGCAGGAGCTTTTCAAGAGGAAATTCTCGGAGATCGTCGTTGAGACACTCATCCGTCCATTCCGTAAGTCTTTATTCGGGTAGTTCATCTTGACGCGTTGCTAATGAAGCCGTGTAGAGATGCTTGCGACCGAGCCATATTGCTACTCATGTCTTTGTACATCGCCCTCATCTACGGTCTGCTCTACGCCTTCTTCTTCTCCTTCCCCGTCGTGTTCGCCGAGGAGTACGGCTTCGACGACGGTCACACCGGCCTGACGTTCTGCTCCGTCCTGATCGGCCTCGCCATCGCGTTGTGCGTCACGCCTCAGGTCGAGAAGAACTACCAGAAGCGCGCCGCGGCTAAGGGTGGCAGGGCTGATCCCGAGGACCGTCTCGTCGGCATGATGATCGGTTGCTGGTTCGTCCCCGTGTCATTGTTCATCTTTGGCTGGACGAGCCCGCCGGCGGTCATGCCCGGAGGTGGCAACTGGGTCGGCCCCGTGTCGTCCGGTATTCCCTTCGGCTTTGGCATGGTCATCATCTACTTCTCGGCCAACGCGTACCTGATCGACGCTTTCCCCGGCTATGTTGCGTCTGCGCTTGCTGCAAAGACCGTCATCCGTTCCGGGTCTGGCGCGGCGATGCCGCTGTTCATCGAGGCGATGTACCACAATCTCGGTAACGGCTGGGCAGCGTCGACTTGGGGCTTCATTTCTCTTGCTATGGTAAGTTTGCATGTTCTTAGTCGCGGAGTGATGCTGACTGTCCCCTAGATTCCTATCCCCTTCCTCTTTTACCGGCATGGTAAAGCTATCCGCGCGCGCTCAAAGCGTGCCGTTGCGTAGACGTTCGTTCCTTACTTTCCCGTTTACGGTTTCTCGTGATTATACTCCCCTGTCTCCCTCTCCCATCGCATTGATCCGTACTGTGCATCATCTCTCCTCTTCCGTCGCACCCGGGTACATTCTAGAATCTCGTATGTTCGCTTCACGTCGCATCGCATTTCCGCTACACATCACACTAGCTAGAGGTTGGGTAGATACGGTGCGTGAATTATCTGTCCAGCATACCCGCTTGGACACTCTCAATACATTAGTATAATGGCGCGCTTAGTACTAAGAGCTCGCGAGATGTTCGAGTTTGACGGCATCGCACCTCAGCCGACCGATTTGCCCCATGGCTACAATGAACAGTGGATTTGTGACGTGCTCGACGCCAAGTGCAGACTGTTGTGCTAGATATAATCCGAGGATCATTGCGAACTGGAACTTCACCATTTGTCCGCTGTAATACATCATTCCATTGCAGTCCACCGCAGATTTTCAGGAGCAAACCTTGAGCTAGTTGCTTGGATGAATGCTGCACTGTGCTATGTAGCTTTTCTCGCGCCCACTCGCAGTCCGTCGCATCGTCGGCCGGTGATCGTGCCTCAAGAGCACATTTATCAGATAAGATTTTCGGTCTGATCGGGCCCTCCATAATTATCTGATAAGGCACCCGGCGCCCCTCGAAATCTAATCGCGAGACCGCACTCCAGATGCGCGTAATCTGATAAGCGCATGCCATGGGCGCGAACGCGCTCAAACGCGCGCGGTACTGCTTGTGCTGCTCGCCGGCTTGGCGGTATGCAGAGAACTTCATAAACCGCGCCATGGCCCAAAGGAAGGCGGGCGGACGCGTGCTCATTCGTCGAGATGCAGGTTCTTCGGTTTCTCCTGTCTTCGCCGCAGGCTTCTTGCTCTTACCCCAGAACGTCTGGGCTGACCCGACGTACAGCAAGCCCGAACTCTGCGCTCAGTCCTGCTACGAGGCGCTCTCCGTGCTCACCTTCTCTGATGTCAGCGCGACGGACACGTATGTCGGCGGGTTCTGTCACTCGACGCTGGCCGTGTCTTCCATCTATGCCTGCTTCGACGCCTACTGCAGCCAGTACACGGCCGACGAGTCCTTCGGTTACATGAACTGGTACTGCACGGAGTACGGGCTGTCGCCTTTGTCCGTGGGCTATGGTGAAGGCGAAGAGTACATCAAGGCTCACTATGGAACCGTCGCAACATCACAGTCATTGACCCGCGACTCGTAGTGGCTGAGGTCAACACAACGGTAATTCCGGTTCAAGAGTATGTAGACCTCGCCCGCGACACTCTCGTGAGTTGTTCACTTAAATCTGGAAAAATAAAGGTACTGACCTCGACACAGGCAATATGGCAACATCAAATGTATGTCCATCACTCTTTCGGGTAGGTCTCCATAGCTTCCCTCCCTTGACATGTTAACAACCCGTACGCGTCTGTGACAGGTGGTCGATGTATGTTCTCGCCGTCGGCGTCGTCCTCTGTGGAGTGGCCAACCGTATCTTCGCCTTCATCGTTCATCGCACCATCGCACGGTCGAGTCCGCTCGTCGACGCTGAGAGCGCCAAAGGCGGCAAGCCTGTCTCGCCAATCGAGGTGTCTTCACCAAGATCCACAATATGTGGACGAAGCGCATCACGCTCCCCGCGACATTCGGCTACCGACACAGCCAGCCGTGGGCGTTCTGCACGATCCCGACCCGCTTCAGTCCATCTTGTGTTTGTCTATGTCGCACTGAACTTCATCTTCTGCGCTATCGACTATCACACCTTCGAGGGAAACACATAGTGCGTACCCGACACTGAAAATCGTCGCTCTCAACTCACCGCCATTGTTTCCGCAGCTGGACAAATCCCCCTTCGCAGCTTGCGCGGTACTTGGCGGACAGGACTGGCATTATAGCATACGCCAATTTGCCGCTGCTATGGCTGCTCGCTGGTCGTAATGACCTGCTACTTTGGCTGACTGGTTGGTCGTTCTCGACGTTCAACGTCTTCCACCGATATGTGGCCAGAGTAGCGACAGTGGAGGCGATCGCCCATTCATTTGGATACACGGCCTTCTCCTACATCAGTGAGTACGACAAGTCGTCTGTAAGCTGGAAGTAACTTACGGAAGTGTCCGTCAGCTTACGGTAATAACTGGGAGGAGTACAAGGAGGAGCTCAAAGAGCAATACTACGCCACAGGCATTGGGGTAAGTCGGCTTGTCATGTGAGAAGGATAATTGCTGACGGAGGGCCTGTAGGCGACCGTACTGATGTCCGTACTTGTTGGGCTCTCCATGCAGCCAGTTCGGCGCTACTGCTACGAGTTCTTCCTCGCGACACACGTCATTTTCTCAATCGCGATCATCGTATTGCTCTTCTAGTAAGCCTGTCCAATATGCACGCACCCTGAATTGTACTCACGCGTTCCCGCTGCAGCCACACAAAGATCTTTGACGGGGAGTACGATGGCTACCTCTGGCCTTGCGTCGGCTTCTGGATTTTCGATCGCGCCATTCGCCTAGTGCGCATCGCCCTGCTCAACTGGCGCGTCCTCAGCGTCAAGGACGATCGGCTGAGGCGCAACAAGGCAACAGCGGTGTACGACCCCGAGGGCGATATCATCCGTATGACCGTCCGGCCGTCCGCGAACTTCTGCGTTGGCGCAGGCGTGCACTACTACATCTACACACCTACATTATCCTTCATGTTCTGGGAGAATCACCCGTTTACTCTGTCAGCGTGGCGGAGTATCCCTGCCCATGCCGACGCGGAGGCGGGCGCAGGTGTAGAGGAGATCGAGGGGATTCAGCAGATCCCTCCGCACAATATTTCGGACGCCGCTGGGTCTTCCACTGACTCGAAGGAAGGCTCGATCGTCTCTCAGACCGGTGTCGGCGCGCCCGTCTCCGGCTCATCGCAGGAGGAACTCGTCTTCATCATCCGTCCGTACAAGGGTATGACGAAGGGCCTCAAGAATCTCCTCCTGAAAGCACCTGGCCACAAGAAGGACCTCGCCGTCCTCCTAGAGGGTCCTTACGGAACGAAGGCCGACTTGGCCTCGTACGAGCGGACTTTGATGATCTCAGGAGGCAGCGGCGTGACGGGTATCACGTCTTACCTATGCGAGCAGGGCGCGCGTGCGAATGGCAGGCACACCCGGTTCGTCTGGGCCGCCAGGGAGGAGAGCTTCGTGTCAGACGTTCTCGAGAAGGACCTGGCGCCGTTCGTCGATCGCGACGACCTCACGCTCGACCTCTACCTCACGCGCTCCAACGCTCAGAGCGCGGGTCAGGACAAGACAGCGGGCGTTGAGGCGACCATCGCGAAGCTCTCGTCTCGCTCAGGATCTGCGAACGGCCCCAGGGTCACGTACGCGAGGCCGGACGTGGCGGAGTTACTGGATTATGAGATTGGGCAGCTGATGACGAGGGAAAGTCGGTTGTCGGTGGTCGTCTGCGGTCCGGGTCATCTGGCGGATAACGTTCGGAGAGAGGTCGTCCGGAGTATTGGTGCCAAGATTGATGCGTCGAGAATTGAGTTGTATGAGGAGAGCTTCGGGTGGTAGGTGAGGCTATATGTGCCATGTCCGGGTAGCCCTATCACGCCAAAATCATGCTGAAGTCAACACGAACGTATGTTGAATGTCAAGTACTGTAATTAGTGCGGCATCAACATCACGAATGAAACATCGTATACGAGATTGACATTAGGGTATGTATCGCGCAGTGGCCGCGTCACCAGCCTGCTCGACGATGTCCGTGACAGCCGCTCCCTCGTCTTCGTTCCTCAATATTCAATCCTCGAAGCGCATTCACGAGCGAAGACTTCCCACTCCCCGCGACACCAGCGATCGCACAGTTAAACAAGCCCCGGTTTTACTCGTCGCGGAGCCTTTCCTCCCCCAACCTCTGCTCCGAGGTCGGCATGATCATCGGTTGACGACCTTGATTGATTGATTAATCCCTTTATTATCACTGAGGGCGGAGCCCTATGTAGACAGTACATGCAATCATCGACCCCTGGTTGACGGCCTTGGCACAGCTGCTTCTCCCGGGCCAGTCCTTCGCAGACGTCGGCTAAGTAAGGGCTTTTTCGGCCGCCTCTCGTGCGTTCTTCGCGCCTTCAAGCTCCTCCTCAGCCCCTCGCAACCTTGCCTTTGTCTCCGCGCACCTCGTTTCTCCATATGGAGCGTCTCCTCCAGCCTTTGCAAACCCTCCTCTGCAGTTGTTGCACGACCCTCGGCGAGTAGTCGTGCGTCTTCCGCCCTTTGCCTGGCTTCATTCATGCGGTCGCTGATCTGCTGTTGCTCGCGCACCATCGCCTCCGCTTTCACTCGCGCCTCCACCGCAGCTTGAAGCTCCTGTGCTGTCTGTCGTCGTTTCTGCAGAGAAGCTGCTAGCATTCCATCCAGTGTATTGATATGATCCTCAAACGCCCTTGCGTCTGCATCTCGGCCTGCGGGTTTGACGAAAAACGCATCATAACTCTCGCGAAGTCGACCACTGGCAGAAATGTAGTTCCCCATAGTAGAGTTCTGTACGGTGAGTGAGCCATCATATGCTCTACCGGGGCTTATATGCCACACCTTGGTCGCCGTTCTTCCTGCTGTTAGAGGCTAGACATGGGCTTCCGCGTTTGCTTGGACATATACCGGCGAAAAAATTGTGACGAACTCACTGGCCCGCAGTCAAGATCTCCTATCACAGGTTCATATCACAACACGCCCGACAGAGCCAGTTGCAACGAGTGTTTTCGATCGTCCATTGGCTGCAGTCGGCGCTCGCTGATCAGACATGATACCAACAAGCTGGTTAGCAAATCCATCCATAGGTTAACGTGAGGCAATCTTGTTTACTTTACGTTCACTGGTACATCGCCCAGTGCTCCGTTACTGACGAATGTTTACGAGGGCCCCGCGCCCGGCATGTATGTATGCGAGCTGAATGCCGCTATGCATTTGGAGACCCGTGACATAGACAAGAGCATTCGGAAAGGCAGGCAAGCACTGTACATCACCATTAACGACGCAGTTCCATAAATTGACCAGCAGGCAATTTGGAAGGGCATCAACCAAGTATCGCCGCATTCTGGGCACGCGCTGCCATCGCCACCACTTACTAGCCTCGCATTCTCCTTGCCTCTTGGGCTAGGATTTCCAGCAAATCGTCCTCGTCGATCGTATCTCTGAGCCTTGTCCGTTAATAAGCGGCACCAGCGCCTGCTTGTCCACCAGATAGACCCGTTGCTGGGGCAGCTCCGCCAACTCGAGGTTCCGTGCGACGCTCTCCCGCGACTCCCTGACGTACTGCTCCCGCGCACGCGCAAGGGCTGCGGGCGCCGTGTCTCCGTCTTCGATGTCGCTGTCCTCGCCTCCCATGTCCTCGGCAAGGTTGCGAATGTGCTGGAGGGCCTTCGAGCGGACGACGAACGCGGGTATGCGGAAGCGCGCACAGTTCCGCAGGATCGCGACGTCTGTCGCTGTGAAGCGTGCGTCGAAGAGCACCAGGATGCAGTCGAAGACGTATAGCCCCTGGTCGGTGAAGTACTCCCAATCTGGGATGGAAAGAGTGCCGGCACCTGGCACATCGTACCAGGCGATGTGCTTGTTGGGGTCGGGATCGGGATAGCTTGCGATGACGCTGGTGGTCTCGACGATCCCAGTCTCCGCAGCGCCTGGTTCGCCGTTGCGGAGGCCGCGCAGGGCGTTGATGAAAGACGACTTGCCGCTGCCGGCTATACCTGCGATGCGACGTGCAGGTATCCTTCTTGGTATTCCAAGCGTTGCTTCGCGTCGCGGATCTGCTGTATTGTAGGGACGACGACAGGCTGGGCTCCTTCCCGCAGCTGTCGTTCGGCCTCCTCTTGCTGAGCCGTGCTTCGGCAGCCGCTCTCTCAGCAGCCTGTCTGGCGCGCTCGGCTTCTTCCTGCTCGCGCTGTCTCCTCTGACGTTCTTCCTCAGCCCTGCGGCGCGCTTCTTCTGCAACCCTTGCCGCCTCCTCCGCTCGTCGCCTCTCCTCTTCGACCCTGCGCCTCTCCTCCTCGGCCCTTCTAGCCTGTTCCTCGGCCCGCCGTCTTTCCTCTTCAGCTCGAACCCTTTCTTCCTCCCTTCGTCGAGCCTCCGCTTCTGCCTGTTGTCTCTGCTGTTCAGCCCACCGCCGCTGCTCTTCGGCACGTCGGGCCTCTTCTTCCGCTCGCTGTCTCGCCTCCTCTGCATGCCTTGCTGCTTCTTCCGCCTGCCGCTGGCGCTCTTCTGCGCGTTGCTGTTCTTGCCTGAGCCATTCCTGATGCTGCCAGTCGTGGTCTGGATGGGAATGCGAGCCGCCCATGGTTGCTGTCGCTGCTAGCTCCTTCAAGGCTTCTCGAGTACTGCGGCCGCGTGGATGAGCATGAATTGCGGAGCACATGTGAGCTCAACGAGCAAGAGCCTCTATCGTACTGACCTAGAGAATCTAGCCAGCCTCTTCACTGCTCGGAAGGCGGAGAGCGGGGCGTGCAGAGCTAGACCGTCGGCAAGCATCTTAAACAGCGAGCATGTGCACAGTCTAAGTTAAGTTCAACAAACTGAACGTGCTGCATGCCAGCAGGACTGCCTTCCATTCCGCGGAAGTGTGCTGTGCGGTTAGGTGCCCTGCGCTCCGGCTTCGCGCCTCGTCACAGCGAACGGCGAGGATTCTGCAGTGCGTGTATCGTATGTATACTTGGGTCTCAGGTACGGATACTTCGCAGCAGGCCTGACGGAAATGACGAGCAGTCGAGTTTGGACCACATCCGAAGAGGAGCCCCTCCGATCGGTCTCACGCTGGGTTCGTGCACTCATGGCTGTGACTCATGTGCCCACGAATCAGTTTGACGTATGAAGCCTGTCAGGCTACATTGCACTGCAGGCTGCAAGCGGCCTTCCGAGTAGAGCATGTCCCTGCGCACAGCCGCGCGGGCTTCGATCCTGTGCAGTCCTTCGACATGCCTAAATAATCTGTCTACCTACATTTGGTACTTGCATCCTTGTCGAAGTGGTCGAAGCGGTGAACCACCGCGACGATGGTACTGAGGGTATTTGTGCATATAGCTACAGCGTACACGCTCCTGGTAGATTTAATTTGAGGACCTGCAAGTTTCGGTGTCCTTGTACGCGTGGCGATCCAAAACATGTGGGACGGACGTTTTGATATGAGGCCTAGGCATAGCACTGGACCAGCAGACTTACAATGACAAGATGCAGCCCAAATCCAACAGCTCTCAATAGTCAGTCACTGAGCTCGAGTAAATGAAGGAAAACTAGTTTCAGGCGACCGGCGAGGCGAGGCATGAATGCATAACATCATATGACAGACGGTGCAGAGCCAAAACGGTGTATCCCGACACAGACGAAGTCCTACGGAAGCCTGCATCAGTTCTCAACCACGCGCCGGCGACGTGCCTCGCCGAGGAGGTCCTGGAGCAACTCCCATTCGTCGATGTATCCTTCCGGCTCTCTTCCCTTCACGACCTGGGCCATCGTGTCCTTGTCGACCATGTACGCTCGCTGCTCGGGCAGGCCCGCTGCCTTCAGATTGCGTGCGACGCTCGCACGCGTCTCTCGGATGTACTTCTCGCGTGCCCTTTCGGTAATGTCCTCGTCCTCGTCGTCCATGTCATTCGCAGCGTTCAGGATGTGCTGCTTTGACTTCGAGCGGACGATGTAGGTAGGGATTTGGAAGCGGGCACAGTTACGGAGGATGGCTACATCCGTCGCGGTGAAGCGGTTGTCGAAGAGGACGACGATACAGTCAAAGATGTAGAGTCCCTGGTCGGTGAAGTACTGCCAGTCGGGGATGGACAGCGTGCCAGCACCGGGAACGTCGTACCACACGAACGGATTCGAAGGGTTGGAGTCGGGGTAACGAGTGATGACGCTGGTCGTCTCGACGATGCCTGTGGGTGCAGCGCCCCTGTCCTTGTTACGAAGACCGCGGAAAGCGTTGATCAGAGATGACTTGCCGCCGCCTGCGATGCCGGCAACGGCGAAGTGGAAGAGGCCTTCCTTGTACTGCAGGCGGGCCTTCGTCGCGCGAAACTGAGCCATAGTAGGAATGACGATCGGGCGGATGCCCTCGCGCAAGTCCTTCTCCGCCTTTTCGCGCGCTGCCTTAGCGTCCGCCGCGGTCCTTTCTGCTTCCTGTCGAGCCTGATCGGCCCTCTGCTGCTCCTGCTGCGCCCTCCGCGCGTCAGCCTCGGCTACAGCGCGCCTTCATCCGCTCGCCTGGCGTTGGCCTCCGCTTGCCTCCTCCCCTCCTCCGCCATGCGCCTGTCTGCGTCGGCCCTCCTGAATTCTTCCTCCGCCCTTCGCCTGGCCTCCTCGCTGCGAATGCTCTCTTCTTCCTGCCGTCTGACAGTTCCTCAACCTCATCCTTTGCTCCTCGGATTGCCTCACCATCTTCCGCGATGCGGCGAGCCTCTCGGCCCTGGCCTGGTGGCCCCCGCGGCCTGGATAGCCAGTTGCTGCTGTTGCATGCGGTATTCCAGCTCTTCCATACAGGGTTCCCGCGAACTGCCCATGGCTGATGCTCCTTGGAGTACTCTTGCGATGCCGCGGACGGCATGGAGATGGGGAGAACACAGAGGCGACCTAGTCACGGCTGAAGCGACGCCACCCATGGCTGAGCTTGTCACGGAGTGCGATATCAAGCGAGGCACGCACATATGTCAGTCAAGACAACGGATTGATAGTCCTGTAAACGTACCTGCTGCCAGAGATAGTCGTCGAGAGGCGCTCTTGAGGAAGACCGTCGAAGGAGGGTTTATAGGCGATAACAGCCTGCGATCGACGCAACACCTGTTAGAACGGAAGTCTATGCAAACTTAGCAAGGTTGTGTCAACTGTGGCGTAGCCTGGCAAGGGACAGCTTCGACTGCAACGTGCACAGCGCATGCCCTCGGCATGTGGTCTATGCCTCCCAGATCAAATAGGTCTTCGTATTTGGACCCTTGATCGGAGGACTGGTTCAATACAGGAGGCCATTATCGATGTTCCATTGAACGCGTCGCCGCAGTCTCCCTAAGGTGCATCCTATAAGGCTACAATCAGTCAATGAGATGAGAATCGCTTAGGCCGATGCACCTACGTAGTTTGTGTTGAGCGCAAACCCTGAGGCTCGCCACTGTTCATTTACGAAAGTTGAACTTCCAGATGTCACACAGCCTATGACCTAACTGCGATGTGAAGAAATGCACAGCACCGTTTCGGATCTTGGCCACTGCAAACGAGGTGACATAATACTTCCTTCCGTCGAAATCCTTCTGTGAATGAATAGAGACAGTCTGATGAGGGATATCGTACTAGGTTCAATGTATAACGAAGTCAAACCGCAGGTGAGAGTCGAGTGAAATTTCGGCCATTCCATTTTCACTTGAGCATCGCTCATACGCTAGTTGACCTGGATTCTCTACGGTATTCATAATCATTTTCCTTGCATGCGACGCACAAGTACCGCACGTACCCTCTGCCTCGTCACCGGCGGCATTAGTAGAACGTGTGCAAGCGGCCCTGCCAGTGGGCGTTCAAGTTCTCGCTTGACACGGCTGCTGATATGGCATACTATGTGGCACTAGCTTGGTCCGATTCGTACTGGTGGTGCAAGACGTTGGCTGGAAATACTTGACATATGTGAGACACTCACCAAGCTGGCCCGGAGTGCAAGCGATGTTGAACATCGTACCGGCGTCTGCTGAGTGCCAACCAATCAGACCGCGGCGGTATACGTTCTCGCCAAGTGCCGGTGGCGCAGCCTCACTCAGTGGCCCATCTCAAGTTGCGACCGTGTTGGTGACGCACGAACCTGCAGTATATCATCTCGATCTGCAAGCAGGGGCGGGCTACCGTACTGTACTCGATGCGCGATGGCGTGTCCAATCACGGCTGCATGTTTTCGGGCACATCCATACGGCGCGGGACATGCTGGACTGTCTTTTGCGCAGGCGGCGTACGAACGGGATCGCATGGGAACGCTGGATGGTTGGATCTGCCTTCTATGAATGTTCATCGGTGGGCCGTTTGGCACAGCGGAGAGGATGTCGATCTCGGTGAACGCGGCCGAGTCTCTGGGTGGGTTCAAAGATGAGATGCGTCCGAGTCGGAGAGAAATCACTGTTGAAACGTTGACATATGATATCGAATGGATCACTTGTAACCTAGCAGCTCCGTAAAAGCGTTCATCACGACGATGATCGTCGTAACGAACGCATCATAGCCAACTCGTTCTTCAAGTTGCATACTTCACAGTAGACCACGATGCCTATTGCGCAACCTCGTAACCTGCGAATGATACAACCCAGGAACCCACCACACAAAGCTTGTTTCGCTATTACATATGGCCGATCACGACTGGCTATGAGGTCTACGTTTTGTACGGCTTGTACAACACCTGACGAACTGTATCGACCAGAACCTGCTTCTGTATATGGAGCGTCAATAGCAAGCCTATCAGCAAGGCGAATCTCTTTTCAACGACGATGCATGGATCGTTCACTGGAGAAAGCTGGATACAATGGCCAGACTCATGTCGACAAGATCGGTGGATTGTTGCCTATACGTGTGGCAGTCAATACCGAGCGAGTCAAAGAGGATACACGGCCGAAGTGAGCTTACACTTGCTGAGCACATACAGGTGTCACGTCTATGTCTCCTTGATCTCGGATTGCGTCACGGCGTTGTCGTGGTAGCGTATCAAACCGAAGATATCTCCGTCGTCGATCCACAGGAGACGCAATTCGTCCGGCCCGACCACAGCAAGGATTACATCGAAATGCACTCTTTGGTGAGGCCTATCAAGCATGCATCGTGTTCAGCATACCATGCAGGAAGCGGAGCGGCATCACACGTACATGTAACCACGACCGCTGACAGTACCCAGCCCACGATAAGTGTATGCCGGGACGATGTCCCCAATCGCACGCGACCACAAGTCGCGCTCCGGTCCTGACAACTGGTGGGTCTCAGCTGTGATACATCCCAGCTTATGCTCCCTCGAGGCACGTTTTCATCTCCAGTGACCTTGATAGCACGTAAGGACTTGAGCGTATCGTCGTAAGTCAGGAAGAGACACTCTGTTCCATGTGCCCCATAAGAGCCGAGCCAGAGGCCAGCGAGACGCGATGGACCCATAGGGCTGACTCCAGCCGCGCCTGCGCAGAGGTTTTCCTGCGAGCGCAACGGGTAATACCGCGAAGGGTCCTGGATGCAGCTCCTGAAGCCCAGGAAGGGTGAAAGTGATTCGATGCAGCCGCGACTGCAAGTGATAGATATCGCACGAGGGGTTCGGTGTCAGAGGCAGCCTTGAAGCAAATGGGCACTAGCGGGCGAGACGATATGTCAAGCGTGTGGAGTGGGAGACGTTCATGGGTGGACGTGTTGTGCTTCTGGGAAACGGACGACTGGTTCGTGCCAAGCGGGATGCGGAAAGGTAGGGTGCTGATGCTGGCCATATCGTGTATGGAGGTAGATGCTCTCCTTCGTCTCCGACATGATAGTCAGATGCGCTGGATGTGCGGACGTCTGCCCATTAACGACGAAACAGGAGGCCGCCGCGTCCTTTTGAGCTTCACCCGATTCGTCCCCCAAGCTGCGATCAAGAAACCCGATCCACAGTACAGGGACGCGTGTTGGATGCTGTATCGCAATTGGATCATCGAACTCTTCAGGTTCGAGCGATCTAAAGATCCACACCTCGCCCACAATCCCGGGCGACCGTCCTTGACCTCCGAGATCCAGACGGAATTCGAGGATCTGGCCCGTAAACGGATGATCCCCGGCCCATAGGCCAAGCAACGGAGAGTATGTGTGCAGGAGCCCAATATACACATCGCGGAATGACCGACCGCCAAAGCCGGTCAAGTCGTGCACTCCAACGCGATTTGAGAGCTTCTTCCAGATGTACTCGTCGTAAGATAGAGGACGCAGCGCTTGGCAGGTGCTGAGCAAATGGGCAATGTCAGTCGCAGGTAGAAGGGAGGAGATGTGGAGGAGGATGTCATAGGGCAGTTGATGGATAACAGCGGGACTACTATCCCCCATATCGTCATAGGTGGTAGACGGCAGGAGCCTGTGCGACTCTCCGTTGAACAGTTTTGTATGATGAGTCGGCGACTCGGATCCTAGCGGTCTGACAGTGCAAGGCTGTGTGCAACCATATGACCCGACGTCAGAACAATGCAAAGGGGTCCGAGGACTCGAGGCAAAAAGTGACCATGCCTTCGATGCACCACACGATGGCCGCATTATCCAAAAGATAAGGCAAGACAGTGGTCGCGTCATCGCTTACTAACTAACATATCGAAGACGGGACAGTTGTAAGTCACTGCGTGTAGCTAGTCTCGACATAGTCAACGACCGCGTGAAAGACATCGACGATGTGGGAGTTCTCTTACCGATAGGGATGCCTAGCTTTGCAAGATGTGTGCACCAGACAGTGATATGTTTGTAATGCGTCAATTATGAGTGGTATACTGACGGCGAACCGTGTGCGTAGATGTTCCGAGCTTCGAGTCAGGTGTCGAATGTAAGTGTTACGAGGTAACCGAGCACCCACAATCATATCCGCAGAGGAGGCGGTTCATCTAGTGTCGGAGGCAGCTGCGCTATTTCGTCCTCGTAGAACCTGCGTAACGCCTCGCGATCCGAGCAAAGCCTCTGTAACTTCATGCGGATCTGTTCGGCTGCAGCTGCAGGCCTCTGGTAATTGAGGGCCGTCCCAATGCGACCCGGAGCCATCAAGCGATTGGTGAGGAATAGGAAGCCTTCTCGACCGCCTAGCACTTGGACGAAAGCGACCCCAGACCGATGAACCCACTGCGAATACTTGAAGGGCGAGCGACGATACGAATAGACAACGTCAACCGAGTCTGGGTATAACGATGCAGCTTCGATGTCCACCACGAACCCGAACTTGCGGAGGATAGCATACTCGAAGTAATGCCTCGTCTGAACGCCTTCCACGACCCGGTTCTCAAAATCAGGGACAATGGGCGGGGGCTCAGCCAGTGGCACAGGGAAGCAAGATTGGAACGGGTTGCGTTCCTGGATGTCGCAAATCTGCGTCACGTAGCCCTCGACTAGCTTGAGGCCATAACGTTCGATAGTTCGGCTCCACTGACGAAGAAGATCATCGATACACCGCGCAGTTGTACCGATCCACTGCAATTCGAAGTGAAAGCAAGTCGCAGGGTTATGAATGATGTCGTGGTGGAGAATTACTGCTTCGGCTTGGTCACTCCGCTGTGCGAATTGACCATATGGATGAGCAGGACGAAGGCTCAGTTAACGAAGCCCTCACCTTGTTGGGATCAGTATCTATCACCATGCTCTGACTGAAGATCAGACGCTTCTTCGCCTTGCGAGACGCTGGCGAACCCTTCTCCACGTTGCCTGGATAATGAACCGGTCTCATGCTTGGTTCTTCTCCCGAAACGTGACGAGAGGCGCGGAACCAACCTCCGCCTCTTGGTGTCATAGGAATAAGGTACTCGCCTCGCAAGGTGTAGAAATAGTGTCTGCGCAGTTGATGAGTGAGAATAATCAGCGTGACAATTCATTGACGTACCCGTCAAGGAACCCGTGCGCCCCCCTACAGTGCTCAAATAGCCCTTGTTCTTGCAACTTCCCGCCCCACTCAGTACCTTGCTCCCTAGTGGATACATCGCGGAATTCGCGCACGAGCCAGGATACGAAGTCTGAACCAGTGAATGAGTTCGCGTACTTCTTACCGTGCCACCTATGCTCTTTAATAGGCACGCCGTCCTCCTCCCGCATGGCCTTCGCGATAGCTAGAAGAGACGTATCGCCGATGTCTCTGGCACTCTTGGGCTTCTTGCGCAACGGGCCGGAAGCGTGAATGTCCTCCAATTGCGCTGTCAGAGACTCGTCAAGGACGCTTGCAGCCGGGTCTAGATCGGTCGTGAGGAAGCGGATTGGTGGGACAGGCTTGCCTCGGTCCTCGGGAGGGATCCAACGTGCTCTAGAGAATAACTCGGCGAGCTTGTCGATGCCGAGCAGGCGTACTTCCTCCTCGTTGAGCTCCTCCCCATTGGGACCGTTATGAATGCTTGGCGACTCGTCAGTGGGAATGACGACGAAGCGAGTCCGCCAATAACGTATCGATTCGTTGAACTGACTTTCGTATCCCGCGACTAGCATGTCAAGCCTGGAAAGATGTGAGTTACGGGTACCTAACATGCCATTGCAACGCGTGAGCAACTTGCCTGTTCCAGCCGTAGTTCTCTAGTCCATGGGAGACGAAGGAGGTGACCAGCTCGGTATACCCGACCCCAAGCTTTGGCCAGATGAGGCACTGGTAGCTGAGAGGTCGTGTGCGTGGCATCGTGCGCACCCACCGCCGCACCTGGATGGAATCACCGATGTACGCAATGCGATGTATCTCATTGCTCATGCTGAGGTAGACCGGATCATCCGCAGACTTGAGAACGTCCGCGATACCGACCGGCTTGGAACTCGTGTCATCCTCCGCGAGATAGGAGCGCGCACGGCGCAACGCGTTGTGTGCGTCCTCCGGTTGCTGTATGGACTTGGGAGGCCTTATCACGAATTGGAAGCCCTGTGCTAATCGGACAGCGACCATCCCGCGCATGACTATGAGAGCCCAGGCACGTCGAACGTCGTCCGCGTTGCCAGCTGCACTGGGCGGTCTCACCAAGAATGACTGCATATCTGCTGGATCAACCACAAGTCGTATGGGTGCATGTCGTACGTCGTCTCTAGTTCCGACATGAATGGGAAGAACTCTGTCGTGAGCGGCAGGCATCCCGGGATGATCATCGCCTTCCATTTGATATCGTGTTTGGAAAGGGGCTGCGGGAACAAGTGTTGCCATCGCCGGGCGAGGGAGGAAAGCGGGTACAGGACAGCTGATGTCGGCTTGCTGGGGTCGGTTCTGAGCGGAGGTGCAGACGGAACGAGGGAGAGCTGTGTGGATGTTTTGCTGATCGTCCTCCGCCTACCGGCCAGGAATGAGTCACGCGGGGAAGCATTCAATGGGGAGAGATGCCTCGGCGATGCCTGGCGGGAGACCAAGGTCTCCTCATCTGTAGGTCTCTTGCGAACGGAGTTGGATCGAGGGATCTGAACCGCCTTCTTCTCTGGAGAGTTCTGCTCGGGCGTCGGGACAGCGGTTGAGGTGTTCGATGAATTATCGGAAGAGGTCGACTGAGTTGTGTCCTGCGTCTCGGAGTTCGCGCCGCGACTGGTCGAGACAGACACCGGAGAGGTCTGCGGCTGGCTGATGCCGCTCCTAAAAGGATTGAAGAGCCACGATGGAGTCAAGCGAGACTTCATGCTAGTAGAGCCACGCGATAACGGGGCCTTGCTAGTTCGTGATCGGTGGCTAGTCGATGACATCGCAGAAGCCGTGCTTTTGTGGGAGTAGGACGAGCGGACGGATCGCATGGAGGATTGGGACGGTGATGTGCTCAGCCCACCCGACGGCGCCGACAGGAGTCTGCTCTCAGCATCCAAAGACCTCTCAAGGGGGAGGTCCATAAGAGGGTTTCGTGGACTCTCCTCTATGGAGGGGAAGGCAGACGTCGTCGAAGCCCTGTTGACCGCGTTCACCCTGAAGCTCCCGCTCAGGCGTACAGTCGAAGCCCGAGATAGCGTGCCACTCCCAGATGAGGTCAGAGTAAGACTACGACGCATGTGTGTACCAACTTGAGGCTCTTGACCATACGAGAAGATATCTGAGTCGAACTGGTCAGCATCTTCGGCCGTGACAGGAGCCGCGTTTTCATTCGGCACGAGATTCGTTAGGAAGGGGATCTCGATGTTGGACAACACGTCGTGGTCGAGAAGACCGAGCATCTCAATCTCATGCATCTTCGCTCGTGCGACGAATCTACGGCGTACGTTCAGCTACGGCAATAACGAGGTCACACAGAGTAGCATACCTGTCTGGTCTGATTGGTTGGTCCATCTGCTTGTCCCAGAACGACGCCATCATCCAGAACGGCTCCCACCAGAAAGTACTCTTCTCCGCATCCCACTCATGCGACGCATCGTCGTCCGCCCACAACGGGTCGAGTGCCCTTGGACCACCTTTCCCCGTGGTCGCCGTCAGTTCAGGATCCACCGCCTGGAACGAGAATATCGGGCTCTGGTGCAAGGGAGGCTTAGCCAGCGAGACAAGCTCGACTGCGAAGCCCTGGTCCAGGAGGCGAGTGGTCGTCAGGCGCAGAAGCTCCTTCCCCACATGGAAATAGCCTGTCCCAGGAGTGATGATGATGGTAGAAGAGCCCGTTAAAGAGAGCGACCGGTCGATGTAGTGAGTTTCCGTAGGGTTCAGCCCAAGATTCAGAGCCTCGAGCAGCGGGCCATCGCGGGCGTACGAAAGTTGGCCGACAAGCCGGACTTGTTCTTCGCCGGGCTGCGTTTCCGAGGACCGTGACGCGTGATGGAAGTGGTGCGCGAGCAAGATATCTCGCTGGAAATCCCAGAAGGACGTCTTCAGGTCAACAAGAGTAGGTTTCCAATCGTACAGAACTTCGAGATCAGTGATGACCTTGAAGAAGTCCTTGTACCATCGCTCACTGTCGTCCTGTCGGAGGGGTCCTGCTGCGATGTGGATCTCGGAGCTGTCATAGAAGACGCGTGAGATGAGGACAATCGTTACGATGTGGTTCGTCTTCGCTTCGTTCCACTGCGAAAATAGCTCGGGGAGGAAGGAGTGCACGATTTTCTCGTTATACCGCTCGCCGTCGCCAGCAAATTGCCAGAGCTCTCGACAAACTTGGATGAAGATGGTCACTTTCGCCGACAAGGAGCGGTATACCGTTTTGGTCGCGGGCGTCACGTAGGCCGCAGGCACCTGGTGTAATTTCAGAACACCGCATAGTGCATGACCATATGAACACACCTTGCGCCCGTCAATGTAGATAGCTTGCACCTTGGCACCGATGACACCAATGAAGGAGATCTCCTGATGGACATAGATGCACTGTCCGACCAGGTGGATCCAAGTCTCCACATCTCATTGCGTCCCAGATATTGGTCTTGAAATGTCAGTTCCACGTAATTAGCGCAGTACTTCGACTTGTCGATCTATAACTCCGCTTCAGCGACTGACTGGGTAAGGTGGGAGCGGCATGAGTGTCCTGACCTTGGTCAAGGTCACTTCGCCGTGATTCCTCAAGCCAAACTTCTCTGCCACAGGACGTGGAATAGATAGCTGACCGGAGTGTTGGTATGAGCTGTGCATCAGACCGAAAGTATAATTGCACTTACTTGCTGCCTCGCAGAAGCCTCATCCTTCTGCACGCTGAACAAAAAGCCAGACGATTCGTCGGCGAGCATGTCACCCTCCGCAACACCAGGCCAATGCGCATGGTTCAAAATAACGTTGGAGCCAGGCGGTTGGTTCGGATCGTGAACCCAAATGGTCAGCGTTTTGGTGTCTCCGAATCTCAGCGGTATGGCAGAGGCCTGTGGTGGAGGCCTGTAGAGGGATTGCGCGGTATTGGACCGCCTACGGCCGTATTGCGGAGCCTGTGATTCAGCCCGCGAACTGGACATTCTGTCATGAATCTAAGACTAAGAGCTTGATTGGCCATTCATGACGAATGTGTTTGACACCAAAGAGGACGAACTATGGTCGACCAGTTACACACCAGCGTTTGCACAACTCGCCAGCAGTCAAGGCCAGGTCAAGCGCGGAACGCTGCAGCAGCTGGCAGGATAGTCGGCTCTGTAAGTGGATGGTAGAGATTCTCAGGTAGGACGCATGAAAGGAAGAGCTCCTGGAGACTCGGATGAGTGTGGAACGTTGAACGCTCAAGTGTCCTTGTTACAAGCCTTGTACATAAGTATGTTGTGGTAAGAGGCTCGATGAACGTAGCTACAAAAATATACTGACTTGTAATAAACTCACTAATGTGTGAATTGAATGTAGTGTACGTAATAATGATGTGACTTCATGGTCCGCGGAAGGAGATAACTGTGGGCGCGTGTTCCTGGGGCCCTGACCATCGCCTCCTCACCCGTCCACCCTGTCCCGTCTCACCCCGCGACCCCCCTGCTCGAGTGGATGCAACTACGGTGAGCACGCCCTCCGCAACTTTGCGGATTCACTTATCCATGCGTCGACAGGCTCGTCGATGCCCAATCGTATCCGCTCATTAATATCCTAACTTTCCGGGGCGAGCGACCGCAACCAGCCTTCCCGCTAATCCAATCCTTTCCGACGTTGGCATCGACCTCTACCGAGCGTCCTCACTGTCTCCCGGCATGGCGACTGTTGTCGTGACCTCGGAGGCACCAGCACTCAACCTCCGAACCGAATCGTCGAGGTCCTCCCTCTCCGCATCCGCCGAGTCCTCTCTCTCAGCCTCCACCTCCACCTCCCTCGACACATCGACCCGCACGTCCATTCTCAGAACGTCTAGCTCCAGCTCAGTCGCGAGCACACTCGGAGGGAACATATCCTTCGCCCCGCTGCCGTCCATCGAGCCCCGTCGTCGAAAGTCCAATGTCGCCCTCGGAGTTGCCGCGCGCTCACGAATGTTGGCTATCCGCCGGCAACTGCGTGAGCAGGGCATCAACCCCAACTTCGCTACACAGCTCCCGCTTCACTTCCCTGCAGACGGCTCGCCGCCCATTCCCATCTGGGAGCACGATCCCGACGCGGAGCTGCGCGACGAGCCCGACGACGACCTCGGCACGGACCCCGCGGAGGAGGCGTTCGCCGCCATCGGGAAGTTTGTCAAGGGCGCGACGCGGACACTCTTCCGACGAAAATCTTCGAAGGACACCAACTCTGACAGCGCTCCGCCTCAGTCTTCTCTCTCCACGGATGCACCCGATAAGAGGGTGGCCAGGTCACGTTCCATGGACCATCTCTTCAGTTCACCTCCTGCGGACCCACACAAAGATCGCGAGGAAGGCGGTGTATGGGAGGAGGAGGTCGGATCGAATACGTGGGCACAGCTGCGGGCACGGACGCAGGACGGGGCGAGTGCAAGCGACACCGCGTACAAGCGGACGAGCACGGTGGAGGTTATTGGGAAGAACAAAAAGACAGGTACGCTGACTGGGAAGAAAACATCTACCACGGACACGAAGACGGAGGTGAAGACGGAGACGAAGGCCGAGACCACGACCGGAACCACGACCACCACGACCACAACCACGTCCACGGAGTGACTCACATTCTCGTCGTCGTTATTTCTTCTTGGGTTTCCTCTGCATTCCTCTGCTCTCTTCCCGACATCTCAGTTTGCGCTTTTTCTAGTATAGCATCATACAATAGCACCCAACTCGGTCTTCGTAATTCATTGGCATACCCTTGGTTATTTGTCGTTCCATCACTCATGGGATCTATTGCACCCCACAAACCCGAGTTTCTGGGCATATACGCTGTCTGTATCCATACATGAAGGCCCAGAAGGTTCGGGCTTGTCAGGTCGATGTGACCTGCACAACACCAAGACCAACACGCCTGGAAGCGTAGCACTTCAACACGACTAAGATATTCAGCACTATGAAATAGATACAGGGTGTCATTGCGTGGTGCTGATATTACAAATGCACTGTCTAAGTAAGAGGTAGGCTACGGACTTCATGGCATCGTGTCCGTAGACACGGTATCGTCAGAATTTGTGACAGATGGGGTGGGGGGTAAGCAGAAGATTAGGCAAGTACTCGAACACTGATGGATACAACTTCCCGTCGATAAATGAGCAAAGTAGCACAAGCGAGCGTGTGAGGTCATGACATAGGAGCAGCACGTTGGGAAGCCGCGGGCTCTATGGTCTTGAGTACGACGACTCCGGCGAGTCAACGGGGTCGCGCAACCGCGATGGTGGCGGCGGCTTCTTCCGCCGAAGAGATCGAGGCAATGAGAAGTTCTGCAGAACAGAGCCGTTCCGTTTTGGTCGCCGGAACGACAAGCGGTGCTTGCCCTGCTGCTCGGACAGATTGGTCTGTATCCGTTGCAAGGCGACGCCGTTTTCTTCAGTGGCGAAGTCGAATCCACGGTGTGGCGACTGGAGGCCGGTAGCCATATCTGTCCGACTGCCAGCTGCGAGGTTGTTGCTCCAGGGTCGCCGACTCGTCGGCTTCCGCGTCAACGCCGGCTGAATTCTCGTTGTTCCGGGTGGGGGAGGCCTATCTGTCGAGAAGTCGTGATCCGGGTGGTACTTGTGCAGGTATCGTACTTTGTCTAGGTCGCTCGGATCAAATGACTGCTTGTATGCCTTGGCCAGGAAGCGGGGAAGCAAGGCGAGGACCACAGTGAGAATGATGCCGAACCAGAAATAGGCTGATGGCCATAAGTAGTGATCATTGCCATAGACGGGGGTCGCGAACCAGCCCGGGGTGATGGCAGAGTAAATGCCCTTGATATGGGTCATGAGCAACACCGATCGGCTGTGTGAAACGCAACTCACCGTGTAGGCCCAAACCAGCACCAAACCGAGCGCAACAGCAAAGAACACCCAACCTGTCCAAGCGCGAGTGTTGAGACCGTTGAACAAGTTAGCAGTAGTGACTGCGGCAATTGCCATGACCTATGTCTGATATGAGTACGCGCCGACAGAACGGAATAGTGTACTGACCGTCGCAAACTCATATTGGTACACGGCTAATCCGTCCGAGCGAGCAGTCGTAGTCGTCGCGTAGGCATAAAAGATTAAGAAGAAAATGAAGACCGACTGTATATAAGTCAGAACATAGTTTGCTCGGTGCGATAGGTGCATACATACCTGCACGAGACCGTCGAACATGTAGAGTGCGAACAGCTTGAGACCGAAGTATTCCCCCTTACGACTGTGTTCGTACAGCTCTGGTAGCGCCATCAGAGCATTATCATCTAGATAAGAATGGGAATCATTCAGAGATCCTGATATCCTGTCCATGCATGCTACTTACCGACATGCCGGTCGAAAAGGCCGATGGCGATGACAGGAGCAAGCGTGAAGAATGAGTTCCACCAGAGGAGGTAAGTGTACTCGAACACGCTGTACGCCGCCTTGCATTAGACACGCCCAGTATCGAAGATGAGACGGCTACTCACTATGAACTACTCCAAGCGCAGTAGATCTGGAACCACCAAAGCACGCCGATACAGATGATGTTCTTGTAGAAGAAATTGACGATCATGTTCCCGTTGCGCGCGTACGACCAATGCCCGTGCACCAGGATCAATCTCTTCAAAAACCGGAACTGCGACCATTCATCATCAGTAACAGCCACAGCTCGCAAGCACGCATCCCCACTCACCTGTGCAATAGCATAATCCGACGAGTTCGCCGCTTGGAGGCCCTCCTCGCCCGAAATACCAACGCCGACATCAGCCGCCTGAATCATGCTGACGTCGTTTGCGCCATCGCCAATCGCGAGGGTCATCGCACCAAGACCGTCCTTCACCAGTTTCACCACAAGCGCTTTCTGGAGCGGAGACACACGGCAACAGATGACGCCCTCGCACTGCATGGCGAGGCGCAGGAGCAGATGCTTATGCCTCTCGTCGCCGAGCGCGACCGTGAGAGCGGCACCGTCTACTACCAACACGAAACCGCCGGGACGCTCGCCGTTGTGTTGACCAACGAGGTCAGACATGCCCGTATTGACGCGATGAAGAGGATAGCCAGGTGCTCCTGGTGACATGGACGTAAGGCCATCCTCTTCCTCGTATACACCCTCTTCGCCGAGAATACCGCTGAGCGGGAAAAAGCTCTCGACAGCACTGTACATCTGGTTGTATATCGGCTTGCCGTCCGAACCGCCTCTGATGATAATGATGTTGTCCTCCCGTCCTATGAGGTTCGTACTGTGCCCAATAGCTGAATCGCGCACAAGTTAAGGACACGTCTCACAGAGAGAAACATAAGAGACGAACCTATAGCGGTTTCAACCTTGTCGCCAGTAGCGACCCAGACCTTGATGCCGGCCCGCTTGAGATCCTCGATGGTCTCGGGCACGCCGTCCTGCAGACGATCCTCGATCGCAGTGGCACCGAGAAGCCGCAGTCCGGTCTCGATCTCCTCGTAGATCGCGTCGATCTTCTCTTCGCGGTTCGCAAGCGAGACAACCGCTTCTTGATAGCGCTGGCTCCACTCTTCGTAAAAGTCCTCTGCAACACCGTTAGCACGCGCAGCCTACCCTTTCCCTTTCAGACACGTACCGGCGAGAACCTTGTACGCGAGGGTCAGCGTCCGCAGCCCCTCGCTCGCAAACTCGTCCAGGTGCCTCTCCGTCGTGCGCTTGAGCTCATCGTTGCCAGGCTCAAGGCGCTCGAAGATGACGTTGTCCGCGCCCTTCGTCAGCAAGAACACCCGGCCGCCCTCCTCCTCACCCTCCTCGTCGCCCATCTTCCGCACGATCACGCTCATCCGCTTCCGCGCCGAGTTGAACTCCAGGATGTTCAGCAGCTCGTACTTCTCGTACGCCGCCGAGAACGGCGTCTGCAGCGTGAGCTCCTCCTTGTCGCGGCCCCGGAAGACGAAGCCCACGTCCGCGGCAGCCTGCACTAGCGCCGCCTCGTCGGGGCTCTGCGCCTTGTACTGAATCGCGCCCGTCTCGGGGTCGATCGACGTCAGCGCGGTATGGCAGAGCGCGAGTGCCGTGAAGAACCCGTTGATCAGCCTCGCGTGGATCGCACACTCGCTCTCCTCGTCCGCGTTCATCGCAGCCGCGATGTCCGCACTGAGCTCCGTGTCCCGGAAGTGGGATAGCGCGCCCTCCACAAGACCAACCTTGTCCGCAGCGAGGACGTCGGGGATGTCCTCCGTCGAGCTCGTAGGCGTCTTCTTGACATCGAGCATCTCGTGGCTCTGCGTCGCCGACGAGCGGCGCTCGACTTCCTCTCCAGGCAGCCCGACCTTCGTCGTGGAACCGTCGGACATCCGGGACGCGCTAGCCTCGCCCTTGTACGTGCGCCCGCCGACAGAGCACTGCCGGAAGACCATTTTGTTCTGCGTTAGCGTCCCGGTCTTGTCGGAGAAGATGTACTCGATTTGGCCTAGGTCGTCCGAGAGGTTCCAGCTGCGCGCCAGGGTCGGCGTGTCCGTTGGCTTATAGTACATCTCATGGTCGAAGTAAATGAAGAGAGCCTGAATGGTCCGCACTGCTTCAATCGAAATGTAAAGCGAAATCGGGATGATGTTCTGAAATCTGTGCAGATGGGGGAGAGGAAGATGCGACAGCGGTTAAGCGACGCATCAGGAAGATCCCGGTCAGTGCGCATCCGAGGTGGAGTCCAAGAGCGACCTACGTGATGAGTGCGAATGCCCAGGTGATGGCGCCGTTCGCGTGCGGATTGTTGTCGGACTGGTCGTCAGCGTAGAGCCAGGGCGCACCACGGGGGTAATAGCGCTGTTCCAGAACGGCATCCACTATAGCGCAGACGACTGCCATCACGGCCAAGATGAGAAGGTTAATGAATCTAGCGAGATCCCCATAAGCGTCTCGATGCAAAAAAAATATAGACAGGCCTGCCTCAGGCACGTACACTTGTGGGTTCATCTGCCTTTCCACTTTGCTGCGCTTACTCGGTGTACCGCTAGAGTTGAGTACGATCTTCGCGTCCTCGCCCGTGAACAAGACGATACCTATGACCCAACGCGTGTTCCGCAAAACCGAGCCTCGAAGCAGGATCTGCTGGATGTCGACCGACGACTTCTGTCCTTTCTCAGGGACGACCGCCGCGTTCAGCTTGTAGAGGTTAATCTCTGGTCGGTCGCAGTCGATCCTGAACTGGGCGCGCGGATCTGCACACGCGCCCGCCGTACGGAGGTGCGTAAGAACAGGCGATGCCGTACGGGACTTCAGGTTCGTCTCTCCATCCAGGTTCTTCGTCTCCACGAAGCACACGTTCTCCTCCTCCGAGGTCGCGCAGATGAGAATGTCCGCGGGGAAAGACTCGTTGTCCAGGATCTTGACAAAGTCTCCCACCTTGACATCCTCCCATGCCGTCTTCTTCCAGTGGGCCCGCTTCTTGTCTTCGTGGTGCCCAATACTAGGACCATGACCGTGTGAGCTCATCCCCGGGCTCGTGGGGCGGTCCAAATCGTCGCCGAGCTCCTCGTCATCGTACTCTACACCCTCATCGTCCTCCGCCGTGGGTTCGCCGTCACCCGAGCGTCGTTCCGGCATCGTTTGCGTCAATCCCTCCTGCGGCGCACCCGCCTCAAGCTCGAGCGCCTCGACATCTGCCGTCTTGACCGACTTGCGCTTCTGGCGAAAGGTCATGATCATAGGGACGATCGCCGGGATGAAGGTCTTCGTTTTCGCCTCCATCGGGTTGGGGTTCTTGAACGCGCCACCTCTGAGAACTCTGGTCTGAGAGCGGTTAACGGCGTGATCGGCCTGGTGCCGCTTGAAGTCTTCGTAACCATCCTTGAGAGCAGTGATGGCGAGGACGATGAGCAGGGGTAGGATGGCTAGACCAGGGGAGATGGTAGGGAAGATGGGGAAAAACTGGAGGATGGCGATGGCGAGGAAGAAGATGTTGGCAACACGCCTGGACCGAATACGTCAGTAACTATTCGGCTCAGAACGACAAATTAAATGTATGAAGGTGTTGGCCAGGACGTCATCCTCAGCGACGTGATGATAGCATGTCAACGGCCATATGGAAGTGTCCGGCCCCGCGTACGCGATGACGATCGCGCCCCTAGCACCTTCGCATGTGCGGTCCGTGGCTATCCGTCGAAGACCGCTGCCCGACGGATGGCCGCCGCTGCGCACAATGACGGTATGACCACTGCAAGCGGTGAGATACTCTGCGAACAAGCTACTCCGGAGCGACCACTGCCTCCGTCCTGCGTCTACACATCGTCTATGTGCATCTGGTCGATGTGACCAGCACATGTAGATTGTGTTCTAGCCGCGAGATGTCTCGTGCACGCCCAGGATTGTGACGCTTGACCCATACCATTTGTCCGCCACCGACGCCTCCACACTGATCGCGTGCACTTCCCATTCCTCGAAGGCGCTGTGCTCGATACGAGCAAAAGTAACAGAGGCTCACCTAAACTGTTCGAGTAGGTTCCGGGGCAGGAATGTGATGATAGAGTACTTTGCAGTAATATGCTGATTAGTGGCGAAGACATGCTCCTTCTTTATCCTGCTCTTCTTATCATAATAGTCTTCTGGTAGGTCCTGGTGGATGAAGACGGAACGCGGCGGACCGGGCTCGCGCGTGCGGGAGAAGAGAGCCTCGACGTTGAAGGAGGCGGCCTTTGTGTACCAGGCCGCGAGTCGTGAGCGGGGTGAAGACATGGGCGGGTCACCCTCGGTGAGGGGAGGAGGGAAGAGGAGAGAGCGCAAGGCCGGCCGAGGGACAGATGGGAAACAGTCGGACGGGGGCGCAGGCATCTATGACCTCCAGCGGCCAGCAGCGGACCACCGGATGTCAGCACCGTCACTCCGGGTCCCTCGGATGTGACCTTCTACCCCCACCCGCCGTGACGCCTCCGTCACCCTGCTGCCTTCTCCGCCAATCACTGCCCTTGCCGCGGCCTTGCGTAGTTTTCCGAGCGTCACAGCGCGTCACAGGAGGAGGCCGGGTACGGGCGCCTGCGGGCTGGTCAAGACGGTTGACTCAACACCCGCACCGGTGCTGACTACTGTCGGCGACTCGGACTGGGTCCCGCTGCACGCATCGCGCCCTCTGTCGGTCTCGTCGGTGGGCGTCGTCCGCTCATCGTCCGCTCTGCGACGCCCGACTTCTCTGTGCGTTGCCATCCCCCCAACCGACGCTTACGGACTCCCTGGATCGCCGCCTCGGCCCATCCCCGCCTGCACTTCACCCCTGCAGCTGCTTACGCCCATGTGGCTGACGATCATAATTGAACGCTGGGGTCTCGGCCGCGTGGGCATTCTTTCGCCAGTGGCTGACGCTTTCTCAACAGTTCAACTCGAATTCTATCACTTGTGACTGTCAAGTCCTGGCCCTCTGACCTTTGCCTTAAACCCGACTTGGCTTTTTGCGGACGTCGTCTTACCTGCGCTGGGCACTCGCTGCAGTGACGTTCAAGGTACGTTGGTGGATTTCGATATCAAACGCAGTATCGTTGCAGGTGCGTCTATCACGGGGCTGAGTATGGGTGGTCACGCCCGTCACTGGTCCATTTCATTACGCCACGCTCGGCGGCCTAGGCTGTTGGGTGTGAACGTTTGAACGACGAGCCAGGTCCTGTGTGTATCTTTGGCTGAATGTCAGTCGTCAAGTGCTCCAGAACACCATCTGCCGCCGATCCGTTGCCACAACCTCATCATCCTGTGAAGCTCGTAAGTAAGTCCATATTAGTAACGGGGGCCTCCATGGAGGCTATGTTCAGGGTAACGTTGCCGCGTGCTCTTTCTACACACGTCTGCAACATTGATGTCGCTCACTGCCTGGTATGTCAATCTGCTTGCTAGCAGCGAGTCGAGCTGACCATTTGCTGTGCGTCTGATGTTCTCAGTTTCCTGGGTGCGCGCTGAGCATGACGTGTGCGTAGACACAGCATCGAATCCGCTGCTTCAATCTGTCGTATCTGGCACACGATGACAGATCGCACAATATGTCTAAGTATATTGCTCGGCATGCGAATTGCAGGCAACGGTGGGAAGGTCTGCTTCGCACAGGCTGATTCGACGGTTCCAACTTCATGAAGCGGCCCGGGGATGATACTGTCGACGGTCTCCCGCAACTTCACAGCGTTGTCAAGCACGCGATGTACGCGGACGGGGAAACTCGCAACGTTTCAACGCAGTCAGCGATCATGGACGCGCGGGAACCTGATACATACATATGTTTCCCGTTGCGTTGGACTCGAATTTTAGGGGCATTCTGCGGTTCAAATGTACACATCTCACCAAATTCATTTATCATCATTGACGAACATCGGAGCTCCTGCGCGGCTTTGTATGTAGCCAAAGATGGGTCGCGCGGTGATATGGTTCGAAGTCATGACGAAATGTGCATAGCCGCAGCGACATGCGGAAGTACCAACAATCACGCATGCTTGGTTCTCGGATTCAGAACGAGTGTGGTTACTAGTTAGGCATGCATCATCAGCCACAAAGCGATCAATGAAGCGTACACCCGGGATGCAATCTGCTTACTGGGAGACATCGAATCCGGAGTCCTGACGAGTAGAGTGATCCCAACGGGGACGCTGTAGTCGGATTGCTCGACGCAGATACATCTTGTGCGTAAGAACTGGCTGGTAAAGAAAACGATCCTAGATGCAGACATGGACAATGAAGCGCCGTAGCAATCACTGTGATGCTTCAAAAGGCTTTCGCTGTTCTGCCTATTCACGCAAAGCAGCTCGCGCACGTCTACGCTATCTGTACCTAGGTGAGGCGCTTGATTATACCGCAGTCAGACCACGGCCGGAGCAACCCCCGAAACATGGCCTCGAGCTTCCGGCCGAAGTCCTCGACCTCAGCCTTGGTATGGCCCTTCAGACCCCACATGTCCATCTGCACGTTGACATCCTTCAGCGCGTGAAAGTGCGGCTGGCTTGTGGCCTCGTGCAGGGCCCGTAGATCGACGCGCTCGAGGTCGGATGCAAGGTGCTCGTGCGCAGGGGCGAGGTGCTCGTGCACGGGGCGAGGAAGAAGCCCCAGTGGACAGATGTCGCGAGCTCGATGCGCTCGAGCTGGTGGCTTCGGATAGTGGTAAGGACGCCGTGTAACTGGTTCGCTAGTTCGTTCGTGTTGCGCCCCTGATCTTCTACCGTGAGGCGGACATCATTGAGATGGAGATCCAAGGATCGCAGAACGATATTCTGCACAAGGTCGCCGTGGACATCTACAGCGTGCATGTGCGTCAGCGGCGAAGTCGGATGAGCAAGGAAGAGGGCGTCTTAACAGTGAGACTGTAACCGAGTCAAGGAAGACCCTGCGGTTTTGAGGAGTGCGCTCACGCTTTGCCGCGAGGATTCTTCATGGACCCAGACTGTCAGATCCTCGAGGGAGATGCAGAGGCCTGACTGCGCTATCCAGTCGATGAAATTGGGTTTCCGGTGCGCAGTGATATGAAGACGGCGCAGATGTATGTCCAATGGCGAGCGAAAGCATGTAGCCCCCACAGGGCTGACAATGTCGTGCGGAGCGGTTTGAATATCTTCTAGTGTGAGTGTTGTAAGCATGGGGAAGGTATATATGATCCGCCGAAGCTGTGAGAGGTTCAGGCAACACTCGGACAGTGCCAGTGACTCGACAGACGAGGACTGTGATAGGGCAGGGAAAAATGTCGCGTGCACGTCACTGCGCAGCCCACTGATGGCGAGACGCTGTACTCCGGACATCGCGTGGCCAAGGGCAGGAGGGAGTGCGTGAAGAAAGCGATAATTTCTGCCACCGGCAGCCATGGAAGTAGTACCATCCGTGACTCGCAGCTCGCGCGTAGTTGCGAGCCACTGCTTGACATGCGCAGATGCGCGACACTGCTTGAACAACATGTCGAAGCGTCTGCGTCTGGTGATATCGACGGTGTGGTAGAGGTTGCGCATGACTCGAGGGTACCACGCTGCGCAGACCCGCGCCGCTGCAAGCAACGTGTAGTTGTTCATTTCGTCGATGACGACCTCGAAGATTTCGAGCGGAAAGCGAGCAGCATTTGGGGTCGATAGCAAGCTGCTCTGCGCAGAGGCAGGTCGTGTCGAGTCGTCGTCGTAAGTCTGCCCGTCTGCGTTCCGTTTCGGGCATTGTATGTGTGGCATGTCGTCAACGGGAGGAGAAAAACGCTATGCGAGTGCATGAGTGGGGCTTGCGCAACGTACAGAACTAGGAGAGTACCAACGTTAGGCTGGTGCGAGGACGCGATCATGATTATGTCCTCCGTGATGATAATGTGCGCGATCGCGGGCGATCAGCTAGCGCAAGGGAGGGCACAAGGAGCTAGGGAGGGGCTGGCTGTAGCACGCTGCAGGTGTCCGAGATCTCTTGGATAAACCGCACGCTGACCAGGACTGCCGGGTTACGCTTTGTCACGCTGCTGCAATCGTTTGCATCATGGCTGTCGCTTTACGTTTAAGTAAGTTACCAGCGTACGGGTGGGGCTGTGGCTCCCCGTCCCACTTCTGCCATGGCCACGGCACACATCGGCAGAACGACCACAGCACCTGGGCCCCTCGTCCGAAATGTTCGTGATACCTGGTGTCTTGCTGACTACCGTTCATGTTCTGTGGTGGGGATGCAGGCGAGGTGTCATGAGTTTCGTGGCCGCGGTTGAGAAGAGACTGTCATAGGCTACGCACAAACAACGGGATTGACCAGGCAGCTCTATTGGTGCGTCGGGGCCAGCCAAAGAGGGAAAACCAAGTTTCTCGTCGCGCGCATGCGACAACCATAGCAAACGACTGTAAAGACGCTGCATACGACGAGTACCACGAGCAGTCATACTTGCGTTTGGTTCCGCGCGCGGTCCACGCGGGCTATCATACGCCGGCCTCCGCTACTTGACTTGCTACGCAGCGCACCTAGGTACCGTCAATCCGAGGTCGTTGAGTTCATGCCTTCGAGGCAAGGTCATTCCTGTGCCCTGGTTTTCGAGACGCATTGTGTGAGTTGCTCGATAGCGAACGCATCCTGTGGCATCTGAATCAGAGCATAGAGATGTTCGTCAAGTCGACTGATGTCGTTTTGCGCTAGCGCATATGTGCGTCGAGCATAGATGCGTGTGTAGACTTGGTGTAGACAGTCAAATATGTGCACGATGGTTGGTAGACACACGGCCCAGGTGCTATACAGTCGTGACGTGTTGCATCGGTGGCTGGGACGGTCCGGCTCAGCCACTGAGCCGCTGGATCAACCTGGATCAACAGTCGGGTGTGGCCCGACTCGGGGTGGCCCTGACCTGCCTGCGCAAGGCCTGCCATCCTGTACGACGCCCACCTCGACGCTGCGTACCTTCGTGAAGCCTGCCCAGGTCCTGGTGTCGTTACTTGGTTGCTCAGACTCACGCTGAACACCGCTCCCACTGCCCTTGCGACGCGGACCAACGTTCGTCAAGCCCGGTCACCGAGTCACCCGCCTTCGGGGAACTGATTGACCATCCATGAACGCGGTCGGCACCCTTTGACAATGCTCGAGTGCAGTTGGAAGTCATGGTATGCAAATGGTCTGTATGATGTGAAAATCGGTGAAATAACAATGTAGACGGTTCAACAGATAGTGGTCGTTCGCGCATCCCACCCGCCCAGAGTTCGGTAGCGTCGGCTTGTTCGTCGCCTCGATGCTGATTCTTCATGGCCGCTCCTGCTCCACTATCCTCTCCTTCTGTTGTGTCCATCTTCGTCTCAGTCTCCGCGACCGCCGCCAGCTCGTGCTGTCCCGCCATATCCGCTCCACGAAGCCTGGCGACAAGTACTCGCGGAGAAACTCAGAGACGTGCCTTAAGCCACAGACCGCATTGTCATCGGACGGCGACGTCGGGCCCGAGGACGCCTTGGAGCTCGCTGCGACTTCTTCGACGAGCACCGCCCATGCTATGCCGCTCAATGCCTGGTCCATCGCAACGCGTAGGAGCTCTTCATCTATTAGGACGTCGTGCTGGATTGCGGACGCGTGATGAGCTAAGATCTGGCTATCGAAATATATCGTACTCGCCTCTTCAGCTTCAAGCACGGCGTCGGACTTTGGGTTCACTGTCCTGGAGCCAGTGGCACCTTCATGGTATGTAGACGACTGATGCACTCGTCGGGGCAAAGCGACTCACCATCTGACAGCTGCTCGCGTATTCGACATTTGCGCTCATCTGCAACCCGCTTCGGTCCCATGAAGCAGGCTTCGAGGCCAAGTGACCTCTCCATCGGTGTAGGCGGATGCGAAGCCGTCCTGAGTCTACGCCACACCACAGGTAAGCACAAGTCAATTTACGAATGTTGCAGTGCTCTGGCTTACTCTGTTGCCTTCGCCGCCCGTAATTGCTTGTGTTTGCAGCTGACATCCTGTATGAGAGCTACGGCATGACAACCGGACTAGGTGCTCTTGCAAGACAAACTACCTCGCGTTTAGTCCGTCCTGTGGCCATTGAGGGTACCGAGGATGCAATCCTCGTCCAATGCGAAGAGTCCCTCGATCCAGCTTCAGCTTGAGGAGGCATGTTTGCCTGCCATTCTTCAGGACCGTCGCGTACTAGACGATCACAATTGAACGATCGCGTCGACGGGTAAGTCGATCAATCAGACACTCACGCTCGGTCTGTAGTCTTGCATGTTGTTGATCTGTGTTCTCTAGGTCTGTTCACGCGTATGTAGTGCCTTGATAGGAACGAGCGAACAGACAGCGGGAGCGAGGAAGTTGGAAGACAACTACAAGAAAGCGGCCACGGGCGAGCGCTCCCTTTGTTGAACTGGCGCTTACGCGCCTGTGGCTTAGCTGCATATCTCGGTGTGGCGGCGCGTGATGCCGGCATACCACCCCCGGACCTTTTAGGCCCGGCGCAGGCAGGGGGCGGTCTGGTGTCAGGTTCTGCTATGGCGGGGACCACAAATGAACTTTGTGGGGGCCATTGCCGTCGTTTCAATCTAGGGAACCCAAAGATGTTCTGCGGCTATCCGCCGTATGAAGGATACGCTCGCGGCGAGGCGTGATAAATCCATGTTTATGCAGACCTAGCCCAAATACGCGTGAGGGGATGTGGATTCAAGTCCGGTACCGCGTCTCGACCATTGTCTGAAGATGTTGAAACCCCTATCTACATGCACAACTCCGACTTGCATTGTCCCTGGCCAACCTGCGCTGAACGTCCATGCTCTCTCCTCTCGACACTCCCCGCCCTTCAATTCGGAGCAGCCCCGCCGCTGGATTCCTTGCTCGGAAGGCCCGTGCATCGACCGTTGGGACCGAACTTCTCCAGACGCGGTCGTCAGCTTTGGGTCATACAGACAACCGGACAATCGTACCTGAGCCGTTGTCGCGTTGTCGGCAGGCCCGTCGCTGTCATGAAGGGGCTGGGGCCGCGGGGTCGACGTGGCCAACGGCTCCCACTCGGATGTTGGGCTGAGGAGCGTGGATGACGACGCCGGGCTCGAATGCGAGTCGGGCTGAGGAGCGTAGACTGCGTCGGTCGGAGCGTACACGGTGGTGGACAGGCCTACATGTGCGCGCGGGCTTCGGACCTCCGGCTGGATAGGAACGCGGTTTGCGTTGGAAGCCCTCTCTGCACAGGCATCTTGCTCTGCGGCCGCCAGGACGATATTCGTCGTCTCCCTCAGGAAACGGTCCTCGACTTCGCTCGCTCGCACGCGCGCGACGACCAGATCGCGTACTCGGCTGAACGCGTACTCCCTCTGCAAGCCGTGGTACACATCCTCATGGACTCGCTGCGTCCCTTTGAGAGCATTGTATGCTTGCCCGAAAGACGGATAGGCATATTGAGGGTAGCCCTCATTACACGTTCCCGCGATCTGTGCAAGATCAGAAGATGAGCTCGACGCAGTAACAGGAGCTGCCGGCAACGTACGCCATCTGCGGTCTGGTGCTCGTCATGGTGGGGATCATGCGAAGTCGGCCCCTGTTGCGCCGACAACACTGGCGGCCATGTCGTGTAGACGACGCCACTCTCCTTCACATTGAGGTGAGCACAAGCCCATTAACGGTCCACCGCCGCCCTTCACTCACCTGATGGCCTCCATCTACCGTTTTTGTGTTTGTACTTGCAAGCTGGACTCGACCCTCTTGCAACTCCCAGTCGTTCTCCAGAATCGTCGCAAATCTCGTTCCTTCCGGGTACTCGGGCGTCGGCTGTGCGAAGACCGACGGTCTACAATCCAAATAACGCCTCGGCTTCCTTGTCATCTCTCTGACTATATCGGCTGCGGACGCGTAGGGGGTGTCTGCGAGGAAGAGTCGAAACGAGAACATCGTCAAGACTGGAACAACGGCTTCAATCTCGTGTCGAGCGCGCCGGTATGTGATCCACGAGAACTCACGCGTGTAGCTGTTGAACCCGAGGTGATAGTTACTGCTGGATTCCTCAAGTCGGGAAGGATCTTTGACGATGAGCAATTGAAGATGAAAGGCGAGAGACAAAGTACGCGCGAAGGTCGGGCGTCTTTATGCGACCAGCGCCTATGTCCCGGTGGCAAAGCTGCGTGCACCGGACGAGCGCGATGTCTCGGTGGACGACCAGTGCGATGTATGTTTCGCGCCGTGGGTTCACTTCGAACAATGCATTACATCACAGAAAGAAGAGACATTCAACAGCGTTACAAGACGGCGGCTCGATTCTATACAGTCCGACTACTTTCAGCTTCCATTCTGGAGGCGTACAGCCTGAGGCCGTTTTCCCCCGCAGCATTTCCTATCGCGCATATCCCCCCTCCGGTTTCCCCGCCCACGGTCAACTGCTCACGGTGATGGTATCAGCACTGTGCATTTAGGTAGCGTATGAACGCACCTACTGCGTGGCATGTTCCTTCAGCGAGCCACGCTGGTTGTCTGGACGGGGCGTTGACGTCGCAAGTGGCTCCCAAGCATCGATGGGACTGAGTAGCGTCGTCGAGGACGCAGGGCTCGAGTCCAGAGGGTGTGGCACCCTTCTCTCCCATGGCGCCAGGTCCCTGTTCGATGTATTCGTCTGTGGAGACGGCACGATAGGCGCACTCTCCATCCGGGGATGAGTCGGCACTGTCGACTCCAGGGCAGCATCTTCGGCTGCGGCAGCGAGAGTGAGATCCATGATCTCCTGGAGGAGCGTATCTCCTGCAGCCTCGTTTGCAAGCAAGCGCGCTGTGACAAGCTTTTCGGCTCTGTGGAAGATGCGCTTCCTTTCATTATACTGCCGTTGTGCCATCTCCGGGGCCCCATTGTTTTGCCCGCCAGGCAGGTGGGTGCAAGTCTGTGACCATGATTATCAACCACGGTCGTTGACGCTGCTGCTGGAGTACTAACCGGTGGCATAGATTGACCTAGTTTCGGGGAGGTCTGGGTCGTCAAGACTGGAGGCCATGTGGTATAGACTATGTCCTCGGACTGCAGATTACAGGTAAGCACATATCATATAGCAGTTCATCAATGTCTTCTTACTTGACGACTTTCGTCGACCGCTATATGATGTCTGCTTGCAGCTTGCGCCTCCTCCTCGCCACTCCATTCACCGTTGAGGATCGCCGCGAACTTGGCCCGCCCCTCAAGACGAGGGTCGCACGGCGTTGGCTGAGCGAAGGTGGCTGGCCTGCATTCTAGATAGCGAGGCATAGGCTTCCTCGCCATTTCTTTGACCATGTCTACCATTGATGTTCCATGGGGATGGTCGGCCACGAAGAGTCGAATCGAGAACATCGGTACGACTAGAGCAAGAGGTACGTGAGGATAGTGATCGGATTTGTGTTGTTATTGACGTTGTCGTGTGCAGTTGAAGTCGATTGCTGGATGATGAGCGACGACAGTGAGTGGCACTTGGAAGAGACGGCAGCGGAGGGACAAAGGCAAGAATAGGCGCCTGGTCTGTGTGGTCGGCGTTTAAGCCTGTGGCTCAGGCTGAATTTACCACAGGCTTATACTTATCACGGCGGCGACCAGGAATGCGCAATGCAATTGGAAACGGCTTAGTGTGCATTATTTTCATGAAAGGTGGGTATCCACAAAATATCACAGCGGACGTCGATGACTCTGACTCGGAGTGACACTCCCATACTTTGGCTATCTTGGGCCCCGCCCAGATCGTTGTTTGTTGTTTTCTGCACGCGCCCGCAATTTTGGGTAACGACTGCACTCGAGCTGATCTCCCGGCCGTAGCAGGACAGCGGGTTCAGCGATCACTCGTCGCGTTGGTCCAGCAAGCTGCTATGTGAGCCCGTGCATTCATTCATTTTGACTGCGCGGCCCTGCTGTGCGGGTCGTCGCCTGCCAACAGGGCGCGTCCGAGCCACTCTTCGTCGGACATATCGCGCTGCTGCTCGGTTGGTGCCACTAGCGGCCAGAGCTTCACACACACAGGCCCCCAGTCTTCTCGCTACCTTCCCATACCGACGGACCTTCCATAAGAGTGAAACCGCTTCCGATCTTGAAGAGATGTACAATATATTTGTTTGCCTTCCCTTCAGCGAATGTGTCGGCCATCTGAGGGTGCGGCCGAGGGCGTAATCCTGGCTGTCGTATTTTATGCCATCAGTGTGATACCAACCCTCGCGCTGAACAACGCGGAAACGAAGGTACGGTCATCTCCTTTCATCCCTCTTGCTGAATGCCGTATATCGTCGATTCCTTGTACTTCCAAACTGATTGTCATCGCATCAAGTCAGAGCACATTACGAAGACGAGACATCCATACTGCTCTATAAATACACACGGAGAGGACGATCATTACTAGAGATACAGCTTTCTTACGGGAAGACAATGACGTTGCGGAACCTCGCCTTGTTCGCCATCACAGCATCGTACGCATTCGGGTACTCCTCCAGTGGGAACTCCTTCACTATCGACTTCACATCTACGCATCCAAGCGTCAGTCTCCAAACCCCAGCGACCCAGACGCCAATCACTCACCAGACAACGTCGAGAACTTGACACACTGCTCCGTGTCCGGCGAACACCCGCAGCACCACCCGCGCAGCGCCGCGCGGCTCATGTTCAGGACCACGTTGTCCACCTGGATCTTCCCGTCCACCGCCGCGCTCACGAGCGTCACGGTCCCGTTCAGGCCGACGGCGGGGATGATATTGGAGATGCTCTGCGAGTAGGGCGCGGTGCAGAGGACGAGGCGCGCGCCGCCGAGCGACTTGACATACGAGACGACGTCCGTCGCGGAGGCGTCGATGTACTCGGAGGCCCCGAGCGAGAGGGCGAGCGACTTTTTGGAGGAGCCGGAGGAGACGGCGATGACCTGTGGCAGTCCCATTGAGGTTGCGAACAGACGACGAGGGGCAAGTGCTTACCTTCAGACCGAGCTTTGATGCGTATTGAATGCCAAGATGCCCAAGGCCTCCGATGCCCTGTACGAGGCAGAGGTCGCCGGGCTTCCACGGTGCCGTGCGGATAGCGTCAAAGACCGTGATACCTCCGCACAGCAAGGGCGCGAGCTCTGCATACGATGCCTTCTGCAACGCCTCCTCCGGGATGCTCACCACCGCTGCAGCTCAATCAGCACTGCATCGAAGCATACTCTCCTTAGGACAACGCACCCGTCTCAGGCGCATACATGTACTCCGCATGCCCACCATCAAACGTGAACCCCGTCACCTGTCCCTCCTTGCACATGAAAGCGTTCCCCGTCCTGCACGGCTCGCATCGCCCGCAGTATCCGCCGTTCCAGCCGACACCCACGAGCGCGCCGAGCTTGTACCGTCCCTCTCTGTCCTTGCTGGACAGCCCCGCGCCGACGCCCGCGACGCGGCCGACTACTTCGTGGCCCGTCACGCACGGGAACTTCATGCCCGGCCACCCCCCCAACTTCGCGAAGTGGTCCGAGTAGCAGATGCCCGAGGCGTGCACGCGGATGAGCACCTCATCCGGCGCGGGCGCGCGCAGCTCTTGCGTGACGATCTCCCAGGCGCCATTCGGTGCGGGGATGCTCACTGTGACGCGCAGTGCTCGTCGTCAGTCGATGCACCATGCACGCAAGGCGGAGAGCGGGCTCACCGGCTTTGTACGTCTTGGGGAGGTTCGCGGCGGTGGTCATTTTGTCAAAATCAAGAAGCGGTAGTTGACTGCCTCGTCGATGTATGGGACGAGCTACTTTATAGCTCGGTCTATCAGGGAGATGTGTCAGTTCGTCATGCGCCCGCGATAGCCTCTAGGAGTAGAGAAAACGGCGACGCCAAGTGTACTCCGACATGACTACGACTAAGCTGTGAGCAGTCCCGAGGGCAGAATACAAACGCGACATTCGGTGTATGCTGCGTGGATGATGTGGACGGGATGTCTGTGTCAGTTTGGTGTCAGTGCGGCGATGGTGGTGGGCCTGTCTCGGAGCGCAACATTCGACGCTCCGTATGGCAAGAGCGGCACCCTCATCCACTCCGACCTGCTGAGAAAGGAAATACCGAAGCCGCCCGAGGCGCTCTTGCCTGTGCAATGGCTCGGACAATCTGTTGCAGGATATACTTAAGGAGCACTGCCACACCGGATCTACCAGAGAACAGCACCATGTCGGCCTTTGATTTTGACTGGAATTGATCGATGCTTGTACATCGATAGGTGTCACTTAACATCATTGAACTTGGTCCAGCGTGGTCTGGTAGTCGATGTACTACATTGAGCAGTCGACACAGCGCCGCTGCGTTCTCTCATTGATGTTACAATCTGTGATACAAGACCTCTCCTACTGTTGAGTAGCGACTGTAGACTCGCTCACTATTAATACTCATTGCTTTCCCGTCAAACCAAGCCATCCGTCCAACTTCTCCCAAACCGCCCTCTGCTCATCCCGCCACTCCTCCCTCTTCTCCGACACGCACTCATCACAGAGACCCTGCGCCTTCCAGTCCAGATCAATGATCGTCTGCAGCGTCTCGATCGGCCGACACAGTCCGCTGTTCTCCAGCGCAGGCTGGATGACGAGCGACATCCACTGCTCTGCAAAGACGTCCGTGCACGCCATGTGTCCTGCGGTCGCGACGGTGAACAGGATCGGTGTGAAGTGCGCGACGAGGTCATCTAGGAGCTTCTGACACCGTTTTGTGAGCTCGGGAGAGAGGGTGAATTGGTTGGCGAGGGCCGAGTCTACGGGCTGTGCATCCTGCGGGACACTGACCCCGGGTGCGAGGCCTTCAGGTTCGTCATGTTGGAGGTTCGCATGCGTAGCGATCGTGTAGAAGAGGGCCTTCTGTATCTGCGGCAGGCATGAGGTTTGCGGAAATGCATACCATGGAGTGCACACTGACCGTATAGACGTCGTAATCGACGGCAAGCGTGAGCATGTGATCCGGTTGCTGCACTTCGTAGAAAGCGGTTGGATCAGATGGCACCATGCTCTCTAGTCTCTGACGTGCGAGCTGGTGCAGTAGAGGAAAGTCGAGCTGGCGCTTCGACGACGCTCGCAGTATCGAAGCAGTTCGAGGGAACGGCGCGTCACGTCCTAATGGGCTTGGAATATTCAAAAGCTTATCAACAGGTAGAATAGCCACGGAGACGCACACATCATGGTACAGGTGCTCGAGCAATGTCTCGAAGTCGGCACTCTCCACACCCAGCTCGTCCGGTACGTGCAGCGTCGGGCAGCCATCCGTGCGCGCGGCCTCATCTCGCGACGCGTTTTCTGCGAGAGACGATACTACGGGAGAGTGTCGTTGAAGGAGCGTTCTATGGACCTTGAAGAGATCGCCCTGAGTGCGCACGACGAGCGAGCCGTCTTCGAGCCAGTACTTCGGATGCCGACGCAGTTTCGCGGCGTCGTCTGCGGAGATGCTCGGACTGCCATTTGCCATGTTCGCGGCGCTCAGGGATGTCAGCGTAAAGAGAGAGCGGGGTAAGAGTGTCCGCCAGAATGCCGCTGCATACATGAGAGTAAGCAAGTCGCAGTGGACGGCGTGATCGGTGGACAGATCGTCCCGGCCCGGCTGCCGTTCTGCTCCCCGATCTCATCTTGCTCCGAGCCTGAGCCAGACGCTGAGCGCATCTGTACTTAGGTCGCCAGCCTGGCAGCCTCTGGCAGTACTTGCGTCCACTCGTTGTCTTCGACTTCTCTCTATTCCAATATATATATCTGCTCCTCGCACATAGCCTCAGAGGATTTATGCTGAGTATCGTCAAAGGAAATTGATTCCGAACAACGCTTAACAGAGCGTAAGTACTGTACTAGTACAACTTGAAGAACAACCGCGAGAGGAAGAGGAGATTCCATTTAGTCACTACGCTCGAGAGATACTGTACTTATCAATTATCATTGATACCAAGAGAAACCCAGTGTTCGACTCCGACGAACACTTACACTTCGGCATCGCATCAAACATGTTCAATCACCACGCTCATACGCAGACAGTAGAGCCTCCGCCTTGGAGGATCGTGGCTTGATGGCGCATTGGAACTCTTGCGGATGGCTAGCATTAGAACAGATGAGTGCTGTTGTCTTTATCCCGAGTCAAGACTCAACAGTGAACGTACGTGATGGTTCCAGTGGTATACTCCATCGAAGGTTCAATAACCTTGCCATCTATGACAGGTTTGGAGATTTCGAACGCGGCGAGGGACGTGGCACAGATCAAGAACAAACTCGTCTCAGCGAGCTGTGAACCTGGAAGTGTGTCTCAGAAACCACTCATGCGATACAGCATAATGTTGACCTGGGCATACGCTATGAAACACACATATATGACTGGTAAGTTCGACGCTGGTTTAAGATGATATCTCACCGTCTTCCAAACCCGAACACGATGTGGCGAGGGTCGCGTTCAGGCTCCGACCCTTCTCGCGGAAGAAACCTGTCCGGATTGAATTGCTCAGGATTTGAGTAATGCCGTGGATCACGAAGCATTTTCCTGAAGGACACATGAGCCATCGAATGTAGCATCGACCACACCCGGCCACTGCCGTTCGTACCAGATATTGGCTATCACAACACTTCCTTTTGGGAGGAAATAGCCGGCATGCGTGTCATCCTGGGCCAGGCGATGAGGTATCCCTATCGCATATCGTGGGTGAACGGTAAGAAACATGCGAGCGAATCCAAGAATTCTCACCCAAAGGACCGATAGGTCGCCACCGCAAGATCTCCCAGCACAAGGCCTTTGTGTAAGGCAGGTTGTCTCGATCTGCGATTACTGGGAGCCTGTTTGACCCTACGACGCGGTCAATCTCGGCTTGAGCCTTCTTCTGCACGTCCGAATGACACATCATAGCTAGGAAGAATGAGCGCATTGTAGATGTAGAAATCCCCTGAAGACGAGGACGCGCGTCAAGTCGAGAGCAGCGGGGACTTCTGGTATATCGAGTATACCCCGTTCGAACGCGTGAAGACCTGCTACGTACATGCGAACTATGTAGCTACTCCGATCACGTGCAGTAGGCGCTACACCCCATATTCCGTCACACCCCCTCGACTACTGCACAGAGCATCATGCAGAATGTATGTCAATAGTAAATGCTAAGGCGAAATGCACCCCCTGATTCCAATCAAAGAACATGCCCAGGCAACCGAAGGCTCCCAATCTCAATCGTCCTGTAGTCCCTCGGTGGAACTTGAAGTTGCGAGATGTCATGCACAGCTGTCATGGCGGCTTCATTCTTCGAAGGGTTAGGACTGCTGCCTCGAACCGGCTCCTCGCGACAGAATGCACGAATGTGCCCCTGCTTCCCACATCTCCAGCACGTTGGCATACCTCCCGATGAACCTCCCGAACCATAGCCTTCCGCCCCGTTCCCTGAATCCCCACCCCCTGATCCTCGCCCTCGACCACTCCCATTCTTCGACTGAGCTATGTAAGCACCGTCCGTACGTTTCGTGTCAGGCTTGTGGCCACCGCGCCGCATCTCTTCGCTGATCAGCCGATCAATGACATGACTGAGCGTGAGTTGGTCGGACGGCGTAGCGTCCAGCGAAATAACGAAGGGTTCGTATGACTCATCGAGTCCGTTCGTAAGCGTGAGGATGCGATCTTCATCAGTCACCTGAATTCCAGCCTTCTCCATTCGAAAGGCAAAAGCCTTCACTCGCCCAATCCACGCCGCCATAACCTCATCCTCCTTCCGGAATCGCATGAACTGCCTCCGAAGTGCCAACCGGGTTGCGAACCCACGCGCAACGTGAATCTGCGCAAGGTGGTTCCAGATCTCCATCGGATCCCGACTTTGCATGTGCGACAGTTGACCATCCTCCACCCTTGCAATCATCTCCGCCCGAGCCTCCGCCATCTTCGCCTTCGACCGTGCATCAACCAATTTCTTCCACCATGCCTCCGTCTCCCCCATCGGCAACGCAGTCGGCGGTTCTGCGTCAATCACGACAACACCCGTCCACAACTTCTTTCGGATGAGGTCAGCCTCCATCCGGGTAGCCCACTCCGCATAATTGGTGTCGTTTAGGGCCGTAAAGTTGTTCTTCGTGAGTTCGATCGACATTCCGAGAGGAGGGCGACAACAATCCAGCAAACGAGCAAACAGACAGACAGACAACCAGGTGTTTAAACCAAAAACGGGCAACACGGGTAGTGATATACGCGTTCGTGTAGAAATCCCCTGAAGACGAGGACGCGCGTCAAGTCGAGAGCAGCGGGGACTTCTGGTATATCGAGTATACCCCGTTCGAACGCGTGAAGACCTGCTACGTACATGCGAACTATGTAGCTACTCCGATCACGTGCAGTAGGCGCTACACCCCATATTCCGTCAGTAGAGACAGTCTATCCGTAAAGCAATGAGTCGGTGTTAGCGAGAGGCCAGGGCCTGAGACGAACAGTATCAGCTGCGCCTGTCAAGGTTGCGTCAACTCGAGCGCAACTAGACAGATGAGCGCAGTGCTCACCTGCGTACATGGACGACGCAGCGTCTTTGACGATTGACTCTCGCTGAGGATCAGCATCGCCGCCTAAACTCGAAGCCACCATGCTCGTAACAGTCGTTCCCGCACCCTAGAAAACACGGCCCATGAGCACGACTTGAACGTGTTAAGGTCAATCAGAGCACTTGGGACAATACCATCTGCGCCTTAGTGAACTCGAATGGAATATTGCGCATCATGTCGAGGTCTTTCCGCCAAACTTGTGCTGTCCTCTTCCATTGTGCTCCAGGGAACCATGCAGGAATGTGCGTGACTAGTAGTAGCGGGTGTCTTGATGACGCAGAACAGATGGAAGTCCGCTGACGGTACTTACGGATAGGAAATATATCAGCTAGGTATGCTCCCGGTGCCGTCGCCACAGAGAATTCGTCCATCGCTGTATCAACAATTCGGAGATATTCATCATTCTCCTTCTCAACGGTGTATCCATAGATAATCTTCAAGATGGACGCTCCCGCAAATCTAGTGAGAAGACACAAAACATGGCACTCAGAGCGGCTCGGAAAAAAGCGATTGAATCGCGTCTTACCTCTGCACCTGCTTTGTCAATGACGAAGGGTTCTCCGCGACGCGACGCAGAAACCCGTGTGCCTCCTTTTCCAGATCACCGGACAACTCCGCGAGCCTACTGTGTGTTCCCAGGGTCCGCGAAAAGAGCCGACGTACCTCGCGTACGCGAGGACCATACTGCATGAGCACAAGAATGCGCTTCCATCCGATCATCTCGCCGGAAACGTGTAATACCGGTCTGTCCGAATAAATCGAACTCTTCTTGTCGAGCAGATCGTTGGCAACTTCGAAGGAATCGAGGATTATCATGTGTTTGCCGAAGAGATTGACAGACATTATGTCACCTAGTTCGACAGATGTGATCAGTACCAGCGGTTAATATAGATGGATGCCTCCACCTACCCCATCTTTCTCCCCAGCGAGCGAAGGTCTTCCACTCGTAGCTAGATGGCATGTCCAGGATATTACCGATGACAGGCCATCCAGTTGGACCTGGTGGTAAATGGCCTCGATGGCCATCAGTTAACGCACGTCTCGCGGTGTAGAGAAGCAAAACGAGGGCTACCCACGACCAACCGCACGGGGTGGTCCGCCAGCCAGCGGGTACCCTCGCATGTACTTCCAAGGAGATAATGCATTCGCGCACAGCATTCACGCACAGCTAGAGGACGGCCAATGTGGCAATCGGCCGTCCTGTGATCGTAAAACCTCCAATTCAATCCCACTAGAACCTTCGGCCACCCAGTCCAGTCTTTGCACAGACAGCGCAGATTCATCGAATACTATACATACATTCCAAATTTTCAGTAGTACCGCAACAGCGGTGGTCATGGACATGTCTTACTGACGCAGACGTGCAGCGAAGGCAGATCGCCATCCCGCGAGCACCGCGGCGCCTTCAAGTTGGTGTTGCCATAGGTCCTCGCTTGCATGTGTGATTGCTCGTTCACAAGAGAGCTTCAGGTCCCGAAGCCTCGCATCCTCTTGTCGCGGAACGAAGCGCGGTAGCAGAAGCACGAGTCTTTGCTGAACGTTTTCTCTGTAGGAGCCCGATGAGCGCACAGCGGCATTGTATTAGACAAGTGAAACTGTATGTCAAACCTTCCAAGCGCGCCCGACATCAATGTCCAGTAGGTCTTCGAAGTCGTTCAGGACGCCCACCAAACGCCCGGGTCGCGCTACAGGCAGTCAATGAGTATGACTCCGAGGTCATGAACCGGGGTCGATGCCGGCAACGCGATGCTGGGCGCGCGCCAGCAAGTCTGTATCCGACCGGCGAAGGCGTTAGCTTACTGAAGGAAACGGAGGCTGTCGCGCGGTAGCGCACGACTCAATGCTTGCTGCGGGGGAGTTTACGCCAGACCTTACCGTATGAGTCGGTCAAAGTCCACAAGCTCACGTTGCGAGACTCGCTGGACTTTGCACATCACGTCTGAATTGAGTTGTGGCCATGCACTCGCCTGAGGACCGAAGTATATACTAATACGCCCCCTCCCATGGACGTCCTCCGCGGGCTGTACCCGCTCCCAGGCAAGCTGTGCATCTTCATTAGAGAAAGGAAGTGCACCACGAACTCACTAAGATTGAGCGGCCACGAGCGTTCCACCGCGGTGGGGACAATGTAGAATTAAAGGAGCCCAGGCCTAATAGAGGTTTCAGGTACCGGTGTGGTATGAAGATTGTACATACATGCCATTTCTCGCCCAGGCGGTCAGTGAGCTGACGCCTGACGGGATGCGAGTACGCTAGTTGCAGCCAAGCAGGTTGAGGACAAGTTTGTTAGCGCCGTGCTGGAATGCATTCCACCTGCTGTATCCGGTGGCGGGCGCCAGCAGTACTCTGCCACAAGCACCCATGTCCTCTGCCTCGTCCTCGACGGCGCCAGGCGGAGGGAACATACCTGACATCGCCCACCCATCCTCTCGCACTCTCGCACTCAACTGGTTCGGCTACCACCCCGACGAGTTCGACGAGACTGTCCTCTATGTTCGTGCGGCCGACAAGCCGCGGCGTCCCGCCACTGGCACTGGCGACGACGAAGCCACACCCGCCGAGCTACATCCGGCTCCTGTAGCATCCATAGGCGAACTGGGCAAATTCCCCCTTGAGCTCCTTAGTCTTATCGTGCAATACACAGACCTCCTGTCTATCTCCTCTTTGCGTCTGGTCAACCGGCGAACACGCCTCATCGTCGACGAGTCTGTCCCGTACAAGTTCCTCGTGCGCCACATCCCAAACACGCTTGCCTCGCTCAACTCTGCAGACGCCTCCCAGCACTTCACCGTCGCCCAGCTCTACAGCACGCTCTGCGCGCGCACCTGTGCGTTTTGCAATGACTTCGGCACCTACCTCTGGGTCCCCGAGTGCGTCCGCTGCTGCTTCAACTGCCTTAACGAGAGCCCGCACCTCATGCCACTCATCGAGAGCGACGCGAAGATGCTCTTCGGCGTGACCAAGAAGGCGCTGTCGGGCGTCCCTAGCATGCTCTCGCTGCCGGGTACGTACGGCATGGTCGATCTGTACAACGGGCGGCGCTTCCGCCTCTACAGCCAGCGCCGCGTCGTGCAGGCGGCGATCGCGCACCACGGCGACAACGACGCGTACGACGCGTGGATCGGGACGGGCGGCCAGAAGGCCCGCGAGATGTTCAGCCGTCCGTCGCGGCGGGGCGTCAGCAAGTCGACGTTCTACACGAGCGCGCGGTTCATGGCGGCCACGCCCCTCCCCTATCTCGACCTCGCGACGAGGACGGCACACAGCGGGCTGATCTGTAGGGGCTGCCAAATCGCGATGATACGCTCGAGACACTTGACGGTGACGCAGTCGGTGGCGATGAGCTTCGTCCGCAAGCAGGCGCAGATGTGGTTGGAGGACGACCTCTTTGCGCATTTCACGGAGTGTAAGGACGCCCAGGACATCTGGGACTTTATGCACGAGGTCCGCAACGTGAGTCCGTCCCGTCGCCCCCCATGCGTAGTACAGCTGCTGAGGTGGACGCCCGACGACGTGCAGCAGCCAGAGGGGCCTGCATGTTTCGAGAGGACTGCAGATGGAGACATTGCCTCAAAATTCCTCATTGCATTCGTACGTCTCGACCTTAACTCTTCGACTGCGGCTGGTGAACCTCTTCGTCACAGATCGAGCGCCTCTGGAACAACCCCCATCCGCTGTAAAAGCCTGGTTGCCCATGCTGTGTTTCTCGGTTTCTGTTGAGTCTATAGGTCATCTCCGTCGTATATTTGCTGTCCTCTCGCTGGTCTTCTGTGCTTCTTTTCTTGCTGGGTTGTCGACAAAAGCGGACAAAAAAGAAAGACATGCAGCAATGTACAAATGTTGTATTAGTATTCTGCCGACGCATACACCTTGCGTTCCTTCTGTCTCTACCCTTCCGTGATCGGCACACCGCAGTATCCCACCACCCCCGAACCACGGATGACCCCATGTCTGTCTACAAGCCAGAAATCAAAGCATTATCCGTGTATTGTGCTCCATGTTCGCCGCACCTTGTTTCGAGGCTCGACCGACCTTGGTACGCATGCGTTCACAGCTCCGTGCCCAACCTGTACAAGAAACCCAGGGAGAGTCCGTCAATTACACGTTAGACGTAAGTTAGTTATACAGGTAGGGTATCGAGAACGCCATGATGAGCGCGAGGAGCGCGAAAGCCATCGCCAAAGACCGCACATAGCCCGCTTGTTGGGCTGGACCCGCGCTGCCGCGGGTCTTTGGGGTACGGCGAGGCGAGGATGGCGGCGAGGCTTGGACGGGGCGATACTCGAAGAGGGGTACATACCCGATAGCTTTCAGTCCATGGACGCTAGGACAAAGTTAGCCATCATCAACTGTTGCAATGCGAAGTACGCGGACGCACTAGTATCCCTGCAGGTTCCTCTGCGTCTCCTCTTCCATGCCGAGAGGGACGCCCTCCAGTCGCCAGGAGACCTTCGTAGAGTCAGAACCCTGGTCGAGCGTCGTGGTCAAGGTCGCGACGTGGTCTGACCATCCCCGAGAAAGAGTCAGACGTGCGATTCCAGCATCCACAGCCCACAACAGCAACACGCACCATCCGGCCAAGTGGGGCTGCTCAGCGCCCAGCTCTGCACTATCTCCTTCGGCGGCGTCAGGCTCACGTACTTGCCCTTCACGCCGCCGCCGAACAGGCTGTACTCCGTGTCCGGCTTCGCGGCGGACACCGCGGGGGCGCGGGTCCACATCGGTATGCGCTTCTCGTTCGTGAACAGGTCGAACAGGTCGTCCGCGGCCGCCATGAAGTTCGCCTCCGCGTTCACCGACGACGTGTTCACGCGCGGCGCCTTCTTCGCCGGCGCCGGGGCGGGCGCGGACGTGGAGGGCTTGGCGGACGGCGCGGATGGCGCGGGCGTGTCCTGGCGCGAGGGCTCCGCGCTGGAGGACACCTGCAGGTCCTTCCCGTGCGTGTCGACGAGCGCCGCCGGGAACTCCCCGAACTTCTTCTCGAGCGCGGCGGGGAGGCTTTTCTTCGCGAGCGCGAGGAGCGCGTCGGCCGGGGGCGAGGCCGGCGACGTCAGCGTCCAATGGTACTGTGCGCGTGAGCGGGACTGGGGTCAGCGTCGTGCGGGGGATGGGGTCGTGGGATGGGACGTACGACGTAGTCTGAGAGGCCATCGAGCGTGATCTCGTGCGAGACCTCCGGGACGGTGAGCTTGCCCGTCACTTCAGACCCATCCGACGCGGTCCCTGCCCACTCCAGCTCGACCTTGCAGTCGTAGATCGTGATCAGCCTGCACGCACGCGAAGCCCGCCGTCAGTACGACATTTCATGAGATCGCCAGGTGAACAGACGCAAGCAGGTCGCGCATGGATCGCGCACTCACTTGCTCTTCCGCTGGCCAAGCTCCACGTCCCCCTCAAAGTCGGTCAACTTCTGCACGCCGACCTTCTCCTCGCCCTCCCCGCTGACCTCGACGGTGGCGAGCTCGCGCTCGAACCACGCCCGCGCCCAGGGCGTCACCGTCTTGTTCTTCCAGTGCCAGTTCGCCGTGCTCGTCGGCATCGGTGGGGGAATCGCCGCCATCTCTGCGTACTGCAACGAGTGCCGAGGGCGATGAACAGGAGGAGTCTTGTAAGAAAGTCTAAATGCTCGAGACAGATGAGATCGGAGGCAACGAGCACTTCATGGATCCTAATTTATGCTGGCCGTGTTTGCTCTCCCGAACCTTCCAGACCATCCCGCCTCCGTGCAGACGCTCATCGGCGTCTAAACGTCACTCATCCGACCGCCATTTTGCTCGTCCTCCAACCTTGCTCTACACCTCCATTTCAAGATTACTGGTCATATTCCGAGCTCTATACTACTGGTCTACATTTTGCGGAGATCATGAAATGATCTGCTATACAACGATTTACAAGTGATAATATTACAACGTGGTAATGTCCGTCAGCTTCACCGACTCAACTCAGCGGTATGCATTCTTTACTCTCCTCCCTGCTCAGCGCTCAGACCCAGACTCAGACGCACCACTGTCACCGTTCTGGTTGCTGCTCTTCTTTTTGATCATCACGTACGAGTCGGCACTCTCAGGGGCTGGCAGCGCCTCAATGTCTCCACCAACATGGCCCTCACGCTCGGGCTGCTTCTGCTTGCGCTCAGCACGGATCTGACAGATCCTACAATTAGCCACTGTTTGAGAAATGCAAATACAGAGGTGCGCACCATGTTGAGGTCGTGGCTAATCAGTCCATGTCCACCCACGGGGCCCCAGTAGCTGGTTGCGGCGAGGGTACCGATGATGCAGGTGCCGACGAGGATCGACAGGTAGAAGCGGTACTGCGAGTACCATGCTGGCGCCCAGCCCGCGTTGGTAGCCCGCAGGTCAGCCCACCACAAAGCGGTGAAGCCGACCCACTGCGCAATGAGAGCCTGCACGGGATCCATCATCAACGTCGACCAGCCGAAGACGACCGGCGTCATTCCGAGGACGAGGCGGGGATATCTAAGGATGCACACGGAGGGTCAGCTTCACCGTACCCATAGCAGGCTCGGGACGGTCTGCGCACCCCTTCGTACCGCCGTAGCCGGCGAACTCGAAGCCCCAGTGTAGGGCACCAAGGAAGGACAGCAGGACGGCACCGTAGGTCATCTGGATGTTGAGGGCCTGGTCGAGCACGGTGATCGCGACGCCAGGATCGATGTTCGTCATGAGGCCTGATTCCCTGGTTCAGCCGCACTCCATGCCAGACAAGTCCGATAGCGGGACTCACCGGTCGTGGCAATACCGGCCTCGCGGGCCAGGTAGATGCTCGCGACTGCTGTGCCAACATACGGCAGCCCGCCAGCGAGGCCGAAGACGATGTAGGGGGTAGGAACGGCATACGCGACGGCGTTGGTGATCCCGAGCTGTTTAGGTTGTCAGGACCTTGCCGCGGCGTTTCGCGCGCACAGAGCGTGTCGGCCAGAATGTCACTCACGAATGTCCGCTGCGTCGGCGCCACAGCATCTGAGAAGACGTTTCCTCCTGCGATTGCCTTAGCGAAGTCGCCGCCTGCGCTGCCGACCTCCTCCTTGATGTTCTGCGCGGCCTGCGCCGCGGTTTGCGAGCCGGGGCGTCCGGAGACTTGGCTCGCGGCGCCTCTCACGAGCAGCTGACCGCGAAGCAGCGTCGAAGGCGGGCAGCACGCGAGCGGTCTCGGGAAGACGGGTGTTGGTTGAGTTCGGGTGAACTTGAGGGTGGAAAGGGAAGGAGCGTGGGTGGTGGTGGACAGCGGCCGGTTGAGGACGGGGGCCGTGCGGCGGAGGGTGGGGGAAGCGAAGCGGAACATGGTCGTATGTCGTTACACGGGACTCGTTCTGGATATGGGTGGTGGGAAATGGTAGGGATGGTTGAATGGACCGTAGCTTATAACGGGGCGCGTCTGCGGGCGGGCGTTGGACGCCATCGCGTCGGTGACGTCACCCGCCCGACGTCACTTCGCCTCTCCCATCATATCGCGCTTCCGTGCCCCACTCTACTTATCCTCAGTCACAGCGCTCTACTGATGCTTGCTATCAAAACGTAGAAGTCGTATAACAGCTGGTAAGCAATCAAACAATCCCAGGTAAGTAGTTAGTATCGGCGCCGGCTAACATGCGCAGCTCCTTGCTCTCCCTCAACAGCCCCACAAAACGTTGTCAGTACAGTATCGTATCCAAGTCGTGATCGGTCGTACATAAGGCAGGGTACATCGCCAGTTTGCGTGCTCAACCAGAGCGTTCACTGAAAGTGCGTGCCGATGTACAGTGTCTTCTATTCTACATTGCGCTGCGCAACAGCCTTTCGCGCCACGACGCGTTTGTTGTGCGTTGGAGATTTACCCCAATATTACCCAGGTCATACCATGAATTCGACCCACGGACAAAGGTGCCAGCTGCTCGAACGCCGTAGGGCTAAAATTCAGATCCCAGTCTGCGCAGCCCGAGCAAGAGTCAACGATGGTGACGGTGACACTGTTGCCTTGATCTGGATCTGCATTACGTGGTGTACTCTCTCGTGGAAAAGGAATTCTTACAGGTAGCGGTGATTTGCTGGTTGCAGAGTGGATTGGTGTTTGGGTCGCTGCCGGAGTAGCCACTGTGGGCACGGTATTCTCGACCGAGCAAGCATCCTCAACGCCAAGAAACGGCTACGCAAGGACGTACGGCTCTGCGTTAAAGACCAGCGAGGAGACCGCCACGACATAGTCGGCGTTAGTACTGTCGACACCGCAGGCACCCAAGCCGACGCTATAGAACGTACCTAGTCCAGCGATGTCAATGAGCTCATCACATCGCCAAATCAAATCTCACCATCTCCTGTCTGGGTTCCGGAAGGCCAGGTGATCGAGTCGGCGGCGAGGGACGCTCATTGCCAGCGCGGGCAAGGCAATAGCAAGGGCGACGACGGCTTTAATGAAAAACATGGTGAGCTCTGAAGAAGAACGGAGGAGTGAGGGTAGTCCCTGGAGTAACGCACGCAACAGCGAAGTATCCATCTTTTATACTTAGACCAGATGGGCCTACTGATCCCACTCGTCCAAGCCGCAGTGGGTCCGGGGGCCTTCTACATCCATGATTCGTGCCTATGCCGCGACTCTGCCATCACTCCGGGGATACATGCCCCATGACATCGTGAGTACCTATGCCGTCAACCACATCTATCGAACCTGTGAGAGGTACGCCTGAGTAGTGGAAGTGCGATAGTGGGGTGTGCAGTTCCAGGGGCCAAGCTGGGAGTGCGTGAAGCTAGTACTCACCATAATTCAAGAACGAGAGATTGCTTTGCTCGACTTTGAAGCAATCCCGTGGAGGCAATCGCTCTTCTGTCAGCTGTGGCGGTCCTAGTAATGTCCTTAGTCAAGTACCGTTGAGAGCGGCAGGCACATCTTCTGTCAGGCCTGGCCCGCTACTACAAGGCTGACTCGATTCCCGCAGTCTCACGGGCATTCAATGCAAGCTTCTGTAAGAAGCTTAGAACTCAGGATGCGGAATCATCGTCAGCGCATCGACCCCACCCTACCGGACTACCTTTGTGAACGACGCTGCACTAGAAGTAGATACTAGAGCAGCATGTAGTCACTGGCGGATCGCTTGTTGTTGTTCAGTGGCTTAACCGCTCACTGGTCGGTGTGATGGACCTCCTCCTCAGCGCGATCGACAGAACATTAGCTGTATCTTGGTGGTTTAGCGACTCACCAAAAGGATACATTTGATTGCCGGAGTCGTGTGCACAAAGGGTTACTGAAGGTGCGCGACCATAGTACAGTTTGTAGGAGGCATGAGACTGTACTAAAGTAGTCTGAAGTCTGTCATCGAGACACGTACCATACTGGGTCGTCTGCTCATAGTGCAAATCACATGCTCTGGTTCCGGCGTTCCGTAGAATCTCGATCGAGGCTCCACGATGTTCACGCTTCCGCATTTGGATACGCTATGTAATCCTCTCTTCGCCTGCAACTGCCGCATTCACCTTGGGTTATATAGGTCAGGAGCACCAAATTCCCTATGAACAGTCACTCATGTTGACCGTTCAGTCTGTGACATGTCAACATCCACAGAGGCGGCTGACGCCCGGCCTGTGGCCCCCATGTCCGCAATCGAGCATGCACCATACGACGTCCTGACCGAGATATTAATCTTGCTGCCTGCCACGGACATTGTCCGTCTTCTGAGCACATCGCGTACGCTCCGTTCGTACCTCCAAGAAGAGCCGATATGGAGAACCCTGTCGCGCGCGTACGGAGTGACAGATGTTTCGAATTATGGTGGACGGTCGTTCTACACCGTCTACACTAGGTTGCTCCACAAATATGGACCTCTGCTCGGCCTATGGGCCGGAGAGCACGCGTTCTCAGGCCACATCGTAGAATTCCGTCTTGACGAGGGCAGCGCACAACGGCAAGCATGTATCATCGGCGAGTTCTGGAGGTTCCGGAAGCCGCAGATGTTCACATGAATATCGACCAACTCCGGAATTACCGCGCTACATACCCGCCATCAGGATAGGCTTCGCAGCGACGTTCAGCGACATCGACGAACCTACAAACGACGTCGCGCAGATTACTTGCTGTGCGCCAGCAAATGGCATCAAATGAACACGCACCGTGCCCACGTCCAACATGTGGAGCGAGTACGAACAGCATTACCTGGGGGAGACAACTTCATGGCGTCGCTCCAGCATCCCGACTTCCCTCAGTCCGCGAGGCTCCTGGCTGACACGCGCCGCCCTCCGATACCCCTCCCTACCGTGACCACATCCACATCAATCCGCCGCCTGTTGGCGCCCGAATAAACCCGTTCTTCGGAC